TACACGGAGCACGCAACAGTCATGTTCACCACCGCGCTCACTAGAGTAGTGACACCGTTGACCGGTATTTCGCAGTTTTCTCTCGGCGTGCGCTCAGACATCGAATGCGCCTGTATGTATTCTACATACCATACAGCGCGCGGCCCGCACCATGACACATGTGAGCCCAGCAAAGCCATGGAGGTTTCACGATTCTGACATACAGTGGACTGCGCGGCGCACTCCGGGCCCCCTGGGGAGAATCAACTGGTTGTGGCGTCCATAGGCACAGCGCAGACGCATGTATGTATGTACCTTTATACCTAGGTACATAATTACAAGTTCGAGATGTCATACTATGTACCTACTCATGCTCCGCACTCGATATTCATCTTGAATATCCAACCTTCGTTACGCATTACTCACAGGTGTGACTATCCGCGCCGCCGCCACCGCAGCAGCAGCAGTGCGGCAACACCGTCGCCGGACGCTTTGAAACCCCCTACCGGAAATCCCGTCTTGATCTTCCTTTTCCCTGAGTCTGTGTAGCATGAATGATGATCATGCATGCGAGGCCTGCGTCGCCAGCACCGCCTCCAGCTGGGTAGGTAGTAGGTAGGCTATACCTAGTACATATCACCTTCAGGAGCTTCAGCAAGCACAACCTGTCGCACATCTACCTATCATGGTGCTTCGCGATGGATTATGCTTTCCATGAACTACCTACCTACCTAGGCTCAATCTCCTCCTCCATACATATCCCTTGAATGGATGGTATCATTGGTATCATTGGTAGATAGATATCATTGGCATGTATGTGTGTACATCGCCACCCTCGGCTCACATCCGGAGCCCGGCCCAAACCCAGAACCCGGGCAGAAATCCTACGGCTAGATGCATGCCATCTCGCCGCCGGTTTGGCGCCCCATCCGAACACATCCATCTTCCCTTAGATATGTAGGGCATTGTATTGCATTGCAATCGTAGCGAGTCACGACTCACGACTCGACCGAAAGTTCAAAGGAATATAGAATCAGGGTGATGCTACATAGTACATGCCGGTATTTAATTGCGGCAGCCGCGATGCCCGATAAAACCGCTTCCGGCGGCGGGGAGGACCCCTCAGCTCTGTGGCAAGAAGTAGCCCCTAGATACTGTGGGTAGGTAGGTGGGTACATAGGTTTATCCGCCCTTGGAGTGAAACAAGCCAGCAACGGAGGTGCACGCTGCACGGCGAAGGTAAATGGTTGTATCCGGCACCTCATAGGCTCATATGTACAACAGATAGGTAGACCAAAGAATTTCAAGAATTTCATTTTTAGAGTACACACGTAGATCCCAGACGGGCCCGGAGTGCATTGGCAAAAATGCCGAATACGGAATATACACGGAGCCTGAACGGGAAGGCCACTCGCCCACTGCAGAATGTCTCTGTTTCTCCGCTTGACCGCAAGTTCGTAGAGTACCTAGATAGCAGCCGGGTAGGGGGAGGGATGGATGGGCGGTCCCGGAGAGCATTACTTCCTAGGTAAGTAACTTCCTATGAAGGGACCTGAATGCCTGAGGCTGCACTGCATGCAACTTAGATATGCAGGTAAGTGGATTTGCCGAGGTAGGCCTTTGGTTATGTACATAGAGTAGAGTAACTAGAGTACAGTAGAGTACTGTACATTTGAAAGCCTATCATAGTAAAGGTTCACTGCGACAATAATAATAATAATAACTACAATAATAATACACTGCAGTCTGCAGTCCGCAGCTAATAATCCTCCTCCGTCACTCCGTATGATTCCGCCCGCGCGAGCTGTGGAACCGAACCGAACTGAACTGAACGAGGGGGGCGGCGAGGCAAGAGGGGCTGTACCTGCAGATAGATGGTGGATCACTGCAGCTCTGCGGTTGCACGGAAAACGTGGGGTACCGGTACATACATATGGCATCCTCTAGTAAAGGGACATAATCCAGTCCATCAGTCCCAGTTCGACGCGCACATTCCCCGCTCTCTCGTCGGCACGAGCGCAGCGCAACGGAAAGCTCAGAGGCGCGGCGAAATTGGCACTCTCGACTCCCATAGTACATATAGCACCTACACCAGCGGTAACAGCGGCACCAGCGGTACTCTACTGTACCCGACTCTACTGTGCCATACCATAGCAGCGAAGTGAAGCCGACGTTCTCTCGAGAAAAAGCAACCGCCTACTATTACTAGTACAATTGGTAGTATGGTCGCACACGCACTACTAGTAGGGATCCGGAGCCTGCCCACCTATTAACAACCGCTAACTATTGGGCCGATCAGTGATACGGACCTTCGGCCAGCCAAGATGTCTCACTCGCCCACTCGCCCACCGTACCGCACCGCAGCGTCACTCGAGGTTCCGGAGGAGGGGGCGCTTCCCCTAGGTTCATACTCCACAGTTCCCCTAACCGAGATCATGAACGACTCGTCACTATTAGTAAAGTAGTCTACCGATTAGGAGGATGTCTCTGTCCACGGCTGCTGACGGAGTGCAGCGAAAGTAGCCATCGCACGCGGACTCGCGGGGAACTCCCACTGCACCGTAGCCGCCGTTCGACGGTGCGAGGACCGGCAACGGACCGGAGCGAACAGTGGCCGTCGAAGCTATTCGGATTCCGCGGATGGAGTTTGAAAGACAAAGACTAAACACTCGAGACTCGAGAGGTAGCCGGACTCCGGCCTACTACCTAGTAACTATTCACAGCTCACTCACGTTTCAACGCAAGGGGGCGGCGGCCATGTGACCAAGCGCAAGCGACGCCACGTGCGTGCCTGCCTGCTTGCCTATCCCTCCATCCCTCCACTGCATCCCACTCCACTCCACTCGTTCTTGCTTTTTCTTTTGCTTCTTCTTCTGCGGAATCTACACTTTCACTTCTACCCGCCGTAATAACTAGTACTGCACTCCCTCGCTTCCCTTCTGGAAGCATTCCTAGCAGCCAGAGTGGCAGAGACAGAACAAAGATAGCGCGTCTCGGAGACTGGAGTAAGCATTTGCACTTGTGTATGCACCGTAGTGTACTTATGTATGTATCATAGCTAAGCAAGCAAGCAAGTAGTATATATGATCCAGCGCGCAGCTGAGACATACATACATGTGCAGAGCAGTGGGGTCCACATCTCCACGCCTCCACACTCCACACTCACTCAGTCTCAGTCCAAAGGTTCCATGCAAAACGTTTCTTTGGCATGATCGCATGAACATGAATCACCCACACACACTTACTCACCCACAAACCCGCATGCATACACATACATATATGATATGACCTCCGGTGCATACGAGTCGGCAAGTGGGAAGTGCGAAATGGGAACGTTCCCGGCTCGGCTCGGCTCGGCATTGGCTTTTGATTGATGGAGAAGTGTTTCCGTCCCTCCGCGAGTGAGGGGCGGCGGTTGATGCTGTGTGAGTGGGGACATCGGGGTGAGGGGTATTCCAAGGTAATTTTCGTCCGGTCGATCATCGGAGTGCATTCGCGTCGCTATTGTTTGCGGAGGAGGAGGAGGAGAAGGAGGATGATGATGACGGGGAGAAGGGGGATGCGCCATGCGCCTTATCCGCCACCCCACAAATAAAACCCGTTGAGCAGGGAGCTTCCAAGTTCCGCTGCCGGCGGATTCGAACTTAGAAGTAAGCACGTCCACGCCACCTCACCTCCGTGCGGGGGGGCGGGGGTGGGGGGGCATGTACCGGTGGGTACGAAGGGCATGTGTCTTCCAGGCTCTGTCCATTCCCATTCCCATTCCCATTCCCATTCCTATTTCCGTTCCCGTCAAATGTCGGATCGATCATCGGTGAGCGCAGAGTGCAAGTGCTGTGTATGTACTTCCACAGATATAGATATAGATTAGCTATTAGCAGCGACTCACGAAGTAACAGTGACTTGTACGACGTCGAACCCATTGACGCCCAGTGCCCAGTGCCCAGTGCCTACCGGCGCCGGGTGGCCGTGTAACTATGTACGACCGTGCGGACGAATGGACATTAGACGAAGATCTGTACTCTATGATCTATCCGAGAAGCTTCGGAGTAGCGGAGCACGGACGTATGGGGTTTCTTTACGCGCCTACCCCCGTAGTCAGCTTCTCGATCAATATCGATATCGAAATCGAAATCTAGGCAGGGCGAGTGATATAATGTGATGACCAAAGATTGTGTTGCCAATTAACCAGATCCGATGTAACCATGCGTTGCGGGATCCGACAGAGAAAAACAGCCCACTTTCAGGCCGAGTATCATCCAGATCTTGCAGCGGTTCGCGGATCGCTACCCTCCCCCCCAAGTTACCTTCCACGCATCGTTTCCAACATAAGCTATCACGCTCGTGTGGACAAAAATCTTCGGGACTTTTTTTTCAGCAGCTCTTTTTATGGTACAGCTGGTAGGTGTCTCGTGTGAGTAATGTCTACTCTACTCCAGGTTCCCTCAACAAGTCTCTTCGGCGCAACGCAAGGGGGGATGAAGCACGGCGTATCACTCGACTCGCTCGGCACCACGAGTGTTGAAAAATTGAAAAAAGAACTTGACTGTTGATGGAATATTAAGCTACAAATAAGTAGCTTTACTGGTACCTCCCTGGTGCGCGCTGGAAATTTTCGATAAAATTTTGGGCGGGGGGTGAGCCACAACAGGCCGTTGGACTTCAGAGTCAGGTCAGGTCTGGACATGCAGTGGACAGTGGACGGGGCAATAGTGTGCATGCGTAGGTACGTACATGGCCATGATCTACTGTAGATACTTGGTTGCATGCAGTTGACGATTAAACCAAAATAACAAGCTATGTAGAAGCTATGTACATACGACGCCATCGAAGCTTTTCCAGCGTACATACATGATACTAGTGTCAAGAAACACCTATGACCAACACGCTTGAGACAACAGCTATGTGCCTAGGTAGTTAGAAAATGCGCTTGTATTTATTTATGTATGTGCGGGATAACATTCATCCATCCCCCGAATATCAACCGCTCAGCAGTAGTTCCGGCTCATTACTTCGTAACCCACCACTTGAAACAAAACAAAAGCCCGATACGTCTGGAAGAAGGGTGAAGCCCGACAGCTCCCTTCTCCCGACGGCCGATTAGACGGTATAGCGGAAGAACTACCGCCTGCGTTAGCCGACCCACCCTGCGCTGCCCCATTGGGTATAAACTCACCGACGCATAATCACCCCTACCCCTCTCCTCCTCCATCTCGTGCTCTGTGAGGCCTTCCACGGACCTATTATTTTCCCGCATGACCGCATCCCTCCGCCTATTCTCTCGTCTAAGGTAGACACTCAAGCACGCGGACCCCGCGGCACTCAGGAGACACGTCCCAACGAGCAGCGCATGCCCAGAGACATACCTAGGCGCGTCGGTGTATCGATACGAGAACGCCGCGACCACGCCGCCGAGGTTTCCAAAGCCGACCTGCATGGCGATGGCGACGCCGCGCTTCGTCGACCCGCCGATATTGTTACCCGTCCATGCCGTGATCATGGGGATGCACGGGTAGACGCCGCAGGCGGCGAAGAAGGTGCCGCAGTATTGGATCTGCGGGCGCGGTGAGGAGAGGAGGAAAAGGAAGCCGATGGAGCCGAGAACGCTGCTGAGCGCCATGCATACCCCCCGCTGTCGGTGCAGGTCCGCGAGATACCCGATCCCAATCGTGAACATGCAGGCCACGATGTAGGGCGGCACGGTCATTAGCTGCGAGGTGCTGTCCGTGTACCCCATGTTCTTGACGATGGTCGGGAGGAAGAGCGAGAAGGAGTAGAGAGGTGTGTAGACGCCTAGGGAGCGGAAAGTTAGATGGGAGGTTAGGGGTGAGATTTAGGTAGGGGAGTATGTACCAATGGCGATGACCATGTACACGTATATCTTCCAGTCCTTGACGGCATCGAAGAAGTACCGGAGATCGAACTCGTCGGCCAGGGACGAGCGATCAGCCTTCAGCCGTCTCTGGACCTCGGCCTTCTCGTCCGATGTCAAGAACTTTGCGCTGCATCGAAGCGGTATGTTAGCACAAATGGTTCCATCCATCCAACCACAACAAGCCGCCGCGGTGGGCCGAGTGATACTAACGTCTGCGGATAGTCGTTGATCATGAAGTAAGCCACAGCGGCGGCAATGATGGTCGCCAGACCCTCGAGGATAAAGATCCACGCCCAGCCGTTCAATCCGCCGAGGCCATCCATCTCCACGATACCGCGTGCCAGCAGCCCACCAAAGGCACCTGCCATCGTAGCGGCGGAGAAGAAGAGTGCCATGCGAAGCCCACACTCATGGCGCGCATACCACAGCGTGATGTAGAACGTTACGCCGGGGAAAAGGCCTCCCTCGGCAAAGCCTAGGGCCATGCGCGAGATGAGAAGACCTTTGTAGTTCTTGACGAGGCCCATCAGGGTCATACCTAGATCGATAGTCAGTGGAGGAGGCTTTCCGGACAAGGGACTGCCGAAACTTACAGACTCCCCAGGCGATCATGATAATGCTTATCCATAAAGATGGCCGCGTCCGCTTCATCATCATGTTGGAGGGCACCTCCGCAAGCACGTAGAACGGAAAGAAGACCGCCAGTGCGATCTGCGAGAAAAAATGGCTATGTATCAGTATTGATCGTGTACGTACGTACGTGGGGAGGGGGGGCTTTCGACATACGTTATACTCCAGTCCATGCATACCCAGGTCCTTCTCGAGACCAGCCAGGCGGGCGTTGCCGATATTGGAGCGATCCAAGAACGAAAGTCTAAATCATCGCAAGGGTTATCATGAAAAAATTCGCGAAACGACGAGGGAGGGGGGGCCGCGAAAACTTGCAGGTATAGAAGGGCCAAGAATGGGACAATGTTCCAGTCCATTTTCCGGATCAGCTTTTTGGTTGCTTCTGGTGAGAAGCCGCGACGTCGGCTTGCGCTCTCGAGCTCTACGTCTTGAACGTGCGAGATGGTTATCACCATCTTCTCGAGCTCGAGGCCATCCGAGGTGAAGGTCGTCATGTGGGACGTCATCTTGAGGAACCGTGATGAAGGGTTACAATCGTACTGGGGGTTTCCGGAGTTGCTGGTAATGGTGTTCCAGACACCGAGAGGGCGAATAAACGAGGGAAAGCTGGGGGTATAACGAAGGACCACGAATAAGAAGAAGAAGAAGACGGAGAGAGGTGCTGAATCCAGGATACAATTCCGGCAGGTAGAGGATAGATGGTCGGTCCTTTATACTGAGCCTGGCCGGCCGTCGAAAGCGTTGCCTCCTGGCAGCTTTAGCCAGCCCATGTGTTCTCGCGATCGATGCAAGCCATGATCATTCGCATCAAAAGCCATAGACCACGTAGAAGCGAGGTTTCAGGATCCTAAACCGATCTCGAGGCCCTAGCCCGAGCAATTTAATTCCCCCGCCTTTTCCAGGAACATCGTGAAACGGCGGCAAAGAGGGGGATGGGCGGGGCGGTAGTACATACGCCCGTGCATCCTACAGGTAATCTGGCGCGATATTCCTCCGTCAGTACGGGGAGCTGGAGGCGGATCATACAAGCAATACTGGGAATGGATGGACGATTTCCCAATGTACTGAATCATATCGATCTGACTGCTTTTCCCCACAGCTATGTCGTAATTGTACATGAGAGGAAGAGCCTACTATAGAGGACAAGCCGTACCACCAGATCATAGCTCTTTCACTCTAATTCCCCGGAGTCTGTCGGTCCGATATATTTGTTACCTAGTGCCTCAGATATGCTTTGCAGCTTTTTCATCTGAGAGTCACGGCAAAGTCAGATTAAGATCATCTATTCAAGTTGAGGTCTTTGTGAAGGCAGATCTTTTAATGATAGTGTATTGGCTATGTGCTACTCTGCCTGGTATAGTGGGCAGAAGTGGCGGGCTATCACAAACGCGTCTCCTGCATACCAATATCAGGGCCTGGTAGCCAGATGGAGAGGAAGCTGAGTCCAAAGACACTGGCAGGACTCAGAGGTGGAAAATATCGTAGATATCTCGTGCTTACTCCCCGCAGCGGCCGCTGACCTACGCCTGCCCACAATCATATATATTGATGACTGGTGAACGGTATCCTACCTACATGCGACCAATTAGCCACACCATTTTACCGAGGCACTCACCCAAGCTCCTGAAATCCCCCCAAAGAGGCAGCCGGAGCGCCCCATAGGCCACCGCTCGCGGCTCCTCCCCCAATATATGAAAGGTTAAGGTCCCAAGAAGAAAAACACCTAGATCTCCGGCTTCAACCCATACCGGCGGTCCGTTACCATGGGTTTAGCACTGCCAAACACCCGTTCAACCTCTGCGAACATAGCATCTATGCTTAAGATTTCTAATGCCATTACAGACAGACGAGGGTAATGAACTCGCTACTTCTTCCAAAATACCACCAAAATTCCGTGTATCAGACTCCCGAGGCTGTTGATTCCATCGTTCGTACTCGCAAGTCAATTTCAGCGATGTTTCCGTTTTTGCAGAGGCCCCTGACCGTCTTGATACCCGGGTGCTAGTAGATTTTCCAGCCGAACCAGCGAGTCCCAATGGAGGTAGTTGAATAGGAGCTGCTGTTGCTCGAGCCAGCTGAAGGGTTATGTCGGAGGTGATTTGTTGGGGGAGGTGACCTTGTTTCGAGAGATAACTTAGTTGCGGACGATGATTCTGTTGTGGTTGTTGTTGTTGTTGTTGGGATATCTACAAGAGGTGGCCGTGCCGGATCACCCTCGACGACACTAGCAGTGAGACGCATCATTGGATTTCACTCGCGACAGCCCACCAGCCCGGGCTGGGCTACACGCACCGGGCTGCGGGCTGGCTTTGTTTGGGCTGGGCTGTTGCCTGCACTGTATGCAACAGGTCGTCATAGTTAGTCTACACTGGCCGTATGCGACAGTAGATTGATGTCCTCTCTAGATCTTCCAGCATGCAATATTTCTCTTTGACTCGTTTGAATCTGCTAATATATTAACGGCTTTCGCAGGGCTTTGGGGGGGTGGAAAGACTTCCGCATGGCAGACACCTGGTCTCCTCGGCTGGCTACTAGTTGGTAGGCAGCCGTCATTCGCCAAAACGAAGATGGAATCGGAACAAACACGGTAACTAAAAAACGATGAGACATTGGGACATGGTACTTGACAGGTCGCTTCAGTAATCTTTGACGCCGGGGGGGGGGGGGGGGGGGGGGGGGGGGCAACTTCACAAGTTCCGGGGGGACAGAGTCGTACCAGGTACTTGAATGAATGCCGAGCCGAGGATATGTAGGACTCATGTCGTCCGTATAGTTATCTACTCTATTCCCCTGATGACTGGCGATAAACACATTCTAAATTCTAACGACTTTGCGTAGATTTCCTCACTGCACACCCGTAGCCATAGCTGGCTGCTGGGCGGCTTCGGAGTTTCGCGGACACTCCTCTGCACCCCAACAGCGACTACCTACCTACATCGTACTCGTATGTAGCTGCGGTCTCGAGTTTTTCAGTCCTACCAACAACTTGCAAGAGAGGAATGGATTATTAATATACCCAGCCGGAAAGTGGAGCGTCCATGCCATGATGTCTCGTGCCCTTCCATGCCGGGCCCACTGAGCCTTGCAGCTCGATTTACACCTCTACACCATATGGCATCGCATCTGTGACCTGCCTCCAGAGAGAAGGGGCCTAGTCTCGCTTATGGGGATGCACCCTGTCAGGATCTCTGGCCAAGAGACGCCCAGCTCCGTTGGATACCTCCCTACCAACCACTCCGAGTCTAGTGATTGGCTTGGTTGGAAACAAGCTTTTTTATCCAACTACTGGGCAATCGGCGAGTGTATCGATACGGTACATACGGTGCGGAACTGCTCCGAGCATGCGGACATACCTCCGTGGAGATATGGCCATCGGAGTATAAAGCTGCGGACCTGCGGCGCGATTCTGGTCTCCTCGAAAAAAACGCACTTTCGATTCAGCATGTTTGCTATCGTTGAAAGGACAGGGGGGAGGGGAAGAAATCGCCACCACCACCGCACCCTATCGATGGATTGCCGTTCCTACCCCCGGGCACCCCCACATGGACACATGGGCACATGACGGATGCATAGGGGTTATGCGGCGCCAGAGGCGGCGGCGCAGACTCTGGCATGTTTGTTTATTATCTGGTTATCTAGAATCGAGAGTTTGGCTGGACGAGGAAGAACTAGGGTCTGTCTATAGGTAGGCACTCTCAGCTCTGGGTGGCATGATTCGATGAATCATACATAACTACATGCAAACTACAACCGAAGACAGCCGAAGGATGGCTATTTACTTTGCGATGAGATCATGAGAAAGAACCGGGGATCCGGGGGTACAGATCAGTGGACTCAGGGCGTAGGTACTTGAACACCATTGCGCAGAAAACATGCGAATTGATGGGCGTCATGGGTTTTCTGAGGAGTTTGAACTCCGGCCGCTTTCAGGTTAGTGGGGAGAGGGGGGGTTGGAATACGCAGGCGGCGTTGAGCCACGGGGGCAAATTTTGAAATTCTGTTTCTTGCTGTTATCGTTTACACATGTGCGTTCGAAACGAATGCCCCTTTTTCTTTTCTTTTCTTTTCTTTTGAGTGACAAACTGTGCGAAAAGGCACTATCGTGTCTCACCTCAGCTACCTATTCATCTGCTTCCGTGGACGAAGCACACATTGGCGTTACCTCTTATGTATGCTTGGAATGCCACAATCTATCTACAGAAATTCTGATTGCCCACTATCTGGACTTTTAGTACTATGTAAGCTGGCCCTTCAGCTTCTCACCATACCATCCATTCACACGATCGCACTCGGACACACACACATGAGCCCACGTCCGTAGCCGCGGCTTCGCGTGTCGGCCGCAGGTCGCATCACATTCGCTGCGGTTTACCGATGGCGTCCGTCGAGGTTTCCGTTGTCCGCCGGTGGGGCTCGGGCTCAGAGCGAGCCCGTTGCACATGCATGCATGCAAGCAACCCCACACAGGCAATGGTTAGATGTAGTGGGGGAGGGGGAGGTTGCGTTTGATTTCTCTCGATCCGCACCGCTCTGGAGACCGTAAACGCTGCGCATGACCCTCCCCCGTATAGGACACTCGAGATCGAAATTGGATAGTGTACTTCTCTCTCGCGGGCAGGCGAGACGCCGATTAGCGAGTCTCGCGGCGGTGGCTCTCTTTGGTGTGGACGTCGTGATCTACTTAGGTCTATAGACACGTCAATAAAATGATTCCCCCCCACTCAAGATCGAGATCGAGATTGGGTGGCGGACCGATGTATGTAGGTGCTCATCGTCGATATGACCTCTATGAAAACCACAGAGTGATAGAGTGATATCGAAAGCATTCCTTCCGGATCACGACGGATACGCCATAAACAGCACGCGATGTCCCTTCGCCCCCAGTGACTCGATGGACACCCGGACCTGTTTGGTGTGGGGAATCCATCCACGCATCCACATCTAATAGGTAGTAATAATAATACAAAATGCACACTACTAGTACAGGAATACACCTTGCCGCTCCCCAACAGCCCGCATTCCTCCCGTTCGTATATACAACCAACCACTACCCACCTCCTAGGCAAGCGAAAGTGTGACATCGTCGACGAGAAGCTCCGCTGAGTCGGCGGCATCCATACAGCTAACCGTTACAGCCAGCACCGCCTCGTCCGTCGTTGGTATGTACGTTCCCACCGCTATGGATCGCACCCAGCCAGTCTGCACGCCGGGGATGACGACCGCGAACGCCATCCCATCCAGCGAGAGCACAGCCGTGCACCCCGACGCTGCCACTGCACCCGACTTCTGCACCCAAAACGAAAATGTGTACTCCGTGCCGCGACACACCGATATTGTCTGCGATATTGTAGCGCTAGCGGGAGCGCGGCTGGCCCGTACGGATATGTAGCCGGCGCCGGTGCGCGCGACTGCGGCGGATGTTGATACGGAGATGGTTGCGTTTGCGGAGTCGGAAGATGTCCATGGAGAGAGCCCGGTTTCGAATCCGCCGTTCGCGACGGCTGATGGCTGCTTGCATGCCGCCGGTGCAGGGGTATCCGCGATGATCCCACCGGGGCCGTCAGCGGCAAGAGAGGCTGTCGCGGCACGGGGAACTGGTGCGGTGATGGTTATAGCGGTGACATAGTCGGGCACGGGGACGGTAGTTGGGCCATATCGGTTCGCCGGCGGGGTGCGAGTGATACTATGGGAATCCATCAGCGCTAACTCGCTGTGAGCATGTACCAATCATTGCCGCCTAGAGTATAGAGCGGTGGGCTGGCCATGAGGAAGAGAGAGGGATTACGTTTCCTACCACGAAGTTTTAGCAATGTACTATAGTTACGCACGAGAGGTATCTGCGGGCACACGTACAGTATTCGTAGTGGTTCGGGCCCGCAAATAATGCTGCTGGTCGTAATACCCCTGACCAGGAGCGGCAACGACGACGCCTGCCGCAGCCGCCGCGAGTAGTATTGTAAATGAGAACTGCATTTCGAAATCCGCAGGGTTGCTACCGTAGAAGGAAGGAAAAACGAGGGCGAAGATCACGGTGTGCGGGGCAGCAATACTATCGAAAAAGCGTGCAAGAGACCGCCAGCGCCTACATATAAGTACCGTAATCACTCACTCACTTGTAGCTATGACTGCCCCTTTCCTTGCGATAACTAGGGTTTTCAGTTATCCCAGGCGACGAGTGCAACACAGCGAATCGGCACGACGAGGAAGCGGAATGAAAGAGGCGAAAGCCCTGCGCTAAATTGCCGAAGAGCAGACTCAGCGGAGGTCTTAATAATACCCGCACATATGGGTACATACCCCCCACTGTCATGCAGGTCCCAGGACCTCCGTCGGCGCCACGCTAGGAAATACAACATGTATGTAGGCATCCAACGTGTTGGCAATATAGCGTAACAGAAACGCGGCGAGGACTGATCAATTAGCTATTCTGGCAAAACCGACGAGTGTTCCACCGTGAGTCAATAGGTATTCAAGGTACGATGCAAGACCGCCCGATAGATCATCCTGCAAAAAAATCCCAGCATTCCTCGCTGTGCATAGAGTAGGTAGGTACACCAGTAGATGTTGTTCTCCTTCGCACGTCATCCGTTGCGGTACCTTACCAATGCGTTGGGTACATCGTATGTATGTAGGTACACTCTGTGTACCTCGTGGACCCTGTGTCGCATGGGGGTTTCGCTTCGTCTATTTACATAGTAGGTATCGAGTCCGTATGTAATACATACGGTAGGCACCTACGCAGCCACTCTGCTCGTGGAGGATCGTTCTATACGATCAATACGAGAATAATTTGCCACTGCGCCGCACACTGTAGTAATCCGCCAAAGCGAATACAGTACCACAAGGCTAGCAAGTTGGTAACTGGGCCTGGACAGTACTGGAGAGGCTGAGTGGACCTTCAATCGCTGGCGCAAGGATAGTCTGCCGGGACCAGGTACTGCGTAAGGCCAAGGGGTAAGAGGGGGAGCGGGAGCGGGAGCGGAGGAAGAGGGTCATGTGGAGCTGAACTTCGGGTCTTGCGCGCTGCCGGTGGCCTGATCGTTACCCAGGCAGGTACATGCCGGTATATAAGTGGTTCCTTCAACCCAAAAGCATTGAGCATTGGGCCCGTTAAAGTTTTGCCTCATGCCCGTTTTGCCTCAGGCCCGGCCAGGCCAGGCCGAAGCCATCAGTTCGTCTAGAGGGAGAGAAGAGGACCACCCGAAATCCGTGATCCGTCTCTTTGGTCGACAGAGTGCACGGCCCACTCAGGCCGGCCACTAGTACCCGCTGTGGATGCTTACGTTACGTTACGGTTACGAGAGAGCGATCCGAGCCTGACTATTATTGGCATAGCCCGGACTCTAGAGGCAAAGCCTAATCGGAATGGACGCCTGCCATTTGACTGTGCGACAAACCCACGCGAAAAACGCCATCCGTCGCACGAATAAAAGCGAAAGCAAAAGCTTGTTGAATAAAAGCAAAAGCAAAGAAAGCTTGTTGAATAAAAGCGAAAGCAAAAGCTTGTTGAATAAAAGCAAAAGCAAAGAAAGCTTGTTGAATAAAAGCGAAAGCAAAATGAGAAGCTCCCACCCCGATTTGAACGAGGGACCTGTCGATCTGCAATCGACCGCTCTAACCCCTGAGCTACGAGAGCCGCTTATCTGTGCCGTGAACCGCAGGATTTATGACCGGCTCTCGGCCTGGACAGCTGATTACTATTACTAGTATGCTCCATCTGATTCCCAGGGCTCGCCGCAGCCGTGCGACACTTCGGCAGCGAATATCCGATCGGTCGTTGTTTGGAAGAGCTATCTGTGGGGCGTCTACTATGAACGGTTTCACGAGTTGCAAGGGTAGCACGGCATCTGTAGGATTGGGCAGTCCACTCCGTCGACAATACTGGCGACCGGATCCGCAGTGACTCTCGCATATCCGAGAAAAAAGCCTCCGATGGATGGCTCCGGTGTTGGCACATTCGGCTGGGAATAAAGGCATCCAAACATTCCGGCACGCTCGGAGTCCCTGGAAACCGCTTCACGAGGAGGTCCGGACTCCGGATGCCTACCTAGCCACATCGTTTTTTTTACTCGTGCACACATATCTACTCTGCAGCGAAGCTTCACGTCCGGAATGATTATGATCAGAGGATAGGTATCAACCAAGTTCTATTCTGCGAAAAAGATTGCCCAAACTAGCCCAAAACGCTAAAACAACAGAATCCAAACAAACGCCCAAGCTTGTGCAATTTAAGCACCGTACACCTTGACGCGGTCCTCGATGGGGTTGAAGGTCTTCTCTCCGGGCACAGCGGTGGGAGTTCCAAAGACGAGCTGCGACTCCAGGAGCCAGCTCTCGGGGACGTTCCACTCCTCACGGACCTTCTCGTCGATGATGGGGGAGTAGTGCTATACGGACATCAGCAATAGCTCGTGGAACATACATAGTAGCAGGAGGGGGGGGGGGGGGGGGGTAACATACCTGGAGGTTAGCACCGAAGCCCTCGGCCTCGAGCGCGGTCCACGCGACGTACTGGTTCATTCCCGAAGCGTGCTCGGAGAAGATGGGGAACTTGTCGGCGTAGATGGGGAAAGCGTCCTGCATGGCCTTGACACCGGTCTGGTCCTCGAACCAGAGAACGGTGCCGTAGGCGGCCTTGAACATGTTGAGCTTTCCCTCAGTGGCGGGGAAGGCATCGGCGGGGACGATCGGGCGCAGGCACTCGATCGTGATGTCCCACAGCTTCTGATGCTCCTTTCCGAGGAGAACGATGGCGCGGGCGGTCTGCGAGTTGAAGCTAGAGGGTACGTGTGAGTCGGGGATATGTACTTGCGGAGTTGTGGAGACGGGAGAGAGGAGAGAGATGCGTACCTGCTGGGAACGTGCTTCACGGTCTCCTGGATGATCTCGACGATTTTGGAGTCGGCGATCGGGGACTTGGCCTCAAGGGCGTAGTGACTGCGGCGGTGCTTGACGGCCTCGAGGAAGGTAGCGGCGGAGAGAGTCATGTTTGCGGGTTTGGTTGAGAAGAAACGGCTGGTGATTGTGGTGGGGTTGAAGGTGCGAGGAAGTGTTGATCTGATGGAAGTGGACTTGAGTGTGTTGAAGATGATGGCAGAAAACATGAATGGGACTACGAGGAGAAGGCCGGTTATAAAGGCGATTGGGATCTTGGACAGCATTCCGAATAATAGAGGGTTTTCAGGTGGCGCTACGACACAATTCCATCCATGCGATCCGGCGATCTCTCAGATCCGAAGTTCACCCAGGTGGGGTTTTCCTTGAGGTTGAGATTCTACTACTAGTGGATTCCATCATCCGAGCTAGGTACGTGTGGCGGCTGGCGCAAACGGTTGATTGCCAGAAATGGAAGTTTGGTAGTTAGTGCCACGTGCGATGCTCAATAATTCCTGCTTATGGCTGCTTGCAAATCAAGGTGTTGGGTTGAGCACTCACCGGAACCACCCCGCTGGGCGTACCACGTGACGCTCGGATAGCAGAATTTTTTTATTTCCGGGAGGGAAGCGACAGGCAGTGCGTTCAGGAACTTTTCTTATTTTTGCACTAGTTAGGACCAATCACAGTGATTCTGTTCCCTGCAGATGCCAGGAACCCGTCCATTTTGTCCGTCAATATATTATTACTCCGAATGCTTATTCACCAAGCTGATGGGGATCCGGAGTAGCGAGTTCATGGTGCATGGTGGGTGAGCTCAGCTTTACAAATTGCATGCGCAGCAGAGTCGCGCTCGATCCAGCCAGCGGCTACATAGGCGGAGTACAGATTGCGGATGTACGCACACTTCTCCACATACATGCGGATGTCTCGAACGGGCGTGCGTGCGTGCGCCTTCTCCGGTGCAACGCGCATGGAATACTCTGGATAACTCTCATGCCTGAAACGTGGCTCCCGGCTCGGGACGGATGCCGAACAAGCGTACCGAATCTTGGATTGTGCAGGCCGTGAGGCTTGAGCCGCCAGAGCTGCCGTATCCATTCTTACATAACTACCACTAATCATGGCTCTGCCCCCACTCGGTCATGTGCTTTCGAAGGTTTGCCCGTCCCAGTGGAACGGGTTCAAGAGGTTTTGATTATCATTCAGAGAACGCAACCTCGCCGGAACGCCGGGTACGTTGGAACTGTGCGACTTATATGCGGGGTGGTCAGCTTGCAGGCGCTCACGATGTATTTATGGAGACGATATGGCATACATACGGACATCACGCTCGTGGCAATAGCAATATCTACCCCCATCACTCGTGTGATTATACACAGAATAAGGGACCGTCACCAAATAGCACTCATGCATGATGTGTTTTTTCGACTTCAGCATCGTGAGTCTTCCAAGCCGGTTCAATGAGTAAATAAAAAAAACAAAGTGTTCCAAGCCGGCTCTCCGAATTATGCATACCAATATTCTAGCGAAATCTCCGGCGATGTGGGTTGATCATGAGACGAGAGGGAGCCCCCTCCCCACAACTTCCTCACAGAAGGTACATATATCGGCCTCGAAACGACACGTTTTTGCAGACGATGCTTCTCGCCGCTCCCCGCACGCAACACAGTTTCCAGCCAAGTCTTCGTATGTATGTGTGTACACACCGCTGGTTACCCACGTGAGCGTCGCGGACACGTCCATGTTACTCGTCTCGATCGCGCCTACTCACACTCGAACACACCGCTGCTGGTCGAGCTGAACACCTCCGTTGCGCCAATAAAAACCCGTGGCGATGCCATTTTTCCCAGCACCCCCTCCTCCTCTTCCTCCTCCTCCCCATCCTCTACCGACCTGGTACTGATTTCACGTCCTGCGTAATGTCACCACTTAACCCCGGCTACCGATGGCGCTGCTCCAAGTGCAAGATCGCCACGAGCGGTGGCACCGATAGGTGTCGTGAATGTGGACACCAGCGTTGCGAACTGTGTGGTATCAAGCATCTGGGGCTGTGGTTGAAGATGCGAGGCATCATGTGGTTGGCTGGATTGAAGCCTGCTAATCGTGGCCCCGACCCGGGCCCCCGACCCGGGCAGCAAGCGTGATAAGCACGAGTAGGGGTCGTGGTGAGAATTAATAGCAGGATTACTTCAAAAATTCTAGTTACGTGGCAGTTGACCGAATGGAAAAATAATGTGCGAGCTATTTACATGACCAAAACAAACAGAAGGAAAGGGTATTATGTGTGTGTATGTACTGGCCAACCCTCAACGCCGACGCCACCCATGGACATAGTAAATCCCCTACTTCCTCTCCTCCTCCTCTTTACACGTTCCGATGACATCTACGACCTCGTCAAACACCCTCTTCTTCGCATCGATGGCCCAGATGACATCGAGGTGCTCATACTCTTCGAGTACACTCTTCCACACGAGATCGACTTCCGGCTCCCTCCCCTCCTCGAATCTCCTCACCAGTTTCCTGCCGTCAACCAAATCATCTGCTCCGGTAACCCACAGCGCCAGCTTCGGAAAGCGATTATCGAACCATGCGCCGCCACCCCTCTCGGGACTCTCCGCCAACTCCTTCTCACCATCGCTTCCCCGCGTTTCCAACTCCCCCGCAGAGTGCGTGCTTAGGATGCACCTGTGCTTCGCAAAACACTCTCTCCCCAGCCACCATCTCATCGCCTCCGCACTGACATACACCGGCGCGAACTGAAAGAACCTAGCACGCAGCCCACGATCCCACCTCAAATCACTCCATCCAAACAAGAACCAAAAAACGCGGTACCCCAGCTCCCCATAGAACTTTGCGGGGACGATTCTATGCATCAGGAGCATGAACGGGATGAATGCGTGGATTCCGAAGACGATCCGGAACGCGGACGGCGGGATCAGCTTCATGAATTTGAAGTAGAACTTGTTGATCAGCGGACCGGCGTAAACTGCCGGCGCGAGGGCGCAGAAAACGCTGATTTTTTCGCCGAGGTCGGGCCGCTGCTGTTTTGCGAGGGCGACGAAGGTCTGCGTGGTGCCTTGACTGTGCGCGACGAGCGCAACCTTGGGGTATCCCGTAAGCGAGAGGATCGGGAAAATGAAGGCTGGCAGGTCGAGAATGCCCATTTGTCGGATGTTCCAAGCCCACATGCGCGGATCGCTGTAGTGGAGCACTGTGTGTCTGGGATTGAAGCCGCAACGGTTGTTGCCTAGGAATACGTCGTAGCCACTAGAATGGTCAGTCTCGTATTGTACAAGAGGAAGATGGACTGTAACTACACACCTGCGGACGAGATGAAACGCGAGCGAGTCTTCGTCGTTGACGCAGTAAGCGCCAGCACTCTGCAGTAGCCCATGGATGAGCAACACTGGGTACCGAGTGCCACCTGACTTTCCGTTGGGCCGCTTCCCCGTCTCCCTTGGTAGTCGAGTCCTTGTATGTTCTTTGGCTTCATCCTCATCCTCGTTCTTCTCGCCATCCTGAACCTCGGGAGGATAATAAGGCAGATTCTGCGGATCAAAAACATGCCACAGATCCAGCAAAAAACCATCCTCCGTCTCGACCGTCAACAGCTCGGCATCGAGGCCGACTCGCTGGGCGTAATACGCAATATCGCACTTGAGCTCATCGGGCTGCCCATTCCTTTCCCTCTCCAATTTTCTCTCCATCTCGATATCTCTGAACAACCTTCCTTGATCCGGATCCTCCAGAGTAACGCGCTTCCACCTCCTCAGCAGAAACTCCGGCAGCGACTCCGCGATCGCGCCCATCACCACCACCCCCAGAAACGACAGGCTGAGTATCCCACTGGTGACCCTGAACACCGCGCACTGCAGCCTCCTGAGCGGCGTCGCCGGACCGTAAACCGGCACGGGAGGGAACAGCGGATCCGTGAATGCGGGCGCCATCTCGATTGTTGTGTTCCCACCCTCCTCCGCTTTCTTGTCCTCTGAGGAACAGGAAGGGGCGGGAGAAGCAACATTGCTTCTGAGCGCGTTGAGTTTTTTCGCCTCGGAGAGGGGGACGCCGGGGAGACGGTGGCCGTCCGCGGTCTCGATGACGGTGTCGTGGTGCGTTACGGACAGAGCTTTGAAGGCTGCGCCGGAGTCGCCGGGGAGGTGTTCGGTCCCCAAATCGGCCTCAATGTCTCGTTCTGTTTCTCGCCCGGCCATTGCTGCTGCTGCTGTGTGATGCGTGAGTGAGAAGCGATGGGGAGTACATTTGGAGCCTTCATATTGATCATGGATTCCGCCAACTGCTCTATTCGAACTCTTGGTAAAGGGAATTCGCGGTGGGATTGAGTGATGTCATTCCCGCAAATCCCTGTTTTGAATTGCAGCGCAGATCCCGGTATAACAGTAATCATGCACGGTGAGGACGAACCGGGAAGAAAGAAACGAATCACGGAGGTTGGATGTATGTAACCAAGGAAATATGCACTGTGATCGGCGGCTAACATGTGGATTGAGTGCTTGTGTGAAGATGATGCGTGTGTCGCTTCGGTGACAGCTTCATAGCCGAGTGCAACCACTGCCGTGTGTAACTAACGTCCGTTGCATGTCACCACCACCGCCGGTATGGCAATCGCACGATCCGACAATCCCCCAACTCACGAGCTTGAGGTAAGTACATCATAGTATGTACTATAGATACTCTAACAATCCATTCCACCCATCTCGTAATCCGTTGCAGCACTACACAAATCCCGAGAGCACCCGACAAAACCAAAAACAACCCCGAGATCCCAATGCGATCATCATAAACCAAAAAGGAAACGAAAAAAAGCCCATAATTTAAGTCAATCGCAATTTACATCTCGTTCTTCAGAACTGCACGGTACCGCAGCTTTCCGGCGTCGAGCTTATCGAACGCCTCGGTAATTCCCTCCTCGGTCATGGGAAACTCCTCGATCTGTGCTTGAATGTTGTGGCGTGCCGCGAACTCCAGCATGAGTTTGCTACGTAAAGTGTTAGCACTGGTTCTCGCTTACCAACGGGTTTGAAAAGGAGGGGAAACATACTGGACCCATCGTGACGCAACACTGCTGCCCATGAGCTTCAGTCCCTTCTGCAAGATATTCTCGTACGGAATCGTGATGTCTCCTTGCGCAACGGTTAGTGCGACAACGGTTCCGCCCTTCGCCATGGTGTCGAAGTACATCTTCCAGCTAGGGATGAAGCTAGTGGTGACGAGGAGGAAGTCGAGAGGGTGCTCGACATCCAGATGGGTCTTTCCCTTGGTGGCATAGAACTCGTTGGCACCGAGCTTCATGGCCTCATCGCGCTTGTCCTCGGTGCTGGAGAACACGACTACGCGGCATCCCATCTTCGCCGCGAACTGGATGGCCAAGTGACCGAGACCACCGATGCCGACGATTCCGACGGTGTGGGTGCCGTTGACGCCGTGTTCGTAGAGGGGGGAGAAGACGGTGGCACCGGCACACATCAGCGGCGCAGCGTTGGCGGGATTGAGGGCCGACGGGATAGCAAAGATGTAAGCCTCCTTCCAGATGGCCTGGGTGGACAGAGAGCCTTGGTCGACGGCGTGGTTGCCGAAAATCTTGGGGGTAGCGCAGTAGACTTCCCTTCCGGAGAGGCAGTTATGGCAGGAACCGCAGGTCTGTCCACCATCAGCCACTGCAATTCTGCCCACCAGGCGAATTGAGAACAAACTTCGTGGATGTATCCCCATCCAACAACATCACCCTTCGTGTACTTCTTCGCATTCTCTCCGCAAGCCTCAACGGTGCCGATACCTTCATGTCCGAGGACAATCCCGCTGCTTCGGAAGTGGCAGTCGGTGCCGCAAAGACCGGAGTGGGTGACACGGATCAGGACCTCATCTGCCTCCAACCTCTTCTCGGTGGTGCCGCGTTGGATCTTGCCGGTATTGTCGCCACGGAAGACGGTGAAATTGTGAGTGGCAACCATGATGTATTCGGGTATGATGATGTATTGGGGGCGCAGGTAGGAGGTAGGAGGTATTCGTTTTGGAACTTCGTGAGATCACAATATACCTGAGGGAAAAGCGAATACTTATATACCGCTACCACCACTCCGGGTGGAGATCCATAGGTAGGTATCCTGACATCACACCGCACCAATTATTTCTCCAAGCCCATACGCTAATTGAGTGTAATCAAATGTCAAAACCCCCCGGCCCGTTCACCTGGCCATATACTAACGAAAAGTATGGTAATCCGGTCCGCCTGCACTCCGGAGCCAAACCTCACAATAAGCAGCCTACATGAGCCCGATAATTCCCCCCAAATTCAGGTATCTTTACTCCCGAGTTGGCCATGAGGTACATATTGCTTACGGCGGTCTTTTACGGTTTCACCGCATTCGCTGTGGGGTACCTACTTTGTACCTGATTTCAACCTCCAGCACGGGACGAGCTTGGAACGGCGAGAACGCGAGCACAGCGAAGTAACCACCACCACCACGAATATATACGTCTTTTGGCTGCTCGATAAGTGCACACATAGGGTATCGTCCATCTCCAGACAAACCCCAAATCCGCTATGGTTGTTGCTATTGAATTGCAGGCATTGCAAGAATCCCAGCAGCAGGCCTTTTCTGATGCAACGTCCCGACGTCAGATTGCTCCTTGATGCCCTCAGAGAAGGTCAAGGCCCTGCTGACACTTTTTGATTCCCATGGAGAAAGCCTTGTCGACGCTCCTCGATGCCCTCGGAAAAGGTCCAGCCGGGCCTTTTTGTTGCCCTCGGAGAAGGCCGTTGACGATCCTCTTCAATACCCTCGGAGAATACCCCGCTGACCCTCCCTCATTGCTTAGAAAGCAAGATTGAATCGAGCCGACAGAGTTTGTCCATGCGACGGGAAGCGCGGAGGGTGGGGCGCGCAATGGCAGACGGGACCGGGGACCCGCGGCTCGGAATAACCCTTGCACATTTGGGATCCAAGGGTTCCGGATAGCTAGACCGGACAATCCGGAGATACGTGTCGCCGATAGCTTGCTGGTCCCGAATCTCATTGCGTGTTGAAATTTTCGAGTTAAGGAGGCATTGGGGTTCAAGGCGGCGGAGGGAGGAGGGAGGGAGGGAGGGAGGGAGGGAGGGAGGGAGGGAGGGAGTGATGGGTGCCATTGTAATACTGGAGTCACTGTTGAGCCTTCGGCCGTGAAAACGCTCCATGCCATTCACTGAGAAGACAAGGCTGAGCTCCGTGGAGAGCGCCACAACAGTTACTCCACATACCTCTTGCCAATATGTACGGCTCATCTTGCCGGAGTGCTCGGACCCAAGCAAACGTAAGTCCTTATGTCTAGCAGTCCCCAGCCTGAAGAGCGCGGATAATAATGTCGCCGTCACTGATCGGCTTCGATTTGCCGAGAAAATGAAGTGGAGTAGAGTAGGGCTGTCGGAGGAGCTTTGGCCACGCCGTCAGCACTACCAGGCACCGTAACTATGCCGCATCTCCGCTCCGCTGCCAAAATAAACACCGATACGTCCATCGCGCTGTCGCCATGTCACGCCTATATCATCGGCGCTAGGTACTTCAATCGCGTGGAAAATTTGCCGACGAGGAATCATCTAGAAGCCATACCTACGTGTGCTGGGAATCAAAGCGGCTTACATGTGCATTCCAGCACATTTCCATGACTAGAGTAGTAATGCTTATGGTGTTAGTACCAGGAGGGAGGCCTTTGGAGGTGTTAAGCGGCGGCTGTGCTGGCCAACTTATTTCGCCGGCTTCAGGTCGTTTCATGAGCTCATCACTCTAAATAATTGTATTCTGTGAAGTTCTTTGTTGTAGGATTCGGATCGTATTCATGCTACTCCAAGCATCCCAAGCATCCAGGAGTCGAACTGCGAAGCGAGTGAAAGACAGTGAGTCGCGGTGCAATGGTTTCTAGTGCGATGTAAAGCAGAAAGCAAAAAATGCGAATGATACTTTAGAAACCGCGGGATATAGAACAAAGTGCTAAAGTGCAACGCAACCATTGATATCTCATATAGAACAACGCAAGAAGACAAGACTCCGAACTCCACATAATAGTTCAAGGACAGATTGAAATATCCGCCTTCATTTCTTCCTCGTCCCTCTTGTAGCCGGCCTTTTGGTTGAGCCATCAAATTCCCCACTCCTAACCTTCCTCTTGACTGGCTTGATGTCCTCCTCTAAATCTGGCATCTCGTAGCCATTATCTTCCTTCGGCTTCTTCTTCTTATGGCTCTTTTTGGGCTGCGATTCATCGAGGTACGTCCGCCTCGACTCCGGCGGGGTGGGAAGATGCTCTATCTCCTGGAAGTCCGATTCATGCTCGAGCTCGGTTGGGTGTTGGAATGGGGGGTTCTCGTCGGTGGACTGCGAGTTTGGTATGACCGTGCGCTGCATTGAATCCTCGGCAGATCGTGGCGACTCCGAGACGTAGTGTGCGGTTTCGGGAAGAACATGGCGTTTGCGTTTAGCACTGGAAGACTTCCCGGCGCGCTCAAATATTGTGGCATCCTGCTTCAGCGTCTCTACCGTCTCCTCAATACCGTCGACCCTACTCAGCAATGCCCTTATTGTCTCTCCCAGAGCATCCTTCTCAACAACCGGCAGCTCCGCCTCTGCCTCACCCGCTAATCTTGCCACGGTCTCCCCGACCCCCAGCCCCGCCACCGCAGCAACCCTTTTTAGCATCCTCGCCAACTCCCCCACATTCTCGCTCAGCCCTACACACACACTCATGATGCTCTGCATCTGCTCGACAACCTCATCCGGATCCGGATGCAACACCCTCAGCACCCCCGCAAGCTCTACTGGTTGCGCAGCGGGCTCCAATGCGCCATGGTAGTATATTCCCACCTTTTCGGTATCGACTGTATACTGGTTCTGGAACTGTCCGAGCTCTGATGTGGTTGCGAGGTGCTTCTTGCCGAGGATGGTGTGGCATTTGTCGCAAGAGAGCGGGTGGAAGGTACAGTTTTCGTCCCATTCCCCCGGCGGAGAGAATTGTATCGGCAGGCTGGCGGAGACAGAAGTGAGGCGGGTGAATGTGAGAGTGAGCTGCTTGTGGTGGAGGAAGAGGAGCGTGGAGGAGTCGCCGATTATCCGTTCGCACGAGGCGCAAATGAAGGTTACTGTCGGAATTGGGTATCCCGATGGGGAGATCTCGGTACCAGCAAGAGTCGGGAGAGTGTGGAATACTTCTGGCGGGATGGAGGAGGAGAACATTGTGGTGGCGATGGCGGTGGTGGGTCGTGGTGGTGGATAGGGAAGTCGTGTCTGGGTTGTCGCTGTCGCGCGCCGGCTAGCTTACCCGGAAGGGTTGTGTCACGGGGGTTCGCTTGGCATAAGATGAAGTATGATATGATGATTGGAGCAGCCAGAAGGGCAGGGCTTCCCATTGATGAACTCCAGAGGCCATTGGAGAGGAAGGATGTAGGCTTCATCAGAGCTTTAAGACGGTCCTTCATCCCCATGGGTAGATCTGACAGCAGAGCAATGTCCCACCCGGTTACCAACCCAGCCCCCCATCCCCCGCCCTGCGAAACTGAAATTCCAAAGGAGCTGAATGCACATAGGATGGAGGTCGCGTAGAAGCGGTGCCGATGCATAGATCGTATTTCTATTCCGTATGGCTCGCGATCGACGATACACCATCCTTCCCCCGTCCACTCGCTTCCCCACTCCCCGTGCATCCCAGATTCCTCTTTCTCGGCTTTACTCCTTCTTGGGAACGTAATTGGTTTGCTCGAAGAGGTATCCCTTCACCTTGGAGTGCTTCAGTAGTTCCATGTACCTGTCTGCATCGCCCGGGCCCGTTACATCAGCATCATTCACCTCTCCATTCCCGCATCCTCCCATGCGCAACCTCCCATGCGCAACCCCCGCTCGATCCACCCCGCCCAGGAAGTCACTCACCCCGTAGACCCGCGCACTTCTCAAGGTGGTTGACACCCTCACGGTAGTAGCACTTTCCGAGCTCGGCACGGACAACACGGGCCATCATACTTTTGACCCATTGCTCGCGCAGGATAGCGTCCTGGGCGGCCTTGAGTGCTTTCGTGTCGTCGTAGTCGACGCCTTCGAATGTCGGCGGGACCGACGGCTTCTTGGCTAGGTATGCGGCGGACTCGGGGATCGGCATGGTAGCGTTTTGTATGTCTGAGACGATGTAAGTGACCGACTGTGGAGAGTTGGGAAGACAGGGAAGGCGTACAACGGTGGTGGTTGTGGTAACGGCGGTAGGTAGAGGTGTCGCTGGTGAGTGGTGATGCTCCGCTCAGTCGGAGTGAAGCAAGCAAGCCCCGTCGGTTGTCCGATTAGACTGTGGATGAGTAAGCAAGGGTGGGGCTGCAAGCGGGTCCTCGCTCACCACCAACCTATCGAGATCTCGAGACACGAGTAGCATTCTTCATCATATTACTCACGACTCGGCTCTATCTTAACAATGCCATACCCGCACGCACTCCCCACGACATCGCCTACCTCCTTCGCCCCGCACTACACCTCCCCAGTCTACCCGTCCTTACCGCTGCTCGTGACCCAACACCGCGGGACTGTACGCAACCTACTGAAAGCTCACAAGCGCTTGTCACCGTCGCAACAATCGACGCAGCTCCCACAGCTGCTTTCTGCACTCGAAGCCTATCTCCCGTATCTCCTCTTTTTACAGGCCTCCCTCCATAGCGGCGATGTCCTGCCTTCGGATTCTCCACGCCCGATCACCCCATCATGGCGAACAACCATAACCACCCCGCCATTCCCCGGTGCACCACCAAAGCGCTGCGAGCGCGAGGGCCTTGACTACGAGATCGCCTTCACCCTTTCAACACTCGGATATACACACACGCTCATTGCGCGATCACAATTACACGACGCACTATCACCCACACTTCCACCCGAGCAAAAACAGACGCTCCTTAACAGCGCCATACAGCACCTCTTGGCCTCCTCCGCGATATTCACACACTCACTCTCGCTCCCGCGGACTCCAGGCACAGACAGCACCTGGCCGGTGGACCTCGCTCCCTCGGTCCTGTCCTCCCTCGCCTCCCTCTCGCTATCCTCCGCCACACTCCTAGCAGTAACCAAAGCCGACCCTTACCCCAGCTATCTCCTCGCGTCATCCACCAAATCAACAGGTAGCGAATACCTCTACGCGCCGCCGCAAGCACCCACGGGCGTCAAAGCCCTGCTGTTATCACGGATCTGCATTGCCTCCAGCGCACACGCCGAGAAGGCGCTGGGACTGTTATCGACCTCGACCTCTCGCCGGAAGAAGCAAGACGACGAGGTGATCCCCGAGCTAGCAAAGTACTTAGATTCCCTCCACCGTGTAGCCCGAGCCAAGAGCTGCCGGTTTTTGGCGATTGATGCGGAGGCGTCGGGACGGGTTGGGGAGGCGATTGGATGGGCGGAGCTGGCACGGAGCATCCTCTCCGCTTCATCGTCGTCGTCGGCTACCTCGAAGATTAAGCGGGAACTCCTGGAGCGCCGGGAGAAGTCTGCGCTGGAGCGGGGGGATGCAAGCTGGGGTATGGATGCGGGACGGCTAGAGGAGACGAGGACTATTGAGGCCCTCGAAGAGAACTGGAGGAGGAGTAATGATGCGGTCTTTTTCCAGGAGGTGGTGGGGGTGAGCACGTTGGCCGCGAGGATACCTAGTGGACGAGAGGTACATAGTGTTAAGCCATGGGATGTGCCAACGCTTGATTCTACGGAGAAAAAGGCGTTGCTCGGGAGGGGAGTCGAAGGATTGGTGGAGGGAGTCGAAGGGCTGGGCTGGGGGGATAGTGATGATGAGGACGAGAAGGAGAGCTCAAGTGTTTCAACTAAGATTCTGGGGGGCTATTACTGATGCAAGCATTTGTTAGGTTACTTCTGTAATAAGTACAAATAATTGGAGAAAGTAATTCTTCTATATACACCGGGCTGTCCGGGCACCTTTCATAGGCTACAAAAATTAACCAAAAGAAGAAGCTCCCACCCCGATTTGAACGAGGGACCTGTCGATCTGCAATCGACCGCTCTAACCCCTGAGCTACGAGAGCCACCTATGCCTTGTTAAGGTCCTAGGTATTTCAATCCCATCTTCTCTGTGGTTGAACATGCATTCTGCCAACTCTTCCTGAAACTTGAAGAGTTGCGGCGGCCGCGATTAGGTTCCCACTTTCTGTATATTCATTGCCACACCAAGGATTCAGATTAACAGCTGGCGCAGCGTTACTTAAGTGTAAGTAGATTTATCTAATATTACTCGTCTTTTTCACTCCAATAACTATGCCTCCGGACAGTATATCGAGCACTAATGGTATCAGGTACCTACCTATTCAAGAGCGAAGACTCTGCTAATCGTACTATCACTCGGCCTACGAGTGATGACTAGGTACGCCCATGGGCAAAAACCCCAAGCCAACCCGACCCTCTGCAGGGCGAGGCAGGAAAGGCTAGTTCTGTGAGGCCAGCTGCTAGGTTCTTGGAGTGCTATTGGGTGATGGAGCACAAGCGGTCAGCACCGTACATCTCATTTCTTCATTCTGTTTCTAGGACCGAACATAGGAATCCTTTTCACTACTATAGCCAGCCTAGGAGCCGGTAGCCAGCGGTGAATTTCATGAAAAGCTGCTATTTCGAGGCCCGCCTCATCCACCAATATATATAAAGTTACAAACAGAACGAACCGCCAACTAACGATCAAGATCCTCCAATAACCAGCCGAAAACCCATACCCTTCGCCTGCCTAACCGCACACTCAAGACAGCACTCCCTCTGCAGCAACGCCGGCGGCTGGCGACAGCACAAAAATTGCGCCTCCGGAGCAAAACTTGTCATAGCCACACTAACCACCTTATTACCATCTCTGTGCGCCACCGGCGCCAGGACTGAAGTCGTCACCACTCCCAGCCTAGCCTCCCTATTCAACTCGGCCTTCCAATCATGCTCGCACGCGGCCGCATACGCCAGCCCCAGGAACCCCAGCTGCACATTCCAAAAACTGACCTCGACGGTCCTGCCGGCGCCCTGGATCGCCGTGCGCAGGAGGAGGTGGTCCGCCGTGCGCCGCAGGGACAAGGTCAGGCACTCGTGCGCGCCGATGCCGGAGGGGGTGAGGGGCGTAGCGGGCGGGATGATATCCGTCGGTGGTAGCGCGGGTGCGGCCCCGTCGCTGCCGTCGCCCTCGAGTGCGATCACGGTGGTGTAGCACGTGCTGCCGTATTGGAAGCAGCCCTCGGTCAGGATGTACTCGACGTTCGGCGTCTCGGGTAGGCGCGGCGAGATGAGCGTCGTGGGGAAGATCGTGCATGCTCCTGTGCCAGTGCCGATCATGCGTGTGCCCCCCGGCTGCTCAGAGGTGTCCCCCATCGGACCCTGGGCCCGAGTGGGCGCGACTAGGTGCAGTATCGCCCGGTGCAGCTGTGTGGTGCTGATGGAGAAGTGCACTTGGGAGCCGGGCCGGAGAGCGCCGGTGCCGGTGAAGCTCCGGGCGCCGTGGAAGGTGGCGTTGAAGGTTGCTAGCGAGTTTGGGCGGGCGGTCACGAATAACGCTGCGATCCCCGATTCGATCACTTTGAGGGATGTGTGAGTGAGCTTTTGGCGATCGCAATCGGGGCGGCAGTTGTTTGCAAGTGGGGATGTCTCGCAGTGCCCAAGGCGGCACGATGGCACGATGGCCTTGATATGCGTGAGGAGGGAGTCTAAGGGTACCTGCGGATCCTGCGTAGCGAAAGTTGGCTCGACGAGGAGGACTGCTTTGACTGCATCCCGGATTCGGTTCAGCGGGAACGGCCCAAGGAGCGTCTTTAGGCCGTGCAGCGGCAGGCTGTGCCGGTCTTCGATGTTGTCCGAGAGTTTGTCACCCTTCATTGTCGCCACCGCTGCGATCACGTTTGCACAGGCCTGCAGAATCTCGGTGGTACATACAAGTCCGCGTTCCATGAACAGGAGGTCCAAAAGGGTCGACAAGCAGCCTTCCCACGGAATCGAATATTTACACGTAGGTGTCAGGAACCTATCCGTGGCCACAATCTTGAGGAGATCGCCAGACGGGGCGATATTGATCACCGTCTCGATACCGAAAGTAGTCTGCTCACCCGCCCTGACCGAGAAGACTACCGCAGTCGTTTTTGTGGCCGCAGAACTCCTCGCACTCGCATGTCGTCCTTGGAAGATACTCATTCCCTCGACATGAATGGCCACATTATCCGGACACAGCGCCGTCACCAGCGCAATGAGATGTCCCACACTCGTACTTCCCTCGATCCTCAGTATCGTCGCATCATCCCTAAACGCCTCTGCCAGACACTGCAGAAACTCCGCCATAGTATCTTCGGTGGGGACATCCAGTAGATCGCGCGGCACCGCCACCGTAGCCAGGTGCAAATACGCCACGCGGATCTTCGTGACCTGTTCCGCCAGATGCCTTCCCCAGCCGAACGCGGCGATTTTATTCGCGAGCGTGGCAGCGACCCTTCCCAGGGCCCTGGGGCCAGCATTGGCCTCGTGGTGGTGGTCGGGAAGGATCCTAGCCGCGACATCGTACAGGACCTCACCGGCGATGTTTTCTGGGTAGAGTTCCCGCAGCGCTAGCGAGATGACGGCGGCGGCTTGCCCGCTACCGCTCTGCGACATCAGCGCCGCCGTGTCCCCCTTCTGCCAGCCGATGGTTGCCGCTAGCCGCTCCAGCCGGATGCTCGAGTGCCGCCGCAGGAGCTCGGGGAGGCGTGCGGCGAGCAAGCCGTTGAGCCGGAAACAGCTGCCGAGCAGCTGCGTTTTTAGGACCGCCCCCGGGTCGACTTCATCTGCTGATAAAGCCTTCAGGAAGGGCTGCAGTGTGCTCAGAAGGCCTAACGCTGCTGTGGGTATGTTGGAGATGTCGGCCTGGAGTGCTATATTCGCCGCCATTTTCGTCGGTTTGGATATCGGCGAGCCGACTGATGGCGGAGCTTCAACTGATGCCCGATGTGCAATACAGTACAGTGGAGATATACGCTGTCAGTGTCAGCATTGTACCCGGCGCCGGAACACTCAACTCACCACTTCACGGATGAGAGTAGACTCCTAAGGGCTAGGATATGACGATGTGCAAATATAGTTAATCCTCATGGTCTTTATGACAGCCAGTCTGCGACCCCGCTATCTGCGGCCCGGCCCTTGTCTGCAGCGGCGCAGCCGCCCATGTGGTGGTGCAGCGTGCTCACTGCTCACTAGCGGATCACAAATTCCTCCAGCATCTATAATTGGTACGCGCGCTTCAGCCTTCGAAGTTCGCACAGTGCTGACTCTGAATTCTGATTCCCGACGCCGCACTGCCGCAGGACAACAAAACAACAGAGCGACACGGGGTAATCGGACAGACACCAGACGACCTATCCGCAGCTCAGCCCAAAATCAAAAAAGTTATATCGACAACGACAAGATTCGAACTTGCGCGGGCGAACCCATATGATATCATCAACTGTGAAGGTATTCGAGTCATACTCCTTAACCACTCGGACACGTTGCCTTTTATGGTGGCATCTTCGTTTGGTGCACTATTTTGGTACTATTTTGTGACAGACGATTGTCGGTGGATGTGGTTATGGTTATGGGCAGGGGCGGTGTGGCGGAGCTACAGCCACAGTGGCGCGGTGGATGGAGGGCCGGTGGCGAGCGAGCGAGTGGGGCGTCTTGGTGGATGTTTCTTTTAGGTTCAGAAGCTTGTAAAAGAGACATCGTTGCGTATAGTCTCTGAGCATTACTTGGAAGGTATCTAGTGAAGGCACCCTGAATGATGAATGGGTTTGACGAGAGCTGGCGGGTGGCATAACGCACCTACTCTAGCCCACATCGCTCCTCTCACGGTGGTGGTGGCAGACAACATGGCAGCTCAGGAGTATCCCTACCATATTGCGGGTGCAGCTGATTCTTGGAACCGTGGTACCTATCCCTCACGGATGAACCTACTTAGGTACCTATTCTCAGCCAGCGCAAACAAACTTCCGAGCAGTAATACCTGTGTTTATGTTCTGAACTAAAGATTCATTTTCACGCGGGCAGGACAACTCCAACTCATACTGTGTCACTCGTGCATCGAGTGATGGAGTCAGACAAATTGCTTGCCAACTTCCGAGCTACTGTCACTACAACAATAAAATGTCGTGTAATACTTCGTACTCGTACGGTTCGAAGTAGGTACCACTTCAGACTCCAGTTTCCAGAGACTTTCACAAATCCACAATCGACCACTTCACTTCACTTCACAAGCGATCACATCACTTCACACGATCACTTCGCCTTCAACGTTCAACTTCAACTTCTTTCAATTGACTCTCTCCCCTTTCTCTTCCCCCCCCTCCTCTCCCCCTTTCTCCCCCATGATATACAGTCTGAGTATGTAGTAGGTATGATATGAGTAACTAAAAAAATAAACAAAAGAAAAAAAGGTACATGAGACCAAAACAATTATCGCTCCCCCCCTTGTATATGGCTGGTGTAAGTAAGAAAGATATGAGTGTGAATGAACGCAAGAAAGTAGATAAATAGGAAGATAAAGTAAAAAAAACACCCCCGTCATCAAAATCGTCAGTTAATGTATCTGGTATCATATCTCGTAAACTGGATTCGCCCCATCCGCCGTCCGCCAACTACCACCCGCCATCCTATCTCATCACTCATCCCCCAACCGTCCCCGTTCCATGCAAATGCTGAAAAACAAACAAATTGATAATGAACCCAAAAGAAAATGTAACCAAAAAAAGGAAGGCAAAAAAAAACGCCTCTAGACACCTCGCTTCCCAAAAACGAAACAATCAAAAAGTGAAAGAGAGAGAAAATAAATAACTGAAAATAACTGAAAAAGAAAAATGCGACAATCTAAGCTAAACAACTACCTTTCCCTTGCCCTTGTCGAGCTTCTTCGTCGAGGAAGTGGAAACCTTGTCCTTAAGCTTGTCCTTAACGTTCGAGGCCCTGGATCCGAGACGGCGCAACATGTTGGGCTTCTTGTCCTTGACAGACGATGTTTGCGAAACCGGGGTTGCAGCACGGGGGACGACGAAGGCCTTCTCCTCAGCAGGCGGCGTAGCCACTGGCTCCGGCACAGCGGTAGGAGCGGCGGTAGGCTTACCCAGCATCTCCTGCGTGCCGTTCCTAGACTTGAAACGATGCAGAAGACTGGGCTTTTTCCCAAGTTTGATGGAATCCGCCTGTGGGATCGGTGTTTCAACGCGAGGAGCCGGAGTGGCCGCACGTGAAACCGGGGTGGCAGCGCGAGGAGCCGGAGTGACCGCACGGGGAGCTGGAGCAACCGCACGTGAAACCGGAGTGACAGCACGAGGAGCCGGAGTGACAGCACGGGGAGTCGGGGCGACAGCACGGGGAGTCGGGGCGACAGCGCGAGGAGCCGGGGTGACGGCACGAGGAGGAGCCGGAGTGACGGCACGAGGAGGAGCCGGAGTGACGGCACGAGGAGGAGCCGGAGTGACCGCACGAGGAGGAGCCGGAGTGATAGCGCGAGGAGCCGGGGTGACCGCACGAGGGATGACCGAAATCTTCTCCTGGACGGGGGCAGCGGAAGCGGCGACAACGTCATGCATGGAATGCCTCGAGAGGCGGTTCAGCATGTTCGGCTTCTCGCCCTCGCGCATGGAGGACGCTCTGGACCCAAGGCGACGCAGAACACTCGGCTTCTTCTCCTTGATGGGCTCGGCTTGCAGCACCGGAGTCGCAACGCGAGGAATAACCTCGACATCGTTATTGGCTTCGGGAACGATATGCCCGTTCTCGGCGGATGAAGCGATGGAAATCTTATCATCATCGTCAGATTCGGGGGTGATGGGCCTATCCGCGTAATCAAGAGTGTGGTCAGGCTTCTCCTCAGTGGGTGGCGGGGTAATAGCCTTCTGCTCGGCGGCGGGGGCGGGCGCAACAATCTCGTGGCTGGAAGCCCTCGACTTGAGGCGGTGCAACATGCTGGGCCTCTTCTCCTTCAGGGACTCTGGGGCCGGCGACGTAGCGCGAGGAATGACGGTGATCTTCTCCTCGGCCGAAGTAGGGGAAGCGGCGACGATGTCATGGATGGAAGCCCTAGACAGGCGATGCAGCACGTTTGGCCTGTCGCTCTCAGATCTGGAACCGAGGCGACGCAACATGTTCGGCTTCTTCTCCTTGACGGATTCGGGAGCCGGAGACGTAGCGCGGGCCGGGACACTGATCTTCTCCTCGACGGGAGCAGCGGAAGCCGCACTCTTGAGAATGTCGGAAGACGAAGCCCTAGACAGGCGATGCAGCACGTTCGGCCTGTCACTCTCAGATCTGGAACCGAGGCGACGCAGCATGTTCGGCTTCTTCTCCTTGACGGACTCGGGAGCCGGGGACGTAGCGCGGGCAGGGACACTGATCTTCCCCTCGACGGGAGCAGCGGAAGCCGCAATCTTGAGAATGTCGGAAGACGAAGCCCTAGACTTGAGCCGGCGCAGCAGGTTGGGCTTTTGCTCGTTGAGGGACTCCGCCTTCTGCACCACAATCCTGGGCACAGGGAGAGAATACTTCTCATCGACAGGGAGAGCGGCACCACCGTCGATCGAGACCGCGGAAGCCTTGGACTTGAGCCGGCGCAACATGTGTGGCCTCTCGACCTCGGGAGCTGAAGCACGCGACTTGAGACGGCGCATCATGTTCGGCAGCTTTTCCTTGACGGACTCTCCACGGCGAAGAGTTGGCATCTCGGACACGACTGGCTTCACCTCTTCGACCTCGACAATTTCGGTAACCCTTGACTCGTCCTCAACCTCCTCGAACTCACGGATTTCCCCAAAGAGTTGGCCGATGCCCTCTAGCTGATCGTCGGGCGAGTATACAACCAGACTGCGGATCTTGCGGCGATGGGGGCCCATTTCGTATTGCGGGCGCATGCGGCGACGACGCTCGATGCGGGGCGGGGTAACAATGACCCCACGCGTGGCAGGGAGAAGCTGGATGGTGCCGGGAATCTGGACGTCGTACTCCTCTACGTTCTCGTCCGGAATAGCCGAGGCGAAGCCCCTGCGATTGGCCGGCAAGATTGTCGCGGTCTGGACTGCCCACTGCTCGCGAATCAGAGGCATGCTCATGCTCCATCGCAGTGCGGGACGGCCGGTTTCAGCGGAGGAACCCTCGGTGGCGGTAAGCAGCGGCTTGCGGGGACGGGACTGGTCGCGCATCTGGTCGCGGCGGATGCTGCCAGTGTAAGAGTCACTGCGGCGGAGAGCATGGTCGGAATCATTCCATCCGATGAGCTTGTTGGAGCCGAGGGCACTACCCGGGCGAGAAGCGGGAGGGGTGGTGATTCCGGTCTGGTAGCTGGTGCGCGAAACGCCGGACCACCGTCGCTGAAGCGAACAGATGGAGGAGGCGGGGGTGGGGGGACGGCGGTTGTCGTATTGGTACGAGTAGTGGTAGTGCTCGGGTTGACCAAGGAAGATGTCGTCGGCGGTGGCCCAGGCGGCACGGCAGGTAGAGTCGTACTCGATATCCTTATCCTCATGTTGCTCCAGCACCGGCGAGGGGAGGGTCCGTGCGATTTCCTCGCGCTCTTTACCCTTGGAGGTAGACAGGTCGAAGGCGGGAGATGCACCACGAGCAATCGAAACACCACCATCCTCGTCTTCGCCCATGACAACATCGCGGATCGACGGAGGAGGAGAAGGAGTATAGATGATGGTGAAGGAAGGAACACGGGTCAACTCCTTGCACTTGGTCGGGGCGTCCACGATCACCTGCATGGGAGATGAAGGGGGCGACGGGTATCCACGTGGGGACCGGACAATCTCCTCGACATCACTCTCGTAATCTTCAACCTTGGCGGGAATCTCAACTTCTTCGACATCCTCGTCCTCTTCCTTGATTGTCTCCCCGATCCTGCGCATTCTCGATGTCGACAGAGGCGAATCGTGAAGCGAGTGAGATGGGGACGACGGGGAGGGAGGAGCTGGGACAAAGTAGTGAGACGGAGAGTCCTCGACCTGCCTGTCCTTACCTCTGAAGAAGATGGGAGAATCCAAGATGGAAGTGGCAGGCGGGGGCGCAGGCTGCATGATCAACGGAAGGGGCAAGTTGAACTCGATGGTCCTCTCGCGAGAACTGCGGAAGCTCAATGGAGTCTCGGGAGGAGTGAGAGGCATGTAAGGAACGATCTTCAACGATTCTTCACTGTGATCCATCGTAGGAGTGCCGGGTTGAGACGAAGGGGGTGAAGGCTGGCGGACCATCTCGGTGGAAGGGACATCGCCCTCAACGGTCAACTCGTCCTGGGCATCGCTGAGTTCGATGTCTGCCATCTCCTCAGAATCCTCGGCTTCCACAGCCTCAAGAACAGGCGACTCTGGAAGAGGCGGGAGGGTCTCAATATCGATGGCTTCGAGAATGGGGGAGTCGGGAAGAGCTGGAAGTGTCGACAGATCGAGTTCGACCACAGGAGCTTGAGTCTCGGTCACGACCTCGGGGGTTTCGGTTTCCAAAATCTCGTCCTGCATCGCCACCTGGATTGCCTCCTTGATTTCGGCCTCCTCCTCTGCATCAAATTCCAAAGGAATGGGGGATGCAACGCGAGAGAGGGGAGAGGGCAGCTGGGTGACGGGAGATGAGGCGGTGTCCAAAACGAGAGGGGTCTCTTCAACCTCGACCTCGGCGACTTCGTCCTCGACTGGCGCGGGGATGACGATGGGCTCCTCGACCGTAGCAGGCTGTTCAACGATGGGCTGTTCAACGATGGGCTCCTCAATGAGGGGCTCCTCGACGACAACGGCCTCTTCGACGGTAACGGGCTCGACGGTAGGTTGCTCAACGACAGGCTCCTCGACAATGGGCCCCTCGACGGCAATGGGCTCGACGATGGGCTCCTCGACGACAACGGCCTCTTCTTCGACGATGGGCTCCTCAACAACGGGCTCCTCAACGGTAATGGGCTCGACGATGGGTTGCTCAATGACTGGTTCCTCGACGGTGGGCTCCTCGACGACAACAGCCTCTTCTTCAACGCTGGGCTCCTCAACGATAGGCTCCTCAACGATTGGCCTAGTGACAACCGGCTCCTTATCGTTGACAGACTTGATGATAGGCGCGATGAATGGTGCGACGATAGGTTGCGGGATGCCGAACGCCTCCTTAACGACGACGGGGGGTTCAGGGATAGCGACGCGGTGTACGGTAGGAGATCCCATGATTTCATCAATCAAACCGATGCTAGCACCGAGCAGACTGGTGGGATACCCAGTGCTGGGCTCCTTCACCACCGGCTCGGTGGACATGGACGGCTTCTCGTTGAAGGTATGGGTCTCAACATCGTCGTCGCGAGTCCGCTTCGTCTTGTGTTCCGCGATGGTGGCAGTGATCTTGCGCTTGAGTTCGGACCCGGAGCCGGCCGCTGTCTCGAAGGTGAATTCGCTCTTTTCTGTGTACTCGGGGTGGAATACACGCCATCGCAGCCGAACGGTGTCTCGGAGAGGATTGATCCGTCTGAGGGTGATATCATGTTAACTATGATGGGGTCAATGGGGGGCGAAGGGGCTGAACTGACTTTACTTTGGAGGATGAGCCGACAGTTTCGGGTGCCTTGAGGGCCTGTTTAGGAGTTCGGACGTTGATCTGAAAGTCGCTCTCGATGATCCAGACGACATTGGACCCCGTGTGGAGTTCCCGTGCGTCCAAGTCGGTTGGGTCTTGAGCGGCATCCGCAATCAAGACGACTCTGTTGTTGGCTGGGAGGATCTGGGGGACGATTCCATTCTCGCTGAACGTTGGTCCAACGCGAGCGGGTGTTTGGACGGCGACTGGTGTGGTGGTGGCAACGGTAGTCGATTCCGATGCAGTAGGAGCTGTCCGACGAGCCTAAACAAACGCACATCAACATCCACTGGGTGTCTAACAATAGGGCTGAAGCTTCATGCAAGACGGCAAGCCACGATGCACGTAAGCGGCCATCGGGGACGAGAGATGAGGGGGGCCAGCGTACGGTCTTGAACGGATAACCGAACTCCAGTCGTCCGAGACCCATCTCGGATGTACTCTGGTCTTCGGTGATGTCACGCAGTAGCTGGTCGAAGCTACGCTTCAGCTTCACTTGGTCGCGGACAGAGAGCTCAGAGCGTATGGAAACGTCGTGCTTGATTCCGTTTCCGTTTCCGTTTCCGTTGACGACGACGTTCGTCTTCTTCTTCTTGGAGTCTGAAGCGAAAATTGTTTGGTGATTAGCAAACCAAAACTGAGAGAGGATGGCCGACAATGCAGGGCAGAGGGAATATAAAACATCGCAACGGCGATAGGACTGGGGAGTATATGCAGGCAAATTTGCGATGGTGCTATCTCGCGTCAACACACTTTACTCACCCTCGAACACGTCTCCATCCACACTGCCCCGCCCGGGGGCTTCACGTGCGCCACTCAATGCCTGTGCAGCGCCTGCAGGTCTGATGTGGTGGCTGGTCGGTGATTGGCTGTAGCCGCCGTCGCCCCAGACAGCCGGTGCAACGTGTCGGTCGCTGGCGGGTCGTACGTGGTCCCTGTTCTCGTAGTCGCTGTCGGGGCACACCTCGTGCTCCTTGTTTCGCCCAATACCAGCACCAGCTTTGCCCGCACTATCTGCCGATGCTGTCGATCCTCCACTCAAATCCTGTCGCCCCCGCGGTTCGCGCCCATCGGCGAGTGAGATGTGGTGCACCGCCCCATCAGTGCTCTCGGTCCGCGATGGCTGTTTCTCCACCCCCGCCTTCGCGTTGCGCTTTGCTCGCGCCTCCTTCTCCAAATCGTCTAAAAACTTCTGTCCGGCAGGCGAAGAGAAATATGATAGCACGCTTTTTTTTGTTGGGTTTCTCTGTTGTGGTTTTGTTGTTGTGGTGGTGGTGGTGGTGGTTGCTGGTGTCGTGCTGGTGGTGGTGGTGGTGGTGGTGGTGGTTGCTGTGTCCTTTCCGGCTGTTATCGCGGCCGATGCTCTCGTTCGATTGAGTGATGCATCATCCTTTAGCATCTTTAGTGGGGAGGTGACCGTGGGAGATAGCGATCCGGGGGCAGAAGCGTGTTGAGCTTTCGACCTTGGGAAGAACAGAGAGCTCCAGAAGAGGAACGACGACGACGACGGCGACGCAAACGGCGACGGCCGCGAAGTGGGTGCCGGAGGCCCCGCTTTTGTTAATCCTCCTCCCTCACCAGCAGCTGGTAATTGTGGCTGTAATAATGTTTCTTCTGTGTATGTGGGGGATGTGTTTGTTTTTTTTAGTTTGAGTGTGGTCGGGGTCGTCGATGACGAATGTTGTCGGGCAGGCTGGGTTGTGGTGGTTGTGGTGGTGGTAGAGGAGCAGCGTGCGATGACCTTGGGCACTAGGTCGAAAGCTGCAGAGGCGGCAGCGAATGCTGGTGTTGTCGCTTTCGGGGGTGAAGAAGAAGGTGTTGCGGAAGGGGAAGTGGGAGGGGGAGGGCGAGGGAAAGTAGCAGAAGAAGAAGGCTGCTCGCGGAAGGCGGACACAGCAGCTGCGGGAAGCTGAAAGGATGGAGAAGGCCGGGCCAGGGGCGCGGAACAATAGTAATGCTGGGGCGGCCGCTTATCTGTCGGGGAGGTCGATGCGGGTGCGAAGTGTGCTACAGCTACAGCTACATATGCGTGATGGGGAGCGCCGGGCCATCGCTGCCAGTGGGTGAGGAAAAGCTGGTGGTGGGGTTGAGTGCGATCCTGACGGAGCCGGTGCTGATCCTGATCCTGATCCTGACGCTGAGTCTGGGTGTGATTCTGGGCCTGGTTTTCGGGCTGATGCTGCGGCTGCTGTTGCTGCTGCTGTTGCTGCTGCTGTTGCTGCTGCTGTTGGCGCTGTCGGGCCAGGTGCGCCGGGGGTGGCGGCGGCCGGAACAGAGCAAGCGTGTTGGACAGGCTGCAAAGCATGTCTCTGAGTGCCCCCCTCCCTCCGAGTGCATATATGTATGGATAGCACGTGAAGCAGCTACGCCGACGCTACGCACCCAGAGACCGGCCCGTCTGTTTGGCTGCCGTGGGAAACGACCTGGGATCAAGCGCAAACGCCAGGGGTCGCTCGAACAGCGAGGGCCAGGGTACGTAGCGACTGGGTAGCGACTGGGCGGGGCGGGGCGGTGGTGGTGGTGGCGGTGTTGGCCGGAAAGGACTCGAAAAAGAAAGAAAAAAAGGTCAGTCGTGCTGCTCCATTCGCTGTCGGTGCTGTTCGACTTCGCTGGCCAGCCGGCATTGAAGGGGGAACATGTTTCCCGCCCGTCGCGACTTGGCCTTGGCCTTGTTTCCCCCCGTCCATCACACCCACCCACCTATCCAATCCAGCCACACCAACCTGCCATCGATCGTACCTGCCTTCCATCCGTGCGTAGCCATCGCACACTTCTCCCCCACCCACCCCGGAAGACCGGGTGAGTGGTAGCAGTAGGTGACAACGGTACACACGGAGTGGTGTGGACAGGTGCGGACACGAGGGCAGATGGGACAGACGGACAGAGGGACAGACGGACAGACGGACAGAGGGACAGAGGGACAGAGGGACAGAGGGACAGACGGACGGGCAAACAGAGGCAGACAGGAAGGCAGGCAGACAGACAGACAGACAGGCAAGCAGGCAAGCAGGCAAGCAGGCAAGGACGGGAGCGGGGGAGGGGGGGTGGGCCTCGCCAATGCGGAAACGCACCAATTCGATACGTGACCACCTCGGGATCCCAACAGATCCCAATCATGGAATCCAGTAGTGGATGGAGGGAGCACAGCATCGATTGGCTGCGTTTCGTTCCATGTGGTACGGGCCGACCAAAAGAAGGAAAACGACGAAAACGAGCAAAATGTGAAAATGTGAAACTTATGAAACTTACTGGTCCTTTGCGGTGTAGGATGGGATGGATGGACGTAGGCGGAATCCTTTAGCTAGGTGCGTACGGGTGTGTGGGCAGGTACGGCAGGTACGGCAGGTACGGCAGGCACGGGGCAGGCACGGGGCACAGGCAGGCAGGTAGGCTGGCAAGCAGGCCGGCAGGCAGGCGGGCGAGCGGGCAGGCAGGCGGGCAGGCAGGCAGACACGGTAGGGTAGGGAGGTGCCTTGCAAGTTGGCAATTGCTCCGCTCAAGGGATCGAGTGAGCGCGGCGGATTCTGGCGATATCGGTGAGGAGGGCGATGAAATGAGTATGGTAGGAGAGCGAGCGAGCAGCAGCACTTCGTTCAACTTAGAAAAAAATCGACGGAAATCAAAACTGCCAGACAGCCACAATAAATTCAGATTCGACTAGACAGCGGTCTCAAGCATATGCCCCCCGTTCTCTCCCCTCCCCCCCAGTTCCTCCAGACCGCCGTCCGTCTGCAAACCTACGCTGTCGTCATGGACGCACTTTGCTGGTGGACGCCATCAATCGAGACAATCACTGATACGGTAGAGTGCCAGAGGGGGGGTGCGCGCGAGGAGGACAAAGCACAGGCTCGCAAGCAATTAGAACTTCATCGAGACAAGTTTTTTCCTTCCCTTGGTGCGCAAGCTCGAGCCGGCGTGTGCTCGACGAGCAGCTCTGCTGCCGGTTGCCTGGCTAGGGCTGCTGCTTACCTGCAAACATGGCTGGCCCAAGGCATATGGGGGTGGATGGGAGGGATAAACGGCAGTCGACAACGAAGGCGGAAGGGAAGCGTACAGATTTCGCCTTTCGCGCGGACTAGGTCCGATGCACCTATGAGAAAAGTTTTCGCTATCGTTCTCGTCGTTCTCTCGGTGGTGGAGGTGGCGACGGTCAAAGGAGGTTGGCTCGGAAGGGCCAGCTCATGGCTCCACGCAGCTTACTGCAATTGGCGCAGCTTTGATTGGGCGCATGAAGCAGCGCGGTGCATCTCGCATCCGAACCCGCAGCGTCGGCTTCTGATTCGACGGCCAGTCTCGTTTGGAGGCAGTCTTCGGGGGGGAGAAACAACCATTTCCTGTCTTCTTTCCTTCCTTTCTTTTTCTCCGGCGTGTTCGATGCGCATCCACGAATCCGCGGATCCACGAATCCACGAATCCACGACTGCCCCTCGGCGTTGTCGCTGTCCCTGTCGTGCTGCATTTTCCGGCTCTGCGTCCGGTGGATTATTGTCGCAGTCGATTACTCGCTGGCGATGGCAGCTGGGAGTTCTGGCCGATGGGTGCCGTTCCGATGTGATGGCCAGCTGGAATCGGCGTGGCAGCTGGCCATCTGTTCGCATCGATATTCCGGCGTGGCCCCATCGCTAGTGAGCCAGAATAAAAGTCCGGCCGAATCCAACGCTCGCTCGCGTCGTCGTCGCGCTCGTGCTCGTGCTCGCGCTTGACGTTCCGAAAGCGAACCGGCGTCCTCGCTCGCTCCGAAACGTCAAAAGGAAAGTCCCGCGCACAACCCCAACGTCCGCGCGCTCGAAACGTCAAAAGAAAAAAAGTCCCGCGCTCCCGGCCGGCTGCCATCCCCCCCATCGCAGAGCCCCTCCCCCCTCTTCCCACTTTCCTTCTTTATGCGTGCTCGCCCGTACCCAAAAAAAGGGATCATCCCCAGCATCGACACTCCGTAGCACACCGGCACACCCACCCCTACGAGCGACTCTTTTGTTTTCCGGATGTCTTGCAGGGTCCGGCCCAACCCCCCAACCCCCAACCCCCAGCACGAAGTATGGAAGAGGCAAGTGAGTACCTTAGGCATGTACCGTGAATCGTGCACCACCGGGATCACCAACAACGAGTGCAAGGGCAGCTAGGTAACTTGCAAGCGTTCGCCTCTCGCCTCGGCACTAACCGTTGTGGAGCGGGCGTGCGTCGTCGACCCCTCGTTCCCGCCGACGTGGTCCTTCCTCGCACAACAACGCGACGTGTTTGAAGGCAGAGAAGCTGAGGAAAAGCCGGAGCACAGAGCCTCAGGAGCCAGGAGTCAGGCCCTGTTCCAACTTCCCCTCCCCGACGATAATAGAGTACTAGTACCGGTTAGTTACCCTGCTCCCTCCCTGACACATGCCCATGCCAATTGCATGCGCATTGCCCATGCCCATGTCTATGCCCCCTTCCCCCCCATCCCGGCCAACGCCGCCGCCGCCGACAACTCGACTCCAATCCAATCCAACGCGTGAATCTATAGATACGTGCTTACCTGGGTACATATTCTTTTTGTTTCACAGCGTGCTGCGTGTAACTTCTCGTTCGGCTTTTTGTTTTTTCCGCGCAGATGCGAATCCGTCTTGTCGATCTGGTGGCGGCACAACGGCGATCTGCTGTACAATGCTTCTGTGTGTCTGTGTGATGGTGGCCACGAGAGAGAGATGGACAGCGCATTGAATTCCATTCCGTTTCGTTTGTTACCACGCTGCAGCAGGAAAAAAAACGCGAGAAGTGAAGAGAAGAGTACGATGTGAAGGCACTGGGTATGTAGGTGCCTACCGTACCATATGTAATTGCGCGCGATTGGAGACGGGAATCCGAATGAGCTGGCACAGACGAAGAGGGGGGGGAAGTGTGTCATCGGTAATTCGGCCGCGGAAGGTTCTTCAGCTCGAGCGGAGGATGCGATATGGCGATGGACCCTGGAGACATGTAAGAAGTATGTGTATAGTACTGATAGGTATGTACCGGTAGTTGGTGGGTAGAGTACTCAGGCACTCTGCGATAGGTATGGAGATGAAGCCCGTCCGTCCCTGACCGAACACGCATGTAGAGTACTCCTGAGAAGTACTCTACTTCCCTACTCCTGCTTCGGTAGTACAGCAAAGCCTGCCAGGCACCCCTCCGGGGATCCCATCCAGAGTGCGCCCGACGAGACCGAATTCCAATCCGCTGCTGCTGTACTTAATCGAGCGTCTTCGTCTTCTCTTTCGTCGTCGTCGTCGTCGCGAGCTCTCTCTCGAACCCGAAGCTAGAGGACTCGTATGAGTAGAGCTCAGCTCTGGTTGGAGTACTCTACTCTACTAGTATGTATCGTCCGAGACCCAGCCGGTGCTCCGAAACCGCGAGCGCTGAGTTCGCGCTCCCCCTTCCGCCCCCCGCAACAGTAAGATGGGATACGCACTTGAGCACAGACGGGGGATCCGGTCGTCTCGTCTATCTTGCCGGCGCCCCGCCCCGCCATCCCTACTCTCCCTCCCACCCCGGCGCTCTCGGAGCGGATTCTCACCCAGTCCTCACCACCCCCTCACAACCAAAACCAATCAACCAAACCAACCAACCGACCGACCAGCCAATCCCCCACCCCCACCCCCACCCCCACCCCCACCCCCACCCCTCTCCAACACCACAAATAACATCCAACACTGATGAATCATGATACATAGTATGATACATATTACCCTCCGGCTCCGAGTGACCTATTTAAAAGTACCGACCACTAACGATTGTCCGTGCGTATACAAGGCCACATGTCACGGGCCAACCGCGCCCCCCAAGTTCCAACCCATCCCAAGTCCTTGGAACCCTAAGAATCCTAACGGCGCTCTGATTGGCTTCGCGATCTCACTCGCCCCCTCGCACACACGAGACACGAATATATGTGGCTAAGCATGTACCTCCGTACCCTTGTGGCTAGACAACTCTGCTAGACATCATGCTCGGCTTTGTTGAGGGCCACTCTTCAACGTCCGCGACGCTTCTCGGTCCTCACTGGCTGGATGGGGAATACTCTAGGTACGGTATTGGAGGCCGGTATTGGAGGCAACCGTAACGATGATGTGAGGAGTGCGTACTCACCTTCGTGTGTGCAGGCAGCATCGGTTGAGAGCTGTACTGTGCTGTAGGTACGTGCTCATTCTGGCACTACGGTACCCAACGTCTCTCCCCTTTCCTCGCCCAATTGCTCCGCCCAAGTCTAGGTATCTCCTTACTACCTATACACTCTTCATCCTATATACCTGCTCTCGCCGAACTTCACTGTCTCGCGACAAACCCCCTCCGGGATGCGGGATGGATACAAACCGGATTCCCGACCAACCAACCGGGATAACTTGACCGAAGATGTGCTGCTCACCTACCTTGGTACTTACGAGTTCTACGTGATGATTGGGCCAGCGTCCGCGGCTCCGGTGTGAGGCTCATACATATGGAAGAGCCGTGTGAGACTGTGAGTGACAATTGTCGGCGGCAACTTGCTTTCCAAAATTGCTCCCATGTACCCGAACCGCCGGCTCCCTCGATCTCATCCCACGAGCTTTACTACTTTTACCATTGTTCATTTCCCGAATGGCGCCTCGACTATCGACGGAGCTTACTCTACAGCCGTGGAGGCCGGTACCGGCAGCGGCACCCACGACCGAACCCGCAAGCCACCCCTCGGCGCACTCACTACACCCAGCCGCACCATCTCCCGGTGCGGCCGGTGCGTCTACATCCAAGTACACCATCGACACCGTCCCCGACTGCCCCATCATCACCTCCCCCCGAGTCGGTACTATACGAAATCTGGAGGATGGGAGTGCCCTGGGCGGGTCGCCAGAGGGGGAGCGGGGTACCGCTACCGGAGGACGGGGGAGCTCGTGCAGGCCCATAGCTCATGATCATCTGTTTTTCTTTTGGGGCGCGATGGAGTTTGGGTATAGCATAGAATTTGGGTTTCATGACGGGTTCACAATCATCTTAAGCGGTGGGCGGGGAGTTTTGGTATATGGTATGGCATGGCATGGTATGGATCATATATAGGTAGGATGATATGTAGGATGATAGGTAGTGAAGCGAAGCAAAGCAGAGCAATGGCAATGGGTGTTTGCAGATTACCTATGATTGCCAATTCGCGGGCGCTTCATGAGATGTCAGGCCCCGTCTACCTCCCCCAATCGTCTTCCTGGCCCGGGGTAGTATGTAGCCATCGATACCACCGCGCTGCATCCGCCGCCGGAGGCACGGGGTTACGGTCTAGGCCAATAGTTAGACCCGTAGACGAGCACCTGGGGCTGCACAGTCCAGCTTGCTTGCTCGTTGCGAACTTGCGGTCACGCATACATAGGTACTTGCATAATCTATGCATTCTCCCCAACGGCTTGAGCAGCAGTGAATGGCAGCCTATTGCACAGTTGGGGGCGGTGGGGGAGCGGGGGGAACATCTCTAGGTAGAGTACTCCTCCAATCACCCGCGCATATTAGATGGTAGTCAATCCTCCAATCCGAACCCGCCGTTAAGGCTGCGGTTGCGCCGGCGGCGTCGACGGCATCAGACACTGTCCTGTCCTGTCCTATCCCCACGAGTCGAACTAGAACAGAGTATCATAAAGTACCATAAAGTAAAGCACCGTATCTTAGAGTGCGGTAGATTAGTCAATAACAGTAGGAATTTCCCCGCAGCGTGTGATCCATCCGCTCGCCGTCTTTCTTCGGCGTGGGAGGCGACAGCGAATCATCATTCGTGTGAGTCTGGACATTGGAGTACCTTTTTCTGCTCAATCATCATTGCATTCGGCCTTAGTAGATTATGTGGAGTACATTGAGTACCCTACATATGATACGGTAGGTAGCCAAGTACCTATCATACTCATCTAAGATACATACGAGTTCATCTACCGTATCATACCGTACTATACTACCTACATGTGTGCTCGTATGATGGATATGTAGATCCGGCACTTATTTCTTCCGTAAATGGCCTGCGAGCGCTCTGGATTCGCAGCCTATGATTGCGGCCTCGAGACTGGTCACTCCGCACACAATTGCATGGCTGTCCGTGTTGATCGCGATGAGTGCTCATATAGGTAGTAGTAAAGTGAGTTCACATCCTCCCACTCCCTCCTCCTCTCTCCCCGGACGCTCTCCTCCGTCGACTCACGCTCACACCGGAAATTCAGACACCAATAACACTCACTTTCCCCACATTCATAATAATAGAGTACAGTATCATACAAAACACCCGACACCGACTTTAAAGGGAATGAGCAGAAATAATATCGCCGGCCACTAACCAACTAAGCTAAGCCGATCACTATACATGATTCGCCCGTGAACGAACATCAACATGATACCTACATTGTAAGTATAAAAAAGAAAACCCAAAACGCCCATCGGTACGGTACGGTATGTAGAGTGTAGAGCCCGTCGCTTGCACTATAGTAGAGCAGCACTACAATCCGCCGCCACCACCAGCACCAGCACCACCACCCGACACATCTCCGTCCTGATACTTCTTATCGAGCCTATCCTGCGCCGCCGATGGGGGATACATCCCGATGCCAGCGAGGACCGGGAATCCGCCCAGCTGACTAGTGTCGAGATCGATACCGCGCATAAAGTTCTCCCAGTCCTCCCACTCGGAGCCCTGCGGCATATCGAATCCGGCGGGGCCCCACAGCGAGTTCCAGCCCGGCGGCGAGAGCGCTCCGCCTGACGGCGGTGGTAGGTCGCCCAGTGTTGTCGTTGGTAGTGAGGAGTTGACTGCGTCCGGGAGGTTGAGGGTTCCGCCGGGCGTGGACACGGCGGGGCGGTCGAATAGTGACGCGAAGGCGGAGTTTGGCGTGAGGCCGCCGCCAGACATCATCCCGAGCGTCAATGCGGCTGCTTGTTCGCTCTTTAGTGGCTCGGATGAGCCGGAGAATGGTTGCGTGGACGAGGTGGCGGAAAAGTTCGGGCCAGGGATGGGGGGCGCGGCGTTGAAGTTGGCAAGCCCACTTTCGAAGGCCGTGAGGTGCTGTTCTGAATGATTGGGTTGTTTTTGCTGTTGCTGCTGCTGCTGCTGTTCGGCTTGTCTCCGCAGTCGCTCTTCGTGACCGGGTTCTTCGCGCTTGAGTTTTTCGATCATGACTGTGATGATGCCGGAAGCTTTGTTCGCCTCGACGGATTTATCTTTCTGGTTGGTACTGATGTCGCGCGATCTGCAGAGTGCGGCAAACTTGCGTTTCCGGTCTTCTTCGTCAACGAGAACCGCAGCCAGCGGACATGAGAGGTGGAGACTGATAATCATGGCGGCGTGAAGAAACTCTTGGACGCCCTGTGTCTCGGTGTACCACCGTGCGTGACGCAAGACGGTTTCGTTCTGCGTGGCAATTTCGTCTTGGTATCGAAGCAGCGTCATGGCCGCACCGATGGTCTGGTGGTACGAGTGCTCGAAGCGGGCGTTCAGTCGCGCTTTGGTGGCATACGGACGATGGAGTGTCAGGAGCGACATCTGACGCAGGATATCAAGGTTATAGCGCTGGATTATAAGCCACGGGGGATCATTCTCGGTCTCCGCGATCGGCTTTAGATGGAGGAACTTTGGGACTTGTTCATAGCGTGCATTGATATCAGCCTCGAGAGTCCAGACTGTCTCGTATGGTGGCCGTGCCTTGACCGAGTTCACCTGGCGGATGACCTCCCAGAGCGTGTGTGCCATCGAGGCTTTGCATATCATGTAGATTACACCAGTCAGCTCGTCCCGTCCGCGCTCCGGTGGAAGCGTGGTGACATCTTCGCCTATCTCATCGTCATGCAGATTCAGCGGCAGTTTCGTGTCGCATTCGTCTTCCTTCAGCATGGAAGGCAGGCCGATCCGGATCGATGTCAGTAGCTCCATACAGGTGATCTGTGTCCAGAGTCGTCGACGGATCTCGCCCTCTCCCGGAGTGATGGCAGGGAACTGCTGCGGGTCTCGGTGGAGGCCCATGCTCATCGCTATCCGAACGACCATCCCCAGGAATAGCCAGGCACTATCGTCCGTCGACGACATACACAGCAGAATCAAAGTTTGTACCGTGTGCAGGTATGGCTTTTTGGTGTACTCGCCCACTATTAGGCATTGTTCGGCTGAAGTGCGGAAAGCATGCCACGTCTCGGCCGTATCACGTCCTACGACCCCTTTCAGGGGCTCGCCGATAGAGTCATGAATCTTTACGCTGATGGAGATGATCACCATGAGTAGACCGAGCCATAATATATCCACTTTGGAAGGATCACGCCAGAATTCCTCGTACTGCTTGTAAAATGATGGTCGGTGCAGGACATCTATACAGTGTCAGAGAATGACCGACGAATGCATCACCGTGGGGGCTCACGTACGGAATAGGGGGTCGTGATTCCTGAAGAAACAGTCTACCAACCGGTCCACCATCGCCTGTTCCGGTACAAGGGCTAAAATCTCTGGTTTTGACGGTGGGCGGCCTGCCGAGAAAGGAAACCCGGTGGCCTGTAGTTTCTCTATAGCCGTCTGACATCGCATCGTGGCAAGCTCACTCTCGTACTTTTGTTTGGTTTCTTCGAAGTATTTTTTAACCTCGGTAATCTGTCCGACGTGATCAGCCGTGAGCTCAAGGAAAACAATCTGGCCGTGGAGTGTTGACGAACCTCTGACAGAATGGCAACCCAGTGCGTCTCGCCCCGATAGAAAGACTTTCCTTCCTGCACCTTCATCACGCCCAGCGCGTTTCTAACCTCCTCCACCTCCTCCTCGACGGTGTGCGTTTCCTCGTGTTCGTCCTGCTCGTCGTAGCCCATAGCATCATCATCACCCTCGCTATCACGCGAGTTCGGATATGACGCTGCAGCGCCAGACGACGAACTACGCGTGTCGCGGTTCCGCGGCGATGTGTTGATATTATTCGAGTTGCCCGACATGAGCGAGAGCACCAGTCCCTCGAGCCGGTCGATCCGCGACTGCATCTCGTCCGACGAGCCATTCGATCCCGCCGACTGCTTGCGTTGTCGCGCCGAGTGTGTAGACGTCGCATAGGTGCAACCGGGGACATCATTGCGACGGACGCAGTTCTCGCAGGGCGACGAACGGTTGCACTTCAGTCTTATCGCAGTTAGCTCGAGTTCCACGCACGGTGGAGGGGCAAGTGCGGGGTGGGGTTTTACTTTCGAGACCGACATGGCCCGCACGATAGTGGAACTCGGTTTCGTTTCCGCACCACGCGATACGCACTATTCGACATGTGTTGCTCGGGCGGAGAATGGCTGTTCGAAGACGGCGGGGTGGGCGTCATGATTGCGAGCGAGACCTGTGCGGGGCGGGGAACAAGGGGATCACAGCGCTGGCTGGTTGGGCTCGGGAGTGGCGGTCGCGCGACACGATCGATGATTCCGATGGCTTGATTTAGTTACGGTTGACGATGGCGACGGCGTGATTGTGGTCGAAGCGGGGAGTTCGTTCGTTGTTCTACTTGCGTTCTAGAGTGGGACGAACGGCTTGGGAGCTTTGGGCATCAGGCTAATAAGTAAGCTCATTCGCGGGCCTACGTAGTGTAGTGTGAGATGTACGTATGAGTGGGCGCTGCAGGTGCAGAGGGTGCTGTGAGTAATCGACCGGGGTCAATGGAGAAGAGAGAGCCTTCAATTGCCTTCCGCCCATCTCTCCGAGAATATGTTGAAGGATAGAGTACCGCACCTAGGCATATTGCCCAGCGTAAGCACGCAAATGCTCCGCTTGACATTCGCCATTAGCTTTGGATGGTATGCTCTAGTTTCCTGTCGACTGTCGCAACGTCGCTTCCTTAGTTCTGTCCACGCGCGTCCGTATCGAACATAGCCGGGGAGATGCGGGCAGGTAGGTGCGAGCCTTTCGTTTCCTCGTATTGACGATGTCTTGCTTCGGAGTATGACGACGATGAGGGACGGCCATCGAGGGGATACTTGGCATCCATCCACCTGCGTCTGCAATCCACCACGACTCCCGGACCGGAGGGCCCAGAGAGATAAAGAGAACCGAAGGCTAGATTGCACTCGTGCCGAGCCTGGGATCGTCGCTCGTTTAACAACTCTGAAAGCTCGAGAGGAATTCGGCGGCTGGTTGGAAGCAGAATCTACGGAAAGTTAGCCCAAACGGTAAACACGAAAACTGACGAAGTGAGGAGCTGAAGAGGTATGGACTCTGGAGTGTGATCGGAACCCAGAGCAGAAGCATCCGAGATTAGCGTCTTGGCTGCTCATTTCGTGTCACTCGACAGAGTTGAACATATAGACTTGGATAGTGAGTGGCATGGCAATACTAGGGACAGGCCGGGGCGGAGGGCGGGGAAAGCCACATCGGCCGCTCGATGAAAGTCAGGTTGGACAGTGGCGTGGAAACGGAGGTGTATGGGTGGATATTGCCATGATCCGAATAGGTCGCATGCAATCAATGGATAAACAAAAAACAAAAGCATGTCAGTACTACATATTGTGACGATCGACCCTGTGAATCTTCGGGAAGGCGCTTAACTGATTAAGCGCACAAATAGAAGTCTTTCACAGATAGCGGGACAGATAGTACTACGGAGCGGCCCCGCAGCCAGGACTAGCAGCGACATACCTGTGAGTTAACATAACGGCTCCTCCGCAGTTCCAGCAGTGAGCTCCAGAACTTTGTGGGGAAGCATCGTGGAAGGATTGTGGCTGACTGCTGGCCACAGTTGATCACGATATGTCACTCTCTCTGGTTTTCCCAGCCGCTAGTGACCTGAGCAATACTCAAACTCACAGACCCCCAGCCGCACTTCTGTCTCTACTCTCCTCTTCACACTTCTGTGTCTACTTTCGTTTTCCCTTTTCATTTTTCTCTTCACACTTCTTTTCTTCTTTCCACAGCCCCCGTCGACCATCATCACCAGTGCGACTTTCAATCCGTCCTTCGACCACCACACAACTGAAACACATTCAACCCCAATAAAGCAACAGAGTCTCGTGCTTTCAACGATGAACGGGTTCGGCTACTATTCAGGTGCCCTCGACACCTGCTAACCTACTCGTTCACAGGACAAACCCCGGGGGCGACTCCAAAGGCGATGACCTACTCCCGCCATTCCGCCCACCTTTCGAGCTGTTTGGTTTCCTAGTGATGGTGGCATGTGGCATTTTTGCCACGCTCATCATGATGGGAATCAGGTTGTGCCTATACCGGCGCCACTCGTGGAGCCGTGACCCCGCGTACGTGGTCAACAGTACGGCGTACTACACGGTTGGGCTACTGATCATCTGCGACGGCGTGCTCATCATGAGCTATGGCATAGATGAGTGCTTGAGAACGTGGAGGCTTAACCCCGAAGATTCGAATGACGAGATGAAAGAGGTGGACAGTCACTGGGCTAATAAGGTGAGCTCCGCTTCCACTTGCTTGTGCGGGGGTGAGTGAGTGAGGGCTTATGATCTGTAGGTCTCCTTTTACATCGGTTTCGTGTACTCGATCGAATTCTGGATTCTCAAGTATGGCTTTCTGGCCTACTTCTTTCCGAACTGGAAGAACTACGGGAAGATCATGCGGCGCTACCTCCTCATTGTTACTCTCCTGGTTACCGCCAGCCTGTTTGCGCTGTTGATTCTGCCATTCACATGGTGCGGCGGTGGCTCTTCCGAGAGACAACTGTGAGTCCCCCGTGACATTGCAGAAATGGAGTCATTCTGCTGATGAGAACGTAGGTCACCGACCAGAAAAGACGGCAGGTGTCTCTTCCTCGAAGATCCCGATGGAGTGTTGCTACAAGCATCGCTCAACATTGGCACAGACATTCGTGTGTCGTCCTCGCCCCTCGCGCTCCACCACCTCACTAACACCCATAGTAATCATCATCCTCGCGATCTTCACCTACATCACGCCCGAACAAGACCCAACCGAGCGTCTGGGCGGATTCTTCGTGATGCTTGCCGCAATCCTGCAGCCGCTCCTCGCCATGAACCGGCTGCAGAGCGTCTATCCGATGACGCTGTACCCCGGAACCCACAACTTCTCGCCGTCGCGCGCGCACCAGGTCTGGGGCTGTCTGGAGTCGTACACTGCACTGGCGGCGTTCTTCATCCCCGTACTGCGAGGCTGGATGGTCGAGTGCCAGCGGCTCAAGGAGAAAAGTGCGCGCAGACGAGTGATGCTCAAGGCGATCGCAAGCAAGGACAAGTGGCGAGCTGCGGTGCTCCGGTACCGGCGGGAGAAAGCGGCGCAGGAGGAGAACGACAATGACAATGACGCATCGCCTCCTCCGCCCAACCACGGAGGACGGACCGACACCGAAAACCCGGACTCTTTCGGCCCCAACGATCGCAGAGTTTCCTCCGCTCGCATATCTGTCGCTGTCGCCCGCCCCGTCTCGGCCGTTCTCAGAGCCCCCAAGGTCTGCGACCTGAATGAAGGTCGCCGTGCATCGATGTCCACTTCCAGCTGCAGCCAGGACCACCTTCTGGCTCAGCCCGTGCTTAAGGCAAGGAACCGTTTCAGCGTGCCGGTGTCTCCCACTGTCGCCGGTAGCAATGAACTTCGCCGCTCCTCCTTCCCGGGCTTGCTTCCGAGGGCTCGCACCACCGAGCGATACCAGGGGAAAGTCGTGTAAGGAAACGATGTCTTGACCGAGTGAGCAAGTAGTCCCCGCTCTTTATTACTTCCGCATCCATTCACCCTTCTTTGCCAGCCCAGTCTGCTCCTCTCTTAACCTTAACTTCACTACTACTGGTTTTGGCGTTTTGTTTGGTTGATAGTCAGTTGCACATACCTAGTAAATGACTTTTCGATCACCTCTTTATTTCCAACGTGATCCCGTTTCAATCCGCGGTTTTACAATGAGTACATTCAGTATAGAAAAATGGGGTAAAATCAACTGCAACTCCAGCGTTGACGATAGACGCATTTTTGTTGCGATTATCACTCGATAGGCCGTCTTTCTCCCGTTCTGAAGATCTCTTCATGTATTTTACTTTCATTCGCGCGCCATACAGGAGGGGCTGGACGGAAGAGACCAGGAAACAGACATCGAGCTTACGGCCAGCTTGCGGCCAGCGGTCGGAGACAAAGGAGGGGAATAGGGCATTTATTATACATTACTTCTATGACTCATCAAGGTTGACTGCATCGATGATTAAACAAAAAACAAAAACGCTGACGTTGATATCTGGTGTGATACCATTGTTCCAGAATTGCTATATATGGCAGGGGCGCCGCATCGGACCGGACTGCAACGAGGACGAGGGATGGCGTAGGTACTAGTACTACTATTTAGCAGTACATAGCAGTAGGTAGCGGTATGTAGTAGTCGTATCATACCACGAGGGGCTGTATCCCGAGAACCCAGCACCACGGCAAACATCCACGCCGCGACCTTCGACGTACCGTAGTGCATGTACTCTGGGCACTCTACCCCGTCACCGGGAGACTTCTTACGTTCCACACGGTTCGTTTCTTCCTGGGTGGGGTTGGGTTTCCAGTGTCCACGCTTCGGTAGTTACCGAGTATTTTGCGTACGTATTCTCGCCAAACGTCTCCCTGTCGCAGCCAGCGCTCTGTGTGCCATGTAGGACAAGAAATCGGTGGTCACCGGTGGTGGTGGTGGTGGTGGTGGTCAGATGCACTCCCGCCATTTCCCATTTAGAGTTGATCGATCATCACTGCTTTAACTACTGCGTAGCGGGGGCTAGAGGCCTAAGGCGTTTCCCTTCCCTACGCAGCTCGCTACCCCGCTTTGGTTGCAGCCGGTGAGGAAGGCTTGTCTATTCTACATACTCTACATACTCTACTCTAATTGGTTTTTTGGGGGTATTCGCTTGTGAATGTGTGCACTGTGGGCCGAGGAAGCTGAGTTTTGTTTAATCATCATCATACGCAGCATTCGAGCTTTGTGGTGCACTGGAGCGTCGCTGAGTGTCTGCCTGGAGTACATTCTACATACACATGCAGTTCCTTCATGCTGTGCACCGAGGACTCAGGAGGCGGTTTTTGTTTAATCATCGTCGCTTCGAGCTTACTACGGTACGACACGGTAGATACAATGACACATATCCGTTTCTACCCCACTGGCCGCGAGTTCGGTACCTACGGGTTCGACCTATTCCTCTCCACCCAGCCCTCCCACGTGACAGAACAGACAATAAAGCAGGAGGAAAGGTACTATAGACCTCGGAAGGCCCGGACACCGGCGGCCCGGACTGCACGCCGCAGGCCGAAGACCGTCATCCGGTGATATCTCATGTTCGGCAAAACATTCAGCCAGCCAGCCGTACGCCAGCTGAACGACTGGGGAGGGGAGGAGGGGGGAATGTGATCCGAAAACGGGGGTTCACCATGGCAGCCACTTGGAGACTGGAGTCTTGGACGGATATCGCGGCGCTGGCTTGGATTTGGGGTCACTCAGTACTCTACCTTCTTAGGTACGGCAGTAAGTAGTTGGCACATGAAACCGATACGTCAGCCAGGCGAGCTCGACCTCGGAATGCCCTCGCATTGTGAACCTGCATGTGTGCCCCGAGTGCGTGCCTATAAGATCCCGCCGTGGCCGGGAGCCATGCCATCCGCGCCACTCACTCCTTAACAATGGACAGAAGCACGCTCCTCCTCCTGCTATTTGCCGGGGCAGTGCTCTACCGCCTGGCTCGGTCGGTGCTCACGGCGTTGCAGCGCCGGCGCTTCCGGCGCGCGCACAACTGCCAGCCGCCCAGCCGCCTCGCCTCGGGCCCATGGGGGGTTTACGCCTTCGTGGGGCTACTCTCGGCGGCGCGACGCAAAGAGCACCTTCAATACATCGTCGCGCGCTACACCTCGGGGATGGAGACATTCGCGATGTCGCACTTCGGCACGGACCTGATCCAGACGATGGACCCGGGCAACATCAAGACGGTTTTGGCGACGAAGTTCAGCGACTACCAGCTGGGCGTCGCCCGCCACGACAGCTTCCGCGACCTCTTCGGCGACGGCATCTTCACGCTCGACGGCGCGGGGTGGGAGCACTCGCGCGCGCTGCTGCGGCCACAGTTCTCGCGCAAGCAGGTGGCGGACGTCGGGATGCTCTCTGTGCACGTATCGCGGGTGCTCGCGCACCTGGCCGCGGTGCCCCGCGGCCAACCGGTAGACCTGCAGCCGCTGTTCTTCGCGCTGACGCTGGACTCGGCGACCGAGTTCCTGTTCGGCGAGACGGCGGGGTCGCTGCTGCGCGGCGCCGACGACCGCGAGGGGTTCGCATACAACTTCAACCAGGGCCTGGAGTGGATCATGTTCCGGCTGCGGCTGCGGGCGTTCCCGCTCGTGATGCGGTGGAAGCCCGCGGCTATGCGCCGCTGCAACGAGTTTGTCCACCGCTTTGTCGACGGCTATGTAGCCCACGCCCTTGACCCAACAAGGAAGAGGGACGCGGAGAGATATGTCTTCCTCGACGCGGTGGCTGCGCATTCGCAGGACCCGAAGCTCCTAAGAGACCAGATGCTCAATATCCTCCTGGCCGGCCGCGATACCACCGCGGGCCTGATCGGCTGGACGATGTACCTGCTCGCGGGTGACGCACGGGTGTATGCCAAGCTCCGCGGCGAGCTGGAGGCCGCGTTCGGCACCGGCGTGCCCGGCGCCTGGAGGAGCCCCAGCTTCGAGGAGCTGAAGGACGTCGTGTACCTGCGGCACGTGCTGAACGAAGGTTTGCGTGCCCCTCCTCCCCCACCCCCGCGCAAATATGATAGCTGATGCGGAACCTAGCGCTACGCCTCTACCCCGCGGTCCCCCTCAACCTGCGCACCGCGATCCGCGACACCGTGCTCCCGCGCGGCGGCGGGGTCGACGGGCAACAGCCGATGCACGTGCACCGGGGACAGCGGGTACAATACAGCGTATTCGCGCTGCACCGACGGACAGACCTGTACGGGGCCGACGCGGCAGAGTTCCGGCCGGAGCGGTGGGGTGAGGGCAAGGCGATCGGGCGCGGCTGGGAGTATTTGCCGTTCAATGGCGGCCCGAGGATCTGTCTCGGTCAGCAGTATGCCCTCACTGAGGCCGGCTACACCGTCGTTAAGTTGCTGCAGAGGTTCAAGGGGATGGAGTTGGCGAAGGATAGAGGCGTGACTAGGATTCAGACTACGCTTACGATTGCGCCGGAGACGCTATGGGTAAGGCTGGTGCCGGTGGACATGGACACTGCGGAGTAGGATGTCGTGGGGGCGGCGGGCAAGGTGCCGCGTTGGTGATGACTCGGTCATGAATTATGATGCTATGTGTACGGATATACACGCTATACTGCCTAAATCCATCTTAAATTTTTGTTTAATTCCAGCCCGAAATCATCGTACATCACCCACATCCCTACTTTCACGCAAGAAGAATCAAACCCATCACGCAAAATCAATGATACCCCCAAAGCAGCCTTGTTCCATGCGCGCAAAGAAGTGAAAACGGAAACCAACGTCAAAGACAAAAACCCACCCACCCCTACCATTACCACCACCACCCCGCCCCATCCCCTCACGTAGGCCCCGGCGTATCATCTAGATCCGCATCCGCATCCGCACTCGCATCATCGACCCAAACACTACTCCACCAGCCCTCGAGCTTCCCCTTGAGGCGCTCAGCCTTACTCTTGAGCAGCTCCCACCACGTCTTATCACCACCCTTGTCATCACCGCCCTCCTCCTCCCCCTCGGGCGGGGTCGGCGGCGATATGCCAATATTCTGCGGTGTGCCCGTCACCACTGGCGCGTTGGGATCCGAGATCTTGGTTGGTCGCACGGGTAGTGGCTCCGGGGTTTGTATGCCGATGCTCTTTGTTGGCTCCTGCGCAGCGGAGGAGTCCGAGGAAGAGTCCGAGGAAGAAGAAGCGGTTGTTGACGCAGTAGATGTGTGCTCGAAGTCATCGCCCGCGCCAGGCTTAACTTCTGGCTCCGGCTCATCCTCGCCAACCAACTTCAGCTCCACCAGGGTGGCATCACTAGCCGCCTCCTTAATCCCCAGACTCTGGCACAGCAGCCGATACACCTCGACATTCGTAAACGGCTGGACTCTTCCCGCGCGCACCGCGCCCTTCGTGAGCGTCTCATTGACCGTGACGGCGCCCGAGTGCCTATCGAGGCCGAGCCACTCCTTCCCCTCGCCGTGGAGGTGTTGGAACGCCGGGCCGCGGGCAACAAACATAGCGCGCATGAGCGGGTGGAGGTTATCGTAGCCGTGGAGGCCGCGGGGATGGTACGGCTCCGTCGAGTCCGGCGGGTACTCCTTCTTCGTGACGATGACATAGCCGGTTTCGGGCACGATCCATAGCGGCGCGATCCGCGGATTGCGGCTGAAGTGGTAGCGCGCGGGCATGTCCACGTCGCGCAGGTACACCGACCAGTGCCCGTCCGGCGTTTCTTGCGCTTTGAGCCCTACGTAGATCTCGGTGAGGTTGTGTTGCGGGTAGGGGCGTAGACCGTACAGAGGCCACCCATCGACGTGCTCGATCAGTGAGGTGTCCATGAGATCTTCGAAGTAGAACAGCCGGGATCGGTCGGTGCTGGCCATGCCGTGGTCCGACACGACGACGACGTTGACGATCTCGCTGAGGTTCCGTGCTTCGAGGCCGAGGAATAGCGAGTGCAGCATGCCGTCCACGTCCCTGATCGTATTGTCCGTCTCTGTAGTGTTGGGGCCGAACTTATGTCCACTCACGTCGACATCCGGAACATACGCGGCGACCAACTGCGGCCGTTTCTGCACCGGCAGATCCAGTAATCCCAGGATGCGGTCCACCTTGATATCCAGCCTCTCCGTAGAGTTGAACCGATCGACCACCGCCGCCCCATGCCCATCGGCCTCAGAGCCCGGCCACATGTGGACGGCAGCCCTGCCACCCTGCTTCTCCAATGTCTGCCATATAGGCTCGCCACCCCACCATTGCCGCTGCAGACTCCTTGCGGGGTCGGTGTAATAAAACTCGGCCTTCAGCTTCGGATCATAGAACGAATTACTGACTATGCCATGGTTCTCCGGATACAGTCCCGTAACGATAGTCCAGTGGTTCGGGAACGTGACGGACGGGAAAGACGGGACCATGTACGGCGGCGACACGCCAGAATTGATGAACGACGTCAGCGTGGGCGTCAGATGTCGGTTCAGGAAGTCCGCGCGCAGCCCGTCGAGCGAGATCAGCAGCGTCGTCTTTGCGAACGCGTGCGTGCCGTTGTGGAACACCATCGCTGGCCCCGCCCCACGCTCTTGCGATAGCGCCAGCGACGCGAATATCATCACGACCAGAAAACTCAGCAGCAGCGACGTAAACAGTATGATCTTTCTGAATGTCGGTTTCCTCGGCTTCACCTGGTGCGTCAGCACCCCCCACTTCCCCCGCCCCCCATCATGTCGAGCACGTACCTTAACCCCTCCCTTCTCGCCCCACGCGCCGCCCAGGCGCTCATCCTCATCACCATCACTACTCTCATCACCAATCCCATACTCGCCGCCGGCCTCCATACCGAGCCGTTTCCCACCCATCATACTGGCGACCTGTCCCGCACTCCTTTTCCTGCGGTGCCCGCGCACCTTCTTCCCGATCTTGATGCTGCCCTTCCCCCCGAACAGTCCGCCTGCTAGCAGCTTCTCGCGCTCTTCTTCCTCACGGAGGACGTCTGCGCCTTCCTCGTCGTCGCCCGAGGAAGTGGAGGAGGTGGAGGGGCGGGCGGAGACGGGTGGGAGGGTGTGGGAGGGGCCGGTGTCGACCGCAGTGTAGGCGGGCGCGTCGCGGTCGTACGACGACCGGCTGAAGAGGTCGCGCGCGGAGGGCCGCGGCTTTTTGGTTCGCGCCATCGTTCGTGGGGTGTGCGTGGGTATGTGCCGGTATGTAGCTGGCGGGCTGGCGTGCGGGGCTCGAGGCGGAGTTGTTGAGGTATGTAGGGAAGATGGAGTGCTATCCCCCACTGTTAAATGTGAGCGCTGTGGGTCAGTGGAGGTGGAGGTGTCACAAGCACGAACTTTAGGTTCGGGTGGTGGATTTGGTGGATTTGGTCGGATACTGTAGCTGGTCAGAGCTCGGTGACTATCTATGGCGTGGACGCGGCGGACTGGAGGGTTGCGCTTCAGCTTTGTGTCTACATAGTATGCATCCCAACATCTACATAATAGAATCCGAAGCAATTCGATTTCCTATCTGCATAACCATCGCGATCTCCTGCCCGCTACCTACTACAAGCCCAGAGTACCTACCGTAGCGCACCAGCGATCGGCCGCATGTATCCTTCCCTTCTCATCCACCACGCCACAAACGCAAACTCATACATACATACAAAACATCTGCAGCCCTGTAGGCTGTCCCGGTTCCGCATCGGCCCGCACACCGGAAACGAAGAGAAGAAAAAAACGTAGAGTGGATAGAGTAGAGTATAAAACCCAAATTTCTGCCTTATGTAGATGGTCGTCGTCGTAAAGTATCGATCGGTAGAACGAGCAAAAGAAATCCATCCATCCATCCAACAATCCGCAGTCCCAAATCCGCCACGAACGAACGGACACAGAACGAACACAGGCCCGACCCGTCAGTCATCCAATTACGTATATGTGCGTGGCACCCCCTCCCCCCGGCGCCCGCCCGCCCATCATCGGAAGAAGAAAAAAATAGAAAAGAGAAAATGAAACGAGCGAAAGCAAGCAAGCAAACGACATAGAAGCAGCAGAAGCATCATCATCATCCCACGGCGCCACATACAGCACGACAGCACTAAACAACCCTCACGCCCCTCGCCCTGCGAACACCATCGACGACCCTGCCGCTGCCGCTGCCGGCCCCACCGCCGCCCTCGAGCCTCCTGACCCAATACCCCGCCGAGAAGCTCACCGCACTCAGGAGCACGATAGCCCCCGCCGAGAATGCAAGAGTTACGAGGGTGGTGCGGAGGACTTCATTCTTGACCTCCTTCTTCGGCCTCCTGCTTCTGCCGCCCTTCCTCGTTCTCCTGCCCTCCTCACTACTGACCGACTGCGACACGGACGCACTGGTCGTGGTAGCCGGCGGACTAACGCTCTGCACCACACGCAGGCCCTCGACGCGGTCGCGCTGAACATGTGCGCCCGCGCCCCTTGCCGCAGCAGCACAGCTGAGCAGCGTGCTCAGCGACGCCCGTAGCGCCGCGTCGTGCTCCATCTCCAGCCGCGCCTTCTCGGCAAACACGGGGCGCAGCGGCCCACCCTCCTCCTCGTCGTCCTCCTCGGTATCGTCCTCGCTCGCCACGTCGTCAGCCGAACACTCCGAGTCGCTCAGTGGCTGCGACGCGAGGAACGAGGCTACGTCTTCGCCCTCGCCCTCATACTCCTCCGCCTCCGATTCCTCCGACGATTCCTCTCCCCGCGACAAGGAGGAGGTCGACGACGAAAGCGACGCAATGCTGTCGATCAGTATCGTCTCAGCGAGGTGATGGTTGTGGTTGTGGTTGGGGTAGGCACGCTGGTGCTGCTGCTGGTGCTGCTGCGAGGAGGGATACGTGTGGTGTCGCTGCTGTAGGTGTTGTGGACGACGGATGCGCAGGCCAGAGGTAATGATCTCCTCTTGCTCCTCCTCCTCTTCGTCGGAGCCAGAGATCTCGATCCAGCTGTCTTCTGTACGGCGTTAATTAGCGCTAAGGATCGGGGGGGGGGGTGGAGGGTGGAGGGCGAGGGAGGGAGGGAGAGCGAACGAACCGGGACGTGATGGCGACGAGGAGAAGTGCGTGCGGGGTTGGGGACGCTGCATTTTGTAGTAGTGGGGATGGGTGTTGGTGTGTGGTGGGTAGATTGTCGATATCTCTCGCTCGCTCCGCTCTCTCTCTTTCTCTACTGCTGGCGGTGGTGGTAGAGGTAGTGGTGATGGTGGAGGTGATGGTGGTGATGGTGAGGTGGTTGTGGATGAAGCAGCGACGACACGACGACACGGTAACTAGTACTCGTAGATGCCTGCCTTGGTCGGTGATTCGGTCGGTCAGTCGCCCCGTAGGCGTGGGCGGCGTGGTCTAAGTAACGGATCCGGCAACCTTCTAGTTACTAGCAGAGTGGCTTCTGGCGTGCAGCGGTGTACGAGTCCAAGTGGTGGCAGAGGAAGGTCGCGCGGGTTAAGAGGGTGCAACTATAGCTATGATATAGCTAAAAGCAGCTCACAAGAGTCGTTCCCCTGTTCTATTCCTACCTCCCTCCATTCCCTTCAACTCCCTATCCTTGAGAGAGACAAGCCTCCTCGGCTGCCCGCGGGTGGGTGGGAATCTCTATCTCTATCTCTGCCGTTGACCGCTGGGCCTCGAGAGAGACAGTCAGATGCAACGACGGCCAACAGCCAACCAACACCCGAGCGAGAGAGCTCTCAAGTCTCATGATCGCTGCCCATCACCGCCCCCCCGACCCCAGCGCATATTGTCTTGCGTACCTCTATCTATCCACCGCATATCTCGGGGAGGGACAGGGACATCAAATCCCAGCCGGGTGCAGACTCCATCTCTCTCGCACCGCATATGTAAACCTCAGCCCAGAAGCCCAGAGAGAGCTCCCAACAAAAAAAAAGAGAGAGAGTGGGTTTAAGGTTGGGAATATGTATGAAGTAAAGTATGCACGGCCAAATGTCGACTGTTTTTTCGTGCTCGGACTCCGGCTCGGAGTTGAACTCGGACTGCAGAGAACGGAACGGACGTGGTCATGTGTTCGTCGCATCATGTCGACTCAGACGGCGCGACTTGGGGTTGGTTAGGTTGATGTCATTGATTCGTATCTCCCCCGTACTCCACTCTCGCTTCTCTGTACTCTACAGAAAACCGGCGACCGGAGTGTTTCGTCACACAAACCCCACGCGTGGATCGTCAAAGTATGTAGAGCGACGAAGGATCATGAATTGAACGTCAACTCGTACCCACTTGACGCGGACATTTATTGCAAACTTAATAATAAAAAGAAAGAACTCCAACCACCCAACAAAAAAACACTTTTTGGTATCCCCCGAAACGAGATTCAAGACAAAAGACAAAAGACCAACGGGAACGGGAAGGGAGACATTAGAGTCGTACCATCATGGACCACAGAAACACGCAAAGAAAAAGCCCACTTTATCATACAAGATTATCGTGCCTGCAACTCACCATGTCCTAGTGTAGTAGAAGGGGAGATGGAGTGTGTGCAACACGTTTAATCAAAGGAGACCTTCTTTCCCTTGAAGTCCCCGAAGCCTCCGCGGTTGGTGGTTCCGCCACGACCGCCACGGCCGCCACCACGGTCACTGAAGCCACCACGACCGCCACGTCCACCACGGTCACCGAAGCCACCACGGCCGCCACGACCACCGCCACGTCCACCGCGGTCGTTGAAGCCACCACGGCCACCACGGCCTCCTCCTCGGCCTCCGCTGCTGCTGGGGTCACGGGGAGTAGAGAAGTCGGTGCGGATGGCACGTCCGTTGACGAAGGCACCAGACATACCCTCGACAGCCTCCTTGGCCTCGGCGATGGAACCGAACTGGATGTAACCGAAACCCTTGCGCTGACCAGACTCACTGCCAATAGTTAGCATCCGGACAGGTCAAGTTGTTCAGAAGGGGGTAATTACGCGTCAGTGGGGAGACGGAGGCCAATGATGTCTCCGAACTTCTCGAACTCGTTACGGACGATGTCCTCGTCAACCTCGAAGCTCAAGTTGGCAACGAAGACGGTGTCGCTCTCGGTGCTGCGCTGGTCACCGAACTTGGAAGCACGGTCGTTCTGAGCGGGGCGCTCGGGGCGAGGAGTAGAGAAGTCAACGTTCAGGGTGCGTCCGTCGAGCTCCTTACCCTGCATGGCGTCCATAGCGGCCTTGGCAGAAGCGGCGGTGCTGTACTCAACGTATCCGAAACTGGAACAAAATCAGCACTGATTAACGTTCAAGACAATGGATGAATATACCCCTTGGAGCGACCAGTGGCACGGTCGGACATGACGGTGCAGCGGGTGAGCTCTCCGAAAGTCTCGAACTCGCTTCGCAGCCAGTCGTCGTCGACGTTCCAGGACAGGGAACCAACGAAGAGGTTCTTCGAGTTCTCCTCAACAGGCTCATCCTCCTTCTTGGACTTCTTCTGGACGGGGGAAGCAGCGACCTCAGCCTTGCGCTTCTTGTTGTCCTCTTTGGGAGAGGCCTCCTCGGAAGAGTCGGAAGCGCTGTCATCGGAGTCGGAAGAGTCGGAGTCGGAAGTCTATGCAATGTCAGTAACATGCGCCCGAACACGGTGGTGGAGAGTGACATACCTCAGTCTTCTTGGCTCCGGCAGCAGCCTTAGCGGCAGGCTTCTCGTCCTCGGACTCGGAGTCAGAGTCGGAGTCGGAGTCGCTGGAGTCGGCCTTCTTGGCCTCAGCCTTGGGTGCATCGGCATCGGCCATCTCCTCGTCGCTGTCGGAGTCGGAGTCGTCGGAAGAGTCCTCCTTGGAGGCGACCTTGGCGACCTCCTTCTTAGCAGCGGGCTTCTCGTCCTCAGACTCAGAGTCAGAGTCGGAGTCGGAGTCGGAGTCGCTGGTGTCGGCCTTCTTCGCGGCGGGCTTAGCAACGGCCTTGGCGGCGGGCTTCACCTCCTCCTGCTCGGACTCAGAGTCGGACGAATCGTCAGAGTCATCCTCGGACTCAGAGTCGGACTCAGGCTCGGGAGTGGGCTCCTTGACGACCTTCTTCTTCTTGTCCTTCTTGTCGGACTTCTTCTCCGTGACAGCGGCGACGGCCTTCTTGGCGACTTCCTTGGTCTTCGCGGCCTCCTTCGCAGGCTTGGTGATGCCAGCCTTCTTGACGGTGGAGAGAACCTTCTTGTCGGCGCCCTTGGCGGGCTTGGTAGCTTTCTTTGTAGTAGGACCCATTACTGCGGTGTTAGATTGTATGAATATACAAACCTGGTTGTGGGGAAAGGCGGTAGAGAAGAGATGGGATGTGAGTGGAAAAAATGTGGAAAAGCCCTCGGATCGGAACGTTAAGCCCTCAGTTTCAGTTCTAACGGATCGTTAAGAATGAAGCCCTCGGAAACCCAATAGTAACAGATGTGCGAATGCGGAACAAGCCCTCAGTGCCCAACAGAGTCAAACAATCGTGGAGAATTGAGTGAACCAAGTATGAAGCCCTCAGATGGAATCGTCAAAAAAAGCCAATTGGAAAGGTAATCCCCCAGTGATGAATCTTCTTCTGATTTGAGTGCGAGTGTGCGGCAATAAGGCAAGTAGGGAGGGAGAAGGGAGTGGTGAAGAGGTGAAGAGAGAGAGGATGGTGGGGGAAAGACGTGTTTGGAGGAGCGATGTGGGGATTAAAAGGCGGGCGCGAAGAGGCTGGGGGCCGTTTTTTTTTCGCGGCAAAAAAAAGAAAGGTAAAAATGGAGAAAACTCAGTTCACGCTACAGCAAGCTTAAGCTTCCAGGGTTCTCGCCCATGTACGGAGCCATCCGACGATAAGATTAGCTTCATTGGGGCAAGAGGTGAATTGAGGAGATGACCCACCATGTGAGTGGCAGATCATCTTGATAAGATGTTGGATTAGATGCCTATGGTTTTGGTCTACGCAGGATAACCGAACTCTTCAGAACTTCAGCAAATTTCGTAGAGAGCCTCCATCCCGTTACAACCCACGAAACACGCAACAGTCGTCACCACCCCACTTTCGCATCCACTCTATCTCGGATATGGCGACTGCCCTGTGTATCCGCTGCGTCAGCCGCACTTCTCCCCGCCGATTCCTCATCGGCGCCTCGCGGCTGTACTCCGATGACGCCTCCCCGCTGACCACCCCGCTCACTCCCGGTCCCGTCAAGCCTGCCGCCGATGCCACGATCATTAGAAGTTCCACGCTCGCCGGCACCAAGCTGAACAACATCAACTACTTCAAGAACAAGCAGGACCCGGTTGCTCTGGAGGATAGCGAGTACCCGGAGTGGCTGTGGGCTGCGCTGGACGACAGCAATAAGTCAACTAGCAATGCGGCCGAGGATGTCGGGGATCTCTATTGTATGTTACATGCGTCCTCTTCCCTTGCTACACCCACACCTCGCATACAGCCAGCCAACTGACCGCCAGCCCGCAGCCAAGTCCAAGAAAGCCCGATCACTCGCCAAAAAGCGCGCCGCGAGAATGGCAGCCCTCGAAGCGTTAGACCCAGAAAAGAAAGTTCCTATCCACGAGCAGACTATTGATCTTCCCTTCACCACCATCATGGACCCGTTGCATGGTGGCCCGGCGGCTCCTTCGCCACTCACGAGGACTGTTGCTGCTGTTGGAGGTGTTACCGCGAGATTGGGGGCTGGCAAGACGAAGCTCAAGATTGTGCCTACGACTGTCACTATTGGTGGTGAAGGTAATTTCCAGGTTACCGGTGTCGAGGCGGCCATGGCAAGGCAGGAGATTAAGAAAGCGCTGCGCAAGAAGGGAAGGGCCAACATTAAGGAGGGCAACTTCTTGGCTCAAATGTAAATGGTTGTGTATTTGTACATGAGGTTTTGTTCGATAGGCCGATACATGTGCATTACTTTGAGTCTCAAAGTTTAGTTGAGCGCTGTGACCTGGAGATCAAAACTTATCCTCCTCCTCCATGACGCGGCCGTATTCTTCCTCGGGGAAAGGAACATGAACGCTCAAAGAATAAAGAGATTCTTAAGCCTAATTGATAGCCAATCCGCGATGATCAATGACGCTAAAACATGTGCGGTCTTCGCACCTAATCACGTACTCTCCGGGCCCGACCCCCACACATGCATGCGGCTCAACAACCCACCCTCAATTACCCTACCACGAACACGAACCATCCACAAAGCTCGACCCCAAAGCTAACCTCACCCACGATCACGGCCGTCCCCCACTAACTTCAACGTGCCGCCATCGCCATGCTTTTCTTCAGGTATTCCATTCCCTTCCTTAGTCACGATATTTCCTCTTTCATCATCAACTGACCGTGCTTACACGTGTATAGTTTCTTCAAGACCCTCGTCGACCACGAAGTACGTTCTTTTTCTCAACCCCGCGCTCACCCGCACCCGCACCTCGCCCACCCACCCAATGATGAGAACTCCGCAAGTCATCCTTAGACGCAGCGTCAGGTCTTCACTCGTGAGGTCGCTGACGCCAGGACGAGACGACGCACAGTTTATCTCTGAGGGCTTCTTCTATTCTACCCGCCTGTTCTGCAAAACGCAGATGAACTGAGCACGGAGCACGGACGTTGACGGGCACAGGTTACAATAGAACTCAAGAATGATCTCTGCATAACCGGCACGCTCAAGAGTGTCGACCAATTCCTTAACATCAAGCTCGACGAGATCCGGGTTAAGGATGAGGCGCGGTATCCGCACCTTGTAAGCCACCTCCTCCGAATTTGGTATGATAAGGTCTTTAACTCACGGATATAATAGGCGGCAGTAAAAAACGTCTTCATCCGTGGCTCGGTCGTGCGCTACGTTCATCTACCCGCCAATGCGGTCGACACTGCGCTACTCGAGGATGCGACGAGGAGGGAGGCGGCCAATACGGCGGGCGCAAAAGCGAGGTAATGCGCGGTGCGGATTGTTGTAGGATACAGCGAATATGGATGCTACCCCCTGTTTCTTTACGATGTCATGATTGAAATTGCGCGAGCCGGGAGTTGAATTACATTTTCGGGGCGGAACAGTTGACAAACTTGATGCGCCTGTGCCTCACTTCTGTCATGAGTCGGATTTATTCGTGAAATAACCATAATCGCCTTTGCTCACATTAATTGTCGACCCATTAATTTCTTTGACCATTTCCCATAATTGATCGACTGATTGATCGATTGAATAATAGTTGGCACCCATCTGCGTAGTAGCCATGACATGAGCCCTACTACTCCTTCACGCACCAATGCTCACAAATTCCAACATGGTATGCATAAGTTCACCCAATACGTTCCAGCCTCCAACACTGCAACTTCCTCCGTCTTGAAAATCACCGCTACAATGCAGAAAACGCCGTGATATCAAACTTCAGTGTTAATAGCAAACGTCCACCCTAGAATCAAGCCCATTATCAGTGGCGAATCATGAGCGCTCACTCGCATTTTGACGATTTTTGTTTACTGCTGTTTCCCCGAGTGAAGATCGTAGGTTCCTGCCTCGAGCTGGTCATTCAGACTACGGGTAGGATGCTCGGGAATGTGCTTTGTATGATGGTGAAAGGTTATATGCAGTATGGAGGGGGGAAACCGCCAGTGGAGAGCTCAGGGGAAGTCAGTTTGCATTGCAATGGTAAACTACTGCCTTTCCAATTCTCTACCCATCAATACTGGACCAAAGTGAGAAAGCATTCTACCGATGCTTAGCGAGCAAGGGCGGCGGTCCCTGGATCCTCGCGACTAATTTGGTATGTCTCGAGCGCAATCAGTGGGTTAGTGGTATGTTGCCCCAGCAGGATCGGTTTCAAGGCCGACGGGCTAGTTGGCACCAGCAGCCGAAGTAGAACATGCAATCTCACTCGGTAAATCAAAATTCCCCAATTCCTTAGAAACGGGGCTTTCCTTTTTGCTTAATTATGATTGTATTCGAACTTGTTAGATCATGGTAGTCACATGACCGTTTCCCCCGTCTATCCGGGGCGTAGTGGACGATGCGGATGTAGCGGAAACAACAAAGTAGGTAGTGTGAGTTCGACAAATGAAAGGTGGCATAAGGCAGCAGATTCCTTTGGCGCCAGTAGGTCAACTAAACACTATACACTCAGTTCATGACCTGAGGGAAGGGTGGTATCCAGTCTGTCTTTCTCGATTTTCTTGGTGCGCTTCTCCATCTAAGAGTCGCCATAGCGGAGGACGGGAGTGCGAGCTTGAGTGTTTCCGTTTGCCCATTGGTAACTTGAGAGAATTAGAGCGATCGAGAGCAATTGGAAATAATCTGTGGTGAGGCATGTCTCCGTTGTCGGCCATATCGTCGAGTGGTAACGGTCGATTGGGGAAATACTTCCTGCAACACCGCGCCTCTTCGTGGTAGTTGTCTAGCATGGGTACCGCACAGGCGAGTACTGTACAATAGTATCCGGCATCTAACCACCAGTCTGAAAGTCGGAAGGCCCGAAGCAGGGCTGAGAAGCCCGGGACCCTTGAGGGGTGATGAAAAAAGGTAACGGTGCATGAGGTTGAAGTGAGAGGGGTAATAGTAGCTGTGTTTCCTTTTGTTCACGCGTGCCTACATTCGAGACCAAAGTTCTCGCCTGCGCGGCTAATCTTGCGCCATGCCTCAATCACGTCGCCATAGGAGGTTGTATCGCAGGCGTGGCGGTTGTAGCGGTAGTGTGCCGGCATCGGGACTAGTGCCTTGTGGAATTGAGAGTTGTCCGGTTTCACAGGCCACGGCCCGAAGAGCCTCAAGAAAAGTTTTAGCTCGTCATTTGGAACTCGAACGACATGGTCTGACCAGAGACCTTTCCCACCAGTGACCACAGATTTTCTCCAACTGTTCTCCACCGCTCCAATTCCCTCACGTTATCATAATGGCCAAACGAAAGCACTCAAGCTCGCAAGCTTCGTCTTCGGCGCCCTCCAAAAAGAAGGGAAAGCCAACCGCGTCCCCCACCAAAGCACCCATTGAGAACGACATCGAATCCTCCTTCCGTCCCGGTCTTTTCGAGAAAGATGTGCTCAAGGAATACAACACGCAATATCGTGATTCTGGCCCGTGTGTTTCGTCCCTCCCGCTCCTGCCTCTCGCTATTGCACTGACACTAGCCTAGCTACCCGCACGCCGTGATCCCCACCCTCATTTCATCGCCGCTGCTGCACTCAGTCAAGAACGAGATTCTCACGCACCTCTCCTTCACAGCGAAAGAAACCGACATCTACCGGCTACACCAGACGGGCGATCTCGCCAACCTCTCCGGGCTTCCACAGGAGCTTGCCGCAAAGCTCCCTTCGCTCCGCCGCCTCCGCGATGCGCTATACTCCCAGAAATTCCGCGACTATGTGTGCGCTGTCTCCGGATGTGGACCATTGAGCGGCACGAAGACGGATATGGCCATCAATGTTTACACACCCGGATGCCACCTACTCACGCACGACGATGTCATTGGCAGTCGCAGAGTGAGCTACATCCTCTACCTGTGTGGCAGCGAGGACGAGCCGTGGAGGCCTGAATGGGGAGGTGCGCTACGGCTGTATCCTACGGAATTGGCGGACGACGGGACGAAAGTGCCGACGGCAGAGTGGTCACGCGTTTGTCCTCCTGCTTGGAATCAGTTAGCGTTCTTTAAGGTTGTGCCCGGCGAGAGCTTTCACGATGTCGAGGAGGTTTACGATCCCGAAGATGGAACCGAGCGTACTAGAATGGCAATCAGTGGGTGGTTTCACATTCCACAGCGCGGCGAAGACGGTTTCATCGAAGGGCTGGAAGAAGAGCTGGGCAAGAAGAGTTCGCTAGCGAGCTTGCAAACCAAGAGTGATTGCTATGACCGGCCACAGCCGCAGGTGGTGTCATACAAGCAGGTGGACAAAAAAGGGAAGGGCAAGGAGGAAGATGAAGACGACGATGATGCGTTCTCACCAGAAGAGATCGACTTCTTGCTCAAATATATCCACCCGACGTTCTTGACGCCCGCTACCCTCGAACAGCTAGCAGAGCAGTTTGCGGGCGATTCGGCGATACAGATCTCATCATTTCTACGCAACACTTTTGAGAAGCCGCTGCGAGAGTACATTGAGTCGAACGATGGCAAGCCGAGCACTTGGCCCGTCGCCGTACCACCGCATAAGCAGAAATACCTCTACCTACAGTCCTCTAGCGGCGGCAAGGGGATGACTCCGCTTGAAGAACTCGTCACCGTTCTCCTTCCTTCGCCACAGTTCAAGAAACTGATCCAACACGCCACTGGACTAAAACTGACATCTCGCAACATTCTTGCACGACGGTTCCGGCGAGGAATGGATTACACACTGGCTACAGGATTGAGCTCATCTTCTCCCGCCACCGAAGATAACCCCATGCAGTTGGAGCTCACTCTCAACCTCACGCCTACTACTGGCTGGGAATCCCCTAATCCTGAGGAGGAAGAAGGTATGAAAAAGAAGGAGAAAAAGAAAGCCAAGGGCAAGGGTAAGAGCAGGCTCAACCCGGATTTCGTTCGAGAAGAGAAGGAGAAGCGGTTCGACGACTCCGCCCGCACTCTTGGAGGATACGAGATGTATATGGCTGCGGAAGACGATGATCCCACCAATGATCCCGCGGTATACAAGGCTGGAGGAGATGAGGAAGAGGATGGAGTGCTGTTTGTTAACTACCCTGGATGGAACTCTCTCAGCCTTGCGTTGCGCGACCAGGGTGTGCTGAAGTTCGTTAAATATGTTAGTGCTTCTGCGAAGGGTGATCGGTGGGACTTGGTCGGGGAGTTTGGGATGGAGAAGCTTGAGGATGGGGAGAGTGATGAGGAAGATGACGATGAAGAGGGAGGCGAGGATGAGGAGGATGAGGAGGATGATGAGGATGAGGACGGAGATACGAGTGGAAGTGAAGACGACGGTGAATATGATAATGAGCCGGAGTGGAAGGGGTGCTCTCCGTAGTAGGCTGGTAACGATGGTGGGCACTGTGGTGGATATAGCAAAGAGCGTTTGCCTCGGGTACATACCTACATACAAAAGATCTTCGAGTGAACAGTGTTAGAAAGTTCATAAGTGCATTGAAACTACGAATGAGCAGTAGTTCTGCGATTGGTGGTGGCTTTGTTGAAGCTCTAACATGAATCCTCACACAATACTACCAGGAAGCTCGTGTTACGGAGGTAAGGAACGGAAAAGTAGCCATATTGTGGGCAGTGCAACCAGTTAGCCACCATCTAAGAAGTATGGTTGCAGATATGGTGAACTGTAAAGGATACCTATCATTACTTGCTCTCGGATGTTGAACGACGGGTTGGCACGGCAATCTCCGGCCCACTCCGCTGATGACGGTAAAGCGGGGGATGCTGCTTATCCCTGCATCTCCCTGCAGGCACCAAAAGGTGTCCTAATGGCCGCGGGGCATTCCCCACAACTAACCGCCTCATCTCATTCTCTCCCGCCACAAGCTACCGCGAATGCTTCTTACTTTTGGCCACCGAGCAGCTTTTTCGGCGTTTCGCTCCCGAGGTAGGCTCATGCGGCGGAGGCGCTGTCTACAACTGACTCCTCGCAGTTATAACACCCCTTGCCCAGACTTGCTCTCTGTTGTCCAGTATGCCGCATATTCCATTGTCCACATACTGTCATCCATCATAAGACCCTATTGCGAGTCAATAGCTTACGAAATCAGTATCGCGTACGATGTACAGCACATGCGCCCCACGCAGTAATGAGTGGACACGTTCGCCTGCTGAATTCGACTTCCGCTCTGACACCGTGACCTCGCCGACACCCTCTATGCTCGCCGCACTCTCCAATGCCTCCCTCGGCGATGACGTCTACCAAGAATCAACGACCACGAATGCCCTCTCCACCCGTATCGCGAAACTCTTTGGGAAAGAAGTCGCGCTATTCGTTCTTTCAGGGACGATGGGGAATCAGCTCTGTATCCGTGCGCTTCTCGAGCAGCCGCCGTACTCGGTACTTTGCGATCACCGGGCCCACATCTGTACGTCTGAAGCGGGCGCAACGGCGTTAATCTCACAGGCAACCATCACCCCAGTGATACCCCGCAACGGACTCTATCTCACTCTCGAGGACGTGAAGAAACACGTTATCATCTCGGATGACATCCACTACGCGCCTACTAAGATTATATGCTTGGAGAACACCATTTCGGGTGTGATTCATCCCCTCGACGAGATCAAGCGGATATGTGCTTTTGCTCGAGAGCATGGGATCGGCGTGCACCTGGACGGCGCAAGATTGTGGAATGCATGCTCCGTTCCCTCGTCGCCATCGCTTGCGGAATATGCACGTGAGGCGGACTCGGTGTCGGTGTGTGTTAGCAAGTCGTTGGGTTGTCCTGTAGGCTCTTTCATCGTGGGATCAGAGAAACTGGTCGCAAAGGCGACTCACATGCGGAAACTTCTCGGGGGCGGGATCCGGCAGGCCGGGATCTTGACGGCAATGGCGGAGGTTGGACTAGACGAGGTGTATCTAGCTGGAAGATTGGAAGAGTCAAATGTATATGCCAAGCAAGTGGAGGCTGCATGGGTGAGATGCGGAGGGACGGTGACACTGCCGGTGGATACCAATGCCGTGTGGCTTGACCTTGAAGGCCGAGGGGTCAGCTTAGAGATTTGGCAGCAGGTTGGGGAGGACATCGGAGTTAAACTAGGCGGTGAACGGATCATGTGTCACTTCCAGAACTCGGCTGAGGCGGTCAAGAGGTTGGAAGATGTTATGAAGGAGGCTTGCCGCAGGGCAGATACTGTAGGGCTGGGCACAGAGAGGGGAGGAGAGGATGAGGTAGCGTCCAAGTCGTATCTCAGAAGTAAACATTGATAAGGCTGTTTCTCGCCGGCATTACCGGTTTGCTTGAAGGTTTCAGGGCCTGTTCATTCGGCTCGTTTAAGGTCTTTCGTGTTTTCCTTACGTCCGTATCATTCTAGACCCTGGGAGGCGTTCGGCTGTTTGTATCGACTGCAGAGGACTTTTTATGGTCTCACAAGCCCTGGTATCCGTGGGCCAGAATTTCCTACTAAAACGCCCAAAGTTTCTTTCCTGCAGGTTCACGGCAGACACGGACAAACATCAGTCAGCACTCGGATCTGCCAAGCCGCTAACCGGGTTGAGCCGCCTATTCAAAATTTCTCACACAAAAGAATTTCGGTCCCAGCTCACTTCACCCACCTTCCTTCCCCAACTCACGTTCTCCCCACTTCCCTCTCACAACACTCTCCCTCAATCCACCCACCATCCATCACATCTCTCACAATGTAGGCTTCACCATTGCATTCCGCACCATCATCTGGACGCTTTGGCTAACCTTCGCAATCGTAGGTTCGCTCTTCGCCGTCTCGCAACGACAGCCAGCCGCAGCGCCGGTCGCCCCGCTGCCGCATTGGGATTGACCCGTCACGCCCGCCCCCAAAATCTTGCAGAACTCCGCTCCTTTGAGTCGCTGCTCCAGACCCGTTTCTACTCGTATGACAACCAGTCCTCCGGCGACGGACGACAGGATGCGTACCGGAGAGTAGGTGACAACGGCTCAGACCGACCGGCGTGGCAGCAGCGCCAGAACAACACCACCCCCACAAAGGTTGTGTACGTTGGAAACCTCAAGTACGAGGTCACCGAGAAGGATATCGAGGAGAAGTTCCGCGAGTTTGGTGATGTCCGTGGTGTCCGCATTCCCCGCACCAGCGAGACCGGTATTGCCCGAGGGTATGGTTTTCCCGCTTCCGCTCTCATGAAATTTTCTTCTGCCACCCTTCACATGTACATGGAGTGACGAAGATTGTGTTTAGATTTGCCTACGTTGAGTTCGGTGCTTTGGAGGAGGCCGCCGAGGCTATCGAGGCTATGCACATGGCTTCGTTCCTTGGCCGTCGCTTGAACGTCCAGTACGTGAACCGCTCCGACATGCGCATCAAGAACAACCCCGAGAGCAAGACTCTGTTCATCGGTAACCTTTCTTTCAACACCACCGATGAGGACCTGAACGAGCTTTTCAAGGACGTTGCCGGCTGCGTTGACGTTCGTGTCGCCATGGACCGCCGCACTGGTCAACCCCGGGGTTTCGTCCACGCCGACTTCGCGGACGTTCCCAGTGCCGTTAAAGCTAAGGAGCAGCTCGCTGGTACTCAGTTGTACGGCCGTCAGATCCGCATCGACTACTCTGTGCCCCCGGATGAGCGCAAGAAGCAGTACGAGGAGCGCAACGAGGCCGAGGACTCAGAGGCTTCGGGGGAGCCCGTGAAGTCCGAGGCTGATGCCGAGGCACAAGCCGAGGAGACAACGGAAAAGCCTTTGTCCTCGTAAAGAGTGCAACCAATATAAAACAATAATTGGGCGTGTGGAGATTAAGGTATAAAAAGTTGGCGGGGGAGGCAGGAGAAGAGTGGAGTCAGTGTATAGATACGATTGAACGGTTTTTTTTTTCGGATTCTGTTGTCAGTTTTTTTTCCCGCCAGTTTTGTACTCAAACTCCCATGTTCTTTCTTCTTCATTGCGGAGCGTAAGTAGGAGGAGGAGCGTGTGAGGCTTCTTGAGTTTAACTTGTACGGTATGGGTTGGGTATAATCGGGTTTCTTCTTTTCATTTTCAATCGTTTTCTCTGTACATCTTCTGAAGATTGTTATGCCCATCCCATCACCAGCGACAACCATTGATGGAAAGGAGGACGAGAAGGGGAGGAGAAGGTAGCTTATTGTACGATATTGGGTGTGTGTGATAGAAGTAGGGATTGGAAGAAGAAGACGATTTTCAGGGAACGAACAGTGCCCTGGATGCGTGCGATGGCGTTGGGTTGGGGTACCTAACTCGTACAAATGGCAATTTCATCTCTCCTCATCTTGTTTGCTCTCATCTCGTTTGCTCTGCGCCTAAGAAGTGATGCTGTATTCTTCATGGTGCAATCATTAGATGCTTGCGACCTAATTAGGTCATAGCCTTCCTAAATACTTGTAAACCGTTTTCATGTCCACTGTCCAACCCGACATCCATCAGTCCGCAGCAGCTCGCTGTGGCTCCTCCTCGCTGCCCTCCGCCCTGGCATTCCTAAAAGATATTTAGAACGAATTGAGGAAATAAAGTTAGGAAAAGAAAGTTTCCACCCCACATTTCGCTACGCCCCCGGCCTCTTCGTCAGGTGATGTCATGAAGAAGGGCGTGCGAAGGAACGGTGGTGGGACCCCATTCCTCAACCTCACCGCCCTCCTTCTCCTCTCGCCTCCTCGCCTCTTTTACACCTCACCTCTTTCTAGAAGAAGCTGGGGGAGTGAGCGGTGGGTTGGTTTGGATGCTATGGCCGAGCGATGGGGATGAAGCCGCACCTTTTCATGTCCGAGGAACCGGCACAGAGCGATCTCCTGGGTGAATATGTAGGAGTCTGTTTCCTTAAAGCTGCTCTTTTACTTCACGTCTGACCACCTCTCCCTACATAATACTAAATATCACTCGCCTACTGGCCGATATCGAGAGAGCCATGATGGAGTAAAAATGGTTTGATTCCGCCCTTGCCAACCGAAACTACTAGTACGAAAACAGAACAAACGTGCCCAGTGCCTCTCGCCCGCACATGGCTCACGCATAGTATCTCGCCCCACCATACTTGTAACTATCGTAGAAGTCAGTATCCAGTCATGTCTCATAGTATATTGAGTGCTTACTGTATGGTCATTAAAAATTATCGTATTATCGTATTATTTTCGAAAATCTACTCCGCCGGAACTGTCGTCCCCTCCCCCGAGAGTCCTCACCCCCCCTCAAACCATACCGCCCCGATGATCGTTCTCCTCGGCCACAATATCCTCATCGGATGATGGGAGTGTGGTCGAGTTCACAACGTCCGCAAGACGTTGCGCCGATATCGGGGTCGGTTGGATGCCCCTGATGAGTTTCGCCTGCTTCCAGGCCCAGTACTTCGCGGACTGTTTCTCCCTCATCGAAGGCAAGGCCCAGGGCCAGTCCGAATCATCGGGAGAGAGTGCGGTGCCAAACTTGGCCACAAGTTCGCCCGGCGTCAGGTCTACATGATTCCGCAGCTCGTCCAGTATCTGGTGCCGGTCACAGGGATCCAGACCGAAACCGACCTCGATACCCTGGTAGTCAGGGTGGGAACTTAGTCCCTCTTTTGCGTAACACGCGAAAAGAATCGCCGCACACAAGATGCGGTACTGGCGGGTCTCCTCGACAAACTCTACCACCTCGAAAATGTCCCACGCCCGGTACCGAGTGGTACCAGTGTGGGACATTATCTGGTACAGGGCATCCTCCATGACCTTGGCCACCGAGAGGCCGGAGAGATCTCCAGACAGGTACACTGCCCGGCTGACACCATTCTGGTAGACAGCATTTCGCAGCTCCTCCGACACAGGCTCCGAATTTCTGGTCCACTTGAAAGGACTCGGAGAAATGGGGCAATGAAAATAGTCCCAGTTGAGACTAGTCTTCAGGTGGCCGTCCGCCACGGGGAGCCACAAGGGACGGTTGAAGAGCCTTATATATTGCTCACGGGCGCAAATCGGGTCAACAAATAGTATCACTATTTCCCGTCTCCTTCTGCTGTAGGTGATCGACTCGACCACACCACACGAGATTCCCTTGAAAACGTTTCGGATATCAAACACGTTTTCAGGGACGGAAATGAACTTGATCTCTCTGATCAGTTCAAATTTATCCGGCGCCGTTTCGTCCGAGAAAGGAATCCAGCCCGGATACTGTGATAAGGAATCCGAAGGAGCGAGGGAGTCGGTATCCTCCATACACTCCATGAATTCCAGACATGGCTCGGGTGGAGTATTGACAGGGTGCAAGTCTGCCTCGTCGATTGGAATAACGGTCGTTACGAAGTACCGATTCAAATGCCTTAGCATATTATTCCATCTCGCGTCGTTGGCAACCTTAAGTTCTTCCTCATGGCCTTCCAACTCCTCCAGTTCTGATTTTGTTGGTTCGGACTCGAGGTTCTCAGATCCCTCGGGATTGTCACACTCGTCCTCTCCTTCATTGCCTTCAGACTCGTTGGTTAAAGCGTTCGGTTCCTCTCGGTTGTGTGCATTCACGGCGTACTTGATCTCTCTAGAGGCTGCAGGGGGAACAGACGGTAGGACGGCTCGTGGCTCATCATTGTCCCTGTCATGCTCGGATCCGTTGTTCCGGGCGTATATCTTCTGTTCCGGAAGGATACGGTCCAATTCAGCTTGCAAACTGTCATCCGAACTGCATTGGGGTCTGGGAACGGAATCCGTAGATTTCTCGTGGCCTAAATCCCTCTCGGAGGAGTTTTGTGAGTTATCAAGCTCCCTCTTGAGCTGTTCGATCTGTTGTCGGCTTGGGGGTCGTCAGCTTAGGAACACAATTTAAAGAGAAGCCAGTACTTACAACGCGGTATTTCTCTCCTCAGCATCGTTGCGTTCTTGGAGAATCGCTTCATTCAGTTCTGACAATGCGTTAATCTCTTGACGATGAATTTCATCCTTTTCAAGAAAATGCCTATTCTCTAGCTGGAGACGTTCGATCTCTTGACGCTGACTATCCACCTGGCAGCGAAGAAGGCCCTTTTCTCCACTCAGATGACACTTCTCCTCACGAAGCTCCTCAACCTCCCGGTCAAGGCGGTCCTTCTCCCGTAGGATACGTTGATTGTTGCCAGAACTCTTAGCATTCTCAAGCCTAAGACGATCACGAAGCCGTTCATGCTCGTCGCGAAGATGCGAAAACTTTTAGTCGGCACGCTTTTGCTCCTGGGCTCGGTCGAGACGAAGCTGAGAAATCTCTTGCTCGAGAGAATCTTGATTTTTGAGGAGGCCATCGTTCTCGAAACGGTGGTCGTCTATCTCACCGGCAAGGCGGCTCTTCTCGATCTGCAGCGTCAGAATCCGAGCTGTTAGTTCGCCGAACTTGTACTTCTGGTTCTTCTCCTGAGCCTTGAGCTTGCTGATATCCGTCTGAAGATTGTGAACCTTGATCTGCAACTCCCTAATCTGAGAAGAATGCTCCGGATTGTGCTGTTGCGTAAGCAGTTTCTCCTCTTTCGTACTGTTCAGAAGCTGTTGATGCTTCACTTTGAGCGTATCGTGAAGCTTCTTCATTCCATTCGCAATGTTCTGCCACTCCGTGAGCGACTTCTGCAAAGCATTCATGTTCTTGCGCTCGGCATCAAGGTCGTTTACCAGTTTGTTGACGATCTGTCGGAAGTTCTGGTGGTACTTCTCGTGGATATCCTTAAGTTCGGCCTGCATCAGCGCGGACTTCGCATTCTCACATCGTTTGAGCTCCCCGAGGAGAGTCTCGATCTGATTTTCGTACGCTCCGTTCTTTGCCTCGAGGCAGTCGATCCGTTCTTGAAGCTCAGACTTCATGGTAACATACTTGAAACGGTTCTGGAGATAATCTTGTCCAGATATGAAGGAGCAGACCGAGGGGCTCGGGTTCGCCTCTAGTGGAGTACTCGTGGGTGACATTCTGCGCAATGCTTCAACCACTCTTCTGAGCGGCTCGGTGTCGACACCTCGAAAGACAGACATTGTGTTCTTGGTAAGGAAGTATGAGGAGGTAGCGAGATTGAGAGAGAATAGTATAAGCGGGAAACTTTCTGAGAGCGGAAGAGGTTGTGGTCGAAAAGCTGAAAAGGTTGTGGCCGAAAAACGGAAGATGTTATGAGCGAAAAGCGGGAGTGGTTGCGATGAGCAGAAGAAGGTTGCGATGAGCAGAAGAAGGTTGAGCAGTTGAAGCGGCACAAGTGGAGCTGTGAATTGCCGATGGTGAAGAAGGAAGAAGAAGAAGAAGAAGAAGAGAAGCAATCCGGATGGTTGTTGATTTTGTTGTTGCAGAATCTAAGCTAGCGGAGAGATGTTGTATTCTTAGGGCTCAAACGCCCGCTCGTCGCCGCTCGCTAGCCGCTAGCGCTCACGCTGTTGCACTTATCCGCGCTCACTCACCTGCGCTCACTCACCCGTCCCCACTCCCTTAAAATAGGTACATAAAACCCTTGGAGAGACCCAGTTGCAGGAAGAAGAAGACTAGAACCGTGGGGTATATTTCCATCGGCCATACCTGTATACTTTTAGAATATGAGCCAAGAGAGCGTCACAGATGAAGATAGAAAGATAGCTCGCAACACGGCATTGCCAATCATAAGGTCACTCGATAACAGGCAACTCCTGTTTGTCGTAAGTAGCCGGAAACATACTTCTCGTAGAGGAATCAGTATACACTAATTGATATGAATGTACCTCGAAGAATGCTCTTGGATAACAATCCGGTGATCTGAGCTGGATTCAAACCCGTAATCCGAACACACTGGTGTATGCTGGACTGGTGTATGCCGGCATTTGGGCATCAGTTAGAGTGCGGACTGCTAAAAGCACCTCTTCGAAGCACCAGGGTTCTCTAACTACATAACTACCGACTCAAGACTGTACCCCATTCTGGTTATTCGAGGATCGATGCGATATCAATAAATCGGCATTTCCCCCGGACGTTTGCGAATAGGCCAATTCCGATATGTACGGAATATAACTGTCCAAACAGATAACTCCCTGCTGTCGACCAAGCGATGGCTTCTCACGCTTGAATAAATCTTTGCTTTCCTCGGGAAATCAACATTATGTTAATAAATACCCCGACCACTTCATAGGCACGGAAGGCTTTTAACTGGTAATCTGATACAAGATCGCTGTTTGTGCATCCCGCTGCTCGAGTCAGTGGATGATGCCCATAGCCGTCTCGGTTCGCGTTGCGGTCGCCAGCACACAATATAGTATCGATGTCACACTTGTATGCCTGGGAAGGCAATGATGTGCCTCAGTAACACCATACGTCAGAGGAGGGAGATTTCAGACATAGCAGTACTCCCAGAAGAGATGAGAAGTCTATGAGTGAGTTGACAACGCGTATATAGTTGAATATCGGTTCTTACATCGTCTCAATAGCACCTCGATCAGTTGCGATACATTACTTCGTCACTCGGCTAAATACCCCAATAAAATGCGTCGATTCTAGCGTTTTAACAAAAATCCAGCTTTATATTACAAATTGCAGTCTTATAAATGAGGAAATGAGTTCATGTACCTATACTCGCTCATCCAACAATGATGTGGCCAGTGGTCGGACGTCGTGTGGATGGTGTGGCTGGTGCGGCTGTGTTTGCGCTGAGAATGCAACATGACACAGCGCGAAGACGTGGCTGGCAGTAACGTTGTCCACATCATTGTTGGATGGGCGGGTATACGAAGAGCCTCACACAAACCTGACAGAATCGGGTACCTAGGACAATACCGGCTTTGGAAGTTTCGTTAAATTTTTTCGGGACTCATGCATATAGACCGGGTGTCGTTCTGTTTGCTCAAACCCCTAAACCACCACAAAACCCCTAAACCACCACAAAACCCCTAAACCACCACAAACGCAACCAGACTCTCATCTCTCCCTTATCACCCCCAATCCACCTTGTCCACCAATGACCCTAACGATTTCCTATACTTTCACCTCCACATCAATCAAATCATGGTTCGACCTCAGGGACGTTCCCGGCTTGTTTCTGTAACGATCCGGGGTCGAAGGGTAGAAATCAATGACTGATGGGTCGCAGACGGGGCTAAGGAAGTAGGAAAGAGGCAGGAAATGAGCTGAGGCCTGACAAGAACACGGGGGTTGCCTTGAGACGGGAACTGAATTGATTGAGTACAGATGTCGCGTAAGAAACCAGCAGTTGGGAAACATAGCTCCCACGCAACTCTAGCCTAAAATCGAACTAGATTCTCCACAATAACCCTTGAGAGTTCGACCCTTCCAATATCGATCACTCGATTCCATCTAACCTAAGGATTCATACAATGTTTCCCACCCATAGACTCCAAAGATCTCTCTCTCCTACCCATAGGTGTGAGCCGTGACAGTTTTCTCGATTTCGATCTCAGTAGACCAGGCTTTTTATCAGAGGAATAATAGGGCCATGAACGAAAGGAGGGGAAAGCGAGAGAAAAATACTGAGAAGGCAAAGAAGACCCGAAGTCTATGGAAAGATCCCCTTCAGCTTTATCTGCCCATGCAAAAAGAGGTGGAAGATGCACGGTTAGCTGGTGTAGAGTGCCCTTCGATGGTGAAGGGGTAGAGGAGCACCTCGCCATTGCGGAAAGGAATGCGGGCCTAAGGACTAGGAATGGCTGGAGTGGATCGATTGCACACTCGGCCGCAAGTAAGGATATTTTACCATCTCGTATGCATACATTCTGGTGATCCAGGCCGGTGTACGGAGTGTGCAGAAATTATTTTATTATTTCCCTTTGTTGACGTTTTTGTTGGCAGGCACCTAATCGCCTTATTGCATTCTAACACCGTCCGTGTTCTTCGATTGCTCTGCTAGGACGTTGCCGATGATGCTCTTTCGATTGTTTATACGCGACTAGAGGTGGCGCTCGGCATGAGTGTAACTCATGGTTGTGCGCCGCGTACGGTGGCCGTCAGACACAGTCTCTTTTTTTCTCTTTTTTTCTCTTCGCTGTCTCTTTTTCTCGATATTTAATGCTTTGGCTAAGGCTAGTGAACATAGAAGTCTTGCTGGCTGCACGAACCAACACAAGCACATCAAGGCTCACGTAGGAGCTATTCAATGATCTTTAACACTCTTTCTCACTCCCCTTGCTTCCTTCCACACTCGCAGCCCTGCTACCAGAACCACACAACATCGACCCTTTCTATCTCTCCTTTCTTCCACATCTCACACTTGCTTCTCTCTATCTCTCGCTTTCACCTCCCATCTTCTTTGCTCGTTTCTTCCATTCCCCAATCTCCTCCGTGACCAGCAACACAGACCTCTTCCCCCCCTACAAGTACAACGTCCTTCCCCCTCTACAATTACAACCTCCTTCCTTCTCCCGTTTCGCACTCGAAAGATGTGAGATACACCCTTCTCCCATATTCTTCTTGGAATCCATGAACAATCTGAGCAACCTTTACTGATCGCCTTAGATTCTACAGATCAAGATCGACCATGGCGCTCCCACTCAAACTGACGGAACACATTCCGCCTCACGTGCTCCCAGCGGTAGACCCGGCCAATAACCGACAGCCTGCTCAAGCTGTTCGGCAGCCCGTAAGCACCAATGTTACTGCTTCCTTTGCTTCAAACACTCCGATGCATTCTACAACTGCCTCTCCGTCTTCCTCCGCACCCTCGACGAAGCATGTTCTTGTGGACTCTGTCTCTTCGCCAAGGCTTCAGGCCACGAAGACGTCTACTACGGGCCCCACGGAGACCAGATACATCGACCTCACAACCAGTGAAGAACTTCTTCAAGCCCTCGCCGAAATCCTCAAACGCAAGAGATACTCTTTTGAGGTACATGTCAGCAGCCTAAAACGAAAGGGACTCGCTTATGTTCTTCGCTTCGCAAACGATGAGGCCCACCGTCGCCGTCGTCATTGTCGTGGCTCTGCAAGCATTGAAGAAGCTGTCATTTCCACATCGGCTCCCGATGTTGATGAAGTTGAGGATTTGTCAAATTTTCAGGATAGCATTCTAGAAGAGGAGGGGGTTAAGACTCGAATGGAGCATCGGCCGATTCACGATCTCTTGCAGTCACTCCCCAGCTCCGGAAGCAAGCCGGCGGGTTCGCAGCCAGCCGAGTTCGATAACCAACCAGGGTCGCCTGATGGTAAAGATGGAGAAGGGGAAGCACATAACAGGTCCGATTTGGGCGAAGAAGACACAGATATTTTCGGAAATAAGAGGCCCACTGCTGCACGTCCTGGCTCTCGCCCTCATGCCAACCTTGCTTCTCCAACGGTCACTGCTCTGACCGCCGCATCCCTGGCCACTGCCGTTCCCGCCTCGGTTCCCACCACCACACCCACCACCGCACCCACCACCACACCCACCGCTACGGCAAGCATCGAAGAAGAGGTTATCTTCACATCCGCTCCCGATGTTGATGAAGTTGAGGATGTGTCGAATTGTCAGGATAGTATTCCAAAAGATGAGGGGGATACGACTCAAATGGAGCATCGGCCGATTCACGATCTCTTGCAGTCACTCCCCAGCTCCAGAAGCAAGCAGGGGGGTTCGCAGCCAGCCGAGTTCGATAACCGGCTCACGGAGTCGCCTGATGTTGGTAAAGATTCAGAAGAGCAAGCATATGACAGGTCCGATTTGGGCGAAGAAGACACAGATATCTTCGGGAATAAGAAGCCCACTGCTGCTCGTCCTGGCTCTCGCCCTCATGCCAACCTTGCTTCCCCAACGGCCACTACCCTGACTGCCGCTTCTCTGTCCACCGCCGTTCCCGCCTCGGTTCCCATCACCATACCCGCCGCTGCACCCACCGCCGCACCCGTCGCCATTCCCACCGCCGCTCCTAGAAGTACCGGTTACATGGCCGCTTGGCCCGAGCAGCAACCACGACCGGCCAGGCAGCAAAGGCCGTCCGCCAAGAATGGCGATCGAGGACAGAACAGGAATAAGGCTGATGGTGTCCAGAGACACCCGAGACCGCGACTTTTCGGTGGTCCCGGAGAGACGGTGGTGGTACAATTGAGACCACCGGAGAGAACCGTCCCCCGCACAGAAGGTATTCCTCCCAAATCACTGTATCTACCGGGTTTACCAGTAACTGACAAGCTGCAGTGGGCGTCTTTATCCAGGGAGTCCCACCGAATATATCGCTCCCAAGGATCCTTTCAGAGATCCACGGAGGAGCTATTCACAGTGTGGTGATGTTCAAAGCCCCTATACAAGGTGGAGATAAAAAGGCGGTTGTCTACTTCAAAGATTCCGACTCTGCGGATCGCTTTGTTGCCTGGCACGCGCGTCAACCGATCTGCTTGATGGGATTCAAGCTTTCGGTCTCTCGAGAGCTTCCACCAGAAGTCAAGGACGGTTTTACGACTCCTTTTCTGGAGCCGTTCAGAGATGATGAGACCCGTTGCCTAGCCATGATGGGACTCCCGGAGAATAGATACCCTGCTGTCTTTATCTCTCGCTGGATTGACAAGCAGTTACCCAAGAAGAGCCACATCGAGAACATCGAATTCGACCATACGGCCGGAACCGCATATCTCAGGTTCATCAATATCGCTGCTGCCCGTTCCGCCACTAGCGCTCTTGCCCGTGCCAAGAGCGAAGAGCGGGAGTGGAAGCAGTGCCGTGTCAAGTTCACCGCCGATCCCTGCAGCTTTGGCTGTTGAGCGCAGCGAAAGAAAAGCTGCTGCCGAACCTTTCAAAGCACTGTTGGTTTAGACACAGGGGTAAGTCATCATACCAGCTGACTTTATATGCTCATGCTAATTGCTACCAGTGCTAAACCCTTTCATTTTTTTTTGCCTGCGTTGTCGGTTTTCTTGCACGCCTGATTTTCTTTGTTCTTCCTTGATATATCCATATGATTACCTGGGATTGAGAAATGTTTAGTTTGATTTCATGCTTTCGTGGGCTGGCTGGGGGTGGGTTTTTTTTGAATGCGGTAGAGACGTCGGTGATATCCTTTTTTTCATTGGTTGATTGTGGCATGGAGGTGGCGAGATTGAGAGGTTTTTTACTTGCCTTCATGGTAATGAGGGGAGTTAACTGGAGTCCCATGGAGGAGGTGGTGAGGCTATTGAGGTCTCTCTTTCTAATGGTGTTCAACTGAATTGTAATAAAGTGTTGATTTTCCGTTACAAGTACTGCGGGGACGAGTGATCTAGAGTGAACCACGGCTCACTAATTCAGCTTCATCTCGATTGTATAGCTCAACTCGAACCAGCAGCAGGATATATCATTACCCGCTACGTTAACGTCCGAAAGCATACACGAACAAACCCCGCACTCATCAAAAACACCAGATATAACCCCCAACAGCGATGTCCCAGCCGCAGCCGAGCAATGCCGCCCCCGCCTCCGCACCCGGTCAGTGCGACTGCCTTCCCGCACCCTATCCCGTGTCCATCTCGCAGCCACCGCTCCTGATGCCGTGCGGTCACAAAGCCCGCCAGTTCTGCCTCGAGCGCGCCGTGGAAGCCGCGCCCAGCGACGTCTCGCACGAAGCCCGCTGGGTGCTGCCCTGTGGCTGCGAATCCTCGTGGCCGGAGGTCCTTTCTACTCTGCGCCGTGATAGCGAGCTAAAAGAGGGACGTAGGCTGGCTAAGGAGGCGGGAGAGGAAAAGAGGCGGCTGGCGGCAGAGAGGAGGCGGGAGAGGGAAGAGGCGAAGGAAATGAAGGAGGGGGAGAGGGAGTTGAAGGAGAAGGAGAGGGAGGAGATGAAGGAGAAGGAGATGGGGAGAAGGCTACACCGGCGAAGAAGAGGCTGCTGCTGCGAAGGTGAAGGCTGCGGCCGAGGAGACGGTGGTGGAGACACTTGCGGATGAGAGAGTTGATGAAGAGGGAAAGACGCCTACGAAAAGCACGCCTACATGGAGGGAAACGCCTGCAAAGAACAAGTTTGTCAGGTAGAAGCCTGAGGCTGAGGCAACACCTACGGAGGAGACGTCTGCGACGAACACTCCTGGGAAGTCGCCCGAAAACCAGAAGCCACGGCTGCGAGAATGGTGGAGTCCCCAAAGAAACACGGCTGCGGATGTGGAAACTGTGACGGGCAATACGTCCTGATGCTCCGAGACGGGTATGTCGAACCACTGTAGGTCTCGTAGCTGATCACACGGACTACATTTATCCAACTGGATTGCTCAATTCTCCTACCTCTCAGTTAGTTGAAGGAAGAACATACTGTATATCACCTTGATCCAGACAACAGTTGAAGACAGTCCTGATTTCTCGCGATATCCACAAACTAGCACTCGACCCTGTGCTCGAGTTGAGAAGTGTCTAACTTCTACTTATGCAGATCATTTTGACCAAGCAGTGGGACGGAGGAGATTACGATGCTGCACCGAGCCAGGTACTAAATTACTTGGCTGTAGTAGAATACCTAAACAGGGGTCAGCGACAGGAAGTGTGTGCTCTCCTCTTGATCCCGCCGCCAACCTGGAGGAGTGAAGTTGGCAAAGGAATCGTCTGCAAACTTTTCTGCTACCGCTCCTCGGTGTGGATATAGCACTGGCTGTGCAGTGAATATCTGTGGGGAATGGTGGTGTTGATGTTTGAAGATGGGCTGGCCCGCATTCACGCCTACACACATATACACACTATATCACTCGCCTCTTGTCTCAACCCACCCAGTCTGCCGCCCTAATCGCCACGGTGACGTCCCTGTCTGCCGCCTTAACTGCCGCCTTAACTGCCGCCCTAACTAACGCCGTACCGAGCGACAGATTCCGCCGCACTCTATCTATACTCTAGTAAACCATAGTAAGACCGGAAGACACACAAGTGGTCCGACAGTGACTGAGTCTGGACAGGACACGAGTGAACTGGCATGATTCCGCATGATTCCTTGTCATCTCACCACTCTGCATTCGCACTCGCACTTGCCCCCATTCTCCCCTACGTGCCGACTTCCGGAACTGTCGATATGCATAGCTAGCGGATTCCCGGACACCCTCTGGACAGTGGACAGTGGACAGTGGATTAGAATGAGCGCTAGGTGGAGAAGGAGGGGAGGGGGAGGGAGTTCAGCGACAGTATCTGACTGTGTAGAAGATTCTGGGGGAAGAATGGGGGAGAATGGCACACCGCCAGATGCGAGTGAGAAGCGTAAGCGGGGTAGAGTGGATGCACTAACCAAGCCCCCCGACCACCGATACCGTACCGTACATAGCAACGAGCAAGGCCGACAGACCTCAAGTGATAACGACCGCCTTCTTCGCCACATTCACACCCCCCTCACTCAGTCATCATGAAGCGACGAGTGCCGAGTGCGCATGCAGTCAAGATGTATGTAAGCTTCACAAACAGCGACTGACTCCTCTTCCCCCGCCCCACCACTTTGCCGCTCAATGTCATAGCGATGAACGAGACCTGCAGCCCGGAGTACATATAATATGCCCGCGCTAGAGCTAAAAAGGTATACTCGTGGTTCAGCGCGTGGTTCTGGGCGGTGGGCATGCAGCGCACGCAGCAGCCGCCGCCCGCGTGCCCCGGCAAGCGCCTGGCAATAGTGTTCACCTTCGGCCTGCGCGGGAACGAGGCCTGGGTCAGCGCGGCAACAGCGCTCTCCGCCATCCTCGCCGCTTGGCTGTCCCTGATCCTCGCTGCGCACCTCGTTCGCGCCCGTAAGGGTTTCCAGCAAGGCCCGGTAATACTCATGGCATGCGCCGCATACTACACCAGCGGGCCGAGCGACTACAATCTGATCCGGTCGCTGCAGGGACTATTCTGGACGCGCCAAGTGTTCAGTGTACAGTTCGCCGCCGGGTGTGCCCACTTCGCGATCGTGTTCCTGCTCGGCCCGGTCGTCGCGGTGGTCTCGGTCGAGAGAATGATCGTGGAGAATCGACTGGTAACTGCGGGCATCGCGGACTCCGCCGGACAGTTGATCGCAGTCTTTACCGGGGCGTCGAATCTACTCATTGCCCCGTGGGAGGCCGCTGATGCGTGGATGGAGCTTGGGGGAGAGACCCCCGACGGTGGTGGTGCCGGCAGTGGCAGCGCTGGTGGTCCCGGTTCTTGGACATCCCGTACCCCCGATTCTCAGTCACCCCGTACCCCCGCCGCGACCAAGGCAAAAGAACCGAAGGGGGAGGTGAAATTTGAACAGCACGACACACAATCGCGGGCAGAGCCCGACATTAAAAGCAACGGATCCCAACGAAGCGCCGAACTTCTACGCCGCTGGTGGAGCGAAACCTCGCTAAGCCAACCGTAGTGAAGCGAGACATCACCGAGAGGAAGTGAACGGAAAGCTTGCATGAACAGGCTCACGGATAACTAATCGACCACGCACGGACGAAAGCACCAGAAGAGGACCTGGGATCCGACCCCGGCCGAAATGCGCAACTCGCGGTACATACCAACCGTTACTACAATCCCATGGCCGGCCCTGCCCGGGCGGCGCTGGTGGTAGAGTATCCACGGTACCGAGAAAACTTGGGATGGCTCGGGAACTTAGGCCTTTCTGTGCGTGGAGATGGAGACGGGGCAGAGGATTAAGAAGCGGGATTCCGAAGTTCATATGGAGTTGTTTTGCGGGAGACCGCACAGCTTGCAAAAGAAGAGGGGGGAAGAGGGAGGAGTTAACGGGCGAGCTGGCAGGTTCTCTACAGAGGGTCACGAGCAACACGGCACTGGTAACTGAAGTGCGGATTTTTCAATTTGCTTTCTTTCCTTCGTCATCATCTCTATACCCTGAGCGGAGATGAGGACGGGCATCGGCGGAGGCAAGTAGGGACTCCTGTAGGCTGTGGATACTGCCGTGATCGGAAACGGTCGAATACCTACTCTATCTACAGAATGACAGGACAAAAAAACAAAAACAACCGGCCGTTGCATGGTAGGCATTGTTCTAGACGATAGCGACAGCGGCAAAGCAAAGACAGTTCTGTTTCCGTTGGGTAACAAGAGCATGTAGAGTATCTACGCATGTGACGGATGCACGCGATCGTCGCTATCGCATGCAGATCCTACATACGCAGACAAACATGCACGCAGGCGCGGGGAAGATAACCCGACTGCCATACCCATACCATGCCGACCCTGCGATACTGCGAAGAATGGATTGATATGTAGATTGAGTGCGTATGTCTGCACAGTGCGGTACTCGGAGTATGTAGACAAATAGAGTGTGCTCGGGCCTTGCGCAACTCAAATAGAGTGCCCTCCTGTCAGGGTCTTCAGGGGCCGCAGACTCTTCCTCGGTTGGCTGGTTGGCGGCGGGCGGGAGGGAGAGCCGTCGCGCGCGCGGCCGAGCATGACCGCGGCCCGCCAGGGAAGCCGCCGGCGAAACGATTCTTTCTGCAGTTGTGATCAAAAGCGTCTAGGTAGCTGACTGTCCCCCACGGTAGCTTTCCGACGGCCAGTCCCACGATCGCATAAACTCTTCACAATCGCTCTTCCACGGCGTCAAAGAGGAAACAAAGGAAAGGAAAGCAAAGAAGAAAGCGAGAAGAAAAAAAACTCCTTGACAGTAGGCGAGAGGGGCGGAGATAAGTGAGAGAGTTGTGTTTCGATGTGCCCGGCCAATCAGGATGTTCCCGGGTTGGCCCCATCGCCAGCATCGACGTGGCCCAATAACTGGCAACACCTACCGCCTCACTTACCTCGCATGCAGCAGCAGCAGCAGCACCGCGCAGTAGGGAAAAAATAATATGAAAAAAATACTTCTTACCGCAATAATCACCAGTCAGCGATTCACCGCATTCCATCCAGTTCGGTTTGATCTCCCCCCCCCCCCCCCCCCCCCCCCCCAACCCGCCCACACACAGCACAGAGCGACAAGACAGTCCAGTCTCTTCTCCAGTGCCCTTTTTACCCCTCCAATCCAATATCCACTCCTCCCCCCTCCGCTACACCCAATAACCATCCCCTCTCTGCTCGATTTCCGCGTTTTGAGATGAGCTCCACTGCAACGGCCACGTTCGGTTTCTGATCTGGTTCCTGCTTGCCGCCACATACACCGCCCCCCCCCTACCGTTTGCTTGCTTGCTGCCTGCTGCTGCTGCTGAGTTCGCTGGCGATACATACAAATACTCGCGCACTCTATGGGCAGCGATCTGGTGGAGCTCCCTGAGCTCGAGTTGACCGAGGACGGAAAGGTGGTCGATGGGAGTGAAGTCTCGTCGGCGTCCGACGAGAACACGAATGGGGAGGAGCGCGAGAACGATGCGACGCCACTTCCAGACCAGGAACAGCAGCCAGCGAAGAACGGCGCCGACATCGCTGGTGATGCTGGCGCTACAGAAGTGGTACATGATGCTGCTGCTGCTACTGCTACTGGCAGCGACGTGGTGGACACCTGTGCCAGTGATGACAGCAACGAGAACGACCGGCCAGCAGCAGCGCTCGACGATGCCAAGGGCGAGGGCCAAGGCGAGCAGCAGGAAGAGAAGAAGACGGAGGAGACTGTGGCTGGAGACGCCGAAGGTGAAGGGCCTAGAGAATCAGCGGGAGAAGTCGAAGGAGGAGGAGGAGAACATGATGGAGGAGTAGTAGTGGATGAATGTCGAGCTGCCGAAGAGGGGGGAGGCATCGAGGTAACCGAGAAATGCCCAAAGGACGGCGAGGAGAACGGTCAGGATAACCACGACGATGGCAGTGTTGTGGGGGGAGTTCGCGTCGAAGAAGAGGAAGAAGGTGAAGAACCTTCTGCTCCGCCCCCGCCTCCAGCTGAGCCAACCGAAGGCGACAACCCCAACCGCGACGAGGGCCACAGCGACGACCACGACAAAGAAGAGGAGCACAATAATCCTCAACACCAAGAAGAGGAAGCTACTGCAGTAGTAGCTGCAGAAGAGCACGAAGAAGCCAGAGAAGCCACTGAGGAACAAGCCAGAGAAGTCTCGGAAGAGGCATCAGGTCAGTAATAGTAACATATCTTCTTTCTCTTCGGTCCTTCTTACTCCACCGCCCTACCGCTCTATCTCGTTGTGCTCCATGCGTACCACTACCGTTCTTCATACGCTTTGATTGCTTGAAGACCCCGCTTTCTTTCTCTTTTTCTGTCTGCTCGAGTACTCTATCGTGTATCGTGTACCATCCTACTCTATCGTACCGATCACCACCATCGCCAGCCCATCCCCCTCCTTCAATCCCATCGTCACGCCCCTCCTCCGGGCCCTTTCCCCGACTCCCTTTTAGACCAACCAGGATCATCGAATCCGGATTTTCGTTCCTTCTGGGCTAACCTACCCTCCTTGTGCGACCAACAGCCACTGAAACAAAAGAAGAAGAGGAGAAGGCAGAACCCATCCAGGAGGGCGAACAGCCTTCGCATCCAACTGACCTTCACTCCTCCACTCCACCGCCTGCGGACGAACCGGACACTCCTCCAGAGCCAGCGCGCGAACCTTCGCCCGAACCTGAGCTTGCATCTGTACCTGAGCCTGCGCTTGCACCTGAGCTTGCGCCAGAATCCGAGCTTGCATCTGCACCTGCCCCTGCGCCCGAAGCCGAACTTGAACCCGAGCCCGAGCACGGGCCCGAGTCCGAGTCCACGCCCGAGTCCGCGCCAGAGGAACAACCCGTCGAAGCGAACGCGGAGGACGAAGATCCTTCGGCGCCACACACCAAGCCGGAACCAGAACCACAGCCCGAGCCTTCCTTCCCTGTCGTCTTTGTAGCCGAAGCGACGCCAGAGAGTGCGCCAGACGAAAACGACGAAACACTAGGGAAGGCTGACGTCGACACCGACGCCGACGACGAAACATCTGCGCACGGACATTCTGAGGATCGTGAACTCGCCACCACAGCGGACGAGACAGAAACTTCACAGGGGGCAGAGGGAACACTGATTACCGAAGAACCCCTTGTGATCGCAAGTCCGCCGACTGTTGTTTCTTTTTCAGCTGCAACATTCGACGCTCCAAACCCAGCTGACCCCGACTACCCCGCGCGGCAACCAATCACAAGCCCCGACGCTATCCCCAACCCGGCAGCTCCACCAATCAAAATGGCGGACGAACCCACCGCCATTCCCCCTGCGCCTGTCTCCACTGACATCGCCACTGATCCCGCCCCTGAGACCACTATGCCTAGCGAATTACCGCCCGACGAAGAATTTCACGAGGAAGAATTTAACGACGAAGAATTTCACGACGCTGGTGGACGTAGTGTACCCTCTGGAATACAGACAGCTGAGGAGATTTACGGCTTGTCGCACGCCGCCGCCGAAGAAGAGCCCGAGGAAGAGGAAGAAGTCGCGCAGCAGCCTCGGCACCACAAGTCGCGACATCATCGCGACGACGAGCCAGAGGAAGGGAGACGTCGCCACAAAACACCCGAGGAGCGCGCCGCACGAAAGGCGAAGAAGGCAGCGGAGAAACTCGCGATCGAGACAGGAGAGTCGCCTTCCGATACTCGCTCGCAAGTCAAACGGAAGCGTGACAACAAAGCCTACGAAGAACCGATACCGTCGATACCGCTAGAACCGTACACGCCCACGCCCTCCAGTCGCAAGTCGTCGAAGAAAGCAGAGGTGTTGTTGGGAATGGAGCCTGAGCTTGCAGCGAAGGAGAGGCGGCGCCACAGGAAGCGTCGCGAGGAGGAATCGCTGGCAGTACCTGATGCCATGCCCGAACCTGTCCACATACCCGACGACATGTTGGATATCCCCGACGTTGATCCCGAGATTCCCCTGGAGAAAGCGGAGCGGAAAAGGAAGCACAAGAAGGAGAAGCGGGAGAAGCGGCCGAGCAGGGGCGAGGCCGATATGCCTCCGCCGGAGGACTTACGCGAAGGACGCATCTCAAGAAAGGCAGCAGGAATACTGGGATTGAAGAATGGCGCTGAGGTGGTTAGAGCGTTGTCAAGGAGTAGGTCTAGGACCAGGTCGCCCGGGGTTAGAGCGAGATCTGGCTCCAGGCATCCCGCCGAGGACCTGCGCCCTGACATGGCTGGTGTTGCAGTCGACGAAGAGCCGCCGGTACCGCAATCCAGCTTCCCTGAGGAGGAGGCACGAGAGTCGCGACGACGTCGGCGTCACAGAGAACGGCGCATGGAGGACGAAGAGGGCGCGGAGGAACCACGACACCGCCGACACAGATCGAAAAACCCGGTCGATGAGACTGATGCCGAGCCTAGAGAGCATCGGCACAAATCCAAGACCCGAGTGCGATCGCTGTCCCGTCACGTGTCTGGCGGGTCCGAGGTCGCTGAAGAGCGCCATCATCGTAGCAGAAAAAAGCACGGGTCGGATGAAGCGAAGGAGGAGCGACGTCATCGACACAAGGATAAGGGGGACCGAGAGAAGGAAAAGAAAGAGAAGAAGTCACGCTCAAAGTCTAGACATCCGGATGATGGTGCGTTGCAACAACCTACTTCCGTGCAGATTTCGTGTTGCTAACTTCCCACAGACGACCGAGAGCAACGAAAAGCCCGTAAGGCTGCCAAAACTGCCGCTCGTTCGAACGGTCCAGTGCCAGTTCCGGTTGCCATGGAGCAGCAAATCCAACCGGAGGTCGTACCTGCAACTGCCTCCATAGCTTTTGAGCCAGAAGAGGTAGCCCACCCGCCCTCTGAACACCTGCAGCAAGACCTCGAAGCACCAGTCCCGCAGTTTGCAGGTCCCTCGTCGTTTCTGCAGGAACCGTCTGCGCACGAGCTGGAGGCGTCAGAGCTCGCGCACAAGGCTCGTCGAGCGGAGCGGAAAGCACGCAAGCAGGCGCGGACGGAAGAGGTGCTGAAGGATAGTGGGCATTCTCTCTCATCCGAAGGGAAGAAGGAGAAAGCGAAGGAGCGAGAGAAGGCGGGCAGGAGTCGCAGCAAGAGCTTCTCTACCCCCGAAGAAGAGGAGGAGTACAGGCTACGCAAGGAGGCGAAACGCGCGCGGCGACAGATTCCCGGCGAGGGCATCGACCCGGGTTACCTCAGTCCTGTGGACGAGAGGCTTAGGAAGGGCAAGGAGCGGGAAAGGCCGGCGATGCCGGAGGTGGTGGCCACGGGCAGGGAAAGGGCGCTGACGGAAGGGGCCAAGGACAGGTCCGACAGGGACAAGGGCGAGCGCGGAGATAGGCCAAGGACGAGACCCAGACGCAAAACGGATCCCACCACGACGGAGAAACGCAACAAGAGGGGCGTTAGCGATGCTGAGGAAAGCTCTGCGGAGAAGGGCGGGTTCTTCAAGAAGGCGTTTTCGAAATTCTTGAGGGTTTGAATTGAAGGACACGATCTAATGATGGGAATGGAATTACTACTGCTGGAGTTTTTTTTCTTCTTTTTTTCTTTTTCGTTTTCGTTTATTTGTTGCGTTTGGGCGCGGCACTGGAGTTTTCTGTCTGTACGACTTTATGATGGAGATGACGGGGATGGACCTTATGACGAGTGGGATGAGTTTTGGCAATGTGTATGTTCCGCTTGGGTGTTTTATTTGGCTTTTTGGTGTGTACTTTTATGTCTTGATATCCAGAGGTAGAGGTGGCAATCCAGCGAGGTGTTACGATGTTTCTGATTCCTCTGACAGTGAATATTTTTTTCTCAGAACACACACCTATGACTGCGGCTAGTTGTGGAGGGTGAGGGGCGGGGGCGGATACTGCGTGTGATGTCTAGGGAGGTTAACATCACCCCACTCGCCACCCTGGAGGTTATACTGCACAGGGGGCGGATCGGAGTATGAGGAGTTTAGTGAGCTGGGGCAATCACTGTGGGGAATGTTGGAGTTGAATGGTGGGTTATAAGAGGCTGGTCTGATGGTTGTGGCAATGCAATGTGGATGAGGGATCTGGTGGATGAGATCCCGGCATGAGGATAGGGAGGGGGATAGGGAGGAGGCGGGGATCGGCATTATGGAGTGCGGCCTGCGGGCGGTGGGAGGAGCTGGATTCGCCATAGCCTAGATATGGTTCTTCTCCACCGTTTGGTGCGCAGAACTTGAACTCTATAGAAGCCGTTTATAAAGATGTGGCTCCGCACATCCTACCCTCCTGCCGAGGTACATCATACTCGCCAGACTCGCAATCATGACCATTACTAGTAGTGATGGTGAGATCTCTTCACGGTTGGTTATGCCAAACCACACGTGAAAAAGTCACTGTGTGTAGTGGATACGGGTATACGGGAAATCCCAAGAGATGTAAATTTCCCATGGCGATTTGCCATGCCAAGGTCGAAGCCTTCACCTTTTGATGATCCATAGCTGCAACTGATTTTCCACTATTGGTATAGGTACTATGTAGTCGCTCCATCTCACCATCTCACTCGCCCTTCCCACCCGCAACCCTCCCACCTTAACCAAGCCACCTCAAAACGAAGTAACAAAACACAAAGAACACCAGTACACCGCCATAGAAGAACCACTTATCCTGCTTCGCCCTCCGCTCGATCATACGGATAGTATCGCCACTGATTCCCAGTGTATTCGCGACGCCATACAGCCTCTTCTGCGTCCCCTTCAGCATGCCCCTCTGCTCCGCCAGATCCGACAGCACCGCCCTCCCCCGGTCCAGGAACTCATCTAGTTGGTTATCCGTCCGCGACAGGAAGTCCCGCTCGCGGAATGTATGGTCCTCCTGCGAAATCGACACGTTCCCCCCACCACCACCCCCTCCCCCGGGCGCCGGACCAAACGGATTCGACGACGACCGCGCGTGCGTGCTGTTCGCATACGGGTTTTCAGGTGTAGCAGACGAGTGACCTCTCCGACCCAGCAGTTCTCCGCGCGCAACCGTATGAGCCTGTATTTCGCACTTATCGTCAGCCACCTTCCCCCCTTCCCCTTCCCTTCCCCCACCCCCCTCTCCCCTCTATCGGAATCAGGCCAAAACCAACCACCTGCTCCCTCTCGGCCTTCAGCTTCTCGAACTGCGCACGGTACTCGGCCATCTCCCTGCGGAAATTTTTGACGCGCAGCTCGGCCTTCTCCTTCTTTGCGGGGATGAGCTCGCGGCGCGCCATGGCGTCGTAGTCGGCGATCGTGCGCGACAGCGACGCAATCGACGCCGAGATTTGCCCCTGCAGTGCTGGCGACGCGGTTGCCGGCGATGCCACGAGCGCCGAGAGGTCCCGCTGCAGTGATGCAGTCTGTTTTAGGGCAGAGTTGAAGAGCGAGTTCTATAAGGCCAAGACGGCGGGGGGGTTAGCTAAGCTGTTAGGGCAGAGAGCTGGCTGGTCTGGGTTGATAGAGAGGGGGAAGGGGTGCACCATATTGTGGGTGGGGGAGCGTGTTTGCCGACGACGGCGGGTGGGCGTGCAGGTGCAGGTACAGGCGAGGTCGGGTGGGGATATGTAGAGGCGTGAAGTGAGGCGGGGTGTGTGAGCGGCGAGGCGGGCGTGCGTGGATTCGGGATGAATTCGTTAGAGACACGTACTACATACCTTGCGAGTGGGCACGTGATATAGCTCCCAAGAAGCTTGTGTCACAGTGTCACTCGACGGATGGAACTCACATCGGACGTATGCACATATGGAGGAAGTACGAAAGTTCCCAATCTTGTCTAAAGACCAGTTATTGCTTCAGCGAGTAGATACATCATAGACGGTTGAGAGAGCACACGGCACCGCTGGACCCCCCCCCCCCCCCCCCCATCGCTCTGCAACAGAGATTTCGTGCCCAGCTCACTAAGTTTAGAGTACTCCGAACTTTCTCATGCCGTCGACCCCCCCCACAACCCTCACACTACACTACACTACATTACAGGGGGTGACTCGGGCGTGTTGGGTAACTAGCCTAGGTATCAGACGTATTGTTTACAGAAGTACCCACGAGTTTGCAGACTGTGATTCTCATTTCAATTGCAACATATTCCTCCACGTTGTCCCACATGCGAGCCCGCTGCCCAATGCCAGATACAAACAAAAAGCCGTCGTGAATCATCAACCATCAACCATCAGATTTCCGGTCGTGCGCATCTCCCTCCTTGAAAGCGCACATCCTCACGCATCAACAGTATTGACGCGCTCCTTCTCATTCGCCAACCTTACCGCAACGTTATCCGTCATATTATGGCTCACGTCCTGAACAAACAGCGCCGCGGCCAGGGACAGTCCCGCAAATACCGTTGCCGAGATGTAAACCAGCCTTTCTACCGCGTTAGTTGCGTTCCTTCGTTAAAGGATCGGGGGGGAGGGTGGATACTTAAAAGCCTCAGACCACGACCACTGCAGCGCCTTAGCCGCCACCTCTATGATCCCCGGGGTAGCTCCGGGCAGCGCCGCAGCGTGGCGAACGTCGCCGTGACTGAGGTATCCGATGAGTTTCGGCAGTAACGGGATCTTAAAGCCGAGGGGCACAACGACCTTCGCCACGCGCGGCCCCGAGTCGTCGGCGATCTTGTTTGTGAGAAGCGATGAGTAGATGGTGACGACGACACTGCCGCCAATGGCGCGTGCACACCCGCAGAGCAGCGTGGCAAGCCCGATGTTGCGGTCTTCGCAGGCTAGCTGCACACAGATGATCAGGGACACGGAGGTCCACCCAGTGGCGATCATCGAGATGAAGCCGAGGCCGAGTGCCCGCGGGACCGTCTCCGGCGTGAGTGTGGTTAGGAAGCCGTCGGCAATGATCTTCATGGTGGCGCCGTAGACGAGGCAAAGATTGGTTTTGAAGATCCAGTGCTTGCCGATCAACATACCCGCCAGGAAGCCGCCGACTGCCTGGTGTTAGTTCCATCTAGCTACCTATCCCATGGGTACGGGAACCAACCTGCACCGCCGAAACCTCCGGGGATAGTCAAGACACCGATCCGAATTGGATCCCTATCCCACATGCCCTGTACCTGTTGCGTCCAGAACGCGGCAGCGGCATACAGTCCCATGCCGGCGACAAACGTTATCACGAGGATCAAAGAAAAGGTTCTTCCCTTATTCTTGAACAGCTCATGGGCGAGGAAGGGACGAGGGGCAAATTTCCACTCCCACACGCCGCACCAAATGAGAGAGGAGATGCCGAGGATGATGGGGAGGATCACTCCGACGTGCTTCCACGGGAACTCAACGCCACCGAAGGCGATTCCGATGAGCGTAAGGACGATGCCTACAGCGAGGAAGAAGATGCCGATCCAGTCGAGCTCGGCGAGCTGTCGTAGTCGGCTCTTGCCCTCGATCTTGATGTACGCCGGCTAGATGGATAAGATCAGCCATGATCGCTTGCGAACGGGCAGACGAAGAACATACTGGGTGGTACCAGAGGTACGCGGTGACGATACTGGTAACGTTGAGACCGATACCGAGATACCAGTTGATTCTGAAACTCAAAGCCTGATACTTGACCATCGCGTTGCCTGACTCCATCAGCCCAGCTCGACGAACACTCCGTACCAACCATGAAGCTTACCGGTAAGGGCACCAAACATGGTCCATGGTAGAACCAAGATATCCAAGACTGCCTGGGCATGACCACGATGCTTGTTCGGTACCAACTCAGCTACTGCAGCCAGTCTGCGTATCATCAGTGGTTGCTTCGATCGCCAGTCTTTGGGGCCTTACGCGAGCTGTTGGCTGGCGCCTCCAACTCCCTTGAGGGCCATGCCAGCAATCACCGTCGGCACATTCTGTGCGGACACGGCAACGATGGTTCCGATCAGAGAGACGAAGCACCCGGCAATGAAGAAGTATCGTCGTCCAAAAATATCGGAGAGACCGCCGGCAAGCGGAAGGGATACAGCCACGGAGATGGTGTAGGCCGACAACATCCAATTGTAGTGAGCGGTGGGTCCCAACGCATCATCGATGTGCTTCAGGATCGTAGCCGTGCACGCATGTTGCTGGAAGGCGGTGGTGTAGGAAAGCCCGAGTGCAATACAGGCTAGCCATTTCGCCTTCGTCATTCGCGACTCTCCTTGTGAATCCGTAGGCTCTTCGTGCGAGCGGGCCTTCTCGATGTGCGAGACCGGTGCTTTGTCGATATCGACTTCCTCCATCGGCCCGTCCGATTTCTCGTTCATCACTGTGGGAGGAGTTGAAGGGCGTACCATCACTGCTACCACTGGTGCAACAAAGGACCGAGTGCAAAGTAAAAGACGAAGGCCAGAGAGATGGGGACGGACGGACGGCAGTGATACTTTATAACCGTTTCAAAATATCCAACACAACCTTCCCACACACCCCTCCCCAAGCACCATCCCGGCTTCCCCGCCTTTCGTCTTCCAATTGGGACTGGAGATATCGGTTCACGACCGAATAGGCGGCAACGGCTAGCTACCGCATCTTTCTTTGCAACATCGCAGCTCTGGGGTAACTCTATCGATGCGCACCAGACGGTGATGCAGGCAGACATATACTATAGATTGGTCAAATTGTGGTGGCGAATGCCTCAGCCCCGATGAATGCAGCGAGCCTGGCGGGTACTCTATCGATGAATATGGCCCGTCGATGATCCTCCGGTGGACGGATTGTGTAGGCATTGCTTTTTTACTTTCGCTTCAGTCGTTCCCGCGTTAAGGGCGAAAGTAGGCGCTTGCAATCGCGTTCCAACTCGTTCGATTGATCCAACACACAGGGCACGCTTTTGGGGATTAGCGAAATGTCAACGTTGAGCCATCTGGCGAGAACAAGAGTCGTCACCAACGCTGATCCCGGTGGTATACACCCCCGACCAGCAGGCGGCACGTCGGCTGAGGTCGAGATATGGTTGTGGGCGACCGCTGCAAACCCGCATATGCTGGCCAAGTCGACAGGGGATCGGTCTACAGGCGATGTAGCAAGCAAAAAAAGTGAGAGGATGTACCACTGCGATACTGGTAACAAGTAGAGACCCGCAGTTGTAACATTGCCGGTATAGTGGATTTTCTCACTTCAGTCTCGAATCCACTTGAGCTTTTTATCGGCTGGGGTTAGTGGTAGTGCAAAGGGCGAGTACCGTAGGAAGGACCAGTACCGTCGTCGGGATTAATTGTCGTAGGAAACATCGTTATGGGCCTAACCTACCGATCTCGGTATGCTGCAAGCGCAGTGAATCCCTACACGAGAACCCAAGAAACGCAAAAGATACCCTTGTGTACATCATACCTACGCTTCTCTGCTTGCCGGTATTGATCTCCATGCACCCCACAGTACAGTGGCGAGTGGAACTCCGCAGCTATATTGCGAGGCTTGTATATTTTATACCTCTGTGGTACCCCAGACGTCCATACATTCTGCTGCAATTCCATTCTCCTTCCCGAATCGAACCACGTCGAGCATCGGTTTGTGGGGCGTTCCAGTCTGGAGTTTCGGGTTCCGGAGACGCGATTCCAGACGACTAAGTGCACCGTCCACGCAAGTTCCTCCCCACCCCCCTGCCTCGGAATTGGCAGCCGGGAGACATGACTTGCCATATGGCATACATATCATCCAGAGCGAACACGAGGGCATGGATCTTTGGGGAAGTCGATTGTCGCCTCGCATGCAGCGCTTAAATTGCCAAGATGTGCTTGCTTGCACGGCATAGCAAGATACAAAAGGTTCCAGGGCTCCAAGACGGAAGTGTCTCTTCCGCGCGGGGTACATACCGTAGATCAATTGGCCTCGGCGTGCTGTCGACTGATGGACAGCTTAGTACGAGAGGATGAAAAGTCGTGGTGATCAGCAAGCAGGTCCATCCGTGGGTGGAGCAAGGTACATATCATCCAGGTTTGTCATAATACCGACATCGTCAAGAGCGAAATCGGCGGTTATAGTGGTGTCTTCAAAGAGCGAGGAGATATATTTTATACTATGAGAAGACTGTTGCCACTTCCGCCATCACTCGATTCAGTAGTGTAGGGGTATCATGGGCGCTTGCCATCCAGCATTCTGCGCCCGACCCGGGTTCAAATCCCGGCTGAATCATCAAATATAGATATTCTTTCCAGAATATTTCTTTTGCGTCCTGATCTTTTTATTTTACTAGTGTACTTGATGCTTCTTTGTCGCCCTTCTCGGTTTTTGGACGTGCCTGTTTCGCTGGTTTTGCGAATACAGTCCACCAGTCCACCAGTCCCGCACCCAGCTGATGGCTCGAGATGGGTTTCGGCACCCTTCGCCCGTGCAAACGTTGAGACAATGGTATTTTGTCTACTATCATAGCAGGGTGGTGACTCGTCCGTCAGGACGCCAGTCTAATTGGGGGACTGTATGTAGGCCGGGGCCGTCTCGGGCAGGTTCTTGAATCTCCAGACGATTAGTCCGTCCAGTCCGGAGAATGAATGGCGCGGATACCCTACAGGTATCTATGGTACCCGATAACATTAGTGTGCTATTCTGGCTAGTCTGTGTCTTAGTTTCCCATTTCATTCCAGGTCCTGTAAGGTATCCGTCCCCATTTCGCCGGCCCGAAAGCCTGTACATACTCCTTTTTCTCCTCAGCCCGACTAGAGTAACTCCGTCCCGTCTTGGGCCACCCCAAAGACGGACTGAAGGCCCTATTAACAGCCCTGCACCCATGGGATCGGGCCTTCAACCTCTGTGGTGAGAAGATACCTACCCACCATCCAGAACAATCCGAAAGGCTGTTTGCTCATCATATATAACCGATCCAACCGCTACCTTTCGACTAAGAATATGGCCACATCGGTAGATTGATGGTCGTATGTAGCCCGGGACTTCGCAGCATTGAGCCATCATCAGAATGTATCATTATCATTCCTTTGTCGTGGGATGGGGGATATATGGGTCTACGGGTTTTATGGTGTCGGACTGGAAGATCGCGGTTTTCCAATCTTCGATGTTACTTCTACTGAAATCTAGGGGTAGATAGGTGAGTCCTTACTTGGATAAGGCACTTCGTTGTGACGGAAGTCCTTCACGCATCACTCGGACGCACTCGGATTGTGAGAGTTAACGTCCTACAGAACCATTTTTGGGACCCTTTCGCTCTTGCCGAAAGATAGAAGAGATATCAGGGTCCGTACTACAGGAGAGCAGCGACTGTCGGGGGGCAGCTGCACTTCCTAGGCGGTGAACAATCATGGCCCAATTGCCACATCCTAGGTTTCTCCGACTTTTCGACCTCCCCAGATGATCTCGTACCCTCAGCTACCTACTAGGTACAGGTGCTTAGACTCTGAGCCTCTAACACTAGACTAGCCCGAATTCGCACCACCTTTATGCGTTTACTACCTATTCTCGCTGCGCCGACGCATCACGCGGTCCATTGATACCTCGTCCGATTTTCCGGTAACTTTGAGACAATGAGGTATCCAAAGGAGTGGCACCCCACCGAGCCCACCCCACTCGGCCGTGGGGCAGCGGAGAAGAGTGATTTGTCAATATCAGGATTTTACTTTGGCTTTACGTTTTTGTATGCCGTACAGAGATAGCTAGCCCTCCCTGCCCTCCAACTGCTCTATCTATATTAATGGTGCGACCCCCTACCCAAAAAGCCGGTGGACGAGTGATTCCCCATGCGGATAGCTCGAATCAACCCTTCCTGGGCACGAAAAGAGATCCTGGCTGATAGGTACCTACCTTCTAATTGATTATAGGCTGGACCACTACGGCTATACGAACAAGTGCTTATGCGTAAAACTTGCAGATACCTCCGCATCGAACGGGGGCCGCCATGGAATTGGTAATCATCGGCGTCACCGGCGCAACTACTTTTATGTACATAAGAACAACTTTACATAAAAGTCCTAGGGTTTGTAAGCAGTAGGTATTATGTACCTGGTCCCTCACTGCGCCGTAAGAAACGGTGACGGTGGCGGTGCCAGCGGGGCGGTGCGCCGTTGGAGCCAGGACTCAAGACTAGGATAGTTACCGGTAGGAGCCCACCGGAACGGAAGACCCCTAACCCTACAGCCTATTTCTAGCCTACAGACATACCTTGTTTGTACGAGGAGTTTCACGACAGTACCGGTAGGTACTACTATGCATAACTGATTAGTCGAAAGCTTAGCATTCGCCTCCACCAACCGTGATTGTCGGATCTAAACGTTCGATAGCACCGGAGGACACCTTGGGTATCTCGGGCATCTTGGGTACCTCGGGCACCGTGGGCACCGGAGGACACCTTGGATACCTCAGGCACCGGAGGACACCTTAGGCACCGGAGGACACCTTAGGCACCGGAGGACACCTTAGGCACCGGAGGACACCGGGACAGTGCTAGAGGCCGGTCGCCGAATAGTGAACCGGTAGCTACCTATGATCTGGATACATGTATATAGAGTAGAGGACCTACCTACTGCTGAGACGAGATTCGAGAAGGATGAGCAATCAAGTCTTTCCATCTTCATACTCCTACACTTCACCATTACATATGCATAGAAGCAATACGTATACGAGCCCTAGTTACTTCAGTCTTCCGGTCGGAAGAGACTATTTAAACGTACCAAGAGTAAGAGTCCAGAACAGACATCGACGCCCGCTATTGGTTGGAGCGCTACCTACGTTGCTTTCTCCAATCTTACGCTGCAGGCTAATTACAGCCAACGATCGATCCAGACTGAGTCGATATGATGCCTACTTATGCTACATACCTAACAAACTCTATATCCGGCTGCCCCGACCAGATATCACAGGTAGGTAGGCGCTATAGGCAGGTAGGTAGGTAGGCACACGGGGCGAAGAGGGGATGTCTGACGCCATCCCAAGTCGCATGTCGCACGTCGTGTGTCGCACACCGCGGGGGGCCGTTACGGTCGGTCAGCACTTGACAAGGCGGCTGTGCAGCGTGCTTAATTCCGTCGGCGCTTGTCAACACAACACAGTAACGTCGAGCGGGGCGTTGCTTATATATACGTCGGTTCGGAAGGGGCTACACCGAAGTGTGGAATAAGTTCGGCTGCATATTATACCCAGTTGTTGACAGGACACGCTCGGACTCTCATAAAACCATTTCTTGAACCGCCGCTTCTCCGCAGCTTCACCGGATATCACAACGAAAGGACCACGCAGGTAATAACTACTCTACCTACCTACATATACGGTCCCTTTTCCGTAAAAAGACGAATGTAAACTGACGACTACCCACTTACTTATCGCCAGTTAGCTACTGGTTACTAGTTATAGCCCATCAATGGCGCCGATCACGCAGTTCCGCCGTCCACCAGCTACTACTACTGGTAGTAGTAGTAGTAATAGTTTCACCAAGATGTCGGAGCCCGCCCCCGGCCTCATGGTTCTCGAGCGCGACAGCAGACACTCGCTCCCGTGCAAGGTGTTGCTCACCGCAGCAACACTTTGTGCGGCCGCCGCGGCCCTATACATCATCTGGACGCCGGTTGGGTGGTGGGGAGTACTGGTATCGGTTCGTGGTATCATGCAGGCTGGTGGTGGACGGCTGGCGACCTGAAATTTTCGCTGGTGGGAGTGGTGATATCGGGCTGGGAAGTGGATGGTGGGAGGTGGGCTCTGTAATGCAAGCTGGGAAGTGGTTGGGGCTGGATCTGAAATCGCTTTGAGGGGAAGCGGGGAAGAGGGACATATGGTGGTTTTCCTTTGTTTCGTGTATGTGCCGGTTTTGTTTCCTACAATCAATGGGAGCGGCGGGAATCGAGATGGATGTGGCACGGAAGCTCACTCGTGTAGGTGGAACCGAGTGATGTTTGGGCTGCGAATAGATGCGAGTAGCTGATTCGGCAAAGGGCAGCGCCTGCAGGCTGCTCGGTATACCTCCACTACGCCGAGTGCACAGCCATGCTAGAGTTCAAGTTCCGACAGCACGGAGCCGATACGGTTCATACCATCTTCCTAGTATCAATCGCTTGCTATCATCTCTATCGATCTAAAGTTCGTGCTCTTTCTTTTTTACGAGTCACATGTCACGGCCCCTCCAGGTTGACACCACCGTTCACCGCCGATGAATTCGATCAAGGTCACTGCACAGGAACGAAATTCGTTGCATTCAAATTCGAACCTACAGTTTGCCCGAAAGGAATGGAGCCGACCGTCGGTCCAATGCCACTTCAATGAGCCCAAACTGACTACCGGGCGGCAGAGACATCTTGACGATTCTCAGCCGCGGATCCGCCTTACGCATCAGCAGCTCCCAGTCCTGTCCAGTCCTCTCTTTACCGCCCACAAGCATCATCATCGACAGATCCAACGTCCTATTTACGCTAGCAGTCAGCGGCCCACTCTCACGGTTTACAGTGAAAGAAAAAAGAAACATACCTCTGCAGCTTCTCAAACAGCTTCGGAATGGTATTCGCTTCGGCAAGGATGGCGTCAACAATGACTATCCTGCTGTTCGGCTTCATCTTAGGGATGATGTTTTTCAGGATCTTAGCGCAGCCCTCATCCGACCAGTCGTGCATGACCAATCGCATGAAGTAAACATCAGCCTCGACGGTTTGCGGGCTCCAGAAGTCGCTCTCTATGAAAGAGATGCGACTCTTGACGGACTCCTCTTCGGACTCGATTGAGGTTTTGCCTTGTGACACCACCGATGCGAGATCCTGGACCAGGAACCGAGGCTTCGGGTGGTTTCGCGCGATAGACGCACAGATGTGTCCCAGGCCTCCTCCTATCTGTATCGATATTAGCGTGTATTCCGGAAACAGGGGGAGTTTTTCGGGACTCACGTCGACCACAAGCCCCTCACCAATCGCATCCCAATCGAAGCTTCCATTCAGCAACGGATCGCACTCCTTGTTGACCGCGCTCGTCGACTCCTCGTTCTTGGCGCGGTACTGCATGCACTCGGCGAACCTCTTCTTCCTCCACTGCTGATCGGGCCTCTCCATGAAACCAAACATATCCTCTCCTTCCAGACCATTCGCCACGCAGAACGCCGTCTCATACCTGCTGCCAGTATGCCCATACTTATCGTTCGCCTCGTTGATCTTTGCGGCGGCGGAAAGTCCCTCGTCGGCGTTGATCGCCAGGAACGAGCGCAGCAGATGGTCCTCGAGGATCGCCCGCGACGCCGCCGTATGGATCACCCAGCCCGGCCGCGACTCCTTGAAGATGTGTGATGTCGTCGCGTACCGGATTATGCGCGTCACAAAGTCTTCGTGCAGGTTCGATGCCGCCGCGATCTGTGCGAACGAGGCTTCGCCGTGCAGCGGTACCGCTTCTGCGAGGTTGTAGGTGGTGATTGCGCGGAGGACTACGGTCTCGAATTTACTCTGGTAGGGATGTTATAATGGGTTGCCACAAGCCAAACACCCCGGGGGTGGGGGGGAGGAACAGGATGGCTTACCGTGAGAGAGCTCCAGGTTATGCCGTTGGTTGGCCCGACGGCAAGGTCGTAGATTGCTTTTGCGGCCTCGATCAAGGCCATACGCGAACCTTGGATTTCGGCATCCGAGGGAAAGTGGAGGGGAGAATCGCGGTCGAATCCGGGCTGCGGAATGCCGTTGGACTCGAGGTGCTGGTGGATGGTTTTCGCATGGGCCAATATATCCGTGGCGAGCTGGAGGATGGAGGGGGGAGGAGTTGAAGTCGCCATTGTGTTTTTGGCCGCCGAGGGGGTGTCTGTGGCTCGCTGGGGAATGGTGGTGGTGGTGGTGGAGGGTGAAGTCGACATTGAGTCTGTGACCGGCGGCGGGGGCGTCTGTGGGGGGGAGCTGGGAGGATGGAGGGTGGAGTCGAGATTGGGGTTCTGATCGGTGGGCTGTCGGCTTAAGTAGAAAGTAGAAATACTGGAGCGGGATGGGGCGGTAGGGTCGTTACTCCTACACGGTGCCGGAACTTTGGCGCTTGTCTGCTTCCCGATGCGCCTGCTTGCTACCTAGCTAAAGGTGCATGCATAAATGCGTATTTATTTCCATCGCTGCATCTGGGCAGCTTCGTGGCATCGCAGCTCGCGATTGCAGGCAGGTTGCTGGGTACAAGCATGATATGTATATCCAGCGTTAAGATAAGTTCCAGCTAGTTAGTAGTGATAGGCATGACCCGTCGACTGATCTCTACCACTGGCAGCCGACAAGTTTTATGTAGTTATCTTCAGCCTCCGGCGCAACAACACCTTGGATTGCTGGGGGATATGAACGTGAGTATGTACCTAGTATGCATAGGAACTTTGAAGATTCACGTATGGGGAGGAACCGCCTATCGAAGCCAGTCTGGCAGACCCGTTTCAGTACCTACCGGTTGCCATAAAACCGCCAGAATGCCAGGAACGATATGTACTCTATCTAGATACCGTGGGTCGACCCGAGCTGCAGCTGAGGGGAGAGATCAGGGAAGCTCGGATGACGCGGAACCACCCACGCGGGTGAGGAAAAGCCCGGATAGTGGTTACATACAGGCATTTCTCCGCGGTAGCCCATGCTCACTGTCTACTCTATTGGTAGTTCCGGCTAGCTGGTCGCGGTCTAGGCGGTAGCGACGCTAGCGTGGCTTGCTCGCTCGCTGCCGTCAACTACTGAGAGACCCTCGACGGGTACGGGCAGCGGATGAACTGATTCAATTGACTAGAAAAGCAACAAGAAAGAAAAAAACAGGTCCATGACTTTCGGGGATATCTGTGGTGGTTGATAATTTCTGATGTGTTGAACAAGAGACCTACAGACTAGACGGACATAAAAGCAGCAACAGAGAACATTCCAACGTTCAGCGACCGCATCGGGTCTGCCCGCCGCAACACTTAGGCCCTCCATACCGTCGCTCACCGCTCACCGTTCCCCACAACACAGAAGCGCCTCGACCCCCAAATCCCACACTACTTCACGCAGTTCTCCAGAGCCCATCCATCCACGTGGATTCGGGTGTGGGCGAAGAGCGGGGAAGGCAAAAAAAAAGAAAAACACCAACGCCGCCTGCAGTTATGCAGCTATATATGCAGTTAGTTACTCTAGTTATTAGCCAGTGGTATGCACACCTAGATGGATAATGGGGAAGAAAGCGCCACATGGTGATCGATTGATGACGCCAGTCCAGTCCGTGCCTGCCGAAGGAGGAGCCGAGCCGGTGGGTGGCTTGGACACGTCGACGACTCGACGACGGCGACGCTGCGAAAAGTCTCCGAAATCGAGAGGCGTATGATATGTAGAGCCAGATTGTTGGCATGCACACGCTAAGCGCGGCAGCTGCATACCTAGGTCTCCCGGACCGACGGCGACCCTGACGGTGGAGTTGGACGGACGCGGCATCTCCCGGATTCTGAGGTATCTTCATGATAAATGTACCTGTGGATACCAGCGCATGTATCTCCGTTCGTTGCCTCTCGATTTCTACTTTCCTCTACTCTCGGTGACCGTATCATACCGTACGTAAGTCGGTGGGAGCAGCTGTGTGTAGCAACGGATGACAAATACGTTTTCTCCGGTTGGTTGGTTGGTTAGTTGCCGGCGGCGGCCGCCGCACGGGGGGGAGGGCAGGAAGGCGATAGTAAGAAGTAAGAAAGTAAGTACTCGTGAGTCGTGCTATTATGCTATGTATGTTATACACACGAGTAGCGGGTATGTAGGCGTAACGGTTATGTAGGAAAGTGCACTTTTGCCGCGCCTCGAGGTGAATTTCTTATGTAGGCGCACGCGCCCACGACGTACCTGTGAACTGTGCACTGTGAACTGTCGGAAGGAAATCCCGAGAGGAAGAAAAACCTGCCAAAATGTATGTATCGGAAACCGCCGCCGGCCCGCAAAAGCACAAACCACAGACTTTGTTGCGCGGCCATCGAACTCGCGGATAAAGGAGTCATGATATCTCACTCGCACAATCCGACCGACCGACCGGTCAACGCTGCATAAGACCTTTGTAGGTGTGCAGAGCCAACATCGTGCATTAGGTTGTTAGGTTGGACAGTGGACAGTGAAATGAAACGGAGTATGATTTAGACAGGTCGCAAGCAAATCAATCAATGATTGACAAAAAAGAAGCCAGCATCGCCATGCTGGGCCAGCCTCCAGGCGGAGGGGCAGAGGGGAACTCAGTGCTCACGTCGGGCCACTCTGCAACGGGTCAGAGAACCGGTGTGTATGTTACTGCCATGATATACCTAGTACGGAATCATACCGGTAAGGTCGAATGCAGAATGCATGATTAAAATACATAAAAATAAAAGTCAGCCAGCCACATGATGCAGGCCCGAATGATGATGGACACAGAAAGATTAAAAAAAAACTAGTCAAATTCCGCAATAGTTACGCGAGCAAAGAAGAAGAAATTCTAAAGAGGAGAAAACGTCTTGTTTCCCCGGTATGCCAAATATTAATAAATAAACCTATATATATCGCTGCCCACCGAACAATGAGAGACCCAAGAAGAAGTATGTAGCCAGAACTCCGAAAACAAAGAAGAGAGCGAACAGGATAGCCTGTAGACAAAGAAAAATACACATTATGAAATATAGCGCCGCCGTCAAGCGGTCGAGGTCGAGTCTTCCCGCCGCTTTCGCCGGATGGTGGCGACTCGTCGAATTGTAGATATCCTCTTTATCTCTGACGTTTGTGTTGTCGTGGTGACCTTTTCCGTTGTTGTTGTTGTTGTTGTCATCATGCTGCATTTATCGTCGTTATCCTTAAAAACGTTCTCCTCGTCGAGATCGGTCCATAGATTCTCGGCGAACGTCAACGTCTGACGGACCAGGCTGAAAAGACTGAGATGATTATCTGAGTCTGGTTCCGGAGTCTTCGTAACTTCGGATTCGGCGGAGGATTCGATTGGCGTTTGGGGGATCAGGAACGTGGAATCGCAGGCGACCGGTGTGGGTGTCGTGACTAACGACGCGGGTGCAATGTTTGGAGGCGGCGGAGGCGGATAAGAGGGAGGAGGCGGAGGCGGATGTAAACGCAGAGGAGGCGGTGGAGGCGGGTAAGAGGGAGGAGGAGGAGGAGGAGGTAAACGCATCGGTGGCGGAGGAGAAGGAATATTTGGGAGCGGAGGAGCTGAAAGAGGCGACGGTATCTTTTCCATGTACCTTCGGTAGTCGGGCTGGCCTTCGACGGTAGTAGTCGTAGGCGGAGGGTTCGATGAAGTAGGCGAGCACAAAGGGGATACAACTAGTGGTTGCCGCGTGTATAGAGGTTCCGTAGCTTCTTTAGTACTGTCCGCGTGTCGAAAATTATCAGGGGCATCCTGGACTTCCTTCGGACAGGCGATCCCAGGTAAGGCCAGTGAAACACCAGCGACTTTAACTTTGTAGTCTTCAATATCCGCGAGCGATGCCACCGAAGGCGGGCGAGTGCAATTGGAGAATGTATCCGACGAGTCGCGTCTTGCAAAGAACGAGGCCAGCGAACGAGTGGAACGATCAGATACGGACGACGAGGGGGACGATCTATTTCCATTGGCTGAAGCAGGATCTTCGTTCGTGTGCTCATCATGATCGCTCACCTCGGCGTATGCGTATACGGCATTGAAAGGCGCGAGGAGCTTTGCCGAGACGGCAGAGTGAACGTCAGTTTCCACCGCTAACCTCTGGCCATCTCGAGGGGGTATCGCTGCTCCTCGTGCCAGAAGTTCTTGCTCTATCTCGTCGATCTCTGCCTGCACCATCGCGGCAATCTCCTCTGCCAAATCCTGGACCGAACCCGACTTTGTCGAATCGGTACGGGATGGCCGGCTGGGAATCAGTGGTAATGTTTCCGGAGCCAAAGCTAGAGTTGGAGCTAGAGGATTATGGCTTCCGAATGGAACATAATCCTCCCGTTCCCACACTGCTGGAGGCGGAGGGATCGTTGCAATAAATGTAGGCCTCGATGCCAAGTTGTAAGGGTTCTCTCCGTTGGGCAGGGTACGGAACCCAGGCGGAGGAAGGGTGGGAAATCGGCGATGTTTCGGATATGGTGGCGGTAGCAGCTGCGGAGATTCATTCGGCGGCAGCTGTGGATACGACGACGACCAACCGGCGGGCAGTGCTCGCTGGGCCGCCGCAGCCGGGTATTGCGGCGCGTAGTATTCGACCGTGACCGGCGCCGGGGGGTGGATCACGGATGAGCGGACTGGCGACGAGAAGCTGGTGTGAAGCGGCGGGAGCTCCGAGTGCCGTGGCCGGCGACGAGGCCGCACCTCCGTCGTGCCGTGCTGCTGCACCGCCGTGGTCGACGATCGATAGCCGGTCTGAAGCGCCATCGTCGGATAAAAAATTTAATTTTTTTGTCGAAGTCGGAGGATGAGCCCGCCACGAAGAAGGTTGGAGGAGAGCAAAGGTATTTATGGGTCACAGATAGGGTTTCCCGTTCAAGGCGTGTGTGGCACAGTGGCACTCGATCATGCACACCCCCAAAGAAGGAAAATTGCGGGGCAGACACACTGGGCAGTGGGCGAGCTGCACTGGAAAATAGGGGACGGAGAGGGGGACATCACAGGGTCGGCCGTCAGCCTCTCGGTCCCGTCCGATCGGGATTGGCTGTGTGCTTGACAGGGACTGCGGCGTTGGTGGGCCTGTGCTTTTGGAGCCGGTCGTCCATGGAACTTGGATGTGGTTTTGTAAGTATGACTACCAAGAGGATACAGATGGGGGATTGAAATCGCTACCTACCGAACTCAATTCGGATCCGGCAAACAGAGTGATTCGCGTAATTGGGCACGAGCAAGCGGCGCCCAGCCAAATACGTCAATGGGTATGGTATTTCAGTTTGACGACAACCAGTACATACCAGAGTCGAGCAGTGGTGATGGGTAACTCTACTGCGGCCAGGTAACTATGGATACTTTGAACGGATCGCGGCTGTGGCTGTGTAGCGATTGAAAGCAGTGAGCAGTGAGCAGTGGGCAGTGAGCAGTGGGCAGTGAGCACTGAGAGTCTGAGACAGTATGAAGTTAGAACTTAGAAGTAGGTGTTCAGGTTCGGCAATAGGGATATTTTTAGCCTCAACACTGTACTACTAGTATCTAACTAATGTAGCCTGTACTATGAGTACATAGATACTCTAGATACATGTCTACGGCCCCCTCTCAGGCTCTCAGCCTTACATACTGACCGGGATCCTTTTCACTCGAGAACCCGTATGTAAACCCGACTACTTACACACCCTATGAGGAAGCTGAGAGATACCCGGAAGTACTCTAGACTGGCTAGCTCGCTCGTCCGCACCGCGAACGGGCGATGTCAAATACGAACTGCGAAGTGCGAACTGCGTTGGCTTCAGCTCTCGTCTCGTGTTTCGGTTGCAGAAATAGAGATCTCACCAGCATGCACATTGCAAACCGATGTTTCTGCGCCCAACTACCAGCATCGTGCATGATAGTTAATTGGGGAAGTAATCCTGCATGAGGCTGCTGGCCCACCACATGTGGTGATCGATTATAGGATACCCAGGATACCCTCTGAAAGAAAACCTGCTGGCAGTGTGTTTGGTTGGTCGTTATGTAGTTGGGGATGCAAGTACTTCTTATGTAGGTGGACCGTAGGATAGATAGTAAAAGATGCCGCGGTTCGGAGACGGGGCTGATTTACCCACAGCGGGGCGGGGACTCGGGGAGGCCGGCTAGCGGCGGCGGCGACGGATCTGGCGTGCCCGCCCGTTGCCGTCCGATACCCTTTCGCGTGAGCTGCTGAGCACTTGCATGCCAGGTTTCAGGCGGCAGCCCGCCGATCATTTAGCTCGTGCGGACCACGTGAGGCGCTGTCCAGCTAGAAGGGTTCTGCTGGAAGGGGCCTGCTGGTTGCTGGTCGTGCTGGCACAGTAAAGCTCAATTAAGTTCAAGCGTGACAAAAGACCATAACTATCGACAAGGAAAATCAAAGCCGGCCGATTTCGAATCCCCATGACCAATCATGAATGAGCTCCCGCTTGACTCGCTGGAGAGGAGAGTACTCTAAATACACACCGGTACGTCAGACTTGGCTGCACGCATGCCACTGGGCCATGGCACCAACAGGCCTGTCTCCGATGCCCTGACGAGCCCCGAACGATCCACCTCTAGCAGCCACACATCCGCACACCGGCGCCGCTGCGTGGCTCTACGCCGCCAGCAGTGTCCTAGTGTCCCAGTCAATTCCGGGCCCGATAGGGTATCCATCCTCATTTCGCCAGCCCGGAAGACCGTAGTCCTTGTTCTCCTCAGCCCGACTAATTCCGTCCCGTCCCGGGCAACCTCAAAGACGGACTGGACGAACGATTGACTGTCCCGACCCCCACCCCCAGCCCCGGGACCCCGCGTCCGGCTGCCGCCTAAGGCACCCGTCGATTCAGCCACGATCACCGGTGGCCGGCGAAATGAGAGTAAGCGCGAGGCTAAGCTTACGCAAGATCCGTCCGTGCGCGATGCTGTCGGCCGTGGTGAGAGTTCGAACGAATCGAATGTTTCTCGGTTGCGATGGCAGCTCAAGCTCCTCAGCAGCAGCAGCAGCAACCCCAGCGTACGCGACAAGGCTGTCGGTAAGCTTGGAGTACTCTACATAGTCGAGGACTTCCGACTTCACTGGACCAATGAGTTGCGACGGATTTCCACGTCAGAGCTTGCCGACCATATCCATCGCGAAACAGTTCGAGGATGTGCACAACGGCGTAAGGGGTCCAAAGGGATTTTCATGGCATTGTGGATTCTTCCAGAATCTTTCATGCCATGAACTTGCCATGGCTCATGACCTCCTTCCGAGAGCACTCAAGATAGGTGAGAAATATCATAGGCATGTACTGAGAGACCCTTGACGGGTACGAGCATATGAAGAACGTGATTCAATTGGAAAAGCAAAGAACAAGAAAAAAAGCAGGCTTATGAACTTTTTTGTGGATGTCTGTGGTGTTGAATAATGTCTGATGTATAGAACAAGAGACCGACCGACAAGACAAACAGAAAAGCATCAACAGAAAAGATTTCAACGTTGAGCGACCGCATCGGGTCTGCCCGCCATAACAATTAGTCCCACCATACCGCCGCTCACCGCTCCCCGCTCTCCGCAACACAGAGGCGCCTCGGCCCCGCGCTCCCTCAGTATATACTCAGTTTTGCCGAGCCGGAGGTGCGGGATGACTCGCTACCAGAGGTTTCAATCACTAGAGTACCGTCGTCTGCTACCACTATGAGAGAAACACATGAAAGATGAAGAATCTGATAAGATGGAAGGAGGAGAGGCTAGTCGGATCGGTGGATCCGAATGGTGGTGTCAGCCGGACTAGCCGAATCGAGTGACACCAAACGTTGTAGGCAGCGAAGGCGAGCCATACTAAATGACTCTTCGAGGTTGAATAAACCTCACCTTCTGCATCATCTTTCATTTCCGCCTACTAACTTCCAGGATTACGTCACTTGACTAGGTACTCTATGTATCATACTTGCTCACCCAACAATTTTGCGAGCAGCCGAGCGCCACACTCCAACTCGGTCGGCCGCAACAACCGCCATCGATTGTCGGCCACTCTGAATCTCCACATAGTGTCATAGCCCGAGGGACTCCATACCCATCTCCATCTCCTGGCGACTCCATTTGATCTAGGTATTCATGGCGAGGACAGTGTCTTGGTTTGGTTTTTTGGTGCGACGAATATTGTTAACGAAGGGTTCGGCGTGATTTTGACGTCTGTGGCATGTGATCGCGGCCGCTGATCTGACCCGTATTCCAACCCCAGACGGTGGGCCGCGGCGACCCGCGTCCGGAGCGTCTCCTGTCGTACCATCCGCTGCGGACAGTTTTTGATATGGTAACTACTGCTGAGTCTGCGTGTTGTAATGACACCATCTGCAGCGCGCCATGGGCCGATACTTTCTAAGCCAGGTATTGCTAGTGAGAGCATATTGGCCAGTCTTTAGCTGGTGGTTATGTAGAATCTCGAGGCGAGCCCGTATGTACTACCGTACAGAGCAGGAAGGGACTCGACCCCGATACCGTGTAGAGTGATGTGTCATGAAACAATCCGATGCGGTTATATTGCCTGGCGCTTGTGTCGAATCTGGAATGATCATTTCCCGCCACCGCAAATTCCGACTCCGGCAGCGGATATGTATGACAATTGTCAGCCGGCACGTTGCATGCACGCAAGGATCATAATCTAACTCTATGTTAACCGATAAGAGGGTTTTCTCCGCAGGGGTGCTCCGTCACCTTTTTTTTTCTTCCTGATACTAGGTATGAGCATTGAGGGGTACTTAAACAGTACACTGCCGCTCTGAGAGTCAAACAATCCACGCCGCCATGGAGGTCACTCCCACCAATCTCGAGCGGCAGCCGACACCGAGCAAGACGCCGCTTCCTCACATTGGACTCCCGGACGGATCCAGTAGCTCGCGCACACTCCTCGAGCGCATCGAAGGATGGGAGGACCGCTTCGGCGTCGAAGCCCGCGGGATCCAGCGAGTGCCTCCGAGCGACCGCAACCCGGTGTCGCTGTTCGGGACTGTACAGATCGCACTCAGCTGGTTCTCCATCAATCTCGTCGCGAATAATACCCTCGTCGGTATGCTCGGGCCGTGGGTCTTCAGGCTCTCGTTCAGGGATTCCGCCCTGCTGTGTCTGTTTGGGAATATCCTCGGTGCGGTCGGCCCGGCGTATATATCTGGCCTGGGTCCCAAGAGCGGGAATAGGACCATGGTTATCTTGCGCTTCGTGTTTGGGTGGTGGCCGGCTAAGCTTTGCGCTTGCTTGCAGCTGATTGGAACTCTGGGGTATGGGCTGTTGGCGGCATTGATTACGGGGCAGATATTGTCTGCGGTTTCGACGGATGGAAAGATGAGCGTTGTCGTGGGGGTGATCATTGCGGGAATCGTTGTGATGGTGGTCTGTGTGGTCGGAATGAGAGTCTTCCACGTCTACGAACGGTCAGTCAGTCGGGTCAGCCGCTGCCATCTTTGCGACAACATATCTAACTTATTTGTAGGTACGCTATGATCCCCTCACTCATCGTCTATTTCATCATGATCGGCAGTGCGGGGCCCAACTTCAACACAACAGCGCCGTCCCTAGGCACACCCGACGTCATCCGTGGGAACCAAATCAGCTTCTTCTTCGTCGTCTTCAACACGGCGTTTATCTGGAGTATGTGCTCGGCCGACTACTTCGTCTACTACTCCGAGACCATGCCACGGGCTGTTGTGGGAACGATGTCACACATCGGCGTGTGTTTGGGTCTCCTCTTCTCCGAGCTCATTGGCGTTGGGCTCGCCTCGGGTGCGGCTTCGAAGATCGAGTGGGGGGATGCGTTAAGCGTCAGTCCAGGTGCCATGATGGCGGAAGCATACACGCCTCTGGGTGGATTCGGGAAGTTCTGCGCTGTAGTGCTGGCACTAGGTCCCAGTGGGTGACCCTCCTCTCGCCTATTCCTCCCTGGTCCTCGGTTGACATCTTTAGTCGCAAACACTATTCCCGGCATCTACAGCTCCGCCCTGGCGTGGCAGATCCTGGGTCGCGGCTGGGAAAAAGTACCGCGTGCAGTCTGGACCGTGAGACCCCCCTCACCCCAACGTCTCTCGGCCGCTCTAACATCATATGTACCAGGTGTTTGGCATTCTTGTGTACACGATCTGCGCCATCGTCGGTCGCAACAGCATCTTCACAATCTTTGAGAACTTCCTCGCGCTCATGGGACCATGGGTAGCCGGCTGGGTAACGATCCAACTTTCCGACGAGCTCGTCTTCCGCCGACACCGTAAATGGAGATGGGAGGATTGGGATAAGCCGGAGAAGCTCCCTGTTGGCATCGCCGCGTTGGCAGCTTTCCTGGTGGGATGGGCTGGTGCCATCCTGGGCATGTCCCAGGTCTGGTGGGTAGGGCCAATCGCTAGAAGGGCGAAGGGAGATCTGGGGGTGCCCATTATGATGGCCTGGGCCGCTTTGGTGTATCCCCCTCTGAGGTGGCTGGAGATGAGGCACTGCAAGAAATAGAGCGGTCTGCATTCGGGGATCCCACCTCCGAAGCAAGTGCTGAATAAACACCGAGTACATACACTCTCCAGCGATACTCTGGACTACCTATTGATCGTGAACGTCACGTTTGAATTCTTGCCCTCAAATACCCAGCAAAGAGTTTTTCTCCTTGGTTGAAAACGATGATATTCTTATTGAACGTCCTCGAAAACCAGTAGTAGTTCAACGGAGTTTACCTTAAGCAGTAATGGATGTCGATCCGCGTGATACTTTCTATTTACACCCAGTGAAAGAATCTTTCTTCTCCTAGTAGCTATCCATCCATGCAGATGGGTTCGTCGCTCCATATCCACCTGCGACTGGTCACTCGTCTTCGTCGAGACGATCTCGACGCCGACCGGAAGCAAGCCTCCGTTCCGCGCCATCCCCCCGCTCCCTACACTTCGCGCGGACCGCGGGAATCAGCAGTTCTCGATCCCGTTCTTGTGGCACAGTCGCTTTATTATTCTCGCCGGCGGGGAGCTGTATAATAGTTATCGGCGCATTTTTTTTAGGTGGGGCGTTGACTAAGGACTACCTATGATGCACCTGCACCTGCCCGCCTACGCACTTCGCCGAGGGACTCGGGAGAACCCGCTAGCTCTCATGCCGGGAGATTTTCTTTCTTTAATATGTATGCCATTATCCCCACCGCTTCCCGGTCTGGGTATGGTTGAAAGCAGTTCGATGGCGGGGCCTTTTTTTTCCGTTGTCCTGGCGAGAATGTTGAGTGATTGTGCATGATCCGATTCCCTATGGTGGCCGCCCAGTCTGGATCCCGAGGAACACTCATGGCAAGCCGATCGCGCAGTTTAATCACAAATATTCAACTTCCTTCCAATCGTTCAAAGCCACGGGTTCTCAAACATTCCTGCGCATAAAGTCATATCCGAACGAGCCTCCATAAAATACAAAACAAACACCCAAAAGAGATAACTAACAGCACTACTCAACTTAGTTACTAGAAATCCTCCCACACACACACACTACTTTTTCGGCCCAAAATGGATATGCTCCCAAATCACCTTCCCAATTTTCGTCAAAGGCGTCTCCTCGCCACTCTTTGGGGGCGTGATTGCCTGCTTGTCGCATTCCGTAGCTTTGCCATCCGTAGTCCACGCAGCAGCCTTGGCAGCCCGCCACATCTCCGCTGGATCGTTCACCGTCGTTTTGGAGTACGGAAGCTTTTTGCAGCCAGGCGACCACCTGAAGAACAGCGGTACTGCAGTCGTCGAGTTGTTTTCACCTAACCGGAACTGGTTTTCTATGCCAATCCTGGTATTGACGAGACGGGCGCGAGGGTACTTGAGAACGTCCTTGTAGTTTGTCGTATCGCCAAGCGCTGCCCAAGTTTTCTCAACCATTTGTTTGAAGTCGTGAACGGTGCCACTCTTGGTACCACCGACGGGTTGCATCGCTGTGCTGTTGGCCCTCCCACCGAACGTGTACGTGCGGACGCCGACGTTCCTCATCAATTCCATCCAGTTGTGACAGGTAGAAGCGCACTGGCCAGCCCCGACGATAATGATGTTCTCCTTGCTCCATTCGCTATTGGACCCGAAGTCGGTCTTGTCCAGGTCGGGTCGCCAAAGAGACATGGCGGTAAACGAGTCGTTGAATGCGACGTTGCGGTATGGGCCAAGAACCTCATCGAAAGTTGTGAAGTTGGTGCCGTTCAGGTTTACGTACTCGTTCAGCAGGGTGTGTTGGAGGTTCTCCGGATCAAAATCTTTTTCAGCCTTCCACACTTTGTCCAGGGCTGAGTGATATCGCATGTTCGCATAGTAATCCGGCTCGTCGGTTCCGTCAAATAGATCTGGGAAGAGGACTCGAACAAATCTCTTTGCAAGTATGGCGGTTCCTCCACCATTTCCGGAGACGTCGATGATGAGTCTCTTCGCACCCTTCTCGTGGAAAGCCTGCAAAGTCGTGTTGAGGAAGAGCGACCAGCTGTCGGTTTCCTCTATGTCAAAGGTGGAAATCCGAAGAATCACCGTTTCATTATCACCATCTGGATCCTGGAACCAAACGAGCGATTCATCTTCGTTGCGGGACACCGGAGTTGGATAACCAACTATTGACGTCGTGGGTGTCGCCGACGTCTCTGCCGAGTCGGTAGCGGTTGCAGGTGAGTCGGTAGCGGTAGTGGCGGGGAAGGGCGCGGCCGTTCTCTTTTCGACGACCTCGGGGGAAAATGCGCTACTCCAGAGAGCTCCACTCGGATCCTCCTTCCAGAGAGGCCCGGCAACCTTGGGTGAAAGCGGCTTGAGTTCCTCGGCAGACAAATAACAAACATTCTGGATCAGTTCTTCGGTCGAGTTGAATTGAAGCTCGAGATTCTGAAAATATGCCTTCCACTGGACTTGGACTTTCTCGCCTCCCACGAAGCCAATCTCTAGCTTTTCTTCCTCTTCTCCTACAAAGTACTGACGAAAGTTAAAGATACCCGAGTTCTGCTCCCACGGATAGTTTTCGAACAGCATGTTGAACCTGGTGTCGGGATCGTGGTACATCCAAAGATCAGGGTGATCAGACGCCAGTCTGATCAGGAACTCCTCCGCAGGAAGTCTATTGATTGTTTCGACTTGCTTGTCTAGCTTCGGTTTCGCCGTGGTTCCATTTCTCTTCAAGGTATAGATACCCCGTGTCCCAACTGCCGTATCCGAGACGGCCACGAGGGGATAATCATGTGTGTACTTGAATAGGTAGTAGTCACCACAAGCTGGGTAAAACGATGTGTGCATGTCGCGATAGGACGTCTGTACCAGGCCGATGTCGCGGAAGAAGTCGAATCCATTCTTGTAGTGTCCGCTCTTGACTTTGGCTTCGATCCCGTCGATGGTCTTGTCGACGTCGAACGCTGGAAGCTCATGCAAGGGCTCTATAGGGACCTTGTAGAAGGCTTGCCCAGCATACCAAGCATTCGTGTGACGGAGAGTTTCAATGAGCTCGGTGGCGTCGTCGGCAGAGAATGGAACCGATCTCAAGCAGTTGAGGGCCTCCGTGGGCGTAAATGCTGTCGGACCGTTGACATCCTCTGGTATCACCGTATCGGTAATGTGCCTTTCAATCACGCCTGACCGGGAGTGAGAGTTTACTACTGACCTGTGAGTTGGATGCCGCCGAGCTTCTCGCATGGATCAATTTCTGTAGTGCTTGCTGTCAAACATGTGGATGCGAATACCGCCAGACTCGCGCCTCGTAGTAATAGGTGTGAAGCTCTCATGGTAAGCGAAAGATGCTGTTGGAACTGCCGTGATATGGGTAGAGTTGACGGCAGACTTGAGCATTAAATACAGATCTATTCACGCCATATTCCTGAGGGTCCGACAAGTGGTAGGGCTGTGCTTACCCGTAGCGGGGTCTATTGTGAGGGGTGAATATCCATTGGAAGGGAGCATTGAGTCAGTCCTATGGCATGGCTGCCTGGGACCCTACCAGTAGTCAGAGTGGGGACATAGGTACTTTCTCCTCATGGAGTAGTCCATGCTTCGCCGGCCAGCAGGCAGCATGACAAAATGTGTGGCCAACATGGTGGCTGAGAGTGTGATGCCATGGCGGTTGTGGAGGCGTCCTCGAGAGTCGAGAGTCGACGGTGAGTGAGGGGGTTGAGAAGTGTGCTTTGCTGCTAAATATGGCGCAAGCGGGCTGCGCCGTGTCAGATGTCTTGCGAATAAACACTCACCCCGATGATATTTAGCGCACGTTCCGCTCACCTTGCTGTAGACTCGCTAGATTAGCAAGTATACTAGAGCACATGGGGTTGTAACTAACCCTCGTATGTAGATCGCGCCCCCAAGGCGAACTGATATCATTTCTACGCCGGCCCTGAGATCAATGGAGACTAGTTATGATACTCCTACACCGTGCGAAATCAACCGGACTAGACCGTGTTGAAATGTTCGGGGTATTGAATCGTACGCAACCCTGACGTGGCGGCCCACTTGATGCAGGTGCCGGCAGAAAAGTCTCCACGCCGGTGATGTGGAGTGCTTCGACTCGGGATGTATTAAGTCGTGTCCATGCTGAGATTAATAGCCTATAGGAGAGGCCCTCACTGCATTCAAGCTTAGTGTCTAGAGCTCTAGCCGCAACAATCGATATGACAGGTCTAGACTCTACGCACGTCTGTGGTGATTGCTGCCGAAATGCTCACCGGTATGGTATGTATCCTTTCGCATAGCCCCACCCGCCGCCATCCATGTTCAACCAGTGGATTCTCTGTCTACCTAATCGGGGTTCAACGTTTATGGTCCAGTCATTCGATGTAAAGCGATGCACCTGCCCCGCCGGAACTCTCAGCCTCATGGTTTCAGCTGGAGGAAAACAACGGTAATGGCGGCAAGGTTCTTCTTCATATTCCTTCCCCATGAGTAAGATCTCAGCCCTACCAATCTAGACTTAACTAGCGTAGAATAGCCCTGACCACTGACCAGATGGCAGATGCTCATATATACTGAACCACCAATAACTACTACCGGTGGTATGTGTGCACTGCATCAACCTCGATCACTCGTTTCAATCATCCCCACCCAAAGCCACCCTGTCGCGATTCTCCTTCAAAAGTCACATCATCAAGCAACATCTTCACTCGTCGAAGATTTTGCACATTAGTCATATCGGTAATATTTGGTAATATTTGCACGCCTCCAGAATGCTGTTTATTTTCATACTTACTTCTGCTTCTGTCTGGCATGTCTAGCTGGTCATCCGCTGTATTTTGCGAATCAATCGAAAAAATGTTACTCGTACTTTTCAACACACCCCTCCGATGTCAAACCCCGACTCCTTCGACATATGTAGTTCGGACGGGCTGTACCTATGCGAAACTAATTGATGACCCCATCCCCCCAGATCTCACCGAAGATACACCCCCGAATGCTCGACCAGCCACGCCCCTACATAGTGGAGGGTGTATTGGAAGCGACCGGTGAATTAACCGTCTTCCGGTAGGGCTGATGCTCTTCATCCATGACACCTTCTCGCTCGGAACCCTCTCGCCGGCCAATCGTATACACAGAAACCGCGGTTTACCATGGTTTATAACTAAGCCGGATCAGGGATCCCGGTGAATATTGACCGGAGGAAGCAGTGGCGTGTGTTGGTGCTCAACAGACCTGAAGAAGTTCGGTGACGGAGTACATTGAATCCCACATTGTCTACGTACTCAGTGCTGACCGGATTCTAGGTGCAGAATGATAGTGCGAATGTGATGGCAGTGTGCTTGGTAGTCCACTCAGCGCGGGGCTGGATATCTGGGCTGGATATCTGGGCTGGATATCTGGGCTGGATCTCTGGAGTCTGGGCTGGCTACGTTGGCGCGGCGCCCAAAGGCGTTTGGGCTGGCGGGCTAGACGCTTCCTACGACCACATGCTTTCCCTCTCGCCTACAGCTCCTCCTTCACTTCCTCATCTCGCCGACAGCTCAGCCACAACGCCGTTTAGTCCGGCGCCAGTTGTGGGAAACTACATATAAGCCGGTTGGTAATGTTTTGCACTTTTCAGTGGCTTCCGACCTGGCTGCTAGTTACAATCTTGGTACTGGCAGTTCCGATTCGAGTTGTCGCTTCAGTAATACGTGGTTTAATCCGTATGAAAGACCTGTTCAGGACAACCATACGGCGACTAGGTACTTCCCGAGGACGTGGCCGTGGCAGAAATGCCCAGCAAGCTCCGATTCTATATCAGTATGACCGTTGGCTGCGCGAAGCTCCGGAACCCTATGTCACCAACCCGATCATTTTTTTGGAAGTCCAAGGTTACCGCATATCCTGACATTGCCCGTACGGCTCTGGATATCTTTGAGATTCCGGCCACCTCATGTGAACCAGAACTAGTTTTTAATGGCGCGAAGCTACTGCTTACTGACCGACGAGCCTGCATTAAGCAGGATATCATTGAGGCTGGCGAATGTCTACGGCATTGGTAGCAGCAAGGTCTCTTGGACTTGCAGCTAGATGAATCATCTCTAGCAAAGGGTTCCGGTCAGAGAGTATCTGTCTACATCTGGGTGGGCGTGGAGGAAAGCAGGGAAGCCGGTAGCGGGTGAAAATGTACATGATGTGAATGTTACTGGATTTCACAGAAGAGAGCAATGAAGTGATCGCCAGGGCGACGGCGTCGCTGGGTTACTGAGCGCCCATCTAGGATAGGCTGGCTACTGAGCAGTGAGCAAAGAGATGTCGGAAATAAATTCCATCACGGCTGTTATTCGCGGTTTCACTCTTATGCAAATATCATAATATCTCATCGGTCGCGGGAACTTCTCGTGAGTCGCATTTTCACCAACCGCCCAAATATCGATGACAGTGCAATCCACTCGACTTCACTTCGCGGAATGACTCAGTCATTCCTGTTCGATGACTAGAGTCAATAATTCTCGGTGACTAGAGTCATTCCTTCAATGACTCTAACTGTGTGGGTTGATTGCCTTTTGCAATGCTTCGAACCTATCTCAATACACTGTTACTACTAGCCTGAATGGCCCACGCTAATGCATTTAACACACGCTAATGCACAGTACAGAGTACCCCGCCCTGGACTCTCCACCCAAAGGGATAGTTAGTAGTTCCGTGACATGTAAACCCCTAACCCATCCCCACCCCACCAAACTCCTCTCCTCGCTGTCACCTACCGTCCCTCGCAACTTTCGCTCTCTTTTTCTCTCTTTTCCGCTCTCTTTTCCGCTCTCTTTTCCACTCTCTCTTTTTCTCTCTTTTTCTCTCTTTTTCTCTCTTTTTCTCTCTTTTTCTCTCTTTTTCTCTCTCTTTTTCGCTCTTTTTCGCTCTCTCTATCTCTCTCTCTTTTGCCTCCTCTTTTGTCTCGGTAGGCGCTCTGTTGTGGTGTGGGGCGACCAGCACTGTGTTGCAACACAGTGTGTTGACCATGTTCGGCTATTATTCTCACCTTCGACCGCCGTAATACACTCTCACTGTGGTGGTTTTGCGTGTACGGTAACTACGGCGACGACTTGATCAAATCCAAATAATCTCATAACCAGTTAGAGAAAGTTGAAGTGACTGGAGCTACTCATATGTTATTACTACTTCGCGAAAGCGGCATTGACAAAGAATGGGGCCCTATATTTTCGCTTTCGCTACGAACTTCGAAGTATGATGATAGCCATCGCGAAGGTAGATACGGTATGGCGAGATGTAGACAATTGCTTCGTATTAAAGGGATTGGAGATATTATATAAAAATGCTAAATACGTTGAATGACAGTACTGGCACCGCACTTTGAGAATTACTTACGAAAATTTTACTGTTGTAAAAAATACACCTTTTTTACCCAGATCCTAGGGTTCCAGTAATGCGTGCACGACGCATTTAGGAGCTCCCAAAATACGTCATGCACGCATTGAGAAACTAAATGCGCGTGGCCGCATTTATGATGTACCCTATATGCGTAGAGTTCAATAATCACATTGATACTTTAAACGTAGTGCGCTCAAATATGCGTGTAGAACATATTTGCGTTTATCCTCATAAGCGGGTCACTTCCTATATGCGTACGAGTTTATAAACACGTTCATACTTCTCTATACGTAATGCTGATAATTGCGCCCTTCCTCATTACGTATTAGTTTCTCAATGCGTAAAGGCTGACTAGCGGTTATCCTCACAAGCGTGTCACTTTCTATATGCGTACGCGTTCGTAAACACGTCTATTCATCTATGCGTAAAGCTAATAATTGCGCGCTTCCTCATTGCGTATTAGCCTCTCAATACGTGAAAGCTGACAAGTACGTATCATACGTAATTCTTTTCCCTGCGTACATTCTGCAGCAATCAACAGGCATACACACTGTAAGTACCCAACAACCGATCTAACCATGAAAACCTTCACAAGAAACATGAGTCCCGACAAACAAAAAATGCCCCATCACCGTTATAGACAATACCGACAAGCCCGACTATCTGGTCTACATCGACAACGGTAAGTCGTCGAGAGGGCATCGACGCCGGATCACCTTCGGATGCGTGGACTCGATAAACACCTTCATCCAGGAACACCCTAATGGGATCGTAGAATGCAAACATCTGGACGCTGACTGCCTTGTCGACATCCCCTTCACCACCAATCTCATTCTCGTGCTCTATTTCGTAGAGAAAGAAGAAATGAACTCGTCCAAAGCATGTCTGACCCTGGATGTCGAGTCGGACAAATGTTGCATCGCGGCTGACACCGGGCTCGAATCGTTTGCTCCTCACATAGGCTTTAGAAAGAACATTCTCAACGTGACGGTCATTCGTACGCAGATGTTTGTAAGCTCGAACATATATTTTTGTGGGCCGCCAGATGTTTTTGGGGTCCCTTAGAATAGCATTCAATTCTTCGGGAATCCTCATGTCGTAAAGGTTAAGCATATCCACGAGAGCCCGAACTTCTTTGAATGTCAATTCTACCTCCCCCGCGCGTGTATGTAGAGACGCTTGGTGTTCGGGACTGCGATATGTCGACTTGCGGTCATCCTCCTCAACGGCTTCTTCGCCAGGTTGCGATTCAAGTTGGCGACGCATATATTTCAGGATATGGGGACACGGCGAATCACTGAGCATGTCAAGCCTAACTGCCATAGGCAACGACTGTATCTGTGTGTCGTGAAGGATGACCAGCGAGAGATGCCGATCGATGTATCCAGCCTTCTTTAACTTCACCCGTGGGGTCCAGAGTCCGCATGTACGCTCCATTACCCATTGCGAGTAACTCCACATCGGGCCGAGCCACTCGACAGCTTTTCCAACGTGTAGTAAGGCGTGAAATACTGTCTTGCAAGCTGCTACGCGGGACAAATCGTACTGGTAGTAGTGGGCTTCGTAATGATGTACGAAACGAACAAACTTAGCATGCAGCGACGCTTGTTGGTCCTTGGAAATCGAGTAGCCGGTCGCCGTAGTCATAGCCTGTTGATCCCTTAGCTTCAATTATGGGAGCATGTTCCAATTCGAACGAGTATGGGCTTCTTGTGCATACTTCCACGAGATTCATCCACTCGGAATAGTACGGCTCGGCGAGTCGGTTCCGAAGGACGATGGGAGATACAACCTGAGACTTGGTGAGAAAATAAACAAGGCTAATGCGGCTGGCAGTCAAACATACCTGCACCCACGTCTTCCATTCTGCGGCCTTGAGCCTTTTTGCAAGGATACTCCGAGGTTTGTCACCAAACGCGACAGGAAACACCATCTGATTGATATCTTCCTCAATCTCGCGCCATGAGCCTCCTGAGATTTGGTATGGCTCCTCCTTCCCTAATGCTGTCTCATCGTCCATAGTGGATATGTTTGGAGTAAAGGTTCCTAACCAGTGGTCTCGCATGTACTGGGCAATGTTCAGGTAGAATAAGTGCATGGAATCGATCCCAAAACTCCAAGGAAAGATAATAGATGGTAGCTCCAATAGCACCGTGTAATTCTTGACACCTGTCTTCTCGGTGACTTCAGCGTCACCAGTGTCTTCGACGTGTCTGGCGTGCATCCGAGTTGTTTCGTGGTCTCGCAAGGGCAAGGCATCGGCATTGTACGAGCGCCATTCCGGGTTCGCGTTCTCGGAGGCTCCTTCGGGTGACGCAGGAGCCCGAAGAGGAGCGTACATATGTTTGCACTTCTGACTGTACACTCCTCGAACCAGGCAGTAGTTGCAATAGTGTTTCGCAGAGTGACCGGAGAGTCCCATCAGCATGTCCTTTGCAGGCATATCAGCCCCAATGGCGACGATATAGGCCCTCATTCGAAACTCGGCGTTGAGTCTTGAGCCGTCTATCGCAGGGACACCTCTGTGCAATGCCTTGAACTGCTGCACAAGCGGATAAAGGAAAGAACTGAAATCCTTCGGCTTTTTCGGTCCTGGGACAACTCCGAAACAAGTGATATTCTCCTGTCGAAATCTGATGTCCGGTGAAAGGTTATAGTTGACGAGAACTATAGGCCAAACCGAATGCTGGCGGCCTCTGCGGAAGAGGTTGACGCCATCAGTACTGCAAAAAAAGGCCAGATCGGTGTCTTGGTTAAGCATGTCTTCTTCCTGCAGACGGCGAATGAGCTTGCCATCCCATATGTCTCGCAATTCTCCCGAATGGGATCCAGAGTCCGCAGCAAGTGCTTTTCTGTACACCTGGAAACGGGCTGCGGTGGCCGCGTGGGAGTACTTCAGACGGAGGAGATGAATGATATCGATGCAGTCGAATGTTTTCTTGCAGAGCCTACGATCAGGACGAGGCTCTCCGCATATAGGACAGGCTTCTGCGTTGGGGTTTTCGGCAAAACAATAGCAGTTATTTTCGCACACCTGGTAATGTAGGTATCAGCATTGGGGAGCCAAAACATTAACTCGGACAGTGTCTGCGTACCTGGTAACGTATGTGTCGCACTCCGGTCTTCCTCTCAAGCATAGCATGTATGGTACGAATGTCCACAGGACGTTCAGCAATCAAAATGTCCAGTATTTCTTGGTATGCTCGATATCCCTCGCGTGGCGACTTGCTCTTGATTTTCGCGAGGAACATTGACAGCGAGACGGCTTCCTGTTTCGTCAAAGCGCTTAGTATCCCGTAACCGAAGATATCTAGTGCCTCCACCACCCCGAGCATGTCCTCCGGATCGTCGTCTGGAATTGGAGGGTCGTCCCTGTTGAGATCATCGAATAGTTCATCAATGAATTCCTCCGGGTAAGAATATCCGCCCAGGGCGACTTCAGGCTCATCACCCTCATCCGAGTCCGATGGTTGATTGGCTCCATACCCATATTCGTCTTCGGAGCTAATGTGATCGCTTTGAGCTGATGTCATGGGTGATTCCTTCCACCAAGGAAAGACTCCTACCGGGTCAGGCGAGGTGTCGGGGTGGTCGGTCCGCGATCGCTTGTCACGATGTGGGGTACTAGGCGATTCCGAAGAGCTTCTGGGTGTCCCTATAACAGGACTCTCATCTTCCAGGGAGTCTTGAAACATTCCATGGGTATCGCTATCGTGGTCTCCTGCCGAAGAGGTTGGAGCGAGAGCGAAATTATATCTCGACGGAGCACGCGGGGCGACCAGACCGTGCACGACGGAATTCTGCGGGATCTGTGACGCCGATGCCGGTGGAGCAGCCCTGATAGCACTGAAGATGGGATTCGATTTCGATTGATTAGGGGCGCGGAATCGGTGGCCGAGTGGAGTTTGGGAGCCGGCTGCTGCATCGCCAGCTGGTGCTCTCCCAACTCGGTCATTGCCGGATTCTGCGTCCGCTGAGGGATCGGTTGTATCTTGTTGATGACTGGAAGGCGTCGCCATTGGGCCGTACTACTGAACCTGGGTATGAATTAATACAATTTGCTATTTCGCGATGTATGGTACTTACTATGTAAATCTGGCGTCGTATCAACTCGGGTGTACGGAAGTGATGTACGTTCGTGGGGGAAACTCGAAGGATGGAGAGTGTAGGAATATTTGGGTAGATGAGAAGAGATGATCCATTCGATACAGCAACAGCACTAGCGGCTGCGAGTTCTCTTATGCAGACAGGTTCAGACTCAGACTCTAATCTAGAGTAGGTTTGCCTCGTCCGCCCGTCGTGTAACCATAGGTATTCGCGTCGACGCTTGGTCTCGACTCCTCCACAGCGGAACTTTATTGGAGCCAACTCGAGGGGTGTCCAAAGTTTGACAGAGAGAAAAATGATGTTATGTCCTCTGTTGCTGCTCGGAGAACCATAACAGGTACATACGAGGTGGGTACCGTGGGCGGCCTGCGCATACTTACCCGGTCTATCATGAGGTATGTTACACACGATCCGTATGTTTCCGGGGGTAGCAATCGACGCAGCTCTCATCGTAGTTACTCCCTTGCTCTTCACGTATCCACCAGGTACTACTCATATTTGTTGAACCAAACCTCGCGCATCAGATTCCCCATCATCTGCTACGCCCGACTCTATCCATTCTCTCACTCCGCCTTCTCACAATGTCATACTCGGGGCCCCACAACTACGAAGAGTCCGACGGCGACCTGTCAGATGACGCGGGTGTCGCCCGCGACGCGCCGGTTCCCCGGAAAGAAGCGGCCAGCGGCAACGTACTGAGCCTGGCTGGCCTCGACCAAGCTACAATTGATCAAATTCAGGCCCTCCTGAATCAGAGCAAGAAGAAGCTGCCTGCTCAGCCAGCATACAAAGACAAACACGCGTCCAAGAGACGCAAGGTGGTATACAGAGCAATGGTTGTTTCCCACTGTGATTGGTGCTGACGGTGGCATCCGCCAGACCAATTCTACCTTTGGTTCCGAACCCAGGCAGCCGGTCCATACCAGCGCCGTGTTTTCCCGCCGCGATGAAGACGAAATCATCCACAGCGATGATCGAGACGCGGGGGGCCATTGGCATGAACACGAGAATGATGACGATGGGTATGAGGATGAAGACAGGGATAGAGGTGTGGATGAGAACGGGGATGTGGATGAGGACGGGGATGAGGATGAGGATGATATTGAGAATAGTGATGATGGACCATTGATTCCAGACAGTCGGGTTGAACCTCCAACGTGCGTCAAACGTGCCAGGAGACCCCCCACCTTTCCGATGCAGAACCCCGCGCTCGCCATGCGCATGCCTCCGCCAGCTGATGTGGATCTGGTTGTGACCAAAGGACTTGGCAAAGGAGGTTTGCTCCGTTATCGAATGGGGATACCACTAGATGCGGATCAGCGCACTCGGAATGCCGCCGCATTACACTTTTATACGGAAGCCAAACGACTATGCGGTCACGATCTCTCCATGCCGTTTTCATGGTACGTTGCCCACGGGCGTGCTGAGGAGATGATTCGAAGTGAGTAGTGCTTAACCTGCTCAATGATTTATTTTCACATACTCATGCCGGTTAGGAGTGGTGGATGGAATGAACGAGAATGGTCATGGCTGGACGCCTAGGCTCGCCCGGGATGTCCTGATGAATTCATGCCAACGTCACGTCCAGAATGCCCGCCGCGCTGAAAACGAAGTCAGACGCCAATCGGGGAACCCGGATGACAAGCCACGGAGGGGACGTCCAAAGACTGGCAGGATAGCACAGCGGCCCACTGTCCGCGATCTTGTTGCCAATATGAAGGCGCTGCCGGAATCTCTAGGCAAAGCGCCTCGTTCTTCCCCTTCTACGCCCCAACCTAAATCTACAGATACAACCACCAGCCAGAACCCATCGGGAGACTTTGGCAGTGAGACCGCACGGCCAACAACAACGCCGGTGGCCACCACAGCCGCAAAACAAACCCGGGGTCCGACTGCCGGGCGCAGCGAACGGAAGGCTACAATAGAACCACTCCGCTCGTTCCCATCACCACACCCGAAGGTTATCAAGTCGGCTAAACAGCACAGGGCCCAGATGGCGCCTATTCCTTCCAACAATACCAGCAAGAGGACACGTCATCAAACCGAGTCAGCAATCGTGCCATCCTCACATACACCCGTCTCTATGCCATTATCAGCTCCTCCGTCCTCTCAGGTTAAATTGGGAGGACATATTGGCCAACATCGCAACAGGCAGTCAAAATTGAGGGCAGATGAGCAGCCCCAGCATACAAGGATTTCTCCCACGTCCAAGTTAATTACTAACAGCAATACTTCGATGTCTTCCGGAAGCGCCGTCTTCTCCGAGCCGGAAGTCAATGTTCACTACCGCGCCGTTGTTAATAGGATATCGACTTTACTGTCAAAAGCATTCGAATATGACGATTTCCTACGAGCTGTCCACAGTGCCGCCCGCAAGTCTGTCAAGGGTCCCGTGCCATCTGCCGACATGAGTATATGGTATCGTCGAAGCGCTGGGAAAGAAGCGATAATATACGATTCAGATGATTACAACAAATTTGTCGAACGAATGGATCAGGATGACATCCAGCTAGTTGAAGGATGCGTAGTTTTCTCGCTCGTTCCTGCAGCTCGGTGGGAGCAGGAATACGACTCTGCCGAGGATATTCATCAGCGAGGTACATATGCCCTTGAATTGCACAAGTATGGCACTGATGAACACAAGAACCCACCCCAACCCCGCTTCCCCGTCCCCGATACCGTCCTTCCAGGTCCAGACAAGATTCCACTTCACAACCTAACCACCAACGCTGAAGTATCGGGTTCTTCTGCAGACGACCGGACCGTCATCAATACCACGGCCCCGAATCCGAGAACGAAAGTTCAGTTTTCACTGACGCCCATTTCCACTGGACAGTTTGCCGGCATTGGGAGTGTTGAGCAGCAGACAAACCTGTCAGTCGGGAGGTCTATCTCCGATCATGCATCCGTAACCGGCAAGAACGTCACCAAAAGCACACCTATTGCCAATATCCGGGTGCCAGAATCGCAGGTAGGCCCGCCGAGCGGCCATCTCCGGCTAAGTTCTCCTTCCGAGCGCCGCAGGATGAAACCAAACTTGAAAGCTAGGAAGATAGCCAATACCTCGGACGACGTACGAGAGAAACGATCACAGCAGCCACAACGTCGCAGGAAAGCGATGAGTGCCAAAAATGCACGTGCTGTCCGAGAGTTTAGCATCGAAGAGGAGTGACGTCAGGTACGAGCTCCATCCACAGGTGCGATCGCACGCAGAGTCTAATACACAGTGTCTCAATCGCACAGCAGAAAACAAGTCATTAAAATCCGGCGAGCTATATCGATTACATGCTGGAGCTGGATGAACGTATGATGTAGCCCTCATTCGATATCACCCCCGGTTATGAAATCGTGCTGATTCGCTGCTACCTAGCATGGATCTGGCTAGGCGATGGAATGTTTGAGTCTCTGAAGTGTTTTGTATTGTGCGGATTTCTTTGTCTATTTTATCTAGATTTTGACCACCGTCTGCTTCTCCAGCGGTATGCTTGGTACAACTGCCTGTATATACAGTGGGTGTATATATGGTGGCGGAGCGCATTAATCAATGAACGTATTGGCGATTGGGACGCATTAATGGACCGGGACGTATACAAGAAGCGTGCATTTAAGACCGAAATCATGACGCTCCACGCTTTTAAGTGTTGACGTTTTTAGTCGCACACGCTATTAAATACGCATTTAGGCACGCATTTAAGACGTTTATAGGATACACGTGTTTAGAAAAATACGCATTTGTGGAACCATAGGGATATATAGGCGAGCCCGTATATAATCTCGTATAACTAACGAATTCCGGGCCCACTACAACAACAAACACCTCCACCTCTGTTGATCTAGCTACTATATAGTGAAGGGAGGGGGTCAAAATTACGCCTTTTTCCGTATCAGGACAGTCAAAATACGTATTTTTAACCATACTAATACGATTTTTGACCGTACTGATGCGGAAAAAGCGTATTTTTTATCCCCTCCCTTCACTATACAGTATGTAAGACACCCAGTATAAAGGGCAACGGTGTGAGATCAGTCTGTTAACCCGCTGGTGATATGAAGTTATCTGCTGATAGTTACAGCGTATTTAAGCTCCCTTTGGCACTCGGGAGACGGCGTAGTACGGCCGTTGGTGGTCGCACAGCCGTTCATCGAGATACTAACGACGAGTGTGTACCGGCCCTCGGGACGGAAGACACAACGGAACCCCCGAGTCGAACTTCTGATCCGAAAGCGGTAACGGCCAACCCTGAAGAAAAGTGCGTCACCACAACCTGGCAAACCCAAAAGACGGGACGCGTAATATTGGAGAATATATGACACGCAATGGGAATACGCAATGGGCATACGCAATGGGCATACGCAATGTGGAGCGAAAAAGCTCGAGCATGGAAGACAGATGTCGTTCTGTATAGCACTGTATATGGATAAACCGCCCATGTTGCCCGCTCTTCTCATATCTATCTCTATCAAGCAAGACTTTCAGTTCAATCCCTTGCATGTTCTCCGTCTCTCTCTAGAGTACCGCACCTTCTGTCCGTATGATCCAAACTTCCGCACCGCCCAAACAAAAAACTCCATATATCCTATTGCAGGACCAGAGAGGGTAGGGGCGAGGACAACGGCGGTGGAAAGGCGGCGAGGGCGGAAGAGAAAAGAGAGAAAAGAGAGGCAAGAGCCGGAGAGATGAAAGCGCGAAGGAGGAGACCTGGCCCCTCTTCCTCCCCACCCCATCTGGCCTCCTCGCCCTCACTCACGCCTAGACATCAGCATCGGCAATAAACTCGGAGAGCGTGAGAACCAGGGTGAGAAAGAGGATACAGGACGATCGAGGAGACGGGTTGGAGGACATAGAGAACACGGGGGGCAGGAACGAGAAACTGGGTTTCTTAGTTGAGTTTAAACGAGGTTGGAAGGGACGAGGAACCGGATTCATGGTTGAGCTTAAAGGAGGTTGGATGGGACGAGAGCTGGACTAATGAATACCTTCATTCGTTCTTCTATTCTTTCTCTCCTTCTTGCCGGTATTGAGCGGGAGGGTTGAGCGGGGAGGGTTGAGCGTGGAGGATTTGACTCTCGAGCGGGGAGGAACTTTGAGCGGTGAAGGCTGGGCGGAGAGCAATAGGGAACCGGTATCGAGCTCGCGGCCAGCGGTCGGTGACAGCCGGGTGGAAACAAGTATGCAATCTGCCATGATCTACTAAGATAGAATGCAATGATGATTAGACAAAACAAACATCCAGATATTAATATGGCCGTGGGAGTCTCCACTACTCTCGCGGCCATTGTCCTCGTGCATGCTGGCGTGAAGAGGAACAATGAGAGTGACCTCAGCTCCTCGACCTCACAGCCCTGCTTCTCTCCGCCAGTCTCTCTCCCCGCTCCCTCAACTTCCACTCCGACACCTCACTGGCTGCACTATCCTCAGCGACCTCCGGGGTCCGCCTGCCCACATCAGTGGCGACAGGACAGTTAAGGATGACCTGGCTACACCGCTCGTCTGCGAAGAGATCTTGGATCTTGAAGTGATCCTGCCCCTCCCTGTCCCCTTCCGAACCTCTGCCCACAGAATCTTGTGGCGGAGTGGCTGGTGAGAACATTGTCGGCGGGAGCGACCAAAACCGGTTAGCAGATGGATATTCCTGTCAGTAAGGGAGGGGCGAACTTAATCTGTGATGGAGAGAGCTTCTTCCCGCTCTCTCACCACCCTCTGCAGGACAGAGAATCAACCCTCACTTTTCCCCGTCTCTTCATCTATGTGTGCTTTTCTCTTCGCCTCTACTGTCGGCAGTTCAGGCGCTTGGGGCCCGGGCCGGGACCGGGACCGGTTTCTGGCAAGGTTTCGGGCTGTGTCCGGTGCTTCTTGTTGGGAATTCTCGCGTCGTCCCATGTTTAGGTCTCCTCCCACTTGGCTTCCGTGATCCCGCACTTCAGGTATGTGAACGATGAGCAGTGGTCTGGTTCCGCATCGGTCGAGGTACGTATGTACCGGGTCCCCTCCACCCCGCGGGCGTTGGGTTCATCCACCGCCAGCTTCTTGTTTAATTTGTTTGTTTTGTTTAATCACTGATTGCTTGTGACCTATCTAGCTCATGGCAATACTCTCGTTCAATTTATATCCCACGAGGTCCGTCTTTCCCATTTAGCGAGTGATATATTGTGCGTATTACTTACTCTTGGGGTGCGCATGCTCTAAAGACCGCCAGCAATTGGAGGAACCGAGCCGAGCCAAGACATATTACGTACAACCAGAAAAGGGCCTTCAGTTCGCACGTTCCGCGGGGTTCAACACACGCACCAGGATCTACCGTACATACCTACCGCTCCGGATCATTCCCCAGCCCACGGGGGATGTCCATAGAACATCCCTTGACCATGTGTCCATGCTGTTCGCTCTCGGTGATCTCGAAATCCCCAGGGTCCCCCCCTCTCAGCCAAACTGCCGAGAATCAATCGAGGACACTTACATAAGAAATGTGTTGAGCTACTGGGCCGCGGTTCTTCGCCTCTTGGAATGCCAGCCCAGCCCAGCCACTTAGGATCGACCGGCTTCCCACATGCGATGCTTGGAGGTGTATCTAGCGCTTTCAGCACTCGTCCTTACAGCTTCAGGGACACCGCAACTCGGCTATGTCCCGCCACTACCGAAGAGTTCCAGCGGAAGGCCCATGGTGCGGAGGAACAGCATAGCAGCTAAGATCAAAAGGCAGTTAGACAACAATTGTGAGCCCCCTAGACTCCTATGTACTCACATAGTAGAGTACCTACTCTGCTAGAAATCCCTGATACATAGAGGCCATAAAACCCATGGGCGATGCGACTTGTTGGCAGTTGCGACATATCCGCACAACCGTATGGGGAGAAAACTCATCTTTTTTCCCAGTGGAAAGGGTACCGAATCTGCTAGAATCAACAAGAATGTCTTGAACCAGTAGAGAGCACATATGAAGCGGCGATATACGAGGTCATGAAGATTCTGGCGACAGAATTGCTGTACATATATGCACCCAAGACGGAAGAAATTTTTGCCTACTCGTAACTCATCTGCTGTCACCCGTTGGCTAAAAAAAGAATACTCAAAATAGTGCGGTAGTCTCTGACTCTTTGGTAGTCTCTGACTCTCTGGTAAAACTGGAGTCTGCTCAGTCTGGAGTCTGGACATCTGCGGCAGACCACCAAAAAAGTGGGGCAACTCAAAACTTTCCGTTTGTTCTACGGTCTAGTTAGCGCTAATGGTCGCTCAATTCCAAGGAGAAGGTACACTACGAGCAAACCTTGAAGACAACGAACCGCACATGAATTTTGGGGGAAGGGGGGCAAGGAGAACTCTGATCCTCCGTCGCGCCGGCGGGATTCCTTCAGGCAGCTTGTCGGGTAATGGAGTCGAAGAAAACCAGATGAAGACGACACATAGAGGGTGAATGACGAAGAATGCCGTGCTCGCCCTCACTCTCCGCCCGCATATGTATCATGCTTCCCACCTGCGGCCACAGCTTCCGTCCGAACCGGTCCATCGAGCAATCCGCGTTCATTCGGGATCCGGAATTCGGATCGGTCGGTACAAGGCTCCAAATCGATAGGTACATCAATAGCATTTCACGCTAAACGTTGCGCAGATTTACCCGGCTTGTAGGTCACCTTACGAGCAGTCATCCGAGGGGCAAGCGTGTTCCAAGGGAGGAAACGAGCTCCGCGGGCAACGGTCCTCTGAGATCGAACGCGACGACGACCGAACGGAAATAAAGAGCTTCCGGGTCGACGTGACTTCAACACAGGTGCTCGAGCACACCTAGACATCCGCCTGTATGTAACATGGCAAACCTCACACGGCTGTGCGCAGACAAGTTAACTTCCGAAACAAAGCGCGAAGGCCTGTGAGTGGTCAGTCGGCTGCCAGCGGCCCGCACGTGTGGTGCTAGCGGGAACGGCCATCGCATTTCCGTGCATGTTCCTCCGCAGCACCTCCGCCGCTTGCATAACCAACGTTAACCAAGCAACCACTTACCAAGAGGATCCATCGTTCCGCCCATGGGAATCGACAGAGCAGACAGCCATCTCAGGACCACAGTCTTCCGGCCGTCGCGTCCCCAAACATCGTGCACCATCACCAGCACATGCGCCGGCTCGATGCGCCGTCCGAGGAACGGCGCATGACCCACTCGCTGCAAGGCGCTTGTGTCGAAGCTGCCGGATTGGATCGATGGATGGTAATGAGAATGAGGATTGACACTTTACAACCGGTTGATCTGATGTGTAGGTATGTGCCACAACCCAGCACATCATCACATCAACGACGACGACGACGAGCGAATCGAATCGGATAGGTATTATGTAACCAACGATTGAGGAAGCTGAGTTGAGCGGTTTTGGCATCGACCTCCTCCAAGTTGCAGTATGGATGAGTGCACGAGCAATTTTTTCACTGAAGCTTGACACATAATTACGCCATGCCAGTAATGCTCCGCCATCTCTCGTTTTTTTTCTCTTGCGTTGTGTGTTCCCGAATTATCCACGCCACACAGGCTACACCACCGACCAGCATACGCACAAGAAAACGGGCGATGCCAGAAGTGAAAAGAAAGAAAGAAAAAATCTGCAGAATTCTGCTCTTCGTAATGACGCCGGTGCGTCTTGGATATACTTGGCGGGAGGTTAGATGACGCTGGGAGGAACTGAGTTTGGTTCATGGCCATTCGGGCGCCCACAGCCCCGTCCTTGCGATTGGCCAACCACACACATCACATGAGGGGGCGTTACCTAAGTCGACACCCGCTCGCGGCTCCAATTGACCCTTGGGGAAACCGAGGAACCACTGCAGCTTCAAACGCCATCGCATCGATCGACGCAACCACAACCACAGCTGCTGTTTCGTAGTTTCTTGCGCATTCGCTCCCGTTCTTTTGTTTTTCGCCACTTTTCTTTTGTTTCTTTTCTTCTTTACGCGATGCGATGCGTTGCGTTGCGCTTTGCGGTGCCTGGCATCTGGTTGTCCTCCTTTGGCCCTTTGGCGGAGTCACCGGCCGAGCGGTTACTCTACTCTACATGCGCTCCAGGCCAAGTCTCGAATTGTTGCGGGCGCGGCCAAAGAATGCTCGTACAGCCGGCCAAGGCCGCCCCAGCAGCAGCCAACGGTCTCGGACCATGCATGATGCCCGACCGCTTGCGAAAGTCTGGGGTAAAAGTACCTGCCTGCTGGGTGCCCAAGCCGCACGCCTCGACGGCTCTTACCAATCAAGCGAAAATCTCGAAAATCTCAGTCTTTTTGCGATTGGCGGTTGGCCACTCTCCACACGTAGCTTAGGATGCGACTAGGCGGGGATGCGAAAGAAAGGTGGACAACCGTCGACCGAAGGTGACGCACGGGCTCCTGTCTCTCACTTGGTCGCGCAATAACCAATGCCTTCCCGGGGCCCTTGCCGGTGGGAATTTCACGATCTTCCACCATGGGGCCTAGCCACCGCGCTGGGTGCTGCACCAATATCCATGGCGGCCGAGGAAGGATCACTCTGCACCGGCACCAACAAAGCGAGAGAGCTCTCTAGGTTCGTAGAGTGCTGCTTGTTAATTGAGTCACAGCTGCCGAAAGCAAAGAGCTCTCTCTCCCTACTTGCGTAGATATATAAACTCAAAGAACCCGTCAAGCTTCGATAGTCATCAACACCAACAGCCACCAAGACAAGAAGCTCCAACATCAAGCTTCCACCTCACCTAGCTCATTCTCCCCGCCTGCCCTGAACCTGAATCTTGACAGCACACCTTCCTCGGAGCATACCATCGACACCACTCCCACTCCCACTGCCACTGCCAACTACTCCCACTACCACCCTCACTCCCTCTCCCTCTCACACCATGCCGTCTTTTCAAGACCTCCCCTTCGAGCTCGTCTCGGAGATCCTCTCGATTGCCGCAAAGCTAAATGCCAACGATCTTAATGCTGTCACTTACACCTATGGCCTCACTCAAGCCCCCCGCCCCATGCAGAACAAGGCGTACATCCAGAAATATCTTCGAGGCCGAGTACCGACCGACGTGCAGCGATGGCACTCCGTGGACGCGATCCGACAAGTGAGCGCACAGTGGCACGAGTGGGCGCTGTCCCACGCGCTGCGGGAGCTGTACATCCGCCGATGGCAGGGAGGAGAAACCTGGATGCGCCGAGCATTCGAGAACGCGCTTCCCGTCGAGATCCTGCCCGTCGTCTACCAGAACCCCTACAAGTCGGTCAAGTCCACCGCCAAGCTGTTTGGTGACTACCCGCAGCTCGCTCGCCACGTCCGCAAGATCTGGTTCAATGGAATCTATCGCTTCGATACCGTCGGCTATGTCTTCCAGATCCTCCAGAACTGCCGCAACGTGCGCACCGTGACAATCCCCTGGACTGCGCTGCGATATGGCGACTCGGCGGATTGGAATAACGTTCTCTCGTTCCCCCGATTGACCTCGCTCGAGTTCCTCGCTGTCGGTCTCAAGAATGAGGTCTGTGAGTTCCCCGAGAGCCACCGCGACACCGAGGTGCTTGGCAAGACCCCCAGCCTCGACTTCAGCAAGCTTCGCCGACTGAAGATCTTTGGCGACTCGAACCTGAAGCCCATCAGCGACGAAGACCTGTTCTTCATGGCGCGCACCGCCACCAACCTCGAGGAGATCTTGATCACGAACGTCACCAGCATCACCGCCAAGGGTGTTTCCGCGCTCGTGTCCGCATCCCGCGAGACCCTCAAGCTCCTGGAATTCATCCCGCTCGCCAAGGACGGCTTCGAGCCCGTCCAGACCCCGGAGGACAACCGCCACATCTGCAACCTTCTCGCCTCGTGCCCGCGCCTCTCGGACCTGGCCATCACCGTCCCGTCCGTCTGCCCCGAGCTCTTCTCCAACCCCGGCGTGGACTGGAAGGAGACCGTGCGGGTGCGCGTCGGCAGCCACGGCATCCGCGGCGAGGGCGACAACCGCGCCGACAACATCACTGCGCTCCTCGACTCGGCACGCACGCTCCTCGAGAAGAAGAACTCGGACAACCTAGATATCGAGATCGCCGTCGGCCCGTACCTGTTCGAGGCCAAGTCACGCCTCGTGCACGGAAGCTACATCGCACCCAAGCTCGCCTCCGACAACCAGTGGCGCCCCATGGAGGTGCCCAGCGTCAAGGGCCCGTACGGATACACCGGCCTATACGGCGGTGGAAAGAAGGGAGAGTGGAGCGCCATTGGCGAGGCGGACTTTGTGGAGGCTGTTCGCGCCGGTCTGGTGAACTTGGATGTTTGATTCGCATAATCCTCGTTGCATTTCTGTGAATTTCTGGGGCTGCTTTGGGAAAATGGCGTTCTTTTGGGGGGGAGTTTTTTTCTTTCTCTTTCTCGTTTCTTTCAGCGAAATGAACTCGAAGCCGGAGCGATGATTTTGTTTGATCTTTTCTTTTCTCGCGGGCATTGGAAATGGGAATCGGTATCAATTTGCTTTTCTTTCTTTCGGTTTTTCTAGCGTTATAATCCGTACCTATGGAGGAGTTTCTTGTTCTTTCTCTTTCTTTGGTCACCCTAAGTACTTAGCTATTACTCTATAATCATTGAAGCAATTCTTCTCGCACTCAAGCTCACATGGCATCGTGACTTTTCTCTCTGTGTCTCTCTCTCTTTGTCTCCCTGTGTCTCCCTGTGTCTGTAGCTCAGTAGCTCAGTAGCTCAGCATATCAGTATCGCAGTACTCAGTATCCTAGTATGTATCAGTATCTCTCCGTCCAGCCGTGATCCGCTGCATTGCCGAGGCTTTCCTCGTTCTGCCTAACGCAACGCATGCATGCCGAACCAGAAGCGGCATGTACAATCGCAACTGCAATCGCAACTGCAATCGCAATCGCAAACACCTCCCGTCCGCGAGAAATGCCGGCGTATGCATGCATGTAGGTAGAGTATGCATGTATGCGATGTGATTTGCAGGTAGCTGTTGTATGTAGCTGTATGATAGCTGTTGTGGAGTATGGGGTCTGTATGGGGGTCTGTATGTATGTACGCGGCGAGCGCGTGCTGGCTGGCAGCCAGACAGCCAGCCGTTGCGGATGGGGGTGGAGATGGGGCAGGTGGATACGTGTTGTGTTGCTTGAGGAAGTTGTGTTGTGTTGAGGTATCAGCACGTCAAGCTCTCAAGTGCTCAATCAATCAATCAATCGCCTCGTGCTGAGCTGAGCTGAGTTAAGCTGAGCCCAATCGATCGATCATCGGCCGCACGGAGATGCATCGACGAGGCACCGACGACGCGGCGAGACCAGACCAGACCAGACGAGACGGGGCGAGGCAGTGAGCCCTCGGGCTCGTTTGTCGCGACGTGCGAATGTGCGAATGTGCGACGTGATGTGCGATTGTAAATATGATAGCAAATGTGCCGACATCATGTAGGGGCGTGTGTGTGTGGACACGGTTCGTGATGGTACTGGGGGGGCGGTGCGGCGGGCAGGGCGGGCGCGGGCGGTGGTGGGGCCTCGTGGCCGGCGGGGCGGGCAGGAAGGCTGGCGGGCAGGGCTGTTTCGTTTCATCGCGGCGGACGGGCGGCAGCGGCGATAACGGCAACGTTCGATGGTTCGTTCATTCTTCCCTTCACAAAAACGTAAAAGAGAAAGCCAGAGCAGAGGTTCGGTGGGCGTGGGCTCCTATTATCATCTCCCTCCCTCTCCTTTCCATATTCTCTATCTCTATCGCTTCTCTATCTCTCCTCTATCACTATCTCTATCTCTGTGTCCACGGCGACTGCGTTTGGTGGGTGGTGGGTGGGTGGGCATGGTGTGGTGTGGTGTGGCGTTACGTTTTCACATCTGCTAATTTCTAATTTCCACTGTGCGATAGCAAGTACCACCCCACGCACCGCGCGCTGGTCGGCGACTTGCTTACGCAAGTGAGTGATTCATCAATTGAGAGAACGCCGAATTCAACGGGAGTTTTTCTTTTTTCTAAAGAGAGAGAGAACTTCGTGAATAGTGAATTCACGCGAAGAAATGCTTCAATCAGTTATCGATTCGGAATTGGAGGGACTGGGTGGTCGGTGCGGGCCGCAGGGGTAAATCATGGAGTATCACTCCGATATCTCGTTTGTAAGACCGGATCCCCAGGATCTGGAGTGGAATTGGAGACAGTAAATCCTGAAAACAGCGGGAGTTCTGGTCTACTCCCCACCATCAACCGCCATCCAGTCTTGTTACATAGCCAGAGCATGAACAGGCGCGCCGGGCTCGTCAACGTCCTCGGGCATGACTTGGAGACGGACGGGCGGGCAGGCTGCTTCCTACGTCTTGAATCCACCTCACGAGTCACAAACGCTGCGTCACTGGTCAGTCAGTCAATCAGCCAGCACAGTGCTGCTGTCCAGTTTCTAACTCCAGTGTCCACGCGTCGACGCCCGTGACCTGTCACGGCCACTCCCAGAAAACCGGAAAAACAAAAACGGGATCCGGTTTGGAATTTTAGTAGATGGGTATCACTCCGCAAGGTTGACTAACTACCGGTATCCTTGTATGTACTCGGATCCAGTTTTGCAGTAGATATCTGTAGCGATTGGAGTTACCAGGTGGTGAGGTAGGTATGTACAGCGTCCTCTGCCTGCAGGATTGGACATGGAAGGGAGCGGTGGGATCCGCAGTGGTTTTGCGATGATGAAATACCTATGTTACCTACGTTCCTGTTACTATTCTTCCTCCTGTATACATACGGGTTTATGCGGTTCGGGTTACAATATTCAAGCAGCGATCATGACACGATCGGAGTGAATTTTTATGGTATCCCAGTTTGTGATGGGGAACACTTGCGTAGGTACCTAGGAAAACAGTGATAACCTAGCGTCCTTTACCGTAGTACGGAAAGCCTCTGAGTTGGCATATACAATCCATCAATATGAGCACGAACACAAAACCTTCGGAAGAGTGTCGTACGGATGGTTATGTACGGATATGTACGGTATCTCGACCGCCGGGAAGTGGCTAGCCGTATATACCTACCTATCCAGAAAGCCACCACGGCGTATGGTATGTATCCCCGCCGCTTTCGATGCGGCACGATAGCTTCGGAGTGATCAATCGCGGAATGGTATAGAGACCGTCAACATACACGATACCTGCAACTCCGCTCCCGTCAGAATTCAGACGTTCAGGGAAGTGACTTGTCACTTGACTCGACTTGACTAGCCATGGGTCGCCGGAGAGATTGGCGAGCAATGTCGATATTGATGGGACGCTATCGACATTTCGATATCATTCATCATAGATGACTACAGGTATCTACAACATCGGAATACTGAAACTACTTGTCAAACTTTAGTCGTCCGGAGATCTCGGCACGAGTTAAGGTTTGGCGATGGAAGAGTCTCGACGGCCGCGACGGACTATCGACCAGTATATGGTTACGCGGCGACGAACTTTGATGAGCGGCCAACTTTGTTCGGCGGCCAACTTTAGGTGGCCCCTCAGTGTTAAATAGAGGTCTTTGCCGTAGACGATAGGTTCTTCTTCTGTATCGAATGGAATATCATCATCTGTCTATCCAACTATTCCAACACTACTAGTAGGCATCGTTCGTTCGTTCGACCACTCATGGACTCATCCAAGCACCTACTCTGAAGATTTTTGTTTGTCGAGCCGGTCTGCCAGAGCACCCCAACCCCGAGCCAACTCCACCCTTTCCCCCAACCTGTAGATGGCCCATGGGGTCTTGAATAAAGCGTCACTCGTGTTCACTCCCTGTCGGTGATATGTTTGCTCATAATACGAAGTCCATTCCGGAGCCGAGCTCCATCCCCGGTGCCGTTGGTATTTGCAGTGGAGGAGTAGGTAACATACATCCAAAGATGGGAAGAGTGAACACGAAACCAAGCAGAGAACGAGAAATCCGACCGACCGATTTGCATCTCTCGAACGTGATGGCAGTTGATATGTTGAGCTGCATAATATGTAGATATGTGCCGAAGATTCGTTCACCAACTGAGGTCGCACATGCAGCTACAAATAGGAATATGGTAGATATTAGAGTATGACTCTACGTTGTCAGCCTCGAACCCCGCACAAACCATCAAATACCTACTTCCCCCCCTGCGAGCGTGTTTTCCTTCATCATAGCCTCGTCCTCTCTCTCAAGTTTCAACATTCACCACCAGCGCCGCCTACTTACAAACGTTTGGTACTCTACATGCGGTTCGGTCGCTGGAATCAACGTTGAAATATCGACACATATCTACACGAGTGCTCAGTCGACTCCGGGAATATATCGATGTTCTGCGGTCTCCAGACGCGAAAAACTCCGTCGTAGCTTTCCTACATAGGTCGCGAAGGGAAGCAAACGGCCGCCTCGCGTTGAGCCCGGCAGATCGAGCTTGGATCTTGAGCTTGGGCCAATCCGCTCTCCCGTGCACAGCTCAAGTTCACAAGCATCTTGAGGTTGTGCATCTTGGGAATATTATAGATTCACCGTCTCCCGGGTTCCTCCCTGTTGAACCCCTAGGCAGTGGGGTTTCTGTGGATAACTACGCGTTCTCTTGCGTGTGAAGACGTTCATGTCCCAAGCGCAGGACCTGGCTACATACACTCTATACCTACTCTAACAGGTCAGTGAGATCCTTGCGTTGCTCCAACGATACGCGGAGAGCTCACGCTGCCACTAGACTACCTAGCTTAGACCAGCTAGCTCCTAGTTATTAGTACAGGCTGTGTATCTCGCCGCAGCAAAGATGGCTTTCATAAAAGTTGAGCGTTGGTCATGGCCACGGAACTCTCTCCAGTTTCTCAACATCTCACGGCTCATTGTACTTATGATATACATCGATCCCTCCTTTGCCGCAAACTCTTCCATTGCTACTTCTTCGGATGTCTGGGCAGCGCTTGTCGCAAACATTGCGCCGCTCCTCGTCCTGGTGGGCGAAAAGCATGTGAAAGCCTACTTCAAGATCATGTGTCGGACTTCACACCACCTCCTCTACGCCGCGGGACCCATCGGTCTCGTCACGGCCATCACAACCCTGGTCCGGCTCAATGGCTCCCCGCTGCTGAAGCGCATCATCGGCCGCCAGTTCGAAACCAGAGCGGAGGTGCTGGCGGATGTTACCAGCGTAACCGCCGGCGACGTCTGTCTGGAGCTCAAGAACGGGAAGCTGGAGCAGACGACGAACCCCGATCCCCAAGACTGGGCGCAGTTCTATGTGCACGGCAAGAAGGTGGGCGGCGCACAGGTGGCGCTCGACTATGCCGCTGGTTTCAGACCGATCATTGGCAGTATCGCCTACGGCGCGGTGGTGACGACCAGTCAGCAGTACATGCGCAAGTGGGGTTGGGGGATGGTGGCATCGTTCCGCGCTGTCGGAGACGACGCGCCCGTCAAGACGCGAAAAGTCGCAGAGGCTTATCTGTCGGGATCTAGTTCTTTTGAGGATGGACAGGATGCCGAAGAGCTGCGCGCGACGGAAGCGTGCGTAGCGGTGTATGCGGCTTGGACGGATGTGTCTTTCAGCCTTACCGCGAGCCATTGCCTCGACCACGGACTGACGGATGTGATGAGGTTGGCAGTGGTCTTGACTTGCATCTTGGCCGACGTGGCCGTAATAGCCATGAACTGGGTGCAGCAGCGTGATAACCAGAACTGCGCACTCGTGGCCGCCGGAGTCGCCATATCGGTTCTTGGGAGCTTCATTACCGCTCGCCTGGTCGATGCTGCTTCCGACGAGACAACGATCGACCTGACCCCGCTATCGGCGACCAGAGCAGGGTTCTATTCGGAACGCATCGCCGAAGGTACGGAGCTGTCGTTCTGTCCCGAGGCTGTTGTGATTTCGTCCGTCGCAACGATGAGGCCCGAACGCAAGCGGCTGGTCGGTATCTTGTCACATTGTACAGTCGTTGTGATGACGCTGGGGTACATCGCGCTGTATTTGGGCTTGAGAACATCGCTGTGGTGGGCGCCACTGGCGCTTCTGTTAACCTTCGCCGTTGCGTCGGTGGCCCGAGCATATTTCGTTCCCGACGAGCTCGAGCTCCTGAAATCCGGCGATCCGTCCCCATTTCCGTTTGGAGATGTACTCGACACCATATCCGCCCGAGGGGACCTACTTTTCAAGGACGAAGGGTCAACTCCGATCGCCAACGAAAAGGATCCGAAAGACACCAGTAGCGGTTGCCAGTCCGGTAACTCGAACACCGGTACTCCTGGACTTCCCCTTCAGCTTTCCCCGGCACGTGTCGGCCCGACATACGAAACGGTGGCGTACAGATGTGCCTTCTCGCAATCCACAGTTCCTTGCTCGCTAGACAACAACCGTTTCTTCATCGCCGCAGTGCTGGCCATTGTCATCCGGCTACGCCGACACTCTTCCGTGGGCCGCTCGGTGCCTGTGGAATTCACGGAGAGCACCCTTACAGATACGACCGGGCAAGTTCTTTATTCGGATCTACTTGGCCGCGACGGGGTGTGGCGGCAGCCGCTCGAGATCATGGTCAGCGCCGTCGACATGTACAGCGCCAACCCGATGGACGAGTTTCTGATCCCGCTGAAGGCGTGGTACTGGCGCGCGGAAGCCGTGCGGGCGCGGGGATTTGCCAAAAAAATCTCGAGCCAAAACCTCGAAACGGAGCTGAACGAGCGAGGACGGAATAATCAGTTCCCGAGCTTTGGAGACGACGCAGGGAGTCAGATTGGCGAAGCGGGTTGCCTCTGGATGGCGGTGAAGATTGCGTTTGTCGTGTTTGGTGGGTGGACCACGTCAAGGCTGGAACAGTTCTTGGTCGCCAATCTGGATGCCCAGCGGGACTCTATGTTGTCGGAAGCGGAGCAGCAGTCGTTGCTGGAGTGCTTGAAAGTGGCGGGGCTGGTGGTCGTGGTGTGAGGCACCGGTTCGGTGGAGAAGCATAGGGGAATGAAGTATAGCAGAGTACGACGCCGGAATGATACCCATGGAGATATAGACAGAGTATGAGCTTTTCTTTGTTTAATCATTAATTTCTTGCAGCTACCTAGATCATAGGAATAAACACGCCGTTTCCATATCCACGGTCCAGAGCGCAACAAGGAAATGAAACTAGGAAAATAAAAGGTCCGCTCCTCACTCCGCCTCGTCCTCTATCTCTTCATGAGGAGAAGCCATGAAGGGGTGTGTAGGGAAGAACAGCTGGAGTGACCCGGGTACCTCGACCTCAGCGCCCTTCTCTTCCACTCGGGGATAGCACTCGAAGAGGTGCTGCCGGGTCTGGGTCTGGGTCTTGTACCGACACCATCCTCAGCTGGCGGCAAGGCTGCTCCCCGACTACTGGTGGTATTACATATCCGGTGCGACAGTGCCCTATCTTCAGCTAGTGGAACCTCGCAGCCTTCGCCGGGATCGGGTCCGGTTTCCGACTGTGCCTCGTACCACTTGCTGGTGACTTTCGCGCCAGCCCAAGCCTTGGCCTCCTCTCACTCGGCCTGCGTGATCCCGCGTTTCAGGTAGGTAGGCAAGCGATGTGGGGGGTAGGGTGGCATTGGCGGTTGCCTGGTCCCGTACCTACGGTACTAGGTAGATATAGTAGTTGAGATATCGGCCGTGCGGGGTCCTCCGTTCCCGGGCGGAGAGTTTCTCGCCGGTCGGCTCACTGGAGCTGGTGTCAGCACAAATCCCTGTCGCGCGCACAGCAGCACTCATTGCTCCTCCTTCAATCGTTGAATGGTCGACTGTTATATTACACCGTATCCGACGCTATTAGAGGACGGTAACCACTCGTGTCCGACTCTAGTAGAGTACGGTAATAACTCATGCCGACCTGTCAGTGGCCGCAGTGGCATTGCGCAGCCTCTGGAAAGGCGTAAAAGACCTCTTGTGCTAGCTCCTTCGCACACAGTGCCGCCACCCACGGAAATCTTCCATCGTCGAAGTAACGCCACACATCTAACCACCTCGATCAGAACCACCATCACCGCCACCACCGCCACAATCATACCATCCCACACCATGAAGCTCCTCCCCCTCGTCTCCGCCGCCGCCACCACCACCATATTCTCACTCGCCCCCGCCGCCCCCTCCGACCCCACACAATCCCCCCGCTCCGGCAACCTTGCCATCTGCAAGCGCACTCAACAAGACACAATCACATGGAAGTTCTCCGTGGAGACATTTGGGCCATGGGGTCGGGACTTTGGCAGCGGGCTGCTGAACAACCTGCATGACCGGTGCGGGCAGATCGACGGCTGGGGATTCGACTACGCCGGCGACAAGGGTGATAATGGCGATAGTGGCGATAAGGGCGTTGCAACGTTCACTACGTCGACGCTCATCGCCGCGTATTGCGTCGAGGACGCTATTTGGCTCGCGAGTAATCCTACTGGCGCGATGAGGGGGGTGAGGTGTGATTGGGTCTTGTGATGCGGGGAACGGGGGAGGGAGGGGGGCGGGGAGGAGTGTAGGATAGTCGTTGTGCACGCTCTGATGGTTCCGGGTCGGTCGAAGGGTGGGGACTATATACCTAATGTAATGATGTCGGCCCTTCACGTTCGCTATGTTCCTATGATCTCTTTTCTCCACGTATTTAAAGTACATATATCCATTCACGATGCCTAAGTAAGTAGCCAGAGGAAATATCTTCAGCACCCTCGACACGCCTTCCGCAGCTCTCCAAGTAACATCCAGGGGGGTTTCTCGATTGATAATGCTCGAACTTCCTCTATAAAACCCATGGCGGCCGAGTAACATCCAATCTTTAGTTATCGATGCAACTGATCAGCTAGACAACGGAGTGATGATTTGTGATTCACCGTATGTAGAGCATGGTACAAAATCTTCACTGGCTCCAATGTACTGGTATCCCCGCCCCAAGGACTCCTCCCGAGCAGTCGAGACCAGCAAGCGGTTGAAACGTGATGTCGAACCTAGAGGGCACCGTCCACCCCATCAAGGGATCCTCATCGCATCATGACCTGCCTGCCGTACCACCGCCGCCGCCATTCCACGCCACACCTCAACTTCTTTTCTTCTTCTTTTCTTCTTTTCTTCTTCTTTTCTTCTTTTCTTCTTTTCTTCTTCTTTTCTTCTTTTCTTCTTCTTATTTTTGCCCGCCTGACGTCAGGTAACATACTCTAGATTCGTCCCGTATCGATCGGAATGGAAAAAGGAAGCAGCATTATTCATAGATATTCGGCTCGCTGAACTGCTAGCCTCCAGCTAGTGTGAGATCATAGATGATGCGCGAATCTTCCAGAACTTCCCCAGCTTTTACACAAGTTTTTTTATTTTAAGTTTTGCCGTCGGTGATCGGTGATCGGCATAGGCACATAGAGGCGGGATGATGAAAGATCTTCGGGTTCACAGGTTTACCGTATTTGGCTCCTGTGAGGAGTGGAGTGATGGACCGATTACGCTCGAGTGACGTAAGTATGTGGCCCTGGAAGAGAAACGGATATGGAGAAGTTGAGGTTCTATTCAACTTCGAAGAGCCATCTGCATACAACGTCCAGATCCACCGATCCGGCTAGTCCCTCCTCCTCCTATCTTATCTGATCATCTATCTCTCATCGGTAGTGGTGGCAGACAACATCGAGGATCGTTCAGGCTTTCGCTGCCTGCATCAATTATTTCTAAGTGCAGGTTTTTTTCTTCTGGAGGGACGCTTGGAAAGTCATGTAGTAGGTCAAGATATTACTGGTGACGGCAAATAGTGTCGGACTAGTTACGAGCAAACCGGATGTTTCGCAAGGTTGGATCACTCACGATCACTCTGTGGTTGTGAACCTGAAGTAGTTGACAGAGCTCCATTCAAGTTCGACCGGTCCGGCCAATGTCTAGAGTGAATGGGCTACATGCAAGTAACGAAGAAACAAAAAAAAACCCCCCCCCATTTTCAACCAACCAACCAACCAACAACTTGAAAACCCCATTTGCCTGTATGCCTCCTACCAAACACCTCACAAAGCCAACCCCAGCGTCTCCCCCTGTGCGCAAACGAAAAACGGCCTCCCTTCCTTCTTGACCCTCATCCGCTCCCACACGTCACCACCAATCGCGCCCCTAATCCGCTCGCAAGTCGCCGGACTATCCAACACGAGCGTCTCCTGCATTTTCCCGCCCACCTCTTCCCTAGCGGCCTTAACCGCCTCCCTGAGGGCGAACAGTACCGTCGCGCCCAGAAACAGCGGGGGTTCACCGATACCCTTGCTGCTCTGGATACTGCGGAGATTCTTCCACTGGCTCTTCGGTTTCTTGAGGAGGCGCACATTGAACTCCTTCGGGATATCCGCGAAGCCAGGGATCTTGTATGTCCCCGGGCCGGTGGTGAACAGTTTCCCATCGCGCGCGGTCCACAGCGTCTCCTCGGTCGTGAACAAGCCCATTCCCTGCACGAACGCGCCCTCGATCTGGCCGTAGTCGATGGCCGGGTTGATGCTGCGGCCGACATCCATGATGATGTCCGTGCGTCGGACGAAGTGGTCGCCGGTGAGGACGTCGAGCTCGACTTCGGTGCAGGCTACGCCCTGCGTGAAGTAGAAGTACAGTGGGAGCGGGTCGATGTGGTTGCCCCATTTGTAGCCCACGTCCGGCATCTTGTAGAATCCGTTGGCCGAGAGGTTGACGCGGTCGACGAAGGCGGCGCTGGCGATCGCTTTCATGTCGTTGCCATACTTTTTACGGTAGGGAATTAAGCGCCCGTTGAGTTGATCGCAGGCGTGCTTTATCGCCATGCCGTTGAGGTCGGAGCCCGAGGAGGCGGCAGTCGGCGAGGCGTTGGCGACAGTGTTGGAAGACGAGTCCGCGGTGAAGACGGATTCGAAAGGGACCTGAAGCTCTTGCGCTGCGACGGCAATCATCTTGGTCCAGAGGCCCTGTCCCATCTCGTTTCCGCCGTGCGCAAGGAGTACCGAGCCATCGGTGTAGATGTGGATCAGGGCACCGGCCTGATTGAGGTGACAAGCAGTCGCAAACGAGATACCAAACTTCGTGGGTACCATCGAGATGCCACGTTTCTTGTACTTGTTCGCGCTATTGTATTCGGCAACCTCCTTCTTCCGCTCGTCGAGTGCACACGCCTCCTGCAGCTCTTCCATCATCTCGGGGACATGCCAGTCCACTAAAGTCTGCAGGAACGGGGTTTTCTGGCCCTCCTTGTAGAGATTCCTGAATCGGAGTGCGTCGACATCGATGCCCAACTTGTCGGCGATAGTAGTCATGATGCATTCGGCGATATAATTTCCTTGTGGCCCGCCAAAACCTCGGAACGCAGTGTTGCTGTGCGTATTGGTCCTACAGACATGGCCACGAACATGCACATTAGGAATCCAGTATGCATTCTCGATATGCGTGAGGCAACGATCCATCACAGCACCGCTGAGATCGAGCGAATGCCCAGCATTGTCGTAAACATCGGCATCGAGCGCCTGCAGCATGCCATCCTTACTGAAGCCCACTCTCCAGTGCGCCTGGAATGGGTGTCGCTGTCCCGTAGTGAGCATGTCCTCATCACGGTTCAACATGCCTCTGCAGGGACGTCCCAGCTTTTTGGCCGCAACTGCAAGAATACACGAAATTGGCATACAGCGCGCCTCCTTTCCGCCAAAGCCACCGCCCAATCGTTTCACCCGGACGACAATGCGGTTTGCCGGGATTCCAGTAACCTGCGAGACCATCTCCTGTGTCTCCATGGTGTTCTGCGTACTCGACCATACCTCCATTTCACCGTGCTCCTTGGGAATGGCTAGCGCCGCGTTGGTTTCCAGGTAGAAGTGCTCTTGTCCCCCCATCTTCGAGACGCCCGAAATAACGTGGTCACATTTTGCCAGGGCTTCCTCAATTGGCTTTCCAGTCTTCAGCATACTCTTGTAGGACTCAAAGTATGATCCAGCAGCGATGGCCTCATCGATGGAGATGATAGCGGGCAGCTCTTCGTACACGATCCTAACCAGCTTCGCCGCCGTCTGCGCCTGCGCCGCGGATTCTGCCAGGACCATTCCGATGATATCGCCATGGCAGCGCACAATGTCTTTTGCAAAGAAGCGCTCGTCTTTCACCACGGTTCCCCACAGCATGCGGTCTTCGGATAGGTCGTGATGATCGACGAACCCGACAACACCTGGCGATTCCAGGGCGGGAGAGAAGTCGACTTCGATCAACTTGGCATGTGCCTTCGATGACATGACGAATGCACCAAAGACCTCAGCGTCCATTTTGGGCATGTCGTCGATAAACTCCGCTTGTCCTGTTGCTTGCTTCAAGCCGGACACGTGTGGAATCTGCTTTCCCACTACTTCCTGCTCGTAGGGGTTGTCATGATCTCGGGTCCCACTGAGGAAAACATGTCGGTCGAGGCCCGAGACGAGGGAGCGGTCGACTTCGGCAATCTTCAGCTCTGCTGCAACCTCGTGCCAGAACCGGAATAAGAAGGAGAAAGCAACAGTCTTGCGGTAAGTTGGCATACCGCCGGGAACAGAGTAAGAGAGATTGAAATCCTGTTTGTCAGTGCGAATCCGCAAGCGAGTGATATTATGTGAAAACTCACTTTCTCCATTGCACCCATAGCTTCCTCCAGTACGGCAGGCTCAAACCACTTCTTCCCCATGAGCACCTCTTGAGTATTCCTCGCCTCGACGGTCGTCGGGGCCATTCTAAACTTATCAGAACCCACATCCTAGGGGGAAATTGGCAAACATACCCTCCATAAGCCAGACAGACGTCCTCCACACAACCGTCCTCACCAAGCCTCACCCGAAGACCTGCCGTGACAATAGCGATATCATCATCTTTCCGCTTCGCCTGTTTATACGCCTTGATGATCTCGCGTCCGCTGGCATGTCCAAGTGGCACAATGATCTTCGTTATCACCGCGTCGGCAGGAAGCGCAGTAGTCCTGTACGCAAGGAAGAACTTGCGCATATCCAGCTCTTGCGGCCCTTTTGAGAGCGAGTGCGCGATCAGCCTTGCTCCAGCACAAACGAATACCGGGTTGAGATCGGAAATCGGCGAGGCGGTGGCAATGTTCCCAGCCGTAGTCGAGGCATTTCTGATCTATTCCCATCATTCCATGAGCTGAATCACCATGTCGTTACGTGGGGAAAACAAACCTGGCGCCCAGCGAAATATCTCAGCTGCTTCCTGATCGCCTCCAGTCCGAGTCCGCGAGGCCCCAGTTTCTTGCCCCACTTCAAACACTCCCCCTCGACCAGACTGAGAATTTCATTGCCCCCAATGACAGCTTCCCCCTTTGCCTCGTCCACAGCGAATCCCTTCAGCTCCGGCACATCGCCGACATAGACGCAAACCGCATACTCCGAGTTCTTGAACTTGACCTCGACCTGGACCTCGGAACTCCCGCCGACGAGCTTCGCAGAGGGAAACGCATCCTTGATCATCAACACCTGCTCCAGCGTGACCGGCCGAAACCAGACCTTCCTCTCGTTTCCGAAACAGAGTGGTTTGAACTCGTATTTCCGTAAACTGAAGGGGAAGATTATCTCGCTGCCAGGCGAGTACTCTTTGAAGCCCGGCTGAGTGGATTGACCATTGCTCTTTTGCTCCTCCTCCGCCGGAGGTGGCGTGGAAGAGTTTGTGCTCGCCGATGCCGTTTCCCCGTCCGAGCTCTCGTACTGTCCACTCTCACTACTGCTGGGGGAGTCACGACAGCACCCACCGGGCCTACCACAACTCACACCCTTCGCCTTCCCGGCATCCACGGTCCAGTTCCCGCCCAGCCCCTCCGCCCCCTCCCCCTCTTCCACCCCCTCTTCCTCCCCCTCATCCATCAACACGCCCCCCAAATCCTCCGTGACAAAGCTCCTAGCGACCTCAAAGATGGGCTTATACCCAGTGCAGCGACACAGATTCCCGTCAAGCGCGCCCTCAACCTCAACCATGCGTCGAGCCAGGCGAAACACCTTCCTGTGCGGATCATACGCGTTCCTCAGCAGCGCATAGAGCGACATGATGATCCCGGGCGTGCAGAAGCCGCACTGGCTTGCGTGCAGTGCCGCAATGCGCTGCTGCAGCGGGTGCGGTGCGTCCACCGTGCCCAGCGCCTCGATCGTTAGGAGGTGTTTCCCATCCACTGCGGGAGGTCTCAGCTTGGTTGCAGTCTTGCAGTGGCAGGGCAGAGCAGGAATACTACGTACCGGAAACTATGGGTGCGAGACACGCATTGATCGCCCGGCACTCGACCCGCCCCCGCGAGTCCGCCTGCTGCACCACGACGGTGCAGGCGCCGCACCCGCCCTCGCCGCAGCCGAGTTTCGTGCCCTTTAGCCCGCGGTGGCTGCGGATGTACTCGAGTAGGGTCGCCGACGGGTCGATGTTGTGCAGGGTCTGCTGCTCGCCATTGAGGAAGAAGGAGATCGTCGAGGTCGTGAAGATGGAGTGTACGAGTGGGTTGAGGGCTTCTGCAGGTGAGAGGGCCGTGGCCGTGCTGGTGGAGGAGGGGAGCGGCGTGGGGAGGGATAGTTTTGCGGTGGCCATTGTGAATATTGAAAGCTCGGAGGAGCTGTAGCTTGTGGCTCAGGATGTATATCCACAGGAGCAGCGGAGGCGGACGACGGACATCCTCTCGTATGTATATCAGTGCAGTGTTGATCACCTTGACGCTAAGCAAGGTGCTGCAAGCTGGCAAGCTGGCAAGCTGGGAACTGGGTGGTGACACGAGAGTGCCCGAATCCAATGGCCTAGTTACACCGTTGCCTACAGCTCGAGTGTCGGAGGCAAGTTCGCCGTCTACGAACAGACTCGGAAAATCTGCAACATCCCACCATGAGGAAAGATTCACTCCTTTACCGGAGTAGGTGTGTCGCTTTCCCCTTCCTTTCCCCCTTCTCCCCGTACGGTAGTTGGCGACATCTCTGTGCCCAGTTTTGAGACGATGCGTGGAACAGCATGATTGTGGCACTTTTCCAGGCCGCCCAAAGGCCCCAACAAAGGCTCTCCGGCATCCTCTGTATTTATCGCAATTCCCTGGCCATGCTTCACACTCGCTGCGTTGCATGGCCGTCATCCACCACCCATACGGTCATTCAGAGCCGGCCGAGTATGCATGTAAATCAACATTGACTCGAGTCAATACCCAAGTCTTGATGGATCGGATCGCCCCTACCCTCAGCCCTCAGCCCTCAGCCCTCAGCTCTCGGCTAGCTTGCGAAGCGACCCCCAGCAGCCCGAATAGAAACTCTCCTCCTCCGACGCCTCGTACCCACAAGTCGATCGCGATCTTCAGCCCGCAATTGGTATCGCACCCATCCTGCATCGCACCCATCCTGCATGGCAAGCCAATTGCATCTCGCCAGTCCTTCGATAAGGCGGCATAGGGATGGATATATACGCTACACAAGCCCGCGCCCTGCCGCTACTACCCGCGCCGCGCCGGATTGGGTGGGGCCTACCCGGTTGGTACCAGTACATATCAGCAGAGTACCAGTAGGTACCGAGCCGTGGTTTGTCGAGACTCGAGACTCGAGGCTTGAGGAGGGGAGGTCGACCGTCGACGTGGCGAGTGTGGGGAGTTGCATAGGCTACCTATGCGACGTATGCGTGCCCGCTAGGTACACAGTCGTCGCCCTCGTACTAGGGCTGAATACTAACCGAGACATTTGTCATTGCTGGCAGTTGGCAACTGGCAACTGGCAGCCGGCCGAGGGTCGCATCATGTGGTTTCGCAGAAACCGGCTGCCTACACACGATCCCCGAGTACTTCTTGTATGAATGTAGCCTCTCCCGGACTCCCGGATTATTGTTATTTTATAGATTTTGGGTTTAATCATCGTAGCATCCGGCATTGGTACTACTAGTAGGAAGTAGAGATCATGGCTGATTGGGTACTGGACCGTGTCCGTCCAAGTCCACAAACGCCGGTGCCCGGCCCGATGCAGTACATACTTTTCCCTTGTTGCTTGTTGTTCTTCGTCCAGAATTTCCTATGTACGGAATGAAATCAAACAAACAGACAGACAGTAAACTCAAAACCTAGCTACCTCTGCATCCGAGAACTCAAAAGTTGATGGCGAACGCAAAAGCGAGTGATATTTCGTGTACCCACCCGTCTAGAGAACTGGTCGTATCAACTCCCGGGTCTCGGGTTTCGGGTACATAATCCAGCCGTTATACCAGCAGCTGCACGGTACGATTGTAGATCCCTACTCGCGGAGAGATAGAATCCCGAGTAAATGAATCAGTAATCATCAATCAACCCGATCCCTCGCCGCAAGGACCCATTTCTCGAATCACTCGTGCAACTGTGTAACCCTCCCACTCTCACTCTGTCCGCCATCCGCCAGCACAGCGAACGATCGCCCGTCCTACTCAACATATTCGGCATAAGCCAACCTCTAGATAATGTGCACATTAAACCAGCTATGAAATACACCAACAAACAAAGTAACGCCATATGCAACCCCAGATCCGCGCGCTATACCACCCACCACCCCCTTTACCCCTGCAAAAACCCCCCAAAATACGCCTCCACCCAAGCGGCGGCCTGTTCGACTCCTTCTGGCACCCACTTCCCAATAGCGCCGACGTAGCCGTCGGGGCGGACGACGGCGAGCACGGTCTCGCCCTCTCGCACCTCGCCGCCAACCCACTTCTTGAACGGACTAGTCCTTCCCTCGAGGCGGTCGAGGTAGACAGTCCAGCGGGCATCCTTCATCATGGGGCAGAGGTCGGCGAGCTCCAGTTCCGCCTGCGGGGTGCGCGTGATCAGCGCGGGGGTGAACAGTCGTCCAGTGGTAGTATAGCGCTGGGGCTGGACGATATCGTCGGCCTCTGCGCGGGCGGGCGTGGGCGCGCCCCGCGACTTCTCCGATGCCCGTCCGAGAATCGAGAGTGGGCTGGTGATGAACTCTGCCATCGTGTCGAGAAAGTACTTGCTCGCCTGGTAGTCCTTGGCGAGGAAGTAGAGGCGCCACTGGCCCAGCACTGGTATGTCCAGCTGCAGATCGACAGGATTGGCGTCGACGTAGCGGACCGCGCGTGCGGGGACAAGGAGCTCGCCGGGAACGAGCTTGGTGCTCGTCCAGGATGGGAGGTTGAGGGAGTTGGGACCGTACACGGCCCCGACCCCGCTGATGAACCGGATGTTCGTCTTGAAGTTCTCTGCGAGCGCTTTGCTGTCGTTCTTGATGAAGGCTTTGGCGTGCTCGTGGTCGAAGCGGATCAGATCGCATGCGATCTTGCGCCGCTCCTCGGCGTACGTGTCGAGGATGGCGGGCTTGGCTAGGCCGTGGAGGACGTGCGCGAGCTTCCACGAGACTGCGAGAATCAATGTGTGCACAAGTTTACTGAAGATGGGGGATACGCACGATTGTAGGTGTCGTGCATGGACACGTTCATTCCCTGTGCGGCTTTCGGGGAGTGAGTATGCCCTGCGTCGCCGGCGATGAAGATCCGGTTCTTGTGAGAGAATGATGTCGACACCCTCTGGCCGATCTGGTAGACGCCAAACCATTCTATCGACGTCCAATTGATGGTGTAGGGCTTCAGAATGGCTTTGGCCCGCTGTATCACAAAGTCCTTGGCGATCGCCTTCGAGATCTTACCATTACCGGTTTCGCCGACGGTATTGAGCTCAATGTAGAGGCGTGTCATGTTCTTCTCGCGAGGAATGCAGAGGATCGTCCCGGCCTCGTGCGAGGAGATGGCACTGCTTTCGGTGGTAAGCGTCCAGTACCGGTGCGTAAAAGAGGAACCACATACCACTTGCTCCACAGATCTGGGAAATCCGTTTCCACGACGCCATCTAGGACTCCCCAGAACACATCTGTCGTCTCGCCCTCCATCGCGACGCCGGGCATACACTTCCTCACCAAGCTATGCGCGCCATCGCAGCCAACGATGTACTTTGCCCTCACCCTCTTCGTCGTATTCTTGACCTTATCCTTATAGACCGCCTCGACGGGATACGCTTCATCCTCCTTAACCGTGCACGTCTCAAAAACGCAGTTCCTCTCTACCTCCAATCCACGCTCCTTCATATCATCCAAAAACAGACTCTCGACCATGCCCTGATGTACCAGGAGTATGAACGGCTCGAGCACGTCGACGAGCGGCGGAAAATGCTCCTGCCGGCCAGTCCGCCGCAATCGCTGGCCCGCACTCGAGTTCCAGAACGCTATGTCGAATATCTTGACGCCCTTCCGCAGCACCGGCTCCGCTATCCGCATCTGCTTGAACGTCTCGATCGTCTTGGGCTGCAGCCCGTCTGCGCGCCCCGTCGGCGTCCGGTCTGGCCGCTCATCGATGATCTTGGTCTTGATGCCGAAGCGTGCGAGTTGGGTTCTGCAGCGGGAGAGAAGCCAAATCAGCGAGCTGGAGGTAGTGGGGGGCACGCTGAGAAGAGGGAGAGCACGCCACACGTGATGGATGGATCGACTTACGCCAGCATGCAACCGGCCGGCCCGGCGCCCACGACGAGCACGTCGACTTCTTGGACATCGGTGTCGACGTCGGGACGGATACGCGTGGGCGGGTTTGGGCGGGTCGGATACTCAGTGCTCGAGCCAGGCGTCATTTCCGAAGCTGGTCTCTTCATCGAGGGCGAGCTCGGGGACAGCGCTGTGGTTATATTTTTGGCGCTGGGGGAAGCTGAAGCTGCTGCTGCTCTAGCCGTTCCGTTGGGGCGCACTGCTATGCTCGATGTAACTTCCCGTGCAGCCTGCAGATGATCTTCGTGGCTCTCGAGGGGCTGCTCGCGATGATCGCTCATGTGGGGAGTAGTGGCGCGGGCGGGTGTGGGTGCGGGTGCGGGTGATGGCTCGGGTGTGCAGGTCTGGATTCGTCTCGGGATATTTGGCTTTCCGGTTTTCCTTCTCGTTCTTCCGTTCAGTGGAAGGGAGCGCATGGCGGGTTACATGCTGCTCTATTTCTATGGGAGGGGGGACGGGGCGTTCAAAGTTGCGTGACAATTCTGTTTCCAAAAAATCAGCTGTTGTGGCGCGATTCTGGGTCGATATCCTCTTTCTAGATGTGGCCATGATGGGATGGAGGGGCCGTAGAGTAGGCAGAGTAAGTAGGCCGAGCAGAGGCCCGGCCCTGTCGTTCGTTGCTTACTTTACTCTGCTGGCCACTGGCCACGGCCGGACTGCTGATTTTCTGGAACACCGAAGCTGGGGTAGCTATCTATCCGCCATGCCCATCCGGGACTCGACTGGTTATTTGCAGAATGGCATGTAGAGTGCAGTTATATACCGTACATACAGCAGCAAAAGTGGCATCATGGGCTTGAAGAACTCGCTTCCGTGGGAGTGGATGGCTGGACGTGCAGAAGCCATGGCCAGTCCAAACGCTCATGCTCCAGGTCTCTACTCTACTCTACCTGCTACCCTAGACCACCGTACCAGCAACCAGTGAAAGCTCGTCAGGATCCACGGCCGTGGGATGCTCCCACCTCAGCATTCCCACTATCGATCGGACAGGAGAGCCGCACATCCAGCGCCCACGACGCACGACCGACATCTGCAAGACTGCAACACATGCGTCGCGCAGGCAGGCAGAGTGGCCACACCACGGCGCGCAGGCTGTCGACGCATGCTTATCTCCGTGGCTCGCCACGCTCCCCGCTCGCCAGACCCAGAGAGAGAATCGCAACACCCCGAATCCCTCGCTCACCGAACAGACACGCAACTCGGCCTCAGCCGCACCATGAGCGCCAGTGCGCCCCCCGCCATTCGCCGAACTGGCGCGACGTCGTACGCCGGAAACAGCACGGGATTGCGCGCAAGCTCGCGGCGTACGCAGTATAGCATCTACCCCCGTCGCAGCGGCCGCCAGGCACTCAGACGGACGTGTCGCGACCTGCTCGAAACCGCCATCCACAACGCGGACGACATCGATTACGCGACGGCACGCGGTGGAGGGCTATATACATCACGACGTGCACCCGCCCGCGTATCCCTGCCGTGAAGTGAAGTGAAGTGAACGAGCCCCGCTAAACTCCGCGAGGAGCGCGACCGTGGTCCACCAGCACTGCGTCGTCCTTACGGAGCCCTGACAGAGCCGAACTTCTCCACGGCGCTCGACGCATACCTCGCGACCCGCGGGCCCGCTGCACGGCCGACCGATCACCGTTAAGGACCAGTTCAACGTGCGCGGGCTGGACACGACGATAACTTATAGTACACGTCGCTGTGCGCGCAGCTGGTGACCTCACAGTCCGCGCTCATCACCGTCCTCGCCTCGCTCGGCGCGATCGTGCTCGCCTCAGCAAGACCACCGTGCCGCGGAGCCTGCTGTGGTGCGAAACCTCGTCGCCACTCTTCGGGCTCACGACGGACCCGCGGAACAGAGCGTTCACGCCCGGCGGCTTGAGCGGCGGCAGCGACATCGGCGGAGCATCCGGATCCCGAGCGCGATCATGGGGATCGCCGGGTTTGAGCCGTGCAGTGCGCGCCTGTCGTACGCGGGCACCGCCGTCAGCACGCGGGGGCAGGAGCACGTTCCCGCACCGCCGGGCCCATGGCGCGGACGGTGGGCGCGCTGGTCACCGCGATGAGGGCGGCGCTGGAAGTGGACCTCTACCGGCGCACGAGTGAAACTGACAGTATACAGATGATCCGCTGACTATGAAGGGCCATTCGGTGGGACTGCAGGTTATCGAGCGCAAGTTTAAGGAAGAGAAGACGCTTGCGGGCATGAAGATTATCGAAGGGATCATTCGTGAAACCCAGGCCTAGCCATAATAGAAGCAAGCAGACGTTCTTAACCATAACGATAATCTCGTCGCTCGTATATATACATCTCAAGCCGCGTAAACATATGTACAACTCCACAGCCCTACCCCACTACACGCTACCACCCACCTTAACCCCCAACTCCGGCCTGACCCTCATCGCCTCACCTGGCGGACTCGGCTTCAGCGCGCCCTCGGGGTACGGATTCCTGCTCTTGAAGTCATCGCAGATCTCCTCCATGGTGACCCACTCGACGCCCTCATGGGAGTTGATGTACTCGATGAGGCGCTCGTGCATCAGCAGGACGTGCGGCCTCCCGCTGACGTCCGGGTGCACCGTGATCGGAAAGATGAACCCCTCGTCTTTGTGCTCCCGGTAGAAGTAGTCGAAGTGGTCCCGCCAGATGTCTTCGATGTCCCGCGGGTTCACCCACCCGTGCGAGTTCGCGTTGTTCTTGATGAACATCATCGGCGGGAGATCTACCAGCACACCACACATCAGCACGCCCCCACGCCCCCACCGCTCGCGGCACTTACCGTCGATATACCAACTCCCCGGAATCTCCACCAATCCCGTCTCCTGTCCCTTAACGAGTGGCTTCATCCAGTCCTCCGCCTTCTTCTGATAATCAATTTTCGTCCAACTATCGCCCTTGCGCAGGTAGTATGCCTGGCAATCATGGTGGCTCATGGAGTGATCATACTCGATGCCGTAGCTGAGCAGCAGCTCCGTGCCCTCCTCGTTGCACTCCCACCACGGAACGACATTCCCACGTGGTGGCTTCCCGCAGAATTCCGTCAGAAGCCGGTAGGACTTGTCTAACACGTCCCGCTGCTGCTCCCATGTCATGTCCACGGGGTTTTCGTGAGAGTAGCCGTGGAGGCCGCTGCGAGGGCGTTAGTCGTCTAAGCTAGAATTGAGGGAGAGGGGGAGGGGGAGGGTACATTTCATGCCCCGCGTCCCGCACCATGGCGCACTCCTCGGGAAACGTCTCGAGCGAGTGCCCCGGGATGAACCACGTCGCCTTGATGTTGTACTTTTCGAACAGCTTGAGCATGCGGCGCGTGCCGACGGTGCCGGCGAACATTCCTGCAGTCGTCAGTAACTTGGGCTCTGTATGTATACAGGGCAATGGGTGAGGGGCAATGGGCGTGCTCACCTCGGGAAATGTCAGAGTGCGAGTCCTCCCCGCCGTAGGAGCCGAGCCACCCAGCGACGGCGTCGATGTCCACGCCGTAGGAGCAGAGGATGCCTGTGCGAATGGATAGTCAGTTGGGGCTGAGGCCAGGAAGGCTGGGAAGCGTACGTTTCTTGGGTGGAGCTGCTGCTTCGGCCATTGTTCAGAATATGGGCCAATTTGATAGGTAGATTGTAAGGTGGTGGAGCAGATGAGATTTGGAGCAGTGGGATTGGGAACAGATGGATCGAGAAACAGATGTGCTCTATGTAACGTCAATCAATCTTGATCGGCGCCCGGCCCTTTTATCCCCCTCCGCATCGGAGCAACGGGTGGGAGGAATGGGTGGCCGTTGCTATCGATAACTGTGAGCTGCCCCGCTTTGCTACGGCCTTCACAAGCTGAGAAGGGCCAGTAATGCATAAACTGCAAATGGCCAACCCGCATATCATGCATCAACTTCCGCGGACGTGTAACTCCGAAAGATAAGTCCTTAGCTGCTTGGAGAACTGGATATGCAGCTCGCCGTTGCGGGGCTCGGGAGATGATCGTCGTGAGGGGTGGACGTTTACGACGGCAGTTTCCGTTAAGCTCAAATAAGCTCGAGATTTAGACTCCCATAGCTCTCCTGGCTCCATCACACTACCACAAGCTAATCCACCCACGTTTTATCGATACCAACATGAGCAAGAGAGTAAACAATCCCCATCCATGCAATCACGTCAAGAGACCCGCTAACCAGCCGCAGTTCGACCTCACCGGCCGCGTAGCCCTGATCACCGGCGGCGCGCGGGGCTGCGGCCTCTCCTTCGCCGAAGGCCTGGCAGAAGCGGGCTGTTCCATCGCAATCTTCGACATCATCCCGCCGTCGGCGGCCTTCCACACGCTCACTTCAACGTACAACGTGCGAACAGCATGGTACACGGTGGACGTCAGCTCCTTGTCCTCGCTCACCGCTGGCTTCGCGCAATTCATCTCCGACTTCTCGGGGGCGCTCGACATCTGCGTGCCCTGCGCAGGCGTGAACCAGAACGTTTCGTTTGTGGACACGACGGAGGAGGAGTTCGAGCGGCTGATGGATGTCAACGGGAAGGGCGTGTATTTCACTGCCCAGCTGGCCGCGAAACAGATGATCAAGAACGGCACGAAGAAGGGAAGCATCGTCTGCGTCGCAAGTATTGCGAGCCATATGGCTATCAGGAGCCAGATGAGCAGCGCCTACTGCGCGACGAAGGGCGCGGTCAGGACTATGGTCCCGCCGATTGCGGCCGAGCTGGTCAAATACGTATATCCCCCCCCCCTCCCCCCATAACCAACATCTTACTGACAACACCATGCCAGGGCATCCGCATCAACTCGCTCTCGCCCGGCTACGTGCGGACGGAGATGACGGCGCCGTTCCCGCACCTGCTCGAGAGCTGGAAGGACGAGATCATGAACGGGCGCGTGGCGGAGCCAGAGGATATTCGCGGCGCGTGCGTGTTCCTGGCGAGCGATGCGAGCTCGTACATGACGGGGCAGGACATGCTGGTTGATGGCGGGGTTACAAGGTGGTAGCCTGGTAGCCTGGTAGGACGGTTGTGTCTCGTAGTAGGTCCGGATGCATCACACTCTGAAGGTCATGGTTGCAATCTCCACATGCTCTCGTTGAGATTGTATTGTGTGATATGTACATGCGGTATCCATGACGGCACGCTGGTTGCACTGCACTGCACTGCACATTGGCATTTGCCGCCGATCATCCACCGTTTGTCTTGTCGTCCTGCAATCCCAAATCTCGATCGTAATCTGGGATGTAGGTAGGCAGGTGGCTGGCGTACTGCGGGCGGGTGGCATCGGCAAGGGGCAGCACGACTGTCAGGTGGGACATCCAAGTTCCCCGGAGGCGTACAAACTCTACAAACTCTACATACGTTTTGAGCACGGGGCAAGTGGATCGGATTACGGTACAGGTAGAGTAGAGTATTGGACCATGTCATCGTGCGTCGTCATTGTTACACTTGGAATGAGAATTATGAGACACGGAAGGACAACGTGCAACGGCCGACACGCTGCAACGGGAGCTCGAATGCGATCGTATAATGGAATTCAAAAAATTCTGGAGGATCGCCGTAGAAATCATAACAATACTGTGCCGATTCAATGGCCCCGCGGGCATATGGATAATGGGGGTGCAACGGTGGCCTGCCTACAAGTTGATACCCATCTACATGACCACTCGAGCTCGACAGTTCCCCACGAGATTCCACGCCTTATCATACGATGAACAATAAAAACACAACCCACAAAACGAATATGGAGTCTGCGGCACATGAATACATCCACCCCACGGCCGGGTGTAAACTGAATGTTGCCACCCCCTCCCCCTCCGTCCCCGACTCCACTCCCGACTCCCGGGCTGACAAGTATCCTTCGGTATGTGTAGGTAGTAATAGTCGGCGCAGGCCTCGGCGGTCTCGGCGCCGCAATCGGCATCTCGTTGGCCGGGCACAACGTAACGGTACTCGAGGCAGCCTCTGAAATCGGCGAGGTATTTTGCCTCCCACCCACCCTCAGGCGCACAGGCGATCACTCGGTTAAAAACTAACCATCTCAGATCGGCGCGGGCATCCAGATCCACCCGAACGCATCGCGGATTCTGACGCGCTGGGGGCTTGCCCCCGCACTATCAGCGTACTGGACCACGCCGCGGTGCGTAAACATGCTCTCGTGGCGCGGCGAGCCGCTGGCGAGCATGCGCTTCGCCGAGGCCGCTGAGAAGTACGGCAGCCCGTTTTGGGACTTCCACCGCGCGAATCTGCACCGGTGTTTGCTGGAGCGCGCGGTGGAGCTGGGTGCCACGGTGCGGTGTAAGGCGAGGGTTGATACGCTTGAGTTTGTCGGGGGGGAGACGACAGTGGTGCTGGAGGGCGGCGAGAGGGTGACCGCAGACCTCGTGGTAGGCGCCGATGGGATTTATTCTAAGACCCGTGAGGCGTTTGTGGGGCATAAGGATCCGCCGAAGAAGACGGGCGATCTGGCGTATAGACTCCTTCTGGACGCGAGGGAGATGCTGAAGGATCCCGAGCTGGCGGGAATGGTGACGGATCCGCAGGTTATGTACTGGCTTGTGCGCGCCCCTCCCCCCTCCCCCCTCCCCCCCCCCCCTCCCCGCCGCACACCTCCCCACTGACACCTCCAGGGCCCGGATAAACATGCGGTAAGCTACGTCCTCCGGGGCGGGCGACAATTCAACATGGTCCTTTTGGTGCCGGACGACCTTCCAGACAGCAGTACCGTAGTCCCAGGAAACGTAGCCGAGATGTGCGCGCTGTACGCGGACTGGGACGCGCGCATCCCCAAGCTGCTGGGCTTGTGCACGGAGGTGCACAAGTGGAAGCTCTCCATCCGCCCAAACGATCTACCCGCCTGGTCGAATCCCGCGGGGACTTTCGTGCTCCTGGGAGACGCCGTGCACGCCGCGCTTCCGTATTTGGCTGCTGGGTGAGTCCACCGCTCCCACTACGTGTGCGCAGAGACTCCAAGCTGATGATAAAAGCGCGGGTATGGCCCTCGAAGACGGCGCGTTCCTGGGGCTCGCCCTGGGGAGCATCAAGTCCAGGTCGGAGGTGAAACGCGCACTGACGGTGTATGAGCGCGGCCGGCGAGCTCGCGTCGCGCGTATCGTCGAGCGCGGGAATGTCCAGCAGTATCTTTACCACCTCCCCGACGGCGCGGAGCAGTGCGAGAGGGACAGGAAGCTCCGCATGAATCCTACCCCGCCCGGAGAGGTGCTCGCGTGGAGGGATCCGGAGTTTGCGCCGTGGTTGATGGGGTATGATGTTGAGAAGGATTTTAAAAAGTATTGGGAGATGCCGAAGGACAAGGAGAGGAGGAGGGAACATGTCACGAGGAGCTTGTTGTAGGTAGGCAATGTAGATGGTTATAAAATCAATTTCATTATGTTGGAAAGTTCAATGGACGAGTGATGTGCTGTGTGATGTCGATCTTTCCATTTACATACCGCGACATTCCCGCCTTTCAATCGCAGGCATACATAGATGCGGGATCATCGAACACGACCGAGAATTTATCGGTGAATTTGATCTGCCAGGCTGCCACCAGTGTAGGAGCTCGGGAATGCGTTGGTGTCCGCGAGGCGTATGTAGGAGCCCGATCGGCTAGCACGTGTTGGCGCCGGGACGCATGATGCCAGATCAAATGATCTACAGCCGGCGCAATAGATGGCGATATATGATTGCCCGCTACTCACGGAGGGTGTGCAGTGCTAGCACGGGTGAATATCGATAAGTAAAGGACTAACGTCTGGCGACTTTGGTCAATGCCTGGCGACTTGCTTCACATACACGCGGTATCACCCGCTGCTTTTCGTTCTTGGAATGGAGCAGTTCTGATTTCTTCTAAGCTTCTGTTCTCGCAGTCTCTCCTGAAGCGTTAACACAACCAATGCGATGGGGGGTGGGAGGATGAATAGGATGAGTGATACTGAATCTGTCGTCCACAACGCGGCGCGCCTATTGCTGACCATCAATCACACGTACTCACTCCTTCCTTAAGTTCCCTTTCCACCTAGCACCAGCCGTATGCGACAAAAAAATCCTCGGGCTCCTCTCACCGGGCGCCAATCAACGACCCTCGATCGCGGAGAGCGCGGGCCGTAGAGTGTCGACCCCATGGGTTCCTATGATGAGCGTCGCCGAGATACAATTGCTGTGACCTCCGTCCAGAACTGGGACCCAGTGCTAGCTACATAGAAGGGCAACCCACTGCGGTAGCATAACCATCCCAATCGGTACGATCAGCACAATCGTCTGATGAAACTCCCAGTCGCGACCCACAGGCCACGGCTAAAGTGCCGGGACAATCAGATCTCGGGCAAGCGCCGCACGCAACCGACATCCATCCACCCAACTGGGGGAAACTGAGCCCCCCAAACATCGCAATGGGAAGGCGACAGCCTTGGGACCGCCGCATGGGGTCCGAATCTAGGCAGCGACGTTCATGGATTGTCGATAGCGACGTGCAATATGTATGTACCCCCGATTCCCGACCCCCTACCCCCCTCCCCCGGACCCGGTGGCAGAAGCGCCCAAAAGGGGTTCGCGTTTGTTCGCAATCGCGTGATTCCCACGTGGACAGATTGCCAGGTCAGGCATCCTAGAGCATCCTATCTAGAGCATCACAGAGCAGAGCAGAAAACGATCCCCGTCTGTATTTCTGGATGTAGGTACCTCGTATTGCACGGAATTCCTCTAGCATTCGCTGCAAGGCATCCTTGCACTATTGTCGGCGTGCTAACTAGAAGAAGCAGCTATGCCCAGTATTCGCTTGGGGAATTTCGCTTCGCGATCCCTTCATGCCGGGGGAGTCGGGGAGTCGGCGACCGGGGTGTGCCATGGTTCTTCGTGATTCCGGACACCCGCCGCTGCTGCTGTATTCGTTGGAAATCCGTGTCGAGTCGATTACATATTTCCGTCGCTCTGTCCACGGACGAATGTAGAACCTGCCCCCTATCTTTGATTATTCGGGGTTTAATTTCTCGCCGTTGTGCCCGCGCTTCCGGTCGGATGTATGATATGAATATAGTAGTGTAGGATGGGTTCCGGTCGCGCCGTACGTGCCGGTGGACCGTAAGTTGGTACCTGAAAAACGACGGCGACCTCGGGTTTCCGGAGTCGGGATTCGGAGGTTGGCGAAACCAAAAACGCCGAAAACACCGAAAACACCTATGTAGAAGCACCGTTAGTTATTGCTTGGTTCTTTCCCAATCCACGCGAATGAGAGGTGTATTAAGCTTACCAATGCCCACTGAAGCGCTTTATCAACCATCCAGCTATCCAGTGCGCACGCGATTCCCCTGGATGTAGATCACATGTAGCCGGTAAACCGTGAGTATATACCCAAAAATGAATGGAGCCGGTAGATACGAATATGATCGGTGTCATGGTGCGAGATACTACCACCGCGACCACCGTATCAGTCGTGCAGACTCGAGCCGGTGCTCCCGGAAAGCGTCGACGGCACAGCGACACGGCGACAAATTGACTGACCCAGGTACCTGCCACATCATTAGTACCGGAGATCTCCAATCCCTTACCTCACTCCAGAAGTTTCTCGCATCCATTCGGCTTGGGAGTCGGAAGTCTCGATCTGCCGGCATCGCTCCTTCAATTCCCGACAACCCGGAGCTTCGGCGTCAGCGTCAGCATCAATCGCGCTATTCCAGTCGTACGGAAGTCTTTGCATGATAACTCCGCCGCCGTGTAGTAGACTTATCCCGCCCGCGCAGGCAGCCGGCGACAAAAGAGAGTCTTCCAAGGTAGGTGTCAGGGGCCGCAAACTGGCCGCAAACTGGCCGCCCCGGGTACCTTCCAGTGATTGTTAGCAGCCAACACCGCCCGAGAACCACTATCCGCTTCATTCCCCGACAAAAAACGGAATATATTCCAATCCTCCGCCCAAAACCCCGACCTCCCCTTCTCCCACGCTCGCCCGACGCCTTTCCTGCCGCCCAGAGTTTTCAATCCCGGCTCCCACCGCGCTAAATTAGCACCCGGCGTTAGAGGCCGCAGAGAAATCAAGGGTCCGATCGCGCCAGCAGCCAGCCTAGCCTAGCCAAAGCTTGATCCGAGAGCCACCCGAGTATCGGGATCTCCGAGCGATCCGTATCGCATCGCATCGGCTCGCGAGAAACGCGAGAAAGAGTACGGTGCGGAACAACTGCGACTGCGACTTCGAGCGCGCGCCGAGTCGTGAGGAGAGGCGAGGAAGGAATAGACGTGGTGACAGGGTGGCAGTTGTGTCGGTTGGGTTGTGTCGGTTTTGCAAATCGTGTCATACGTAACGCAGTGTTCGTCTATGGTTCGGGTCGTTGACTCGCTGTATGTACCCTATGCACGTCTACGGAGGTGGACACTGGACGCCTCTCAGCTGTGGTGCAGCGTGCCCTCGGCCCCTCGCAGCGGCCCAAACAAATCTAAAAACGTAAAAATGTTTAGTTTCGTCCCTGAATTTATGATAATTGCACTTAGAGAGATTGGTTATGACGCAGCGTAAATTAGGCGATGCTGCTGTTAGGCGCAAAGAAAACACCGAATTGAAAGACTCACATTATTAAGTGCGATATCGTGAATAGAACCGATCAGCCCGCCAGAGGCGGGAGTGCTAATCGCAAATGCCGAAGAGCGGACCATGGGCAAGTTAATCACGTTTGAAGTCGCCGAGAAGAGCACAGCCAGATTTTCTGAACATCCGCCAAAATCAATTAACACTACCGGGCTACAAAATCCTTTCCATCAAAGATTCCAATCCACCCTCCCGCCACATGATAAACGAGCGACAAATCCAATAATAAACAATAGAAAAAAGAAAATCACAACCTCAAAACAAACTCCATGATGCTACCGCCACAGTCGGTGTATCCGTCTAGTAGGTCTTCTTGACAGGAACCACCTCCTCCTCATCGCAGTCCTCCTCGTCCTCACCACCCTTGGAGGGGTAAGTGGAAGTGGGGGTGGCCTTGGGGTAGGTGTCCTTGCCTCCGACGGGGTAGTCGACAGACTTGGTGGGGTAGGCGGTATCCTTGGGGTAGGTGTCCTTGCCTCCGACGGGGTAGTCGACGGACTTGGTGGGGTAGGCGGTATCCTTGGGGTAGGTGTCCTTGCCTCCGACGGGGTAGTCGACGGACTTGGTGGGGTAGGCGGTATCCTTGGGGTAGGTGTCCTTGCCTCCGGCGGGGTACTCAACCGACTTGGTAGGGTAGGCGGTGTCCTTGGGGTAGGTGTCCTTGCCTCCGGCGGGGTAGTCGACGGACTTGGTGGGGTAACCGGTGCCCTTATCCTTGGGGTACTCGGCCGACTTGGTAGGGTAGGCAGTGTCCTTGGGGTAGGTGTCCTTGCCTCCAGCGGGGTACTCGACGGACTTGGTGGGGTAGCCAGTGCCCTTATCCTTGGGGTACTCTACCGACTTGGAAGGGTAACCGGTGTCCTTGGGTCCGTTAGGGTAGCCGGTGCCCTTGGAAGGGTAACCGGTGTCCTTGGGTCCGTTAGGGTAGCCGGTGCCCTTGGAAGGGTAACCAGTGTCCTTGGGTCCGTTAGGGTAGCCGGTGCCCTTGGAAGGGTAACCAGTGTCCTTGGGTCCGTTAGGGTAGCCGGTGCCCTTGGAAGGGTAACCAGTGTCCTTGGGTCCGTTAGGGTAGCCGGTGCCCTTGGAAGGGTAACCAGTGTCCTTGGGTCCGTTAGGGTAGCCGGTGCCCTTGGAAGGGTAACCAGTGTCCTTGGGTCCGTTAGGGTAGCCGGTGGCCTTGGAAGGGTATCCCTTGCCGGAAGGCTTGCCGTGAGGGTAGGACGAGTACGGGACACCGTTCTCATCGCAATCCTCCTCATCGACGTTCTTGCCGCCGTTGGGGTAGGTGGGCTTTCCAGAGGGCTTTCCGTGGGGGTAGCCGGTACCCTTGGAAGGGTAACCAGTGTCCTTGGGTCCGTAGGGGTAGCCGGTGGACTTGGAAGGGTAACCAGTGTCCTTGGGTCCGTAGGGGTAGCCGGTGGACTTGGCCGGGTATCCTCCGTGGGGCTTTCCACCCTTGGGGTAGGTGTCCTCGGAGTCAGACTCCCACTCGGAATCGTCGTGGTCCTTTCCACCGTGACCCTTGGGGTAGGTCTCCTCCTCGTCATCGGACTCCCAGTCCTTACCACCGTGTCCCTTGGAAGGGTATCCGTGTCCCTGGGGCTTCTTGGTCGGGGTGTCGACGGCGTAGGTGGGCTTGGTAGGCTTGTAGGGGGTCTTGGTGGGGTACGAAGGCTTGTACGGCTTCACGGGCTTGCCGGTGGGCTTGCGGGGAGTGTACTCATCCTCGGACTCCCAGCCGCCGTGACCCTTGGAGGGGTATCCGTGTCCACTAGGCTTAATGTATGTGGGCTTGGTGGGCTTGTAGGTAGGCTTGACGGGCTGCTTGGTGGGGTACGAAGGCTTGTACGGCTTCACGGGCTTGCCGGTGGGCTTGCGGGGAGTGTACTCATCCTCGGACTCCCAGTCCTTACCGCCGTGTCCCTTAGGGTATCCGTGTCCGCTGGGCTTGGTGTAGACAGGCTTGGTGGGCTTGTAGGTGGGCTTGGAGGGAACGTAGTCCTCATCGTCGGACTCCCAATCCTTACCGCCGTGTCCCTTGGAAGGGTATCCGTGTCCGGTGGGCTTGCCGGTAGGCCTGGTAGGCTTGTAGGGAACGTAGTCCTCATCCTCGGACTCCCAGTCCTTACCACCGTGTCCCTTGGAGGGGTATCCGTGGCCGTTAGGCTTGGTGTAGGTGGGCTTGGTGGGCTTAGCGACGGGGTAAGACGGCTTGGTGGGCTTGGACGGCTTGTATCCGTGTCCGTGTCCGGTGGGCTTTCTGCCGTGTCCGTGACCTTCATCCTCGGACTCGTACTCGGATCCGTGCTCGGAGTCAGACTCGTCGTCTCCGTGGTTCTTGCCGGGGTAGCGAGTCTTGGAGGGGTAGCCGGTGCCGGTCTTGGCCGGGTAGCCAGTCTTGGACGGGTAGTCACCCTTGCCGCCGAACTTGGAGGGGTAACCCTTGCCGGAAGGCTTTCCGTGAGGGTAAGACGAGTACGGGACACCGTTCTCATCGCAGTCCTCCGCAGCCGGGTAGGTAGGCTTGCCGTTCACATATGTGGGCTTTCCGTGGGGGTAGCCGGTGGAAGAAGGCTTGCCGTTGGGGTACTTGACGTGGTCGTAGTCCTCGCCCTTGGGGTAGTCGACGGAAGAAGGCTTGCCGTTGGGGTACTTGACGTGGTCGTAGTCCTCGCCCTTGGGGTAGTCGACGGCGGAAGGCTTGCCGTTGGGGTACTTGACGTGGTCGTAGTCCTCGCCCTTGGGGTAGCCTGCGGACGGCTTGCCGTTGGGGTACTTGGTGTGGTCGTAGTCCTCGCCCTTGGGGTAGCCGGCGACGGGAGTAGGAGCTCCGTAGGTAGCGGCGGAGGTGTATGTGGCGTTGTTGGGGGTAGGAGCGGTGTAACCGTAGTTATCACCGCGGGCCTCGACACCGCCGGCCGGGGCCGGGGCGGCGGCTCCCATGTGGGAGAGAGCCGACAGGAGAGCGGCGATCTGAATACCCTTTCGGAACTGCATTTTGAATTATGTAGAGAGAGGTGTTAGATTATAGAGGGTGATTGGGAGTGGTTGCAAAGAGCAGTGGATTATGAAAATAATGAGAGTAGGAGGTCAAAGAGTGACTGTGCTGTCTTCTAAAGAATGAGAAGATGGACACGAATTAGAGATTGATGGAGAAGCTGAGGCTGGTGAGGAAAGAAAAACAGCTGAGAGAGGCAGACCGACGGGAGTTATATACTCATTTTCGATTGTGGAGGTGAGTCCGAATAGTGGTGAGGTCTGCTCGCTTTTCGCCAACCGGCCCCCAGCCAAAGCCTCTGTCCCCCTGGCGGCGCTGGAGGTGGAGCTAGTGCTGGGGCTGCCAGGCATTGTCTTCTTCTCGGTAACCAGAAGTTGCCGGGGCTTCTGGTTGCTCGCGCGAGGATGCATCGAGACATCGCCAGTTCACCCACCCACTGCCTAGCCTGCTGCACCGGAAATTGGCATCTGCGCGCTCTGGGGGGTTGAAGACTTTCGCTGGCCGCAGCCCTACATTCTGCACGCCGCGGGACAGGACCAGTCATTCCAGCACACCACACGACGGCAACGACAGTGGGACCTGCGACCAGAATCCGCCGTGGAATCGCATCACTCAAGGCTGCTCGTTCACTTGTGCCGGTTGCGGATAAGGGGGAAGACTTCCAGCTAGGATTCTGGAAATGCCCCCTTCGCAATGCGCATTGCTCCCTCCCCCTAACTTTTTCTCTCCAGGGCACGCTCCCAAAATAAAGTCGGTCAATCTTGGGTTTGCAACCGAGCTCAGTGACCAGTGGGCATCACGCAGTGCCGCGGCGGGTACCTTGCATGTTGCAACAAACAAGCATCAATATCGACAAACGTGGTCCGGCCCGAGGGCATTCCATTGGACCGCCAGAGCGAGCTGCGAGACGGTCAGGCTGTGGAGGGGAAAGAACCTGGATCATCCCCTATCAGACCAATACTGTTCGTATCATCAGCTGCTGTATGGAGTACCGTATGTGCTATAGCAGCTGTCAGGCTGACACTTGGCTAGGAATACTGGTATACTACCTAGTCGTAGGCGACCGGTCGCTCCGCTGGGCCAATCCACTGTTCCGCTCCGTTCCTACCCAACTATTGCTCGCCGGTGCTTCGAGCGAGCGCCGTAGCATCGAAAGGCCCAGCCGCCGCGCAAATACGATGTTCATTTGGAAGCTGAGAGCAGGTGACTCGCGATGCCAACGCGAGCCCAGTCGCCTCCTAAACGCTACAGCAGGCAAGGAAGGCGGTACTAACCATACTGGTTGGTAGTAAGTTATAGCGCTGGTGACCCCACGGCTCAGGGGATGATAGTATCTTGGTAAGGCTGAGATGGCGCCCCTATAACTAAGTTAGGTCCTCTTGCTCTTGGCAGCCAATCCGACCTCCAATGATGATAGATTACCTCACCACAACACTCTGGTGGCACGGCATGTCAATCCTGCGCACGTCTGAAGGATTGGGATCCACTTTCCCGGCCGTCATACGCGACTATACAGTGCAGTGCAGTGCAATTCGTGATTTCCACCCCCCATAGCCGGGAGACTAACTATCGATCCAGGGGCACCGTGAGTCGAAGGTGCGGAGTAAAAATACACTTCCGGATGCCTTGCGCTGACAAGAGGATCGCAAGCAGTTTGGCGGCCATGAGAGCACGGACAAAGCCCCGTCCGCCTGCTGCAGTCCCCTGAAGCAGTTTGCTTCAAGAAGCGGTGCTTCTTGAAATTCTCCGCGAACGGCCGCCACGAAGAAGAAAAACAGAGGGAGCAGGATCGTCCCATTGCCGCATGAAAAAGCCGTCCTCAGGACAAGTATGCCGCATGTGCAGTGCGTCTTTATTCGTGACGGGGCGGGCGGGCGAGCGGGCGGGGAGGTTGTGGTGATTGTGGCCATGATGTGTCCTCACTCTCGCCTACCAACCCAACCCAACCCCCCATCGTCCTCGGGAAGCGAGGGAAGGAAGCATGGGAAGGAAGCTACGGGCTCACTAGGAACTAGGTCCGGCGGCGAATGATTTTCGCAGCGCTAATTACTCGACCTTTTAGTGCCGTCCAGGACTGACAGCTTCCTGGCGACCCGAGTCGAGATGAGAGTCATCCATTTCACGGAGAGCAATGGCAATTCGATTCACTCCCTTCTGTTTGTGGAAGCCACAAGCGACAAGAGTCGGCCGCAGTCCTCCGGGACGTTCTCGGTGTCGGTCGCCGCCGCCGCCGTCCCCGCCGCCGTCCCCGCTGCTGCTGCGAAGCATCGGTTAAGTGCATCGAGGACAGTTCGACATCTACACACCGATGCCGTGGAGGCTTCTTGCCTGTGATGCAGCATCAAGCGCCAGAGATGATTGGCTAATAGTATATCGATACGGCACCCCGGACAGGCAGTCCCCCCCTCCTTCCCCAGGCCAGTTGGGCCCTTTCGCAAACCTGGACTGTGGGTCACACGTGAGTTTTGGTCGAATCCTTACACATTGGGGAAGCTCGCAACCGCAACCAGTAACAATCGTTTTACAACCCACCCACCCAATTACTCGATCCGTCAGCCGCAACATTCGATATTAGCCCCGAATTTCTGATTCGTGATCGCAGGTCCCCACCGAGAGCCAGCACGCCACCAACATTCTCATCTCAGGCCGCAGCCCAGAATTCGGCAATTCTCCCAAAAGAAAAAAGTTGGAAGCCTCGCATCTCAGCCATCTACTCTAACCAAACCCCCTTCCCCTTTTCTTTGCAGGCATCATCGCCACGGATTTCCTCCAAAGGCGACGGCATGACTTCCTCCTGATGAAACTGGCGAAAAGGAAGAAAACCCTATCCGTGCATTCGAAACGCGCCTTCGCAGGATCACGCATAGACATCGACCCCGTGAGAACAACTAGATATCTCATACTAGATACTAGTATAGAGTAGCTGCTCGACACGCTCACTGTCGCAAGAACGCGGACTGCTTCCGTCGCAGGCCGCGGCCAACTTCTGCTGGCACAATGCACTCTGCTAGTATCTAGTGGGCTCTGTACAGTGCAGAGTAACTCCATACAGGCCCCAGCGTGACTCCAACTTTAGAACACCCCCTAGAGAAATCACTCAGTCGGGTGAGCCGGGGCCCAAGAGCCGAAAACGAGGGAATGATTTACAGGGCCCGTGCCCAGAATGGTCTTACTAACAGGATTCCAGACTGTTCCTGGATACTCCACAGTATTGACTGCTTGTTTGGTCGCTCGCTGACCTTGGTTGTATCAAAGAGAGACATCCCGTTCTCTACGTACGGTCGCCACCTGCCCGGCTGCCATCGAGAAGACTGGACCGGCCAGAAGCACGGAGAAGGTCGAAGAACGTAGAGTGTCTATCTACCTCGGAGATATGTAGTCATGGACACCGCACAGGACGGAAGATAGTACTACCCGTATATCCTCGTACCGAAGGTATCGTCCGCAACCGGGCATCCAGAGACCCACTTGGTAGAGTACCTTGCATATCTTCCCGAGCAACCAGAACCATCCAAAGTATCTACAAAACAGGCGCAAACGAGATAGAGTACCGTACCCACCTACGCCGGGAATGGCCACCTGAGTTGCCCGCTAACGCTGGGGGGAGGCTGCCTGATCGACATGATATACACCATCATCGATTGACACGGCTTGGTACCTGGAGCAGTCTATAGTATTCCAACAAGAACTCGCGGTGTCGGATGAATGCCTCCTGAACTCCGAACACATTCATGACAAAGAGACGATGGATCACCACTTCAATAACCTCTCCCGGGCAATTGTAATTTTGAGCCGGTGGATCCGATGAAAATCTTTGCCGTGGCCAAGATGCTTACAACATACTCACATATTCTACCTACCTACCTACCTACCTACCTACCTAACCAACCGCCTTGCCGTGCATGCATGTTGGGTATCTATCGAAACATGTACGGTATGTATCTGTTGTCTTTGCTGCTTTTTTTTCTACTCCTGCATACGGTATCTCCTAGTGAGTGAGGTGCAAAACCCGATACGACAAAACTAACGGCGACCAACTCCGATGGTGGGGGCCTGACTCGTCGTGCATGGCTGTGGACACGGCAACATCACCATGGTAGGTAGAGTACTCTACATGGCTCATATGGAGATATTTTTCCCGTTGATCGGCTATGTACGGATTAACTGGATGCGCAACAACAACGACGACATTTTCAAACTGTTGAGGAGCGCAGAATGAGCCGGCTTCGGACATCTATCTACATAGACGTCACCACCATCTTTTACAGTCCATTCCCAGTTTACGAGTGCTTATCTATGATCACTGATGCCAACTGATGCCGCGACCTCGCAATGTGATTTCCAAGCGGCCAGACATCCTCCCCGAGTCGGGAGCGATGCTGTGATAAACAAGTATCCGATACACTTCTGTATCCTGTATTCTCTTGCCCCGTCGCCGCCGCCGCGTTCCAAGGTACCTACTCTACTTACCTACTGGTATCTATGTGTGAGTCTGCTTAGCGCAGGCTGCGCAGCAGAACACAGCTGAAAACCGAGTTCGCGCTGCAGCGTGCATAGCTCACACACACTCACACACGAGATTCGGAATCGTCCACGAGATCTCCCTTCCGAGAAATTGAGAGAGAAACCCAACCGCCTCCACCACGAGTCCATGACCATGACAACACGTATCTCCACAGATGCATACCGGTACCGCCGAACCCTGTACTCGACCGAGGGGGGGCGGGCGACAGCGTGGCCACCACCACCGCCACCATCGCCGCCGCCACACGCAGCGGTGCGGCGGAGCGGCGAGACCCGCGGGGCGGGAGATGGTTCTGGACCCCCCTCCCTCCCTCCCTCCCTCCCTCGCTCGCTCGATCTCTGTCTCTGTCTCTGTCTCTGTCTGTCACATGAGGCATATGAGGAAGTCACGGAGAATAAATAGAGTATGTGTGTAGAGTAGGTGGCTTCGGAATCGATCGGCCGTCCGCCTGCAATGGCTTTGCACTCGTATCGTTTTTGCGAAACGTGAGTACATATCATACGTACGGTACGGGCCTGGAGGCTGGAGGCTGGAGAATCTCATAGGTACCACGATTCGGAACCGACCGGATGGGGTGGGATGGCAGGGCGGGATGGCGGGATGGTGGGATGGCGGGATGAACGAGGGCAAAAGCAAGACCGGCGGCATGGCTGCTTCTTCGATCGACGGCTTCCGCCGGGTGCTTGTGCTTATGCTCGTTTTCGTGGGCCTGTGACAGAGTACGCTACTATAGCTGGCTGCCTAAAACATAAACGCAGCGATGCATATGGTAGCACTCGACTTTTTGGTTCTTCACGGGATTGGGAAGTACGGTGGGTTACGGGTTGGTATGTCCGCGTGAATGTTTTGTAGTTACCGATGCGCTGGTGAGAGCTGTTGTCACTGTGGGTAGGATGTGTTGGACGAGACTCTGTTCTCTGTGGGTCGTTACGGATCTCTTCGTTGATAAATCTACCGATTCGGTAACATATCATACAATAGATGTCAGAACCATACGAGTTTCATCCGCTCAAAGAATCTCCTCACTTGGAACTCCAAGCTTTTTGTCGTTCCACTACGTACAGAGCGTTCAGTACTACTCTACGTGCGATTCAAACTTTCTTCGAGATTGAATCGACTCTTCTACACACCTTTACGACTGGAGATGGGAAGAATCACACCAGATCACTCATTTGTTCGTTTATTCGGATGCCTGCTCAACAAAAAATCCCCCCGAAATCTTGCACCTGGGAGATATCGATAAGCTGGTGATGTCATGTGGCCCTGCGTGTGTCAGCAACTACAATTAAGTCGAAATGCGAACCTCTTTCAAAGGTGATATCGTGTCTCGTCATTAGGTACGTTGGATGCTCGTATGATACTGTAAGTTCCAAGCTTAACCCCCCAGGCTCCGGCGGACTTCACCTTGGCGACAAGTTACAACCAACTTCTCGATCACATGAATTCTCGCGAACATACACAGCATACGCTTCCATACACTGCTCGATCAAATCCTCTCCGAGCCCGGACTGGATCTCGTACACCGCGACGACTGGAAAAATCCGGCACGTGTAATCATTCGGCAATAATTTACATCCAGCTCAAGAATCCCAAGCCGAGCCAACATCGGTAGCGGCCTGGAGTGCTATTCTCGCTCGTGATTTCCATACACTACTCGACCGAATTCTCTCCGAGCGCAGACTGGATCTCGCACACCGCGACGAGCTTTGGTTTTCCCCTGAGCGCGTTCGGCAGCGGTTTGCGTCCGGCTTCACATCCAGCTTGAGGATGATGATTCTAAGCCGAGCCGAGCCGAGCCGATATCGGTAGCGACCTGGATTGCTATTCTCACTCGTATGCAGGAGCCATTCCGACATCAGTGGCGGGCTTGAATTGCTGTTCTCGCTCGTATGTAGGAGCCATTATTTTGCGGCCGGCGCCGTTCACCCTGTGAGATTCCCATCGGGTACCTATGGGGCTTAATCAGCGCTGACAGCAGCTATTTGAGGATAGGAACATATCCCACTCACTCGCTGCCCTTCCCCTTCCTCCTCAAATTCGTCCGTGATCGGCACCAGCTCAAACTGCTCGGTTGGCTGAATGCCCACTGCCAACTCCTATTCACTCGACTACCTCTGCCTCCACCTCTAAGTGTCGAGATCCCAAGATCTAGCGCTGACTGCGATTCCAGACATCACTTGTTTTTTTTGTCATCCCTTAAAGCACAAACACAGCTTATCACTCGCCTCCGCCGATTGACCCGGCCGCTCGGCAGGGATGCTGGATCTTACCCGATATTCCCGGCCACCTCCCGGGGGGATACCTCATCATTATGGCCACCCGGGAAATATCGTACCCGACCGCGGCCGGGGATGGGCGATGGGCGATGATCGAGGATAGTCACTACTGTATATGCCATGACATCACTACAGGCCCCGTGTACGACTGTTTCGAGTAACAAGGAACTTCGTCGCCGCTCGTTATCCACGGCCGGTATCCACGGCTGGATCAAGGAAGTCATCACCAGGCACAGAAAAGACGCTCCCTACGTAGTAATTCGTCTATATCGATGTTTTATCTTACAGAACCGAGGATATGCCCACACTGACGAGAAGAAGAAGAAGAAAAATTACACAAGATACAATACGCTCGATAACTCGCTCGAAAGGGAGAGAAGAATACATAGGAAACCCCAAGGAAAGCAAGAAAGCAAGAAAGCAAGAAAAACAACTCGACGGAAATTGATAACCCATTATCCACCCCTCCCCCTCCCCTCCCCCATCCCGGACCCCGCGTTCGTTTTCTCATCATCATCATCATCATTGCCACCCGACCGCCCGGCCGAACCGAACAGGCTTATGTTCTGCGCAAAAGAAAGTCGCATCAGTCTCAGTCTCAGTTGCTGTAGCACGGAGCAAAGTATCAACACGGCCTGCGGCGCAACAAAAACTCCACCGCAGCCGTTGGGGGGAGGGGGGGGGGGGGGAGTAGAGCAACATACAACAGCGCGAGCGTCAAATCTCCATGAATCCTAGCCTTCAGGGTAACCTCGAGTTCGATATTGAGGTCCAGCCTTACGCTGGGCGCGCCGGAGTGGCCCTTCTCCTTCGCTGGTGCTTGCGCCTGCGGCGCTGAGACTTGGCCTGGCTGTTGTTGCTGTTGGCCCTGCTGCTGTCCCTGCCGCTGCGCGAGAGCCTGCTGCTGCTGCCGTGGTACTTCTTCCTCGTAGTCGTCGTCGTCGTCGGCGCTGGAGTAGTCCTCGTCCGACGAGGAGTAGTCATCCTCCTCCTCTTCAGCGACCGGGGCAGAGACTCGTGGCTTTTCTTCGGTTTTGGCGGACATGCTGCGGGGTTTCGTGTGTGTTTGCGTGTGTGCGGTCGTTGTTCTTCTGGGGAGGAGGAGGGAAGTCTTTTTCGTAGTCAAGCTTTCAACGGGAATATCGATTAACTCCAGCACCTCCCGCGGCGGCGGAAAACGGCGTGGGTTATATGAACACCGAACGCATCCAGTCTCCAGCGATGCTCTCGTTGCCGGGATGGCGAACAGGTAGTTGGAGGTAGGCTGGTAGGTAGGTAGGACGAGTGACGTTATGGCAGTACCGGTAATATAGGCATGGTCGCTAAGCAGGGAAGATGTACAGTTACCTGGGTGCTCTATATATTGCTTTCAACCAAGGCGCTGTGCTGTGCCTTGGATCCTCAAGAAAACCCCCTGGAGGGGAGAATATCAGCCTGGGGAGGGAGGGAGAAACGTCATCTGGTGACGGTGACGTTCGACGTTCGAGAAGGGGTGAGAATGTGAGGGATGGAAAACTGGCAGTTGGAGGGGGGGATATGGAAACCGAGGAAATTCATCGAATCCGATAGGCTTGAGATCGAGATTCACACAACAAAAGCGAGGCGCCGGAAGACCGGACGGATCCTCGGGTGATTCGACCGATATATTGCAGACGGGCCTCAACCGTGGAATCGCAAGGCTCGAGTCACACGCTGTGATGCACTCATGATTCATCGGCCAGACGCGCCGCGCGCGAATCGTCTTCTCTACTAGTACTCTACTCTACCGCCAGGTGTCCATGATCACGCCGTGAATGATGTTCGCAGCACAGCACAGCTCCAATAGGTACCTCCAATAGATACTCTCACTCGGGCCGACCGACCGACTTCAGCCTCCGAGCGGGCTGGCTCCGGAACCACCTTGGCCCGAAAGCTTGTATCCGGGCCGTGCGTAGGTAGCTAGCGGGCGGGCTTGCACACGGCCACAGACCTCCCCGTCTGGGCGTGGACGCATAAGCTTCTCTGGTGATTTACTGCCCCCTCCTTTACATGTGACTGCGGAGTACATTGCTTCGGCCTACATATCTACATAAAAATGATTGCTGGCGTGTTGGCTGAAGTTTGTCTTGACATTGGGGTGGTACAATGCCCTACGGTACCGTATCCTCCTGGCCACAATCTTTGAGTGTTCCGCACGGCGTAAATAGCACATACAGGCTGCAATTGCAAGTCACGAAATTACTGCAAAGCACGGGAGAGAAGTGGGTATTCCTCATCCATCAATTTGTAACTTGTGTTTTTTAAAAATCCGACACGGCATTCCAACGCCCCCGCTACCTACCGCGCAACCCGCACCGCAACGCCGCCCTCCAAACCGGATCGCCGCATGTTCCCATCCCGGTGTCACACACCCGCCGCCTCAAGTAATGTGTGTAATATATACAGCCAGCGAAACGACGCCCATCGCGTTGCATGCTCGTCGCCCCGCGGCGTCTCTTTCGCGCATCAATCTCGTCGTCGCTCGACTCGCGAGTCTCTCCCTCGTAGCTCCGCTTCCGCTTGCGCTTCACGATAATAGGTATCCCTTATAGTAGATTCCATTAGCATCACATCTCACTTCATGGGCTCCATGCACACACCTTTCCATGCCCTCCTCCTACACGACACGCCCACCACCTAGATCCACAGATCCTGCTGCTTCCTTCTGGTCAGGAAGCCATGCAGCGCCCACACCGCGCACGCGGCCACGCCGATCGCTCCCACCGACATGAAGACGATGTCGGACGTGGTCAGGGGCGTGTTGACGAGGAGGTCGTCTGTCATCTTGTCGATTGTTGTTTTTTTCCGGCCTTTTTGGGTGGTGGTGGTAGTAGTGTGGATTGAGAAGTGAGCGTGAGAGTCGGGAATACAGCGCTCGGTAGAGATTCTAAGGCAATGGGAACGAATGGACGGGCGGAAGTCGAGAGCGGAAACGAATGTGGTCGCAAAGAGGGTGGGACGTGGGACTCGCGATGAGCTTGGGGAGAGACGGTGGGAGAAAGAGAGGGAAAGAGAGAAAGAGAGAAAGAGAGGAGAAAAGGGGCGGTCACACATTCATATATTGTTTGTGCCCTCGTCGCCCATCTGCGAGTACTGTCGCACCGGGTGACGCGCACTCTATCGACGAGGCTTGTTTACGTGCGGTGGCCGAGGGCTGCAGTTGGACGGGTGGATGGATGGACGGATGCAGGGGGACATGGATTGGTGATCGCAATCCGCTTGTGTCGCACCAGCCGGACCGGCGCTCCTCGGAGGGGAAGTGCTGCGGTGCGATTTGCGCGCTCGGAAAGTGGAGCTGAACTATGGGGCTGTGTTGAGAGACACGATGGCAACGAACAACAGAGAGAGATAGAGAGATAGAGAGGGAGAGAGAGAGAGAGAGCAAGAGAGAGCAAGAGACACCAAGAGAGCGCAACAGAGAGAGAATCCTGGAGAGTTCTCCAGACTTCGGTTTGCTCAACTCTATCGCGCTGCGTGCATGGAGATGTCGCTAACTAACGACGCCCTGTCGCGCTCGAGCATCGCCGCGTAACTTTACCCCACGCCTCTAGTTACGCGACGATCACGGATTAAAGGAGCACTCTACTCGGGCTGAGAGTAAAATGCAGTGCCCCGCTTCTCGTGATGATGCCGCGCAGTTCTGCTGAGCCGTGCAGAATGCTCGGTACAAGCGAAATTCCACCCAGTGTTTACACTTGGCCCCCATCGCGATTGTGCACAAAGACCGGGTGAACAGAAACACCTGGATGGGAGTCATGGGACAAATGCTTCTTTTGCACCTTTATGCACCTAGCGACAAGACAGCGACGGATGGAGGAAAGTGGGACTGGTGGGCGTTTAACGCATGCAGGCCGCGGGGGCGGGCACGGCGCCAGGATGTTAGGCTGATGACTTTAGGTACCGCGAACGCCGAAGACGGCGGCGGTTGGGCAATGGGCACCGGAGCGGTTCGATCGAGACGGGTTTTCAAGGTGCTCAGCTACTAGTATGATACCATTACTGAGCCTAAGAAGCGACAGTTATACCAATATCCAATCATTCAATCATTCGATCATTCAATGGCAATGCCTTTACATCCTCGAAAGTCCTGTAGCAATGCGGCGTGCGCCAGTCGACTTGTAGATTACAGTTTCATGTTAACACCCCAAACCCTAGCCCACCAGCACCACCAGCACCACCAGCACCACCAGCACCACCAAAACCCGCGGTGTAGGCGAGATATGTGCCGTAAGAACTTTCCGGCGAACATCACGCACGCACTCAATCGCCGGCCGTGTGCCACTCTTCGGCATTGGCGCTGGCACTTTGGCTCGGATATCTCGGGAGGCGCACCACCCTATAATAGGTACTCTCGGTATCAATGCCTAGGTATCAATGCCCAGGTAACTACCGTACCGTAGAGTACCGCGTCTATATCCCGACATCTATAACCCGCTCTTGGACGGACTATGGAGTCGTCACTGCTGCGTCTAAGGGCCGCGTCATCCCCGATACCTAGGTATCTTTCTTCACGTATCATGTGTACTGAGGATAAAAACTGGGGTTGCGCGGAGCTGGGATACCTGGGGTAAATACTATATATAGGTCTCTATATGGTGATGAAGTTGGAATTTGGAACACGGTCTGAACCAGCACAAATACGTTAGAGAAATAAGAGTGTTTGGAGAGCCCGGAGTGCTGTAAAGGCGACGGAATGAATCGCTCAGCCATGAACTTGAAACTCGAGTGACTTGTTGTGAGTACGTCACATGGTATCACCCGATTTTGAGCGCTCGAGGCTTGTTTTTTAGTGAAGGCCTATTGTTTTTAGTGAAGGACTATAGACGGACTGAGGGGTGCACATGTTGCCATGTTCTGTATAGGTCGTACGAGATAATGAAGAAACCAGAAAAAAAAACTTCTCGAGAAGTGAAGCAGGTACCTAGAACGTGTTCTCTCAAGAAAAGAAGGGCGTATGTAGCAAAGTGAGCAGCGAAAAGAATGCCTTTCAAATGTCTCCTGGCATGGCCATTGGCCAAGTGCAAAGCTCGTGATAATGTACCAAGACTACCTAGCATAGGTAATTCGAGGACGGTGCCGTGGATGCGCTACCTCTGCCGACTCCGTTCACCTCTGCCGACTCCATTCACCTCTGCCGACCCCATTCACCTCTGTCTGCCTCATTCACCTCTGCCGACTCCATTCACCTCTATCGGCGCCATTCCCGTCGAAATCGCACTTCACTCCCACATAACGAAACCATTGCAGATACATGTCTCGTAACAATCATTGTATTGAATTCTACCAGTACTCTACGTAAAGCAGTAAAACCAGCGCCCTCCCCCTTCCCCCCTCCCGCAGATTCTCCTCGCTGGTTGGTAGCCTCATTTACCGAACGCAACGCAACTGCACCAAAGTTCAAACCACCGTAAGCACATGAATTCAGCAAGCCGTACGCGCGCAGGTAGGTACTCGCACGCGCGATTATAAGTGCGTATAAGTATAAGAAAGCAGCAGCAGCAGCAAGAAACAAATCCAGCAAGCAAGTACCGTAAGTAAGTTCAACCGTTCAAAATTAGTCCGTTCATCCAAGTTCCAAGTTCCAAGTTCCCAGTTCCAAGCACAGGTAAAGTAAGTAAGTTCCACTACATCATCATCGCCAACACAACATCTGGGTATATCGAAGCAAACTCCCAAACACCACAACTGTCCATCATCATCTCTGTCTCTCGCCAATGAAATGAAACCAAACCAAACAAAAAAACAAAAAACAAAAAAAACAATTCCGCAAACGTCGTTACTTTACTCATCGATCCCGCCCAAGCTGTGGCTGCGGCTGCGGCTTCTACTCTTCCGTCTCCGTCTGCGTCCGTAGCCCTTGTACATATCCTCCTCGTCGTCGGAGCCGCCGGCGACGGTGGAGGGGCTGGTGAGGCGGATCTCGGGGTTCGGCGTGTCGTCGGCATAGTATCCGCTCGGCTCGGGCGTCTTGGAGGCGACGAGCACTTTTCCGACCTTCTGCGGCTTGGGCGGAGGAGCGAGCGGCTGCTCGGGTACCTGTGGCGGCGGCGGCGGCGGTGGCGGTGCGTACGGATTGGACGCTACCGGCGGGGTTTGCCGGTAGCTCTTCTCATCCGGCATGATGATGTGCTGGAGTTGGGGCGCAACTTTGACGTTCGCATTGGGGCGCTGGCTTGGGTGTTGCGGCTGCGGGTGTGGGGCGTGCTGCTGCTGAGCCGGTGGTTGTGGAGGGCGTTGGGGAGGGGGATGTTGTGGTGGGGGATGTGAAGGTCGCCGCTGCGGCGGTGGCTGCTGCTGCTGCGATTGTATTTGTGGTGGAGGTTGCTGCTGCACCTGTGGCTGCACCTGTGGCTGCTGCGTCTGCGGCTGCTGTACCTGTGGCGACTGCTGCTTTGGGTTTTTTGGGTGCCTCTGCGATTCGGTGTACCGCGGGTAATTCACAGGCACCACGCCCGCGCTAGTTCCGATGTCGCCAGCCTTCGAAGGACGGAATTTGATCTTGGTACCGTCATCGACACAGCCCCGTTCTACGGAGACCAGTTTGCCGGCACACTCCTTCACCAGTTTCGACGTCTCCCGCTGGGTGAGATAGCGCCGAGTGCCCGTGGCCACCTCCGACAATCGGTTCCACTCGTTCATGCCGAACTCGCCCACGCCCACCTCCACATTGAAGCGGTAGTAATCCTGGGTAGATACACCGCCTTGCGCCAGCTTCGGCCGCCCGCCATCATCGCCATCGACCAGCTCACGGTGCACGCGCTCGCAATCGTCGATACGACGGATCAATCTGCGCTTCGCCTCCGCAAAACCCTCGAATGCGACACCCTCCCACCAATCGCGTTTCTCTTCTCGGGTGTTGTTCGACTTCTGCCGCTTGCCCGTGCCGACAGAGACAAAGACAGCGATATCACAGTCGGGAAACTCATGGATATGTGCTTCGTCCAGAACTTGGAAGGCTGGGTTGTACATGCCGTTGCCTTCATCCAGAAAGGTGAGGTGGTCGATTGTGACGCTCTTGAACGCTGCGGCGGTGGCACAGGTAGCACGGCCAGCCTGCCATATTGTAGTGCGATAGGAGGGCATGCTCTCCGCCGGCGACGGATAGGATCGCAGCAGAACTGGCGGAGCACCCTTCCTGCTACCTTCCAGCATTGCCGTGACAAAAGTCTTGCATGCACCCTCGCGCGTATCGTACAACGGCGCATCAGGATTACCGACATTCCTTCGCGGCCGTCCAGTCCTCCCTCGCTCTTCACTCTGACCGGCGCTCTCGCTTCGCCGACGGCGCCAAGAATCGGTACGCCGGTGCACCAATGACTGCGGTGACGTGGGTTCTGCCGGCGGCGGGGAGTGCGGGACGATCTTTTCGGAATCGAAGCGTGTCGACTCGCGCACACAATGCTTGATTGCCTCTTCAAGCCGCGACGCTTTGAACAACGTCTTGCCATAGGGCATTCCCAGGATGGTCTTGTCGGTGATGAAGACGAAGCGCGTTAAAGAGACGTAGTAAGACTTGCAGGACTCAACGTCCATGCGCATGCGCCCGAGCATCAGCGCGATCAAACCACCAGTTCCTGATCATGTTAGCCTGTCGCGCTTGGCGGGGGCGAACGGGGCTTGACTAAAAGTCTTGGAATGGGTAGATGTACCATTTCCGCCGATGAGATCAAAATAGTCACATGGACGCGGCAGGTCTTGTGGTGACCTTGGCGCGCGGCCGCCGTTCTCTTGCACATACACCTGGTGCATCAACTCGCCCAAGATGACGAGCGTTGAGTACCCTCTGATGCCTCCGCCATCGAGCGAGAGGACGCGCACCTTGCGCCGCTTCGGTTGCTGCGAGTCGACCGAGATGAACGATCCCGCCGAGCTTAACGAAGCTTCGAGTTCGGCCGGCGCAGTCTGGGTCTCTTTCACGGAGTCATATTCCTTCGGCGGTAGCGGTGGAGGGTGCGAAGGACGGAAGTGCGGGTTGCGCACATATGTGCCGGTCGAAGGATTATAGTCGTAGCCTTCCATGCGGTTATGTTTGATTTGCGGACGGCCGTGGTAAGCGGAGGAAGCCTGAAGTTGTAAATATGCGGTGGCTGGTGTGTAGTTGGGGTGTCGCGACCGGGGCCGGAGGGCTTTTTGCAGGTTAAGTAGTGGTCTGGGGAAAAGGCGGCGATCTTTGTAGGGCACTGCAGGACCGAGTTGTTGTGAATGGGGACTACCGCGTATATATGCAGGCTGGGGGGGAGAGAGATGGAGGCGACTGGGAGGCGACTGGGAGGTAGCAATGACGATTAGCCCATCCCCTCGCGCCGCGGCGCCAAGATTTCGAGTGATGTTAAGTGAATGAACAGTCAGCGTCTAATCATTGGATGTGGGTGGGACACTCTGCCAATAGAAACCAGGGCCTGCCGGTCAAGAATGGGCGAAATGAAAGAATAGGCGAAACGAAAAGAGGGCGACAACCTCGAGGACTTCGTTGCTGGCAGTTGGAGACAGCACATGGGGTGTTTAATGGCGCACCTGCGTTCATGAGGCGAAGGTTGGACTTCTTGACTATTGATGCCACGAGCGTTGACTAATACCGAAGGCTGTAGGTACATATTCGAGCCATGTGGCCCACTTTGCATTAACGTTCATGAGGCTGGCTCAGCAGGCTCACCCTAGCCTGTCATGTTTTGTTAAAGCGCCTATCAGTGGCTACTTGGCTGTGCGTGAATCGGGAATCTCGTAAATCGAGTCCTTAGATCAAGGTCGGAGTAGAGTACCTTCTGTGAGCGCAGTGTGCACCGAGCTTCCCCAACCGTCCACCACCGCCAATGATGACGCATTGATGTCCAGGGCGGCGACAAATGCTTGACTTAAACTGAACCTTCAGATGCTGTTCGGGTTCGGATAGCGGAAGCGGAAGCATGGCTCGATGTTCTTCTCGTTCTCGTTCTCGGAGGAGAACACAGCCTCGACACTTGGGTTGAAGAATACCGTTCCTGTGGTGGACGCAAGCGTGGTACCTACGGCTGCATACTTAGTGCCACCAATTATACGCCTTCCCGGCTACTACTTGCTGGCGAGGCGGACCTTGTCTACGCACTCCGGGAGCTCAAGCAATAGTCGTTGATATGCGGTTCCGAATGGCAAGGATGGAAGAGAGCGTGGCGGTGCACGTCGATCCCTTTCAACCACGTCCCGGCTACAAGTATCAACCAATAGCTTTCCCGGGAGGACCATGGAGCCACCAAGTTCAGCCGGCGCCGCACCTCGGTATAAACGTTCACGGTAATTATGAGAGAGGGAACAACCTTCTAGGTCCGTCTAGAAGATAAAATCCCCTACTGCGCACCGTTATGGCGAATGGTCGATGGGAGGATCCTCAGACTGACTCGCCGGACGCCGGGCCACGAGTGATCCTGAGTGATTATCAGCACACCAAATAGGGATCGGCCGGTTCGCTCATCGGTAAGCTTCCTTACGTTGCAGTACATTTCGGTAAAATTCTAAAGCAAAATACAAGCGAATACACGGCTAGCTATGGATGTTGCCGCTGTTTTAAACCTTCTTCCAACCTCATTATGCTCTCTCTTCCGTGCCAATTAGAATACATAGTCAAACCAAATAGGATCCTCTTCGTTCACTTACTCCTCAACTTTCAGCAGCATTTCTGGAGAAAGATAATGCCAGCCAATCGGTCTCGAACGAGTGTGACTGCGGTCTAAACTTCTGATGTTGAAATGGATGTAAGACATGAGGGGCTCAGAAATGCCGCTGACGAGGTATGGAACATCGTCTGGACGGACCTAAAGGCCTGCATTGGGAATATAATCGCCAACGTCTTCCGGAATATCAGCGTTGCAATCGTTTACATGGAGTTGAAACGTTTCCTTATCCTCCGCGATGGGCCTCAACAGTCCAGCTTGAGTCTCTCATCTAGTGATGACAGACAAGATGAATGCCTTCCTAGTGCCATAAACCTCCTCCTGATAGCCCCGTAGTATGGCGTACTGCTTCTTTGCCTTACAGAAGGTTCGTGCGATACGTACATAGTACTTCACCAGAAGCTTTGAAAAGGGTTCTGACTCCAAAAGATCCTCGAGGGCAGTTTCCGACCTCCGACCACGAGAAAAACGCGGAACACAAGATATGCCATTCAGTGGACCACTTAATTGCATCATACCGTAACTTACCGGTCATGTATGTCACTATACTATGAAGTCCGACCACTAACATCGAATCCACCTGTGTTATGGCGGGCCGTTGGATATAGAGACGAGGAAAGAAAATACATTCGAAATATGGGCTATATTCTCGGGTCATCCTGGTAAGGTATCAAGCACATATGGTTATGTACCTCACAAAGTATCACTGGGCCGGTCTCATGATACGACTTCTCACGGTCGCAGGCAATTAAACAAAAAAACCTGGCGAGACCGACTTGGCCGCCACCACGAAAAGCGGCCCGACCGACTGCCATGATCCGGCCATTATCCCAAACGGCGTACAGGGCTGTTCTACGAGAAGCTTCTCGTGCACTCCGTCGAGAAATATCAAGCACGATGGAAAGAGAAAAGTGGCCATAATTGCCTAATCGGTGTGAAATTTGGGTTTTGCGGACCCTTGTGGCCGACTCACCCCACAAGTGCTGCTTGCTACCCATTTTGCCTATGATGCACAAGCACGCAGTCTGCATTCTCGCTTCTACCACCCCTTATTTGAGTGGTAGCGCAACAATCGAGCCATCACTCTGACTCTCGCTCTCCGCCCACCACTTTGCTTTCTTTTCCTGCTCGAGCAGCTTCCAAGATTCCAAGACTTCGTCCAAGTCTCCCACTTGCCCCAACGGCTTGTCCGAAATCGCACCACGCCCCCCCAAACGCCAACTAGCAAACTAAAATGGCAACAGTCCAGAACTTTGAGGCTCAGGACGAATACACCCACTTCACTGGTAAGTCGCGAACGTGGTCTTCCCCTCCCTCTAAACTAAACCCCCACCCCGCTTCGATTTCGACTCTTGACACTTATTTCGGTAGCTTGTGATGCCTGCCGTAGGCGCAAAGTATGTTCTCGATCCCACTTACAATAGTCTCCTGGCATTCCCCGCGTTAACCTTGCTCGCGTCAGTAGAAGAAATGCGACGGCCGGATTGCCGGTTGTCAGCACTGCGCAGCCAAAGGCCTGCCCTGTGTCTACACGCCGAAGCGGAGCAAGACCACCACCGCCGCCCCGCGCCGAACAACCGAGATCCTCACGCACCGTACCGAAGACCTTGACGAGCGTCTATGTCGCATCGAAGCTGCCGTCTACAAGAACCTGAAACTCGGCGGTCTGGCGCAAGAGAGCCTCATTCGCCACCGACGCAACGAGAGCAGCAGTGCAAGCGGCGACAGTGATGGCGATGGCGACAGCGAGAACAAGTCCGAGCTATTGGACGCCCGGATCCTCCCCGCACCGATGGCCGCGTCGGGCCTTCAGGAAGAAGCACTATCTCCGACACCCCGAGCGGCTGCAGTGTCACCAGAATCCTCGGCATCGTCGCCCAGATTTGAGGGCAGAGTCGGAATGGTCACGCTTCCCATAAGCAATGTTTACATCGGCGCGTCGAGCCCGTTCTCGTTTATTTCCAAATCGGGCATGAACTGGATCGACGCGAAGCTTGGAAATACATCTTTCTCAGCACTCTTGGAGCGGGCTCAGGCTGCCTGCTTATCTTATAGCGGCCCGGAGGGGTGTTCATTCGGGCTGGGTATTCCGTTAACGACGGCGTTGCAGAGGAGCTCCGGCTTCGTGGAGACGCCCGAGCTGCGAGCCATGTATATCCATGGTTTGTCGCACCCGCGCCCAATAAATTTGTATGGTTGACAAACGAGAGTAGAGTACTTTACGCATGTCAATTCCGTCACTCCATTATTTTCCGAGCACCTCTTCACCAATCCAACACCTGCGCACCTCCGCAATCACCGCACATGGTCCGCTAGTAATACAATCGTCCTTGCCTTGGGCGCGCAACATCTCGCGAAAACATTACCGTCGAGATCTATCCATTATGATGCCGCATTCCACTACTACAACCTCACCTCCCGTTCACTACCCGAATTTCTCTTTTCCAACATACCATCCATCCCTACGGTACAAGCTCTGGTGGGGATGGCGCTATACCTGCAAGAAGGCGACGACTCCAAGCCTATGTTCGCGGTACTCGGCATCGCGGCATCAATCGCGGCACAATTGGGTCTCCACCGGGATCCTCGTCGTCTCCGCATCACCGACGAGTTGACGTGCGAAGAGCGTGTCAACGCGTGGTGGGTTCTTTTCTGCATGGATAAAGAGCTATCATTGCGCTCGGGCCAGATGAGCAGCATCGCCGAGCGCGATGTCGACGTACCACTACCTCCGCCAAGTACCCGGTTCGGTCAACGCGTTGAGCTGACTTGGGTCATGGCCCGCGTTCTCCGCCTGCTATATGCGGCTGCGCCGGCGCCACCACCCGTCGTCGAGGCGCTGCAGCTGGAGCTCGATCAGTGGCTGCAGCGCTCCGATGACGTCAGGCTTCCATTGAGACAAGTACTGGAAGGGGTGGCAGCAGAGGGCGGGAGCTGGGAGGCCATGGCGTGCCTGGTCCGCGTACGCTGGAACTACTTTTGCGCGCTGATGTCGGTGTGCCGACTACCGTCCAGCAGCGACACCGATGCCGATGTCGGCATCGGAAGCGAATCGGATGACGATGGGTTGAAGCTGAAGCAATGGGCGCGATGCGAGGCGGCCGCGATGAGGGATATGCTCGGGAGCCCGGACTTCGGGCCAGCGAGATTGCCGAATCGTGTTGGCCTGCTGATTCTCACCGGGGCTACGTGGGTGCTGTTCTCCGGCCTGGTGTGCAAGCCTACGGAGGGCGAGCGCGATAGGGATAATGGCGAGCGCGAAGGCGACGACGACGAGGGCGACGTCGAATTGCTAAGGAGTATCAGTAGATGTGTACAGGAGGTGGAGTGGGCGCCGGAGCAGTGTCCGCAGATGCGCGTGTTGTTTTCGGTGCTGGTCAGTGGCATGGTCGAGTTGGTCGATGGGTTTTTTTCGAGGGGGAGGGGGTAGAATTTGTATTTTGCGTGCGTGCATTCGTTCTCGGATCGACCGGTGGGCTGGTGGGCTGGTGGGGGGGCACATATATATGGAATTGAATACTGCTGCCGTATATAGTCTGTTACGTTACTGCTTGGCCCTTTAGCGATTGTCTATTGCCTCTGGTCCTTCCATCGATGGTCGCGAGATGATGTCCATGTCCGGTCATGAAGTGGTATACACCTACCTAGTATACTGCAAATACACTACCTAAGTCTTTTTGCAGAACCTACAGCACTTTCTGCTCAGATTGTACTAAACACAGTAAACAAGGTATAGTTGGTAACATCACACCAATAGGTACATCCATACGGTTACCAGAGTCTGACAAGTACCTTGTTTACACGCCCAAGCTCTCCATCCACCCCCAAGTCCTCTCCCCAAACCACAGCACCAACACATCCCCACCTGTCTTTCAAACAGTTCACAGACCGTTGATCCACCAGTTCTCGCAGCAGTTCTCGCAGCCATCAACTACAGACCTGCACAGGACATCACTCACGCACCGAGTGCTACTCCGTGCCGGAACCAGGAACCCAGATCAAGTAACGAGTTTGAAGTTTGAAGTTTCCGGCCAAGGCGATGCGCCACCCACCGGGCCTGGGTGGTGACGGTTTTGGTTTTGGTTTTGGTTTTGGCGTGACGGTGGGAGCACTACTCTATGTAGACTACATAATTCGGTATGCATACGGTTCCAATCCAGGCACCCGGCCACCGGTGCCCTTCGGATACCATTCCTGAGCTCGGTGCTACGCTGGGGTGGAGCGAATACCATACTTTATTCGCCATAGTTAGAAAACTGTCTTCGGTGTGGTTAGCACACTGTCTTCGCCGCGGATAACACACTGTTGTGGCCGAGTGCTGGATGAACTACCTGCAAGGGGAGGGGTAAATGTCTGCAAGAGGAGGGGAAACTGTTAGCGAGAGGAGGAAGTGATGGAGGAGCTATTAACGAGAGGAGGAACTGTCAGCGAGGGGAGGAGCTATTAGTGTATATCACTCGGTGGTACCTATCACGTGACACGCCCTACGCTGCCGACTGTGGAGGCGAAAATGCCCCGCAATGGAAGAGCCAGCACTGGCAGCGGATACTCTGGAAGCGGGTTGGGGAAGAAACGGTTCGGAGAAGGACCGCTTCACGATCCGCGATCTCTTCGCTGGCAAGCGCTGCAGCGTGTCTATCCGTGGCCCAGAATCGCGTGTCACCCAGGTCCCAGATCCTACTCGACGCCGGCGTGAAGATCACAGCTTCGTCGGTAACTATGTACTAAGTAACGCCGGTGGTTTCTCGGCCGTGACTTCGCTCGCCGCATGCATATCCGGGACTGTGTGGGTATAGGATGTAGGTAGGCATCTCTCGAGTCTCGGCCTCTCGGGCCAACTGCTATGTCTATAGTAGGACGGCGAGACACCACGGTGAAGATATCAAGGATATGCGAATGGAGCCCTCACAATATGCATATGTCCACCATGTCTACTGTGTCTACTACTATATACCTGTGAGATGCGGTGTGGTGGGTGCATCATCGGCGTTACTATAGATACCTAGAAAAAGTACCCAAGTACCCAAGTTTCGTGTGCGTGCATGCGTGCGTGCATCGTCACGGGGAAGCAGTAAAGCAGTGCACGAGCCGCACCCTCCCCCCTTCTCCCTCCCCCCTCCCCTCCCCCTACCCGACCCCTGCTCAACCTACTCTAGAGCCTACCGTACAATAATCAACGCCGTCCCCCGGGTGGGCACTTAGGGACATCGAATCGAGTGACCGCGTGTGTATGGTACACATACACAGCACGACACCGTCTCCGTCTCTGTTCCCGCCAGATACCGGTAATGTGTTGAAAATCTAGATCTACACACCTACATACTCCCGAGATGGTCCGAACCAGTGCGCTTTTCTGTGCGCCAGCTATAGTAGAGTAGAGTAGAGGAGAGTACCGGATGCCTTCGGGCAACGTCCGTGAGAATTTCAGGCCAGTCAGACGAAGCGACCGGCCAGCCAGCCAGCCAGCGGTCTGGACTCTAGACTCTAGCACAGTTAGTCGAAGATCTCGCTTTGTGGGCTGGACGCCGGTGCCGGTCCAAGATGCAAGTCCCCCCACCCTTTCGCTCTCTCTTTCCTTCGGCGATTACCGTAGACACTGTTCGGTGAAATCTCGGCGGGGTGGATTGGACACGGTGAGATCTCGGCTGTTGTCTGGCCCCAAAAAGAAAAGAAGAAGAAAAAAAAAACTCTCGATCACGACGTATCATGTCACGTATGTATGTAGAGTAGATTCTCCTCTTGAGCTCCCCCTGGCCAGATCCAGGTGGACGGCGGAATGGCTGTGCTGTGCATGCGATGCGGAACCGTGCATGTACGTACATTATACATATGTGCAAAAAAAAATCAGAGAAATGGTCATTCGGGGGTTCTTGAGGAAATTCTCGGGACGAACGAACGGACGGAGGGGCGCCGGGTGGGATGGACATGGTTGGCTGGTGACACACGCGGCTGGCGGTCTATGTAGGTACGGGGCGTAGTTATGTATGGCAGTATGCATGTAGGCATCATATGTACCTACGTACCAATGTATCACAGAAGAGTTTTTCTCCACACGGCCATGGGATATTGTTCTGCATGGTTGGTGGCTCGGCTGGCCTTGCTGTCGATGCTGATGGGCACGGAAAGTGTGAGGAAATGCAATATAGTACTGTCTGCCTGTTGGCCTCGGGCAACCTATGGCTTCGGGACGGGCCTCTGGGGTCCCTCGGTCTGAGACACAGACACGCATTGGTCATCGAGTTCTTTGTTATTTTACTCGCGAGTCGTATGTATCCAATTGGGCCGTTTCCCGAGGTTTCGTCCAGACGTTCAGTAACAGTTCGATCCTGTGGGGGGAGGCTGCGTGAGTGGGGGGGCATGCAACTGTCATGGGACGTACTCTGCATAGAAAGTCCGGCTGTCCGACAGGTTCCCGCATGGTTTGTATTTCCGATCCGACAAGCAGTCTGTGTCTGTGTGTGTGGTGTGGTAGGGGACGAATCGGCAGGAGAGAGAGCGACTTTGAATCGGCAGAGCACCACTACTGCCGGTATGTATGGCAAGAGATCAGGCGGCGGTTGCTCCGGTGAAAATGACTGCTGCTGCAGGATGCAGCATGACCGTGTTGGTGTTGTTGTTGTGCGCAATATGGCAAGAATTTTGCTTTGTTTTGTTTTTGCGGTCCGTCCCCCCACTAGTTCCTGCATACTTCCTCCCACTTGTCCTCATTGTGCCTTCGTAACTTTGGGGGACGGGGGCGGGGGGAGATGATGATGTGGGGGAGGAGGCGTCGGTGACGTGATGAAACACCATATTGATACGGTACCAACCGGCGATCTACGCACGTACGGTGGTGCGAAGAAGTGGGACTCGGAGTTCAGAGGATGTACGTAGGTAGTCGTTCCTGTGAGGCTGCGCCGAGTGGATAGTTGTCGGTGACCCAGTGGTCAGTGTAAGTGCTCGACCGGAGGCGCGCTGCACAATCTATGCGGCACCCGCGGGTTCCTGTCAGTGAGTGTAATACCGTTGTGGCGGAGCGATAGAGGAGCTATCGGTGAGAGGAGGAAGTGAAGAAGGAGCTGTTGGCGAGAGGAGGAAGCGAAGGAGGAGCTGTTGGCGAGAGGAGGAAGTGAAGAAGGAGCTGTTGGCGAGAGGAGGAAGTGAAGAAGGAGCTGTTGGCGAGAGGAGGAAGTGAAGAAGGAGCTGTTGGCGAGAGGAGGAAGTGAAGAAGGAGCTGTTGGCGAGAGGAGGAAGTGAAGAAGGAGCTGTTGGCGAGAGGAGGAAGTGAAGAAGGAGCTGTCGGCGGGAGGAGGAAGTGGTGGAGGAGCTGTCGGCGGGAGGAGAAGATGAAGGAGGACTCCGGTCTGCGGGAGAAAACCAATGTGGTTAGTAGTGGGCACCAACGTTGGTGGGAATCAGCGTTGGCGGCCATTGCAGGGTCGTCTTCTTCTTCGTCTTCTTCTTCTTCGTCTTCGTCTTCTTCTTCTTCTTTCTCGATCATCATCTACAGAATACCAGTAGACGATCAACTTCTATCTCCTCTCTCTCTCCTTGTGCGTTCTCCTTCTCTCGGCCTGTTTCCCGGCCTGGAGAGGCATTAGCGAAAGAGCCCTCGCAAACCCGTATAGGTAGCGAGCGAACGAGTGCCTTTTCTCGGACCTAGTGCGCACCTGGCGGCCCACCCGGAGGATTTCTGCCCCCCCTCCCCCATTATGATCGCCAGATAGAAGCTACTAATACGTACATATCTAGTGTGGTTAGAATTCAACTATATACCCCGGCCTTGGAGTTGAAATCCTTTGTGACGGTATGTACAGGGCTGGTCATGTGTGTGAGGGTAATGGGGGGGGGGAGTGGAGAGCTTTCGATACTAGTTCTAACTTCTGACCGTTCACTCATGATTAGTTTTTGTACGGTCACATCGACCTCGAGCTTCGGCTGCGCCATTCCATTCGATTGCACACGACAGCGTTGTATCACGATGCCGATTGGTACACAAGTCCAGAGTCCAGACGCTACCTCCTGACCGTGTGGTGCTCACTGCTCACATGCCATTCGCTCGATCCGTCCCTTCAATCTATGTACCGTATCTCCCTCGGGCTTGTTACGAAACTCAGGAGTGCCCCGATGGCACCCGATAGTGCCTTGCGGGCAATAGGCCCACGATCTGAACGTGATCACACCGTGCCATCGAGCATGTGCTTTGTGCTTGCTTGCGGCCAGCACCGTGTCGAAAAGACGAGATGAATCATGGCTCACGTCCTAATTCGGGTTATCGGGACGAACTACCTAGTGGCGTCTCGGAATGCTGGTATGCTCAACCGCTGCCATCCTGAATTTCACATTCGTTAGTATTTGCTGGAGGTTCGGCGTCGGCTCGGGAGGTTTTCCTTGGTCGACCAGTACATCTAAGTTGGTACTTAGCTACCGCAAGCCTTGGGGACTTGCAAGATCAGAACAGAGCAGATCAGAGCAGATCGGATCAGAACTATAGTAGAGTCGACGCCGATGACGGGTATGAGCACTGAGCACTGAGCAGCGGTACACGGTACATAGCACTGAAATCTAACTAACGCGTGAAACAGGGCATCATACATATCCCGATAGATACCGGTAGCTGTGCGCCCCTTGGCTGTGCAGAAGAAAATAAATATCTCATGCTGTCAGCGCAAGAGCTTTGCTTTTCCGAGCCCTCGCACTCGTCAACAATATCCGGTACGGTACTTATTCGACGACCAGTCCTGAACGGTACCGGTATTTCCAACCAGGGAACGATCTATTCTGGAAACCCTCCCCCCTTCCCGTACGGTGAAACCGAGGGGACACGCCTAAAGCGGATATACACTACATCCTGCGTCTATCGTCTCCTCGGCGTTTTCCATGTGCCAACAACAACAAGGCTCTACCCAGAACGCCCCCAGGATTATCCGCTGCTATTTGCGGAAACGCCAATGCGTGCTCTCACCGCTGGACGGACGGAAGCAAGCAACTGTGAACATACATATGATGCCGCATCCTCCCGTCGTGAAGGCTGACCGACAGACTCCCTAGGTACTCTGCCGTGCGGATGCATGGTATGTACCTTACTCTACCAACTACTACTACTAGGTAGTACCGAGTAACTGATCGCCGTTAGTAAGAGTGTCGGACGTGCTTCTAGAATAGTAGAGTACTCTAATCTACCTTGACCACTCTGAACGCCCTGTAAGTGGTACGGTACAGTTTTGGGGGCCGGCCGAAACGCGATGTTTATTGGCCCCCCAGGGCCCCCACCTTGCCGTGCGTGCGTGAGCCATAAACCGCACGACAGGAAGAACAGCAGACCGGGGCGAGGGAGGGGACGGGGATGAGGGATGGGGGGTGAAGGAGGAGGTGAAGGAGGGGGAGAAGACTTCTACTAGGAACACATGCAAGACAAGGTACCCAACGTTCCTGCATTGAGGAACCCTCCCCCCCGCCAGCGAAGGAATACAATGTTCCAGAAACATGCACGGCGATGTAAGAGGAAGAAGAAGACATATAGTGGGGGTGAGGGGGGGTGAGGGAGGCATTCCTATTCTTCATCTTTTATGTACGGCTAAAGGATGGTCACTCGCAGACCGCATACATACCGCAGTTTTCCGTCACGGCCAAGGTTGAAGTGTGGCAGGGGAGGTGCGGCGGGGGGGTTGGTCGGATGGTTGGATGGTTGGATGGTTGGATGGTTGGATGGTTGGATGGTTGGACAGTTGGAGTTGCGAACCGGAGCCGCCCGACGGTTCACAAGAACCGGAACGGTACTCTACATACAATTAGGTATGTAGATGCTCTCTTAGATATAGACAGGATGGAATAGAGTACAGAGTAACCACAGCCCTGGACGATGCCAGGCAATCTAGAGATGTATGTAGCCTGGCACGTCGGATTTTTTTGGTTTGTTTTGCTGTCCGGGGATGGGGTAACGACCTACTACTATATACCTAGCCTAATGCTCCCCGAAGGCGGGGGTTTCACCACTGCAGATCTCTTAGTTGGGGGGGTACATAGAGTATGTACGGCGAGTGGGAGAAGGTGCAAACAACGTCAACATACATACCTGGGCGGATACGGGATATTGGATATGGGATATGGGGGGAGGGGGAGTTATTTCGGAGTGCTGGATGGGAAAGCCGGCTTCGAGAGATGGTGGTGGTGGTGGTGGTTGTGGCGGTGACCGTGGTGACCGTGGTGATAGAAACCGGTGAAGGCCGCCAGGAGTAAGCACTTGGCTGGAGAAGCCGGTAACTGCATAACTTGGGACTACAGGCGTGTATGTACCGTATGCACACATGTATGTGCTACCAGTAGTAGTAGGCACTTTGGCATATTGAAGGCTCGTGGGGTGCCAAAGGAGGATGAGGTGCATGACCATTCTTGAGATATGCAATATGCAATATGCAACCTGTCCTGTGGGAGAGTGACCCGAAGCACACTGCACACTGCCCAAGAGCATGAGGGCGGCAATCATCGTTCGTATCGAGACCTCCACTCCAATCGGTAATTCCGAGTGCGGGGACTCCGCCGAAGTCTGGGAGTCCTGATAGAGGGGTTAGGGGGTGATCCAACGGACATCGCCGTGCTCGGCTCCCACCTTCGTAAGCAAGAGTCTCCCATCCCATCCGTCCCGGCCATCCCGTCCATCCCGTCGTACAAAGCAGACACTGCTCACCGGCGATTCCCCATATTTCCGTAGTTCCGTAGGTAGTTCCGTAGTTCCGTTGAAACGTCACACAGCTCTACCGGAACCGTACCGTATCACCCATCCCGTGACCTCGTATCATTATCTACATGCGTACCTACTAGCCGTGACTCGTACTAGTATGTAGTGCACTGAACAGCTGAACACCGAACACCGTACACTTACACCCACAGCCCCGACCGCCCACGCCCACGTTCCCCCTCTCCCGGCGCCCGCTCTGGACCTTCAACGTATGCGTATGCGTAGGTCCCGACATCCTACATATAGTCAAGTGACAGTCGTCCCGCGAGCCTTGTGTCTACATACTGTCTACATACATACGACGACCGTGCTGCGCCAAACCAGTTGCATATGTACCTATAGTACATACCGGTTGCATACCGATACCGGTACGGTGTACCGATACCACACGACGCCTGGTACACGACCACTGGCGCACGACCACTGGCGCACAACCTCACTAAGCAATTCCGAAAGAAAAAAAATCCCTCGCCAATACGGCTCTAATCAGTTCAGTGGATGGAGCAGTGCGTGGAGGAGCTTGGAGGAGCTTGGAGGAGCCTGGAGGAAGGCCGATGATGGACCTGCAGCATGGTAGAGTACTATATGCTGATAGGTATTGCTGCTATTGTTGTCGCTGCTGCTGCTGCTATGATATGGTATGTAGTATGTACTACCGTACTACTATTATGTACTACCACTACTAACTATTATGTACTACTATGCAGTACCTATGATACTGCTATATACTACTACTATGTACTCCGGATTCCAGAAGGAGAAAGCATTTTCAGCCCCAAGGGCCCGGCGCCCGCTGCTACGGTACATATCATACGATACTTGGACTCTGGAGGTGTAGAGTAGGTAAGTAGGAGGTAGGTACTTAGGTAAGTACATAGGTAAGCAGCTCCGAGTCGACGGGAAAGCTTTCAGGACGGAATGATGGCAATGATGATGATGATGCTGCTGATGGTGATGACAGATGATGATGGTGATGATGATGATGATGGTGATGATGATGATGGTGATGATGATGATGATGATTCCCGGCACTGTTATCTAGAGTAGATATCACAAGCTTTCTCCGTACTAACCAGTAGCTTGCAGCGGCCCGGGAGAAAGATGAGCGGAAAAAGCACACAGCAAAGCAAAGCAAAGCAAAGCAAATCTAAGCAACGCAAATCTGAGCAAAGCGATTCGAAGCAAAGCAAATCTAAGCATATCAAAGCAAAGCAAAGAAAAGAAAAGAAAAGAAAAGAAAAAGTAAACGAAAAACGAGAAAAGAAAAGAAAAGAAAAAGTAAACGAAAAACGAGAAAAGAAAAGAAAAAAAAGAAAAGCAAAAGGTGAGGGCTTACACGGATTCCTTTTCGTTGGGGGTGGGGGAGAGGAGGAGGAGGAGGGAGGGAGGGAGGGAGGCGTATGTGGTCCGGATAGCAGAGATGTACTCGTACTCTACTATAGGTACGGTAGTAACCACGAAGAAAGCCCATAGCGAGGACCGGTGACTTCAAACTGGTATGTACTGGTACATCAGTAACCATGTCCACCCTGGTCCCGCCACGTACGGTAAGTCGTAAGCTTAAAGCTATGGCCGGTGGTGGTGGTGGCGATGGTGGTGGCGGCGTGCAAGAAAGAAAGCGAAAAAAAGAAGAGAAAAAAAGGAAGAAAAAAGAAAAAGAAAAAAAAGTGAGATAATATCGGCTCTTCACAGCTGGCTGTCTGGCACGTTCCGTCTGAGGTTTATGTGTGTCTCAGCACAGCATTGCGGTCCGTAACTCCTAGAAGTACTCCTCATGTACGGTAGTTGGATGATGGCGGTCCTATGTAGCATCGAGCAACCTGTCAACCGCAACAACCATCCGATCACTCGCCGCCGCCCCCATGAGTGCCCTGCGAGATACCTACCATAGTTAGCTGAGCGTCTTCTACCGGCATAACCATCCTGTACACAACCACATTCATACATACATCGAGTGCTTTAGCTATGTGGGTAAGTACATAGAACTTACCTACATACCCACATACATGCCCTTCGCTAACTGCTCAAGACCCCAGCTTCAATCTCGGCGTCTACCGTCATGATGCATTTCCTGCAAGCCCCCCCCTCGCATGCAGCTTATGTAGAGTAGGTCTGTATGCATGCGGGTGTGTCCGGGGGCGTCTTCCTTTACTCTTCTAGAAGGTTGGCCACTTGCATTGCATACGGTGTGTGGAGTATTCGTCGGGCGTCGGTGCGGTGGCAAACGCGACGCTCACATAGGTACTCTACCGCAAGTGCAGGTGAGATGGGACGGGATGGGTCCGGCGGCATAACTATCAGTCGACTTGTTCCACAAACAATCGCTTCCAGAGGTCTCAGGCGAGAGAGGTCGTAGTATGATAAGGCGGTATGCAACGACAAATCTATTCTCTCTGTCTCAGGCGAGAGAGTCGGTGCAGTTGAGTGCCTGTCCGTGTTCATGAGTAAATGGTTACCAAGTTCTTAGGTATGCGGCGTAGGAGGTGTGTACTTACCTTCATAAGCTCTACACTCCAAGTAAGCAAGTACGTACTCAAGTTCTAGATAACATTTCCGCAGCGAGAGCGCGGAAGTAGCCGCTTCCGCACTTCTCCGCAAAGCTCGGGATTCGCTGGTGGAGGGAGACGAGCCCTTCCCTCCACCTTTCCCCGCCCTCCCCCGCCATGAAGCTCCCGGATGATGCTCGTGTCGCCTTGGCCGGGCGTGGGCGCATCGATGGCTGTTGTGGAATTCGATTTCTCGGATTTTCTGCAGCTCTGTATCTGTAACGTCGAATTGATTGTATGACCACCTTCCCCGCGTTTTCAAAGTAACTAAGAAGTCTGTAAGTATCTGCCCCCCCTCATGTCTGTATGTAGGAGCAATATATATATCCTTCGACGGAATCGCGGTGGCCTGCAGTATGTAGACTGTAGTGTATGTACACTACTTACCGTGGTGCTCTACCCGCCACCCACCCGCCCAGTACCACACACACACCACACACCACACGCCACCTGAACACTCTCCATTTCCAATGCGCGCGGCCATGGCGATTCCCTTTTGCAGCGGCAGATATCGTCACCGTGATGACTGCGTCGGTAGAGTGTCATGCAACCTTCAGGAACGGTATGTAGGTAGGAAGGTATGCAAGTCTAGGTCGCTTGACTTCCACGTTTTTTTCGCGCAGCAGATCAATCAACCGCACCCCTCAGACTCCACCTCTTCACTCCACCTCACACTCCACCATTGACAGTTCAAGACCCTGGGGGGATGGGGGATGGAGGGCGGGGCGGGGGCGCTGCAAACACCTGTTCCTGAGAGCCAACCCACCTAGGGTAGGTATACGGTGCTCTAGACGCGCGCACACTTGTCACAACCTCCCTCCCTCCCCTCTCTCTCCATCTCCCTCCCTCCCTCTCCCTCTCTTGCCATTTGGGAGGATGGCCTGAGGGATAATATTGTGGCTTCTGACGGCAGACGAGCTAATGCAGTCCGACTCGTTGATCCAGGACTACGCCCCCAAGCAAGCACGTATGTATGTAAGTGAGCCGGTATGTATTCGCGCAACCCGTTGGATGGTTTGCAGGTGGTTGGCGGACGGTGGCTCGAACTGCGAGTGGGAAGGCATCGGGAAGCTCAACCTGAATCTGATGCGGCAAAGGGGGTCGGGGAGGGGAGAGGGTCGGGGGCTCTCCGATGAGCATATATCGCTGCAGAAGCAAATAATCGAGCGAACCGGGAAATCTTCGTGGGCCGCGAATACACATGCGAGCCCTCTGCGGGTGCAGCAGAGTTGTCGTCGTCGTTCGAGCGCGCCCGCCCTCCGCTGCTTGAAACGGGTGAGAACAGGCGAAGCTGGAGCGGGGTTGATCGTCCCCCCTCCTCCCTTCCCCCCTGAAACCAGCTTGTATATAGTATGGTATAGTATAGCGCCGATAGTACCTACTCCACCAAGTACTTGGTTAGTTAGATAGTAGTTACCCAGGTACCTGAGTACCTATACCTACACCACTCTACCTCAGATGGCGTGCAGAGCCAGCCAGCCACACTCCAGGTCCGGATGCTGGACCCCGCCTTCTAGATTGGCTGGGGGGGCGCCGAGCTAGAGGAGCTGAGATCTGCTCCTTCTATTCTCGTCCGGCCAAAGTGATGAGAGAACTTGGAGAAGAACTTGTCGATGTTCTATGTACTCTATACTAGCACGTACGGTGGTGGTGGTGGTGGTGGTGGTGGTGGCTGCTAGTCAGGAACGATATATGCCAAACCACAGGCCACAGGGTGCCATCCATCCCTCTTCTTCTCGGAGGTGCATGCTTGCCGTAGAGCATGTACGAGTAGAGTATGCAGATTATGCAGAGTATGTATGCAGACATTCACCCGCCAACTCTGCTGCCACTCCCGTCATCCGGTCTCTTCGGTCACGCAGCAGAGAGAGGGATAGAGAAGGGAGAGGGAGAGAGATGCATAGGAGCACTAGAAGTAATTCGCGCGAGCCTTTCCGAACGAGCGGTGCGTACATGCTCTAGAGTGGAAGGCATGATTGCGAGAGTGAACATAGGAGGGGAGGATGAGGACGAGGAGGAGGAGGAAGAGACCGGGGGCGACTTTGTGTCACCACCAGTGGCCTTGGCACGGTCATCACCACCACCCGGTACCACCACCACCATCCACCACCACCCCACCCCCCACACCCTTCCCCGCCCCTTCTCCTTCTCCACCGCCTTCTCCGTCTTCTTCTTCTCCTTCCTTTCTTCTTCTCCTTCCAGCGCGTTCGACGGCGGCAAGCTTGTTTCGCGAACGAAGCCTAGGTGCATCCAAACGCCCCTAAGTTAATTGGCAATCTTGGCTCGTCCAAAAACCCCGGAAACCGTTTAAACGAATTCAACGCATCGATTCGATCGCTTGGTCCGACTGCCTCCCCCCCAGAGAAGAAGTACTTACATACTTGCTACATATATGCCCAGTCGACTATTGCCGTCTGACTTGCAGTGTGAGGAAGCAAACGTGGCAAGAACGTGGGCTCGTTTATCCGATTGGCGAGATAAGAGTCGCAGTCACGAAGGGGTGGTAAGCCGTGAGACTGCTCAGGTAGGTAAGTAGTGCAGTATTTTTTTCCATTTCTTATTTGATCATTGAATGCATGAAGGTAGAGTAATGCGGTGTACACTGCACACTGCTCAGCGTATGTACTATATGTACCGATGGTATACACCAGCGAGTGACACCTGTGAATATCCCGAAGGCTGACTGGAGGGTGGTGCCGGGCCACGCGAAAAGTTTTTCCGTTGGCCATCCCACAGCCCCACACTTGTCTGGATACGGTTAGATCTCCATTGCTCCGGCGGCCAAGGATACCCCAAGGCCCCGTTACGGCGAACAGGTCGACTGGAACATCCTCCCCGCTCCATACGCAATTAACGTCGTGTTGTGTGCAAAGTACTCTATCCCCCCCACGCATCCTTGCTGCCAATCGTGACGAGGCTCGCTCCCCAAATCATCTGCCCCCCAAATAAATCCAACGTGCCTGATCGCGCCTGCTCAAATAGCGAAAAAAAATCGGGCTTCGAAACAGTCCACCTCGTCACTCCGATTTCCAGCTCCGAAAGAATACTAGTTGCTGACCTGCATCCCCACCCATCCCCTCCCCCCCTCCCCCCCTCAACCCAAGCTGCTTCCCGGTCCCTGTAGCTCTACGCTGCAGTACGAGGGGGGGAAGAGAGTATTCAACGTACATGTACCTGCTAGCCAATAGTGGCAAGGCCCAGTCCGCTCTCGACGCTGGGCCGCATTCGGAGCCGTCTTCGATAGTTTTTAACATCCCACTGTCCACCGGTCTCCGTGAAGGAGAGAACAAATATCTAATAACTGTCCGGAAAAGAGTGTTACCAGATGAACCAACCCGAGAAACACTGCCAGACACCGACCACGGACACAAGAAAAGCTCCAGCTCTGCCCATTCCACAGCATGTTATGAAGCGCTCATTCGAAGACTCCACTGGTTCGGCCGCCTCTTCGGCCCAAAGTTCCCCGCCCGCCGGGGACGCATCCCCAAACTTCCCCAGGAAACGGAGATCAACGTCGCCAGGACTTCCTCCACAACTGGCCCCTCCTCCACCACCACCACCACCTTCAGCTCAGAACTGTCACAGCGCCGTTGCGTCGCTATTCGCCGATGCCTCCGGACGCATAACGAGGATGCCAACCATCTCGAGGAAGGTCCGAGCATGTGCCGCGTGTAAGAAGCAGAAGATACGATGCGACTTTGAGGATGGAGAGCAGACCTGTGTGCGGTGCAAGAAGATGAAGCTAGAGTGTGTGGTAAATCGCAGTCTCCAGACGATCCTGGACGAAGATATAGAGTTCGTTTCCCTCATCCCCCCCTTCCCCTCCGGCGTGTTGTCCGATGAGAAAGATCCGTTTCTTCCGAACCCCCCGCTTTGTTCTCCGCATGCTGATGTTGGTGATTCTTTGCACAGATGGAAGCACAAGATGCGGGAAGACACCGTGCAGCTGCAGCGTGCTGTGGAGGACGTCCTTGCGTCGTTGAACATGCGGCAGCTGGCTTCGTACTGCCCCACTACGCCACCGACATCACGGCCATCCTCGGAACCTCCAAACTCAAAGGGCCAACCCCCCCAACCGCTGCAGATCCATCAACGCGGCACTTCGGCATCCCATTCGACCGTTCGGTTCCAGGAACCGCCCAGCTGCAATTCTTTGAAGCTGGAGGATGACCAGCAATCGCACCGAGGCGGGCTGCCTATGGCCAGGGAACATTCTCAAGCTCTGGATGAGAGCGACGGTCAGTCCCTATTTTCGAACCCGATGGGCTCGCTGTACGAGGTCACCCGATTGCGCGGCTTGCGCGGCAGCGCCGGCACTCGATTCGGCGCGCAGTCAGACGATATGGACGTCGACTTCATATCCAGGGGCCTACTTTCCGAGACGGACGCACAGGAGCTATTCAGAGTGTACACATCCCCCGGATCGATAGTATCCCATCATCGGACGAAGCAAGCACGGCGACTGACAGTCCTTTAGGTTCCGTGATAATCTGAACCAATACCTATACAACATAGCGCTCGTCCACGACGATCTCGAATCCGCTCGAGCTTCATCGTCACTCCTGACAGCCGCCATATTCACCGTTACCGCCCTGCACGTGCCGCAGCACCATCATCTATTCCCACTACTGTACCAGGAGTTCCTCGCCAGCGTTTCGACGTGTATGTTCAACCGATACCACCGGCTGGACGACGTCCGTGGACTCTGCATCGGCGCCTTCTGGTTGATGGAGGTCTCATGGAAACTGTCGGGCCATGCTGTAAGGATCGCTACGGAGATGAACATACACCAGGCCTTCGGAAAAGCTGTTTCAGGGTCTAGCCAACACTTTGAGCAGGCACGATTATGGTGAGCTTCCCCCGCCCGGAGCATTTGCGCGAGCCTTTCCGGAATCGGACAAAACCGTTACACAACCTACACCCGAGTCCCCCACTCAGGATCCGGTGTTGATCATGGGTTGCTGACAATACTTCGTTCGATTAGGTATCTGCTGTATGTTTGTGATCACCATTTCTCGATCGTCTACGGCCGACCACCTGTTATCCACGACCATGAGCCCATGCGAAAATGGGAGCTGTATCTACAAACTCACCTGGCTACTGGCGAAGATGACCTCGTTCTATCGCAGGTCACGCTATTCACTGTTCTAACGCGGATCTTCCACTTTTACGAAGACGAATCGGAGAATGAGATCTCAGAAGAAAGACTTTCCCACCTACCAGTCTTCAATGGACAGCTTGAGAACTGGAGGAACACCTGGCGATCAAGGCTTCGTACGACCTCCCACTTTTCCTGTCCGAGATTCCCCAGGCGACTCCAGTGCTGACGGCTTCGAATAGCAGCGGACCCCGTGGGGCACAACCCCGAAACGATCAACTTTGTCGGTGATTTCCCTGGCAAAGGAGTCGAACTGCACTACCACTTCGCCAAATTACAGCTCAACTCCCTCGCTCTGCGCGGCGCATCTCCAAGCACCGTCCAGCACCTTTCACAGAACCGTAAAGACCATGCCAATATTGCGATTTCCTCCGCCATATCAGTGTTATCCATCATCTTGGAAGAGCCGTCGATCCACCAGTCCCTCGTCGGTGTACCACTGTACATCAACACCATGGTCGCTTTCGCCGCCGTTTTCCTCCTGAAGGTCACCGCAAAGTGGAAATCCGTCAGCTTCAACATCTCCACCAACCAGGTCTGGTCCTTGGTTGAACGCGTCATCGACCTGTTGAACTCGAAATCCCGGGTGGCGAGTGAGTTTCATATCATCCCACATGTGGCATTGGGCCTCGAGAAGATGTTGCACAAGTGCGTCGAGTTCGCCAACTCGAACAGCCCGGTGGACGATTCGAGGCTGTGGGACGCAACTGCGCAACACGGCGGAAGTATGATGCCCGAACCGCAGCATCAGGAGCACCACACAACCAACGAAGTGTCATCATATGTTGTCGGAAACGGCCAGCAACAACAGCAGCAGCAGCAGCATTGGCAATCATACCAACAGCAGCAGCAACAGCAACAGCAACAGCAGCAACAGCAGCAACAGCAACAGCAGCACGTACCATCCGGCACCCAGATGACTGGAGTGATCTACCCCCAGCCCTCCGAGAACATCCACAACGGACAACCGGGACAGGTGTACGAAGTCAATGGCCAGCAGTACTTCGGCATGGGCGTCTTCGATTTTTTGTCGCCACAACTGCCCTATTGACACCACCATAATCCCCCCATGTATCTTTGCTTGTAATGTAGATTCCATATTTGGTCCTTATTTGGGGCGTTGAACCGGAGTTTTTGTGTTTTCTCTTTTTGCGGGCGATTGTAGATGGTATATATATCGGTGGTTCTATCGGAACGGGTTTTTCGTGGACTGGAAGAAAAAAGACGTGGAAAAGATAGATTCGTTCGACGTGCTGTTTGTTTGTTTGGAGAGTCTCGAGGAGTATGCATTAGATGTGTTTGACCGATTCGCTTTGTCCGAGTCCGCGGTGTGTTTCGTTGTGTCTCGATCGTTCGTCGTTCGTCTGTCCGTCGGGTGCGATTCGGGGAACCGGGGAATCCCGGCATTGACTCCCACTCCCCTCGTGGGGAGGGGGGGGCATCAACACCGTTTTATATATCTAGCGAACCCACACAGAGCTTCGGTGGCGGAAATACCTCTAATTCTCCGCCTCCGTAAACCCTCGGCATCTTTGACGCGGAGAATGGGATGGTCGAAGCTAGTTAACTAAGTGGAGCTCTTTTTTCGGATGTCTGCACTGGTTTGGTGACTGGGACGGACGCACTCCAAGCGATTGACCGACGAATTGCAACCGTGCTGAAGCGCGGCAGGCACCAACTGGGGGGGAAATACCTCCAGATGCAGAGATTTATCCGGGTTGGTACGGTGCTTAGATAATCGTTTTTTTATTTTTTTTGGCGACGGGGACTTTGTTTCTTCCACCGGTCAACTCGACGAGGACGAGAACGGGGACAAGGACGGGGACGGGAACGGACGGCCGGCTACAAGAGCGCCCCGCGAAAACACTTCACAGCCGTTCCGGCCCCGGCCGACTAAGCTAGAGGCTTCGGAGTCAGTGAAGTTGGAACTGCCCCCCAGATTATATAAGCCAGCCACGTAGAATGAGATGTCACAAAACTCTTATATAACATTCCTAAGGAGGCAAAGAGGGGGGAACGAAGCGAGGATTGGATTGGACTGGATTGGACTGGATTGGCCGAGCAGGTGTGGTGGGGGGCGAGTGATGGACTATGGCTATGGGCCCGGGGGTGTGCCGATGCTGAAAGCTGAAAGGGGATCGCACAGCCGGGTTGCCGGTTCTCCCGGCACGAACACCCCATGTATTTACAGCGAGCAGATACGGTACCCTCAAGCCGCCGCACCGGAGCAGCGGAGTGCTGGTACCTGGACGACCAAGTGTTAACGTTGATGCCCACTGTTAACCATATTCGCTTCCTCCCGCTGACAGGCGACAACCTGAGTCCTCCATCACTTCCCCGTCTCGCCAACAGCTCCCCCATCACATCGCCATAGCCTAGCCCGCCGCCACATCCTCCAGTCGTGGTGGATCCATCTGTATATCGTCTCACCTCCTGTGTAGGTAGGGGGGATTTGTGTCCCTCGCCGTACCTATGTACGTTTTGCTTCCTCCCTTCCCTTCCCTTGCTGCTGAAGTTCATCCTAAGGGATTATCGCCTCCAGGCTCCACAGCTGGCTTTGTTTTTTGTTTCATCATTAATTGCGTGCGACCTTATCTAGATCATGGCATTGTCTACCCGTGCACACACGCTCACTCGCTTCGATGTCCCCCAGTGCCCCCAACCACCCGGGGGACGGCGTTGACTACGGTAGAGTAGATAGAGTAAAACGAGTAGGGGTTGGATGGAGGGGGGGGGGACTCGGGAGTGGGAAGGGGCGGCTCATGCACTGCTTGCTTCCCGTGACGACGCACGCACGCAGGCACGCACGCAGGCACGCACGCAAGCACACGTAGGTACATACCTCTTGGGTACTTTGTCTAGGTATCCCAAAGGGATAGTAACGCCGATGATGCACCCATCACACCGCATCTCACAGATATATAGTAGTAGTCTGTAGACATAGTAGACATAGGTACGCACATCGTAGGGAATTCAACCGCATATCCTTGATGCACCGTGGTGTCTCCCCGTGCTACGAGACCTATGTAGCAGCTGGCCCGAGATTCAAGAGATGTATATACATAATCTATACTCCTCCCCCGGTCCCGGACTCCCGGATGTGCACGCGGCGAGCAAAGTCACGGCCAAGAAATAACCTGCTTTAGTTGGTACTGTATACTCTAGTCAAGGGGGGGTAAAAAATATGTATTTTTTCCCCACTGGACGCATTTTGATATCGTATCAGGGCGTAAAAAACACGTAGTTTGACCGTACTGATACGATATTATTAGCATTTTCTTAGAGATACGTTAGCACTACCACATCTTTTACCCCCCCTGGCTATACATTAGTTACCGACAAGCTGTAATATTCCACGCCGGCATCGGGGAGTGGGATTTGGGACCTGGGTAGCACGCGCTTCTGGCCACGGATGGACACATTACATACATAGGAGGGCGCCATCTTTTTCTTGATTTAACATTCGGCCCCCACGTTCATCGGTGCGAGTGCGACCCCATGACTATCTCGGGCTTCCTCTTTCTCAGCCGGTGATCGTCGTTATTACTGACAGGGAAAAAACTCTTGATTCGAACTTCCACCCCGTGGGCATCATCATTATGTTAGTCAAATATACTTGTCTATCTATCCGTACTTCCAGAGAAAAAAAAAGTTGCACCAATCATTACTCCGAGATCTCCGTCTAAACGTTCCAACACTCATCACATCCCCCCCACACACACATACATGAGACACACACATACACATACATACACACACATACACCCTATGCTGCAAAAGATATACAAGAAAGAAAAATAGCAAGAAATTTTAAAAACATAAACACGTCTGGGTGACCGTGGCTCCACTACCGCCTGGAGAAATTCAAGAACTTCGACGCCGCCAGCAAGATGATCAGCGTGCTGCCGACGAACGCGATGAAGATACCCATGTCCCTCCAGCGATTGTCAAAGCTCAAGTCGAGGGGTCCAAAGAACTCGTCACCGACCTTGTACGCGCAGTACTGGCACACGTCGGTGGCATTGAGGTTGCGGATGTAACCGGGGGCGCTCGCCATGAAGCTGCCGGCGTACTCGCCACACGTCTGGCCGGCGGGCGGAAGGAACTGGCTGTACTCGTTGCCGCTGCAGACCACGGGCATGTCGTGCAGCTCGGTGACCACCATGCCGCCGATGAGGCGCGTGAACGGGTCGAGCTCGTAGAGCCATGCGCGCCAGAAGCCGGGAATGTTGGGCTTGGGAATCGTGACTCCGCAGAACACGGCGAAGACGATGATGATGAACGGGTTCAGCAGCGAGGCGATGAAGAAGTTGGGGGTCAGCGCGGCTACGGCTTGGCCTAGGATCACCGAGAACATCTCGCACACCAGAATCATCAGGAATTGGTATCCGGCGCGGTCGGAGTCGGCGGACATGCCGGTCGGGAAGTAGATGCAGACGAAGAAGGCGACCGCGCAGAGAATCGAGTACGGGATTTCGGCAACGACCATGGAAAGCGTGAACGCGAGCGGCTGGTACATCTTGCTAGATTGTTCGCGGTACGAGATCAAGCGAGCCATGTCGTACATGGGCTCTACCTGGGCAAGAATCAAGGACGGCAAGACGGTGACCTGGAAGATGACGAAAACCCTGTACTGCAGACTCGCCCTGGAGTCGTCGAGCTGCAGGAATACGAGACCGGTCAAGAGGGAAATAACGACGTGGTTGAACAGTCTGGTGAATCCGTAGTTTGGCGTCCTCCAGAATGCGAGGTTCGTGCGCTTCATCACCTGCATGAGCTGGTAACCGAACGGTGTGGCGTACTGGTTCTGGATGACTGCTGGTACGGCTCCGATCGCGGCGACTCGCTCCTCCTTGAGTTGCGAGATTTGCGCCTTCACGTTGGCCAGTTCCTCCGATGTACGCCAGATGTCAGCCCAGTCACGGTTTCCAATACGCGCTGCCTGTCCGGCTCCAATTGCGTCGAGCATCCATTCGGCGACATTGGCGTCGGGAGGACAGTGGGCACCGTGCTTCTCGAAGTAGGCCAACAGAGATGCGGCGTCCTTTCCGATGTCACCAAAGTAGACACATTCACCACCGCGCTGGAGCAAGAGCAGACGATCGAAGTTCTCGAACAAGCTGGCGTTGGGCTGATGAATGGTGCAAAGAATCGCTTGTCCAGCATTGGCCAGTTTCTTCAAGAATCGAACAATGTTATAGGCAGACTGAGAGTCGAGACCGGAGCTAGAATGGATTGTTAGAATAATGCCGGTTGATCGTGGGGGATAACTCGACTTACGTTGGCTCATCAAGGAAAAGCAAAAGCTCAGGCTTTGCAGCCAGCTCGACACCGATAGTAACACGCTTTCTTTCCTCCACAGCAAGTCCACTCTGGGGGTTTCCGATGATTGCGTCCGCGATGTTCTCCATCTCAAGCAGGGCGATAACTTCCTCGACGTAGGCATTCTTCTCCTCGATGGGGACCTCGAACGGTTGTCTGAGGTAAGCCGAAAATCGAAGTGCTTCGCGAACAGTCTGCGTGGGCTCGTGAACATCCAGTTGCTCGGCATACGAAGTACCACGCTGGAATGCAACACCCTTTGGCTTTCCGTCAACCAAGACGTCACCAGCAATAACACCGATAGATTTCCTGCTAGCCAGCACGTCGAGCAATGTCGTCTTTCCGGCTCCCGAAGCACCCATCAACGCGGTCAACTGTCCAGGCTTAACGTATCCGAAGATGTGGTTCAGAAGTTGGATCTCTCCTTCGGGCACAGGCACCGTGTAACACAGATCCTCCCAAGTCAATACAGACTTCGAGTCGATGATGAGCGCCGATTCCTCCGCATCACCAAACTTGTTGAGTCGGCGTGCTTCCCGCTTCTCAACCAGCGCCTGGTTGAGTTTCTTCCGCTCGGCATTCTCTCCCGAGAAGAAGGTAACCGTCTTTCCGCCGGCACCGTAGGTGAAGTACTCTCCAAGAAGCGCGTTGGAAATGAGGAAACCGATGATCAAGGCCACGAGGATACCGATGTTGCGGCCCAGATCGGCTGGGTCGTACGAGAAGCTGGTCTTGACGTAGTCGCTGCCGATGATCATGTCCGATCCGGCTTGGGCACCAGGGAGTGTGCAAGTCTGGTGATCGAGATTGCCATAGCCAGGTCCGGATGGAATCAGTGCCTCGGGGCCACACTTAAAGTCGACACGCTTGAACTCATTCATCATGAGGGACGAAAACCCAAGGCCGAGCCCGTTGATGTAGAAGATCCAAGAGATCCACTTTCCTTGTGCGGGCATGGGCAGTAGATAGCCGGACGTGAGAACGAAGAGAGTGATAACGAGCTATCGAGTGTTAGTGTGATTTGAGTACCGAAATCATGGAGGTAAACTTACCGAAGCAAACTTGAGGGCATAATCGAAGTCAGGGCAAACACATCCCACGGTTCTGAAGAACAGCGTCATTGCCAGGTATCCGCAAACGATAAGAATCCAGAATAAGAAGAACGCCCCAGCATCTTGAGCCAACCCGCACATCCAATATGTGATGCAAGAGAACACGAAAATGAGCGGCGCGGCAAATACCACGTCGACGCAGATTTGTGCTATCCAGAGTGCCGATGGCCTGTGGAAAGCATACGCCCGATGTTTGTTGACAATCCCTCGTCCAGTCATAGTACTAGCCAACTCGGAGAACGCCTGGAAAGCATTGAACAGAAGAGACATGAAGAGTGTACCACCACGAGTGAAAGCTCCGCTCGAGGTTTCCGGGAGGTTGAGATAGACGGTACCGAAGACGATGGCAATAATGATCGAAGTAGCCCAAGAGACGGCCAAGCTGAACTTGTCACCCCACTTGAGCAGGAACTGCCGCTTCATCAATGCCCAGACTTGCATGTAGAATGGGACAGTGTAGACGGATTCGGCGCGCGCACCACGACGCTTCTCATCACGTGCAGCGAGTTCGAAATCGGTATGCACGTGTTGCTCCTCGCGGAGCTTCTCACGGTACTGTGCCATCTCGTGTTCCAGAGCGGCGAATTGCGGACTGTTGTGGAATGCGTCTTCGAGGCCTTGCGGGGTAGTTGGAACGTTGGTTTCATCTCGGCCTTCGGCGAAGTCGCGCTCCCACTCGTCGGTGCAACCAGTGAGGTAGTCCGGAGTAGTCTGGCGGGGCTTCGGAGCGAATCCAAGACCCTCAAAGTAAGAACGAGCTCCCTTTGTAGGTCCAAAGTAGACCTCGCGGCCGCTGTCGATAACGAGAACTTTGTCGAATTGTTGATAGATGCTCTCCGAAGCTTGGTACAGCGAAACGAAAGTGGTGGTTTGGTAAACATTCGTCATGATCCTCAAAGATTTGGCGTAGTCCAAAGCTGTAGAAGCATCCAAGCCACGAGTACTGTTATCCCAACTGCACACAGCAGCCCTACAGAAAAATTGGGTCAGTTCTCGTTCAACCGAATATTCGACGGTGATGGGGGGAAACATACTTGGTGATCATCATCTCCGCAATGGAGACACGCTTCCTCTCACCACCGGATACACCACGGACAAACTGGTTTCCAACGACGGTGTTCTTGGTATGCGTGATATTGAACATCTTCAGCAACAAATTGACAATATTTTCCTTGAAATCCTGCTTGGACATTCCGGCGGGCCTCTTACGAGGTGTCTTGGTATCCAGCGCGAACTCCAACGTCTGCTTAACAGTAAGGGTGGGGTTGTGAACATCATCCTCCTCGTTGTAAACACTTTCACCACGATACCTCTTGCTGAAAGTGTCCGCCGAAAACCGTCCGTACATGACTTCGCCGTCGACCTTGGTGTATCCGAAACGCTGATTTGCGATGACCTTCAAGAAGGTAGTGCAGCCAGAGCCAGGACGGCCAAGGACCAGACACATCTCGCCAGGCTGCAGGACACCCTTGAAATTCTTCAAGATATCGACCTCCTCTCCGCCGGATGACATTCCGATGATTGACTTTATTGTATCATAAATGTTGAAAAAGCTAACGACCGCATCGGGGAACGTCCTAACGAGGTTCTTCATACCGCCAATACCAGAGACCGTCAAGTCTTGCCATATTACACCTGTGTACAAACATTAATTTCGAACTCGTGAAGGAAAAAGGCAATCGCCCAAGATGATAACATACCAGCTCGCTTCTGCCTGATACCTGCCTCCCTCTCCGAAGACTCGTTTCCACGCAGATGATCTTCGAGGTCGAATTGCTCGGCCACGTCGTCCTGGACACCGGCCTTCTCCGGATCGGTGGCACGGGCCGCATCCCGGTGGCTTTGGACCCTTGAGATGTGGCTACCGCTTGCCGTCTTTGAGATCCGGGACATCTGCAAGCTGAGCTCACGGAACTCATGTTCGGCAGCTTCGACATCGACACCTTGGGAAATATTCGAGCTTCCACGGGGATTTGCGGTGTTGAGGTTCTCTCGCCGGTGGATGTCTTCGAAGACGGTGTCGTCCGAGGCTGTTGACCCACCGGAGCTGTGGGATTTGACCGGATCAGCCATCCAGGTGTGATGTGAGGGGATCGTGTTTTGCGGTGTGTGGTTGTCGATTTCTGAACGTTGGTTGATAGGTAGGTGCGGTGTTGTGGTATATATTCGAGTAGAGATCCGGCCAGAAGCGAATGGATTGAACTCGTGGGATAGCAATTAAAGCCCTGGTCGTAAAGGTGACGGAAGGGGCCTTATAGCAATATTACTTCCTCGGGGCTGCGGCCGGCGGCACCAAAAATACGGAGATAAGAATAATGTGGATGGCAAGCACTAGAGTAGCGGATGAAGGATCAATTTCACGGAAGCCTGGTGAATACATAACACGGATACCCTTAAGCCGGATTACTGAGAAAGGAGCACAAAAGTTCCGTGGAAGCCGAGGGCATCGCAAGTGTAAGTAGGGCCGTGCGTAGTCGGTACGTACCGAAGCTTTGACCTCCTCTCCATCTTGGTGGTGGGAAGAAGAAAGATCGTTGGGATCAGGAAAAAACCCACCACCAAAAATTTTAGCGTCGAGAGACACCACTACCCGTGCAAAGAACAATTCCGACTGCCATTCAATGCCAGATGCTACTCAAGTAGCCGACCATATCGGTCTCTTCGGAGCCGGACGCGTGGTACGAATAATCATCGGTATTCTCAAAAGTCCGAAAGACCGTGTGAATTGCCATCCTTGACTCCTTGAGCTCACAGACGGTACTGTTACATATCAGAGTCTTCAGTCGCATCTGGCGGAAGCATTTCCACTCTTGGCAGCGTCGAGTGGATCCAACCAGTCCGCGTCTGTCGATCAAGTAGAGTACCTATATAGCCACCGTCCAACGTAGCTTGAATCCACCCGAGCTGATTCAGGACACCGGGGCAAGGCCGCTTACCTTAGCTTTAGAGTAGCTGCGGAATCTGAACCTTCTCTGGTGCTTCCAGTGCCGATGTGCCGGGCGCGCTTATTCTCTTAGCTTCAGGCCCGGTCATGAATTGTCAGGGAGCGCTTCGAACTACCTAGCACCGGATGTATCCACGAACACCGACGCGGATATAAAGGAGGTAGTACGACGTACCGAGCTTTGGCATTTCAGTCAATTCTTCGTCGCAATAAATTAACGATTGTGCTGTCGCGGGCAAGAAATTGAGTTGGAAAAGGATGCTCAAGGTTGCAACCGATACAAGATAGAGTAGGTACACCAAGACAGAAGTCTGGGCACGCATACAGGACCACAGTCCCGGCAAGCAGCGCCGGCCCCACTTCCCCTTCGTATCATCAACTTCAACCAAACTTTCCTTGCCGGTAGGCCTTTGCGCGTCCTTCCACGTTTCTGGCGTAATCCCCCGTCGGAAGCAGCCGAAGACTTTCCTTCTTTTTCTCCCCCATCCAGGGCTAAGTAATGACATCTACTCCACTCTAGCCCCCACGCTTGTCCGTATCAAGCAGCAAAGTTTGCGGTACGGCACCGATCGCGAGGAGGGAAAACGCTAATTTCACATTTGTCAGCGGTAAAGCAGGACGTCTCTCCTTTGGTGGGTTATGCTCGCGCCGGAGATAACCACTTAGTATACCCCCGACACCGATTTCCGAAACACTAGATCGATCTATCCGGCGGAAGCACAGGAAGTCACTCATGGAAATATTCAGAGGAATCCGTCTGGTTCGAAAGTTGGCATAAGCTGTCATGGCTGCCGATCTAGTCGACATAACTACCTAGCTGACTGTTCGATGACACCCCCGGTATCTACTACCTTTCGGCGGGTATCAATCGTACCGTCCGGTACCATAGATTTTCCGAGTTCCGTCATCTCAGTACCGTATTTCGACAGAAATCAATGCTTATTTTCCTTGGCTTCTCGTATCGAATTATCCGCGTGATGGAGGTTTGCTACTGGTGGGTCTACAATGTACTATAGCTCGAGTCGATATTGACTCGAGATTGCTATGGAATGTGTGTGCGATTGCTCCTGGTGAGTCGACATTGCAGTACCATCAAAGCTCGCATTGATACTGTGCTGACGATGACTGCGAACTCTGTGAGATTGATTGGTCATGGCGAGTCGACGATTTGAGATCGAAGCTCACATTGATATTGCGCTGACGATGGCTACGAAATCCATGGGATCGATTGCTCTTGGTGAGTCGACAATGCATGCAGCATCTCCATAAGTCATCCACTGGTGCACGGTCAACCGTGGAGCAGCTTCGCAAGGCTCCGATAGGCATCTCAATGGCGTGATGCTCTGGTATGTGCACGGTGCTCCCCACGAGCGAGGGAAGCGAGCCGAAGGCACAAGTCCATTCCGACAGGTACTTCCGCCGTCCGGTGTACGGATCGGTTGGGAAAGTGGACTTTCACTGAATACCAAGACAAAACTTGCTCAAGAGGGTAATAGATACGGATAACACAGGGCGGATATACGGATGATCATGGCAATCAGGGTGAAAAGGAATCACATCTCCTTCCATAGCTAGAAATCTCCACAAGTCCGTTGCTAGTCCACGTTTCACGCGTATTCGTGTTCTTGATCTTTACGACTTGATCGAATGGCCAATACCGAATCCAGCAGGTTCCAGGACGCCGCGATGAAACTGCGATGGTTTTCATTCAGCCGTTCGGGGAAGCCGTACGGAGACATAGGTATATATTCCTCGATTTCCAGTATTGGCACATGATGAGCCCGTAGCAAACTTCCACCCGCCACAAAAACTTTGCCGAGGCTTATCTTGCTAAGCTCGACTGCACGTGTACATGATCTAATGCTTCGTAATACGGATCCATTCCAATTTACGACGGGAACCGGTGTGTATATGTACCACGATGATCTAGGTCGGAAATAGGTCGTATGCAACCACTGGTTAAATAAAGTTAAAAACGAAGCAGCCGTGTGGCAATTAGAGTATAGTATATATACCATATCGAGCCGTGTACTAATGTCGTTAGCCTTATGTAGGGCTTGAATAGGCCTACGAAATAAAATAGTCATCGTATAATCCAGCTATAAGCGCGTTGAACTCGTGAGGCCTCCGTAAGGGCTATGTCAAAATACGGCTGATGTTCTCATTTCCCTAAAATTGTCGTAACTCCGACATAATGCCTATGCAGCGAAAACCACCATCGCATAAATCAGCCTTCTCACTCTGTGAGCCTTATAGCTTTCTTGAGGCCTATATTGTCATTGTTGAGATTCACAGCACTGCCGTACAATAATGACTGTGAGACTGGCAGGCTTTTTGAAGCATTATGGCATATATTAGTTCGAGGCAGAAAATCCTTAGAGCTCCACACGCTCGATTTGTTCAAAGCATTATACAAGCCTCCGATGAGTCTTATTCAAACCTATGGGTTCTATCACTCTTATGAGTTAGTAGTGCATATGCGAAAATCAGCCTGCTTGACACCGGCGGCGGCGGGTGGAGAGGAGAGAGCGGAGGTGGGAGGTTGAACGTCTAGGTATTCTGTAGATGGTGATAAGAGAGAGAGAGGCAGCTCAAACAGAATCAAACCCGCCAGATAATGTCCTAACGTATGGTTAGGCGCAGAGTTTTCTGAAGACAGATATGATGAAGCTTATTTTTCAGTTTAAAACTTTCGAGCCCACGGCCCGTCCTCTTATCTTTCTAACGACTCATCCTCATCTTTCTAACAGCTTCTCCTCTCGCCTACAGCTCTCCCATCACCAGGCCTGGGAATCGTCCGTCCAGTCGAACATAGGTCCTCCATCACTTTATGGCCTTGCTGACAGCTCCTCCTCTTGTCCACAGCTCCCCCATCACTTCATCGTCTCGCTGACAGCTCCTGCATCACTTCCTCCACTTCCTTCCCTCGATACCAGCAAGTTATCCACGACGAGGAGTACGGGAACACAGTACTATGGTGAGCGGGAGACGGTACGGGAATGGTGGCGGGGGACTGGGAAGCGGGGAAGAAGAGTAGTTTAGGTGTATAAGGGTACGGAACAAGTGATAGTCATCTTGAAATGAAGAGTATCGATAAGTGATAGGCATTGCAAGAGATGAGGCTTGTTGCAGAAGAAGTCATTAGGGAATACTTATGAGCGTATAAGCCTTACTAATCCTTATTTTTCAAAATTCCCTACAGAGCCCATATGAAACCCTTATGAGCTTCAAAGGCGGCCGGCCAGTAGTCGTTGCAGAAGGCTTACGATTCAGGACTGATTTTCACTGCACTCAGGATTGTGGAAGCCATATTCAACAATCAGAGCTGGAATTTGAAAACCCTGACTAAGCCTTATTTTATGACGAGACTTTTCTCATATGTGGCTGCCATAATGCTTTTGACTTTAGTACACGGCTCGATATGGCCTAGAGAATCTTAACCAGCAGCGCGAGTGACATCGGGAATGTCCGAAATCCTGTTTCACCCCTCAATTCCCCACGCCATCGCGATCTTGTAAGTCCACAACTTACGAGCACATACTCTACCTATTCCAACCTCGAACCAAACAAAAAGGCCGAGCTCCTTGGGATCGAGCGCTGCTCGCGGTGACATTTATATCGAGTCTTGAATTCCCGAAGAAATGGGTTTAAACTTTGTGGTCCCTATTCTGCCTTGCTATTTTCCCATTCCGTCTAAACTTGAAAACAAAATAATGATAATAATCGAAACAGACCATTCACCTTCCTGACATCCTTTGAATCCTCCCTCTCATGGTATGTACAAGGGAAATGGAATCGTCAAACCAAGCCAAACAACCCCACCGATAACGATCAATACCGCCCAACATTTTAAAGTCCATTTAAAACCGGTAAAACCGCTGATCTGCGCCATCACAATACTCTGGGGAACCATCAGTCCTACGGCGTGAGTTCCGTACTGGTTTCGCAGTGATATAAATACCTAGGCCGACGAACGCAACATTCCCGTCACTAATAGCCGTGAACACACCCACCCCCGAATCTCCACGGGCGCAAAAAGACTGGTCGATTCATGGTGTGGTAGGTATTTACGGAGGTGTGGGCGTCGCGGAGGCTACCACTGACCAGTAGGGTAGATGGTGGCACGAGTGGCGGAGGTGGCGGAGGTGGCGCCGGCCCGCCTCCACCTTCGCTCGATAGGGCAACCGTTGCCGTACGGAGCCCCGACCAAAACGACTGGAATATCAGCACCTTGTAGTGAGTCGAGAAATGCCTGCCCATTGGCCCGATATGGAACTTCGTTCAGAACCCAGGTTGACCGCCCGTCTCTCGAGTCTTAGGGGCCGGCTTCCGTGCGGTTACCATCACTCGTTATGTAGGCATGGTGTCGGTCTTCCAAGTCGATATTTCTGTCAATTTTCGGATTATCTTTGTATGGTGCGCTTCGCTTTAAAGTTTAAACCCGGACCTTCATAGGGTCAGAAAGACCGAGTAATCGCTTGATTTTAACTTTTGCCGCGAAAACAAATGCAGAATTCCCAGCCTAGCGAAAAGCGCAGGTCCTGATTTTTACCAAACGAAGCATAATACCATAGGTTCGCACCTCGTTATAACGGCGAACCCCGTTCATCTGCCGTCTAGACGAAGCCCTTACTTTCGAACAAACTGTTTCCAGAGATACCCTGTGGTTATTTCGGAAGCTGAGTGAATGCTCCCTAGTTTTAGGATTCCTCACGTGCGAGATATCCCTCTCGGTGTGATCACTGAGCAGTGAGGAATGTTGACGCGATATTGGAAGTCTGTTGCTCAAGACTCATGTGTAAAGAGAGTCTGGACTCTGGAGCTTAAGCTATATATAGTACATACTATGAACATGACAGTCAACTTGAACCAGGATATGATCACGCAGCAACGTTCACTACCGGTATGGCTCCCCTTCAAAGGAGTGCAGCGGCTCATTAGACCAGAACCGTGGAGAAGGAACGTGCAGAGAGAAGGCTGAGAGATGTCACTTTATGAACCCAAGACTCGTCACTCGGCCACATCCAAAAAAACTTGACCCGGGCAAAGACAAAGCGAGACAGAACTCCAATGCAGCAAGTATGTAAGTAAGGACAAAGATGAACCTTTGGCGGAGAGTGTTGCCGCCGCTGCCGGGCTGATGAGGAGGCCCCTCACTATCCGTACTGGGGAGGGTTTGGGGGGAGAGCGAGAGGAGGGCTTGTCGGCGGGAGGAAGCGAATGTGGTTGGTAGGGAGCATCAACTTTTAGTGGGGTCCAGCGGGGTCGTTTGCTCCTTAATCGTCTGTTCATTAATCGTCTGCTCCTTAATCGTCTGCGTCTTAGTCGTCTGCGTCTTAGTCGCCTGCTCCTTAGTCGTCTTCTCTCTCTCTCATCGTCTACCGAATACCTAGGCCATCAACCTCCATATCTTCTCTTTCTTCTGTGTGTGCTCTCCTCTCGATCCCGCCTCCAGCCTGGTAGGGGTGTTAGTAAAATAACCGTCCGCAAAAGAGTGTTGACAGTGAGCGGTGGGGCTCACGGAAAAATGGGCTGTCTTCAGTTACAGGATGGAGGTACCTACTGAACTATCGGTGATACCATTACGATAGTTTTGGTGGACTATAGGACAGTACTCGCCCATCCGTCAGAAGAACTGTGACTGCTGTCCATGAGACCGGGGACCTTTGTAACCCCTCCGGAGTGGGGCCCTCGAGTGAGGTATTATGGGGCTGCACTCTGCTACGAATCCTCCGAGCAGAATTTGTTTTTCGGATTTGGTAACAACACTCAATTGCTAGGTACAACAATGGGGGGCATTAAATACAGGCACACTCTCCCACAGAAACCCAAACTTTTGTAAGAACACCATCGAAACTCCACGCACAGAACCCCAAACAAATGCAAGCCGGTATCATACAGGTAACAGACCCTCGACACTATGTAGAATCTGGATGAACTTCTAAAATCGTCTATCATTTCTTCCCCTCCTTAGCACTGGCAACAGCGATGACAATGCTACCATCCTTCTCGCGCTTGAGGCGGAGCATGGAAAACAGTTCCTCGGAGTTGAACTTGTCGCCAAGGTCCTTCTCGACGCGAGCGATCGCCTTCTGGAAAGACAGAGGGCGTCCGGTCTTGATCTGCTCGAGAAAAGCCTCGGCGGCGGCAGGCGAGGGGACGGCCTTCTTGGTGACTCCATTGGACTCGACTTTGTCAGTCTCACCCTCCTTCTTGGACTTCTTAGCGGGAGCCTGGGAAGTGGCAGCAGACGTAAGGTCGGTCTCGGCGTCGGCATTGAGCTTGCGCTTCTTGTCTTTCTTGTCCTTCTTCTCGACGGGCGCCGCGGCCTCAGCCTCAGCCGCGATGATAGGAGCGACAGGAGCAACAAGAGCGACAGGAACCTTCTCAACCTTTTCCTTCTTACTCTTCTTAGACTTCTTCTCGACCTTGTCCTCCTTCGGGGCTTCGACCTTGGGGGCCTCCTCCTTAGCCTCTTCCTCGACGACGGGTGCCACCTCCTCGACCTTCTTGACAGCCTTCTCCTTCTTGGCCTTCTTTTCCTTCTTGGCCTTCTTGGGAGCCTCCTCGACAACAGGCTCGGCGTCCTCCATCTCGGCGTCCTTGATCTCGATGACAACGGCGACAGAGGCGGGAGCGGGAACGGGGTCCTCCTTCTTGGCGTTGGTGCCCTTCTTTCCCTTGCCCTTGTCGGGACGGTAGAGCGCGCCCTGGTACTTTTGTTCTTCAGAGATACAGCTCTATGCAGTGCGTATATATGTCAGCTGCTTGCGTGGTGTGAATGTGTGGGAGGTGGGGGGGAGGGAGGGTGAAGGTTGGAACGAACGGTGTGGGTGCGGTAATCTGTTCCGTGGAACGTGGTGGAGCAGTCAATGCACGAAAAGACGGCGTTATGACAACGGCCGCGGTGCGCGTCAAGCTTGGGCTTCTTGATCACGTCGTTGCAGGACTCGCAGTTGACTGTGCGCGAACGGGTTCAATTAGCTCCATTGAGCCCATATCGGAGGAACGCGCCCGGGGTGGGGGGGAGGGGAAATGCATACAGGAGACCATCTTGAATGTGTGTGGGAGTTGCTGTGGGAGGGGATGTTTTTGGGGAAGAGAGTAAGGTTATTTCGCGGTATCGAGGAAGGGAAGAGGTTGTTTTGCGGTGTCGAGGAGACGCCATGTCGAGAAATTTTGCGGTTGGTTGCAGACCCTGTCTAAGTAGGATCTGGCGGGAGCGCTACGCCACTTTTGGATAGGGTTTCTGGCAGCATGTATACATATAGATATGGCACGTGCAGACTAAGGTTAGGGCAATAGCCTTTACGAGTGCCACGATGTGAGCAAAACACGTTCCAAACTCTGTTATCCGTGATCTATGATAGTACATAGCACTCCACTTAACTACAACATCAATATTCTCGCCTCGGTACCTATGCCCGTAAGCCATCACTGCAGAGAAAGTCATCATCGAGGCAGATCTAAAAGCATTCGGAATCGGAGAAATCCGAATGATGTTGGAGCACGGGATTTTCTGAAGCTGAGACACGGGCTTCTGGTCTGGGCATGGTGTGAATCTGGCGGGGCTGTGGTGGTGAGTATGTTTTCCCAACATGTCGCCCAGCTGTAGTGATTGGTGCTCGTGTGACTTGTATCACATGGATCGATCCACAGTCCTGAGTCGACGGAGAGGCAGCCGTATGTACCTAAATACCCAGGAGTAGGAATCCCCAGTTCGTCATGACTGGCCAGAGCGATTCGTCTCTTCCTCCTACCTACTAGGTAGTAGTGCAAGCCCCAGTATTGGCGGCAGCAAGAATCGTGTTGGTAATGATCATCTGATAACTTACATCTGCCTCCCATCAAAGCCATCTCCACTAACGGTTGGTTGGATGGGGAGTGTCTCGCCTGTGCCGGGCACCTGTAGGCTCTCGATGCGGTTCTAAAGACTTGAGCCCCGCAGCCCATTGTTGTTGCTTTTCTCGTGGAGATGAGATCGTGAACACGAGCAGTCCAAGAGTCATAGTGTACGACCTCGAATCGCCCTGCCAAAAACGTGTGCGAATATTTGGCAGTAGAGTAATAGCGTCTTTGTATCCCGCTACCATGGTTTATGGAAGGGAGCCCGCTTCCCCTAGTCTTTCTTCCAGAGGGAGGGAGGGTGTATGTTCCTGTCTGGACTCTGGAGAAGGATTCCTGAGAGCTGAAGAGGAGCCATGTACGTACGTATACGTATGGGTTCGAACTTCGAACCGCCGGACATGCGAAGTTTGGGCTCCAGGATGGCTGTCCTAGATTCAGCTGGAGGAGCGAATACAGATCCACAGGAGAAAAAAGCACTTATGATATGAGATGAGGGGGAGCCCGGGGAGGGGCGCTCTTGGTACATATCCATCTCCAGATAGATAGATATGTAGCTTACCGCGCGAAGCTGTCAGGTAGGCAAGATGAATCCGGCGCCGGAGTCCGGACAGCCCCCGTAGTAGAAAAACAGGCACGAGCCCCACTGTAATCGTACGTATATCATATTTTTTGGCCGACTAACTTGGGGCTGGCTTCACGGAACGAGGAGGCTACACATACCTGCCGTGAAGCTCTGTGGGGGTAGTGGGGGAGAGTCTCGCTTGAAATCAGGTAGACTATAGTTACCCCCGGTCGTTTCTTACACGCCATCGCAGTCCGCATCCAACGTTTTGATTGCTGCATGCAACCCGTCTGAACTCGAACTCGGGGCAACGCTGAGCCAACCCGCCGACCAGCTCCAAGGCCATAACCACAAGAGGGAATTTCCAAAGACACCTTCAGAGAAGCCGGATAGCCATCGACAAGTCTCCATCTCCGCGGAGTCAAAGATCTTATCGGTGGCATGAAGCAGAGAAATCTTCTCGACTCCCAAGCCGCCAACCCAAGCGTTCCGACAGGACGAAAGTAGATCCGGCTGCATCACTGTAAGTTGCACGTGGGTGTGTATGCCGCGAGGGGTAAAGAAAGGCTATGCACATCGCAAACTCGGATAGGTATCATATGTAACTTCTTACATAAAAAGGAATGCATGCATACTTACTCGGTTACTTGGCCCTGTCCCTGCCATAGCCATCGCCAAGGCGGTTGTCGATTCGTTTGTTAATCGTGCATGAGGTAGAGTACTGTAGTCTAGAGTAGATACCGTAGGAATGTATGCTTCATATGGATTTTGGCACGGATATCGTGGCTACATGCTACAATGTTTAGTGTACTAGAACACTAAGAATTGAATCGCGGCCCCAGCCCCAGGTCACGGAGGATATGGGCATGTAGGAAACGTCTATAAAAGATACCGATCGCTGGTGAGACAAGACAAACATCACCGGTTCCATGAATTCAGCTGGTTGCAACGTGCGGGGTGTGCCGCACCACCCTTCTCTATTCATTACCAACCGGTTTATGCGTACGCACAACCCCCGCCCGCCCAAGATCAGTAGTAGTTGGTTGGTTGGCCACCCGGTATGTACCCATCAGACATGCCTACCCCGCACAAAGCACGCATCGGATTCTCGCCAAATGTGCCTAGATGGGACTTGGACGGTTGGAGTGCGATACTACTCTACTCGTAGACACTGCCAAGCTGCGAGAATCTACTCCCTGCTCCCGGCCAACGTCGCTACACACGATGTAGTAGGTGGAGTAAAGAGCGGTAGCTGGCGGCGCCCAGTTTTGTTACGTAGTGGGGGAGATGGACAACCTGACACAGTCCGGTGGTACCGGATCGCCTCGCCACCACCGCCGCCCTAGATAAGCACCTACGCAAGTATGAGCTTACCCAGTGGGCGAAAATCATGATATAGACCCCTCTTTCCCCCCTCCTCATCTCCCTTCCTTCCTTCCTTCCTTCCTCACCACGCTTCGAATAAATCAGAACCTCACACAACAAAACCAAAACCTTCCACCAAACACCCCCACCAACTACCAACTATCATCATGTCTGGCTGTGGATGTGCCTCGTCTGGAGCGTGCGGATGCGGCGAGGGCTGCTCTTGCGACGGCTGCCCTGTCAGTTTCCTCATTCCCAGCTTGCCCGCGTGACTTGTACTGATATGTCCGTCGTTCCAGCATAAATAAATGTCTCTTTAACGACAATCTCTGAGCAAACCGACCCACCCACCACGTCACGCCTGCCTATCGTTCACGGGGGATAACAACACATCGCGGTGGCAATTGGGGGAGTGAGGAGGGGACTGCGGAAGAGTGAAGGAGTGGGATGAGATCGAGGAGATGGTTCTCTGCGGGGTTTCGTTTTTTGAAATTCTGTTAATGTCGCTTCAAACGTTCTTTTCGTTCGCTTCAATGAAATAAGCTTGATTATCCGAAATTATTCGCCCTTGTGCAACTGTGCAACTGTGCCGCTGTGTCCGTGTGCCCTTTTGATACCTAACCGCATACCGACGGGGCCTCGCTCGTTCCTCCACAAGGCTGTGGTCAACCTGCAAGCGAAAACGTGCGGGAAAGATGGCTGGTGGCCGGCTGTGTTTTAGCCACTGGTTATGAATGGTGATACATATCAAGGGCTCTGGGTGCGAATCGGTGGCGGTGGCTAGGCTCAGCTCAGCTCAGCTCCGGCAACGACTACTGATAGTCGATCGTTCCGACGCTCCATACATCTATTTATCTATCTATCTAAACCGAAGAGGGGAATGTATTCTAACTATTAACCAATTAATCAACGCCATATATATATATTTACACCATATATATATTTACACCATACGGAACGAGTAGCCGTTGCTCATAACTCAGTGCCCGATCTCGATTTCTCCTCGTCAGAAGTGTTGGCGGTATTAGCCTCGCGCTCAGCCTTTCCATGCTCAAACATCCTCTGGTCGACGCGGGCCACGGCGTACAGGATGACGACGATCACCTCGAGCGTGGGCAGGAAAACATAGAAAGCCGCGCGCTTGTGGTACCACGCGGGGTTCGTGATGGGCCGGGGAGGGAGGAACGCGATTGCTGCGCGGAAGGCGTTTTCGAGGGCTGCGTTGGTCAGTCTGGTTAACTGGCTAGCAATCGATCTCTCTGTGTGTGCCGGGGGGAAACTCACTGAGTAACAGACTGGCAATTATTACGATGATCACCTTGTGCATAGTCGTCCCCATTTTTCCAAACTTTGCCTTCGCGGGAGTGCGGATGAAGCGTGCGGCGAGCACTAGCGGAATCGGCATGAACGAAAACACCGTGAAGTAGATGATCCCGAAGCGTTGGATATCCCGGCACTTCAGCAGCCTGGCCGTGTCGAGGGTGTAGAACCCTATGACCGTCGCCGTGATGACTACATTTCGCCTTCGGTCAGTCCCAGCCCCTGCAATAGGATATACGACGGTTATCACTCGACTCACGCATTATCAAAACGCAAACAACGGAAACGTAGTACACGGCGAAGGCGATGACCACTGGCTTGCTGCGCCCGAACCGCGGGTGGTAGCTACGCACTATCCGTTGCGTGAAGTTCAGGTTGACGATATAGAGGAGTAGCACGCCCGCCGAGACGAAGATGCCCGCCGCCATAGCCACCTGCGTGTTCTCGGGGTTTTTCGCAGTGGCTGTAAAAGAAAAAGAAAAAAATTGGTTAACGAATATAAATCGCGGTGGGTTCCCAACGTCCGCCACGTCGGGAAGTGGGCGGAGGGAGAGGGGGGGCGAACCTATTCGCATCGCGAAAGTGGTGATTCGAGCCATGCAGAAACCAAAAGTGACGCCGCTATACGTAACCAAACGTCAGTTCCCACCGCACATTTTCGACCGTATCTTTCTTCGGGAGAACCCACGAGAATATGAAGAAATGACCCTTCGCCTTGTTGGTCTTAAAGAGGTACATGTGTGTGGCGGCGAGACACGCAAATATCACTATGAACATGGCCGAGACACCTACGTCAATCGTATCATCTGGTTTTCCGCCGAATGCGGCGTTTCGAGCTGGATATGGAGGGCCATTCGCCTGTGAAGTGTTAGATACCTAAGTCACGGGTAGCGACACGGGAGTGCAACTGACAAGCATCTGGGAGAGCGCGTACGACTCGGCACTCGACGACATTTTGTTGTTTCGGCGGCGGCGGCGGCGGCGGCGGCGGCGGCGGACGGTATTGGCAGAGTTTTTGGGACAATGGGGATTTCGGCTTCCGGAAAGTGGAGACTGTCGTGTCGGGGCTCCTCAGGTTTATGTAGTCCTCAATACTACCCCCTCCCACCCTTCCTTCCTTCATGTTTAGGGGACATGTCACTCTCCTGTAGGCGCTTCCCAGTAATTCCGAGAGTGGCGTACAATCTCTGGATCTTTTCAAGCCTTTTGATTCGCTTATAAGACGGAGTTCTAGAAGTCGGTCTATCATTCCGCCGCCAATTCCGTTAATTCCGAGCCTAAGTTCGTTGAGGGAAAGCTCGCCTGGTACGATAGTAGTCCACCTTCCTTCCGGACCCTGCAACGGAGAACTTGATACACCCCGTTTCGGCAACAAAAGTATATAGCCGCTCATAGATTTCGCCAAACTCCGGCCGGTCCGAAAAAGAGACCCACCGCCCGACCGTCTAGTTGATCTTGGGAGAACCGGTGCTGCACGCGAGTGGTGCATCGATTCGTGGTTGACGCCGATACGGTACTGCGTGCCGTTATAGCCGAACGCATGGAGGATTCACGGCTCTTGAGTCATTGTATAGCCCGACTACGGTATTTTGTGATCACTACGTAGGAACATGGCAGTGCAATAGAGTATTTACTTATGAGATGCTTCGATTTCCACGTAGTACATATTCGGTCCGCAAAGTCGCCGACTCGCCGAATGCGCCAATCAAGGAAATCTGACCCAAGGCATCAGCCTGTTGAGATCGATTCACGTGGATGCTACGTAGTCTGCTGTCCATAAACTCTCCGACTCACCGGCGGCTGTGCATACATGCTCGGCGCACATCGATGGGTCGGATTAGAGTAGTTCTCCCACTGTGCAGGATCCCTCCACCTAAACTTGTCTATACCGATCGACCCAAGCGGGATGCAAGCTTTCTGGGCGCACGTGATGGCTTTACATACTAATGCGGACGCCCGCATCCGCCATGATCATTGTGTGATACTCGCCGTTCCGACTGAACGACCGAAACCAAACTCTATACGAACGTAACCTTGCCTTCTACAACACACCCCACCAGCCAACCCCGCACAATGGAGACCAACGGCGACGGCGACGGGATGACGCTTGAGGAGATCGAGAGAGCGGTATGCCGCTCACATACATACCGGTGCTAGGGGTCGTGCTGATATCTCGGATGTGAAACAATAGATCAGTTGCACGCCAAGAAACTTCAGACCTCGTCGCCGGTTGCCGACTTCGGATTCTTTCATTGTGAGGGCCTCCTATAGATTCAGTGCTCAGAGTTAACTGATGGAATGTAGCAGGAGAGGGAGGAGAAGGAGAAGGGCAAGGAGAAGGAGAAGGGCAAGGAGAAGGAGAAGGACGAGTCGTTGGTCGTACCAGGGAAGCGGCAATCCACCCTCATCCATAATACGACGCAGTATGGAGATGAACTGCTAGAGTTAGCTGGATTGAGTGAGGGGCCTAAGGAAGATGGAGAAATACAGCTTTCAGATGATGAGGAACTCTTCAGCGAGAGTGAGAGGGAACCCGAGGAGCAAGCAGAAACGGGGCTTCCATGGGAGCTCTTCGAAGACTACCATGAGGACGAGGCGGAGGACGAGAGCGAAGTGGATATGTGTGCTTCGCCAGACAACCAGAATGAGGAGGGAGAGGAGGATGAGGATGGAGAAACCCCTTTAGTTGGAAGTGATTCCGACAGTGACTTGGAAGAATACTTGCCGACGAGGCGAAATCAGGCCCTCAAGAAACTCGCTGCAATTCGAAAGGCTTCTCGCAAGAAGAAGACGGCACAGTATAAGACGTCGAAGAGGACGATTAGGCCAGCGAGGAATGTCAGCATTAGTTCTCTCCCGGATGATGAAGCCCGAAAGGCGAGACGTCCGAGAAAGAAAGGAGTCTTGTCTGTCTGGGGTGCACTGCCGCTATCTTACAACCCGATCTTTCGCAAGGAACCCACTTTCGAGGTACACACCCTGCTGTATATGGCCGTGAATCTTGCTTACAGGGGAAAGGAGGATCGGACCCCACCACCCCTTGATCTACCATACGATCCCATCGATGCGAGCCAGCCGGACGCCAGGGCGGAATTGTCGAGTGTCACCGAGACTCCAGCTCGTAAGCTCTATCCTATCAGTGAACTCGGTCAGAGGCTTTTTGCGGCGTTAGAGAAGACCCCACAGACCTCCAGTAGGAAGATTCCGGCGTTACCGACACCCGAAAGCAACAGCAGCAGAGGCGCTAGAAGTTTGTTTGCTGGTCTAGATGTTGACCTGGTGTCGGCTTGTCTTACAGACCCAACGATGCTCCAACTGGTATATATATCTCGGGTTGCTTTGACCTCCGACAAGTGCTGTAACTGAGTTATGTAGGGTCCAGGTTCGTCGGGATCGGTTCCAAACCTTGACGTATGTACAGTTGTTCCAACCTTCAACTTGTATAAAGCTAATTGGGTTTTAGGATCAATCCGGCGCCGAAGAGTTACATGAAGCCGAGCCACCGGACACATCTGACAACCGGAGGGAGATTGAGCTTCAAGGAATATATCGCAGGAAGCCATTGCAGGATGCACCTCTGAAGATGTTTAGTGACCGCATTGCATCAGACTCTCATGCCGGCCACGCCACATCACCGCGTGATGATTCCCACTTCCAAGGGATTGCCAAACCTGCCGGAGGAGTTTTCTGGGACGACAACGAACCACTCACGTATAGCTCCCCTATATACAGTAATTTTCCCGTTGAAGGACGTCCTGGAAACAAATCACAAGTAGAATCAAGGATTTCAACATCGGCCTCTAAACAACAGAGAAGAATTACGGAGATTGAACAGTTTCCAGATCAATGGAGTGTTCGGAACGGTAAAGAATCGAGAGTATGTGGAACAACATCACTGTTGCATTGCATTTCTGACTTCTTCCTCGTTAGCTAAAGCCGTCGGTATATGATGAGCCACAGCCTCCCTCCAACCTTCCTGTGGCGCAGGATGGCTGGAAAGCACTCCCCCAGAGACCAATCAGTGCCCGGCATCTTGAATTCAGCTCCCATGCTCCAGAGTTCTTCGCCAGTGGCGGAAAGCGTGTGCCTGAGAAGGCCGACTGGGAGCACCTAGATCAAGACGGCAACACTCGCAAACGGAGGCTTCCACAAGGTCGGCAGCCAGAATTAGCACCATATTCCCCGCGAAACTACCCTAGTTGTGAAATGGACAGCTGGAGACCCCTCAATCGAGAGCCTAGCACTCGCGGATGGAACACTCAACAAACCAAAATCACTGCCTACCGGCAACTGACTCAACGCTCACCTATCCCGAATTCTAGGCGAGGTCAGCGGGGCGGAGGCGGCTTTCGACAGTTTTCATCGGAGCATTTAAGCCCTTTGCCTCCACCTTCACATCCCCCTACTCCTTCACCAGAGCCGGGGCCAGCGCTTCTAGAGGAAGGAGGAGATACCCGCGTGTACACCGTGCAGCCTTCCCCAGACAGTGGGAGTTACTTCATCAATGCGTTAGCGAGACTCAGAAGGGATCCCGATCGCCCTGCAACTACGACCAGAGCAGCCCGGAGTCGGGCGTACACTGCGACTGCCATATACCGCTCCCCGCAGCCAAACGTACACCGTGACATTACGGGCGCAATGGGAATGGCAAAGCTGGATTTCTCGACAGCCCCGTCAATGTACCGTGCGAGACGCTCGACGACGATGATGAATACCCCGTTTAGACCCCCGTCGACGAGGGCCATGACACAAGGAGGGGGAGGGGAAAGGGTCGTCACTCAAGTGACCAAGAAGCGGGGAATGACGATTACGAGGTATTCTCATGGTGGAAGTACGGCTGGAAGAAGCCGTACCCAAACCAGCGTGATGGAGATGGAGTATGAGGGAGTAGATATGAGAGGCCAGGGAGGTGTTGCGAAGCGGGCGAGAACTGATTATGGCTATGAGATTGAATACGGTGATTTTTCGGGTGGAGTTGCAGCGACGAGTGGGTTTCAACAGGTAAGGGAGGCGTGGTGATTGCATGACATGGCTGGAGCAGGCGTTCCGGACTTTAGTTGGGGGGTACACAAGTACTTTTGACCGAATTACTTTTCATATTTGCGAGCCTGCTTATTTGTCCCTGTACCTACATATTTTCACACGGGGTTTGACGGCGCCATAGGGGTTTAATAAATAATTGCATTGAAAGCCGATGTTCCATTGTCCGGCTCGGGTGAGAAGTAATGATTACGTGGGCTAGGGTTCGCTCTTTCAGACGCCCGAGAAGTCATTCAGCTCTGTAGCCAGGAAACCTCAGCACCGGTCCGAAACACTTCGGCATTATATGAGAATTGTTCTCTAGCCCGAGCCACTCAGTAACGAGGGCTTACGAGAGCCATTGACACAAATAGAACGCCCACTGGTTCTACGGATACGGATCTAAGTACGTGTGATTGGTTCCTTGTGGACGTCATCGGAGTTGCCCCTCCCCCGCACCATGACGCCGGCCGGCGGGCGCGGCTGTCGTGCGAGACCGTCAATCATCGCGATTAATTTACCACCGACCTCCGGGAGCTGGGGGGAGCCGCGTTAGAATTAGTGAAAGTATATATTTACCCCAGCTTTCCTTCTCTCTGCCCACTACTGTACTCTACCCCACTATCCACCAAACGACCGAACGAACGAACGAAACCAAGCCCGCAAACAAACATACAACCAAACAAACTTCCACACTTCCACACGCTAAACGAAACCGCAACAGCTGCAATCATGGTTTTCCCGCCTCCACCCACGTCGGCCATTGGTACCTCTCCTACTCCTCTCCGTCCCGCTCCTGCTGCTGCTACTGCCGTTTCCCCAACCGCAGCACCGCATACTGACCCCCCCTCCCAGACTGGAACGACCTCGGCTTCAAAGTCCGGGAAGTAAACGGCCACGTCTCGTCCACGTACAACAAGACGACTGGGCAATGGAGCGCTCCGGTGTTCATCCGGGACCCCTACCTGCGGCTGCACGGGATGTCTCCCGCACTAAACTACGGGCAGCAATGCTACGAGGGTCTGAAAGCCTTACGGAACCCGGACGACAAGAGCATCCACATATTCCGGCCGTCGGAGAACGCGCGCCGCATGCAGCACTCCGCCAGCTTCGTGGCGATGCCGCCAGTGCCCGAGGCCCTGTTTCTGGAGAGCGTGCATATGGCTGTCGCGAGGAATGCGGAGTTTGTTCCCCCCAGTGCCTCAGGCGCCAGTATGTACATCCGTCCCCTCCTCTTCGGAAGCTCTGCGCAGCTGGGGTTGAGCCCGCCCGAGGAGTACACGTTCGTCGTACGTCCGCCCCCGCCCCCCCCCCCCCCCCCCCCCGCCCCCCGCTCACCGAAGGCTAACAGCAGCACAGGTCTACGTCCTCCCGGTCGGTGTGTACCACGGGATCCATACGGTGGACTGCCTCGTACTCGAAGACTTCGACCGTGCGGCGCCCGCGGGCACTGGGTCCGCCAAGATCGGCGGCAACTACGCGCCGGTGCTGATCCACAGCGAAGCGGCACGGCAGGCAGGATACGGGATCACGCTGCACCTAGACAGCAAGACGCGGACGCACATCGACGAGTTCAGCACGTCCGGGTTTCTCGCGATCCAGTACCCACCTGCGGGCTCGGGGGCCGAGGTGAAGACGAAGCTGCTGGTCGCGGACTCGAATAGTGTCATCAAGAGTATTACTAGCAGGTCGGTGCAGCAGATTGCGAAGGATATGGGATGGGAGGTCGAGGTCCGCCCCATTAGGTTCGAGGAGTGTGAGGGCTTCGATGAGGTCATGGCTGCGGGCACCGCGGCCGCGCTGGTGCCGATCAAGTCGATTACCAAGAAGAGCACCGATACCAAGATCGTCTACAAGTACGGCGACGAGAATCCGTACGTCCCACCACCCGTGCTTGGAGCAGTACAGGGCTAATAAGATACTGTAAAGTGAGGGCGTAATGAAGCTCCTGGCCGCACTGAAGGGTATCCAGGCGGGCACGTGCGAGGATACGCACAGCTGGCGCGAGGAGGTAAAGGAGCCGGCGCCGCTGATAGAGACGGAGGCGAACACGCCGTCGAATCTTACCGCTGTCAATGCGCTATAGAAGGATTGCGTGGGAGGAGGGGTTCGTACATGCGTACTTGGTGGGGATCTGGTAAACTAAAAGTTCGGTTGGTTGGCGGGGGAGGGGTGGGGAGGGGGAAGGGGGATATACAGATCGTTCAGCCAGGAAATAAGAACAAGTCAATTCCTCTCTTTGTTCTTTCCCTGGTGATACCAGCCAGCCAGCCAGCCAGTGAACAACTCAATCCCATCTTTGTTCCACCGAGTATTGAGCACGATACCAGCCAGAGCCAGAGCCAGCAAGCAAAGCCATCAATAAAGCCAGACAGAACACAGGGGAAAAAAATCAATTCGGTATGTTGAGTACCTAACGCATCTGAGACAGACGACATAAAAGTAACCCCATCATCATTATATCCCCATCATGATCCGGCGCATCTCTATCTCCCCCCCCCCCCCCCCCCCCCCCCCCACCTCCTACCTCCTACTTCCTATCCCACATACAAGGTACGGAGACCCAGGCAGAGAGACAGAATCATCGCCACAAATACTGCCTCCCCATCTCATCCGCCTGCTGTCCCCGTACTTCGAGACTACACATTATTGAGCGCCGGCATGTTGGAGCAAAGCAAACCAGAGCAAACCAGAGCAAACCAGAGTAAACCAGAGCAAACCAGAGTAAACCAGGGCAGAGTAGAGCACAGCAGAACACAGCAAACCAGAGCACAGCAAACCAGAGCCCAGCAAACCAGAGCCCAGCAAACCAGAGCCCAGCAAACCAGAGCACAGCAAACCAGAGCACAGCAAACCAGAGCACAGCAAACCAGAGCACAGCAAACCAGAGCACAGCAAACCAGAGCACAGCAAACCAGAGCAGAACACAGCAAACCAGAGTCAATCAGAGTAAACCGCAGCAAACCAGACCAAACCAGACCAGACCAGAGCAAGACAGAGCAAACAAATCACAACACAGATCGAATTCATTGGAATGATGCTACGCTCGCCTTCGCTCTCGCTCATTCAACAATCAACACAAAAAATAAAAAGTTCAACTCCGAAAAAAGAAAAAAACCTTTTGCAAACAACCGACATCGAAAGGTAAACAGGCGAAGAGAAGAAAAAAAAGATAGAGGGAAAGACAGAAAAGAAAGCAGTTTCTTCTGTCGTTGCTGTCCCTGTTCGTGAAATCGGAACTGAAAGAACGGGGGAAAAACAAACAAACACTCAAGGTATCATCCGCATCAGAAAAAAAGGAGAGAAAAGAGAAAGAAAATCAACACCCCGGGAATAAAGGGAAAAAGCAAAAAACAACCACCACGCCTCTATCATCATCGCCTCGTGCATAGCGTCCGTCCGCCCGGCGAGCGGCAGCAGCAGCCTTACAAAACTCAACTCGCAGCTACTTTCAGCTCCCCCCAGAGAACCAACCACTCCGTTTCGAGCATCAAACCATGTTATGGCCCTCTTTGATCATCGGACTGAGCGGGGGGATGGGCGGTAGTGACTGTGGCAGTCCAAGCCTTCCGCAGTCGCCAATGCTCTGTCTGGGCGATTTGTTAGGCTCGACCATTGTGCTGTACCGATCTCCGTCCGTGAAAACCGAGATAGTCCGATCCGTAGAAGGCACCAGCTTATGGTGCGGATGGTGGTTATGCTGATTATGGGGTTTTTCGCGATGGCTGTATTGTGGTCGTATTCCTAACGCTTCCTCACGTTCCCGTTCCCGTTCCAACTCACGTTCCCGTTCCCGTTCCATCCTCTCGCGATGCGCGGCTTGTTCGGAGTCCATTTCGATGATGGACAGAACACGTCTTCCGTCTTTATCCTCCCTCCTTGCTAAAGTCGCCGATAGTGGAGGCATTGTGAGTTTCGCACGATTTAGAACTGTGGGCCAGGCATCTTGCGAACGATCCGTTTCGGCAGAGCCTCTGGCATCCTCGGATCGTCTAGTTTCAGCATACTGTCCGGTTCGATTCGTGGTTCTCGCATCCGAAGACGGTACTGGCGGCTGACGCATGGCTGACGGTGACTGTTCGTGAGACGTCGTTTGTGGTGGCTGTTGGTAGGCCGGTATCTGTTGTGGCTGCTGATAGGGTGGTGTCCGCGGTTGCTGCTGATGAGATGATGTTTGTGACGGGTGCTGCTGATGAGATGGTGTTTGTGCCGAGTGCTGCTGATGCGAGGACGATGAATTCGAGGGGAACCGTAGTGGCATCGATCGTTGATACTCCGTCTCTTCAGTCAAGCAACCGGCCCAGCAATCCGCCCAGTTGTTGACCAACCAATTGAAACAGAAGCGATCGATCCGGAGTGTCGAGCAGAACACCATGCCCAGGTTGGACAGGTTCATCTTGTTGACGTCCGACTCCATGCATACCGTGCTCAAGTGTGAGAACAAGTGATTGAGCAGGTAATAGTTCTGACATAATGTAAGCGGATGTGGATGGGACCAGTAGGTGGGATGAGGGCTCCTTACATAGGGCGGCAAGTTGGACAGCTCGTCGACGAAGGCTTGCGGGGGTTTTAGAGACTCTGTCTGGTCCTTGCACTTTTCATATATCCGTTTCTGAACGTCTATTGGAAGAATTGCGTCTGGCACTGCATGGGAATCGTTGTCAGTAAAACTGGCGAGTAGGACGAGGGAGGTGAGCTAGTCAGCTTACAGGAGCGGAACCATCCCTTCAGCAGGGACGACACGGTATGAAGGTCGTCCGGTGGGTTCTCAAACAGATCAACATCGTGCTTTATCTTGAATTCTGCCCTCAGCTCGTCAACAACGGCGGTGCTTCCCGGTATCCGATATATGCCGACTTCATGGGGGCCGTAGACATTAAGGTACCTGAGCAACGTCCGGTCAGCGATCACCGCCCTCACAAACGCAACGCAACCTTCAAACAACGAGCGCCATGCCCAGGGAGGCCAACATACTGCAGACACCGGTAGGCGATTGCGGGTATCCAGAAAGTCGCATCGCCTTCCATCTTGCGCTCTCTAACGATCCTCGTCTTGACCACCGCCTCCCTGAGATCCATGCCAAACACCTCGACGTCGAGACTGGTGTCCCGATACTGATCGTATCTGTCTCCGCGGCCGTGCTGTGGGGACGAAGACCGTCCGCCTCCGTGCCTGGGGTGGTTCAACCGAGGGCTCTTGAGCTTATCCCACGCCACATGCGACACCTTGTCGAGGAAACTCGCCGCCATAAGTCCGCCCGCCTGAACGTGCTCTTTCCCCTTTTTGACCTTGCTGAAGAAGTTGCCGTCCTGCGAAGACGAGCGCCGAGGACCACCAGGCCGTAGAGAATGGTGAGAAGCCACGTCGGTTGCGGGGGACGAGGGTGATATTTCTCGCCGTCTAAGCTGCGCCGAGACTGGAGTTTGTAGGTTTAGCGTAGGGGGTGACGCCGATGGTGTGCGTGAAGACGGTGCGGACCTGGCTGGTTCTTTGGGCGATACCGATACCGTGAGTGAAGGCCCAACCGAACGCTGTGCCATCAATTTGACCGGATCAGTCATTTTAGGGGATGTTGGCGGGTGCGAGTGGTTTGGCGGGTTGGCTCTCTGCTGCAACATGGAGCTGCTCGGAGGCAGAAAGAACGGAAAGTCGTCGTCATCATCGTTACCCTTGAGACTGCCTACCAGCTTCTTCTTCTTGGCCTTATTCTTGGGCGACACCGATTTGGACAGAGGCGCAGTTATCGAATCGTTGACAGCCCTGATACCAGCGCTAATCCCACCACCCAGCCCACCGGCGCTATTGCTGCTCGACTTTGACTTCAAAGAGGATGCTTGCTGGTCCTTCTTAGTCATTGTTTCTTTCTTTGTGTTTGTTTGTTTTTTTGTTTTGTTTTGTTTTTTTCCCCGTCGTCGGCGGAGTCGTAGTCCGCGGAAGGACGATCAGGAAGGAGTGCGGGCGGTGCGGTGCACGTGTATATTCCGGTTTCAAGTCGAGGCACCGATTTCGTTCGCGACGATCGCGGGGGAGGGTATGCGAACGAAAGACGCAAGAACGAGATCCGGGAGAGCTGGACGAAGGTAGGGAGCGGGGGGCCTGAGCCCTGACGTTGCGGTCAGTGATTGGAAGATCTCGGTAGGTGAAGGTCTATTGGACTCTGTCGAGAAAGATGGACCCCTCTTCGTGTACGGGCGCGCGCCCCCCCTTGCTCCGGTAGGAAGCGTGCGTTGCGTTGCGTTGTCTGGGTGTGGGCGGGTAGAGAGTTACTTTGGTACCTGACTAGTACGGCTGGGCGATCCGTGATCTGTGTTTGGGCGGCTCTGGCTTTGCAGTCGGATTGTGGGACGAATGAGGATTATCGGGCAGATCTGGAGCACTGCCGGTGGGCATGCGTGTGGATATAGCTCTGAAGGGTGCGCGTGGAATGAAGCGTGCGCAGACGACAGAGAACGTGTACGTTGAACGAATTGCCGTACCGACGGAAGGGTCTGGGGGGGTGGGTGGGTCGGTGTGTGGGGAGGGGGGGAGGTTAGGAGGGTTTACAGGGAGGAGGAAGAAGGTGAATGGAGGGAGAGGAAGAAGAGGAGGAAGAAGAGGAGGGGGGGTCGGAGGGGGGCCTGGTTTCGTCAGCGTCTTGGTGGGTTTGGATTGACTTGGATGGTTCTGGGGTTGCACGACTTTGGACTCAGGTACAGAGTGTTCGGTGGTGTGTGGGAGAAGGTGGAGATTTGATGGAGGAGGTAGAGCGACGAGCAATCAATACGAGTAGGCGGTATGCAGTTCGTGAGGACACTGGGTTTCTGTGGGGAGGGAGGGGGAGGGGGAGGGGAAGGGGAGGTGTTGTAGGAAGGACGGAGTGCAGAGGGATGATGTACCAGGCGTGGATGCGATGTGAAGGGTGTAGAGAGCACTAGAGCAGCATAGAGTACCTGGAGAGCGCGGCGTCCCTTGGGGGGTACTAGGCTGCGGTAGGCTTAAGGCGGCAGTGTGGGGACGTAACGCCTCCAGCTAGAATAACTCCACGCAGGGTCTCGAAGTCTTGTCTCTGCTGCTCAGCTCCGGCTGGCTGGCCATTGCGCAGGTGCCGCCGGAGGGATCGGTGGTGGGCGGGACGGAGGAGAGCCGAATTGCTTTTCGCAGGTATGCACAGGTATGCACAACGGGAATCGTCTTGACAGATCCTTCTGCTCTCCTCCTCTCCTCCACGATCCCATGCAAGATCGACACGTCTCGGCAGCAGGGAGATGAGCGTAGTATGCACACAGATGCCCGCTCGTCTGGCCACCGCACCCGCAGCCGTCAAGACGAAGGTGGCCGACCAGGCCCACCTGTGACCTGCACCACCTACCGGTACTGCTGTTGTCCACAGCAAACTAATAATGACGACAATCAGCCCGAACGACGGAAGCAGCTAGCCACAAACTTCAAGATGGTGTCGGCTCCTTCGACATCCTTTTTCCTTTCTTTGCCTTTTTTCCATTCTCCTTCCACAGTGGGATGAAATGCGCCGCGCCGCTATGTTGCGTGTTTGTGTATCGCAGCCGCTGAATGTAGAGTAGGGTACATATCGATCTCTTTGACCGGGCCAAATGTCTCATCGGTCGGCCCTCGGCGCGCCGACAGGCACAAACTCGCAAATATTTCCAGAACTCTCGAGCAGAACAGAGCAGACACAAGCAAAGCAGTGAAGATACAAGCAAAGCTGAACAGACACAAGCAGAGCAGATCAGCGCAGTGTTGCAAACTTGTCGCATCTCCTCTTCCGCAGCGCCCCGGTGAAGCAAACAGTCAAACCGTACATAGTACTTACTCGAATATACTATATCTCCGTGACTCCGTCCCCTTTTCCCATTTTTCGGTACCTGCACCAAATCCCCCGAGGCTAAACTCAACCGCCCAGAGGCTGAAGCTTACCCCGTACCGAAGACTCCGTGAACGAAGTAAAGTAAACACCCTAGCCCGCCTGTCAACCATTTCCCACATCACGGATTCACCGCACCTACTGCAAGATGCGAGTGCGAGCCCAGTACCCACCCATCTGACACCTGCAGCTTACAGCTTACAGGTGCAATTTTGTAGATAGGCGATGATTTCCTGTGCGTGCATTGCATACGTGCAACGAGAGGTAGCCCCCAAGGGACCGGTACTAATGCATCTGCGGGCCACCACCCACCCGCTCAGTAGAGTATACATGCAGGTACAAGCACGTTCGGTCTCGCCAAACGAACAGAGACAAACGAACAGAACCGAGCCGAACCATCGATCGATGGATTGATGAAGTTTGCATCAAGCCACAGCAGTAGCGGCGGCAGCAGTTTCACTGGCGCTACAGGTACTCTATGTAGGTACAGTAGGTTCGCTACAGACCAGAGAATCTTCAAGGAAGGTCTCCTCTCAGACCCGCCCGCTGCGCGATCTATTCGATCGATCTGGGCCGCAAGTAGGAAAAGGAACCTGCATACAATCTCCCCCGACTCCCCACACGGAGATCTCCGCCGTCCGCTTGCTTGCCTGCCTGGTGCGCGGTGCCTGATACGGTGGTACCTGCCTGCTGCTTGCTGCTTGCATACGTAGGGCTGAACGGAACTGGACTAAACTGAACTTCCGAGGCTCGCTGTTGAGAGCAGTTAACAGCACGCAGGGCAGCGCCAGAGTATTCTTAGATACGTACCTGAGTACTTACCAGGTATTTACGACATGCAATCTCTTGAGCTGTTATCGTATTCTTCAACTCCGGGTCTATCATAACTCCGGCTCCGGTGGTGGTGGTGGTGGTGGTGCTGGTGGTGCTGGTGGTGATCGGCTGTCCCCAAATACCCAAATACCCAAGTGCCCACTAGTAGTTAACCGCGCGTAGCGCTGCAGATGATCACCCGCGCCCGGTGCCCAGTGGCCCCTGGGCAACATTGAGCGCCCCACCCACCCCCAGAGACGATCAGAGGTCGCCGGGAATCGGTCGGTGCTGGAGTGGTCACTGGTTGTAGGCGAACAGGTATGCCGTGAGGAGGTAAGTTCCGTCCTCACGACGGTACACAGAACGGTAAAACGGCAAGACGAGCACCCAACTCACGACAGCTCATGGGGGGCTCCTAGAGGAATAGCTATGTATAGGTAATTATCTACGGTTCGGTGAAGTTTGAACGGGGGGAATCACAGCTGAGAGTCACCATGGATGGTAGATATATTGAAGCTCAACAGCCTGTTCACCCCATACCTACAGTACTCTATGCACAGACCATCGCCACGGCAAAGCTCTTTTCCTTTTCCCATCCGATCCTTTCCCAGCATACGTACCCCCGAGTCCCGAGTCTCCGAGTCCCCCAGCCAGCATAGCCACAGCAACATCCAGTAACGGTGGCTCTTTTTATAAAGAGCCGATTCTCTAAATAGATACCCGCTCCGTTTCCGACATTAGATGCTGACTATGCCAATCGTCCGTGCATCGGTTTCCGTAGAGTACGCTACTGTCGTAAGATTGGCTAATGGCGCAGCAACTTCAACCCCCACCAGTTTGCGGAGGTGGTCACTCATGATATCGGATTGTCTGGTAGGGAATTTGGGGTAAGGCTACTATTCAAGGCAAGTTAAGGCAAGTTAAGGCAAGTTAAGGCAAGTTAAGGCAAGTTAAGGCAATAGTTACGGCTTTCTGGGGTAGATAATAGTCTCACTCTCACCGGACAGCTCAAACAGACGCTGAAGGCACGACGTGATGATTCATGGTTATCGATAGCCAGTCAGCTCAATACTCGACGACGCCATCCTCGGGCGCTTGTTTCGCCCACTGCCTGATGCCGCCTATGACATCGTAGGCCTCTCCCGTAAACCCGGTATCCAGCACCCTCTTCGTGACCGTTTGCGAATCATTCCCCAGTCTGCAGACGACGACCAACTTCTTCTGCGCGGCCATCAGCCGCTCCATCTCTGCCGGAATCCCTCCCGAGGATGCGAACTGATCGAACGGGACGTTGATACTCCTCGGCAGCGCGCAGATCCCGAACTGCGTCGGGTCCCGCACGTCAACTATGACCGCGTCCATGGAGTCCACCTCGGTCCTGGCCTGCTGCACCGAGAGCCGCTGCTCGGGGCGTAGCAGCGTCGCCGACGCCGCCGCCTTCCTGCCGCAAAAAGCAATATACTCCTGCATCCCGCCGGCGGTGATCCCGTCCCTCGTGACGGCCGGCGTCTCCCCACAAGCGACACACCCCCTCCTCTTCCCCCGCATCTTCAAGCTCCTCCACTGCGTCTCCGCCGCGGCCGAGAAGAAACACATCCTATTCCCGTGCTCCCCCGCGCTCCCCCGCCTAACCACCAACCTCACCGCCTCGAGCGCCTGCATCACCCCCATCACGCCGACGACCGGCCCCAGAATCCCGCCCTCACCACACGACACCACCGACTCCGCCGGCGGCGGCCGCGGCCATACACACCTGTAACACGGCCCCACGCCCGGCGGGTCATTAAACACCATGATCTGGCCGTCCATCCTGAGGGCGCTCGCACTAACCAGCGGTATTCCCGCCAGCACGCACGCATCCGAGACGAGGTATCTTAGGGCGGGATGATCCGTACAGTCGAGCACGACATCCCACTTCTCCTTCGTGACGATATCGAGGGCGTTCTCGGCCGCCAGCGCCTCGTTGAGTGGGATCACGTTGACGGCGGGGTTGACATCGTGCAGTGCGCGCGCCGCGGAGACGACCTTTGGCAGGCCTACGCGCGACGTCGGGTGCAGGATCTGCCGGTGCAGGTTGGAGAGCTCGACGGTGTCGTGGTCGAGGAGCCCTAGGGTGCCGATCCCGGCCGCGGCAAGGTAGAGCGCGGCGGGCGAGCCGAGGCCGCCGACGCCGACGATCAGGATCCGGCTGGATTTTAGTGCGAGTTGCCCCGGGAGCCCGATCGAGGGCAGGATTAGTTGCCGCCCGTACCGGATGTATTCGTCGGGGGTGAGGGTGGTGGTGGTGGGTTGCGAGGAAATCGAGGGCTTGGAGCTAGGCGCAGGCGGTGGTGGCGGCGGCGGCGGGTATAGGGCGCGGTACTGCGCGAGTTCAGCTTCGAGTTTGAGGATTCGCGCTTTGAGAGCAGCGGTCTCTTCCTCCGCTGGCGTCGGCAACGGCGGTGGTGTTCGGTCGTGTCCGGGCATTGTGTACGGGATGTGTCCTCAGCGCGTTGTGCGAAGCTCAAGATAAAGCTCAAGCTACCCCACCATGGGTCCCACCCCACCTCTCCCCTCTAGTTTATTACCCGGCATATTCCGGTTTACAGTTCAGGTATCCACGGATCATCCATAAGTTCGCAGTTTATTCATTACTGAAGGTAGAAAACTAGAACAAGCCAACTTATGCGTCCACCTCCATCGCATCCCCGCTCACTGTACCAGAAGGCACAGCCGCACCCAGATCCACAATTGTAACGTACTTCTTGAGATCCTTCTTCTCGACGCTGGCCTCCTTGAGAAACGCCGTCGTGCCGCGGGCGAACTTGTAGCTCTGCTCCTTGGGCACACGCTCGTTTGGTTTGATAAGGTTTCTCATCAGTGTCGCCTGTTCCCATTGTTAGCCACCAACCAATCTCCACACACCATCCATGAGAACACGAACCTTCTCTTCCGTGATGACGCACACATCGACGTTACTTCCTGATCCCAGATCGTTGAAGATACCCGCCAGAATCGCCTGGCTGCACAGCTCCACAGCCTCCTCACGTGTCATGTTCTTCTTCCACATAGTCTCAAACACCGCCATAGCCGCCAGCGATCCCGAACCCATCGTCACGTACGGCAGCTTATCGGTCGATCCGTGTGCGTGGACGGTGAAGAGGTGCACACCGGTGGGGTCGACTCCGGCAACGACGAGGTACGCTCCGATGTGGCCCTGGTACTTGAACAGGTGCTGTTTCAGCAAGGTCATGCAGGTGACGACACGCGGTTTGCGGCCAGTGCTGAGCGAGTGTAGCTCGAGGTTGGAGGAGATGAGGGAGGTCGTGAATTCGGTGCTACACACAAACGCAATGATTAGCTGGACATGTCCGCGCATTGTCGACGGGAAGCGGTATTTACTCGGCGGCGGTTCCAGCTCCTGCAGCACCGCGCCAGTCAATATTATAAATAGCACATACCAGGTGCGGGGACAACATACCGGCACACCAGATGTTGGGCGAGATGAAATGAAGCTTTTCGCAGTTCTTGTCGGCGACTATCTCGCCGCTGGTGGCTCTCGTATCTGTGCACCATCAGCATCTTAGACATCTCCCAGAACCGCAGAGCAGAAAGATGCTGTGTACCCGCAGCAATCACGACTCCTCCATCAAAGATGCATCCTACGATAGTTGTTCCGGTGGAGGTAGCTTTCGGGAGCGGGAAGCCCTTGGCGTGCAGGGCCGCGTTGCGGGTGAAGTTCGAGAAGTCGAAGCCCGGCATTTTCTCTTCAAAACGATAGGAGCTGTCGGAGATTTATTGATGGGGATGTGGGAGAGGTAGAACCGTGATGATGGATGGCGGTGATGGAGTTAGACGTTCGCTGTTCGGTGGTGCTGCGTTGCTGCTCAGTTGAAGGTGGGTAGCTTTCAGTTGAGCCGCAAGTAGGAACGCCACAAGCCTTGGTGTCACCGCCACCCATGGTTCATCACTCGAACTTTTGTTTATAAAACCGATTCTAGCACTTTTCCAAAATCTCCATGTCAAACGAAGCCTATACTTCCTAAGTACAACCATGCAGACATTACGCATTCAAAAGACCATCAATCATACAATTTCTATTAACAAACAACCAGGCAAACGCAAGACATAAACAATACGTGGAAACCGACCCCCGGCCCAGTCCACTTCATACGATATGTACTCCTACAGGGCATTACACGATTCCGATGACGGATTCCTTTCAACTGTGACCATTCGTGTCCCCGATGGCCCATGGACGCTCCAATCTAGTCTGGAAGTCAGCACTGAATGATTTGGCACGAGATCTCATATTTGAACTTACGGGGACACTAAGCTAGGATTGACGAATACCTGTCCCTCCTCCCGCTCCTCGTCGACGGTATGTCGCATCCCGACATCACTCACGGAATCGCCGTGCTCTTCCTGGATGCACCTCAACGCGATATAGTAATTCGACGGCAAGTAATTCTTAGTATAGTGCCAGTAGCTCCAAATCGTGAAGGCGAGGAGCGGGAGGATCAGTCCTGCCGAAGTAAAGGCTTGTCTGAGAGCCAGCCAGCCCGTCATGGTGAGCTGGAAGACCAGGAGTCCAAGGAACACACGGTATACGATGATTGGCCAGGCCTTTCCGGTTGAATGGCCAGGGTGGTCCATCGCGTACAGGAGTTGATACTTGTAGGTGAAGTAGCCCAGGACGAAGTAGATCAAGCCGAAGGTCAGAATCAAGACTCCGTGCTCGAGTACGCTATAAACAATACATATTATGTAAATCAGGATTGGCTGCGGAAGGAAGAAGCCATATTGGAATATGGCTGGTTGCTTGAGTTCGTCGTAGTCTGTAAAAATTCAGTTAAAGCCCCCAAAATACTAGCCAGTTGTGTTCTGGGTGTACCTCGCGGTGTTTTTGCGCCAAACTTGGTGATTGGGTACAACGTGACAGAACCGACCTGCAGAAGTCTGAACGGAAACATCCCCAGTCCCTGAAGAATGACTGGTCATTTTGTTAGCATGGCACAACCAAAAGCGATCCGGACAGATATGTACTCAGGTTGATGTAGAAAGGTCCTAGATCCTCAACGGCCTCCGCCAGAGCCAGCGCAATGCTGGCAGTGTCCTTGAATGAGCGGTTAAGAGTTTCCCAGAAAGAATGGAAATTGAAAGCAGTTCCAAATACAGTGAACGCAAGGAACAGGTTGAAAAATGCGAAGAAGAAGTTCTTGCTGATGACAGAGAGTTCAACCTCTTCTTGTGAGATCAACCCCTGGAACTGCGAGAGCCAGTCATAGAAATACGGAACAGCCACGTTAAGCAGGGTCAAAACTGCTGTCGGAAGGAATGTTTGAACAAATGAGGCCAATACAGGGTACTCTTTGAGCGTATCTGCCAGCTGAGGCCAGATCTTGTGAATTTCATTCGTATTCCACAGACCGGCCAAAGCAGCGACAGGTACAAGCCAGAAGATTGATGAGAGAGTGATGAAGGTACTGATAGCCCAGCTTCTGGACCAGCGGGAGGACCGAGACAGGTACGTGTTGGGCCAGATTACATCGGACGGCGAAGGTGCTGGTCGGGCGACCATAGCACCAGGGGTAGGATCCATAAGCACTTGTGTCGCGACTTGTGCAGAAGATACCGACTTCATAGTGACAAAAGCCAGAGGAGTCGCCCGGTATTCCTTCTGCCTTGCCTCGGTGATCTGATCATCCAAATCCTGGAGTTTGTCGGTGTAGTAATCGAGTGCATCGACCTTCTTGGTCCTGAGCTTCAACTTGCCGTATCTCAGAGTGAGTTGCGGACGATAGCTAGGACGTCTTTCGAGCAAGGAGTGCCCTTCCTCTTCACCGCCGGACTCGTCAAATTGCCGTTCTGAACTGTCGCCTATCATGCCTCTACGCCCCTTTCTAGCATGATAGACAGTATAGACTTCCTCCAGTTTCCGCAGCGTCGAACTTCGTTCGTTAAGCAACTGATCCAAATCTCCCCATTGCCGGCAGATGGTAATCTTCTCCACTGCCCCTATCGCCAGTTTCTCGATATGCTCCTTCAGAACACCTTCGGAGCGCAATTCTTCAGGGATTCCGGAGAGCTTAACAGTCTTGTCGGTGACTGTTGCCTGATTGCCGAGATACGTTTGCCGGACTTGTACAACCTCCTCCGTCTGCTTCCACAGGAAATAGTATGCCAGGCCGGTGAAGACATAGACGAAGATAAGATTCGCCCATAGATATGCAGGCTTCACGTGTTGCAGTGGCTTCTTTTTCTTACCATCCACAAAAGGCATCTGCTCATTCCCAGTGCCCAGTATATTCGCCGTGTTATCCTTGGAATCATCGTCGTCTTTGAAGTAAGTGTGGATAGGAACAAGGACAACTGCCGCAAGAACCGATGCTACGAAAAGGAAGCGTATAGCCATCTTGAAGAACGCAAGGAACTATTTTCTGTAAGCGACAATTTATGCAGCTGCCGCATAACAGGGACTGCTCACCACATAGGCGTCAAGACCAGCTGTCGCCAATACATCGTCCTCGGAGATGCGCCAGAGCGCCGGTATCCATCCGAAGAGAGTATCTGGCAACTCGGGAAGTAACGATGCTGTATTCGCCACAGTTTAGCGGGACCCCGCGAGCCCAACAACAAAGGTCCACCCACCATTCCGCATTCTGATTTTGCGCGCATAGTAGAAGTGCGGCCATTTCGGTCGCAGAAGGCAAAAGGTCGAGAAGGCCCCGATTCCAAGGAGGGCGGATATTATCAGTTGCTGGATAAGGTTTCTCTGTTCTGTAGAGATGGCGCGCATTAGCACAGGAGCTTTGGAGTGGTTGGCGAGTGACACCACTAACCTTGGTGACGAAGATCGTACAGCCCATCGCCAGGGGGCTTTGTTGAATTGTCGCCATACTCGTAGGTGCTGAAGAAGAAGCGCGCCGACATGTCTGCGAAATGCTGGATAGTTGTACGGAGTAGTAGTTGTACGGAGTAGTAGTTGTAATGCGCAGAGAAGATATTTTTTGGAGATCTTTGGGCGGTAAGGTCATGCTCCGGTTTGATGGTCAGCATCTGGCGCTGGCCAGCCACGTCAGGGCGCCGGCATCAAGGGTCGCTGCTGCAGTGACGAAACGGTGCATGGCCGGCCTTCGGTTAGTAGCCAAGACAATGAGTGATTGGCTATGAATGATAAGCACTGTGGTTTCAGAAGTCACCGCGATTTCGGGATATTTACACCAATGGGAACAGCTATGAGAGTATGCTGCCCTGGCATTAATTTGCATCTTGGTGCTTTACACACAAATACCTCCATAAACATCCACCCATCTACTCGGCGAACGTCATCTTCTTTCCCTCTCCAGCCGTGATGGCTCCCGTCCGCCTGACGTCGCTCGAGTATGCGGCGCCAGCATCTGTAGAGCGGGTGTCCTTCCATTCCTTTTTCCTCGGCACAGCACTTCCACCCTCTTCATCACCGCCTTCCCTATCCTTGCCTCCGAACCGCTTCTTGTATCTCACAGAAGGGTCTTGCCCATACTCCATGGTAATGGTCCTTCCGATGAGCATCGCCCTCCTTTTCCTCCTTGAGGCCAACTCAACCTCAGCCTTACCCTCGAGTTCATTCATCGTTCCCTCCTCTTCGGCTGTCAGGCCCAACATGGCGCGGCGAACGCTCTCGATGTCAAGGAAATCGACAAAGCCAAAACCCTTGCATTTCCCCGAGTCCTCGAAAGTCGCCAACCTCACACGCTGGATCTTGCCCGCGAACTCAAAGTGTTCTTGCAGGGCCTCAGCAGTAGTGCTGAAGTCAAGATTACCGACGTAGAGAATGCGAGACGGCGGGTTCTTATCAATATTTGCGCCGTTCTTCGGAGGGGCGGGAGCGGAAGCTGGACGCTTCGAGAAGTCTTTCGAGTTCTTGATCAGTACCTTTCGGCCCCCAAGTAGTGCTTCGGAAAGTTTGAGTGCATGGTCGAGTGCGTCCTCGCTATCAAAGTCGATATATGCGAAACCCTTGTTTCTTCCCCTCTCATCCGTAGGCAAGTTGACTCTAGTGACATCCTCGGGCTTGAGTGCAATGAAGTCGCGCAGCGTGTCGGCAGTGGTGGAGAAAGCAAGATTGCCGATCCAGACACCGTGCTTGGAGCGCACTTGTGAGGAGTGCTCGGGGAAGGTGGATTTGTCGATTTCAGCTTTGGGCGCATTGGAAGGAGTGGGCTTGAGAATCTTTGGGGCGAGTTCGGGGTGCTTCTTGAGTTTTCGAAGAGCCTTTTTCGACGGCGGCTGCGGAAGACTGACGTCGATCTCGAGATCGCCTTCGGCGGCATCGCGTTTTCGCTTTTTGGGGGGCGATTCTTCGGTGTCGTCGTCGTCCGCGGTGGGGTTGGGCGATGTGGATTCGGTCTCGTTGGATTCCTCCTCTTGCCGTTTCTTTTCCTTCCGCTTTGCCTTCCTCTCCTTCTTCTCCTCGGAATCTTCATCCCTCTCCTTCTTCTCCTTCTTCTCTTTCTTCTCTTTCTTCTCGGCCGTGTCCTTCTTCTCCTTCTTCTCCTTCTTCTCCTTCTTCAATTCTGACCCAGCATCGGTCATCTTAGCATCCACATCTGCTGCACCGTTGGCCGCGTTCGCCGCAGCTTTTGCAGCCTTACGCTCCGCCTTGCGTTTTTGGTCGCCGCCAACTTTCGTTTTCGACATCGCTGTGAAGTAATAGTTGAGTGGGGTTTCGAGCGGGGGGTATAACTGCTGTGTGAAGTTGGTTGGATGTCGCAGCGTTTTTTTTTCTTCGAACCGTATGCTTGCAAACGAGACGGAAGTTGCCGGTCGCGGGTAGGGAAACTCAATTTGAACGATTTCCTCGGTGAGAGCTCGCTCAAACGATTGCTTCGGTCCTTGGGGTTTTCGGACTGATTGAGGGAAGGGGAAGATGCAAAATTCCTCTTGAACCAAGAATTCTTCAAGAAATGGGTATTCTTCGGCGAGTGATGCGGCATGAGTAACATACCACCATGGTCCCTTGGCACCATGTACGCCGAGCTTTGGCCAGTATTCATCGGCCCCGAGCTCCAGAGACAACGAACAGATCTCACCTAACACGCAACCACAACTACCGTACCTCACCATTGATCAACCCACCACGACTCTACGGACATCGCAACAATCTCTACCACAAAATGTCTTTCAACAGAAACCTCAAAGACCAGCGCCGCATGGAGCTCGGTACTTCCTCCCTGCTCTCGTCATCCTTTAGGGCAAATCGCTAATGGCGCGCAACAGCAATCCCATACATTGCGCCCGAGACCAAGATTGAAGAACGTTTGTTCCCCGCTCAGTTTACAAGTGATGTTGGGTGTTTGCTGACGATGTGACAGAGTCGATGTCCGACACGTTGAGCACTGCTCTTCCTATGGCCGCGATGTTCACCCGCCACCGGTAACCCCTCCACCACATCCTCCGTCTCCTCCTCCTCCATTTACAACCCGGACTCGGACTAATGCGAGAGAACAGCATGATCGGCTGGGGCGCTGTTGTCTTCGCGATCCAGAGTTGGCTGAACGAGACACCGGCGCAGCTTGCGGGCGGAAAGCAGCCTGCATACTTTGGTGTTGGAATGGCGTTCATGAGTTTGTTGATCGTGAGTTTTCTACTTCTATAGGAAGATGGAGGAGGATATGTGCTAATGCGCGTGGCGATAGACGTACATGCCGATTTTCTTCCCTGTGCCGGTGAAGATGGATGCTACCGGCACTGCGCCGGCGGCGCCTGTGGCGCAATAGATGGCATGGGAAGCATGTAGGATGGTGTATGATGTTGTATGATAATTAATGCGTAATAATAACGATAAGGATCTACCGTGCCAGTGACTGTCTACATATACAATGCGTCTATCTATCTTACAACAACCTCACAATCTACACCGCCTTCTCCACCTCCGCAATCAACGCCTCAATGGAGAATTTCTCATCACCTCGTGTAAACATCTCCAACATCTCCTTCCTCCTCTCAGTCTCGGAGCTTTCGATGGCGCCATAAAACTTCTGCAGCGCGATCACCAGCAGCTGCGCCTGATCCACACTCACGCCGCGCTCACTAATCACCTGTCCCTGCGCCAGGACGAGGCCGTGGCCATCCGCCAGCTCCAGATGATGCGTCAGCGTGGTGTGGGGCTGCGCAAACTCTCCGCGGAGCTTATAGTCCTCCAGCGAGGTGAAAATCACCGTAGCGGATTCCCTGGACGGGAATGTCCACTGCAGCAGATGCATCTCGACACCCTGTCCGTCCCGTGGGAGCGGGAGCAGGAACATCGGGTGCCGCTTTGCTAGCGCCTCCATGCGCTTATACGTCGCCGTGGGGACAACGGCGCACAGCGAGTCCGCGGCGGCGACGAAGCGCGCGCGCCAGATGAGCTCGATTTCTTTGGGCGATGTGTGCGCGGAGAGCGCGTCGGCGTCGACATACGAGGAGAGCGTTTTTACGCCGGGTGGGGCCGAAGCGGCTCTCCGGGCGGCGGCGGCGATGGGCGGTGGTGGCGGCCGGGCTTGCGTTGGTGCGTCTGCGGCAGCGGTGGTCGCGACGGCGGTGGCATTGAGAACCGCATCCACCTCGGGGGTGACGGCGGCTTCTTTCCGCACGGCTTCGATCTTGCCTTTGTAGACTTGCTTCAATTCCTCGAATGAGCTGACGCCTTCACTTTGTGTCTCTATTTCATCAGCTCTAGTCCTCCCTCTGCGGATTTTCCGGTGGCAGACGTTTTTTGTTTCAGTTCGAGCTTCTCGCGGTATTTGGCGACGACCCGAGGCTCCACGCGCGTTTGGAAGAAGCGCGAGAAGGCATTCACGACGCGGGCATTGCGGCGGGGCGTGCGCGGAACGGTCAGGGCGAGCTGGCGTAGGGCCAATGGGCGGACGGCGGAGGCGAGGGTCATGATTGCTGAACGAGAGGCGGAGGTTGCCAGGGACTTTGTGTTTAGTGGGGAAGTGACGCCAAGAAGTTGTGAAGGCGACGAGTGAGATAAAGTGACGTGATGGCACGAGAGTAAAGATGGACGATACTACCTACGGTGGTAGATCAGAAAGGCTTCACCAGATCTAGCATGGAGAGCCGTGACAAGCCCAGATACAGCTTGGAGTCCACTTTCAGCGAGGCTGATTCTTTCGGGCGAGTATGCTTTCGTGATTAACACGCAAGATCACAATCCGCACTCTAATTCGACAAGCTTATTGCTGTGTAGAAAGCACCATTAAATGCAGCATACCGATATTTGTTGTGTTGAGGCAAAGGATGCAGGTTGCGTCGCAGTCCGATCTTCTTTTGTCTCCAGCGCTTTCATTCGCTGCTTCCTGCGGCTCACATGGGATAGCAGGCAGGTAGAGTTACTGCCAGGATGCAGCATTCGCGCAAATCTCGCACGCAAGAAAGGCTGTGTAGAAGAAGTGCTTACACTCCTCACCTTCTCATCCCTCGTCGATGTCGTTTTTCGTCGTCGCCAGGAACATTGCTCAGGCTTAAGTGGAATTGGTCGTGTGTGGTGTCGTCGCATGGAACGTTGGGAGATTCCATAGACTCTAGCTAGTGGAGAGGAGGAAGGAGAACATCGTATTGAGTGCATTTCTAAAAAGCTATCACTCCTTGCTTTCTCTTTCAACTTTCTCATTCACACTCGAACTCTCGCTTTCTCTCCCCTCTCACTCTCCACGACAAAACGACAAGAAGACACAACCTCCCTTCCACGCTCCTCAACAACCCTAATCTTCTCCTATCTTCGTAGCCATCCAACCCAGAGCACCATCATCACTCACGCTTTTCACCCCCCCAAACATCAACTACTGAACAAACCCGTCACCTGCGCCTACCGCCACCACGACGACGACAATTAACCCCACCGCTTACGCACAACCGTCTGCCACGACGGCGCACATACTGATCGCCATGTCTCAAGCCGAGCTACCCTCGGCGAATGGCGGACCAGGTGCAATGGGAGGTGCCGGTGGCAGCGGCTACAGCGAAGACAAAGCTCACCAAAAATCCTACAAGTACGCGTCTTTGCGCCCGTTGTGCGTGTGTCGGTAGGCTGATTGTCTGTGCGCGAAACTGCAGGAGAAAGTATAGAAAACTTCGTCATAAGTTTAAAGAAGTCATGAGGCGCTCAGATGAGCTGTTCCGGCAGGAGCAGCTGGCGAAACAGGCGATTCGCAGGATGCAGGAGGAAAACACGTAAATACCTCTCTCTTTCTCTTCCCCACCACCGCCGCTGGCCGCTGCGAATAAAGTGTCGCTGATACATTGTGCTGGCTTGCGTATAGTCGCGTCCTGGATTTCCTCGTGGATCTGAACGAGTGCTCGCATATTCCCAAGGAACGACGTCATAACATTGGGTCCCCGTCGCGTGCAACTCCGCCTCGTTTCCTCTCACCGGAGGTGTATGTGGCTCGGTACGGCAAATATCCGGAGCCGGAAGAGAACGATGATGTGGAGAAGATGGACCTCGACGCCGTAGCGACGGCGGCGGCGGAGGCGGAGGCGGCGGCTGTGGCTGCTACTATGGCTGCTGCTGCTGCGGCGGCGACGGCGGAGGAGGAAGCGGCTCGCGAGGCTTTGAAGGAATCACAGAGTAGGAATGACAATGAGAGCTCGGACGACGACGATGACGACGACGACGATGACGAGAAGACGCCGGCGACTGGCCGCGGCTCCAAGTACAATAGTGACGATGACGATGGGGATACCAGCGAGGCCTACCGCGAAGAGATACGGGAGTGGAACTACACACGCGGCATTGCAGGCACCCCACCTAAGTCGGTGCGCGAAAAGATGAAAGCGGATGCGGAGAACGTGCGGAAGGAGGCCGAACAGCATGCGAAGGAGGCCGCTGAAGCAGCCGAGGCAGCCGAGGCAGCCAAAGTAGCTGAAGCAGCCGAAGCAGCTCAAGCAGCTCAAGCAGCCGCAGTAGCCGCAGCGGCCGCAGCAGCCGCAGCAGCAGAGGCTGAGCAGGAGGAGAAGAAGAAGAAGAGCAATGGTATCAATAAAGCCTCGACGGTTCAGATCAAGCAGGAGATAGAAGATGAGGATGAGGATGAGGCAGAGCTTAACAGCGGTCCCGCCGACGACGCGCCCCAGCCACCCACCATCGTTGAGGAATACCGCCGTGGGCAAACCCCCGAGTATCTCCGCAGCGGCAGTCCATTCTTGATGACACTCAAGGAGGAGGAAGAGTGGTACGCAGAGATTGAGGAGAAATACGATGGTGGAATTCCGCCGCTCGAGCGCCCGGGCGACCCATCCGCAGCCAAGGCAGAGGGTGATTCTCGGAATCCTATGAGCGTGTATTGCTGGTTGAGGAAGAACCAACCACAGGTATTCCTGCAAAACGAAGAAGTGGAAGGTAAAAAGTCGGGACGTGGTCGGGGTGGCCGCAGAAAGGCTATCGGGGTAGCGGATTCGGGAGATGAGGGGATGGGCGTGGCGACCGGCAAGACGGTGAAGCCTGGGGAGAGCAGCAAGACTGGGCCATCCAAGCGGAGGAAGACGAACGGGAACGATGCTACAGGGGGACCACCAGCTCCTGGAGGTACGGGGGGCAAGGGTAGAGGGGGCTCACGGGGTGGACGAAAAGGCGACCCTCCACTCAAGAGGCAGAGGAGGTAAGTTTGGCAGGTCTCGGGGTTAATGGCGGGAGTTTGTTTGTTTTGTTTGCAATGGGGTTCTGACTTTGAGGGAAACAGTCATCTTGAGTGATATGGTATGGTGAAGAGGGGTGGCACTTTTGCAGACATGGCGTTCATGTTGCGTTGGTTACTTTTCTACCATTCCGGCAAGTCCTGTTCTAGTTCTCAATGACATCCATCTGGTGGGCTGGATACTATCATCACTATGTTCCGGGGGGTGGAAAGGTGTATCTGGGTTGTTTTCTGTGGGTTCTGGAGTTCAAGAGGGTTTGATACTGTTTTTGTATACTACTGTAACCTGCCTTTTTTTCCTTTGTCCCATCTGGTCAAATATATGCCCTCGTCTGTTCTAGGTCTACAACTTATAATTGTACCTGTATGAAGTAAGCACTTATTACGAGAATTGTGACGGTTCGGGATTCATTATTCTTCGTAGAATACATAATACGGTACTCCTTCACTAGACTCGGGCTGGTGGATGCTTGTCGAAAATGAGTCGACGTGAATCCACTCCGAGTGGCAGGTCGAGTTGAGTCTAGAGCACTGCGAAGCTGCACCCTGCCAAGACTAATGCGCCACCACCACCACTCACTTTTGGAATGACGACAGCCGACGACCATTAGGTAAAGACGGGACACAAGTACCTCAGCTTTCTTCTTTCCTTTCTTCCTTCCTTCCTTTCCTTCTTTGCCCCCCACTTCAACACTCACTTCTGTGAGGCACTTTCTAACTTCCCATTGCTTTTCTTATTGGCGCTGAGCGCAACTTACTCCTCCATACCTCTCCGTCTGAACATAGTCCCAACTCAATCACTGGATACAAACATGGAGTCCCAACCTCAGCCTCATCAGCCGACAATCAACGGGAATGCAGGTACAGCAGATCCACAGCGACCTCGCCGAAGAAATCGACGGCCCGCGAAGTCTGAGAAGACTGAGGGCTATGCCGGTGCAGCGGTGGGAGAGAGTGGGAGTGCCCCAGGCGGTGGTGGCGGCGGTGGCAACCCCTCGGAAGGACAGCAGCAGCAGCGGCAGAGGACACGCAGAACAAGACCTCCACGGCAGTCCCACCGCAGCGGTGGCGCTCTACACCCAGCTCCGGAACCGAACGCTCAGATTCCATCGAGCGCTCCCCCGGGCGCACCACCGAACGCACACTCGCACCCCGAGGGTGAACCGCTTCCACCACCCCGTAGGAAACGTGTCCGACATCGTAAACCGCCAACGAGTGGATCTACGGAAGACGGAACTACACATCAGCATCAGCATACACATTTACATCCTATGCCGGCCAGCAACGGAGTTGGAGGTGGCAATGCTAGACGGAGAGCCTTCGGAGCTCAGCTCAGTGCTGCCAATCCCGAAGCTGAGACGTCGCCCCAGAAGTCACAACCTCAAGTACGAATAAGGCCTGATGCTCCTGATTTTGTGCCCGGCGCGGACGACATAACCAGCCGCATTCACAGGGAGATTAGCAGCGGAGCCTACGAGTGCATGGTCTGCTACGGCAGTGTGAATAGGAGGGCAAAGATCTGGTCTTGCAGGTGCTGTTGGGCGGTGTACCACTTGAACTGCATTCAGAAATGGGGGAAGCAGGGTCTACAGCAGGAAACGAGGGGTCCGGTCGGTGCATATGAACCACAGAAATCGTGGAGGTGTCCGGCTTGCAATAATCCGAGCACTTTACTGCCGGATCTTTATACCTGTTGGTGCGAGAAGGAGACACAGCCGGAGAGCACCAAATATCTTCCGCCGCACAGGTATGTTGACCTCTAGCTTTCCGCTATTCGGGAATGTCCTAACTAATGACCATAAAGTTGTGGACAGACTTGTGGAAGGCAGCTCTCCAACCCGAAAAAATGTCCTCACACGTGTAGTGCACAGTGTCACGCTGGACCTTGTACACCTTGTGCGGCCATGGGCCCGGTTATGACCTGCTTTTGCGGCAGGGAATCCCAACAGAAACGATGTGTGGATACGGATTACGACGGCGGCTTTAGTTGCGGTCAAGTATGCGGAGACGTCATGCCTTGCGGAGAACACACCTGTTCGAGGCCGTGTCATCCCCTCTTGTGCGGGTCTTGCGAGGTTCCCGAACTCGTTAAGTGCTATTGCGGGAATGAGATGAAGGAAATGAAGTGTTCCGACAAGGAGCATCCAAAAGATTCGTCCAGGGCATTCGAAGTCTCGGATGATGAGTACTCAGACGATGAGTTCGAAGAGTGGACCGGATACTATGAGTGTGGCAAAGTTTGCAATAGGTTTGTTTATTTCTCCTTGGGCATTGCCACTCCCTGATTGCTAATCTATTACTTCTTAGGTTGCTTGCTTGCGGTGTTCACCACTGTCAAAAGCCGTGCCACCCACAGGACACCGACAACGGTATCTGTCACTCTGATCCGTCAGTCGTTGCGCACTGCCCGTGCGGTAAAACACCCCTGACGGATATCTTGTCCGAGCCTCGACCCAACTGTGAAGCTCCGATCCCTACCTGCGGGAAGGTTTGTAAGAAGACTCTCGCGTGCGGCCATTCCTGCACGAAGACTTGCCACGATGGTGAATGCGGCGTCTGTTTGGTTCAGATCGAGATAGCATGTCGTTGCGGAAAAACCCACTCCTCCAGTCTCTGCCACCAGGGGGTAGATTACGAACCTCCCCAATGCATGCGGAACTGCCGGGCGGCGTTGAATTGCGGAAGACACGAATGCGGAGACAAGTGCTGTTCTGGGGAGGTGAAGGCACAGGAGAGGATATCAGCCAAGAGAAAAATGAGACCGCTCGCTTCCAATCCTGGATTGCAGACGGACGACGGATTCGAGCCCGAACATATCTGCACAAGGCCCTGCGGAAGACTGCTCAAATGTGGCAAGCACAATTGCTCGATGCTGTGTCATAGAGGCCCTTGCGGAACCTGTCTGGAGGCTTCTTTCGAAGAGCTGACCTGTCACTGCGGAAGGACGTCCATCGACCCACCAGTTCCCTGCGGTTCGAAGCCCCCTCGCTGCCGCTTCCCTTGTACTCGGCCCCCGTCCTGCGGACACCCCCCAGTTATCCACGATTGTCACACGGATGACGAAGCATGTCCCAAGTGCCCGTACCTGACAGGACGGCTCTGCAAGTGTGGTAAGAAGGAGATCAAGGCAGTCCCCTGTTGGCGTGAGAATGTTTCGTGCGGCCAGCTTTGCGGGAAACGACTTTCGTGCGGTACACATCTTTGCCGTAAGCCTTGCCACGATGGAGGATGCGAGGAGCCTTGTAAGCAGTCGTGCGGAAAGCCCAAGCCTACCTGCGGACATCCATGCATTGATCCTTGTCATGCTCCCTTCCAGTGCTCGGAGGATAAGCCTTGCCAGGAGAAACTGAAACTTTCGTGTCCTTGTGGAGGAGTGAAACAGGATATCAAGTGTGGTGCGACCAAGGCTAAACCGGCTGGAAACCAGAAGGAAATACCTTGTTCCGACGCGTGCCGGGTGAGGCGACTCGCAATGGCTCTCGACCTCGACCCTGATCGTGAAGGTCAGTCCTTCTCGGAGGAGACCGTCAGTGCGTACAACAGGGATCCGAAGTGGTCCGCCGCGATGGAAACGAAGTTTCGTACATTCATCGAAAATAAGGACCAGAGAGCTCTGCAGTTCCCTCCAATGCGAGCACCGCTTCGGGAGTTCTTGCATCTTTTGGCCGAGGCTTATGGTCTTGACAGCGAGTCGCAGGACCCAGAGCCCTACCGCAGCATCATGGTCCGAAAGCCGGTCTCTTTCGTTGCCGTCCCGCGGAAGTCGCTTGCGGAGTTTGCAGCAAAATCTAGTGCCACACCGGGTGCCGCTCCAGTTGCCGTCCAGCAGTTGAAAAAGATAGCCCGTAGCCACGCAGTCAACGCCTTCCTCCTCAAAGGCATCAAAGTCGGCCTCCTCGCGTCCGAGCTCGAGAAGGAACTCTCGATCCTGAAGGACTCCCAGCTGCGCTTCGACATCAGCTGGTACGGCGACGAAGACGTACTCCTCAAGCCCCGAGCCTCGTCCCTCGCCATCGAGCAGGTGGAAGCAGAGCTTCACGGCCTCAGCACCAAACTGAAGCGCGTCGTAGCCGCTCGGGGACTTGCCGACGCTGCGGAACTCTGTTGGGTCGGCCAGGACGGACGCGTAAACAACAAGGACGGCTCGGGCTGGAGCGTGACGAATCCGAGGAAGTCGGCGTCGGCAGTTACGTGGTCCACTAAACCCTCGTTGGCCAGCAAGAATGGGTTCGAGCTGTTTAGTGGAGCTGGTGGCAGCTCGGCAGCTGTCATTTCGGGTACCGCCGCGAAGAAGGAGAAGCCAAAGGAGGTGGAGAAGCCCAAGGAGGTCGTGGATGATTGGGAGCTTGAGGCGGAGGAGCTGGAGCAGGAACAAAATCAGGGCCAGGAGCTGGAGAAGGAGCAGGGCCAGGAGCGGGGTCAGGCACAGGTTTAGAAGCAGGTGGGGGTCGGGTGTTTCTCCTCGTGGTTTTTGTTGTTTACTTGGGTTACGTTCTTGCTATGCATACCTACACAGATCTGTTGCATGTACACAGATCTGCTGGATGGATGGTACGGGGCGGATGATGACTTGTGTTTCTTTCTATTCTATTGGGGCGTTTGGTCTGGTCTGATGGGGGTTCTTTTTTTTTACCTGATGAGAGGAGCATATGAAATGGTCCTGCTTCCTTACATAACTTGCTTTTCACTTACTGCAATGGTTGATATGTACGCTTCTCAATACAGTGATTGATAAACGGATGTGAAGAAACGACTCATGGGGTGGAGGATGGCCGAACGGTGAGTTCGTTACATGTGCATGGTGTGGCGCTCGCAATATCTCCTCATCTCCACAGCATGGAAGTGTTACATGATCTATTGCTACTGATTTCGACTGGACCGGACGTTTTTGTTCCTGTGACTCTGTGGGGCATAGGATCAAACAGTACCGATAGGATGGTGCACAAGTTGGGACATCTATCTATCAAGCCAGTACTTGTAGAGTGGTCTTCGAGCACTCGAAAAGACCCAAAAATGATGATTGTAGAGGGCTACACATTTGCCCCGGCAGGAGTCTCCTGTGGGCGTCTGTATCTCTCTTCGTAACTGGTTCCGCCGTCGGAGGCGAAATGACCAGTGGAGCCCGGGTGGGCGCGGATTCATTCACAGATTCGCACTCGATATTTTCATCAGCTCGCACTCGATCCGGCTCGCGATAGTCGATAGTCCAGTCCAGTCCAGTCCATAAAATTGGAGGACGGTTTTGAATTCAGTCCGTCCTTGGGCCAAGATTTGCCGCCTCGGACTGCAGACTGACAGACTGACAGACGGACACTTTCTGAAGTTTTTGGGTCGAACTACCTATGTGCAGTGCAGTATTCGACATAGTCCGGTCCGGACTGCAGCCCGGACGAGACGGACTGAAAAGGTCCAGTCCAGTCTCGTCCGTGCCTTTTTGAGGGCGGAAGAAAACGTAGTCCGTCCCGTCCGCCAATTTTCTGGACGGGTTGGACTGCAGTCCGTCCTGTCCGGCCTTACTGGACTGGTGGACTACCTAGTCTGTCCGACAGACACCTCCGGACGGACTAGATGTATGTAGTCCAGTCCCGTCCTGGGTCCGGACGGACTGGACTGGACTATCGGAGGCACTGGTCACTCGGTTTTTTACATCAGGCCGTAGTGAGAAACTGGAGAAATCAAAGCCGCACCCGAAAATCGCCATACCTAGTCTAGATACCGTAAACTACATACGATCAATGGTGAAATAGAAAGCAGGAAACCCAATCCTGTTAGTTGTACAGCTACGGCTACGGCTATGGTAGTTCATATCACGGGTTACTGGCTCGTCCTTAACTACTAGTAGATGACTAGAAATCCACTCCAGTTCAGGGCTGTCAACCGTCCGTCCGGACTACAGTCCACTAGTTCTTAGTGTCCGACTACTCTCCGGGCCCTGTAGGGTATCCGTCCTCATTTCTCCTGCCCGGAAGACTGTAGTCCTTCGTCTCCTCAGCCCGACTAATTCCGTCCCGGGCCGGGCAACCTCAAAGACGGACGGGACGGACGGTTGACAGCCCTGCTCCAGTTCCTACATATCACAGAAAATCACAGAAAATCACAGAAAAAAACACGGTAACCGGGCCAACAGAGTCATTTTATTATCATAGCCGGACGGATTGTGTACCAAACCCAAACAAGTCCTATTAGTATGATATTGGACTAGTTATGTGCCAAACCCCACGAATTTAATCAGACTCAATCCACGACAGAGTCAGGTCGTTTCCAACGCGCTCACGGTAGGTCTCGAAATTGAGGATACGGGCCGCGGGCTGCTCAGGGGAGGCGGGGGGAGAGGGGGGGGGGGGATATTTGGAGAGAGCGAACAGGAGAAGTTTGGGAGGGGGTGAGGAATGACGAAGGTCGGGGAGGAGAGTGAACAGGCGAAGCTGTGGGAGAGCGAAAGCCAACTGCGAAGAAGCCGCCTTCGAAGTCCCTGTTGCCCGTATGTGGAGATTCACCGTCCCCAGCAGTGGCGCGGTCCGAGATGCCCGAGGGGTAGAAGGTAAACCTCGCATCGTAGTCATAGCCGGTGCTATGGTCCAAGTTACCTGGAGGAGGAGAGGGAAGCCTGAAGTCGAACTCGGTACGAGACACGATATCCGGAGGGGGGGTGGGAAATCTGTAGTCGAACTCGGTGCGAGCCAAGGGGTCGGATCTCGTCTGAAAGTGCCATTCATGTTCGTTTGCTTCGAGTTCTGGTGCCTCAGCCGACACGTGAGCTTCAGAGTTCTGAGTATTCGTTTCACCAGCTAGGTGTTCCGTCTTCAACCTTCTGATGATTTCGTCGATATCCTCTAGAAAATCACCCTGGCCATTTGAACCGGTATCAGAAGGTGACTTCGGCCGGAAATACTCAATGTCATCGGTTATCTTCAGTAGCCAGCTGTCCTTGCCTTGCCACTTTTGGAGCCATTCGCGACAGTCGAAGTTGTTGCAGAGGTCTCTTCCCATCTGCACCCAGCCAGGACGGGGGGCGCCAGAGGGCACAAAGATTGACAGCCTTCGCTGCCCATTTGAAAATTTCTCGGCCAAGAACTCCATCTGCGGGCGCTGGCTGCTGACCATAACGTCCCCGGAGACGTTACAGTGGACGATATTCGAGTCTTTCGACCTTTTGTTGGGTTAGCGGATATTGCGGAGAACAATTGGGGGGAGGGGTGTCTTACCGGTTAATGTTTCCCTTCAACCCAACGAGAAAATCTTCCGAAGAAGAAGAAAGAACTCCGTGTCCACGCTGGTTCGCGTGCAGCGTCTCAATAACTTTTGGCAACCATGTTATTGTTTCAAGGGTTTTTATTTTCCAGACATCAAATAGACGCATTCCCTCTTCCCTTCCCAAGGCGGTTCCTCCAATGTGCATGATGATAAAACCGGGTCTTCCCAATAAACTAGATATCGGCAAGTCGTCCATCAAAGTCGGACGTAGACCACCTTCGGGGACGACAGTATCCTTGGGAAAATACGGACTTTCCAATAGATTGATAACGATAACGTCAAAATGCGGCGCTTTAGGATCAAATGCCTTCCGGGTGCTAGTTTCGTTCATTCTGTCGTCCGAGAGTGTAGGTGCAGCTCCGCAATCCTCCAGAGCGGAAATGATGGTGCTCGGGTGTTCATCCCACTTGATATTGAATCCATGGTTTCCTTTTTCATCGTTCTCCTTCGCGATTTGGATGGCCTTAAGGTATTGGAACTGTCGCATCTTCAAGGTGTTGCCAAACACTCCGTTGCCATTGTCGTCGGCGTTCATGATTGTCTGAGCGGGAAGAAAGTCTTCGTTGACAAGAGAGATCTCCGTCAACTTGTTGTCCGAGCAATCCAACCTGGACGAAACGGTGAATTTTGATTTCATAGGTGTTTCGAGGTCGAGCTCCACGTTTCCCTCGCCGTCGAGAGACTCGGCGTCGTCCTCACCCTCTCCCCCGAGATTATTGTACCAGTGTTCTGGGTGCATAATTACTGCGACGGACTAAGCGATGTCAGTATCAGTGAATCTTGTCACCGAGAAGATGGTTTGTACGAGCAAGTGCCAAAGAGGGTTCGGGAAGAAGCGACAACATACATTATTTATCAAATAGGAATTTGGATTATTGGCGACAGGTACGTGGAAAGCTGGTGGAATGATTATGACGGGGGCACGGGATAGTTATGGCGGGGACGCGGGATGATTATGGTAGATACGAGGGAAGCAAAAGAAGAAGAAGAATATCGTGCGATTTATAGGTGGATCGGGGAGCGTTCACATCATGTGTCTACGCTAACACCACGCTAAGGCCTCGTTGTGACTAGCGGTGTGAGTACAAATCAATGAGGTGTGAGAAAAAAGATGCCGAGTACTGTGATTGGCCAACAAACTCTCTGCAACAGTTCTTTGTAGATAGGGCAGACCCTTTTGGGTTAAAACAACTCAACGCCCGTTACATATATGAGTATCGAGTATTGACTCTTGTAAAGCCCGCCGACAGATTTCGACCCGCCAAGACAATTTGGCCAGTCCCCGCCGAGAGAATTCGACCCGGCGATTGAGGTCACTAGTCTCCCGTTGATATACTACATCCCAAAGGAGTATTTTTCACTCAACTAGACACCCTAGTCCGTTTGAAGCGTGGTCCAGAAAGCAGCAGTTGATAGAAATACTGTTTGGGTCTCTCCTAGTAAGTCACGAGAAGCAGACGGCACCGATATCAGCGTTTAAATCGAGGGCTGACTACATGTTGAGGAAAGCATGTGGATCTACCCAAAGGGATCGGACGCCTAGAGAGAAAATCGCTCTCCTAGAGCAGTACGACCCGTATCTGACGCTGCTTGCCGTAATAATACAACTTGTTCGGGTCGAAGCCGGGTTGGCGAACTCACATGACGGATCCCCAACCGCGGTGGCGGGCGAGTTTCCGCTCGTGATGACGGCGCCGAGTCCCACGACCAAACCGCCGAGGGCAGCCATGTCGAAGGAAAGGGCGACTCGTGTTGCGAGCCATCAATCTAGCACAAAAAAAAGGTTTAGAGAAGCCTTTCGCCCAAGTGAATTCCAGAAACAAAACCAATGGCAGCCCCACCACCTCCAGATACCGAAGAACTCCATTCGAACCCTCCGACGCCACCCAGCTCCAAGGCCCCGACTTGCGGTGTCTGTTACGAGCCCATACCCCGGGGGAACAACAGCCGCCTACTCCCCTGCGGCCACAACGATCTGTGCGTCGCGTGCGTCGAGGCGTGGCTCCGCGAGCAGCGCTCCGACGTCGATGCTACGTGTCCCTACTGCCGTGCGGAAGTGACGTTCGTTGAGACGCCTGCCGGTAGGCGAGGCGTCGAGGAGTTCTACCCGGACGATCAGAACTACATCTACTGCGACTGCGACGAGTACACCCACTATGACAGCGATGGGGAAAGCCTCTATATGTACGACGAAGACAGCGAGTGGGAGATGCATCTGGTCTCGCAGCCGGAGGCTGCGAGCGGCGGGTTTGTCGTCATGGAACAGACCGTGGAAAGAGTCGCGGAGCAGATTGCAGGCCTGACGCAGCAGTATCCGGACTGGAGGCTCCCGACGCCTCAGGCACCCCCTGGTTCTCCCGCTTCTCAAATATACGGATATGATCTTAACACCCTCGCCACTGCTGCGCTTGAGGTTGAAGGCGGTGCAAGGCTCCCACGAGAGGATCCTATGGATGTAGATGTGGAAGAGGGCCGAGCTGGAGATGGGAGGCAGCAAGGATACGTCGCAGATGGGAGTGTGAGCGAGGTACGGATCTCAGAAGAGGACGCCGAGCTTGTAGCAGAGTTCCCACTCAACAGTTGGTCACCGGACAGTGACTGGGAGTTCCAACATAGTGAACGGTAAAGATGAGATGATCCCATCAGGACGAGCAATAGTGATATGTTTCTTTTTAGTTTCTAGATATATACAGGCTCCTGATCGTGTATGTTGCTGCCGCTATGGTGTACAGCAGGTTGTAGACGCCGAGTTTCTTCGTCGAGATGTTCGGCAGTGCCGGAACGAGATGAAGCAGTACTGCCAAAGTCAAAGTTGCTTCTCTGGCCGCTACATGAGGGAGTGGGATTGATCGTACCTAAGATATCGCTGAGAGTGACGCGATCACCTCCGGTGATTCCTTGTGACTCCGCGGCTTGAGCTGCCAAGTTTCGAGGAATACGGATACATGCCTTGGCTGAAAGTCAGAGTAAGTGTTTACTCGGCTCTCTCGAGGTGTTTTCGTCACCCGTAACTTACAGATAGATAGATGTTATGGTGAAGAGAGTATTCTCGCTCACTGTATTTCTCATGGGGCAACGTGAAGCAGACGCTCCCTCAGTTCCCACTCGAAAAATCGATATAGATGGGTTCTTCATTCCAGTCCTATTCGATTCGGAACTCTTCAATGCATAAACCGCATATATACAGCAAAGATATCAGGTGTACCGTGTGTTTGGGGCCTCAAAGATGGCCAGACAACACAGGCGTAGAACTATAGTTGCGGAGTGATATCTGCTGTATATGATTCTTGCCAGCATCAGTTCAATGCTCCTAGCATTGCTCGTATCGTGTCGTGTATCCTAGCTTTCATTTGAAAATTTATATTCTTTCTGCTGGGTAGCATAACTTCCGAATCGTCGTCTTCCGATAGTACTGCCAGTGTCATCGCATGTCGACTCGCCTCAGCCCATAGGTATCCCGGTCGTCGGGGATAAAACGGGCTTCGGGCTTGGGGAAGAAGAGAAAAGTACTCAGACATCTGTCGTGAGTCGTGAGCGTTTACGGGACTTCTAGGTATACCCACGGTAAACATGGTAGGTATTAGCCCGCCGGGCCGACCAAAGGTGGGGCCTAGGATATGTAGAATCCTCCGGGCCAGTCTGACTGCTCCAACCAACCGGTCGGCCCCGCCAATCCGGCCATGTATGTACCATACACGGGCGTCCTTATCCTCATCCAACCCCGGGTGACCCGGTGAACCATCGGCCATCCCCACCACCACCGGCCACCACCGACCCCCACCGTTAGCTTAACTAATGCATGATCAATGTTCCAAAGTCACCGGAGGGAAGAACCATAAGTTGAAGATTGGAGCTAACAAGGTATTTAGGTACCTACTTCCTACATACTTACGTACTTTATCCAGCACTCGATTCCCTCCCTCCCTCCCCGTATTCGAGAATCGTCCGATATTCGACCGCCCCGCCCCGGATCGGCGAGCTTGCAACGGGTTTACGGGTTACGGGTTTACGGGAGTGCTTCTCGATCGACCGGAGGTTATTGGAACTTTGAAGGGCAGGCTTTGCGCATGGGTCGGTACTCTACCGCATACCGCATACCGTACTCGTATGTAGAGAGTGAAGTGGTGCGGAGATCGCAACCCTGACGGCCACTAACCTCTCGTGCATTCGATATGTACGATGCATGGAATCGTGGAATCGTGGAATCGATGCGGATTCGGAATTCGGGAAGGCTACCAAGTTTATGCATAGGATCTGCAGCTCGAAGCTCAGAGATCTTGTGGCTGGATTTATGCTGGAGTATGTAGGAGGTATGTCGCGTGAGCACGTAACTACCAGTAAATAGTTGAGACAACAGCCAGGTACATAGTTATGCATACCTATTTCCCGCGTATCATTCGAAAAAGGCGCATACCCACCCTAAGCCATACGGGGGCGAAACAGGAGAAACACTTTTTGTGGAGAGTGGGATTCGGAATACCTATGCCAATCGATTCAGCCCCTTAGTTTAGTGGAATAGTTGTGGAATACTCTAGCCGTGGAATACCATGGGGGCGAGTGCTTTACTACCTATTAGATGTATCTGTCTCATGTCCACACCGGCCGAGACCCGGCGTGCATGGTATCGTCATGGACCCATTGCGCCACTGACGAGTGGGAACGAAACGGGAACTTCTCCTTCTCCGAGCTCGAGATGAGATGAGGCAGGACGGATAGCCAAGCACGGGTCGCCATCATCGATCCCGGAGGGACTGCCGACTGGAGTCTGACCCGGTCGGGATGCTATGTACGAGTGTGAGCGGTCTGCGGCGCGGTGCATATGTCGAGCAACTGCTTGCTTACTTTTATGTACCAGACCTAAATCTAAGAAGAAGAAGAGTTCGAGATCGCGCATGATTTACGCCCGCCGTTGATTCTCCTGCATCAAATCTCCCCGGCCGGAACAGTGCTAGTTAGCTGCAGCTCTGGCGCACATCGTCGAGCAAGCTAGAGGGAGCGCGGGTGCTTATGCAGTTTTAAGCGCGGGTTGGACACCTTAGTTAACCGTTGACGGATTGAGCCGTGGTGAGGATCGTTGGTTAGTTAAAGACCAATACGAAGTATCCAGAGTGCATAATGCACATACATACCACTGAAATTTCACCCCGACTATGGTACATATTATTCACGCGAAAGTGGATTGAGCTTAACTACAGACCTAGTCCAAGGCTTGTCTGGTCTTTAATGTGGTTGGGATCCGGGCGTCGGGAAGACTACGACCAGCACGGAAGCTCGGTCTGTTGCTCGGGGCTGTTTGTTTAATCATCATGGCACTTACATAACTTTCCGGTTCCACCCCACTGTCACTGTGTTGCTCGGGCAGGTTTCACCAGGATATCGATGCTGAATCCCAGCTCGCGTGAGAGGCTATGAGATTACTAGAGTAGGTACCTCATAGGTGCGTTGAACTTCAGCATCCGTGCTCTCACAAACGAAAAAGCAATTCGGATAGATCCTTCGGAGAATCCTTATTACCTTGTTCCGGGCATGGATGGGGGCGCACCACTATTGCATGTGCTGTGCCGTTCCATCTCACCAACTGGAGCCTGTGCGGCTACAAAAACAAGGGGCAGCCGCGGGCATCCGGAGTCGAGGCGGAGACCGCAGCGCCCGAGATCGAATCGACGGCAATCGACGACGACTGCAAGATTCGCATCGTGGAAGGTTCATCGTGGCGAGAAAACCCTCGAAACGTGAAAGTCCATGTTTTCGAGTGCGTATCGTGTCCGAAAAGTTTGCAATAGATGAAAGACGCGCCACCGTGGCGCCTCGTTGACATACAGGTGAGAGGTTCTTCGGGGTGCTGCTGGGCCTGCGCTGCGATTCCTGTGCCCGGATAACAGGTATCCAGGTATTAGTGAATGTAACCTGTGCTCCTTCTTACGTTTTCGCGCTCAGGGGGTCCTGTCCTTTCCGTGCGGTCCAATAGGTGGCACAGTTCGAACAATCACCCCGGAGTATGTAAAATCCTAATTCCCTTGTAAGCAAGCAGCTTTCCTTTCTTTTGCCCGAAACGGGAACCCCTACGGAGAATCAATTCCGAAGAAACCCCCCCCTCTCCTCTCCGCTGAGTCTTCCCCGCTCACTCACAGACTTGCACGCGCCCACCGGAAGCTGGAACCCTACAACCTGTAAGCCTTGTCGATAGACACCCATCGCCACCCACTGACCGAAGCTATATCGGATGGCGTCGTCGGCGGCGGCACTCCCTCTTGCCTTGCATTCAGGAGCCATACCTACCGGTAGGTACTGGTATCTGCCTGCCTGCTCTTTCCTCTGCGCAGAGTCATATTTACATACATTTCCCCTTGCCTTAGGCCTCGGCTCCCAGTCTTCCAGGCTGCGCCGCCGCAATTACACACATCTACAGCATTCGGCACATCCGTGCCTGACATCTCGCTTGGGCTCGTGGTTTCTTTTGCCGCGTTTCAATCTGTTTCCTGGCCGAGAGGAGGAGGGGGATGTCTACACGACTCCGGAATGCTTGTTCGTTATCCCAGCCCCCCATTGGGCATCTCCTTGTCACGGTATCGCAGAGCAGGTAGTACGAGTACCTATGCCCCTCCTATGCACCGACCGTAACGTGAGATTACTGAAGGAACGACGCTATGTGTTCACGGCGTAGTTGCTTTTTTTCGAGGTTCCAGCCTCACTGATGTCAGAGTAGAGTACAAGAGTAGGGAGTATTTAGACGGGATTCGCACCGAAGCTAGAGGCGGCGAATCCCGGATAATCTCGAAGGATATTCTGGAGGGTCGAAGCACAAGAAGCAAGCGGGCTCGTCCGTGGAGGCAAAATTGGTGCGAGGAGAGCTCTGGGCAACAGCGCAGCATCAGGATGCGAATGGTGGGATTGGGTGCTAGTTGCTACTCTGGTTAGTATATAGACTAATAACTCCATGGAGTACCGTGGTACATGGACGCCGGCTACGCTTGCACCAGCGATAACCGCCGTGCACAACACGCCAACCAACCAAGACCCACTGAAATACCCACAACCAGGACACAGGAACAACATCAACGCGGACTCCCACTTGCAGCAGGCATCTCCAAAGAAAAAACGTGTTCGCCCCTGAATCCTTGGTGGATGGAGAAAGGCCCGTATCTCGGCATCGATTGAAGGGGCGGTGTTGGGCCCTCTATGCGCACGAGGAACCGCACTCTCCCCCAGATCTCCCTACACGAGAAAGCGAGCGAGCGGCTTGCTGCAGGGGGCACTTTATACGCGGCCGCTAGTTGGCTCGGTCGGTGTAACCGTGGATTCACGCCCGTGGCCCCCCTCGAACGTTGGCGATGTCCCATGGTTTTATTGCACCAGCAGCAACAGCACGCATGGACGCCCCCCCACCCCCGGGCACAGCAACCTCCGCCTTAACTCCCCCATTCTGCGGCTCGCTAGATGCTGAAACTGCTACCAGTGATGTGCCTTTGACCTCGTATGTGCTCTACTATACTGATCGGCCCTTGGACTTGCTGCCATGGTTGGCCGACGAGAAACTCGGGTTCCAGCCAGGGTGTGGTCCGCTGGGGATGTCGCCAATTCAAAATACAAATACACATTAACGCCCACATTTCCACTCGCTTTTCCTCACCAAGCTGGCCTATCACCACATTCCTTTACATCGTCTTCAAGCTCCCGTGCTTCATTCGCCACCCAGTTCTCTGTGTGTAACTCTTGAAGAGTTTCCACGTCCAATCCTTTACTGTTGCACTTGAGCCTCGATCGACGAACATCACGAACAGCCCCCAACTTTACATCCTCGTTCAAATTTCAAAACCGACATCCACAGTAGCCGGATAAAAACAATGAAGTACTTATTCGCTCTCTCCGCTTTGGCGGGCTTGGCTTCGGCCCACAGTATGGTCTCGCATTTCCATGTCAACGGAGTCGCCGATTCGTCGTGTGTCCGTCAGGCATCCAGTACAAACCCTATCACCGATCTGTCGAGTGATGCTGTATGTTTTCTCTGAAGATTGCCCCCCGCGGTTCCGCAACTGATGTCTAGTAGATGGCTTGCAATATTGTTTCGAGCAAGGCAACCAACAAGTGCACAGTTCAAGGTATGATCTAGCTATGCTATGTACGAGGTGGCATCACTCTACTCTTGCTAACCATCCATATAGCCGGCGATATCGTTGGGTTCGAATGGCGTGTCGATCCGCAAATTCCTGCCGCCGACTATCCTCTCAACGATGAAGGCGAAAGGGTCGGTGTCACCGACACGAGCCATATGGGCCCATGTGCGGTGTATGCCAAGAAGGTCTCAGATTCTACCTCTGCGACGGCTCCAGGCGATGGTTGGTTCAAAGTAAGACTGACCCTTATCGAGCACGCAAAGAGCTTTCGTTGACACATGAGATAGATCATGGAGGATGGACTCGACTCGAACGGTGTGTTCTGCACCACCAGACTAAGAGAGGCCAATGCTCTGCAAGAGGTCACCATTCCCAGCTCCATCGAAGCCGGAGACTACATCCTCCGCGCCGAGTTCCTGACCCTCAACGATGCCGGCGCCAAGAGCATTGGTGGCCAGGCGTCGCCCCAGTTCTACCCGGGTTGTGCCCAGGTCACCATCACCGGAACCACCGGAACTGCGAAGCCAGAAACCGTCAGCATTCCAGGCTACGTCAACATCGACACCCCAGGCTTGATCTTCGACGTGTGGAACAGCGAGACGTTCAAGAACTACCCGATGCCTGGCCCCGCGCTCTTCGTCGACGGCACCTCTCCCGTGAGCCAGCCCATCGTACCTACGAGCCAGCTCGCTGTGCCCACGAGCCGGACAAAGACCTACTCGACCACTTACTTCCCCACCTTCACTCACTTCGCATCCGTGACCCCACTCCCACTCCCGGTGCTGGTGACAAAGACGTACTCTACCACGTACTTCCCGGTGTACACCAGCTTCGCCAGCGGCGCCCAAAACCCCAACAAGGACCCCACGGCCGGCGAACCCTACCCGACCACCTACTTCTCCGTCTACACCAGCTTCGCCAACGGCGCGCAGAACCCCAACGTCGACCCCACGACCAGCGAGTACCTGCCCCTGCCCAGCAGCACCGAGTACCCGGCCAGCAGCATCGCCGAGCCCACCACGGAGGTAGCTCCCGTTGCTCCCGTTGCTCCTGTTGCCACTCCTCCTGTTGCCACTACCCCAGCTGCATACCCCACCGACGTTGCTCCTGTCGCCTCTACTCCGGTAGTGTACACATTCGTGACCGCCACGCGAACGACGAAGGGGAGCACGATTACGCGCACAGCCACCGCCAGCGTGAGGCCCTCGAAGTCGGCGTACTGCGGCAAGTGGTGCCGCTACCAGCAGGCAAAGAAGGATAAGGCCGGGAAGATCAAGAGTAAGAGCAAGAGCCCCAAGTACTATAGCAAGGCTATCAAGGCTAGCAGATCCAGCCAGTCCGGCAAGGGGAAGAAGGGGAGGTATTAAGTGGTTACCACTGGATCGCAGCTCTAGTTTTTTGTTTTTTTTAGGGAGGGGGGGAGGGGAGCGGGGGAGGGGAGGTTGTTTTCGATGTGGTGCACGTTTCTATTCTATTCTTTCGGACTCCGCATTGGCCGGAGAATCGAGAGCTTCAATTGCGTTTTATAAATATATACCCGGTTGGTTTTGTGAGCGTTGCTTATCTTGATGTTCGACGGATCACTTTGGGCAGTTTTGGCAGTTGGCGCAAACGGACGGACAGTTGGAACTTGGAACTTGGAACTTGGAACTGGGAGCGGAAAAATTGATTTTATTAGATGAGGACATGTGCCAAGTAGGATTGGGAGAGTGAAGATTGTGAAGAGTGAGGCGGTGATAGTAGCAAGGATCAAGCCCCTATGTACGCAGCCCGGCTGTATACTGGGAGCGATCTTCCCTAAGTCACTCGACCGCCGATAGTCCACCTATAAAACCACCACCACCTCCCTATTGGACTTCCTCGCCACCACTGGTTTTGGCAGGCGGATCTCCGAGGTTGCTGGGGGAGATACAGCAAGCGAGGTTCCTGGGTGGGAGCTCAGGGAGCGGGAAGACAGACAGGCGGATCACACTCATTGAGACGAGATGGAAAGGAGGAGGGCGCTGACTCTGAGGCTGAGGAGCCGGGGTCACTCCCGCTGTTTCTCCCCACGGCTTCCTTCATGGCATATTCTGGTGAGAGGGGGTAGGGAAGTCACATCGGCCCGCTTGATGAAAGGTGGGTTGGACAGTAGACAGTGGACATGGGAGTGGGGTGTGTATTGTCATGATCTACCGTAGACGGGTCGCATGCAGTCATTGAGTAAACGGCAAACAAAACTACCACCTCCCTATTCACACTCGAGCCACCCGCGGACCGTACGAGGTCGAATGGGGGCAGTGAAGGAGGAACCGTTTTTGTAACTGCCATGATCACGTAAGGTTGGATACTTGATCAAACAAGACAAAAACCACTACCTCTCTAACTACTCCTCCCTCCTTTCTCTTCTCTTCAATTCTCCTTGATATGTATGTCTTACCCACCCCATCAACACATTCAAATTTCAATCACATGCTGACTAATTATTTTAGACTTTAGTCGTTGGGCTTAGATCAAGTGTAGTGGGTATCTCAGTATCTGTTCTTTTCAGTCTAATATTTGAACCAGTCCATCAGACTCTTTCGTATTCTGTAAAACATGGGTTGACCACTATGCTTGCGCGTGTCGACGATCATCATGCCACTGGTACTACAAAGCCTTTCATTGTTTTCCTGGCTGCATGCAAGGAGACGAAGAAAGATGACGGTGCGAGAAAGCAGGTTCCCGAGTGATCGGCTCAGCTGATTCAGACGTGACGGCTGCGGCGAAGAGAGGGAACATACGGCGGCTGCAGTCACGGTGGAGAGAGAGATCTTCCTGTTTTATTTTGCGAGTGATATTGGTGACGCGGTTAGGCCACGAGCAGAATCGAAGTGTAGTGAAGCCCTAACTCGGCCCACCGTTCTCGTGCATCCACTTCAACTTGCTTCAGAAAACGGAATTGTTTGTTTGTACTTCGACACCCAACACGACTTCACGACTTCACGACTTCACGACTTCACGACTCACGACTCACCGCAACAAAAACCAACCACCAAAAACATCATCAACATGCTCGTCAATCTCAACATCCTCCCGGTGCTCTCGGCCCTCATCGCCTTCACCGCCGCTGCTCCCGGTCCTCTCTCTACCGGCCTCGTCTATTCTGACACCAACAAGCTGGTCGACTACACTCACATCTCCATTCCGGGTACCGGCAACGCCGAGCAGGTCAACGTGGCCGTCCTCCCCGCTCAAGCCGACACCGGCGACAAGAACAACTACCAAGACAAACTCGTCCGCGGCACGGGTTCTGGTTCGGTCGACGAGGTGAACGGCGAGGGCTGGGGCAAAGTAAAATGCGAGACGTCGTGGGCGTCTCCGACCATGTCCGAGATCGACGGGCTGATCGCCAAGGTCTACGACAAGAAGAACTGGAAGACCTGCAGCTACTGGCAGAGCAACGGCGGTGGCTCCATGTGCACGCAGATTGCGAAGTCGGACGGCGGCAACGTCTCCCTCTGCGGTCGGTACAAGCAGGGCCTCGCCTGCGAGGACATCATCTGGGCTATGCTCGAAGTTAAGTCCAGGTGCGGAAATCACGGAATGAGCAGGGCCGGCGGTTACTACATTTTCTTTCAGTGGAACTTGAGGGTTGTGCTGCATTAGATGGGCGGTTGTGCTAGGGGGGAAATAGTGGTGGTGGCGCGCTCGAGGAGATAATACATCACTGCTTCTTCCTCTACTTGCATGTCTTGATGTGATTTTCTTCGTGCCCGCTGGATGAGCCAAGGATCGTGATGTGCTGCTGTCTGTCGTGGATTCATACATACCATTTACATAGCGCCTCCTTTGCCCAAGATCGGTAGTTGCACGCTATGGACTGCCATGCTTGAACATACAACTGGTCTCATCACTAATTACATGCAGCCTATCTAGACTATGGTACATACCAGTTAACATGTGTACTCACCTCAAAGCCTCTATATTCCGAGCCAGGCACCCGCCACTGTAATTTCCGCACAGCACTGTCACCTGTAGTTACGTTCCATCGACGAGTGATGCCACGTGCTACCGCCATCTAGGTACTTCCCCAGCCGTAGCGCCAACCATGCCTTAAATTCCGTACTCGCTCTGGCTCCGGACTCACACCGCCCCCCAGCAGAACAATGCAATATCGCAGTTTCCCGAGACACCATGGGTACATACACACCCCGAGCAGTGGTTCCAACTCGCAAGCCATCTGCTGCCGGGGGGCTTATAGGCTTCATGGGCGCAGGAGTGGAATAGGATAGAGAGGCTACATTCTAGGGTTTATACTTGTTCATATTCCGTCACTCGCGAATATTTTACGCACGCAGAAGCCCCCGCCCCGCCCCCTCCGCTGGGTTGCGATAGGCCTAGGCTATATAGGAGCAATGGAAACTCACATCGAGCCACCAGCAAACAGCATGAGAACGGGGGCAATGGGGGCAATGGGGGCACACGGTTTTGTAACTGCCATAATCTGCCTACATGAGATCGAAAGCATTGAAGATTCAAACAAAAAAAACACGCTAACTTGCTACCGATGCTATGGTCTAGAGAGGTCGAATACATCAGAATTAAACGAAAAAAATCCGCTGGCTCGCTGAGTCTTTCTAGAGGATAATGAAGGAGCCATTTCGGCCCCTCACCTCATTGTTACTTCACAAATGAAATCTATATCAAGCAATTGCAAATTGACATGTGTTTAAACAATCGGTATCATTTTCTTCCTCCTCTTCATCCTCCCGCCTCCCCCCGCCAAAGCCAGCTTCGACGTTACTCGTGGATCTTATCAGTGGCAGCTGCCCTCCTTCTCATCCTGACGTAGAACCAGGCAGCGCCGCAAATGATGGCGAGGATGAACAGCAATTCACCGAACGACAGACCGTGGGCCTTGGCCTTCTCATAGACGCCGTGGGGGGCGACGATAACAGGCTCGGACTTGTCGAGTTCAAGCTCATCGATTGCAGCGCCGGCGGGGATGCCGGCTGGTGCGTTTGGAACGGGGGATTCGGGTTCTACAGACACGAGAAAGGAAGCACAGGCGAATCAGCGAATGCTCTTATTTCTCTTGATCGCGATCGAGCTAGATAACAAAAACACTGACTTGAAACATATCCACATTTTTTTTCTACATAAAAAGACCGTAGGTGGGGGAGGGGCAGTTTAAAGCTCCTTGTGAATACCTTCAGCAGGAACCTCCAACTCTCCGCTCTTGACGATCTCCACGTCCGGCTTGGGCTTGTCGCCGTAGCTGGTCTCAGCGTTCTCAATCGCGGTGACGATCTCCATGCCCTCGAGGATCTCGCCGAAAACGACATGCTTGCCATCGAGCCAACTGGTTTGGGTGTCAGTGCGTGTTACAAGGTGGGTAACAGAAAAGAATGTATGTGTATGGGAAGGAGGGGCAACGGAGAGGAGCTCAGAAGCAGATTATCAACAGATGGATGTTCAGACAGGGATAACTGTTTGGAATGGTTGTTTCATCATTGGGTGGAGGGGTGGAGGGGTGGTGTATGGGGTGTGGCATTCCGGGGCTACTCACGAAGTGACAACAGTGGTAATGAAGAACTGCGATCCGTTGGTGTCCTTTCCGGAGTTGGCCATGCTCAAAAGTCCGGGGCGAGTGTGCTTCAGCTTGAAGTTCTCATCGGGGAACTTCTCGCCATAGATCGACTTTCCGCCGGTTCCGTCGCCCTTGGTGAAGTCTCCTCCCTGGATCATGAACTTCTTGATGACACGGTGGAACTTGGAGCCCTGGTAGCCGTAGCCCTTCTCGCCGGTTGCCAATGCGCTACACACGCCAGTCAGAAACCGTGGTTGGGTGTCGAAGAGGGAGGGGGGAGCTCACCGGAAGTTCTCGGCGGTCTTGGGGGTGGTCTTGCCGTAAAGGCCGATCACAATGCGGCCGAGTTCTTTATCGCCATGCTTGATGTCGAAGTAGACCTAGTAATCGCCGTCCGTTAACATGCCATGTACGTAACCAACCGACTCCGAGTTGGTTGTTGGTGTTACCTTGTTGGTGATCAGAGGTCCCTTCGCTGCCTCAGCAGACTGGATCAGGAACGAGAGCGTGATAGCGATGAGCACGAAGAGTGCAACGAACTTGTGTAGGAAAGCCATTATGACAATGGTGAGGGTTTATTGAGGAAGAAGTAGAAAGAAGAAAGCAAGATGTAGGCGCCGTGAGGAGCTTATGTGGCCCTTGGGACAGCTGGGTTAGGGCTCTGGGGAGGTGTAGGGATTCGGTACTTAGGCGGCTAAATAAGAGTACATACTTCGTACCATACGGATAGATAGAGTTGTTGCGTTTCAATCGAGGCTGCCGTGGAACCCCATTACAAACCTTCAAACGGGGAATGTCTCCAGGAGAAGTCCACTCCAGTCTGCTGCATAGCTGCAGCGTTGTATACTTTCATATGTATCACTCGGTCTTGTCGGGTCTCACTCAGCTCGGACCGGATTATGAGGAACTGAAGTGAATGAGGAGAGATTGACTGCATCTGACAAGCATCCAAGTCGAGGAAACCCAATTGACAAAACAAACAGCCATGATATTTCCAGCATAACAAAAAAGGAGAAAGCAAAGACAAGATGTAGTAGTAGATTTAATGCATATGAGAAATGGAGATGTGCGGGTGTAGCAAGGAATCCATCATACACGCAATAAAAAGAACGAGACCTCCCGATTTCTGCACAAACACGCCTAGTACTACAGTGAAAACCATACAATCCCCACCCATAAGTCAACCGTTCACGTCTTTTTCGCGCTCCCCAAAGAGAAACAAAAAAACGCAAGCCAACTCCGACCGAGCCAAGTAATTTTTTGCATCTAACGTATGTAATATTTCCATTGGTCCCGTCTGTTCCGTACGTCCGTCCATCCGTCCACCCGCCCACCCGAAAACATCCTTCCTACCCTTCCTGCCCCTTCTACCCTTCCCTCTCCCATTCACATCATCCAGGTTTTGGTTTGGTTGTTGCAGTGGTGATTGGGTGTTTAGGCCTTGGGAGGGGTGTAGACGAGCTTCCTGTTCTTGATCGGGGCCCACTTGTATCGCTTGACCCACATCGAGAGAGCGGTAAGGACGGCGGTCACGGCGAGAACCTTCATTCCCATCTTCTTGCGCTGGTCCATCTCGGGCTCGGCGGCCCAGTTGAGGAACTCGGTGACGTCCTTGGCCATCTGGGAGGTGGTGGCGGGGGTACCGTCCTCGTACTCGACAATACCGTCGTAGAGAACACGGGCCATGGCGATACCTAGTCAAGTCAGCTTCAAGTACCTTCCGAGTGGACCTGACGGTTGAGATAGGAAGTGAATGTACCGGTTCCGGGGAAGTAGGGGTTGAAGTTCAAGCCCTCGGCAACGTTGGCACCAACGGGAACCTCATCGGGGTATCCAGTCAGCAGCGAGAAGATGTAGTCGCAACCGCCGTGGCGGGCCTTGACGATCAGCGACAAATCCGGGGGAAGGGCTCCCTGGTTGGCAGCACGGGCGGCCTGCTCGTTGGCGTAGGGTGATGGGATGTAGTCCGAGAGCTTTCCGGCGCGCTTGACGATATCACCGGCATCGTTGGGCTCGTCGTCGTACTCGTTCTCCTCGGCCATAGCCTTGGCCTCGTCGACGGTGTGGGTGACACCGACCAGGGTTCGCCAAGGAACCAGACGGAGAGAGTGGCAGGAGGCGCAAACCTCACGGTAGACCTGGAATCCACGGCGGAGACTGGAAGTGGTGGTCAGAATATAATGTCGCGCGGCAAGGTGCGGGCAGCGGTTGAAACTCACGCGCTGTGGTCGAAGGTCTTCAACCAACCCTGGTGAGCCCACGGGTATTTCGAGGCGTGGAGACTATAATTCATCCGATATCAGCGAATGCCATTCCCCATCACATACGGTGTCGCAGAAAAGCCTGGCACATACCCCTCCTCGGCCGGAGTCGCAGCGTGCACATCCGACATGAAGCCATACTGCTGGTAGTACAGAGCGACGGAACCGATGGCGACAGCGGTAGCTGCGGTTCCGGCAATGTTCAGGTTTCTGGGGGACGCCTCGGAGGCGGAGGATGTGGAAGCGGCACGCTGTGCACATGAGGTGTGTCGTTAGCACTGTTGTAGATGTCTCCTTCGATTAATGCTTTCCATCTTCGAGGTTGCCATCCGACCTCGGCGTTGAGGGTATGTAGGGGGGGTGTGGGGGGGCATGAGGGACATACCCTAGCGGCCTGACGAGGAATTGACCTCAAGGTCGTCGAGCGGAGGCACGATCGGGCGAACATGTTGTAGGAGGTTTGGGCGGATATCACGACGGACGAGAACCCTGCCTGGTTGGAAGGAGTGGAGAGGCGAAGGCGGGATACAGATGGGGGGGTTTGGTGGAGGACTTCTGGTTTTGGGTAGCAGTGGAAAAGATCGGAAGAGGTGATCTTTTGTTTGCGCTAAGCCCGGGCGTGTACGGCTGTGAGGTGGGATAGCGGGGATGCGTATTTTGCAGCACGGGACAAACTTCTAAAGAGCCAAGTGTGATTGGTCGAGGGGCGGGTTGGCTGTGAATGATGGGGTTTTTTTTGTGAAGGGGCCATTGACGAGTCTTCGGACACCGGATAAGATCTAGAATTCAAGAGAGTAACTTTTATTCTTTATCCAGCAAATACATGTTCTAGGTGATTCATAAGACGTTCCGATGCCCGTCGAACGGTCGAAGCCCGTATACCACTGCAACCCTCAAACTCTGACCTCATTGATTCATGAACGTTAACTTTCCGAATCCAATACAGAGTGGCCCTCTACACCATAAAAACTCGCTTAATTGGCATGTAAGCACCTTTGCCATCGCGAATACGAAATCACGGGCAGAGTCGAACTGCTTGGGTTCATGCGATATCACTCACTAGTTCACATCGGGCCGGGAATTTGAACTATGTGCTTTTCCGAGATATTTTATATCTATTAGGCCTCGCCGTCTGAGAATGCGAGGAGTCGAGGGACTCATCTTAGCCACCGAAGCCCAAAGTGAAGCTTGGTAGTACTCGATCGGCCACCCCGGATAGGAATCGCCTGCGTAAGTGCAATTAGGCCGCCGAATGCCTATGGATATTGATTCGCGGCGTATTGTTGCGCCGTGATCTGAAGAGTGACTCCAGCCTCGCTGACCAGAGGCCTGCAGGTATCGTGATTCGACGGGCCCGACCAAAGCGGGGCGACGTAGAACCGGGCCGCGTGGACTGCTTGTGGCGTTTTATGCACATGCCAAAGCCTAAAGCACCCTGGACTGGAAAGCGCCACTAGCTGCACTGCCACACCTTGGTGCTACGGAGGGCTTGCTGGCAACTTTTGCTACGTCGAAACAGAAGAACCCAAAAAGGAGTTCACTACCCACAAGCCAACACCCTCCTTTCCAGTCGCATCACCCACGGATTGCTCTAACGACCACCATTCAACGCCGCGTCAGCTTCTCTGACACACACGATACTTACTCCTCACCTGAGTGCTTTTTTAGTAGATATATCTTCGCCCTCCTAGCTAGGAGAGCACAAACCAGTTGCACAGCAAATCAGACTCGGAACGAAACAACCTCCTCCAACCAAAACCCAATAACCAGCCATGTCGAGAATATCCATTCCCATCAGCATGATTTCCGACCGCTTCGGACTCGGCCGCTTCACCGTATGTTCCTCTATCTCCTCCGAAGCTGGTGTGCTCTCGGTTCGGGATAGCTGTACTGATGGTGCTTCTCCTGTAGGAAGGTGCTAACCGCATGCCTCTGGCCAACCGCTTCTCGAACATTCGTCCTCTCGGCGAGTTCTTCGATTTCAAGCGTATCTCGAAGCCTGTGAACTTTGCTGAGGTCCAGAGCCGCGCCTCCTACAACCTGTCGTACTTCGCTAGCAACTATGCTGTGCTCTTCGTCATTCTAAGCATCTACTCCCTCTTGACCAACCTCCTTTTGCTTTTTGTGATCGGTATCGTCGTCGGAGGCATGTGGGGTATCGGCAAACTTGCAGGTCGGGATCTGGAACTCGGTACGTTCAGCCCTCCCGCCAAACACACGGGGTGCATTCGATTGACAATTGTTGTATAGGTCCTATTAGAGCCACTCCCTCGCAGCTTTACACCACGCTGTTGGTTATCGCGGTTCCCTTGGGCATCATCGCCTCTCCGTTCTCCACTGTCCTCTGGCTCATCGGAGCTTCCGGTGTCACCATCCTCGGACACGCATCCTTCATGGACAAGCCGATCGAGAATGCTTTTTCCGAGGAGGCGGTCTAATGGTCCAGCCGCGAACTCCTTTACATCAAGAAAGATATGGATCAATGGGGGGCGTAGCCGGGGGCGCGGTGGGAGAAGTAATGCGGGCGGTTGGTGGGGGTCCGGGGAGTGGTGCGACGACAAAAAATTCTTTCAACCTTTATTCAAGTGCAAGTGCAAGTAGCGAAGATTTAATCATCGATGATGTTATGGTGGAGCGAGCGAGGCGGGCGCTCGAGAGGGCCAAGAGGAGGGGTGACGGTATGGTGGAGATGGAGGAAAGGGAGTGGGAGGCGTGGCAGAGACATATGGCTATAGAACAGGAGGTCGAGCGGAGAGTTGCGGAGCGCTTGGAGCGGGAGCGTCTGGAGATGGAGAGAAGAAGGTTGGTTACTGTGCCGACGTCATCCCCACGATTACCGACAAGACCAGTGGGGGGAGCGGCGGCACCTGGCATCCTGACGGGCAATGGATTCGCGCCAATCGGAGAAGTGTCGCCACGACAGAAGCCGGCGGTCACCACCAGACAACTTTATCCCGATCCTCCAGTCATCGACAAGTTTATTCCAGACACAGCGTCGCCTCTGTCTCCTCTCGGATCACTAGCTGGCGCATTTCCCGGTGATTCGGATCTCGAACCTCGGCCGATACGTTCGTCTGTTCGACATACTCCGCCTGTTCCTCTCGGCCCTTCATCCTCAACTTCCCAGCTCACCTCTGACTTTCGGTCATCACCTGTTTCAGGACCTCGCGATTTGCCTCCCCGACCTGGCTATTACCCCAACAAGTACCCAGCACTTGCTAGCAGGTCCGAGTCGGACATTGTCTCTGTCTCGGGAAGTGATGATGGCGAAGGAAGCTCGAGTTCTCTATCTGCCGAGGCACTTGCTAGACGCAGGAAGAGGGAGGAATTGCGTAAGCAACTCGAACGGTAGTTAATGATGGCTCTGGCTCTGGCGTCAACGGTAGATTGGATAGGGATGGTTTCTCTTGCTCTTTTGCTTTTTTTCCTTTCGAACTTAGATATTTTGGGTTTCTGTTTTCTTTTGCAAGTTAGAAATGTGCTGCACTCCGAATTTATGATATGTAACGTGATTTCGGACCAGCTTCATCTCGATTCAGACGGTGCATATTCTGTGAATACCTAGGGAACGAATGGTTCTTATGGCAGTGATCAAGTTACGCCGCACGTATGTATTGGAAATTCTTCTCAGCAATACATATCATACTGTGTGGCGATGATCGCGATAAGATTTCACGGATTGAGAGTTCACTGAGGACACGCTACCCTGTGTGACGGTGGTAGCGTTAGCCATAATTAGCCTCAAGTCAAGCACAGCTCGAGAAATACATAAACCTCCACGTTTCCACAACACACCTTGCAGAACGACACAACCAACAAAATCCGTCGCAACCGACAGCAATGCGATCCGCAGCGCTATTCACGTTGCTGCTGTCCAGCGTCTTCGCTGGAGTCTTGGGCTATGGGTGGAGCAAAGAGGGTGCGTACAATCACTCACGGGAAAGGGGAAGGGGGGGGTCGAGTGAGTGAATGACAGCTGATTGAGTTTGAGCAGACCATGAAATCTTTCGCATCCGCGATGAGCTGGAGATGAACGAGGGGGAGGGAGTAACATTCTACGGTACACCCGCTCACCACCCACCCGTGAACCATCTGCATCCGCTCGGGTTACTCATATTCCTGCGTAGATTTCGTCGGCGTCAAGAACGGTCCCGCGGCGTCCATGGACGACATTAACAAGGCCTACCGCAAGACCAGTGCCCGTCTGCACCCCGACAAGTTCAAGCCGGCGAAAGGACTGGGTCGGTCTCAGCAAGCCGCCCTTCGCAAGAAGGCGAGCGAGCGCTTCGCACGTCTGGGACTGATCGCCAATGTCCTCCGTGGCGAGGGCCGGGACCGCTACGATCACTTCCTCAGGAATGGATTCCCGAAGTGGCGCGGCACCGGTTATTACTATGCGAGGTTCAGGCCGGGCATTGGAAGCGTCCTCATTGGAATCTACCTGTTTGTTGGCGTTGCGCATTATGCGGTGCTGGGCTTGACGGCCAAGAGACAGAAGGATTTCATGAAGGATGTCATCCGCGACGTCAGGACTGCTGCGTACGGGCCCGCGGGAATCCCTGGTCTTGAGGGGTTGGGCGAGGCAAGCTCTGCGGCGATGGTTAAGCCCAAGAAGGCTGCTTCCAAGAGGGGTGCCAGCGGGACTGCGTCCCCGCCCACGGCGCAGCGCAAGAGGGTCGGCCAAGCCAACGGAAAGACCTTCATGGTTGATCCCAATGGCGACGTTTTCCTGCTCAACGAGACGGAGGATGGACCTGAAGAGCTCTTGCTAGATCCAAAGGAGATCTCGGGTGCCAGGTGGCGCGATACCACGCTGGTTAAGCTGCCTATGGGTATCTGGGGAATCACGTTGGGTCGGTTCATGCCCAAGAAGGCTGTGGTCGAGGCGGAGGCTGAGGAGGAGGAGGAAATCGTTGATGATTCCGAGTCGGCCGACGAGGTGTTACCGGCTGCTAATGTCAAGAAGGTGGCGAAGAAATTGGTTAGGAGTGGGGAGGGACTGCCGAGACGGAGGGTCAAGGGTCGCGCGGTCAAGAAGGAGCAGAAGTGAAAACCCATGATAGATGTGGATTTGTCTCATAGATTGTGATGTAGTTCGTTTCTTTCGTTAATATTTCGTTTTTTGATCCGGAAATGTAGGAATAAAAGTGATGTCCGTACTCTATACACACGAAAGAAGTGAATATGCGTTGCGTGTTCGTGCACGTCTCAATGTCTATCCCCAGCTCTCACCGCGTGGGCGGTGATGATGCATCCTCCACCAGCCCGATATCTTCCTCTGGAACAAGCCAGAGCAGACGGACAGACAAGAATTGATCCGGTCATCGCAGCTACAAGTATCAATCCGAGCACGCGTAGAGAGTTTCATGCGCTTCCTCCCGCACGCATCGCATCAAACCAACGCATCGACCGGCGCACTGCCGACGGGCTCCGGCCTTCCCGCAAAGACCAACTTCCACCTGACGACCTCAGCCACCTCCAGCTCCTCACCATCCCACTTCCCGGACTCCTCAGCCTCCTCCTCCTGCATGACCACGTCCTCGGCGCTCTCCCCCCCCCCCCCTTCACTCCGCCGCCGCCGCCTCCGCAACACACCAAGCGGCGTCGCCAACTTCCGCAGCTCCCCTATCATCCGCTGGTTCGCGCCGACGTGCATGTACACGCGCTTGTTCTCGGGCCCAAAGTCGGCGGGGAACGTCAGTGTGCCGACGGGAGTGGATGTTGTTGCCGCGGTGGCCGGCGGCGTGTTGATGGTGCCCTGGAGCTCGAGGAGCGCGAGGCCCAGGGGCGTGTGCAGGAGGGGTGGGAGGGGGTTTGCGGGAGAGGCGGCGGCGACGGTCGTGGAACTGGGGGCCGCAGAGAGGTGCAAGGGGAGCGTCGGCATCGCGGTGTGGTGTTGTGGAGGTTGTGAGAGCGGGAACAATGCTGGCGGTGTTGGCGGTGGTGGTCGTGCCGATGGACGACAGCGCCCTAACCCCATGCCCTGCCTGAGCTATGGCCAATAAATAACCACCTGCCAGAGAAGAATCGCTCGGTCCTCTGGAACCAAAAGAATCCACGGTCCCGAGCGTGGAACAACAGCCTATTTATGGGCAAAGGGCCGAAGTGGCATTACCAAACATTATCCGCACCGTGCTCCTTCACCATCCCATTACCACCATTGCCATCTCTAATCTCCACGACCTCAATCAACCGCATCAGTCCAGTTCAATTCAACCCACACCATTCATTGCATTCTAACTATATGAAGTACTAAATACTTAAGATTACACCGGGAGCCAAAATCAACCCAAATGAGAAAAAATTATACAGCATAAAACAAGATATCAAACTCCAGAAACACAAGAGACCAAAGACAAGATCCCAAACCCCCCAGTTTATCCCCGCTTCTAGTTTTTCAGCCGTACGGTCCAAAACAAAATACAAAAAAAAGATTTTTTTACAATTAAGGTAAAGAGTGCTCTAGTTATGGTATGTAAAAAAGAAAGGGAAAAGGAAAAGTGAGAGGCAGAGAAAAGAGAAAGAGTGTAAATCATACAACCGTCAACGCAAAAAAGATATCAAAATCGCTCAATAGGACCCCCCTCAACCTCCTCCTTCCCAGCGGATCTAACGATGGCAAGGAACTCCTCTTCCTTTCCGACGGGCAATATTCCTGCGTTCCAACCCAAGATGCTGAGGACCTCGTTGCGGTCGCCATATAGCTTGTTTTCGAGCACCATCATTATCGCGACTGCTGTTCGCACGAGGAAACTGTCGCCTTCGAACGAGTAGATGTCCCAGAGGCGGCTGGTGATGTCGACGGGCAATTGCAGCGAGAAGAGGGTCAGGAACATGGGCTCGAGGTAGAGCTCCGGCTCGATTTGAAGATTCTGGTGGATATGACGGAAGAGGGAGGGCAGCTTGTACTGGAATGCTTTGAGGAACAGGCCATATGATCTAGATATCTATAGATGCTGTCAGAATATGTTCAATTAATAGGGGCTTGGTTAGATGGCTTACAGCTCCTTCATCATTCGTTAGAAATGCCAATGGAAGTGGTCGATTGAGCATGTTTGCAAGTGTCACAAAAGCCTGCTCAGGTGATTGATTGAGGAGCAGCATTCCGGCCACAGTCTAGCACCCTGTCAATAAAACGAAATATTTTGTGGAGATCGGGGTGCACAAACATGTGAACCATAGATATATCCCACATCGCTGCGGTACATGGCATATGCCATCAAAACATCCCGTAGACTTTCGTATAACGGACCATTTTTCTGTTGCACAGGTTAGCCTACTTCTCTCGATTCGTATTGGGTTTTTACACATACCTGGAAGATCTTGAGCTCCGGGAACGTCGTTTTAACGTCCCTACGAATCGCCTCGAAAAGCTCTCTTTCCCTGGCAGAATACATCGTTGGCGCCTTTAGGACACCAATCTCAATCTCCTTGGCCCTTTTCAAGGCCAATTTGAACGTCTCTGTGCTGACCGCAAGATGGTTACCGAACGATAACGACCACACCTGGCCTCGACACCGCGGAGCAACACCCTTCCACCAGAGTTCCCGCGTCGAGGGCGCCCTGCAAGCACGGTTCCAATTGGGGATAATCTTGGTTTCCCAAACATTCGAGAACTCCAGCTGCAAGCGGTCTCTCTCTTCCTGGTCGTGTCGTTCCTTTTCAATCCTTTTGCGCTCTAAATTCCAACCATCAGACGAAGTCAATTAATGACCACGAACCATAAGGTGTGACGTACCAGTTTCTTGAGACCTTCGCATCATTCGTTGATATTCCTTGAGGTGTCTCTTCTCCTCATCTTTGGATTTTGGTGGTAGCCAGCTGGGGCGTGTCCGTGACAATACCGCTTCCTTTTCTTTGCTGATCGGCAGAGGATCGATGATCCCGTTGGACACCTGGAGCGGCGGTAGTTCGATTGAATTTCCTTTTGAGGCCGGCGGTGTAATCTTCTTCTTGGGAGCTAGAGGCTCACTCCGTCGCTGCTGCAGGCGGTTCACGGTCACCAGCATCTCGGCGTCCGCGTGCGCCTCCAAGGCTTCGCTCAGCTCCTTTGCCTCATAGCCCAAATCCATCATGGCGTCGGTCCAACTCTTCGATCTCATATCCGACCCATCTCGGTCTGACGGGTTGCCGTTTATAGAAACTGGAGCTGATGGAGCGGATAGTGTTCTTTCGGCCTGGTTATCCTCCGGCGGCGGAGTTACCGTTCCGTTTGGCACAACCTCGGTTTCTTCTTCATTATTACTTTCCGGTTCCGGTTCCGGCGTCGGTGAGGCGAGCGCTTTTGAAGATCTCGGGGATAACGGGACGTTGTAGAAGATTGCATCCGGTGGGACCTCGTCGTCAGAGTCGTATTCCTCCTCCAACTGCTCACTGGTCTTTTTCTGCCACGACGTTCGCTTGGGTCCGTACGGAGAGATGCTGGGTCGGTAACCATTTCCCAGGGGCAGTGGTGCAACGCCGGGAGACTGAATGGAAGTCGAATGGCGCGCGGGCGATAGACCTCGAGAAGAAGTAGGACGAGATGGCGCCGGTGATGAGAGGTGCTTCTTGGACCGTCCGTTGGATGCTCCCGGAGCTGCAAGACGATCTACCGGGTGGATTTGCGCAGGGAAATTCGTCTGTAGGGCCGTAAAGGTCGTTCGTTTGGTCTGCGTATGTGTGAGATCCCGCGTCAATCCGGGGAAGCCGCCTGCGCCTGCTCCAACTCCTCGCCCATCCGCGGTCCGGCCCCTGCCGCCTCCGTTGTCGTCGTCGAGGCCGATCTCTTCAAAATCAGTCATGCCATTGAGGATTCCACCGTCGTCGAGCTGGAAGCTCGAAGGAACCGAGGATGTAGACGCCTTCGAGGAAAACTCCGCCGCCCAAAGACCAGCAACATCAGGAGGCATATTCGCAAAAGCCGAGGTATTGTGCATTTACAGGATCCCAAAATAAAGCGAAAATGGACAGTCCCAAAGACTTGCTCCTCTGTCTTCCCCCTTCGCGAAAGTTTTCTGGTGGATGTGATTTTTCTTCTCAAGTCTATCTTCTGGCTGGCCCCTGAGGTTTGTGTTGCGTTGGTGGTTCACCGGGGGATTACGAGGCCTCGTTGGTGTGAGCGAGGGTATGGGGGTGGCAGTGTGGCGCGTCGTCTTCAGGCAGGTGCCCAAAGTCAATCGTGAGTATTATTCCGTAGCCGTTGTCAGCTGTCAAAGCTTCCGTATGTTGCCGTATGTATGTACGTATTCCGAACTCCGAACGCGCGATGCTGCAAACGACGACGGAAGAGCGCGGGATACTTAACGAATGACGTGCGGCCTGAAGCCTAGGGGAGGTAGGTTTGCTGAGAGCGATCGATGAAATCCGAAACCGGGGGAACGACAGAAGCTGACAGGAGATCTAGATAATTATGCTGATACCGGCGGCCGGCATGCAAGACGGGGAACGAAACCGCCTAAGAAAACAAAAAGCAACGAGCAGCGTGTAGGCGGGAAGTATATCGGACGAAGTATGTAGAGTTAAGTGGCCGAGTAGTAAGTACAAGAAGGGTGAGGCTATTGCAACAGATCAAACGAAGGGAATATGTTGCAGTCGACAAAGGTGTGAGGACGCATCAAAAGGGAAGAAGGAAAGAGGAAGAGAAGGAAGGAAGACAGGCAAGGCAGGTGGGGGTTTGTAGGTGTTAGAGGAGAGGTTTCAGGATGCCCTTCTCTCCAAAGGGGGATCTCGAGCCTAGAGGTTCTAAAGTGCTGAGAACCGACCGCACGCGTCAAGGATCTTTAGAACCCACCACCACCACCCAACCCACACGAAGAAAGTAATCTCGAGCCGCTTGGGAGCGTGGTCAACAACCCAAAAGTGAAGGCGTTTAGCGCTTGGACGACGACGGCATATCCAGCCAAAGATGGAGAGAAGGGAAAGCCGAGAAAGAAGGCCTCAGATCCAAGCGCAGGATGACAAGAAACGGCGGATGGTGAAGCAAGCCACGACGGCGGATAGTAACTGACGTGCTCGTTTTCCAGAGTAACTCTCTAGAGTAACCATCTCCCTCTGTCCATCTAGCCCAGGAAAGGAAACTGTTTTTGAGGATTGTAAATATGAAAAAAGCGAAGCAGACCAGGGCAGACGAGGGAAAAGGAGTTGGGCCGATTACAACCCGGTTAGACCACCATTCTTGCGCTCTGGTGGAATTACACCGTCAGTGCTCTAAAATGGTTCCGCATATCGATCGTCAGAATGTGGAAATGGTGCCCCGATTCGACCCGATTCAGTAGGAAAAAAAATGTTGCATGGAAATCCGGCCGCGAGAACATCGATCCGTCTTAAGGCATTTTGCTGACCATGCGATGATATATAAACGCAGTGGAGTCGGCGTACATACCACGCATAATGATGGTGTGCAAGGTGAGGCAGAGATCTGAATTCCGGGAGTTATGTGGAGTAACCAGGGGAAATGCCGTACCTGGTCGGTGGCGGCGGGCGGCTGAGCCCCCCCGCGCCCAGACCCCCATCATGTGGTTGGAAAGGGGCTAGAGGGGTAGGAACACGCGCCAAATTTATCGATCCGGGTCACTCGTGCCTCAACGGCGATTACCTGCGGGCAGCGGGTGTGATTGGCGGGATATGCACTCGGGCTGGATGCCGGTGGACGCCAAGTGAGACTGCATACAAGGTTCGCCAAAACGTTTGGTCGATGCAGCCATGATATTGCGCTTAATTCTTGCTTCAATCCTCTGCACGTTGAAGGCGACCTCAGAGCGAACCAAGCGCCGGGCAGGCACAGGCGCGAAATCTGGCGCTTGCTTCCTGCCGAGCATAAAACTAACTTCGATCCGTAGATGTCTCTGTCTGGCACTAGAAGAGCTATGCTTCCCCCCGCCAAGAGTCTTCACGGAATCCGAGTGACGCACCATGCATCGCTGTAGACACTACCTAGCCTCACACAATCACACCTTCAAGCCGCATATAAAAATCCTCACTTCCGCCACAACTTCTCTTCACCAGTCCTTTCCTCCCCAATTCTAATTCCTTCCATAGTTTCCACGCTGCTCCCCGTCCACGGTCCACAGTCCACATCCAGTGAGGCAGAAGGATGCCATTGATACCGTTCCCATTATAGTGCGAGCCCAACATCCACTCTGCCCCCCGAACATGGTTAAGAGCCAGCGGAGTACGATGGTTTATCCTACATCAGTGTGTTCTCTATCATCTCCTTTGTCTTGCTTATTTCTGGACTGCTCTAGCTGCTCTGCGGCTACGCTTACTTTTGGAACTTTCAACAGTCATACCTTGTATGGCTCTGTATGGCTGTTTATATGATTTCATTCTACTTTTTTCATTGCTGCTCTAGCGGATCGCGAAAGCGAGAACGTGAAGTGGTCGCATGCCCACAACGAGAATCAAGATTCAAGAAGTCTACTTGTTAATAATATCTGCAGTCACGTACATCTAGATCCGGCAAGAACACCAAGCTACACATCGACCACCACCCCCTCCAAGCTCCTCGCCAGCGCCTCGACATCGACCTCGTCGTCTTCCATTATCTTCCTTACACTCGTCGCCCACCTCACACCGGCACGCTCCTTCATCTCGGCCTCGAGCTGTCGGCTTTTGACCGCCGCAAGCTCAAGACAGCTCTTGGGAAGCCCCGCCAGCCGCGCAACATTGAGACCGTAGCTCCGATGCGCCACGCCCTCCGCAACACGGTACAGGAAAGTGATGTCCTCGCCACCCTCGCCGGCCTCTTCGAACGCCATGTGTGTGTTTGTCACCTCGTCGGGATACATTTCCCCGAAGCGGGAGAGGAGGGGGTAGTGTGTGACGAAGAGGAGGAGGGCTTTGAGGTCTTGGACTATGTAGTCGAAGACTGCATGCGCGATGGCGACACCATCGTGCGTAGACGTTCCGCGGCCCAGCTCGTCGAGGATTATGAGGCTGCGGGGTGTAGCTTGCTTGAGGATATCGGACGTCTCGGATAACTCGACCATGAAGGTTGATTCGCCGGCCATCATGTTGTCGAATGCTCCCATCCGGGTAAAAACCGCGTCCAGCAGCCCGAGGGTGGCGGATGCGGCGGGAACGTACGAGCCGATCTGGGCCATGATCGAGATGAGGGCAATCTGTCTGACGTAGCTGGATTTACCGCCCATGTTGGGTCCGGTCACGAGCATGGCGCGCTTGCTGTTTTGGCAGAGAGTGATGTCGTTGGGGACGTATGCGTCAAGGAGGAGCTGCTCGACCATCGGGTGGCGGCCTTCTTTGACGTCGATGATAGTTTCGGATGTGAACTCGGGCTTGGAATAGCCGGGCTGGTTGGCGACTGCAGCTAGGGAGAGGATGCAGTCGAGGATGGCTAGGGATTGTACGCAGTCGCGGAGTTCTTGGTATTTGCTGGAGATTTGCTCGAGGAAACGTTTGAACGCCTTGTCGCATTCCGCCGCGAGAGACTCTTTGTGCTGATCCCGTTGGCGGATCATCTGGATGATCTGTGGCGTATGGAAACGGTGGACCTTTTGGGTGCTGCATAGTGTCAGAATCTCAATCTTAAACACAGGTAGGAGTGGTTGAGAATGACCCGCTTATCTTGACCCAGTTGGCTGGTACAGGAGCAAGAGCAACTTTCGTGTTGGGAACTTCAACGAGATACTCTACGCCAGAGACCGTGATGTAATTGAACTTTTTGCCCTTCAGGATTTTGCTGATATCCTTCTTGTGCTCCTCCAAGTCTGCTTCAACGGCCATGATTCCCTACAAAAATTAATATCTCATACCGAACCATGGAACGTCAAAACTCACCATCTTCTGCTCAACGATCTTTTCGTACTCCTCATGCTCGTCTTCATCCTTGAAGAAATCATACTTGTCGTCCTTCCCAGCCGCCTGGTGATTGAACATCCCAAGGAATTTGGCAACATCCTCTTGGATACCCGGGAGAGCAGCAACGGCCTTATTGAGGATGTCCGATTCGAATCCAACATCCTCTGGATTTTCCATCAGCGGGAAGGCAGACGCTATTCGGTTCATCGTCTGCAGAATCGAGAGCAATTCCGGACGAGTGCACTATGTTACATTAGCTCTATCGTAGTACCAGCACAGCTCTAGGAACGCCTACCTTTCCATAGTAAATCCTGATCAGTCCCTTCTCAAGATCGTACGAAACCTTCGCAAGTAGCTCCTTCAACTTATCCAGCTTTATGTTCTCTCCAAGTTTTGCCTCTTCCACAGCCTTGACTCGTTCTTCCAGCTGATGTTTATCCAGCAGCGGCCTGCCAACCCAATTCCGCAGCAGCCGACGCCCGAACTTGGTCTTCGTCCGGTCCAGAGTCCAGAACAAACTTCCTTTGGTGGTGTAATCTGTCTGGTTCCTGTAGATCTCGAGACTGGAAAGCGTGTTTCCGTTGAGGAGCATGTGCGAGCGCCCACTGAACGACTGGAAGTACTTGGTAAGGTCGAACACGTGTTCCAGGCCATAGTCTGACAGATGCTTGATCATAGCCGAGAGACATATTGTCACCAGTCCCGGCAAATCCAACACTGCATCCAGTAGTTCTGTGAAAGTACAATTAACAACCCGAGTTCGAGGGTGAGACAAGGAGGAGGGAGGGAATATACTGTTCTTTCCCGCGGCTTCGGCAGATTCAGCCACGTGTACTTTGTCGGCGTAGAATTTTGAGACATGAGTGGATGCTTCGGTTCCTGTATTCTTGTCCTTCCCCATGCGCTCTACGCGAACTCTGTCTCCAAACACGGTGGTCCTACATTCATTAGTAAGGAGAAACGTATCGAGTCCTCGAGGAAATCTTACGTGCTGCCAGCAAGATGTGATACTATCTTCTCGGTGGACTTGCTCAACTCGCCGACAATCAAGAATTCACATGGAGCGACTAGACGAACGCCTGGTATCAGAAATGCAGTAGCAGCAGCGTGGGAAATTTGGTCGTACTGTGTAGTAATCTCGTCTCAATCTCGCTTCTCATGAACCCGTCGTCAAACTCATCATATATCACCTCTCCGGTGGAAGGTTGCACGGCGACGAGGCCCACATGGACCTTCTCATCCGTGCCGTTCCCGCCACCAGGCTTCTCAGTTACGCAGAGCAAAAATCCGGTATTCGAAGCGCCGCCACTTCCTGCACCAGACGACAGATCGGCGCCCTCCAGCCCGTCAATATCGTCTACATAGGTTCCCTTGGTGTAAAGATTTGTCAACTTCCTCTCGAACGGGCCCGCCTTATTATCTCCGGCGGCCTTCAACGCCGCCGTCTCCAGCTGCCGCACAACACCGACCTTGTACCCGTTCGCCACGAGGCGCTTGACATGCACGTGCAGTCTGTGCACGGGAATACTGGCGGACGCAAACTTGTCCATATGCGCTTCCGAGGGGTGTTCATCGAACCGCATCTTTCCGGGGATGCACATGATCGACAGGTTCTGACTGGCGATCCGGGCATCCTCCCCAAAGAACCGAAACTTATACCCCACCTCGACCACCAGCACAGTGTCCATATGCTTCCGCTTGATGTCGACAACCTGTTTCTCCAGCGGCGTCAACTTCGCCGCGCCCTTCTTCCCCTTCGCAGCAGCAGCAGGCGCCTTCCCCCTGCCAAACCGTTTCGTAATAGGCCCCGGCTCGGGCTCCTGCTGCTGCTCCTCATCGTCCGCCTCCCCCTCCTCACCTTCTCCACCCACATCCTTCCTCGAAATCTCGATCCTCCCGAGCTTCTGCACAAACCTTTCCCTCAACCTCTCCTTCTCGCGTTTCCTAGCGGGGTCCTCATCGACCAGCATATCCTCAGGCTTCTGCTTCTGCGACGGATCGTAGCGGTATCGACTAGTCGTCTGCTCCGCCTGCACACTCTTCCTCACAGGTACAGACGCGGGACTCGAAGCCCTCTCTATCTTCACCCTCTTCACCGCGGGGGCCGGGACAGAGTATAGGTCATCGCCGTCATCGTCGTCGTTGTTGTTGTCGTCGCCAACCAGGGGCCTGAACTCGTCGTCCTCGTCGTCGTCATCGGCGAGCGCGCGTTTCGTCCTGCGGGACCGGACGGGAAGCCGCACGTCGCCGTCCTCGTCCTCCTCGTCGTCGTTGCTATCCTGTACCGCCGCGGACTGCTTTTTGCGCTTAGGCGCGGGCTTGGGCTTGGGCTTGGGTGCAGCCTTGGGTGCGGCCGCGGACTTGGCTTTGGGCGGTGGACTCGGCGCTCGCTTCTTTGGGACCACGGCGGGCGAGGATGGGGGACCGCCGCCGGACGGCTTCGAGAAGAAGCTCGAGATCGAGGTTTGTTTGCTGGCTTTTGCGGGCGTTTTGGTGCTCGGCATTGTGGTAGGCTGTGGTGTGGTTGCGGCGGTGTGGTGCGGGTCAATGGATCAATGCGAGGTTGTTGTGCTGAGGAGGACGCGTAAAGGTACGATAGGACAGTCTACGCGACGGGATGGGATGGGATGGCACGTGACTAACCCCCGGAGACTGGAGTGCATGAGGTCATGGATTTTGGAGAGCACTGGAAACTATGGTGACCTTTTGATCAATTTAGGATTGTACACAATAGCTATCTGCTCCATCCAGTGTCCACAGGAAGTACGATATGTATGAAGTACTCAATCCTAATACCTCACCTCGCGAAACTCCTGCAACCCCAGCGCGCCCACACCCTTCGGCCTGCGTCCCTCCTTCTCCACGCCCTTTAACCACCTGAGCAGCATCCAATACGAAGCCTGTTTCCTTCCCAAGCACCTCCTGAAAGCCCTGGCACCCAACCAGACGACCTCACTCCTTACAATATCCTTCCCCATCCCTTGCTGCCGGGTTTTCAGCATCGCCCACGCGGTCTCCAGAAGCTCCTTGACGGCCCTGACCATGAGCGTGCCCGCAACCTTCCCCCGTCCGCGCTGGAGGCTGCGGACGTAGCGGTGGAATTTCATGGCGCATTCGATCAGTGCGTGGTAGAGGTTTTTTAGCACCGTGGACACGCTGTTGAAATCCGTGTCTAGGAACATGGCGTGCGACTGGATCTTGAACGAGTCCACTACTTTCCGCAGGAGTGTGCTGCCGGGACGGCGCGAGTATTCGACGGTCAGCGTGTCGTCGATGTCTGGTACTTTTTGTTAGCACACAATACAGCAGCAGAAAGGGAGAGTTGACATACTCGCGCCGCCTCGCCGCTCCCGATCACGACGCACATCCAAAGTCTGCGTATCTATGACCGTCCCGCAGTAGGGAAACTCCCTCGTCCCGACCAATCGTGGGATCTTCTTCCCATTCACGGCGGTTTCGAAATTGACTAAGCTCTTATCTGCATTCACCATTGCACCATACTCTGGATTTCCATTGATCATGACCTTGAGAAAGCGATCAGCCTTTGTGCGGTCAAGTGTGATCAGGAGGAAGTCGTCGATGAGGCGCAGCAGGAGGCTGTCGCCATCCGCGGTGATGAAGGATAACTTCTCGCGCTCGAGATCTGCGTAGAAGAAGTTGCACAAGATGCTCGAGAGTACCGAGCCCTGCGGTATACCGGTCTTTTGCTCGTAATATTTTTTGCCAATCTGTGTGGTGATGGGGTCAGTCATAAGTGATCAGTGATGATTCGGTGCCACCTAAACCAACCCACCTTGATGATGTTCTCCGTGATATGCGTCTTGAGCAGTCTCAGAAGCGTGTGCGTCTCCCACGGCCTTCCGACAACATCGTCGACGAGGACAGTGCCGGGCTTCAAACTTGCCGCCAACTTCTTGGTGACCTCAGTGAACGACTCGATCTCGTCACTCGGTCTGGCCTGCGTAACAATCCTTTTGATCGGCTTGACCACGCCACTCTTGCCCACACCCACTTTTGCCGCCGGCGGACGAACTTCGACATACTTGTTAACCCGATACTCCTCCTCCTCCATGATTTCCTTGATCAGACGGAGCAGGCGCTCCTGCGGAATGGTATCGAAGCATGCCTGGACATCGACCTTGGCAAAGTACAGCTTCTTGTCCTGCCAGCCTTTTTCGGCAATGCGGGTTTGGAACGCTTTCATCCGCGGATACATGTCGTTCACCGAGAACATCGACGAGCCCATTTGTTCCGATTTCCGGGACTAGGAACGGCTGTCAGTTAGTGATACATATGAGCCCCGATGCGGGCCGAAGTCTCAGATATTCATAGCATGCATACATACCTTCTCGAACGCCAGAGCATTGAAGACCGGGGTCATTATGGCGTTGATGCTCGGTGTTAGGCGGGTTTGCCCATTTTTCAGCTGTGACCGCACACCTTTCTCAGCTACATACCTAGGGAAGGAAGGCGAACGTATGTGTGTAGCCACCCACAGCACAGCACGGCACTTACGACAACAGTTCCTCTCCTCCTCAGATTCATCAGCGGTCTCACACCTGCGTCCTTCGGCAGCAGGCGGAGCTGCACGAACCCCAGCGAGCGAGCCCCCAGAATCTGCGAGGCCCGATCTCCCCTCATCTCCCTGAACATGCCGGCCTTCAACCTTGCCAGGGCGGGCTCGCACAGTTTCTTCCAGACGTCGTGGCGGAAGTAGAAGATGCGGTTCCGATCGACGCCCGATTCGGTAATGTAGAAGTGGGCGCGCAATAGTGGAATCAGAAATGAGTCGAAGAGCCAATATACGAACTCTGCTAGCAGCTCCTGGCGCTTTGAGAAGTCCGTTTGGGATATCTTCTGCGCCCGATCGATGTTGGGTGGTCGGAGCCAATCAATCTCGGTCAACTGTACGGTCAATGAATATGTCAGACCACTTTTCCTTGACTAAACTACAGGTCCCACCGGGGTGGTAGAATACTGGGGGGAGGGTCCGACATGCCTTCAACCCTTGCATAACATCATGAAGAGAGAAGCTCTCGTAGCGGCGCAGCTTAATGAACCGGTCGATCATCCTGAGCAGAATCTTTCTGTTTTCGTCGGTCCCGAAAAAATCATCTGGAATCACTCGGTTGACGACCGCCTTGACGAACCCCGACACTTCTCCCGCAGACGATGCGAATTCCGTGAATCGTTCGTTGCCGCTATTTTGAAGCACCGGTATTTGATCGCCTGCAGTCGTCGATCCGGATCCTAGGATCGCCGAGGGATTCGTCTTCTTCTGCGTGCCTAAATCGCTACTATCGGGAACCTCCGCCGCCGCCGATGCATCATCCGACTGCTGCTGCTGCTGCGCATGACGGCGAAGTCGTCTATCTGGAGCATCGGGATCACACAACTTGTGAACGTAAATAAAAAATAAAAACTTAGTTTAATATTCCTCACATATGCGCGGTAGAGTGGGAACAAAACAAAATAAAAACAAAAAGTACCGTAACTCACCTTTGCCGGACAGTAGTGCATCACCAGCGCATGGTACGAACAACTTTGATGCAATCTCTGCATCTTTTCGACCAGCAGTAGAACCCCGGTAGCTCTGAGTCTGCGCGGCACCACAGAACGGGCTTTCGCTTTGTCATGGATTTCTTTTTCCCGCAGTGTGTAATCTTGAAGCGGCTGCACGGTTGTCCTTCGGTCCACCGAAGACGTGAACACATTGTGCAGGCCGTGCTGGCGTGGGAATAGGTACTTCAAGACGTCACGCGCTCCAGCGGCGTTGTGCGGGATGCGGTTGAGAACGTCTGTGACGACTCAGTATGTAGACAAACCGAATATAAAGAAAGAGGGTGAGCGAGCATAGAGTAAACATACGGATGTGTCTGAGTCCAAATCTGATGTGTCCCGTATTGTTGCACACGGGGCGGGCATAGAACATGCGGGACCTGACGAAGACGATGTTGCCATATGTTGTTCCGGGATCCTTCTTTGCTGCTGCTGCTCCTCCTCCTCCCTGGCCCTGGCCATGTGTTTTGGCGTCCGTGCCCACTGCCTCCTGCTCACCAATCTTATGAACACTACTAGTATTCCCTGTGATCTTCTTCTTCTCGTTCTTCTCGTTCTTCGTCTTCTTCGTCTTCTGCTCCTTGAGATCAACATTCGCCTCTCTCTGCTGCTGCTGCTGCTCGACCCGATCCTTGGCAGCTCTGTCAATCTCCGACGTTGGGCGTTTCACGGATGGCCCGTGTCCCTGGAATTTCCCTAGCGCCCCCACTGCTGGACCTGTAGTATCTGGGCCTGTACCTGGCCCCGCGAAGCTTTCAGCGACATCGTTCAGTGCATCGGAAATCGGCGGGCCTATTTATGTCGGTGCAGGTACGAGATGTCAGCCGAGTAATCAATATCGAGATATACTCTACATATGAAGTGCGAAAAAACATATAGACAGAGTTCAGCAGCCGAAATTGTGCTCTTTCTAGAGTAGTCTGTAGGTAGATAGGTAGTCGGATGTCCAGCTCAGGAGTGAGTGCATCAGGGAAATCATTTTCTTTTTACAACTGCCGTTGCGAACGTAATGCTTCCGTGGCCGGGCACGCCGCGACGAAAGTCCTCCGCCGGCGGGCCGCCCAATTGAAATGGGCTGGCCTCCACAGCCGGAGCGCTTTGCAAAACGTAATCGGCATATCAATCCCCCCTCCACCCCCCACCCCTCGCTCCCCCACCCATCCCTTCTCTCAAAAGCAGAGTAAAAGAAAAAAAGCGCTCACCTGACAGTTGATAATACGTCCCTCTCTCCTTCCCACCAACGGGCACAAACACGCTCGTCCCCAGCAGCAGGTGTACCATCGCAGCATCGCCAACCACTCGCAGGAGGCGCTGCCACACCCGCGATTTCAGCGTGTTGACATGGCTATTGGGATACCTATTGACGAGCGGGACCGTGAGTGCGCCGGGGAGCACGTGGTACTCGGCTCGATCATTGTCGCCAACACCCATGCCCGCGGAGTGAATCGCCGGCGTGTGGATCGCATACCCAAGTGACAGGATGTGGTTCGGCTTGCCGGGGTACACGGCGTGAAGCGACCCCTTGGGAGCGTTGATGGCCTGGCGAAATAATATGTTGAGTACGAGGTCGACGAGCTGCGATGGGGGGGCCGGATGGCAGTTAGCTCGCTCATCCACCATCTGGCATCGGGGTGGGCTAGGTGGGGGTTAAGGGCGGGTCGGGAACAGGCTTACATCCGATTGCGAGATATCGGCATTCGGCAGGCTCCTTCCCGGCTCTGCAATCTCCTCCTCCTCCTCCTCTCCATCCCCATCCCCATCCCAATCTCCCTCTCCACCACCGCCACTGTTTCCTGCCGCAGGCGGGACATCTCTCACCCCGACCACAACCCCATCCAGCAGCGCCGCCAGTTCTGCATCCACAACAGCACCAATACCTCTCAGCTCCCCTCCCCGCCGGCGGCCAGCCTTACTGGCCGCCAGGAATCTCGCAAGGTACTCCCGCAGCGTGTGTAGCTCCGCAAAGTATAGGGATAGCACTGGGTGTGAAACCGGCCCCGCCATCCCCACCGCCGCAGCACCCGCCGCAGGAGCAGGAGCAGCCCCCGCCGCAGCTGCTGCCGCAGCTACGCGGGTACGTTTGCTACGGAATTGATCTGGGTGGTGTAAGAACTGTGGGAGCTTGCGTTTGGGTGCCATGTTTCCCAGTTTGTTTGACAAGCCCAGGAACTACCTAGAACGAGAAAATTACATGAGATATGGAACACGAGAAGAAGTGCGTAGCCGAATTGTACAATAATACCAAGATCCAAGTATCCTTTGAAGTTATTGATATCTGGGTCTTGTTTTTCTGCTGGTGGTGGTGATGGTAGTGGTGGTGATTGTTGAGCGCGGATCTGCTGTGCTGTGGGTTTGGTTGGTTTGGTTGGTTGGTTGTCCGACGTCCGTAAGTAGGACAGGCAAGGCGCGGGCACTGGGAAGGTTGAGGGCTCAGGGCGACGCGATGTGATCACTGATTGTGGACATCGCGCGTTGCTCGCCCGTGAGTCGCTCGCCCGGCGGGCCGCGGCGTGCCAAAATTCCAAAAATAGGACGAACCTTCAATCCATATATACATATGTCCGATGTCGAGACTCGAAGTGATCCTTATCATGTAGAATACCGAATTGAGCTTCGAGGCCAAGTTCAAGTTCAAGCCCAAGCCCAAAGTGCGCCCGCCTGCCTCAACACACGCACTGCCCAGTGCTAATCAACTTGGAGAGTTCTCCCGTAACCCGTTATCGGGGGTAGGGGCAGGAGCGGCTGATGTCTGAAAAATGAGGAGGAGGAGGTAGAAGGGGGCGGGAGGCGGGAGGAAGGGCATTTCATGCATGTGTCTGTTTCTCCGCCCCCTCGGCCTGGCTGGCGGCGGCGGCGGTTGGTTGGCTCAGACAGAAATGCACCACCGTCATCAAAGAGAGAGAGATCTGCGGTGGCCGGTGGTCGGTGGTCGGTGGCGGTATCGTACATTCCACGGCGATTGGGGGCGGTTAACTCCTCAATGGCAGTACCAACCTCACAAATTGCGCGCGGGCGGGATTCGGTGAGGCATCCCATCCCATCACATCCCATCCCATCCATCATCATCGCCGAAGTCATGATCAGCAGCTTCAGCTTCCTTTTCTTCGCTCATTCATTTCACGCCCGCCATTCACGAGTCGCTCATGGCCAAAGCTAACGAGTTACGAGGCGTCAGGGAAGTGTTTGTTTCCTTTTCGGAATGACCCGTATGTATGCCATATGGTACTACATAAACTAGAAAAACACAACCTGAGGAGTTGCTCTCAAGAGCTCTACATAGCGATGCCTTTAAACCGAATAATAAGAAATGTGATGTAAAGATATTGGAGAGTTTACATCTTGCATGAGCCGATGTTCACGGGAGGTTGCGATCTTGAATACCTAATAGCGTCCGCGGGCGTTGGTTGAAGGTTCTCTGCGTTGACGGGTGTTGATGTGATGGCATCCGATTTTCCAACCGTCAGCCTCCAGTAGAACTCGCCGCTCGGAGGTGAGCTGATAGGTCCCATCACAACGAATTTCCGCCTCTGTTGAAGAGACCGCGACCACCATTCCCGAATAAACATCCTGCGCGGTAGGTACGGTAGAGGTCTCAGCGTGGTGGTGCTGCTTGAGGTGGCGGGGCTCCAGGCTCCTTCCCTTTGACTTTCCGAGACTTGCCGTCAGCAGCAGACAGAGCGAGCGAGCCGCACGCCAACCTCCAGCGACATCACAGGTCGCCGAAAACACAGTGACATGTGATTATACCGTACCCTTCTATAGAGCTTATTGTTAGGTAGCAGGACAAAAGATAGGCTGGGGGATCTTCCGCGTCTGACTGGCTGCTCCTAGGTACTGTAGATATGTAGATATTGGAACCGTTTACGGTGAGGCCACTTGGCGTTTCCCGAAGGCTGAAGCACGGAATCATACCCGCGAGTATGGTCCCATAGGCTGCGTCTGTCCTGGATGACATCGAATTTACGCAAAAACAGAGCTTTTTGCGTAAAGAGTTTTTCAACCTTTGTACTTCTGCAGGGTGACCATCACCAGTTATTCATGGCTCGAGTGACGCGGAACAGGCCGATTGGCGTTCGGTCTGTCTGTAAGGACGCACACTTTAGCATTTCCGACAACCGCTGTGAAGTTCTTTCTGGGGCCGCATACCAGACGACGATATCCAGCGAAGGCTCGGCAAGTTGCAACTCCAGCTCCGTCCGTGGGAGGACCCGTTCCTGCACACCCGAATATCCACCGTCTTCCACAAGAACCCTGGTTTTGCGCAAGCGGTGGGGCTTTCTGCACTTCAAAAGCCTCTCCCCATAGAGTGCATCCGTATCCCGGCCCGTATCGCTTCGTATGTACAACACCTGTTAGGTGCCAGCCCTGGATGCTTCCCCGAAACCGACGTACTCGCTGCTTCCCGGGATACTGTGAGAGACTATGACGTCATCGAGTGCGTCGAAGACAGAATCGACTGTTCTCTGAGCTTCGGACTGGCGCAGAGAATCGTGTGCTGGAACGACTTGCGGAAGTCATAGAAGGTATCTTCAGAAGCTAGCTCACGCCATCGATTTCGACATCTTCGAAGGTCTCCCTCCGCGTCGAGATAGCTGGGCAACTGCCTGTGATCGCCAATTCGAACAGTGACGGCAGCTGTACTGAGGGTGGTGGGGTTTCAATAGGCCGGACTACCGTATTCGTTTAGCTTGCTGTTGAGCTCGAGTCGTGCAACCGTCCTTGGTGTTGATGGAGGGCAATGCGAAGAGTGAAGGGCAGACGCCGGCTCGGGCAAAGGACGAGAGGAGGGGTAGGTAGGGATGGCGAGTAAATATCGAAGAGAAGGGAAGAGAAGAGAAGGGAAGAGAAGAGAAGAGGCATGGGTTTTCAACGTTGAATGCGAGCAGACAGCTCCGAGACAAATCCCAATTTATATGCTTACTCTACCTCCTCTACGAGGGGGTAGGGGGCAGAAGGGGGGCGGCCCGGGCTGGGGCGGCGTTAAGGGATCGGAAAATGGGTCCGGAGCTCCCTTCTCGGCCAGTTCCGAATGCGCACAATGACCGAGTCAATACGATCAGATGGGTCGAGTCAATACGCTCGGCATGGCGAGTTAATAAAGCCGCTGTGTCGAGCCAATAAATCCGCTGCATCGTGCGAACGCATCCGACACCTGTCCCAAATCGATCGTTTTGGTGCCCTGTCAAACACCCGCTGTGTGGCCATATGCCCCACCGGAGGCCTGATGGGCCCACAGTCGCCCCAAGAGCCCACAGACCGAAACCCACGGTGAAGTCGCTTCGCTAGCATGTACTCAGGGGAGACGGTTACACAGGCCTCTCCGTGCGATCTTCAAGTCTGCGATCCTGCGGGAACATGTCGTTCGTCTCCAGAGCCTCTCTCCGTTGCTGTCGGAAGCCATCAGCCTCGTGCATGCCTCATACCAGGCCTCCAAAGCACCGAACAATCTGCGTGCTTAGAGGTCCTACCCTTCCCCAGCTACCGGTTCCTCGGTGCATAGTTGCACCCTTCCTGCCACACACTCGCACACACACCACCATAGCTCCACTGGTTCCACTGGTTCCACCACCACCACCCCCTCCTCCCCCTCCTCCGCCTCTTCCACAGCCCACCCTCCGCACCAACCATCCTCCTCCCTTCCCCCCTTCTCGCCTGCACAGCGGCTGACAACCGCCGAGCAAGAACGAGTCGTGTGCAACCTCTCCAGCGTCGAAGGTTGTGTCCTGTCTCGTCTCGTCGCTCTGTCTAAACCTGGCACGAACCGCCCAATTAATTTAATCAATAGTTTAACTGCTTCCTGCAACTTGCCAAAAAAAACATCCCTTTCTCTCGTTTTCTCTCCCCCACTCTGCACCCCCTCGCCATCTCTTCGCCCATCTCTCCATCGCGAAGAAAGTAATCACGCTCCGCAGACGTACGGTACGCCACTCACGTTGGAGCCGACCACGCCGAAGCCATCCTCCTGCAAGCTGAACGAGCGGGCAAGCCATCAGCCACTCCAGAGATACCGCCGCTACAGAAGTGACCTAGCTCTCCGCTCCTAGTGCCGACTGGTAGTTAGTGCCCAACTCAAACCTCACTCCTCGTCCTGCTACTCCTCGCCCTCGCGCCCTCGTCCTTCTCCCATCCCATCGACAGCTCGGCACGCGAGTCCCGCACACTCTTTCCTCCGCTCCCCGACAGGTCTTGTTCCCTTCCAGATTCTCACGGAACGGACAGATTGGCTACAGGTCCGCACTCACCTGCTCGATTCCGAGCGAGACGGAACCTCCTCCCACCACCACCACCACCACCACCATCCCATATCCTCCCTCCTGCCGAGACTCGTTTATCGTTCACTTCCCTCGCTTCTGTTTTGTGCCGCTTGCATATCCCCTCCCCCCTCCCCCCCAAGCCGCCTCGCACCTGCCGACGCCCGCTTGTTTTCGATCCGCAGAGTCGACTGCAGCCATCTGCCATCAGCACACGATAGCAGTACCAGCACCACCACCTCCAGTAGTAGTCGTAGTCGAGTAGAGGAAGCTGGCGTGTTGCTCTTCCATCACCGTCTTCGCTCCCCGAAACAAAGGTATGTGTACCATCCCACACACGCCCCGTTGTTGCTTCTCACTATCTGCCTGCTTTTGCACACATTGCGTGTATGGCGTCTGACGTTGAATGTTTCTTGCCCAGATCCTCCCCCCTCTTCACCTCCGCCGTGGAAAACCAGCCTGCGATATTCACTCTGAACGCTCAATAAACCGACACCCCCGGAATCGGGTGCTGCCCTCCCCACCTTGCCCCTTGCCTTCCGGCCCCATACACTGCCAAAACAGAAGTGTAGGGCGCCGCCGCCGCATCTCTCCACGGGTGACGTGATACTCACGAACGCTGTCGCCGATTATACCCACATGTGCTGCTGCAATAATGCCCGCAGGCGCACCAGTCCCGAATGTCCCTGCTGTCCATCCCTCCAAAGAGAGCTCGCTCTCTGATGCCGTGCCCCGGACCCCACAGAAATCACCGTCTTCCTCCTCCTCGTCCTCCTCCAAACCAGACCCACCTCGTCCTGCCATAACACCACGATCCGCCGCCATCACAGCAAAAAATAACTACGTCTCGCCATATAAACAGGCTCCCAGGAGCACTACACCAACCTCACGCTCAAACACGACGACACCGGTATCGCGGGCCAACACGTCGACGGCGCCGGCGAATGTCAACCACTTCAAGGACATCGTGAGCCGCTTTAACACAACGTCCGACGAGAAGATACCTAATCCGACCAATCGCATAGCCGCTAATGTTGCTTCGGCAACTAGCTTGAAGAACAGGAAACCGCAAACATGGAAGGCAAACGGCGCTGCGGAGCTCAAGAAGGCGAGTGCAGCTGCAGCGGACAAGGGCCGGTCTGCCAGTGCCAGTGCAGCCCCCCCGTCCGTACGGTCAGCAAGGCAACCTTCCAGCAGACCGGCATCTGCAGCTGCAAAGGGGACCGGTGCGACCACTCGCTCTACTGCTACTGTCAATTCGCGTCAGACAAAAGCAGGACGAAGAATATCGACTTCATCGAGTACCGCGTCGTCTGATAATCTCTCCGCGGACAACAGATTATTGCCGCCCCTGCAGACTTCCTTTGCTTCCAGAAATACCCGAGCCAGGGGCAGGACTACCCACCGGAGAAGCAGATCTATGGAGGCCCCTTCACCATCGGCTGCGTCCATGGCCGACAACGAGAGCGACGGCGCCTCCCAGTCGGAGTCGCACCCACCTCTACACCACCGGCGAAGTCGCTCGAATCTGGAGTCAACCAGCGGCTCACCCGGCATTGAGATACAACTCGACCCTGACCTGTGGAGGGACTTCGACAAACATCCTGCGGCACAGTCAAACGCGTCGTCGGCCGGTGCCAAATCCACCACGAGAAACGTAGCGCCTCCCGCCGTTTCATCTCACGGTTCCAGACGGTCTCCGCAACCTACCACCAGAGACAAAAGCCCCAATCTGACAGCCTACATCTCGGTGCCGCCCGCCAAATCCTCGCCGACACTCCGCTCCACCCGTGGAAACCGCCTCCCACCCCCCACGAATACGATCTCGCACGCATCTCGCCAGAGGCTTCAGCCCGCGAAAGATAGCAATGCGTTCCAGCGCGGGAAAAATAAGGTGGCCGCGGCCTCGGCCGGCGAACGGAAGGAGCGGAAACGCGGTGTTCCCCCGGAGCTGGAAACTATCGACTTCGAGGCCAGGAGAGCACGCATCCAGAACGCCTTTACACTCAAGGAGAGTAATGAACAGCAGATACGACGGGCGAGATCGAATCAGAGTCTTAAGGAATCCGACGAGGAGGGCAAGAGTGACCCTAAGAAGGGCGCAACTATGGATTCGTGCATTCAGGAGGAGGATGAGGAGGAGCGGGAGGAAGAGGTACAGGAGCGGAAGATTGAGGAGGAGCAGAAGATTGAGGAGGAGCAGGTTGAGCGTCACGAACAGCTAGAGCAGCTAGAAGAGCAGCAACAAGAGGAGCAACGGCAGCAGTCGGATCTAGAGCGACAGGAGCAGCAAGAGCGAGAGGAGTGGCAGCGGCATCAGGAGCAACAGGAAGAATTGGAACGACTGGAGCGACTGGAACGACTGGAACAGCAGGAGCAACTACAGCAACTAAAGCGAGAGCAGCAGGAGCAACTGGAGCAGTTGAAGCGAGAGCAGTTGAAGCGAGAGCAACAAGAACAACTGGAGCAGCTGAAGCGCGAGCAACAGCAGCGGAAAGAACAACAGGAACGGAAAGAGCGGCTGGAGCGCGTGCAGCGTGAGCAGCGTGAGGAACAGGAGCGGCTGAAGCGTGAACGGGAGATGGAACTATTTAGGCTGGAACAACAGAAACAGCAAGAGCAGCAGCAGCAGGAAATGCAAAACGGAAAGGTAGACAGCAGCAACAACGATACGGAGCCGGAATTGGATATGATGGCCGAAGAAATCATGGCGAAAATACATCTGCCGACCGAAAGCATGATCACCACTGCTGCCGCACCCGAGACTCGGAGCTCTCGCAAAGAGCCCGTAGAGAGGGAGCTAATAATACCTGGTGCATGGGGCGCTAGCGACGACGGCGACGAAGTCGACTATCGGGCAGCGGAACGAGTGGACGAGCGAAACACCTATGTTACCGAGCCAATCGATTCTCCTGCAGGTGATCAGCAAGATGCCTGGGAGGACACTAGCGGCGAGGAAACCACCGAAGTGGAAATGACGGAAGTTGAGGCTGAAGTCGAAACCCAGGTAGCGGCGGAGACAGAGGTGGCCTCCAAGACACACGAGCCTGTCATCGAAGTAGAAGCGGATCCCACGCCCCTTAGATCGACCCGGTTCAGTCAGTTCTTTATGCCAGAGCAGTATCCCTACACCGCAAAACGCAATCGCTCGTCTCACAGTCCTTCCTTTTATTCTTCCGTCAGCAACCGCACCTCTGCAACGCCGATATCTGTTGTCATCACCCCCGACTCTCCAACTCGACCCGCTTTGTACAACATATCCAATATGTTGCGCCCGAATTCAGTTGGGTGGACTACGGATGAAGAGGGTGAGGGTGATAGCTCGCCAGAAAGGGGGACGCATGGGACTGCAACGACTTCTACCCAACAGCATTACGACACGAGGACAAGGTACAATCCTAGCTTCAACATCCCCGCAGAAGACTCCGAAACACCGACAGTTTCTCCCTTGGGTGCGACGACTTTCTCTGACGATAGACGCACTATCAACTCGTTCTATTCCCGATATGACGATCACGGAGAAGAAGTGATCAATCGCTATGTTAACGATGGAAGTCCCGCCGGAGGGTACTCGCACCGAAGTTCCTACGACAACAGCAGCAAGATCAACGAGCTTGAGGAGGACCGCCGTGATCTGCACCTCGATAACAGCGATGATTACACATCGTGCTCGGAACCACCCTCGGCACTGCCGCGAGACAGCTTGGACGACTATTCTTGCTCCGAGGAAGCTACGCCGCTCTCTGCTGTCCCCAGGCACAGTTTCCTGGAACTTCAGCTGCCCGAAGATGACGGTTGGACGACATCTTCAGACTTCAGTCCGGAGTCGGATGGCAGAGGCGAAACACCAACAACTCCCAGACAACCCATAGGAGTCGACTCCTCCTCCCTACCCCCGACCCCACCTCCGAAGGACCGGCCACCGCCTCCCCCGGAGAAGGACAAGCCCAAGAATATCTCGCCCGTACCTTCATCTATATACAGCAGTGCGCCCCCATCCCTTCACCATAGAAGTCTTGCCATGTCCGGAAACGAACCACTGGGACTGGCAATTCACTCGATTCCTGCGCACTATGACTTCCGTCCGTCGTCTGATCGCACGTCTTCATACAACTCGGAGCACTACTATGCCGGGCCCGGCCAGCGGCCAAGCATGGATAGTAGGTCTTCGATGGATCAAAGATCAAGTATGGATCAGAGACCAAGCATGGATCAGAGATCAAGCATGGATCAGAGATCAAGTATGGATCAGAGGCCAAGCATGGATCAGTACTCGCAAAACCGACCGAGCTCGGAGACCAAGTACTCGCCGCCATCAAGTTTGAGCGATTCAAGAAGGAGTTTGACCATTCAAGGGGGAGCTGCGCCTATCGTCGCGGCCGTCCCCGAGGATCCGGATCAGAAGAGACTAAGGAGGCGCCACCATCTCCTCAAGGAGATCGTCGACACGGAGAGCGCCTTCTTCAGGGATATGACAGTTGCGGTGGAGATTTATAAGGGATCCGCCAACGCTTGTTATTCCGTTACCGCCGACGATGTCAAGGTCCTCTTCGGAAATACGGATGCAGTGGTCCAGTTTAGTAAAGGCTTCTTGGAGGTACTCAAGCTTTCGGTTTCGAGCGTCTACGTCATGCGTCGGGGCCCACATGGGATCAACAGCAGCGCTGCGAGCGTTGTCAATTCCATCAACAGTGATGAACGGGAAGAGACCCTCACCGAGGAGGAGAAGGATCGCAAGACGTATGTCGGAGAAGCGTTCGCCGAGGTCATGTACATGATGGAGAAGGTATATGGCGACTACTGCAAGAACCACGATGCTGCTGCTGCCAGGCTTCAACAACTGGAGACGGTGCCCGGAATTGCCATTTGGCTGCAAGAGTGCAAGGCATGCGCCGAGGATCTCACCAACGCGTGGAACCTCGAGTCGCTGCTCATCAAGCCCGTTCAGAGGGTTCTCAAGTATCCGCTTCTGTTGTCTCAGCTTCTGGAATGCACGCATCCCAGCCATCCAGACTACCCTGCCTTGGAGATAGTATCGAAGGAGATGACGTTTGTTGCTGGACGGATCAACGAGATGAAGAAGCGCAAGGACATGGTCGAGAAGATCGTGGGACGGAAAAGAAACGAGACCGACATTAGGCATGGGATCACCAAAGGCTTTGCTCGTCGCGCGGAGAAGTTAAGGCAGTCGGTTGGACTGTCGGAAGTAGTTGTGGACGATACCTACAACAAACTCTTTGAGAACTACAACATGCATTACACCCAGGTGGAGGTTGTGCACCGCGACATCGAGATATACGCTATGGAGATTCAGGGTCACGTTGAGAACTTCATTGGGTTTGCGTTGTCATTCAGCCAGTTTGGCGCGGCGGTTGGTACACGCCATCATGTCACCGAGGCTAAGTGGAAGAGGTTCGATCACATGATGCGGGAGATTTCGACCACGTACCTGCAGGAGCATGTAAGTTTCTCCTCCTCAGCCTCGAGAATTGCACCAACTAACCGAGTGTAGAAACTTCGAGTCAAGAAGCACGCCATTGAGCCGCTCGAGACTCTCCTCAAGATGAACGAGAGCCCGCAGATAATCATGACCAAGCGGAATAACAAGGCCGTTGACTATGCTCGCTTCAAAGCGATTAAGGACCGCGGAGACACGCCGGATAAGCGGACTAAGGACCTCGCCGACGCATATGTGGCCCTCAACGAGACGTTAATCGAAGAGTTGCCGCGACTTTTCCACCTCACCAAGAAGCTAGTCGACGCCGTGCTGTTCAATTTCATCGATCTTCAGGCGCAGTGGATGAACGATTGGGCGTCGAAGATTAAGATGACATTTATGGATCTTGAGATGCCTCTTAATCTAGAAGCATTTGTGGATGCTTTTGCGACGTCTTTCACGTACAACGAAGCAATGCTCACGAAACTTAGTATCTGCAATGGTTAGCACAGGCATTTTCGGATCATTTTTGAATGAATGCTAATTTCGGACCAGGGTCATTGAACGCTATGCAATTCCCATCGGCTTCACTTAGCTCAATGCCAGCAAGTACGGTATCGCTCGACACGATAGACAAGATTACCCCATTCAAAGTGGCCAGGCCCCAGACCGCCGACGATGATGCAAACCGCGGAAGGGCTATGTCGTTGAACACGACATCTCCTACTTCTGCAGCAGCTGGTTACGATCTGTCAGAGCGCCGACATAGTGGTGGCGCCTCACTGTCGCCGCTGTCCCCGTTGTCTTCGAGCGGCCCTCCGGTGCTCCCTCTCCCGCCCCTCCTTGGCAATAATAGAATTAGAGCCAGTTCGGTGGCCGTGCCGCCGAGAGGTCCTGCCGCGGTGCCACCTGGGGGTCCACAGAGATCATACTCTTCGGCTGTCCCCGACAGCCACGCCGCGGCCCAGTCGGCGTTCTTCGAACGTCCACGCCCCCGCCCCTCTTACACCACAGGGGCACCTGCGCCTTTGACGTTGTCTACACGCCGTGCAGATGCGCCATCGCCCTCGCCTCCTCTCCCCAGCGCCGCATTCTCGTCTGCCATGCCCATGGACGACGACAGGGATAGAGAGTCGGACAATCCTCCCAGAGGACAGTCACGAGACTCGTCGAGAACCCCATCAAGGACTGATTTCAGACGGACTCTCACGATCTCGAACAACGATAAGGCGATGTTCATTGCCGCATCTCTGTACGAGTTCCACCTGCCCTCCCCGCGCCGTGAGGCCGGATTTCCGTACCTCAATTACGTCCAGGGAGAGGTTTTCGATGTGAGTTTTTCCCCGGAAAATATGTATGACGGGATGTATACTGATTGTGATGACAGATCATTGGTGTCAAGGGTGAGATCTGGCTCGCCAGAAACCAGGATGATAGACAGGGCGAAATCGGCTGGATCTGGTGCAAGCACTTCCGACGTCTGAGCGAAGAGGCCAGCTCTTAGGTGCAGCTGGTCTTCAAAGCTCTACGTTGGTGATTGGGTGATTGGTGACGTTGCCTCTTCTTTTTTTTGCTATCTTTTTTTTAAGTTCTGGCACTACATCTTCTCAGTGAGTGCAAAGGGGAGCAATATTACCGTCATATACCAGGGTCGTTTCTTTCTTTCTTTTCTTTCTTCTTTATTTATTTCTTTTCGTTTTCTATTTGTTTTTATTCGGGGTGGGTGCATCTGGACAGTTTTATCTTTTTATTTTTTATCTTTTTTCTTTTTCATCGCTCGCGCCATCATATCATATCATATCACATCATCATCGCTCTCTGGTTTTCTTATTTATCATATGTTTTGTGTTTCTGTTTTGTATTTGTTTTTGTCTTTGCTGTTTTCCAACATGGGGTGGCGTCTTGTTCGGTTTACAATACCAGTTGCTTTTTTTCCTTCTTTTTTGCTGTGCTGTGCTGTGCTATGCTGTGCTTCTGCTTCTCGTTCTCGTTCTTGTTCTCGTTCTTGTTCGACGTTCGACGTTCGAATCTCGTTCCCTGGCGGAGATGGGTGGGAGATGGGTGGGGTGGGGGGTATAGTGGGGTGGGGGGGTAGTGATCGATGATAGTTTTATATATCTACTGTATGCAGTGTATGGTCATGGCCATGGTCATGGTGATACCTATTTGCATTGCATTGCATTTCCTACATATCCTGGTGTACGTGCGAGTCCTATAAGTACAAACCCAACCTCCTCCTCGTCTACTCATCCCCCTCCTGATCATCCAGCTCCGGATAATATCTGTACACGCCCATATCATACTTCCTGCGCCTGCCACTCTCCAAATACGACTTAACGCCCTCCACCGCCTTAACCAGCCCATAGTGCCTTTCCAGCCTCGGACACTCCGCTAGCACCCTTGCAGTCGCCTTGGGGAAGGCATACTTGAGCCCATCGACGACCTGCCAGAGCACCAGATCCGCGGCCGACAGGCCGCCGCCCAGCAACCACCCCCCCTTCCCCTTCCCCTCCCCCTCCGCAGCCCCAAGCACGCCCTCAAAATACTTGAAAAACTTGCCTACCCTCTCCCGCCGGAAAATTTCCGCGGCCCTTGCCGCCTCCGCTAGCTGATCAGCGTAGAACAGAGATACCCCCACCGGATGGTGCGTGTTATGTGCCTCGTCCTGCAGGTCCAGCGCCGTCAGGATCAGCGCGCGCATTTGGTGCTCGCCGAACCCCGCGGGCGAGAGGCCAAGCAGCGGGGAGAGGTAGAACAGGATCGCTGCGGTTTGCGAGAGTGTGCGGTTGGCGTGGAGAAGGATGGGGGGCGCCAGGGAGGGGAGCGAGGAGGTGGGGGAAGTGGGGGACGGGGTGATATAAGAGACCACCACGGCCTCGTCTGTTGTGTCCGTGTAGGAGGTGCCCGTGGCTTCGAAGAGGAGCCGGATCGGCTCACCCCGGCCCGGCATCGAGGGCCAGTAGATCAGTTCGACTGCGGGGGTTAGCTGGGGTTTTGGGGGGCAAGGCGGTGGGGAATACGGCGGGGGGTGGGTGCGTACATTCGGGTTTGGACATTGTTGCTGGGGGTTGTGTTGGTGGAGGTGGGTGGAGCTGTGTGGAGCTGGTGCTGGGTGGAGGTAATGCTGGATGGAGCTGGTGCTGGAGTTGGAGCTGGTGCTGGAGGTAGATATAGGCAGACGAAGCTTGGTGGAGCTGGAGCTAGAGCTGGAGCTAGAGCTGGAGCCGGAGATCGAGATAGATATACCTATGGAGGCGAGGCTGGGTGGAGCTGGAGATGGATTATGAAGCTGACCTCGCGATTGATTAGCACTAACTGACAAACATGCGGTCATCAGCTGCACTCCCAATTCCCCGCTATGTATGCACGCTACACCATCCTACCCCGCAACGGTGCGGGACGGTTCCGGGGCGGCACGAGGCGGTGCGAGGCTTGGGCTCGGGCTTCGGCACGACGGCATGGGGGGTGGGCAAATTTAGCGTAGAGTAATGTAGATGGTTCCTGTATTTGCACACCCACCAAAAGTACTGATACATCGAATTACTATTCTGCATAATACAACTCCAAAACTCCAAAACTCCAACACACTATTACAGCTCATTCTCCAGTTCCCCCGCCCATTACAACTCCTCACTCCTCCCCCTCCTCCCACTCCACTGCTCTGGCAAACACAATCCCAACCTGTGGAAATAATCCCGATGGCCCATCAAAGATCCAAACATGCTAAAGTTTGTCCCCGCAACACAATTCGGATCCTCCGCGCCGCCCTCGCACTTGACCACGTCTTCGATCGTGCATGGAAGGTGCGGTGCCGAGATGTAGTACTCGTGGCCGTGGTGGTGATAGCCCAAGCTTTCGAACGGGAGGAGGGGAACGGGGTCGTTGATGTGCGTTATCCGGCGGTACGAGGTATTATCGAATCGCTGTTCACCAGCGCGTCAGTATGAACTGCAGCTTCAAGGAAACGGGGCGAGGGGAGACAGACCCTATCCAGGAACCCGGCGAACTCCTTATTCCCGCCTTTCGGCTCTCCAAACGTAGTCACCCGGATATCCGCGTTCCACGCTCTCCCCGCAAAATCCAGTGCGGCCAGCGCCGCAACCGCCGCTCCAAGACTGTGTCCCACGAGCTCCAGCTTGTACCCGGGATACTGCTGTAGCAAATCCCCCAGCACCCCGCCAATAATCTTCTCGGTCTGCCCCCAGCTCTCGAGGAACCCGGCATGGACGGTACACCCATTGCACTCCGCGTCTGGATAGGGCAGATACTCCTGGCGCGCGAGGGACAGATCTGCCAGCGCGTTGATGAGACTGTAAGTACCGCGAAAGGCGACGATTATACGGCGGTCGCCGGGGGAGAGCGCGATGTAGCCGCACGAGTCCGACAATTTGAGCCCCGTGTTCCACGTTTTGATCAGCGTCAGAGACGGGAAGTGCGCGCAGTAGCTGAGGCACGTGAAAGGTACGTCGATTCCACTGTTGAGTGTCCCCACGCAGTACGCTATGTCCACCAGCTCCGAGAGCGAGGTGAATTCGTCAAAAAGCGCTTGCGTGATGTTGGTGGGGCGGGGCGTGGGCGGGGAGGGGGACGGTGAGGGTGAGGGCAAGGGTGAGGGCGAGGGCGACGGGATGGCTGAGGCCAGTCCTAGCGACGCGACGGTGAGGTGTAGGAATGTTGCGAGACGCATCGTGAACAAATATCTAGCTAACCTTATCAGTTTCAAGAAGCAGAGAGTAGCGGTGAAGTCACACGCACAGTTGCTTGAATGGTCCGTGTTAAGAAGAACCGCGACAGTAATCGTAAAGCTGTATCTGGCGTCTAAGAGGCCGCTGCATACTATTTCGTATGTGACGGACTTTTGCGAGTGGCGACACGGCTGTGTTAAAGGGTCGTATTGAAGGGTCGAGGAGATGAAAGGCGAGGAGGTTGGTTATGGTCATTATTAACCATAGACGATGAGTTACAGGTTGCATCACTCAACAGAAAAAGCGCGGGCCCCCAGCCCATGACCTGTGTCTTGCCGAACGCCCAACCAAAAAGGCCCACTAAACTACCCCACAAAGCACACCCCACGGATCTCACCCGCCCGTCCGTCCATCTGCATGAATCTCTCCCGCATGATCCCCTACATCCGCCACCTGATCCTCGATTTCGACGAGACTCTGACACTCGTGGACACGATCTCGCTGCTCAGCAGTGCCGCGTACCGCTTACGTCCCACCACTGTTCCCGCGCTCCCACCGTGGAGTTACTTCGCCGAGAGCTGGCTGGACGACTACAACCGCCATGTGCAATCGTACCCGCACCTCCGACGAACCCTCGATGACGAGTACCAGTTCCTCGCCTCCCTCGCCCCGGTAGAGCGCGCGTCTATACGCAGGATCGAGAAGGCGGGGGTGTTTACGGGGCTGCGGATCAACGATCTCGCGCACGCAGCCGAGGAGACCGTGACTGTCCGTCCCGGGCTTTGGCAGGCCTGTAGGCCCGTATTGGATGCCGGTGGGCGGGTGAGCGTGCTGTCGGTCAACTGGAGTAAGGAGTGGATCCGGTCTGCGTTGGGAGCGGCGGTTGCGCGTGAGTGCGCTGGGGAGATGAGGGAGAGGGTAAAGTTTGAGCTCGAGGTGGAAGTGGTCTCCAATAGCCTCTGCGAGGATGGAACAACGACTACGGGGGAAATCACTCGTGAACCCGCGCTGGGCGAGGATCACGGCATCTGGACGGCGCAGAACAAGACTGTCATGATGAAGCGTCTCGTCGAGGGGGGCGGGTCAGAGGGGTTGGTGGTCTACGTTGGAGACTCGAGTACGGACCTCATGTGTCTGCTTCAGGCGGATGTGGGTGTCGTTATTGGGGATAAGCTCGATGCCGTCTGTGAGAGGTTTGGGATTGAGCTTGTGGATGGGCTTACGGATGTGCGCTGCGCTAAAGATGGGCAACAGAGATTATACAAAGTGCGAGATCTACAGATATTAGGGAGGTGGATTCGTGAAGAATAGAATCTCAGGTTCTTTATCCGAGTGACACATGGAGTGGAGCAGAGTACCGTAGTAACTATTGTATGGCATATTCCGGCAATTATGCTAGGGTAGCTCCTAACTTAGCTCCCAATCTGACACCACAATTTACGTGAGCCCCTCGGCGCATAGCAGGCCACAACCATCACCACCACCGCGGACGTATATCATACACCCCTTTACCGTCGTTTACCAGAGAAACCCAAAGACTCCGCATATTTCCGTTCGCCAGCTGCCATCAATACTGCCCACCATGCGCGCCCGTCTCGCCATAATCGGCGGCATAGTTGTGCTCTTCTTTCTAACCTCGTACCTCCTGCTGCCATCCACGACCTCTCCCAGCGCGGCATCACCGCCACCTCTCCCCGAAATCCACGTCTCAGCCGACATCCTCTCGGGCGAGGCGATAATGCCGAAGCTCGGCAACGAAACAGCCAAGTGCGCTCCCCTCCCCTTACCCCCATACCGCACCACTAACCACCCATATGTAGAGCCGAACTCGGCCGCGCCGCCTGGAAGCTTTTGCACACGACGTTATCGCGGTACCCGATGAAGCCGTCCGCAGGCGAGCGCGAAGCGCTCCGCTCTTACCTCTACCTGTTCGCACGCCTCTACCCGTGCGGCGAGTGCGCGGCGCACTTCCGTCTGCTTCTGCAACAGTACCCCCCGCAAACGTCGAGTCGCGATGCGGCTGCCCAGTGGGGCTGCTACCTACATAACCTGGTCAATGAACGCCTCGGTAAACAGCAGTTTGATTGTGCCAGTGTGAGCGAGGTGTATAAGTGTGGGTGTGCGGATGCGGATGCGGAGGAGGATGCGGCGGCGCCGCTGCCGGAGGGTGCGAAGGAGGGTGCGAAGGAGGGTGGGAAGGCGCCCGAGAAGTTGGCGGGCGCCGGGGTGCTGGAGGAGAATGTCAGGCGTGCTGGGGATAAGGTCGAGATTGAGGTTGGCCCGTGAGTTCCCGCTCCTCTGTCGCTGTCGCTGTCGTGGGACATTTGGCTGATGGGTGCGGGTAGGGAGAATATGAATGGCGGTTAACACTGCGTATGTGTCTGTGGTGTGGATCGATACCCTTTTTGGCGTTTGGGAGGGGGATACATGGAGGTTATATCTGTACAATATATAGTTTGAGGAATTGGGTTAGTTTCCCACATCTTCACATAGTACTTCCGCGCCTGTGCTGTGAACCCAAACACGATGCGTTTCATAGAAGTATCACACCCCCATCGTTCACACATGAGTTGTTGGAGGATGAGAAGTGCTATGTACCAAAATCTTGACAAAATGGGAGTGACGAGATCAAATAAGGTACTTGCTTCTCATACTCAGATACGGTCTCAATAGCCGTCCAACGGGAGACAACGTTTCTTACACCCCGTTGAATTATACAGCACTCATGATCCGAGGGAAATCCTTTTGCTTTAGAGATCGATCAAGTTTGATCAGACTTCAAAAGAGAAATAATGAAACGAATGGCAGGCGAAAACATGAAACTGTTGACACGGTTCATCACTCGCCTAAGCGAGACACCACACGAGCAAGCTGAAAACTTTCGGTTCAACTACCAGTCGGCCCCGGCGTAGTAGAACCCACATATTTCGATAATTAAACAAACTTTCGGTTCAACTTGCACCTTGAAAGTGTGGGGAACTGCTCAAACCTTCGATCGGACGGGATTGATCCCGGCGGTTCTGTGGCTTCGGTGTTGGCCTCACTCGCTCTGTGATCCCGGAAGCAGCACGAGTGAGCGAGCTCCAGATAGAACTGAAGCGTTCGCCGACGGAATACGGAACGAATTCCGTCCGTGCAAATTCATCCGTTGCAGAGTCCCCAATAAAGCATGCGGCAACATTCCCGTACCGTAGCCTTCTCTGTGTACCGGCAAATATCGTTGAGCAATCCGAGATGTGGCTGAAGGCACCTATGACGTGGTACCAAGCTGGGGTGGTGGCCGAGAATGCCGTATCGTAAGCGTAACGGAAGGTGGATGGAGCTCGGATGTGTGGGGGAGGGGGGGCGATAAGCAGAGTTCGGTTCGTCGAGTCAACATGACGTTTACGTGATCCGAAACCCCGAGTCGAAAAGATTTCCATGGGTGGCGAAGAAGAAAGACAGAAGCAAAAAACAGAGAGAGAGAGAGAAGAAGAAAATAAAAGCCACGGTGGCGATGGCAAGTTGAAGCTGCTTATTGCCGTTACGAGTATTGCGGAGAGAGAGCTGCGGCAGTACAAGCCGTTCCGGCAATTTCGAGCTACTTCTATGGCGCAGCTTCGTGGCCCGCATGACTCAACCCGCCAATCGCAGGGCTTGCCTTAGAATGCCAAGACCTGCTAGCCCCGCCTCCCAGCCCCAGCTGCGAGACAGCTTTAAAGAGCTCGCTCCGTCTGCCTTTGTTCTTCCTCCCTTCCTTTCATCCACCTCCTCCTCCTCCCCTTCCACTTCATCCTCCACCTCACACTCTACCGACAAAGCTTAAACACTACACAACACAACACTCCTATCTCTATACCCATCATGCAGATTTTCGTCAAGACCCTCACTGGTAAGACTATCACCCTCGAGGTGGAGTCGTCCGACACCATCGACAACGTCAAGTCCAAGATCCAGGACAAGGAGGGCATTCCTCCGGATCAGCAGCGTCTCATCTTCGCTGGAAAGCAGCTGGAGGATGGCCGCACCCTGTCCGATTACAACATCCAGAAGGAGAGTACCCTTCACTTGGTCCTCCGTCTGCGCGGTGGTATGCAGATCTTCGTGAAGACCCTGACCGGAAAGACTATTACTCTTGAGGTAAGCATCGCACTTCTTCAGCATTTTTTGTTGCGGCTGCTAACATTCGTCTCAGGTCGAATCTTCCGACACCATCGACAACGTCAAGTCGAAAATTCAGGACAAGGAGGGAATCCCCCCAGATCAGCAGCGTTTGATCTTCGCTGGTAAGCAGCTCGAGGACGGCCGCACCCTCTCCGATTACAACATTCAGAAGGAGTCCACCCTCCATCTCGTCCTCCGTCTTCGTGGTGGTATGCAGATTTTCGTCAAGACCCTCACGGGAAAGACCATCACCCTAGAAGTCGAGTCGTCTGATACCATCGACAACGTCAAGTCGAAGATCCAGGACAAGGAGGGAATCCCCCCGGATCAGCAGCGTCTCATCTTCGCCGGAAAGCAGCTGGAGGATGGCCGCACCCTGTCCGATTACAACATTCAGAAGGAGAGCACCCTTCACTTGGTCCTCCGTCTGCGTGGTGGTATGCAGATTTTCGTCAAGACCCTCACTGGTAAAACTATCACCCTCGAGGTGGAGTCGTCCGACACCATCGACAACGTCAAGTCGAAAATCCAGGACAAGGAGGGCATCCCCCCAGACCAGCAGCGCTTGATCTTCGCCGGAAAGCAGCTCGAGGACGGTCGCACCCTTTCTGACTACAACATTCAGAAGGAGTCGACTCTCCATCTCGTCCTTCGTCTTCGTGGTGGTATGCAGATTTTTGTCAAGACTCTTACCGGCAAGACGATCACCCTCGAGGTTGAGTCATCGGACACCATCGACAACGTCAAGTCGAAAATCCAGGACAAGGAGGGCATCCCCCCAGACCAGCAGCGCTTGATCTTCGCCGGAAAGCAGCTCGAGGACGGTCGCACCCTTTCTGACTACAACATTCAGAAGGAGTCGACTTTGCACCTTGTCCTGCGTCTCCGTGGTGGCCAGTAGAGTGTTCTTTGTTGTGGGTAATGCTGTGATGAGTTGATTTTCTTGTTTTCTTTCCAAACGGTGTTTTATGATCATGGCCTTGGGGTTTAGTTTTTCGGGGATTCGGTGTTTTTCTGTTGTCATTGTTTTCGATTTGTAGATTGGTTTCGTCACGGTTGTAGTCGACTCGCAATGTTACGAATGGAAATGGCGCCTGAAGCGCAGAGATTGGGGTGATCTACTTTTGCCTACTGTCGTTAACCATGTGATTAACTTCGTCACGTCTGCCTGGTGAATTGTGACTCCTCCCAACTATGAGTTTTGAGCCTTGTGCTTCGTTTCATCCTTATCGTCTGTATGCGGGGTAGATGAGGGAACTGCCGTGAATAGTGACGCCTTACTGTGAGCGTTTACCTCAGTTGGCCATTACAATTCGCCGTATGCGTCAACCACTCAAGGATCGTAGAATCAATATATGCATAACAGCTGAATCTGAGGGAATCTCAATAATCAGATGAGCTGTAGGACTGAAACGGAGCTTGGCCGTATCTTAGCTCGAAACCTGAGAGGTATCACCAGGCCGTCTTCGCCGACAGGCTTTGATACTTCACGAATTCACCTCCTCGTCCATTCATCTACCGTACGAAACAATAGTAATGTACACCGCCCGCAGTCATAAAGCAGAATAGACAAACTCCCGCAAAGACGAAGAGAAATCTAGCAAAACGCCCCGATATGCATAACAAAACAACCTGGAGGAATGACTGCTCAAGCAAGCATCGGTTCCCCTCTGCCCTCCACCTCCACCGCCGCCGCCTCCACTGTAGCTTTCCTCGCCCGTGCGCGTTCCTTCGCAACCGGCGCAGTACTGGGAGCTTCGGGGAGCTTCGGCACCACCGCTTCCACCGGCGGCGCAGCCGCCTCCTTCCGCCCCTCCACCTCCCTAACCAGCCTCTCCATCTCCTCCTCCACCTCATCCTCATCATCATTGGTCATGACGCCCGCCAACATCTCACTGACCTCCTTCTGATACCTAATGCCCTCCTGGGTCTCATCCATGAGCTTCTCCACGGCCTCCAGCGTCATCTCCTTATGTATCTGCTTGAGCACGTCATTCCCCTGCTTGAGGCCGAAGACGATATCCTTCTCGATGAGCGCGAACTCGATGGACGACGTAAGCGCCTCGAGCGTCTCCAGCTGCCGGTCCGTCTGCAAGAGTAGCGAGGATTGGTATTTCCGCCGCCGCAGTGCCAAAAGCGCCCGTGGCTTGTCGCCCCGCTGCAGCAAAGACTGCGCTGCTGCGTGCTCCGCGTTCAGAACCGTCGTGATCTTTTTTTGGTACATCCGTAGCTTGTCGCGTTGTAGCTTGAGATCGAGGATCGCGCTGCGCGCGGGGGTTAGTAGCTGTGGGAGGAAGCGGGGACGGGGGATCGGGGGTACCGGTCTTGCGGAGTTATGCGGCTGGGGGTGGCGCCCATGCTGGCGTAGTGGTATGGTGGTTGAGGGCGCGAGGTTGGTTGGTTATTTGTTTGTTCGCGGAGAAGGCGGAGGGTGGGAAGAGCACGAGATCAAGATGAGCATGAGAGACAGGGAAGCAGAGGGACGTCATCACAGAACACTTCTATATATCTGTAGCACCATATTGCTTGGCGTGTTCACACGGATGTGTCGGAGAGCGTCTACTTAGAGTAGGTACGCGTATTCTACAGAATCTTTCCTCTTTCTCATCGCAAATCCAAGTCCATGCTTTCATTCAGCAGCCCCAGGTTCTCGAGGTAGCTGTGATACGCCGTGGCGACGATTTGCATCTCGGATTCATTCTGACCCCTAGGCGCCGTACGTATTATCATCCCCGCATAGCAAATTCTCACTCGCTATGAATGAATGCGATGGAACGGAACAAACCTCTTCTTCCTGAAAGCCATCTGGTAGTAATGGACGACGCAGAGATTCTTCACGATTTTATGTTCGAGGCCGCGCTTCTCGGCGGCGGTCCACAGGAAGTCGAGGGTGTTGTGGATCCGCCGGGGACTGTAGTGCGACGCGGGAGTGAACCGGAATGCCGTGCGAAGCTTGTCGCGCACTACGTACCGCTCCGGTACCGTGTATTGCACCGCGGCCAGCGAGGCTTTGAGCAGCGCTCGGTATGCGTGTCGAAGTGTGGCGGTGTTGGTCGGCGGAGGGGACATCGACGCGGTGTGGTTGGCTGGTGGCGGAAGGTGAGGCGCGCGGAACGCCGCAGGACCTGATTAGTACCTAGGGTAGAGGCTCGGTACGTTCAGGTGATCTGGTTTTGCCGGCCGAGCGCTGGAGTCGTCGTGTCGTCGTCGTGGCCGCCGGGGGCGGTGTCGGTGGTGGTTGGGCCGATACTGAAGGGAAGAGAAAGTCCATGCGGAATTCAGCGAGAGCGTGAGGAAGATGAAAGTGAAGATGGAGACGAGAAGTAGAGAACGCAGCTCAGTCTGTTGTTCCCGTTGAGACCCGTTGAAGTCCCAGCCACCATCCATCCATCCACGAGCATGCGATGACCCCGCCAATCATCATGGAATAACCCAAATGCATAATTCAAGAAATAACTCCCAATTAAATCAAGAATTTAAATCCCATCCCCTTGCCGACGCTCCCCGCCCCACGCCCACCACCCGCCGCGCCAACAACTTCCGTCTTCAGCCAGCCAAGCAACTGCACAACCTCCTTTCTAAGTGTCTGTCCTTTTGACCCAGAGAGCTGGAGATAAAATATACCATACCTCGACTCTCACACACCAACCCCTCCTCCATCTTTAACCCACCTCGCTCTTCTTCTCCCTAGGCCGCTCTCTTCGTTTCTTGATTCAGTTATATAACGGGAAGCTTGGTGAGTACCATACAGACTTCCGATTCCCCCATCCACCACTACCGTTACCTCCATCTCCATCTCGCAACCAGCTTCAGTTTTCTTCCCGCTTCATAGACACCACGATCTGTATTCAACGCAACCCCTTTGCTAAGAAACACCCCTTGCAGAAACCCCCACAGCACATCCATCTTCAAACTCCAACAAAATGGCTACCGATCCCAAGCACGACACATTCGACTACCCCACCATCAACCCCGAGTCGGGCGCCGGCCACCCAGGACACACCACCCCCGAGCAGGATGAGAAGGTCGTGCAGATGAGGAAGGAGCTGGAGGAGGAGGGGTTCACGGAGAATCTGGATACTCTCACTCTGGTAGGTTGCGGAAGATGATGACACGTCATCGATAAACTTTTCTCACGAAGACGGGAGCTGACGGGCATTGTTGTTGTAGCTCCGATTTCTGAGAGCGAGGAAGTTCGATATTCCTTTGGCAAAGACCATGTAGGCATCTACTACCCCTGTGTGACAGACGCGTCGCGTCGTTCTCTCCGGATCACTGGCTGATCAGCTCAGGTTCACCGAGTGTGAAAAGTGGCGGAAAGAGTTCAAGGTCGAAGACATCGTCAAAGACTTTGTATACGTCGAGAAGCCCAAAGTCTTTGAGTACTATCCCCAGTACTACCACAAGATCGACAAGGACGGTCGTCCCGTGTACATCGAGCAACTCGGCAAGATCGACTTGGCAGCTATGCTCAAGATCACCACGGAAGAGCGCATGATCCAGAACCTCGTGCTCGAGTACGAGCGTCTCGCCGACCCTCGTCTCCCCGCCTGTTCGCGCAAGGCCGGCAAGCTCCTCGAGACCTGCTGCACCATCATGGACCTTAAGGGCGTCGGTGTGACTAGCATTCCCCAGGCCTACGGCTTCCTCCGCAGGGTCTCGGCCATCTCGCAGAACTACTACCCCGAGCGCCTCGGAAAGCTCTACATCATCAACGCGCCGTGGGGATTCTCGGGCGTCTTCAACATGGTCAAGGGATTCCTCGACCCCGTCACCGTTGAGAAGATCCATGTTCTCGGCGGAAAGTACCAGACCGAACTGCTGGGCCAGATCCCTGCCGAGAACCTGCCCAAGCTCTTCGGTGGAAGCTGCGAGTGCGAGAGTGGCTGCGAGCTGTCGGATGCCGGCCCATGGAAGGACCCCCAATATCAAGGCCCTGCCACTGCACCTACTCCTACTGCTACCGCTCCCCCGGCGGCGACAGTCGAGGCAACGGCAACGGCATAGATTTGATGCGTGTTTTTACTGTTGAAATTGAAGGGAACAACAACCCAACATAAGGGAAGCTATATCTTGCTGTGCTGTGCTGTACTTTATTTTTTTATTTTTTTACCACGTTTCTGTTCTGTGCTGGATTTGGGAAGAGGGTGATCTTGGGACCGTAGACTGGCGGCGGTGGGTGCGGCAGAAAATATATACATGGTAATCTAAAGCGGGAGTATCAATTGCTTTGATTGACTTTGAGACCCGTGCGTAGAGACAGATGTACTGCACACGGAGCCGGTGTAGAGTACTAGTACGTGGCCTTCACATGGACGATGTTCAGTCCCCTTCGTCTGAGGCAGTGCATCCAATAGTATGACATGGAAGCAAAACTTTTTAGTTATTCCCAGACAGCAAATGAAAGTAAACCCCCACCGAGCGCATTTATTATGTACAAGGAAGAACAGTGAACAGACAGGCATACGCGTGTAACAAAAGCACATGTAGAAGGTGAGTGGATTAGAATGCCAACTCCTTGGCCGAGACCTGTGGAGCTTCCCTTTCTTCCTCGTACTCGACTTCGACTCTGGCACCACCTGTCGGAGAGAGATGTTAGCATGCGGAGGAATGGTGGTAGTGGGGGTGGGTGAGGAGGCTCACGTTTTCTGGGCTTCGCGGACTGAGGCGCAGGACGTTTGCGACTCTTGTCGTCGATCTTCTTGACGGGGGCCTTCTCCTCGTCGTCGTCGGAGCTGTCATCGTCGTCGGAGCTATCCTCGAGATCGTCGCCCTCCTCGAAGTCGCTAGCGCCGCTACCGAGCCAGTCTTCGATATCGCCGAGGCCCTCATTCTCCTCTTCGTCCTCGAGGTCCTCGTCTCCGGACACATACTCAACCTCGCCCTCCTCCTCGATCTCCTCCTCATCCTCGTCTACCTCCTCATCCTCCTCCTCGTCGTGATCCACATCCCGCTCCGCCTGCCCGCCCCGCTCCAGCCCGCGCAGAACCTTCTTCCAGATGCCCTCCTCAACATTCAGCGGCTGCTCGCCGTAGGCGCCGCTGCGCAACCTCTCAATGAGCTCCTTCTCGATTTGCCTCTCGACCTTTGCCGCGGCCAGCGCCTTCCTCTCGCGTGTACTCTCCCTCCTCCTAACCTTCGGTGCAATCTTGGCAACAACAGTCTCACCCATGCGCTCCTCCTCGCGCAGCAGTCTTCTACTCCTCAGCGCGACCTGGGCCAGCCGCGTCATGCGCTGCTTACACTTGTGCACCAGGAACTTGGGCCAGTAGATAAGGCGCTCGTCGATCTGTGCGAGCGCCCGCGCGTAGTTCTCGGAAAGCTTGATCCGCTCCCACAGCTTCGACGGCATGTGCGCCCGCTCGATCGTCTTCATGTACAGGTACAAAATACCGTTCTCGCTGCGCACCGTCGCGTACCGGCTGTTCGCCAGCGGACAGGACTGCCGGTTGCACAGTCCCGTCACGTTGTGCTCGTTGCGGCAGAAGTTGGTGCCTTTCGTGGTTCTAGAGGGGCGGGGGGTTAGTGGTGGGGGTACCGTGGAGGGGGTGGGATGCTCACTTGAGTTTGAAGGCGCAGAATTGCTGGTTGATGACCTGCCAGACGATCTCGTCGGACGCCATGGTGGGTGGGAGGAGGGGGTGTACGGCTGTGGAAGTGGAGGGGCAGGAGCGACGACGACGACAAGCTGGTCAAGTGCTTGTGGTGCTGGTGATGCTGGTGGTGCTGGTGGTTTGCTGCTCGCTATATGCTGTCGTGATTGGGATTGGGTTGTCGCGAATTTTTATCGGATTGCAGCCAGGGTTCTCACCACTAGCGTCACACCCCACCACACCACCGCCACCCTCTGCCACTGCCACTGCCGAGTGATAACACAAGCGGTGTGGCGAATGCAAACAATCTCGACCGGGCCCTCTGAAGTAGTTTAACCAGATACTCCCCTCTTATTCTATTCTATCGTCTAAGGTATGAAACTAAATGTATAATGCGGACTTCTACAAGAAAAGGAAAGAAGTCGTGCCCGCCCGCTCAAAAAAGCACAGTACAAAAGAAAATGAAGGTATGAAGTAGTAGGTATGATCTAGAAACAAACAGATGAAGGAATATGAGAGGAAGGAATATGAGAAGAAAGCAGTGTGCGTGAGCGATTACCGGAGCCATCATCCGCCGCTTGTCGGGGCCACCAGTGGGAAACCTGCGCTTCACCACCACGTAAACCTCCCACGAGTAGCAAAAACGACACGGCAGCAGTGAAGGCCCCGACACCCGGACGCTTGGTAGACAAGTGTTTGACCGACAGGATCTTCTAAGCCTTGTCCATGGTCTTCAGCTTATCCTTGAGCTGTTTCTTGACGTGCGCATAGACGCCCTCGGGAGTGTTGGTGGCATCGACGTCGATGACCTTGCCCTGCGCGCGGAAGTACTCGACGACCGGGTAGCTAGTCTCGGTGAACGTGCGGAAGCGCTTCTTGATGCTCTCGATGTTGTCGTCGTCGCGGCCGCTGGTCTCGCCGCGCTTGAGCAGGCGCTTCAGCATCACCTCCTCGGGGCAGTCGAAGAACAGCGTGAACGTGCTAGGGCACACGTCGCTCTCGAACTTGTAGGCCTGGTCGAGCTTGCGTGGGAACCCGTCAATCAGGAACTTGTATTTGCCCTGCGCGGCGATCGCGGACTTCATGGCGTTCTCGAGGAGCGCGACCGTCACTTCCATCGGGACCTGTGATACACTCGCTGTCAGTCGCAGATTCGTATGACATGACATCCCCATACAGCCGCACTGGGACGTGATGGTATTCGTCCCGGCGTTGTTCCGAGCCCGCATGGGCATCGGGCCGAACCCCCTACCCATGCCACAGATCACCGGGCCGACAACGCCTTCACCACGCGGCCCACCTCTCCCCCACCGGCACCGAGAAAAGTAGTAGTAGTAATAGCAAGTAACTCACAATCTTTCCCTCACGAATATACGTCTTGATGAGTTCGCCAAACTCGGAACCTGCACGGTTCTGCTCCTCACGCAGCAGGTCTCCGGCGCTCAAGTGGACAAACCCATAGTCGCGGACGAGGTTCGCGCACTGCGTGCCCTTGCCGGCGCCGGGGCCGCCGAGCACAAAGATTACCGAGACCTGCTGCGGCGAGAACGTTGGTTTCTTGGTCGGCGGCGGCGCGATCTGCTGCTGCTGGGCGGGCTGGTGCGCCTCGATGGCGGGGAGGGGATCTGTTGGTCACCCGCCAGTGCACGGGTCAATGGCTGCGTCGGACAAAAGGGGCGGGGGACCGCGGGTGGGGGGTGAGGGGGTGGAATACGCACCTTTCCGTGCTTGCACGAGGTAGTAGAATGCCGTGGAGCCGGCCGCGAGAATCGCCAGTATTGGCAGCACCGGCATGCTAGTCTTTGGGGGGCCGCTGGCGAAACCGCGGGCGGCGGCGGCGGAGACGACGCGTCGGGGGGCGGCGGTACGTGGGATAGCGCGGAGGCTGCTGCGGAGGAGGACGCGAGATGGAGCGAACATTGTTGCTTCAGAAGTGACGGTGTAATTGAGGGTGGTGTGGTGGTGTGAAGGTGTATAGGAATGAAGGCGAGGTGTGGTGGGGTTTGGTGGTGGAAGTGGAGGAAACCGTGGATGGCTCGATTGGGACTGCACCAGAGTATTGAAATTCGGTAGGTGCTGCTCAGCCTCGTTGACACTCAATTGGGCCGGCCAGAGTAGCTAGGCTTTCCGCTACAAGGCTATGTATTGAGCTTGGAGAGAAATCAAGCAAGACCCGCGAGTTTTCCGGATCCAATCTCCACAAGCTATCACTCACCACAGCTGCTAGCAACATTCCTAGCTGACGAGCTCTCCGTGGCCAACCCCAACCGTAGTTCATCCACATCACTCGCTCTAAGCTCTGATCAGGGACATGGCAACCATAGATTCTACCTTTAATCCCCATTCATCTCGAGGCTCGAGCTCCCTACGACCCACATCCACGCCCACACGTCCCCCACACACCCACACGTCCCCCAACGATCACGGTAAATATCTGCAAGCATCAACATTTCCATACGCCCCATGGGCCATCTCCGCCATCTCCGCCATCCCTCATCGCTCAGTAACCATATATATCCCACACCATCCCGCCCCCCCAACCTCCCACCTCCCACCCCCGATCTCGCCATTAACCCACCGTAACTCCCCATAGCCCCCGCACCTCGCACTCCTCCGTAAATCGTGGAGTAGAGTACGTACGCTCAGTCAGTTCGATCCCGTTGCCGTCTAAACCCCCCGTGTCGCCGCCCACCACAATCAAACAAAACCGAAACCAGGCGGAAACAAAAAAAAGGAGAGATATCAGTATATCAAAGAGAAAACAAAACGAAAGAAAAAGAAGAAAAAAAGACCTAGAAGAACAAGAAATAACATGAAAACAGAAAAAACAGAAAACACCCAGCAATGATGACGATCGTGAACACGAAAGCAAGGCAAGAAAAAGAGGAAGAAAAAAGAACAAAAAAACATCCAAGAGCAAAAGTTGCACTGCTGCCTCCCTGTCTAAACTACATGAACCCGAAATGAAAAAAATAAAACTGAAGAAAAGGTTCAAGAAAAATAGATTCGTTAAACGCCTCATTCCTCCTCTTCCTCTTCCTGCTCCTCCGCATATTCCGTAGGCATGGTTGTGGCAGCAATCGAAGTGGAATCGGAGGGTGACGATGGAATCTTGGGTTGCTGGTCTTGCTCATATTCCATAGTTGGTGATGTAGCGGTGAAAACTCCCTAAGCTGTCGCGATACTACCAACCACATACGGCTGCTGCTGCTGCTGCTGCTGCTGCGCTGGCGGTGACGGCGGGTCGATGCCCTGCAGGTTCGCGTTCGCTATTGCTTCCCGAGCATAGAATTGCACCAGCATCGTACCGTAGGCCTCGAGCTCCTCCACCGGTACCGAGAGACGGAAGTCGTTGAGTATCAGAAACTGCAACTCGAGGTGGTTGAGTTCAGCTAATGGTAGTCCTCCGACCTATTATCGAATTAGCCAGTTTCCCCCTCCCCGCCGCGTACAATGAGCGCGTTGTGCGTACCTTTGCGTATCTGGAATTTGTGTAAAACACATCGGAAAAGAACTTGGAGGCACACGTCACGCCGGCTATCACCAATCGATGTATATTATAGCTGTCAACTACGAACACATGAGACGTATGGTATGGATCCGGCGCAGAGGGAGCCGGGGGAGGTGGCATATCCGGATGGTTGTCCCCGATCGTCACTGATCCCCCTACTCCGTAGGCCAGAGGCTTCTCGTTCACCCGCTCCGTCATCCGGTCAAAGTACACGAGCAGTGACAGGAAGACTTCATAGGTCGTCGGGCAGTACTTGTGTATCCGAGAAAGGTAGCTCTGAATTGTGATGCTGGGGACGTTCTTTCCGTGGAAGGCCAGGACACTGTTGGTGGTAGTGCTCAAGCCAGCTACGCCATCCGGCGGCATGTTCCTGTGTAGGTGCTCATGTTGCAGGTCGTTTGTGGTCGTGATCTTCGTCAGGAGCGCAGCCACCATCTCTATCACGTCCCCGACTGGCATGCTGCTGATCTCGTAGCGCCGCTTGTCCTCATTCCCGCTGCGATTCCTCCGGTGCGTCGGCTGCGGGTGCAAACAGTCCTCCTTAGCCAGCTCGACGATGTGATTGAGATTGCGCAACTGGATCGGCGGCGTGTCTTCGGATGCGCGCTTCGTTCGGGTCGGCGAAGCGTAAGAGTCGGGGGTAGCCGAGACCGAGGAAGACGGGGAAAAGGTACCGAGATTTCCGCTCGGTGGGTGCGAAGTGGTCGCGCCGGCGTGGTCGAAAGGTATCGGGGTGGATGTGGATGGCGGTGGGGTCGAGCGCGAGCTGGTCGAGTGATGCCTCAACGCCGACTGCTGCGACGGCAGAGGAGCTCCACGCGCCGAGGGCGCTGGTTCTCTTGGATTAGGAATCGCGGAAGGGCCGACCGACGACCGCGCCCACTGGTCGGGAGTAGATGAGGATGAAGAGTGAGCAAGCGCTGGTCGGTATGCGCTGCTCTCGGGGTGAGTTATCATGATGTTCTCTGATCGTAATCCCACCTGAATCATTGCAATATAGCCGTCAGCCCTGCGTTCCTAGTGCGGTTGAGTTGTTCCGGTGTTGGGTTTTGTGGTTGTTGCTGCTGCGCACGAGATTCGGCGGTGCGTATGTGTGTGTGGTCTTTCCCGCGTCTCAATGTGTCGGTACTAACGAGTACCTCGCGGCGACCAGAGAGAAGTGCGCTCGTGTAGGGGGAAATGAAGGCAAGTACGGGGGTATGTAGCCAAGCAAGGAGAAGGGGTTGGTTGGTATTGGGGGAGGGGGGAGGGGGGGGGGTGGTTTTTTTTTCTTCTTCATCGCGCCCGTAACTCCCCGAAGCTACGTATATCGTGGGCAACGGGAGGCGAGCCATGAACTCTATGACTGGAGTCTGGGTCGCACTCCGACGGGAAGGACGGGAACGGGGTTGGGGGTAGTGGAAGTGAGATTTTGGCTACGGGAGGAGGGGGGGGAGGGGTGGTGCATGGGGGTTGATGCAGGAAATACAACGATCCAACAACAGATGCCGAAACGTACCTGCAACATTACTGTGGTGGTCTCGTGAAGTCGGGTGGTGTATAGGTGGAGGGAGATGTCGTGGGTTGCGAGTTTGTGGGTGTAAGAGGGAGGCGGTGGTGGTGGTGGGTGGGCTGTGTATAGAAGTGGGTGTGGTGTTGGTGGATGTGGTGGTGGTGGTGGTGGTGGTGGTGGTGGTGGAGGTAGTGGGAGGGTATGAATACGAGGATTCAAGTGTGGTGGTGTGAAGTGAATTCCGAGGAGAGGAGAGGGGCAAAGAAAGAGGAGGAGGAGGAGGAGGATGAATGGGGGGAGGAAGAGAAGGGGGAGGAAGAGAAGGAGGGGGGGGAGCGAGGAGGGGAGCGAGGAGCGGGTTGGGAGGTTGAGGGATACGTTGAAGGAGTGCTTGAGGGAGAATGGAACGCGGTAGAGTGAGTGAGTGAGTGGGCGGAGATGGGTCGCAGCACAGCAGGCACCGCAGCGATATCGATGATTATGGAGCCCGGTTCGGGGGTGGCATTGCCACACTCTGAGGGTATTGTATTTACCTTGTCCCTTAGTATGATATATACTCTATTCTACTCACTTCATCTACGTTCCGCTGTATTCATTTGCGACAGGGTCTTCATCTTCCGATCAGTGAAGCCAGCGCGGGAAAGCGGGCGGGCCAGACAAGGCAAGCCCGGACAGCGAAGTGGTCGCAGTGTTGGTGGTTGTGGTGGTGGTGGTGGTGATGATGGTGATGAGTGGCCGGCCGGGCAAAAAGTGCAGTATCAAGAAAATGGAAGCTATGAAGTAAGAAGAAGAATAAGAATTCAAAGAAGCAGCGGAAGAAGCAGCGGAAGAACCCCCCGTTTACGTGGTTAAGACATGTGTTGTCTCTGCATTAGAATTTAGAATCCCCCCTCCCCCCCATTCATCACTCTATTCTCCGCATCCAGAAGGGAGAGAGCGCGGAGCTCTTCAGCAAGCAAGTAACAAGTATCTATCGCCAGAAATCCACCCCAACCAACTCTCCCGCAGCCAAAACACGGGTAGGCACTTGCATCGGCACGAATAATGCATATCATAGAGTGCCTATCCGCATCTGCTGTTGCTCCATGTATGCTCTGCTTCTTCACGTCCCCCATGCTATCTACTCTACATACCGTGGGGCCTTGTCAAGGCCACTCCCACGAGGCAGCCTGCCCGCTCCTCCCCCCTCGTTGGCCGAGAGAGCAGGCCGTAAGCGACAGACGCAGACGCAGAACGGCAGATATCCAAGCAGCCCCCTCCTCCTCCCTCGCTCCCTCCCACACTTCACCTTCCACCCACCTTCCACCCACCACCTCCCACCTAACCTCCCACCCCTTATGCCATAACGACTAAGCACTAAGGCGAAACCCAGAGCTTCGTTACTCTACATACACACTCTACTCTACCCACTCTAGAGCGCACATCCCAACCATCCTGCCAACCGTCGCGGCCCCACGCCGCAAAGGACGCACTGTCATTGGCGAATCGCACGCAGCATCCCACATGGCTTGGCTCCTCCCCCCGGAGAACCCCCCAGCGGGGAGGCAAAAACGGATGGGAGGGAGGGAGCATGCCAATTTGGTAGGTATATGATGTGGATGGATGGGGATGGGGGGCGTCGCTTTTTCCGTGGACAGAGCAAAGTATGTGGGTAAGTATCAAATCATCCATGGGGGCTACTAGGGCCGACGGGAGCTTGAGCTTGCGGAGGGGGAGAAGAGGCAGAAGAAGAAGAAGGTTTGAGCCAACCCGTGCTGCTCGAGCTCTAGGTAAGTAGGAATTCCAGTGATATGTAGCCCAGCCCAGCCTGGCCCCACACCACGGTCGCGATTCCTTATGTCTACTTTGGAGATACCTCCCAAGCTCGCACTTTATCTACATAGCAACAGGCGCCCGTTTCCAGCGGCCGAAGGCACGCACTCACTCACGCACGCACGATAGGAGAATTAAATGACGCATACTACCGGTACCGTATGTAGCACGTACCAGCCCGCAATCCGCAAATCCACAATCTCGCCTCTTTGCGATCTCCTCCCGCTAATCCGCCTTCGCCTCCGCCTCCTCCGTCTGGTTCTCCTCAGGATCCTCAGGACTCAGGAGAAACACGATATCGGCATGCTGTGGCATGCAAGGTAGAAGGTAGAGTGTATGTCCCCCTCCCCCACCCCACCCCTTCCCCAACCCCCACAACGGTTCCCCTCCTCTTTTCACTGGCTGAATGAAAAGAAGGTGGAGTGGAGTGGCGTCGATGTCTGTTACTACTGTTACTACTGTTACTACTCGATAGTACCTACATAGCCCCACCGACGCCGACGACCTGTCAATGCACCGCAACGGCGTTGAAGCAGCCAGACAGACAGACAGACAGGACAGGGCGCTTGCGTTGTTCGGTGTATGTATATAGCTGGTGTATGTAGCCCCCCGCACGCACGCCGCTGCAGCCCCGCAGCCCCCGCACCGCACGACACGCTCTCCGCTTGCCGCTAGAATGGGTATATGGATCATCCATGGTACTCTACTATGTGTAGAGTAGGTGTATGTACTCATGTTGTGTAGGTGCAAAGTATCCGGATATCATAGCGTGTTTGCGTGCTCGTCATGATGGCCTCCCCGCACTCCCTTGGGATGTCCGGATAGTATGTAAATGCCTGCTACGAGTACCTACCATACCGTGGGCAGGTAGGCAGGTAGACAGGCTGCCATCCTTCGGCCTTCGGCCTTCAGATGATCCCTCGCACTACCAGGTAGAGTAGGTATTGCATCACCGATCTCGAACCGAAAGAAAGACCGAAAGCCTGCTTTGGTTTACCTGCGAGTCATCGAGCTTCCCCGCGTTCATATACCTACCTAGAGCAGAGATTTGGGGGATCAACGGCGCATCTTAAAGGGATGGCTGTGGATGGTTGGTTGGTTGGTTGATCGGATGGTTGGTTGAATGGCTGGATCAAGGGAGCTCCCACTCTCTGAATCTCTGGAGCTGCCGGGGCCCGGAGCTGGAGCTGGAGTTGGAGCTGGGAGCTGGAGCTCGGACGGAGTGACGTCATAGTTACTGGCTGATCGAGTGAGGGGGCCGTCCGCTAGATAGTAGAGACATCTTCAAGGCCGTAAATGCTGCGAAGGCTGAGTGCGAGTCTGGACTGGCTGCTGATAACGGGCGAGTGAGTCGTATAACGTCTGGTCTGGATGTTTCGGGCGGGGAGTGATGCGTGAGGTGCCAGGTGGATGGAACGGGGGGTTCGGCGAGAAGAGCCTCGAGCTCGAGTCGAGAGTCGAGACTACTCCACTCTACAAACTCCACTCTATATAACCTCTAGAACTCTAGAGTATGTGAGTTATGAAGTATAGTAGCGAGTCCCGGCCCGAGGCGTGCTGACGTGAGTCGTGACTCTGGCCGCTGGCCGCTGGCTGGCTGGGTATAAATGTCCGAAGTATATGTTCCTTCTAACTTCACCACCCCCATCTACCTATTCTATACGCACTCAACGGTACATAGCGACTTGGTCAACTACTTGGTATGCACTCACGGCCACAGCCCTCCTTCATTCATCTCGATGCTACCAACCCGACAGTCTGACCTCGCCGATTCCCGGAGATGCACTCGGCTCGGAGGTCCAACTCGCAGCAAACAAGCAAGCAAACAAGCAGATCACCCAGCTCCATTAGCTACCTAGTAGTATGATACGATACGATGCGATCTCCCCGCGCTACATTGGGGAGGAGGTGGAAGAGTTTACACCGCACCTCTCACTCGGAAAGATCTCATCATGATACTTGCAAGATACATATACCTAGTACTTTGGCAGTTGCAGGCCCGACCTCATTACGGAACGATCAAAATGTGGTCACTGGTTGCAATGGTCCGTCTGAAGTCTCATCTTCATCGACTTCTAGTTGGAACTTGGCCGTCGCCTCCGGGCCTGGACTTTGGAGTCCCTTGACGGCCCCAGAGCTTCTGGTATGATACAGGGGCATCCGATCATAGAGTTATAGAGTTGTAGAATGTCGAAAGGATGCTATGTGGCAGAGTCTGCCGTGTTCCTCAAGCGAGGATGTCGACCCGGGTCATTTGGAGTCCGGACAACACTAGGAAAGCGTGGCAGAAGTTTGTAGCATAGGTAGCTTTGAAACAGCGAATGGGATATAACTTGGATGTTTCCACTGCTTTGTTACTGCTCAATGCTTTTGTTTGAAGAGACAACATAGCTGGGGATTCTTCCAATAAGGCTTGCCATGAAATATCACTCGGATTTGTCATTCTCGAATCTTGAGTCCCACGACGCCCCTCGGCGCTTTCTGCATAACGAATATCTCCTGCCTTTTCGGGACCGATCGAGACGGTTGGATGTACATGGGATGAGTGATATCAGGTGAGCCCCCCCCCCCCCCCAGATGTAGATATGGGACGGTTATCAACACATGCCTTCTTCGTATATAAGGTAGGTATGCATCTCTTGGTACGTGAAGCCCACCCAAACTGCCAGGTAGATCGTATGTACAGTACAGCCCATCCATCTATCCAGCCAGCGTTCCAGTCCCGCAAATCAAACCCAAAATCGAAATCAAAACTCCGAACTCCCAGCTTTTTGCCCCACCCCCGCATCTCCCCCCCAATCTTATTAATCAATCAATCAAAGCCCTTAAAAAACTCCTCCTCTCCTTCTTCAAGTTTATTCTTTTCCAACCTCTGTTTTTTCGCCTTCTCGAGCAGTTCCATCCACTCCTCCTGCCTCGCCTTCTCGTCCGCGGGCATATTCGCCTGTCTCTCGGCCTCGCGACGCTTCCGCTTGCGCTCGCGCCGCTCCATCTTCGCGTCGTGGCTCTCCGTCTTGGCGCTCCACGCTTCGAGCTTTTTCTTTTTCGCCGCGAGCTCTTCGGGTGTCAATGGTTTCCACACCGGCTTGGGCTGCGCGAGCTCTGATTGCCGGAGCTTTTCGCGGGATTTGTCTTTGAAGGCGAGGGTTTGCAGCTGGTTTTTATCCGTTAGTGGGCGGATTTAGGGGGGAGGGGGAGTGACATACATCGACGTCCACACCGAGCTCGATCCTGTCGGTGCCGAGTTTCTTCAGCTCCGGCATCCTGGGCATGCGCAGGAGCGCGTAGGCATCCGCCAGGTCTTTCCACTCGATATCTGCGACGCGGAAGATGCTCGCGGTCTGGTGCTTGCTGTGGGAGCGGACGTGGGAGACGAACGCCTTCATCCCTTTCTCGTAGAGGCCTCTGTCCTTCAGCACGACTGCGCGCATGGCGGTGACGGTGGCGGCCACTTCCTCGTCTGTTGGGGGCTCGGAGAGGGTGGGGGGCAGCTGCAGCGGGGATACAGGCGTCTTCCGCACGTCTAGGAAGTCGATATACCCCTCTTCGCGCCCGGGGGAGAGGAACAGGATGGCGAGGCCGCGGCGGCCGGCGCGCCCTGCACGCCCGCACCGGTGCAGGAATACCTTTGGGTCGGTCGGGGCGTCGAGCTGGATGACGAGGTCGACTTCGGGGATGTCGAGGCCGCGGGCGGCGAGATCGGTTGTGAGCAGGATCGAGGGCGACGAGGAGTTGACGTATTTGTTGAAGTTGCGGGTGCGCATGCTGGCGTTCATCTTCCCGTGCAGCGGGACGATGGAGTAGGTGCTCGCGGCGTCGCGGAGGACCGCGGGGAACAGCGAAGTGTAGTAGTCGACCGCGGCGCAGTTGGAGAAGTAGACGATTGTCTTCAGCGGCAGCTGCGAGGAGGGGAAGATGCTGGCCGCACTGGGCGAGAGGACCCGCCCGATGTAGATGAGACGCTGCGACGGCGTGGCGAGCTGGTACGACATGTCTAGACTGGCCGGTGTCCGCTTCTCCTCGTGGTCGCCGCGTACTTTGACGACTACCTTTACGGGGTTGCGCAGACCTGCGCGCACCAGCGAGCCCACCACAGCGTCGCTGATGGAGGCGCTGAAGAGGCCGGTTCGACGTTGCTTGGGCAGGCGGGAGATGATCTTGGTGAGGGTCTCCTTGAAGCCGAGATCGAGCAGACGATCGGCCTCGTCCAGCACCAGCGCTTCGAACGTGTCGTTGGAGCAGTGCACATGCTGCGATGAAAGAAGCTCGTTCAGTCTCCCGGGAGTGCCAACGAGGAGGTTCGGCGATTGCTCCAAGAAGTTCCGGAGATCCTGTGCCGGCGAGGTATTGCCGCCCAGCAGTAGCAATGGTTTTATCCGCGGGCCGGCGGTAGTCTCGGACGTTGTCATGGTAACATCTTCGGACGGGGGTGCAAGCAATGCCGCCGAAGGTCCATGGAAAGCGAGGATCGAGAGTAAAACAGTGTGAATCTGTGCAGCCAACTCCCTACAAGACGATCAGCACCACCGCCATCACCACCACCTTCGCTCACAACAGCGCAGGATAAGTGAAATACCTAGTAGGTGAAACAATGATAGCAGCGACCTGATTCTTCTTCGGCTGCTCCACGGCCCTTAGAAGCCTCTCGACCACGGGAATTAAAAACGCGAGCGTCTTTCCACTGCCAGTGACCGCCTCCACGACGACGTCTTTATTCGCCATGAACAGCGGGATAGCAGACGCCTGGACAGGCGTCATCCTCGCAAAGCCCATGGCAGCGAGCCCATCCAGCATCCAAGGTGACAGCGGCGGGTTGGCGGACGCCCATGCGCGGGGATCGACGGGGGTTTCGGCGGGGGCACTCGTATCGGTGGGCACGGTCGCGGCGGTTGCGGCTGCGGCGGCCTCCACCTTTTGCGCTTTCGCTTTGCGTTTGGCTGCGGCGACCATTCTGTTGCTCTGCTCGCGAGTCGTGATGTTGGCGTCGGTCCGGGCTCGAAAATTTACTTGTCGTTGCCCTTTCGGTTACTTTTCTGAGTAACGTTACACGGCACTAACTAATCGGCGAACCATGTGTGAGGAGGGGTGGATCACCGCCCATCATTCGCTTAAATACGATGCCACGCTTCGGGAATGCTGGGAATCAATGATCAATGAGTCAGATGCAGGACAATCTTCCCCAGAAAACCGACAGTAGGAGCTGACTGCCATGGTACACTCATATTGCGTGACTAACGCATTCTCCGTCGGCCATCTCCAACAACAACTTATGTTCTCATGAAGCAAAAACTATCACGGATGTTGCCAGTCTTGCGAGGGGGAAAGGGGCTTCATGCCAGCATTTCGATCCACCCTGCCTACATACCCAATGCACTTGTGCGCGTTCTGGTCAGCATTAAGAATGAACTGGCATCTTGTTTATAAAGATCAGGCGTCCTCTATGTACCAGTATTGATCTTTCCCCCACACAGCCCAATCGCATCTTTTTCTAGAGAACAACTTCACTCTAGTGCTACGATTTCGGTGCCGGCTTGCAGGAATTGGAAATGTATCCATAGTCTGCCAACATTGCTGCCGTCCACCAACATTGCTGCCGTCCGCCAGCATTGCTGCGACCGTCTGGGTGACATTCCGGACGCCCAACTCTTTCAGCAGTGCTGCGGTCGTGATCGACCGCTTCCGGACGTCCAAACTCTAACAAAGGGTTTCGCACAATTCCATCGCAGAAACTCGGGTTTCCCCTTCTCCTACATCTTTGCGAGGATGACTTCGCCATCCTTCATCATCTGTGCACGTACTCTACATATGACTCGATCCATGTAGCCCTACTGGCTCGCTTGGCACACATAGGGCTGATTTACTAGTGGCTAATATGTGTCGGGCTGAGCGCAAACAATCCATTGGCCTACTAAACAGGGAATCTATATCCGCAGTAGGAGGGACTGATTGTGTACTGCGTTTCGCAAGCGGCAGCTAAAGACGCATATATGCTGAAGGGATGCATTGGAAGAGTCATGCGGCGGAGTCATACGAGAAGTCATGCTAGCGTGATGCTGCTACTTTTGTAACAGGCTTCACCTCTCCATAATAGTTCAAATATGCCTTGTTTATTATAACTCGGGCATGACACTGAAACTACCCCGCGTTCGGTACCACTCCGTCTTTACCTGCCCTCCTACCTTCTCCCCACTACCTTCCTTCTGCCCCATCCTCCTCCCCACCTCCTCCCCACCTTCTCCTCTTCCATCACCACCACCACCTCATCTTTTCCGCTCTGAAAGTCATATACACTCCATTTATTCTTCTCTAATATCAATACCAAAAAGTGCCCGACGCAATGGAGGTCGACGGGGCGCCGAAGCCCGCCATGGCACCCCACCCACTGATGTCAACCTTCCCCGTCGAGCTCCCTTACACCCCAGAACTCTTCTACGACCGTGCCTCCTTCCGCGAATACATCAAAACCGCCCCCATCGTCGCGAAAGAGCCCCCTGTTGAACCGCCAAAGAACACCTTCATGGACGCCCTTACCAAGCAAGACCCCTTGCTGCCTGAGAACATGATGTACACGACCAAAGGAGCGCTCTCTTATGCGCAAACGGGCTCGGCGCTCGCGGATGTTTTGGCGTCGGGAGATGGGAGGATCCCACATGAGGAATTCGATCAGCTGTTGCACGCCGCATGGAAGGAGGGGGCTGAAGATACACTACGGCTCTTTTGGAATGTACGGAGTATACACACCGGAAAGGCCAATAAGTACATATTCTACAGATGTATGTGCTGGCTTCGAGAGTACCATCCTCGGACCGCAATCATCAACCTTGACTGGATCGTTCGACCGGTTATCGACAAGACACCCGACAAGACGGCCAAGAGGAAGGAGGAGGCACGGAAGAGATCGGACGAGAGCGACGAGGTTATGGTGAAGAGGGCGGATCTTGAGGTGATTGATGATGATGACGATGTAACCCGGTTCGACCTCAACGACGGCGGTGCTCATGGTTACTATGGTGATCTACTGAATCTTTTATTCTTGGCCTCGAAGGACAGATTGACGTTAGATTTCAACCCGAAGTCGGAGCTCGATACCGTGAAGATGCGTAGGATTTCAGCGGATGACAAGAGAGAATTACGGGAGGAGCTGGGATGCGCAGCCAACAGAAGGCGGGAAAAATTGGAGCTCAAGGCGATGTCCCCGGAACAGCAGAAAGAGCGCCGAGCAGCGATACTAGAGAAGCACAGACGGATTCAACAGGAGAAACGTGAGAAGGCCAAGGCACAGAAGCGTGGAAAGGAACAGAGCGACCACGACAGGGTCGTCAAGATGCTCAACGAAGACCATTTCTACCGAGCTTTCCACCTCGCCGTCGCTCGCATCTTTGCCGAACAGATCAAACGAGATGAAAAGATCCTGGAATCGGGCAAAAATCTCGGTGCCATCTCCTTCGCATCAAAGTGGGCCCCCTCGTTGGAGAAGAGGCTCGACCGAGCCACCACAATCGCCACCACAATCGCCGAGCTCATGTTTACCCCCGAATCCATCGGTCAGCAAGGCCAGCCCAGGGAAATTTATCTAAAGCACGCCCGTCAACATTACCGCAAACTCCTCTCGTCCCTCCGGAAGCCCCTCGAGTTGGTGGAGACCAAGATTTCCGAGAAGAAATTCGAGGAGATCAACTACAGCCGGGTGCCTTCCATAGCCATGGATCGGTACAAACCATTATTTGCCTACCGAGACCTTGAGCACTTTGATGAGTATCTCACCGACGTTGCCAATGGGAAAGCAAAAATCTCTGGCGCCACCCTTTTCCCGTCCCTGCTCGTGCGGCAGGCCCGAATAGCCCATCATGAGGACATGGGACCCCCGCCGGAGCGTTTTCCGGGCCCACGAGAGACCAAAAGACGGCTTGAGAATCATATCGCATCGATTGAACTTAAGGTTGTTAGTTTGCAATGGAATACCCTCGTGCAGCGGATCCGTGACTCTGGAACTCTCGAGAGTACTATTGCAGTGGTGGACGTGAGCGGATCCATGGAATCCACATGTTTCAAGGATAAGACGTCTCCCATGGACTCTGCCCTTGGCCTGGGTCTCCTCATCGCCCAGATCACCAAACCGCCTTTCGCTAACCACTTCATCACATTCTCTGAGGAACCACAAATCGTGAAGCTGGATACGACCAAGAGCTTTGGGGATTTGATCTCAGAAATGGAGAACTCCGATTGGGGAATGACCACCAATTTCAACAGTGTCTTTGAAGATCTTCTTCTACCCATGGCAATCGCCAATAAGGTCCGTCCCGAGGACATGGTGAAGCGTCTCATCGTGTTCTCCGATATGGTAACTCCTCCTCCCTACATAATTGCAAGAAACGTGACGAGGTGTTAACATCGATGCACAGGAATTCGATGAGGCACTGAAATCTGATGGAGCAGAGGAACCTGATGGAGCGCAGGAGCTCTTGAAATTCTCAACCAACCACCAACGCGTCAAGCAGAAATTCGAAGAAGCGGGCTATGAGATGCCGGAGATTATTTACTGGAACCTTGCCGGCAGCGGAAGAGGTCCCAAGCCGGTTACGACTGAGGATGCGGGCGTCGCCATGGTTAGCGGGTACTCGCAGGCCATGTTGAAGGTCTTTCTGGAGGACGGCGGCTTTGAGGATCCGGAGGTGGACGGGGATTTGGAGGTCGTTGGCAAAGATGGAGAGACAAGGACCGAGAAGAAAAAGCTTGATATCATGACTACGGTCAAGAAGGTTGTTGGACACAAGAGCTATGCCATGTTGGAGGTCGTGGATTGAGGGGGTTGCGTGGTGGTACTTGGATAGATTGCATTTTGGTTGTGTCTTTGATGTCTGATGTAATACCCCTCGTACCATAGTCAATCTACCGTTACTTCTCAAGCGATATTAAAGAATATGTTCCATAGAAAAACGAGGATGGTTCTTGTGAACTCCCAAGGCGCCTTGTTCGCCGCTTCACTACTGGGCACTCGGCACGCGGTACTCGGCATGCGGTTTATTACTCGTGGCCCCCCGTCCTGGGAAAGAGGGTATGCATGGTCTCAGTGATAGCGGCTACGCCGAGTGTACTGCCCCTGGGATTACCGATTACCTATGCGCGGTGTTGAGGTTTCGAAATAACCGAGACGCTTAGACTACCTAGGTGAGTGGAGGGAGTGGTACTTACTCTGTCTTGCGGAAGGATAGTGACGGAAACGCACCACAGGCGGCGCCTCTACTACTACTCGTGGTCGGAATCCGCTCTCCCCGCGCTATAGCCGCTGGAAGGTGGCCATGTCGTGTCGTGTCGGCGGCTGGCGGGTAGAGTGGGCAGATTATCGCGGGTAGATAGTGTGGGCATTGATACATCAGAGATATGCTGCAAAGAGCCGGAGGATCCGGATCATACAACTCATCCGATCGGCTGTCTACCGCAGCTGCTGGTCGAGTATGCTCTGTTTCTATAGAGTATAGAGTAAGGGGATGGATCGTGAACTCATAAGGAGTCAGGACCCCATATGACCACTGCACTCGTTCACACCCGATTTCTTCTACAGGATCTACCGACTCTGGGGATAGCTCTTCGACACTTCAAGTAAAAGATACCACCGGTAATGCCTAAAGGTATCCCCTTGTGTGGCAAGTCAAGGGTGGGACACTACGTACAGTGCATTAGCGTGTGTGATATGCATTAGCGTGGACAATCCAGGCCAGTAGTAGTATAGTGTATTGGGATAGGTTCTCTGCTAAAATACACTATACTACTACTGGCCCTGAATTCAATACACTATACTACTACTAGCTGAATCTTCCACGCTAATACAAATCACACACGCTAATGCACTGTACGTAGTGTCCCACCCTTGACTTGCCACACAAGGGGATAGTAGAGTTGTCAAAATGGCTTATATTTAATAGTTGAAATCAAAAAAAAAAAACTGCATAGATACCTCCAGCGGCATCCTAAACCTCCTCCTCCTCCTCCTCCCCACCCCTACCCTCGCCTTCCTTCACATCCTTCACATCCTTCACATCTTGCTCTCCCCCCTGCTCCTCCTCCTTTTCCTCCTCCTACTCTCCCTCCTGCCCCCCCTCCCGCTCTCTCTCCTCACCACCACCCTCCATCAGCGGGCAGGAGCAGCAGGGCACATTGGGTGCTCCGGTTCCGGATTCCGGAATCGCCAGTACTGCTCGTAGAGTCGTTACAGAGCGACAGAGCGAATGCGAAAAACCGGATCTACCGAGAATCGAGATGCGGAGTGAAACAGATGAGGAGGGGTCCGGTCAATTTTTCGTCGCCAGCTTTATTATCGCCGGAGTCGACCTCGAGGTTGGCCAAGAACCCGGCTAGGAACTGGGGATATCGAGGATATAGGTAGAGCAAAGTCGCTGACGGCCTTGATGGTGGGGGTGGTGTTGTGGCCGCCCTTCTCGGTGGTGTTGGTGTTGTTCGCGGCGGCGATCGTAGTCAAGGATATGACCGAGTGATTGTGTGATTGGTTGGTTGGTTGTTGGTTTGTTGGTTTGTTGGTGCTCGGTGATGGCGTGGGATGAGGGGTTTGGTCGATGGTTGTTATCATTATCGTTGATGATATTGATGTTGTTGTTGTTGGTGGTGGTGGAGAAGAGGAAGATGGAGGAGAAGAAGGAGAAGAAAGGAGGAAAGGTGGGGGAATAAAAGGACCCGGAGCTGGTTCCTTGGTTCCTTGACTTGCGCGTCGCCATTGAAGTGTGTAAGTGTCGAGGGACGATTGAGTCTTGACGCGATCACTCGCCCCCTCCAAACACTGGCGCAGCAGCGCTCATCGTGGATAGCGGAATTTCAATCAAAGATCACCACGCACGAGCGGGGAGATATAGCCTCAACTTTTCTGACCTTCCACGGTACAATAGCACCTATGCTGTAGCAGCAACTTCCGTGTCTCCGGACCCAGTTTCACTTCCACTTCCATCCCGCCGTCCGAAAGCAGAGGTCCTCGGCCTCCCACCGACTCTGCAGTGCAGTGCAGAGATCGTGATTTGTTTCCCTCCGACCAACAATAGGTCCCGCAAGAAGAGAACATAACTTCGATAGTACCCCGTGAGCATCGACCGGATGGCTGCGGTATTACTACCGAAAGCCTGCCGTGCCTGCAGAAATAGGTGTTCACCAGTACTTTAGGGTCCTCACAATGCGAGCTTTTTTGAGAATTATGGGGTTTGATAGATGTCTACTTCTGGAGAGAAAAAAACATATTTCCATAAGGACAGGAGTCGTATCATACCGTCTTTCTCGCAATACGTATCGAAATGTAATACGTCATCCATAATAGACAACGAGAGTTCTACAGTATTACACCATGGTCCGGTCCAGTCCCTAGTAGCTACGGGAGTCGTTTCTTCTTACATGCAATGTAGCTCTGCTGCTGCTGTTGTTGGCATTCATTCTCGGACCCACCGAACGGACACTGTATCTATCCCGAAACAGAAGGCTTTACCAGCCGTACCAGCCGTCGAAGACTTCAAGCTAAACACGAAAATACCGATGCCCATTACCCAGAGAATGCACGGATTTTCAAACCCCTTTATTTGTAAAAACAAAAACAAAAACATAGGGAGAGGGGAGAGATCTCCCCAGCCCTCACGCATCCCCCTCCTCCTCGCTGATGTCAGCCTCCTCATGACCAGCCTCCTCATCGGGCTTGCCCGCGTCCTGCTTATCCTCCTCTCCCTTGCTCTCCTCTTCCTCAAAGTTGTAAAGGATGGCGTTGCCGTGAGCGGCGGCGTCTTCGCCGGCATCGACCTCAAGTTCTGCCAGGAACTCGGCCAGGAACTCGAGGATATCGACAAATTCGCTGATGGTCTTGAGGGTTGTGCGGCCGCCCTTGGGGGTTGTGTTGACTTCGCTGGGAGCGGTGATGGTAGTCATGGTTATTTTATCGAGTGGTTGTCGTTGTGTGTGCGGGTTATTAGTTGTTGGTTGTTTGTGCTCGGTGATGGCGCGAGATGGAGGTTTATTTCGATGGTTGTTGTGATTGTCGTTGCTGGTGAAGAGAAGGTGAAGGTGGAGAAGAAGAGGAAGAAGAAGGGAAGAAATGGTGAAAGGTGGGGAGAATAAAGGGAGAGAGAGCCGGTTCATGGACTTGCGGGTCGCCATTGAAGTGCGCAGGTGTCGAGGGACCATTGGGTCTCGACGTGATCACTCGGCTCGGAATGACGCCAGCGCTCACACAAATCGTTCCCCATCACCAAGTGCCAGCGGTCGCTATGTTTCTCTCGGTTCCTTAAGCTGGAGTACCACATACTCTCAAACTCATATGTCTCGGATCCAGGGACGGGTTGACGTCCAAGTCGCTGACCACGTTACTCGACAAAGACAGAGAGGATGGTTTTCCTTCGACCAACCGGCACCCGCGAAGCCGCTGATTTCCACCATTCGGACTGCGAATCAACTTTTATGCATCGTGCCAGAGACGCACGTCTTTCTCGTTCTATTCTTCCGCACCTGTGCATCCGCAATCATCTGGTAAACCAAGTTATTGGTATCCCCAGCCGTTCACGATCCGAGATGCGTATGTAGGTACATAGAATGAACTTTGGACAAGTCTCAGGATACGGAACAACATCCCCAGCTTCCAGTCTCGTGCTGCTGTCAGGTGCACACATCCAGACCATGGATGGATGGTTCGAATCCGGAACGAGCAAGAAGAAACAACTATATTTTTTGGCGTGGTGTAGGTACCTAGTCCTGCGGAATGGTGGTGGAAGCGGGTGATATCGCATGATCTCTCTGCGGAGCCAACCGGAAGATGTCGGAAGACCTGTTGGCCTGCGATTGGCTACGCGGATCAACGCCAAGCGGCCATGGTCGGAGCTTGAGCCTTGAGCTGTTGGAGCTAGTCAAGTATAGCTTGCGACGGCGGTCGATCAGCGGTGGAAGGCGGACACTGGAGAGAGCTGTTGGTTTCCTCGATGCCGATTTTCGATATCGACAAGCGGCGCGAGAACTGATCGAGCGGCCATCCGGTTAGCCAGCTCCAGACGCGCACCAGCCGTGGTGGGCAACAGCGGCCATGACTCGGCGATGGGGAGCCGAATTCTAATTCCGAGTCGGTGAAAGTGCAGTAGCCCGCGCACTGGATCGGCATCTGGGGAAACCCCGAAGCCGACCACGGTATCGTCGCCGCCGTCCCGCCTGCCCGCCTGCCCGCCTGCCCGCCAGGGTGCACGGCCCGCAGGCCCCGCACTCACGATAAGCAGCGTAGAGTACGGTACCTAGAGTAGAGTATATTAACCGCACACGGAGCGCGCGATAGGTGCCGGTAGGTACCGTATGTCGTTCCCTCCGGGCGGCGTCCCATCGGCTGGATTCCGACCAGCCCGCAAATCCAGGTTCCGCTTCGATCGTTAGATACCGTACCTAGTGAGAAAGCGCAGTGGTAGCGAATCGGTAGAGTGACGGACAAGAAGAAACCCGTTTTCCACCCCCCACCACCGCTGCCCGCCCATCTGTCCGCCCGCCCGCCAGTCAGTCCTCCGCACCCACCTCCACCTCCATCTCCCCCTCCCGTCCCCTCCCCGCTCCCCCGCGCGGCCCCCACCCACGGTAACCATCGCAGCGTATCCGCAGTCGTGTCGTGTCGTGTCGTATATTAACCCCACACGGAACGCCCCAGGCCCGCACGCAGGTGCAATATACTCTACCGTATCTCGCGCATCCCATCCGTCCGTCCCTCCGTCGTTTGTTTTCCATCCCTTCCCTCGACCTTCCAGCCCGCCATCCAGTCTCCACTCCCTTTTTTCCCCCGCAACTCGCAAACCGCAACCCACAACCCACAACCCGCAACCCGCAACCCACAAACCGTATCCCGCAATCCGCAACCACATCACCTCAATCAAAGCAGGACAATCAAAGCAGGGCAATCAATTATATAGTTATATAGTTGTATACCTAGTAGAGTAGAGTAGTAGAGTAGAATGGGCCGATTGACCGACCGACCGCCCGACCGCCCGGATGTTCTCCGAGCTCACAGCACAGCACAGCACAGCACACGGCAAGTAACTACACTACACATGTAGATAGTCTACCTACATGTACATGTATCCTACATACAATCTAGAGTGGACTCCTGAGTCTAGAGAACATTTTCCCATATCGGTATGCTTACCGCCTCCGCCGCTCCTCCGCCGCTGCCCTTGTAGATAGAGTAGAGTACGGTATCTACATACATGCTTACATACATGCAAGTCCGCAATGTTCGGACGGAACAAACTACCTCTTCCAACTCTCCACACACCACTCCATAGTACCTGGTATGTATGTAAGTAGTCGAATTGCCCCCCCTAGGTATATTGCGTCTCCATCTCGCCACCGGTTTCTTAACCAGATCTGATCTGCGAATCATAGAGTAGCATATCTAGAGTATCCAGAGCAGAGTAGCTACCGTATCCAAACCCCCTAGTTAGATACGGTACCTACGTCGCACTCAATCCCTCAATCCCTCGAGTAAACCCAGCAGAGTGATATAATTTTTTTCTCCTTCTGCGTGTACGCGCGCAGTGGGGGGAGGGACGGACAGTCGTGGACAGCGGACCTGCAGGATCACCGTCTCGTGTGGCCACCCACGAGTCCACGACGATTGGATTGGCCCCGTCCCGCGCAGCGCCGCCCACCTGTCTTTGATAACTACATAGATTTCCAATGCAGCCAGCGAGCTCGAAGCTCGAGGCTAACCAGCTGCTGTGTAGGTACATGATACATCTAGGTACTAGGTACGAATACAGGGAGCCACAGCAAGTAGCTTGACGGCCGTGCGTGGCGAATAGGAATTGCCGCCGCCGCGGCGCTGGTTGCTGGTTGCTGGCGCCGCGTCGTCGGCGCCGGCGAAAGAGAGAGAGAGAGAGAGAGAGAGAGAGAGAGAGAGAGAGAGAGACGAGTTATTCGTGCGTGCGCTGTGAAGTCTGCGCTTCGCCCCCCGTCCCCGTCCCCCGTCCCCCCCGAAAGAAAAAAATATACATAGAGGAAGGCAAGGGAGGGAAGGGATGGGATGGGATTTCCGGGGTCGCAGACTCGCGGACTTGCAGAAGCCGCAAACGCAAACGCTCGGACGTTAACTGTTTGCCACAGTCTGGCTGAGCCAGCCAGCCACAGCCAACCAACTGTGTATCTACATAGAGTAGAGTACTTACGGTGCGGTGCCTATCGGAGAACGTTGGGCTCGATAGTGGTTTCACTACTATATGGTCACTATGGATCTGGGTGGGGTTTCTCCATGCGTTCTGCTTGTGCTTGGGCGTTTATGTACTGTAGATAGGTATGTGTGTGATGCTCTATCTACTATACTTGCTATGTGGGGTGCTCTTCTCTATGTGTTGGTGGAATGGTGGAATGGTGGTGGAGTGGTGGTAGAGTGGAGTGGTAGAGTGGTAGAGTGGAGTGGTAGAGTGGTAGAGTGGTAGTTAGAGTACACCGTGGCCTCTGGATGCCTATCATACCTACCATACCTATTATACCTATCATACCCACATACCCATTATACCTACCATACCTACTCTACATACCTACAAACCTATCATAGATACCGACCTGTGTACTCTACATACTCTAAATGGAGCCCGAAGCTTAGGAAACCCAGAAGCTTAGGAAACCCAGAAGCACGTCTGGACAGTACATCGTCTGCATCGTCTGCTGGCCGTCCTGCTGGTTTCGGCAGAGAACACGAAGGGACGACGACGCAGCTTGATACACTAGAATAGTACTCTACGTACCCATCAGTAGATCCCCGCGGGCCCCCCGGTACATCCGGACGCGGGAGGAACCTTCAACCCACACTCGATTCGAAAATTAGGTTACAGAGTACCCGTTCCAACATCCAAGTACGCACCCGTTCCAACCGAACCGAGTGATGGATCCGCCACGACGTCCTCCACTTGTAACGGGGGGAAGAGGGAAGGGGGGAAATTGATCTGGCTTATGTGGACACTGAACATCAGTGTTACAGTGGCATAGACTTGCCAGAACGGAAACGGAAACGCCATCCCACCCGTCCATCGTCCACCCCATCCACTCATCCACCCCATACATCCGCCCCCATACATCCACCCTCATCGATCCATCCATACACTCATCCATCCACTCGCACGTCCACTCGCACGCACGTCCGCAGATGATGTACGGCACTCCGCAAGTACTCTATGTATGTATGAATTTCGGCAGCGATATTGACACACACACAGAGTCAGAGCAGAGAGGACGTCTAGGGACACCTGGCAACGTCTTCTCTCTTTCTGTGTGGGTGGGCCGACTGTCTGGATGGTGTGCTCCCCGTCACTGGAATAGAATAGAGTCCGATTGCAGTCAACTGGCGGGCATGGGCGGGCATGGCGAAGGCGAACGACCGACTGGCAGGGCGCTTTGAACTTTGAACTTTCGATCCCACCCCCCGGGCCCGGGATCTCCCCAAGGGGATGCTAGATCCGAACGCAGCGCAGTGCAGTGCAACGCGTACGGTACATACGGTACGGAGAAGTAAGTGAAGACGTTGCCGGACTGCATGGCATGTAGGTACTCTGGAAGGGAGTATGTACTCTATGCGTGGCCATAGAGTGGAGTGTCATGCCAGGTGTGTAGAGTATGGAAGTGGTGACTATCATACTCATGTACTTCTGTCTGTATGGCATGTAGAGCGCCTACTACCTAGAGTACCTAGAATCATACTTTGTACGTACACGGGTGGAATGTCCAATCACGATTAGAAGATTGAGATATCGGGTGTGGTTTTTTTCTTTTTTCTTCGTGTCCTATCGTGCTTAGCCTTCCGGGATATCCCATTCGGGGAATAACTAATTCTTCTCTTGTCTCTCTTCTCTTGCCTTCGAGAGCTCTGTTGTCTGTCTTTCTTTCTGGGAGTGTCTCTCTTTTCGGCCGGTTTTTTCTTTCTTTCTTGTCTTTTCTTGTCTTTTCTTTTCTTTTCTTCGGTCCGTTCATTTTTCCCCCTCCGCCATGCTGCAATTGGTGTGACTTTTCTCCCTCCCTCCCTTGGGTTGGGTTGGGGCTGGCTGGCTGGCTGGATGGACAGGTTTCCCACTTTTTTTTGGCTTGCTTGCTCGGGTTGTTTCTTCATAAAGAAGGGGTTGGCGAGCGAAGCAGATCAGAGCAGGCAAGCAGGCAAGCAGGCAAGCAGGCAGACAGGCGAGCTCGAGGAGGAGGGGAGGGGGGCGGAGGGCAGGGCAGGGCTAAAGCTCGACTCGACTCATCGCTTCGGACGGAGGAAGGAACGAAAAGGATGGGCAGGAAGGAAGGAAGGAAGGAGCTCTCTCTCTGCTGCTCTCTCTGTCGCTCTCTCAGGATCAAGGGAGGGAAAGTGTGGATGCCTTGCTTGATTCGATTCGTCAACGGCGGCTGCCGTGCTGCTTGCTTCTTGCTGCTGCCACATGCTGCCATGCCATGCTGCTACCATACCTACCGGTATGTATGCTGTGTAGCAGTCGTATCTAACTATCTGCTTGCTTTATCATCCCATCCTCCGTGAGTCCGTGGTTTATTCTTACTCTTCTTATCCGGGAGGGCCAGTCACATTCCAGTTCCAGTTCCACTGGCCAGTCGGGAATCAAATGTGGGAATCTATGTAGAGTATGTAGATTCTCCATGTGGCATTCGGGACCATATGCTCGGAAGGGAGCGAGATGCCAGAACAGAACGGAGCAAAGCCATGGTCGTGAAGCTCTGCGCGAGGAGGGTGTGTATGTGGTCGCAGCTCGAGCTCTGCAGTGGCTGTTTAGAATTATTCGGGCCTTTCGGATTCTCCCCTTTCTTTCGCGGCACCGACCAGACAAAGTGAGACCCGTCCCAAAGCCGATAGTTATGTTTTCGGCCCTCGTGGTATGTACCCAACCATCCTAACCGTTTCGAACTCGTCTCCCATTGCGAATTGTTGAGACACTAGATATCGTGATCGTCCGGCCGCTTCGCCGCGAGCTGCAGCGGGGACTAAGTCAACTCTACGATGCCTACTATGCCTACTCTAGATACAAAAGATAAGTTCTGGGGAAAAAGCAAAGAGACGTCCTACCTTCTTGCCTGCTTGCGTGGGTGTTAGGTGTGTGTCTTTTTTCCTGTGTGCGCCGTGCGAACCGCTGCGTCTCGTCTCGTCTCGTCTCGTCTCGAGCCCGTGTAGACCGTATCCTAGCCCTATGTATGTACTCTAGATATACACTTACCTACCTCTGCTCGAGCTCGAGCCCGTCCGTACTCCACACAGGAAGGAAGCCGGGTTCTTCAAGTGCGTGCTCCAGGTTGGCATCGTGCTCTAGTAGGTAGAGCAAAGCAGCTGGCGCACGGCCGTGGTACGTTTCTGTAGATAGGTATCGTATGTAGGTGTGTATCTTGTACATAGGCATGTACTCTGCCCGCATCGGCGCGGAGGTATTCTATGAAGACCAAGACCAAGACCAAGACCAAGACCACGGCCACGACCACAACAGCGGATACGACGTCCACGACGAATATGCCACGACGATGTCCATGGGCAGCAAGCTCCTCGGACGGCCCACAGTGCTTTTGTCGCCGTTCCGTACAACCAGGCTGGTCTGCCTTCGGGCGAACTTGCACTGTGCAGCGGGCCAGAGTGGTTTTTTTTCTTTCTTAGAGTGCCGGTCGAGTATGTATAGAGGTACTCTAGGTAGGCACTCTAGTCCGTACCTATCTGCCACTGCTCTCATTACCACGCACTTCTTTGTCGACGTCTTCTTCTCGCACATGCTATCGCCCAGCAAGTTGCAACCAACAGGCAACTCGGGCAGCATAAGCAGCAGCACAAGCAGACGCAGCAGAAGCGTGTGCAGAAGAGACATGCTCTAGTCCGTCTCGCAAGGCCAAGGTCGGCGGGCTTTGTGGTAAATATGCAGCTGTCTGCAGAGGATGTATGTGCTGCCTACCAACTCCAGTAGGTCAGTACCGGTACCGGCAGGCAGGCAGGCAGGAGGCTGTACGTACCGTGCCCATCCTGCAAAGCTGTGTGGTTCGCTTGAACAGCTCTGTTGGCTGTTCTTCCGGACGTTTTTTTTTGCCTCTGCAAACTAGGATGAGTGATTAGGGAGCTTGTTTTTTTTCTTCTGCTTTTTTTTTCCTTCCTCGTCGTGTCTGCGCTGCTGTGCACAACGCGGAACCATGCTGACTTACGCTGATTGAGTGACATGGAGCCGTTCGCGGGAGTTTGAGGCGAAGCGAGAAGAGAAGTGAGAAGTGAGAGCTGCTGCTGCGGCATGGATATCGTAGCGTCGGCGCCATGCCCCTTCGGCCTTAGAGCCGTGGCGTGGCGGCGGCGGCACACGGTAGAGTATTATTGTCGATGGAAGTCTTTCTCTATCTGCCAAGTGCTGTGTTGGTGACTCGGTGGGCGGATGTCGAGGTCAGAGGTAGATACCGGCAGTATGTAGAGCACTCTACTGAGTACTCTGTATTGCGGCATTGGAAATCTGGAGACGGATCACAACGGCGGCGACGACGACAACGACGACGACAGCCAGCTAGCCAGCCAGCCGGAAGTACCTAGATGTACGCCGAGTGCAGTCAATCAATCAATCAATCAATCAATCCCGCAAGAGCAGCTAGCCAGAGTGACGGACGAGACAGCTGGGAAAGAACGAACGAACGGACGAGGGAAGGAAGGAAAGCCGAAGAAAGCTGCTGCCATCCAACTCGCCTCGCCCTTCCTCCCCGTCGTGCTCCTCCATACACCCGCCGCCCTCCTCCTCCTACTTGACCCACCCACTTCCCTCCTCCGAATCTTTCCCCACGTCCCCTCCTCCGCCCACACACACCTCCCCCTCCAACCACCGCCCCCCCGTGAAACTTACTAACCTCCCTTGCTCCCCCCCTCCTCGTTCTCTTCTTCTTCTTCTTCCTCCTCCCCCCCTCCATCTCTCTCCTCCTCCACCTCCTCATCTACTACTTCATTCCTCATCCTCCCCCCTCCTCCCTCCCTCCTTCCCTCACTTCTATCCCTCACATCCTCCCTCTTATCGGCGAGCCATATCTGTCTGCTCCATTCTCGCAGAACCACCACCCCCAGTCCAAACTCGGTCGATATCTCCTTATCTCGATCCCGCTCTACCATCACCACCACCACCACCACCACCACCACCACCACCACCACCACCACAACCAACTGCTACCGCACAAGAAAAAATACCATCTGGAATCACCTCCGACAATTGGACAGGCCAAGATGACCGGTTTCTACACATTTAAATGGTTCGTTTAGAATCCCGTTTCTCAGCTCGCATCCCAGATCCTCGCAGAAACTGTTTTGCGGCATCGCAATCGAGTCAAGGCAGGGATGGCGATCGTCACTCCCGACGTCGTCATCCGCGATATGACGAACAGCCGAGCAGGCGTGTCTAGAGTACCACCATGTTTCGGAGAAACCTGAGTACTGACAGCTCTCGAAAAACAGGGACCATCCCGCCAATGAGGTTTACGTCACTGGAACATTCGATGGCTGGAGCAGGAGTACCAAGCTCGACAAGGCTGGCGAGGTTTTCGTGAAGAAAGTCGAGCTGCCCGTTGAGAATATCCTCTACAAGGTACGTTCTTTTCTCTTATCTCACTATTTTTTCGACGCTTCAGTGCCAGCAATTCTATTTTTTCCCCTGCGCTATGCCCGCTTGATCCGGGCTTTGTTGTGTGGGTCAAAGAACGAGCGCCTTTCGCTGGTTTCGGTTGCGCTTCGGAAGAGGAAGAAGAAAAAAAAAGCATGGCGTAACCAGGAGCTAAGACCGTAGCGATGACGTCTGTCAACATCGCTGCCCTTATCTCATCCCCCTCCAAAACAACCTCCTACCTACCACCCATTGCTTCTTTTTCTTCTTAAGAGCGAGCGTCGCATTTCTCAATCATCCATTCTCGTTCAATACCATCAGCCGAGATTGATCCGAAACGGAAGCTGATATATTCCTCCTACCAATAGTTTGTTGTTGACGGAAACTGGGTAACCGATCCCAACGCACCTCTCGAGACCGAAGAGTCCGGAGTTCAGAACAACATCCTCTTGTCGACTGTTATTGCCGAGACCGAAGAAGAGAAAGCTATGGAAGCCGCCATCATCAACAGCGCGGCCCCCGAGTCGACCACTGCCGTCCTCGCTGCCGTTGTCCCCAAGGAAACCGAGACCGTTGTCATCACATCCATCGCTCCCGAATCCACCACCGCTTCGCTCGCTGGAGGTGTTCCTCTCGAGCAGCCCACTCCCGGCGCTGGCGATGTTCCCGGTGGATTCCCCGAGACTCCTGCCTCCGAGATCGTCGACCCTACCCCCGTGGCCCTCAAGGAGGTCGAGCAAATTTTCTCTGTCAAGCCCCTCCCTGCTTCGGAGACGGCCGAGAACCCCATCACCCTGCAGCCTGGCGAGGCTGTCCCCCAGATTGGCACCGAGTCGATCGACTCGCACGTCACGCTCGATAAGGAATCCTACGAGAAGGGCGCCACCAACTTCCCCATCGGTTCCTGGGTCTTGCCCGATGTCGTTACCCCTGCCGAGCAGCGCGCCGCCGAGGGACGTGGTGTCCTGGATCTTCCCCGCAACTTGATTCCCGAGAGCTCACTGCCCATCACATCGGCCGCCGAGGCTGCTGAGGTGAAGGAGGCTGATGTTCCCGAGATCGTCAAGGAGAGCCAAGAGAAGGCCCACGCCCCGGCTGAGGCTTCGGCGATCGCCGACGCTGTTGAGCTGAAGGCTGCGGTTGAGAGCGAATTGAAGACCGAGGTCACCGAGACGCCCGCCATCGCCGAGGGCAACACCGTTACCGAGCAAGCTGTCGAGGTTGCCGGACAGGCCACCGAGCAGGGCAAGGTCATCGCCGAACAGGCTGTCGAGGTGGCCGGACAGGCTACCGAGCAAGCCACCATCATCGCCGCACAGGTTTCGGAGCAGGCTAAGATCGCCGCCGCCACTGCCGCTCCCGTTGTGTCGGAAGTGATCGCCAAGGTCGCCAATGCCACCGGTCTGAGTGCTGCTCCCATTGAGCGGCCCGCGTCGCCCGTTCCCGAGGTCGTCAAGCAGAGCATTACCGAGGCTGGTGCTCCGGCCGAGGCCGCTGCCTACGAAGATCTCGTCGAGGCCAAGAAGGAGGTCGAGACCGAGCTCAAGCAGGAAGTCGTTGAGGCTCTCCCAATCACCGAGGGACCCAAGGAGGAGGCCGAGCCCACTCCCGCTCCCACTCCCGCTCCCGTCGCTCTAGTGAACGCCGCCAAGATTGCCGACCAGAAGGCCCCTATCGTCACGAACGGCATCAACACCAAGACCATCATGCACCACGAGATTACCCTTAACAAGCCTGCAGATATCGTTCCCGAACCGGTCAAGCACAGTGTCGCGGAGGCTGGTGTTTCGGCGGAGGCTGCTAGTGAGCCCAAGGCTATCGTGCGCAAGGAGGCTGTCGAGGAGCAGCTCAAGGAGAATGTAAGGCCAAGCGCGCCTATCCCCCAAACCAACGGCGCTTCTGGGGCTAAGACTAGCATTGAGACTCCCAGAAAGAGCACGGAAGCCGCCACATCGTCATCGTCAAAAAAGTCCAAACGGAGAAGCTTCTTTGGGGCGATCTTGTCAAAGCTACACTTCGGGAAATCGTAGGACGGCTAGCTGCCGGCCTCGGTGAGAGTCGTCTTTGGCGGCGCGCGCAAAGGATGGGGTTGGGTTTACATTGCTACTGAAGTTCGCTGCCGAGTTCCAGAAAACAGCGTGAACACTTCCTTGATGCCTTGATGATTTACGTTGTATGATTTCTTCAGATTTGGCCTTGGGAGGAGCGTTTGCTAGCCGGTGTTTTTTTGTGCGCAGCGCGGTCTTTTGCTTTGGTTTGTCTTTTCTTTGTGTTTCCTTCCTCACTTCTTCCCCATGACATCAATAGCATTACTGCGATGTTTTACTTCCATTTCCTTACTTTGTCATTTGGTTGTACTGCACTGGTTCTGCTGCTGCTTTTATATTCTAGGGCTTTCTAATTCTACAAAATGGGGTGTTTTACTTTTTGCTTCTTGCGTATTGTGTGCGGGTGTGCGAGAGATTCGGCGGGGGCAGGTGCTCGGGGTGGGAAAAAAAACCGGGGGAACACAGCGATGACAAATGCAACCTTTTCTTTCTTTTCTTTTGTGTCTTTTTTTTTATGGGGTGTTTTTCTCCCGGTTTTTGTTTTTAGAGAATATTGAGCTCGGAGCTGTCTGTATGTTGTGCATGATCATGAATGATAATGACATTTTCTATTTCAATCTATCTACAGTCACTGTCACACTGTCACACCGCTTCTGTTTCCGTTTGCATTTCATGCTGTGTGAGTGCGAGTGCGTGAGATGGCCACTGTGTGCGAAACGATACAGGAAACAATTGCGAAGTGTGGGGTAAACGACGTTTCTGGCGGTATGGGCGGCATATGTAGTAGATATTGGGGAGATTTTGCGGGGTGGATGCTAGATGGGGAGTGGGTTGGTGGGCGCTGACGGCCGGATAGGTAAAGTATGGTCCACATCTCTCGACACTGTCCCATCCGTCGCCAAGCCAGCCCTCCGCTGAGTCATAATTACCCCCTCCCCCTCCCCTCACAGTGGGCGCTGCTGCCTGCATGCGGTGGAGGGTGCACTCTGGAGTCTGGAGGGGCGTTGAGGTGGGAATCTGGATGCAAGGAGATGGGCATCGGATGTTACCAGTGTAACCAGTGTGACCAGTTTAATGTCGAGTTGACTTTCTGCTCGGAGACTTTGTTGAGGTTGGCCGTGATTCAAGTGCTCTCCCCGGGCAGTGCTCCTGATGGTCCAGTCCGGACTACATCAGTGGCCAGTCCAGTCCATAAAATTTGAGGCTGCTGTAGATAAGATGTAGATACCTAGTCAGTCCGTCTGTGATTTTGCCGGTACGGACTGCGGTTGACTGCTGCCACATTCTGATTTTTTTGGCATGTGGCTGACCGCTTACATAGAACCCCACCTAGCATCGAATCCTTTACATATGAGAAGCAACATCGCCGCAACTCTTTCAGCCCCTTCACAATCCATGATTCCATCCTGTTGATTATGGAGGTACCTATCACGTGTTTTCTTCACCGTATGTCACTCGCCTGTTTCACTGTTCACTGTTATGTTTTACCCAGGGTAGGTACTGCAAAAACGCTGTGGCTGGGCGCGTCCGTCCGTACGTCCTGTCCAGTCCTACCAGCCAGCGGCGCAGGCTTCTACCCAATCCAGTCCAGTCCAATCCAAGCTCGGCATCAAGACGGACGGACAGGACGGAATACACCTCTCAGTGCAACCTGTCCATCCAGTCCATCCAGTCCAGTCCAAGCCCGGCCTCAAGACGGACGGACGGACGGGACAGAATACACCTCTCAGTCCTCAGTCCAGTGCACCCAGTCCATCCGGTCCGACTAATGCCGAAAAATGGACTGCTGAATTGCACTGCACTGAACTATCGGAGGCCCTGGAGTCTGCCTCTCCCGCTTCCCTCAATCAACAGCGTACGTGTACCAAGCCGGGGAGACCGACAGATGGATCCCATAGGCATGCTGCTTGGAAAGTAGGTATTTCTCCGCGGCAGATCTGCGTTTTCGTTTTGTTTCGTGGGACGCGTGCAGGACTCCTGCCATCTCCTGGGCAGTGAGCTGCGAATCGGCCAGACCGGACCGCGAGGGAAGTAGGGTCTAGATGGGGATCAGTGGGTTTAAGTGCGGAGCCCGACAGTTGCGAGTGTTGATATGTGCAGCCATGAGCTGTCATGGTGGATCCGAGGACGTGATGTTCCGAAGCTAGCCCGTCGCAGAAGCTGGTTCGCACCGAGGATGCTGGATAGGGTACCCCACTTCCGCAACCGGGTCGTCCGGAACGTGCTGTGCCTTCTTGAGGGACCCATTGTTGGTCGGGTCGGAGGGGAACGAGCTCAGCACCGCAGTGTCGGAGGGAGGCCGAGGAACGCAGCCTTCGGACGGCGACATGGACGTCAAAACGTCCCTGGATCGGGCGTATGATTTCAAGAGTATGCGGTACTCCAGCTTACCGAAGCGAGAAACACATCGATCCCCGGCGCTTGGTTATGGGGAGCGATTTGCGTCAGCGCTGGCGTCATTTCGCGCCGAGTGATCGTGTCGAGACCAAATCGTCCCTCGACACTTGCACACTTCAATGACGACGCGTAAGTCTAAGAACCGGCTCCCTCCTTTTATCCCCCACCTTTCTTCCCTTCTTCCCCTCCTTCTCCCCCATCTTTCTCTTCTTCACCAACAACAACATGACCAACATCATCAACATCAACAATAAAAACCACCGACCAAAACCCTCATCTCGCGCCATCGGTCCATCACCGAGCACCAACAAACCAACAAGCAAACAACGAACCAACCAACCACAACCGCTCGATCAAAAAACCATGACTACCATTACCACGAACAACGTCCAGACCGCCGACAAGGGCGGGGCCACTACACCGCCCCCACCATCAAAGCCGTCAGCGACTTTGTTCGATATCCTCGAGTTCCTGGCCGGGTTCCTGGCCGGGTTCCTGGCCGAACTCGAGGTCGACGCTAGCGATAACATCGCCGACGATATTGAGAGTGCGAACGACACTAACATCACAACGCTGGCGTTGTCACTACAACTTTCTTCTCGACGTTGTCGAGGAGGAGAACGAAGGAGATGAGGCCGGCAAAGAGGAGGCCGGCAAAGAGGAGGCTGGCAAGGCTGGGGAGATTTCTCCCCTTTGCCTATGTTTTTGTTTTTGTTTCTTCACGTTCATCAAAGAACTCTGCGGCGCTGATCGTAAGTCCAAGTCCATAAAGAGGAACCGTGGCGGCACCATGGTTGTTCCAGGCCCCTCGACGGAGGATGTAAGTATTCGTTTAATCTCTTCAGATGCCCCACCATAGTTGCTGGTGAGTCTTGTAGATTCAGTCCTGGCGCCATTCCCCGACGGCTTCGGGCACGAGAACGACTACTTTTCCGGGAAGCATTAACCGAGTGATGCGCTATGAATCTGTGCTGACCTACATCCTTTGCAGTTGCCGAGCTATTGGCTGGGGCCGAAGACTCCGGTTTTGCTGACGGTGCCACCTGTAAGCTGCCTTTCTTCTCTTTCGTCGCTGATATTACAGCTCATGCTGACTTCTCTGTGGCTGCAAAAGACGAGAGTGAAATAGAGGATGAGAGCCAATTCACCATCAACGAGTTTCTCGAAAACACCGAGACTGCCGAGGATTCAGTGAGCCGCGCAGAGAGCAGGGCCAGCATCGTTTTTACGAATAAAGGGGTTTCAACACCCTTTCAACCTTTGGGCATCAGTATTTCCGTGTTTATCTTGAAGTCTCCAACGGCTGGTACATACAACTTTTTGTTATGTCTGTTCAGTATTCCAAGAACGAATGCCAATAACAGCAGCAGAGCCATGTATGCAGGGAGAAACGACCCCCGTACTATGTTGGGACTGGACCATGGTAGATAAATACATAGCCCAGCATAGCGATTCGCTATCGGACAGGACTCCCATTTCGCCGTGCCGAGCTGGAAGCGAAGCGCCGAAGCCTGATCCGGAGATATTGGAGTCCTAGAGTAAAGCATAGGCGCTGCTAAAAGCGCGAGAACCGCCGAGATGGTATTGACCCTCCAGTGCTCGCATGGGGCGAGGGGATCGAGTATCACTGCGCGTGGTCCACCGATTGGTTTCTGTCGTTTATCATTTCCGCTCTTCGCCCTCCTTCGAGCCCTCCTTCGAGCCCTCCTTCTTACGTCACCTTCGACCTGCCATGAATCGCGAATAAGAACGCCATCACCGAGATACCTATCCAAATCAAAGTGTAGGTACCTAGTGGGCTCGATGGAGGCCGAGTGATACATTGTACGTACTCTACGTTGTACGTGGCTATCGGAGCCGCCCGCTGCAAGTCGTATTCGACCTGTGACGCCGAATGTGCTGTCTCGCAGTCCAGGCGCACAAAAGTGCGCTTAATATGTATCTTGGGAAATATAACCGAGTGATATCTATCGCATGCATACGAACTCTGCAGGAGGTCATCAGCCACACCGACCACATCGAAACCCCCATTCAAAGCCACTCGTCGTTATAACACAACGAGAGAAACTATAGAAATGAAGCATGTGGCGCAGTTGAGAAGTGTCCGGGTGTATGTAGGGTATCGGTCAACGGGTGTTGATGTTGGCCGAGATCACCAGGATACGGGAGGGGAGGTGGCTGATGAGGCAGCTGTGGCTGATGATCTTAGCGTGTCCACGATTTTGCTACATCGTCTAGTGCACCGCCAGCCGGATAAGCTTAACCAGTAGCTAACAAGCTCCACGCACCCCAGCAACAAGCAACAAACAACAAGCACCCAACAGCTCTCCATCACTTACTACATATACTATGGTACCTCTACCTCGCGCGACAGCGACGCAGCAGCGGTCCCCAACGGGCGCGTCCTTAACGACATCGATCACGCTCCCGCTCACCTCATCGCACATCCTCAACTTCCTGCAGCACCCTCCGCACGTATTCGGCATAAACCCGGACATCAGCGGGTTCACGCGGTCTTCGTCCGCGCCCGACATGTGGACGCTGACGAACCGCATCCCGGTGTTCTTCGGGCTGTTCCACATCACTGCCACGGCGATCGCACTGGTGCGAGATACGGCCGATGGGGTGGTGATGGATGTGGAGGCGGGCGGGTTGGGGTTGACTACTAGGACTAGGAGCACGTGGGTTGTTAAGCAGGCGACGGGCGAGAGTACCGTGCATGAGGTCTTTGAGGTGTTGAGTGCGCCCTGGGGATTGTGCTGGTTTGTGCTGCGTACCGCGAGGGCGAGGCATAAGGTGCTGATAGAGAAGATGGGGTACGCGTGGGAGAGGGATCTTGCGGAGTTTTGATGGAACATGTCACTCACGGAGGGCTGTGGCGACGAAAGCAAGAAAATCTAAGCGTGCTTGAATTGCAAATGCGTTTGTCGGTTCGAGTCCTCTATATATGCCACCCAGCCAGTATGATGCATCAAATAACGGTCGCAGCGTAACCCCCACCACTACCGCCCTCTAAGAAAAAACTCCTCCTCCTCCTCGTCATCGCTTTCTTCACCACTGCTCTCCCCTTCATCCGCCCGGGGCCGCTCCCGGCCCATCTCAAGCCTGATACCCCCACCCTCCCTCTCCCCCACTTTCCTCAGCGCCTCCCTTCTCTCCTTCAGCTTCCTAACTCGCTCCTCCAACCCCTCCATCTCCTCAAACTCCTCTAGCAGCCGTTCCTGCGCCTCCTCATCCTCTCCGTCCTCCACATCTTCCTCCACCATTGGCTTCTCCTCCTTCGCCTTTCCGGTAGCAGCCACGGGTGCCGCCGAGATAACCGCGTGTGAGGGGATTGCCGCTCCGAGTTCCGGCTCGGCGACGACCTCGGCCTCGAAGCGGGCCCACTCGGCGTCGAGACCTGTTTCCTCGGGGGTGGTAGTATTCGTAGTAGTAGAGGCGGCGTGGGGGGCACCGGGGGCTGTGGCAGAGCTGGCGGCGAAGAAGTCGGCCGGTAGGTTCGCGGGCTTGTAGCGTTTCGAGTCCGGGGGGGATGCGGGGTCGGCGACGAGCGGTCGCTTGGAGCTGGTACGCGTTGTCATTGTGTTTGTGTGCTTGCTGGAGCTATCGCAGTGGAAACGGACGGTTGGTGCGTGGGTGTGTAGGTGGGTGGGTGTTTCGCGTGCAAACGGAAATGGGTGGAGATGTGCAGGTATAAGTATCTTCTATTCCGTGTGTGTGGTGTGGTGTACGCGTCCAGCTTTCGTTCGTTCTTGAGAAACCGCAGATCAAGTGGACTATGGTTATGGTGATGGTGCAGAGGCAAACAGGTTCGGATTATATTATGGATGGATGGATGGCCGGTGGTGGTGGTGGTGGTGGTGCGCGGTGACGGGAAGACGGCCAAGGGGTGTGTGGTGTCGAGCAGCAGCGGTCATGGCAGGAACAAGGAAGCAACGGAAGCAGGCAGGCAGGCAGGCCAACGCACGCTAACTTTAATCAGCTGTTGTGCCACCACCACCTCCACACAACATATTTTGAGCCGCGCGCCTTGGGACGGGATGCGGCTTCACGGCAAGGCACTCGCGTATTTTTGGAGAGGGAGCACGCATATATGCGGCGCGGACTGTGGAGTCTGGAGGTCTACTTAGGTCGAATGCTATGATTAAACAAAAACAAATACAAAAGTGCAGAATCTGTCAGCCTTCAGGGCCGGGCGGAGAGCAATGGGAAACCCACGGCGAGCTGATAGGCAACGAACACGGATTTGTACATACACAGTCATAGGTATACTCGTGTCAAATGCTACGATGATGAGACAAAAAAGCGAAGAGTCCGTCAGGAATTGCACAATTGTCATCGCAATACATGCATGCAAGCAGAACAGAAGGAGAAAAGCTAAAAATCTATCAGATCCGCGCAGCCAAAGGCAAACCTCCTAACACTCGCTCCTCTCCCCCCGGGCGACCTCAAAGCATTTTCCTCTGGTTTCTCCTCAATAGGACTTCTCATGGCCGCATCGCGCTCATCAACATCAACTTCGGTACCCTGCGTAGCTCGATCACTAAAGCCGTCTCCATCCTCATCTTCTACCCCTACGCCCTCCCTACCACCACTCCCACGCTTCGTGCTCCAGTCGTCATACCACTCTCCTCCCTTGTCTCGATCGCGCTCAAAAATCAAATTCCTTTCTGTTCTAATCAGTACCGATCCAAATAACCAATCAACGGCGCCTCTTTCTGGAGGGAAGGATGGGGGGTCATGGGGATGAGGGCGTGCTGGTGGGTGGTGGTGGTGGTGGGGAGGGGAATTCATACCGAAATACGTCCAGTTCCATGCCGTTGATCACATTATCCGCCAGGTCGCGCCGACCCATCTGTCCGAACACCCTACGAAGCGTATCGAACAAGTTGGTGCTCTGGTTGTGAATGATGCGCTCGGGCTCAACACCAGCGGCGCGTGCATCCTCACGCGCCTTCTCCTCGGCAACCTTGTGCATGGCAAGTGCACCAAGCAGGTGCTCAGCCGCCTCCTTGAAGCAGCCAATGTTAATACAGCTGACACCTAGGTTGTAGCGAGCGCGTACGAAGTTGGGGTTGATCTGGAGCGCGCGTTCGTATGCGTTGATCGCCTCTTCGCTGCGGCCGGAGTTGGCGAGCGTGGCACCGAGGCGGTTCCACAGCAAGTGCTCGGGGGAAGTAGAGGTGCCTGATGAGTTGAGGGCCGCCTCGAAACAGTCAACTGCCTTGTCGTATTCCTCGTCGCCATAGAACAGAACCCCAAGCCCAACCTGGACGTCGGCGTCCATAGCTTGGCCTTCGGGCACAAGCATAGCCGCCTCGATAAAGAGACCGGTGACGCGATCGTGGAGCGCCTGTCGGTCGTGTATAGTCGCGGGTGGTGGGCCCGCTTTGTCGGCGATCGCGGGGTATTTCGATCGTAGCCAGCGCTCCAGGGAGGAGTATGCCTGTGTGTCGTAGCCCTCGTTGGTGTAGGATACCGCCAGACCCATCAGCGCAGTCAGCTTACCCTCGTCCAGCCGCAGCGCGGCTTCGTAGGCGCGAATGGCAGGGGTCTCTTTCTCGTTCATGGCCTGGCAGGCACCGAGATCAGTCCAGGCGTCCACATGCTTCTCGTTCTGTTGAACCGCAGCCTCGAAGGCCAGGGCAGCAAGCGACAAGTTACCGCCGGTCTCCATAAGCCGCTTGCCCTCGGAGTACGGGTCCTGGTGGGTCATGTAAGGGTTATCTGGCTCGAAGAGGTAGACTCCCATCCCCGGTATCGTCTTCGTCAACGAGTTCTCGGAATTCCACGGGCTCTCGGCGTCGATCTCATTGGTCCAATCCAGAGTCTCCAAGTCCGCGCGCTCTCTAGCCTCCTTCTGAATCCCCTCCCAGATGGCCTGGAAGTCGCCCTGCATCGTTTCCGTGCCGTTCAGCTCGGCCTCGATAGCCTTGTTCGCTGCCTCATCCAATGCAGCGTCTTGGTCCAACTCCCGGAACTGCTCCTCCCATCTCTCCTCATCCAACTCCACCACAGCCTCCTTCCCTTTGCCATGGTGGTCCATCTGCTGGGGATGGTGGTGCTGATGCATCTGCGGCTGCATCCCGGAGTATATCGGCATACCCGCGTTAAGGTTGTACCCATTAATCTGTCTAAAGTACTGTCCCTGCTGGTTCAGCCCCTGTTGTTGCTGCATGATGGGCTGCTGCGACGCCATCCGCGGATCCGCATGCGCGGCGCCGGGCTGGAAGCTCTCGAACTCCGCGGCATTCCACTGCGGACCCGCCTTCCCGGCGTGGAAGGCCGCCTCCATACGGGCTTGGTCGTCCGGACCCATGTGTTGCGGGAACTCCTGCGCCCAGGCCGCTTGCGGTCCTCCCTGCATCTGCGCGCCTTGCGACATGTCCGCAAGGCCGTGTCGCATGTCGTCGAATACAAAGGGATTGCCGCCATTTTGTTGTTGTTGCGCGTAAAAATCGTTCAGCTAGATGGAAAGCGTGTGAGCTTCTGTGTAGTTTTGGAAACAGCGATGTGGTGGCGGCGGGGGAGGGAGAGGTGTGAGGAGATGATGATGAGGCGGGGATATACCTGTGCGTCGGCAGCAGCTCCCATCCCGCCATCTACGCGCGATCGCAAGCTTCCGCCAGCTCCCATCGACCGCTGGCCCTCGAAGCGATCGCGTTGGAGAGATTTGTCTCCCTGTGTGATCTTGGAGAGCTGGGCCAGCGGGTTCGCGGCCGTCGAACATTCTGCGCCACCCAGGAACGACATCGTGAAGGTACTTTGGGTGTATTCGGTTTGTGAAGGGAGGTGTTGGGACTACGAGTGTTGGTATACGAGTAGCTTCGGCTTGGGAAGGCGGGACGCGAGATGCCTCGTAGAAGAAAGGGAGAAATAAGCTGTAGGGGGGAAGGGGGTGGAGAAACAGAGGCGTTTGTTGTTTTTAATTATGTTATTGTTGGGAAAAGGGACTCTGATGGAGGAATTCTATGGTCGAGGATGGCGAGCGAACGAGAGCAGCAGATCTAGGTCTTGGCGCAGTAGGGACCGAGATTCGTGGCGGGGTGTGGGATGAGTTGTCCGAGAGTGGCCCGGGATTGGCTGAAGCTGCCTCGGGTAACCGCCGGGAATGGACTCCTGCTGACAATTACTGCATATGACAGCCCGCAACCAGAATATTCGAAGTGCTTCAAGATGGGCAGAAATCGAGCTGAAAAGACGGCCAAGAGTGGCGGTGTCGAATATAAGAGCGGGCCAATAATTACTCGTCAAGTCTACCAGAATCAAGAGACTTTCTCCAACAATTTCCAAGTGAACCTTACCTACCGCCTTACACGTGATATTCATAGGATATCACCCGATAATTTCAGTCCAAATTTCTGTGGAATTACCAGTTGCTTTACGGAAGTCCGGTATTGCAGTTGTGATGGTGATGGAAGTCACTATGTGTGGAGTAGATGGGAGATTCACCAGGCGCGCAGAGGCCGATCGCCACCGGAATCTTGCTGACGTCGGCATCGATTGCATTGAATCTGGGCCTGAGGATTCAAGAATGAATAGTGCTCCTTGAGTAGACTTTCAAATGTTTCTGAACCTGCGATCTCCCTCTGGTGCCCCGTGTTTGAAGATTTGTCCAAGTGTCTTCCGCTGCAGTCACACAGATCGGCCAAAACACACGCCATGAAGTTCGACCACCATGAGCCATCCAAGACTATCCGGAGTCTGGAAATCGAAACGGCTGTCAGAAGAGAACCGATCTTGCCCAGGATATCTCTGCCGGTTCTGGATATGGCCGCTAAACTTACTCCACGAAGTCGTCGGTAAGCGGGGATCCAGCGTGCGCAGACACACGCATGGAGTGCGAGGGACAACAGAACGCGGGAGGATCCTTAAAGCTCCAGATCTTGCTTGTGGGCTCACCTCGAACACTCCCTACGAAGCCCGTAGGGTATAGGACTGGATGGTGTAAGACCTCAGCTGCCGTAAAGTCTCTCTCAGCACGAGGTTATCTGGATTCAAACCCAGCAATAGCCTCCATGGAGCGCTCACAGGTCAATCACTGCGAGCGTGTATCTTTAAAAGAGCGGTTTGAATCAGATGAGCTCCTCGGTGAAGCGAGCGAGGACCTTCATGCCGTAGATTATGATTCATGATGCCTTGGTGGATTTCGTTTCGTTCGGTTGCGCGTGGACTATGCCCAAAGCTTTCCAACCACAGCAACAGCGGATTTCTATCTCTATGGAGTATGCGCAGTATCTGTTTCCGACAGTGTCAAGTCGTGGATTGCCCACCTTGGCCACTTGATTCTCTCACCATATGTATCCGGCTGATCACCAAAACTCACGCGGCGTTGTTGTCGTCGTCGGCAATTCCAAATAGATACTAACAGGAGAAAGAAGAGTGTATGCTTAGACATTTAATCTAGAAAGAATGTGTATGTCAGATTCCATGCAAAAAGATCGTATGTACCTACCATCTCGAGCCCGTCCGCCATCGCACGCGTCACAAATTCTCACACCGTCGCCACCTAAGCCCGTCTGGCCAGCGACACGTGACTACGTGCTGCGGCACGAAGGGGCGACCGCGTCTATTCCATCTATTCTACGTTGTTGGCCAATCACGTCCCGCACATGGGAACAGCCTCGATCTAGTTCGTTATTGGTACAAATTTGAGGTACGCACCAAGGCTCGGCATGTAGTGTGCTCGAGCCCTTTCATCGATAAACGGTCCAGACCTGCAAATTCCTGGTAAATACTACTATATGGTGATCAATCGCGGTCATCAATATCGACATCGAGAACGACTTATTCGGACAGTTATGTAGATATATGGAGAGAGGAGGTGAAGCATCCGGAATGCGCGGCCGCAATCGATGTCCATTCTACTACCTATATATCTAGATAGTAGATCTTATCGTACATACGAGCGTCGTGAAAACGAACCCGTCATTATCTACAGCAATCATCGATATTGTCACTTTCGAGAAGCGGCCATGATTATTCTATGGCTATATCGATCAGCGAGCCAGATCAGATCTCCCCTGAACTCGAACCCGCCAGCCAAAAAAAAACTCGGATATACGAATTCCGGACACGTTGTTGGAACAATGTATGTACTCGTATGTAGTACTCAGGGGCGGGGCTGCTCCCGTAGTCATCCGTTCGTGCCCGCCCCCTCCCGCCCCTCACCGATGCAGCGGGCAGCACGATTCCCACCGGTTCCTGATGCTAAAGTAGAGCGCTAACTCTGCAGATCAGATGCCCTCGCGCACTCGCGTTAATTACCACGCAGTTTGGACCACGCGGCTAGACTACGCAGCGCAACGCAACGCAACGCAGCGCAACTGAAGCGAGAAAATCCAGGCTCAGAGTTGAGAGCACGGAGCCGGTTCCGATTTGATATCGTGGCTTTGTGGGTGGAGGCTGGACTCTGGAGCCGTGGAGATCATACATACATACGGTCGACGGAAACTCCATTGGTGGGTGGTCACTGGCTAGGAAGATTTACGGCCGCGGTCTTGGGAGGGTGTGCCGCAGAAGAGAAGCCTGCAGGTCTGCTGTCTAGATACCGCGTTCATTGCACATGGGAAACCGAGTTGTCGACTCTAAATTTCGATGGAGAAATTCAGCCGGATCGAGTGATATTACCTGTTTTGACGATTAAAGAAAAAGGCGATAACTGGGGCCGGCTTTGAGACGTATCTTTTTTGGCCAGATTTCACAGAAGTATTTGCTACCAAGTATCAGTATCTCCATGCTTTATGAACAATCAATCAATCAAGTATTAGTACCTATTGTAAGCCTGTTCAAACCTATCCTTCTCGATCTCCACTGTTTTTCAAGTTGTCGAAACCGGTGGCCGCTCCGGAATCCGGGTGCTGAGGATTCGTGATTCGACAGCTCAAAGCCGTCTGATTGAAAACCCAATAAAAGAGCATCCAGCTTTTTGTTCTCCGAACGTGATGAGCACGCAACTGATAGATATGTCCGAGGCCATGATCCCCCACCGAACAATTCTGGTGGCCGAGTGAGTGAGTGCCGATGTCGACAGGGCAAAAATAAGCTTCTGAGAACCCCAATATTATGACATCCGTTAATCGACGAACACGGAGTAGGTATATATTAAAGGATTTGCACCGCTTCGATTTAATCATGTTTTTGCCAGCCGCCAAAACTCTCAGGCTTCGAAAATCTGCCACGGATTAATTTGGACACATCGCGATTCGCACTGACAACTAGGGTACATGGAACTACTTTAGGGGTTCGCCCGGATACTAGTTGGTTATCTAGTGGCCACAGTGCAGTAGCGGATGGTGAGATTTTATCTTGAGGCTTTGGCTGAGGAAGAGGATGGTGATGTGGAGGAGCGGCGGTGGAAACAGCTGGAACGTGGAGGAGCGATAACTGACCGCCACAAGATGGCGAGGTGGGGTCCTTAGGTGGTATTTGTTATCGGTTCGATGAGTAGATGAAGAAAAAAACTTTTTTCTCCTCTTGCTGGCCATCGCTACCTGTGTAAATAGATAGGCTATGTACTCGTGCAGCTCTGCAAACGCCATACATAAGAAGTACATACATACTTCATTTACCTGCATACATAAAGTACAAAGTAAGCACTGGCCAGACAGAAGGCAAAGGGGCGGGGAGACATGTTGAAGTTGGGGGAGGCGGGGAGGGGGCGGGATATATCGAGTAATAATTAAGTTGATACCGAACCTCATGGATGGGCGATAAGGAGGCGTGTCTCGCTCGTCTCTAAGAAGTACCTAGAGTGCTCTACCGTACTCTACCCCGCGCAAGCTTGTTGGTTTGGCCAGGACAGGATAGTTCGGTATTCTGGAGAATAATGGCCGCCATGGCCGGAGATAGTGCCGAGTTGGCTGGGCTGGGCTGCGAGCGAGCGAGCGAGCACACGACACCAGCAGGAACTTGGAAGCCGACCAGGTCGGACCCCGCATCGTACATACGCAGCCAGCGGTGTTATGTGACTCCGCGAATCGAGATGCTGGCCCGGAGTGCGGGTGACAAGACACAATATCATGGAACGACGGAACGCGAAACTGAACAAGCATCTGGCCGACACTTGCGGTTACGAAGGCTTTATGGCGATTATGTAACGCTACGTAAGTAGTTACCGTGAGAACCGGATGTGTATCTTAAAATAGGATCGAAGGGGAAAGTCCGAAAGATCCTGCCAGACTGCCAGGTGCCAGAGGTGCCTTGCCTTAAATTCTTTTTTTCTTCCTTCTTTCTTTTCGGGTCATTTGCCCTGCGACGACATGGGATGGATATGTGCGGAGAATCGGTTCTTCCGCCCGCCCGCCATCACGAATCACGATGCTTTTACATATGATGACTGTATGTACAGCGTTCGTGGATGCTGCAAATGTGTTCTTTGGGTACATAGGTGCCCAGTTCCACCGGCGGGACACCGTAAGTCCGCAACAAAAGCCGGGGCGTCCGAACTTTGAGCTCGCGACTTTTGCGCGACAAGGCTACATTAGCCACTCCCCGTAGTCAAGTGGCGAGGACTCTAGAAGAGCGCATCCGTTCCGCGTCGATTTGCCACATCTGGGTTGTCGTCAACGGCGAACGACCGAATCTTTGGCGAGCGAGCGTGCGTTGCTGTAGGGAGAATGCATTTGAGCACGGCACACTGGGTGTTTAGGTGCATAAGGGAAGGAGGGAGGGAGAGTCGAGACGGTGCAGAGAACTGTCAGGCGACTTGAACCCGACGACAAAAAGGATCTGGGGGTAGAAGGGGGAGCTGCATGCGCATATGTGGAGTAGAGTGGGGACAGGGAGCCTCACACTCGCAACGAGACGGACATCGACTGACAACTGCATGAAATGGGAGTCGAAGCGGAAGCGGAAACCCGGGGAGTCTTCGCTGGAAGACGAGTAGCTGGGAAGTCCGGAGAGGAAGCGGAAACCCGAGAAGTCTTCGCTGGAAGACGAGTACCGCCTAGCTGGGGAGTCCGGAGAAGATGCAGTTTCTTCGTGGTCGATGATCCGACGTGTCTGTTTCACAGCTGGCCGCGATGGGGGCCGTGTGGTTGGATGGATTGCGTGGCCGCGGTATTCGGCGTCCGTCCAACGCACGGACGCCTTCTTGTGGCGTGGGGCGGATATCCGGGGAACGGACACCCCGGCGGCTGAACGGAGCGAGCACATGGTTCCCCGTGACGCGATCACGGCATATGTGCCTGACGGGGGAGCAATTGGAAATGCTATGTACTAGTACCTAGCTGGTGAACGAGCTCGAGAGGCAGCTGGCAGTGAATGATCTCGATTGGTTGTTGAGTCACGGCGAGAACAATTGCAACACCAACAATGCCAACACGGATGTGCTTCGTCGTCGTCCGCGGTTAACGCCGCTGTGTTGCGTATCGTGATGATAGGCTTCGGTGACATGAAGGTTACTCTGGTATGTACCTATGGCATTTATGCTTTGGTCGCAATCGTCAGATGTGGCCGAATAAGTGCTGTGAATTTATAGATGGAGATGTTTCGGCACACATACCGTTTCCCGTCTTTCCGCACCGTCTTTACCACGGCTCCATCCTTCCCAGAAGCTCGGGGCTTCATTGGAGTTCTTTATTCTGCAGCTTCTTTGAATCATCATCCTCAGCCATTCGGAAAGTCTGCACGACAGGGCAGGTGCTGTCGAGGGCGAAGTCGTGAACTTGCAACATCGACGACGACGACGATTGTGCATCCATGTTGCAACCGCTAGGGTGCTCTGCATGTGTCGAAGCGTGGGATCTAGGTCGCTTTGGAACAATCCCCAGGTCCTAGTGCGAGTGTTCTGGAGCATTTGGCCATGGCCGTAGAGGCGAAGAAGGCGGCCTCCTGAGAAAAAAATACCGGAGCTTCCTCCTGCTCTTGCTCCTGTTCGTCCACTCCTCCTCCTCCTTCTCTCATCCGCGTTTCCATCCCCGGGACCCGCTTGCTTGCCCACGCCGAAGCTGTTTACTCATTGCTCCTCCGTACGCCCTTCCGCTCACTGCCGCGACGCCCCCGCCCAAGCCATCGCCCCTATCGATATCGATCCGTATTATCCCCCCACCCCATCGGCGTTTAGCACGAACATTCACTCCACCAAGTCACTCGCTCGCTCACTCGTTACGGTGACTCGGAATCACCATACGCCCACTGGCCACTTGCCAGGTACTACACACATACCTCCGACTATCACCACCCCACCCTCTGCCGGTGGTCGGTTCGGCGAAGTGCAAACACCTGCACGAGTAACTCCGCTCATCGCCGTCAATTCTACGCTTTCGAGAACTCGGCCTCCCAAGCACATCTGCGTGCGCGTATTACATCACCGCACAGTGCCCACACCACCGCAGATTCTCACGCAAACCAGTCCGGGTTTTAACTGCCCTCCGCCATATCCCTCAACTCCCGCCTACCTTTTCACACCCTCTATATACAGCGAAACCCACAGATTGGAGCCCAGCCAATTGCTCACCTCCTCATCATTTAGCCACTATTATCCGCCTTCCAGAAGTCGCAAACAGCACATACACGCGACACATAGATCAATCGATTGGCTGCAGACTGGGTTAGAGTCCTGCGGCTCCAGTTGTCAGCAGAAGCAACTCTTTATCGTGCCAGCGGCTGGAAGGATAAAGAATCGATAGCCCCCCACCTCCACCCCCCGCTGTTTTCCGGTTGCAACCCAAGGTTCGGACGCGGGCGACAACCACGAGCTTGACGGACAAGAAAACGAAGGATTCGCTGCAAAGGAACGGGCTTCCTCGGTCAAAAGGTTGGTTTCATTCTCGTACTTGTTGAGGCCCCCCGGTTGTCGTCGATCTTTTGTGATTTGTCTGCTATGATGGGCGAATGCGCGGCGGCTGCGGTGGGCTTTTGCTTGGTTCATGGGGTCTTTCTCTGGTTGAGCTCGTTCTAATATCCGGATTCGAAGCAGACGATTTCCGACGGCTTTCACTATCATCCCCCTCCCCACATTGCACCCTTCCTGTCGCACCTTGCTCCCAACGTCATCATCGACTGGCTCTATCGTCCCCTCGTCTGTCAAGCAATTACTATCCCACGGCCCCACCCTGACCGGCACAGTGCTTGAAGGTCTGTCCAACCAACTCCTTCGCATTTCACCCATCTCGTCCCCTCTAAATTGTCCTCGAAATTGGAATTTAATACACTTCTGTGCGGGCGTGCTAACTGGACAGTTTCCGTGCCTTGCTATTTTCGGCTTTTGGCCCGTGCGCAGCCAGGGACCCCACATCATTGTTCGCTTGCTCTCCCGTGGCCACCTCGAACTATCGTTTTTACCTTTCTTCCCAACTTCCACCCAGTGACAGAACGCCTGTGCTGCCATCATGCCGGGCCTCCATCCATTTCAGAATGCTACGCCGCGGCAGCAGATTCCCAACGAAGCGCCACAATACTTCTCGCCGTTCTTCGAGCAGCCGGCGAAACCACCTCCAGTCACCATCTGGCAACCCCCGAATGTAGAGCTTCCTCGGCGGTCGAAAGCTCCCACGCATCGCCCGCGATCGCCACCAAAGATACCAACGGCTGGAACGTGGACGCGAAACAACAGCCTCTCGGAGGATAAACCGACGCCTACAGGTCTCTTTCAGCCAAAGAAGAGAAGCGGGGATGAGATCATGTGGCTCGGTTCCGTCACCGGATTCTCCTTGCCCGAGCCTACGCCACCAGCGGTACAGAGGTCCTTGCGAAGCAAGCTGGTACGGAAGCCCGAGGAGATCCCCAGCCAGGCCAGCTCGGCGACAGGCCCAAAGGCGACGGAAGCGAAGCGAACGAAGGAGGAGGAAGCAAGAGCCAGGGAGAGGCGGTTGGAGGAGTGGGCTACCAGGAAGAAGCCAAACGCGACAGACAAGCAACCGAAACGGAGCGACGGCTCGTCGATACCTCTACCCCAACCGATCGAATCCCGACTCCGGCCACGCAAGAAGGTGTACACGCCGCTCCTGCAAACCGAAGACAACCGGCCCAATGCCATTCACCGACCGCACATGCCTAGCGACGACGAGGGGAGCTATGCTCCGAACAAGCCGTTCCTGCCTCAACCCATAGAGACCGTGAAGAGAAGCAACAGGCGACCTGTGCCCATTCCAAAGAAGCTGAAGTCCGAGGAAGAAGAAACACTATGGATGGGACTGCCACAACCGGTGGAATCGTCCCGGCGAACGCATCGGAAGAGTCCTCTGAACAAGATGCAATCCGTGGATGATCAGGATGGCGACGTTCCGGTGGGCGGAGAGTCACGCGCCTCTGGTTTGACTGTCAAGACCAGTTTGCTTCCGCAGCCGATCGAGTCGAGTCGAAGGTCCAACCGATCGTCAGAGGCTAAAGAGCTCCTTCCCCAGCCGATCGAGTCGCTCAGGAAATCCTACCGGCCCGCTCAGGAAATCCTGCCAGAGCCCATCGAATCATCCCGTCGGTCCAACCGTGTCCCGGAAACGAAAACGGCGATTCTCCCACAACCTATAGAATCCAGCAAACGGTCGAACCGTCCGGCCAAGGAGCCCCTTCCCGAGCCGGTAGAGTCGACGCGGCGCTCCAATCGCCCTACCCCCACGGAAAAGAAGAAGGGGGACCTACCGTCGCCGATTGAGGTTACAAGGAGGTCTAATCGCCCGGACCCAACACCAATTCAGAAAGACGACCCCCCGACACCTACCACGTCGTTCTTTGGCCCCGATGCCCTGCCGCAGCCGATCGAGTCTACGCGACGAGCGCATCGACCCATAAATGTCCGTCCTCTGATACCCCAACTCGTAGAAAGCTCGATGCGATCCTCTCTGTCGAGAGTTCCTCACGCCGAAATGCATTTGGAGCTCCCCCAGCCAGTTTCCGTGTCGCGATGGACGAGTAGGGCACCGGGATTACGCAGGGACGCCTCCTCGGGCAGGCCCACGTCGCCTGGCCAATATCACTTCACACGAGACAGGAACCGACCGAAAGTGAAATTCGCAGCGCCCGCCGCGGATCACGTATGGCATTTGGAGGAGCCGATAGACTCGACTCCCACAAGTCCAGTTGAGAGCCCAGATGCTAGCACCACTGTCTCTAAATGCCCGAGCCTGAGCTCTTCACCGACATCCTCCGCGACAAGCATGGCCTGGGATGTCCCTGTAAAGTCATCGAAAATCCTCGGCTCTCAGGGGCGCCGCGAATCTCCCGACGACGGATTCTCAGGCTACGTGTTGACGCTGGAACGGAAATTGAAGCAAGAAAAAATACAGGCGGAGGATAGGGCGAAAGAGGGGCCTGAGTACCCTTTCCCTATAACCGAGGACGTGGATACCGATGATGCGACATATAACGACGCCTGTGCAACCCGACGCACTGGCCTGGGAATAAGGAGCGAGTCATCCGAAACCATCCGACCGAAGCTGCGGGCGATTGAGACAGAACCAGCTATTAAGACACAGCCGAGGCGATCCAGCTCCATCGACTACGAAGACGAAGAAGACAACGACGACTACCCGATCTGCTCCTCGCCCCGATTCGAAGCGTTCAAGCGCCGAGCACCTATTCCCGACTTCGAGCTCCTGGACGATCACGACGAGAGGTTCTACCGAGAGCGACAAGCGCCCAATGTCGAGGGAATGTGGCAGCCCGCCGGCCTCGCCGTAGCCTACCAAACTAGCCCAAACCTCTCATCACCAACAGATTCGCCAGCTCTATCGACAATGTCGAGCACGCGAACCACCCTCACAAATGGACCCCTTACCGCACCAGCACGGATGTGGCACCGCCCTGGGGGTCCCTCACCCGGGTACACCGTCGCGTCGCTGCCGCCGGCAAAGAGGAGAGAGAACACGGCTAAGGAGGTCACACCCAGCTTCGTGGACGAAGTGTACCGATACCTAAGCCTCCAGTTTGAGAACGTTGCGGGCAAGTTTGATCCGGAACTTGCAGCCTACACGGGAGTGGACGTTGCCGAGGTCAAGCGGGATCGCAAGGCGGCGCTGACGGTGTACTGTGAGAAGTGGGTTCAGGAGAATCCCGACTTCCAGGCCGGAGAGCGCGGTAAAGGAGGTCTGTGGTAGCCGTCCGCGCTGCTACTACTTGCTACTACTCTTACTTTGATAGAGTGGTCCTGACGACTGAGTGGGCACGTCTAGATGGTCTTCAGGAGTGGTCCTTACTCTGAGATCTTCATCGTCTGCCTGTTTTTTTCTTTCTTCTCTTTATTTTTCTTTCCATATTGTGTTTTCATTTCCTTTGCATTGAGCGGAGCGATGGGACTTTTACGAAGGGGTTTGGGTGTTTTTTTTGTTGTCCTTTGCGAATTCGAACGCGCCTACTACCAGATTACCAGATACATATTGTTTTTGCTTTTCTTTCCAGGTTCTGCTACCTTCGTGTGTGTTTTTTTTCCTCTTTCAGATGGGAGCAAGGTTTCATTTCCCTAAGAATATCTTTTTCTACTCTGTTTAATTTCTTTTGTTGTGCTTCTTTACGTATCTCATTATTTTGCTTCGAGTTTTTTCTTGTACAATGTTTTGGCTAGGTTTGAGATGGGGCGGAGAGCACGAGCTCGGCACTTTTGGGATGAGAACGGATTGGATTGGATTGGACTGGACTGGACAGAACAGGATGGGATGGGAAGGATCGGAAAGGGAAGGGATGAGATTGAGATTGAGTTGTGAGTATGATACTACATACTACTCTACTATGCATACCATAGAGACAGTGATCGCTTTTGCTAGTATAGCGGGGCCGGCTGCTTTTTGCTGTTTTGTTTTGCTGTTTTGTTCTTTTTCTTACTCTTTTTCTTTTGTTGGGTCACTGGATCGGGGACTGGATCGGACTGGACTGGACTGGACTGGACTGGACGGGACAGAATTTTGCATCGGCGGCGGCGGTGGTGGTGGTGGTGGTGAGCATTGGATAGCTATCGAGCAATCTGGGTATTGCCCAGGTACTCTAGTACGGTACCGTATGACTGGGCAGAATAGGGAAATATTGAACTTTTGAACTTGAACTTGACATGTGTCGTGTGCCTATTGTCTCTCTCTGTCCCCTTGTCTCTCCTCAGCCGTAACTACGTGTGCATGTGCATGTGTGGGTGGGTGAGTGTGTGGGTGATGAACTCATGCCCGAGCCGGAATGCGGAACGGAACGGCGGAAACGACTACGGATAGGCGGGAGGGGGGGGAGGGGGAGGAAGATCGTTTGCTTTACTATGGAGTAATTTACCATGTGAAGAAAATTCCCTCGGGAGATGACGGAGTCAGAGTCAGAGTCGGAGTCCGTACCCGCTGGGCTGAGCGATAAACGAAAAGAAACGAAACCGCGATAACACCTACTCTATACATCTACCATGTAAATATGTGACAGTTGGGTACCGGTACCGGTAGATGGTAGATGTGCCATCTGCACTCGCTTGAAGAAAACGCGGGGTGCAGATGCTACGGCGTCATACATGGGCCATCGACATCGACATCGGCCATCGACGTCGGGGGATGGCGGGAGTTGGGTAAGGCTGGCAGAGACTATTTTTTGGAGGGGGGATGCGGGGGGAATTGGGGCGGGGGGAGGGGGACGGGGGAGGAGGACGAGCGCGGGTAAAGCGGAGCGGAGGCTCTGGAGAGTGGAGACTGATGGGCAGCGCCGCAGCGGGCAGCGCTGCGAACGGCTGCATACGCCTGGCAGCGCGCGAGCTCTGTAGATCTGGACTGTTTCATCGATCTGCGGCAGCGGCTGCCGAGGTCGGGGAGCGGTGGGGCAGGGCGGGGCGGGGCGGAACCGGGCTTGTGGGTGGATATGTTTATGTGCATGTGTGGGTACAAGGCATGTATGTGTGTGTTATGTGTATGTGGGTGCTTGTGTGCGCACGTACTTAGGCATGTAGGTGGATGTGTGTGTGTGGGGGTGATGATGTAAATAGATATTCGGGCAGGACTGGGCAGGACTCGGCAGGACTGGGCACTGGGCACTGGGCACTGGGCACTGGGACTGGGACTGCGGGAATCGGATGTTTGGTGCATAGGCGGGTGAGCATTGGGGCAGCAGACAGCATCGGTGGAATGGCGCTCTGTGAAGTGTGAACCGCAACCACAATCGCTGGTTGTATGTAGGTGTGTACTCCACATGGAGTCTGATGGGTATCATAGACTCTCGCTATGGCCTGGGGATATCACGATATTCCATACACCATTTCCAAAGGTCAATTCCAGGTAGAATACCAGTACCTACTATACAATGTACATCCGGGACAGCGGGTGCGGGGACAGCCGGAATAGCGCGGGCGGGGGGGGGGCGTCACGATTCAGGACAAGTTTCGTGCCGTAGGACATCACCGGTGGTGTACCTGTATCCTACCCGTACTCGTACCCGTACATAAGAATACCTATATACCTACCTATCTTACCTACCGGTAGTAGCAGAGCGTTGGAAATTTGAGCCGGGCCGTTCGGATTCGGAAGTCCCCTCACAGTCTCACCTCTCACAGAGTGCCGTGACTTTGACTCATGACGAGTGCGCCGTTGTGATCTCGTACGGAACTTGCTGGTGCCACCTTTTAGTGCCCTCGTTGCTCCGTGACGTGATACATTACTATTACAGCTCTTCTTGTGGCTGCGGGCGTTCTTGAGGTGAGGTGCTGAAGATTTGTGCAGGAACGAAGGTGGTTCCGTGGTATTGTGGTTCCCGAATCGATGGGAACTTCGGCGGGAGGGCCGCTGCAATACTCGTGCTGGAACTTCCAACGCCATTACGGTAGCCAGTCTTATCTCATCATCCGGGAGTGTTGTAGTTGGGTCGTCATTGTTTGTATGTACATACAATTGAGGTTTGCCAGAGCACCGCATATATGCCCACTTTCACTCTCCATCGTTACTGATATATATAGTGGATCCCAATGCTTTTAGTTTTGGTATGTACTTAGGTGTATGTAGGTAGTGTAGTAATGATCGTGTATGGTTCCAACTTCCACGGGGCCAGGCAGGTAGGCAGGCAAAACAAATCTCAGGAGAAAGTTTCCCAAGATCAAAGGCGAAAAAGAAAAAGAAAAAGCGAAAAAGAAAAGAAGAAAGAAAAAAACACCCAAAAGAACGGCTCGCAAAAGCCCCCAACGTTTAACCCCACACCCAAACACCATAAAGAGGAGAAAGTATAAGAAAAAAAAGGGAAAGAAAGAAAGAAAGGGAAAGAAAGACAAGAAAAAGATCACCCATTGTGCGCCATATCATCACAAAGAACCTCCCAACATCTACCGCCATGCCCCCCCGCACCCCCCACCCCACTACACTCGCGAACCCATCTTGAGACTCCGATCCGCCTTGACGAGGATATCCCGCATGGCCTCGCCAAACTCCCGCAAAAACCGGACTTCATCAGCGCGGAACGCCGGTTGTATGCTCGCCTTCCGTGCGAAGGCGGCGAGCACGATACCGCCGACGCAGTTCTCGGTGGCTCCGGGGGAGTAATAGCCCTCATCGCTGCCACCGACGCCATCACCGCAGTCCCTCGCGAGCGGTAATAATATTCCAAGCTGGTACCCCACGTCGTCCTCTCCACTATCTTCCTGAGCTGGATTCTGGAATATTAGCCCGCCAACGGTCCGGAGAGCGCGCAGGTGCAGGCCGGCATCGAAGATGGGCGGCGGAGAGGGCAGGCCATGGGCTACTAGGACTCGTGTCGAGATGGCGGTCTTCTCGCGGTACGGTTCGATCGGGACCAGCGGCGAATACTCGGCCGCGCAGGAACTGACCCGGAGCAGGTACACAAAGTCGTAATCGAGTGAGCGGGCGATGAGGGAGGTGGCGTAAGTAGCTTCCACCATCGACGTTATCGAGCCAGGCGATGTTGGAATACGGGGTGTTGACGGGGTTGAAGGTGCGGGCGAGATGAGGTGACGTGCATTGGGGAGGTGCGGGGCGGGAACTATTGGAAGTGGCCGGTGCTGCTTGTAGCGAGGCGTTATCGGGGTTGCGTTTGCGTATCCTGTCGATGAGGGCGCCACACCGACATGAGGCGGTGGAGGTGCACGGCTGGAAGTTCGAGGAGGGGGATTGTCCATCACCTTGTATTGGCGTGGCTCCTCGTCCGAAAACCATGTTGGTGATTCCGGAGGCGGAAGGACAAGGCTTCCCTGACTTGCTTCTCTGGGCCTGGCAACGAAGCTGTCCTGAGGCATGGTCGGAACCGTTGGCGAATCCAGGATTACTTCCGAAGCCTCGCCCGCAAGGATAGGACTGACAGGCGGCATCTTCTCCGCGTTCTCCTCGATCCCCTTGAGTAGTTTCGCCGAGAGCCTTCCCCTACGAGAAGCAATGGAGTCCGTATCGCTGTCGGCCACTTTCGTCTGCCCCACGATCTTGGTGGGCATGTGCTGCTTCATCACATCGTGTTCCTCCATCACCATTTCGAACTCGGTCATAGCCAGCCGTGCAAAATCCATGAGATTCCTGCGGGAAGCGGCGGGAAATGCGGATCGCGGTTGCGTATCAAAGACTGCGAATACTCCGATTGTTTGGCCATCAAAGTTGGTGATAGGAGCGCCAGCGTAGAATCGTAAGTGTGGTGCATCCTGCGTTAACGGGCTTCCGCGAAACCGCCAGTCCTTCACGGTGTCCAACACAACCATCGGCTCGTTAGTCAGCAAGACATGCGTCGCGATACTGTCTCCGCGAGAGAGGTATTTTCGGCCGAACGAATGTTCCGCCTTGATGATTTCCAGGCTCTCATCGATCAGACTAATGCAAGCCATCCGCGTCTGAAACACCTTCCGGGCGAGCAGGACCAGTCGATGGCATTTTTCGTGTGCCGCCGCGGATAAAGTAATATTACACGCTCTAACAGCCTTTCGTTGATCAGCCACACAGTCATCCTCACGGCCCGGAAGCACGGGCGAACGGAAAGAACACCTACCTTTAGTCTTTGTCGCTCGTTCGGGGGCAGCGGTGCAATGAGATGATTGAATTCTGGCCGGCGGGGCGGAGGATCGGGTGGATTCGACAAGTTGAATCGGCCTTCCGAATAGCATTTGATGAAGAAGCCCCACTCCTGTACATATCTACGATCCGTGGCTGCAGCCATCGCCGCGATTTCCCGTTCCCGAAGACTCCGTCGGTACATATCTCCTTGTGCGGTGAGGTTGATGGAGAACGAGCTGCCCGAGTATTCGAACCCGCCAGTGAGCTTCGGGATCGAGAGTTTGCGCGCTGTTGAGCTGTCCAGGCCGGTAAAGGCGGATTTTGGAGCTCTGGGCCGCCGCCGTCGTAGTTGAAATTCATCCCGCGCGTACGGTTTGGAAAGGAGTGGATGTGTCTGAGGACATATATTTTTAGCCACGGCCGGGAGCGATGGCGATTCGGATGATGTTCACTTACGTGCGGTGATGGCATCATCACCATTGTATCCGCATCGTCGTCATCGTATGTCTCCCCAGCGGCCCCCGAATGAGGGCCGCTTGACGCCCGTAGCCTGCCCCGACTGAACAGGCGTCTTAGAAACGACGACCGGTTCAGTCTGCCCGCTTCGGAGGATGACATCGAGAATGCTGAGGTTTGAGGAGGGAGGGGCGGAGGAAGAGGAAGAGGAGGATTAGGATTAGGATTAGGAGGAGGCGGAGGAGAAGGTTGGTGGAGGTACACCATGCCGGTGGCAGGCATGGGTGGTGGTGGTTGTAGCTTCGGTCCGCGGCGGAATAGATGTCTGAAAGGATTGAAGTTGCCGCGAAGTGAGCACCGATATCGAAGAGAACGTGAACCAAGTTTTTTCTGAAGGCCCTCCAGCGTATCGAACGAGCGAGTGACCGAACCAACGAATGCCGGATCGATAACGAATGACTGACTGCGGTATGTATATAGACGCGAGAACGAGCTGTGGACGCTCCCTTCTCAATTCATTCCGATGATGAAGCTGGTGAAGATGCTTGGACTATGCCAATCGCGTGTGTAAGGTATGTAGATATGTATGTACTAAGTCGGGGGGTGGGTGTTGATTGTTTGTTTGTGAAAAGGAATGTGCGATCTCTCACAGCTGTGCAGCTCTCAGCCTGCCCGTCTGTCTGTCAGTCTGCGAGTCGGTCCGTGGGTGAATGAGTGAGTGAGTTGAAAGTTTTCGGTATGAGGCGATGCACGGCATACACAGCACACACACACGCACAGCATGTGAGGAAGGGAGTCGGCACTTGTTATATGACAGTTAGTTACAAGGAATTGGGGTTACTCTGCTCTACTGGCCCAAGCTTTTCCCTGCCTTCGCCACACGCAACTAGGCCTGGCCCAGCACTGGCGCGGATGATTGGGGCACGCACAGAACCAGGGGAACGGGAAGCGGTGCTAATCGAGTTGGTCCCTTGCTGCGAATAAGATTGTACACCAACAGAGCCTGCCAAGTGCAGACGGGATAGGCTTGCAGGACCCGCCGTCTTCGGTTCGGGCTTGATGAAGGGCCGTCGAATTCAAAGGTATGTAAATGGGAACGAAGGATTGCGTCGAAAAGACATTGCCGAATATCGATATAGTAGTTAATTAGCACTTCACCTTCGCGGGATAGGTGGCAATGAAAGTCGTGGGGTGCTCCTGAGCGGAATCCGTGTCGCGAAATTGCCAACCGTTTGTTTGGGGGTGTCTCTGTTCGGTTGGTTTGCAGTTTGGGAGGTCCCCCCGTTGGTTTTTGGTTGGATGCGGAGCGTCCAGCCCCCATCGAAGCGAAAGAGTGTCTCAGTGAGCGTGTGGGGTGTTGCAAACCGAAGGTCATCGAAAGCCCCGAGGGTGCAGAGTCTCTGGCGAAAAACGGTCTCGTGAGTCGTGAATGCAGAGTAATGGAAGTCCTTCGACCGTGCAGTGTTCTCGTGAATGCAGAGTACCTATTAGTAACTAGTACTGTGTTCTCGACGTGAGCGATGCATGTCCCGAGGTAGAGTAGATCCGAATGGATTCCCTTCTGCGGACTTCTCAACTCCGATGCGATCCAATCGACGAGAATCATCCGCAGTCGATAGATACTAGTTATAGTCACACGCCTCCAGAATACCGGTAGACGACGCCGTCTTTGGACATGGCAAGAACGATTCCTCCTCCTCCTCATCCTTCTCTTCGTCCTTCTCTTCATCCTTCTCTTCATCCTTCTCTTCATCCTTCTCCCCCTCCCTTAGTCACATCCGTCACATGGAGCAGCAACTTGCATGCCTTTTCCCAGATTGTTCGGGTTGTCCCGCAGATGCATATTGCCGGGAGATGAGTCTCCAGGGGAGATCCCGACGGGGGTGCGCTTGCTCATTCCCGATGGCGCAGCGGAAGCACCGTAGCAAAGGCAGATGCCAGATGGCAGATTATAGATAGATAACTGGCGATATTTATATCCCGCGAATTTCCAACTTCCAAGCTCCCACTACCCAGGTTCATCGCTGAGCGCGCATTCGGTTGCTGGCCAGCGGCCGCCCGTTTCCTGGTTTTCACCGACGCGACACAAGGCGAGCCAGTTCCCCTAACTGCCGGTGATGGTTCCGAGACACCCACGACGGCCGGAGAGATAAATCGATGTGATACCCGTCGTCGTCGGAATCTTCACTCATATCCGAGCTATCATCCTCCTCCCCACTCCACATCGGACGGTTTTCCATGTCTGGTGGTGCGATGCATGAGGCATTCATCTGTTCGATGATTCAATTGCATACCAGACACGCGTGTTTGATGATTCACTCACATACCAGACACGGGCGGGTGTGGATTCCAGTGCCGTGGGTGCAGGGCTGTTATTCGGGAGTTTTTTTCCTGCAGCTGTGTATCTTTAAGCGAAAATCTCCATTACCGAACATCAGCATGCAGATGTTTCCATCCCAGCCCGGTTGGAAAGCATGTGTTTCACCCTCAGCACAACGTCGATTCCAATGTTATGCACTGCTCCGTTAGACATGTTGTGGCTTGACGGGAGATGCGAGCCGCGCGTAGTGGTGATGTCGAGTGTTCCTTCATAAAGCCCGTATGGATGACATCACCAACAGTGCAGCAGAGTACCAAAAATCTGCGGCGCGCAGCATTGCAACACCGATTTCGTGAGCAGAATCAGCTGTGTAGAGTACATCTCGGTATGACAATGATCATCCGTGTAGAGATGGAATTCCGCAGCCGTATCGGAGAAACATGTCGACCACTAGTCACTGGGGAAACCCCGGATGTCTGTGGTGGCCAGGCATCGACGCGAGTCGACATTCCCGGAAGCCTCGGGCGAAAGACGGTTAAATCTGCACTTGCCGATTGTGAAAATCCCATTTCGGCCGGCCTGAGGTTGGGACTGTTACTTTGAGCTAGCCCCACCACCTCACTACCGTATGTTGTAAACGAGTGCGCTTTTTTTTTCCTGCGTCAATATTGTTTGGTGGTGCGAATTTTGCGCTTCGAATTTGGGGAACTGCAGTGTATGTATCCTAACTTGCTGTAGGAAGTGCTGTGAGCGCAGATTGAGTATTCAGGCCGTCTGCCTGTCGTCTTTTAAAAGTGGTGCTGACACAGCCGGTCACATCGCCTTCACAAGCTGTCACTCGTAGGCCCAGAATTCAAAGGGATGGAAAATGGTTTTTGATCCGCCCCACGTATTGCTGCTCTTGTTTTAAAACAGGTGGAAGTTGGCTCTCCGTGAAGTGTTGTTTTTGCGAGCGAGGACCGGCGTTTCGAATGGCAGAGATGTCTTGAGGACCGGCGTTTCGAATGGCAGAGATGTCTTGAGGTGCAATGTGATCCGGTAGCCTTGATTCCTGAAATACGACCTCGATGCAATAGCTCCGTGCCTATCCGTGATGTTATAAGTGCGTGAACCGCCGATGTCCCGTCTGAGTTTCAAACACCACTTCATCTCTCTGCGGAAGACACAAGTTCAACGCCAATTCTGGATCACCCCTTGGAGCCGCATGTCGATGACCTTTAATGATCGGTAGTCGTCATTAGCCTCTGATGACTTTGCGATATTGAATGGGGATATTTCCCTTCCGAATATCCAATAATCTGAAGTATGGCTTTGCAGATAGATCTTTTGCCAACACACCTCCAGGCCGGAGACGGGATCCATAAGAGAGCACACATAGAAGAAAGAGCGAGATAGAGGTTGTCTGTCTATTCGATAGATGATGATCAAGAAAGGAGAAGGGGATGGAGAAGGAGAAGAAGAAGAAAAAGAAGAAAAAGACCCCACCATGCCCGCCAACGTTGATGCCCACTACTAACCACATTCGTTTTTTCCCGCAGACAGCTCCTCCTCTCGCTCCCTGATATCCTCTCGCTCCGCCACACCGGCGTTTAAGGCTCGCCGGGGCCGTTCCCTCGAACGCCACTCACGTCCGTGTCGATGGGCGTTTACCGTAGCTTCCTTCCCTTCCCTTCCCCGCAGCTCGGTCTTGCCATCTTGGTGGGGGTAGTTGGGTTGTCAGGATAAACCATAAACCTGCAGAAGTCAGCGGCAGATGGAACTTTAATCTAATCATCTATCTATCAATCTATGTTTCGCCAATGCAGGTACATACCTCATACATGCAGACATACAGCACCCCACAGTTCGACACCATTCCCGGCTTTCGCGTATCGGCAGGTTTCGGATTGATTCCTTGCATACCTTGCCTTGCCTTTCAGCGGGAGGGAGAGACCGAGGATGGGAATGAAAACGAGAGACTGGAGTCTGGGGGCACTGTAAAGTTTACTCTTCGTGGGAAGGGAGACATGGTTGGTTCCTATAGAGTTGACGGTGGACCAAGGAAGGAACGAAGGAGGGAGAGGGTAATAGTAAAGTGCTTAACGGCTAAAGCACATACCATCGAACATGTGCACTGTGGGGACCTGCCCAAGCCCATAATCGATACAACGTCCGAAACAACGGCGAGCCAGAACATGGCAATCCAAATAGCAAGTATCATTGCTGTCTATCTATAGGGTATCCATTTCATATAAACCAAAGCTAATGTATATACATTCCGCTCCCACCGGTAGCCAAGTACTTATAACTTTGCCACCGGCGCCTGTTTCGCCGTATTCCTTGCGGAATCGACGACAACTGCTACGTGTCTACTGATCGCCACGATGTTTGAGTCCTCGTCGCAAATCACTACGTCTATATCCATACGGCCACCGCGGATTACCGAGCTCTCAATACGGCAATACAGCCATTCCCACCCTTCCTTCGGCGGTAGCGCTTTAACGTCTAGCGATAGTGACAGCGTGGGATACCAGTGTAGCCGCTTTGTCTGAGGATAGTTCTCAGGAATGGGAATAAACTTCCGCACGTTAGCCCGTTCGCGTCTTCTCACGGGATAGGCGGCGGAGTCTCACCATATCACACAAGAAGCCCAAATCTGCGACGCCAAACCGTTTGCCGGAGCCGTCATCGAGCGCCACCCACTGCTCCCTGATGCTCGGCCCCATCCCGGCACGCCCAAAACCGTACTTCCCCTCTATAGGGAAACAATACTTCAGCTTCGACGTGGCAACGCGGAAAACCAAGGAGGGATCCTGTGACAACCGCATCTCCTTGCAGTCCCGTACGCGGTCCGGAAGGTCAGGATACGCGCCCATCCCGCGCGTTTCCAGCGTCGCACCGGTTTCCCGTGAGATGCATGCGTGCGTTATGGTGGCATCGATGCAGACATGGCCGTTCTGGCGCAGGACTATGCGTACGAACGAGTACTGCCGGCCCAGCTTCAGTGGCGTGACGTGGATCGTGGCGGGCCCGATCGAGCAGCGCGTTATGAATGTGAGCGCACTGTGGATGGCGTGCGGCTGGTCGAGGGCTTTGGCGACGCTGGAGTGGATGAAGTAGTGCGTTGAGACATTGATCAGGACGGTGGTTAGGTAGCCGCCGTGCGGGACTGTGCGCGTGCGATGTAAGCGAATGATCTGCGGGACCGGTGGAGGTAAATGATAGCCTTGCCGACACCGATACACCAGTCGCTCCTCAACTGCGCGGAATAGTGAACGCCTTCGTCTTTGGTCCCCTCCTTGACCAATGTGACAGCTGCTCCTTCAACGAGAGTCGAGGGTGTAGACTGCTCCTTGGTCTCTGCAGGCGGCGCTCCTTCAGGGGTATCAATTGGTGTGCTGTAGTCGGAGGACATCATTTCGGTTTGCTGAAATATAGAGAGCAGTAGGAGGAAGAGCGTAGAGGACTGGGGGGATATTCGCTGAGCCATATTGCAGGGAGTTGACCGAACCTCGGTACACGCAGTCGGCTATTCATCCATACCATCACTCGTGTCACGAGCGCCACAGTCACATTGACCTTATGTAACTAGACTTTCCGCTCAGCCACAATATCCAACCACCAGACTGCATAGGAAGCACTCTACAAGCCACTATATACTTTTGTGGTTGGCTTTCAACGTGATGCACCGTGGTTTCAGGCTTAGGATACGGCGCCGAGTTTGTAAAGACCAGCAGCTTGGGATTATGGCACAATAGGTACATCAAGTAGCCATAATTATAATATCAGGGTTCTGACTCCCGAGATGATGAGTGTTCGCTTGTTGGCACTTGGTGACTACTATCGGAGCAATCAATTGACTACGGAAGCCGCCTGCTCCAGATGAAATCCGGGGTAATCGGGCCACAGTCCATCAGCAATGGGGGATTTCGGCCGCAGGCATGGCCATGGTCATGTCGCATCTCTATTGCTTCCGCGAACACACCCAACATGGCAAATAATACGGGGTGCCTTAGGGGGATCGCAGCAAATCTCCGCCTATTGAGCCCAGATATAAAACCGACTTCCCATCCACCTTTCGGCTCTCCTTGGCCTTAACTATCAAGAACTTCATCCACACTCATTCGTCGAACCGTCCAGCGGTCGTTCGGTTTTCGTACACACTCAGCTACCTTCTTCGCTCTTTCGACACCATGAAGTCCACCTTTCTTCTCGCCAGTATTCTGGCGTCCCTCTCACTCGTCAGCGCGCAATTCGGATTTCCAACCGATTTCACCATCACACGAACAGTCGCGGGCACTCCCACCACCACCTCGACAACCTCTACCACACCCACGCCCTCAACATCAAAGCCATCCACCACGCCGTCCAAGCCCAGTAGCAGCAGCAGCACCTCGCAGCCGCCACCGCCGCCGTCCACACCCAGCCCTTCCACTTCCACTTCCACTTCCACTTCCTCATCAACTATCCCGCATTCCGGCGGAACAACCATCATCGCAACAACGCTGAGCACAGTGACCGTTCTCCCGTCCAAACCGGTCTTCTTCCCGCTCCTCGCACCTGCGTTTCCTCGTATGCCGGCAAAGGCCGCGGCAGTCACGCGGATTTGAGACCTAGAGCTGGGGAGAACGCGTATGGTTACTATAGTACGGGCTGATGGTGAGGTGGTGAAGACGGTTGTTACTAGTGCTGCTTGTAGGCTGTGTAGGAAAGGGGGTGGCCGGCGGGTATGGCGGAAGGTGGTGTTTGAAATGCGAGGGGGTTCTGGATGGCGGAAGATTTTCCTTTCGTTTCCTTTCCTTTCGTTTGCGGTGCCGTAAGTTATCAGAGCGGCTACTGGAGTTCGAAGGTTCGAAGGACTCATACAGACGGTTTCACTTATGTATTCTACTGTACTCCTGATGCGAGATTCCAGCGGCAAACGCTCCGAACACTCCGGTTGCTACTGTAGTGATCTGTGTCACCACAGAGCGGGAAACTGGAATACGTCCTATTCGTCGAGTGCTGGCTTATGGTTCTGGTGCTTGTTATGTCCCGGCAAAGGGAGATTCTTTATGGTTTATTCCGTTTCCTCCCCCTTGCAAATACTTGAAGTGGAAGCGCGGCACATGCCCCATTATGGAGAGAAATTAACAGGTAGTTGGTAGAAAAGCACAATTCTAATCGCCTTTGTTGTCTGGTATTATTCCGTTATCAAAAGTCCGTATCCCGGCTACAACTTCGCCCCCTCCTTCTTCTCCAACCAGCCAAAGCTCAATTTCCCCCCAGCACCACTCCGAATAATCACATTCAACAAGCTGGGGCCCTGATGCTTCCAAGCCTCCTCGACGGCACTCTTCAGCTCCTCCTCGGTCTCCACCCTCCATCCTTTTGCCCCTAACCCTCTCGCGACGACGTCATATTCCGTCTCGAAGCCCAGCGCAGTCGATGGCAAAGTACCCTCCAATCTCCTCTCATCCTTCTCCCACACCTCGCGAAACTCCGTGGTGTCATCGCTGATGCCGTGGTAAACGCCCCCGTTGTTCATGACCATGATGATGATGGGCAGGCGGTACCGCGCCATGGTTTCAATCTCGGCGAGTGAGAACCCGAGTGCGGAGTCGCCTTCTATCGCGATTACGCGCTTGGGTGAGGATGAGGATGAGGGCGAGTGGTTGTATGCCATCTCCGCGGCAATGGCGTAGCCCAAGCCTACTCCCATAGTCGCGTACGTGCCTGCATCCAGCCGTTGGCGCGGGGCGGCGATGGAGAAGATGGAGCGTGAGATGTCCATCGTGTTTGCACCTTCGCTCACGTACACCAGCTGTTCTGGGGAAGCAGCGAGCTGTAGCAATGCGTCTTCGACTATGCGGAAGGTGCGTTGGTAGCTAAGGCGCTCCCCAGGAGCTGTTACGGCATCTTCTTTTACTCGTGCTTTCCGTGTGTTTGCCGTACTGCTCTCGTGGATCGCCCCTCGCCATGGCGAGGAAGATGGGTGTGCATATCCGCCTAGTTGCTCGCGCAGCTGTGCTAGCACGGCAGAAATATCTCCGATTACGGAGAGACTACTGTCGACACCGTTGCGACCGAGTTCCTCGGCACAAATGTCGACCTGTGCGATCTTGGCGCCGGACCTAAAACGCGTACCGAAATGCAGGATCCAATTCACTCTCGCACCGATTAGTAGGATGAAGTCGGCACCCTTGAGCGTGGCGGAGCGTGCTGCGGAAGTGTTGAGCGGATGAGAATCCGGTACCACGCCCTTCCCCTGTGGCGTGGGCAGGAACGGGATCTGTGTCGCGTCTACGAACCCGCGGATATCCGCCTCTGCCCGTGCGTATGCCGCGCCTTTGCCGATTATGACGAGCGGCGATTTGGACGCTGCGAGGGCGGCGGTGATAGCGCGGATTCTTTCCGGATCGGCGAGGATCTTTGGTGCCTGCTCGACGGCGGAAATGCGGCTGGGAGACGATGGGATGGGTGCTTGGATGTAGTCTGCGGGAAGGTCGACGTAGGTGGCGCCCGGACGACCATAGAAGGCGGCACGATAGGCGTCCCTGATGGCGTTGGGAAGCTGCTCGAGCGACGGTGGGCGCAGCGCAAGCTTCGTGTGCGGCGCCAGCAACGCAACTTGGTCTAACTGCTGGAAGGAGCCCTTCGTTGTACTGTCGCCTGTCGGAGCGGCGCCGGCGAGAAGCAGGAGCGGAAAGGTGGTGTTGACCATTGAGTTTCCTACCTTCACTCGTGTCAGCATTGCCGGGATAGCTAGCTAAGTAGCTATGGGTAACTGGAAGGGGAAGTACGAACTCCAGCCATTGCGTGAAGCACACCTGGTCCGCCGACTACTAGACACACACCGGGACGGCCCGTGAGGTAGCCATAAGCCGTAGCAGCGTACGAGGCAGCTTGTTCGTTCCGGAAGGAGATGAAGCGGATGCCGGCAGCGATACAGGCATCGGCGACCTCGATGACCGGAATACCGACAATGCCGAAGATCACGGGGACCTCGAGGGCACGCAGGGTCTCGGCGATCAGGTGTGCACCGGTTTGTTGTTGCGACATGGCTTGGGTGTTGTGAGTGTCCGCAGTGTGAAGGTGAAGAAGTCGGAGGTCGGTGGTGTCGCGGTTACTTACATGCAAGTGCATGGGTGTCGTGCCGGAGTAAGCACGCTCAGGCCGAGGATAATGACACAATATCATGTGACCTACACGACAATCCGCGCTCAACGTATAACTCTTGAATTGGAGGATTGTATTTACTTGAGCGGACCTTTCCGACTACCGCTCAAATGGCCAGATGTCACGTATAAGCTACAGGAGGCTATTCGCGCAATATGTAGACAGGAGTGACATTGCTCATAGAATATCACTCGAAAAACCGAGTCAATGTAACCTATCTATCGCACGTGCGTGCGGAGATCCTGATCCTGATCCAACGGAGCACCTCTTCACGTTGTTTGGTTGGCTCTCGCGGGGCAGTGCGAGTGATTCAATATGGTTATCTAGATACGATAGATACTTGGTACTTCAGTCGGACCTATGTAGAGTGCTGTCTCGGAGCTCTGAGCTCGTCCATTCCCTACGCTACGGTACACTGGACTACCTGGGATAAGTATTTATGTAAATATGCACCTACATAGAGTACTCTACCTAGTGGTCTCGAAATCACTCACGCCATTTTCGCTGGTAGGTACTTCGCGTCCGATAGGTACAATGTACATACATTCGCCGCGCGGGGGTACCGACGCCGACGACGGAGAAGGGCGAAAATTCGGAAGCAAGTACATACATCTTAAGTACATATCTCGAGTCCCAGCCTATCGGCGCGGACTACCTACCAAGTTATCACGGGAGACCGCGAATAGCTATTAGCTGTGTTCAACACAAGGTGGGCGGGGGAGGGGCGGCGCTACTGCCTTACCAGTAGCGCCGCCCCGCGCCCCGCCACCCCCGCTACCCCCGCGCCCCGCCAAAAACCACAACATAACCCTACTTGCGAAATCCCTTCTACATATGGGGCGATATCGACAGGAACGAATGCCCATATGGTAGATACATAGTTGGGTAGATAGGTATTCCGAGTGAGCGTGTTCGCCTTGGTCTGGGCCCGCACTCCGGGCGAAGTGCGGAGGGCGGACGCACGATGAAGTGTACCGTTATCACATCTGAGGGAGATACCGTACTGGTATGAATGATATGGTGTGATGTGATAGCTGAACGGGAGAGCGGCGATTGTTTACTTGGAATGGCAGCGACTAGTACCTACCTAGATAGAGTACCTACACACCCACCGTGGTTATGTACATACCATAGGTAGAACAACTTCCGCTGCTAGTGATCCTCCCATCACTCGGTTCTTCCCCACCACCACCAGGTCCACCAGCACCAGCACCACCAGCTGCACGGAGATTAGCCCGTTTGTTCCTTCGCCGCACAAATCGCTCACGGAATCTCACGGGATCGGTCGTCTACTAGGCAGAGAAACTACACAGTTTTCCATTTTCCGTAGCTCGACAACTCGTCGTCCCCCCCTTCCATGTGGAGCAGAGTGAGTATGTAATTCTCAGCCGATGGCGAGCAAAAATATGACCTCCATCAATCGCATACCGAATAATCCGAGCCGATATATGATATACCACCCGTAGGCTGTGGGCAAACTCCCACCCTCAAAAAAACTAAAAACAACCCCAAAAAACAAAAACCTCGAAATGGGGTGAGCGGTGTGTGACCCCATCTCGTCTCTACCGGTACATACTCCGATGTGTGCTCCCCCCCCAAAAAGTGAAAAAAAACCGCCGTCTCACCGCATCCTCATCGGGTGCGCCGCCGCTGCAAGACAGCGTTGAAACTTGACGCAGTCATCTTGTGCGTGTGTACATATATGTGCATGTGTGTATATGTGTGTATGTTTGATATACATACATACATACTTCCAGCTCAGCAGAAAAGCGGGCGTTAGTATCCAGCCACTGCGCCCAGAACGGGCAACTGATAGGAAGGGGAAAAGCTAAAGAAAGTGGAAGACCGAAGGGGAATTTGGAGGAAGCAGTGGCGCACAGCTCAGCGGCAATGGAGCAAAGCAAGAGGCCTCCCAGCCATTGTATGTACGGCCACCGCAGATGTAAGTAGGTGGAAAAGTAGTAGGTAGGTGGGAAAGTATATGTACCATACACATGTGTGTACATACATGGTCATGCAGCTTTCCGGATCGCACGCCGGTCCGAATCGTAACGGGACGAACCGAGCTGCCCTGCGTTGGATGTGGTACCGTACAAGGTAGCTAGTGAGGTGAAGTTTTTAAATTGCCGACCCACAGATTGGCACCGGTGTACAGCAGAATGCCGGCACTTGGTTCTCCACCCCGGGCGCTTGCTGTTTTGTCTAACCGGCGGCCACGATAAGTGGAAACATATTAGCCGGCTGCAGGGCTTTAATCTCCTTGCCAGTTGCGGCAGTGGAACTGGCAGGTACATTAAGTAGGTAAGCGCCACCGAGACTGATTGGCCGCGGTTGTTGTTTGCACCCCCCCAATCAATCTGCTGACGTCGGCCGAACTTGTCGCTTAAATTCGGGTTGATCGATCGTAAACTGCCCTGCATGCGGCTGCTGACGACACTGGATACCAAAATTCTGCATGTTTCGGTCAAGTGCAAGAGCTCACGTTACTGAGTGATACAGTGTGACCCAGCAGACCACGCATGTGGATTACTCCCAGAGAGATTCCCGGAGAGATTACCGGGTGGGAAGGGGGGACATGAAGTCCCCATCGTGAGGGGTTTTTACCTGGCAGCCTTTTCGACGCTGCGGTGACCATAGTAGAGTGGTGGTGCTCGTGCATGCTCTGCTGGACACCGTGGCCCAGGGGAAAGAGATGTGATGGTGACAGCGTACCGGTATTCAAGCGGACGATGATGAGAAGATATGCAAGTACGTATGTACTGCTGTGCTCCTAGAGTTTGCACGTCGGTTGCACGTCGATAGGGCACACATCTCATGTACGAGCATCGAAGCTGTAGTTATCCCTGCTGGAGTGTAAACAGAATGCCTTTCCGCTCACAAGTCTGACCTAGACCTGCCGCATCTTTTGCACCCGTCTTCACCACCTATCGTGCGACGCATGGAAAGCACAATCATATCATACCGACTGTCAGGATGCGGAAGCGAGCCCACTAGAGCTTCACATATGCACATGTATGATGTGTACTGTATGCCGGTAGAGTCTAACACACGCGGGTCTGCCGCCGCCGCCGAAGACTGGCACGAGAGAGAGTTGCCATGAAGAAGAAGATGAAGAAGATGAACAGGTAAAGAGGGAATCAGCCATCAGAGCGAACCTTAATACTAGATAGTAATAACCCTAGCCCTCTTTTGGTCGACCGGCGTCCCATCGGCTTTAGGGCTGACCGAAAGCGTAGCCGGCACAGTCCTTCGAGAGACTGGCCGACGCAGCGATTCCGGCTGAGGAGGACGCGGAGAGAACGCAGATGGTGTTTGCATGGTGCCACGTAGCGCAATTCGGTATCTTTGTATCGAGACCGCCGGTTGTGCTGTGGTGTGCTGATATCTCCTCTAGCACGAATGTAGAGTACGGTAGGTCGATAGGTATCAAAGGTATCAGTCTTCTCTATCGACGTACCGGTTCGAGCAGCGTCAATGTCAATGTCAACGGAACCAGATGAAGCTTACATTACCTATCCATTCCAACCAGCCCATGGCAATTCTCTCATATCAGACGGTTTATATCGAAAATCCTGATGAGAATTCGAGTGACAGCCACGGAGCCACGGCAAATGGGTTTCTGCATGGTGTGTAGTGCGAGCCCTGCGCCGCAAGCAAGATGCGGAATTATAGATCTTTGTGTCGCGGCGGCGGCGGCCCGCCGCGTGAGAGCTTGAATGAAGCACATGTTCACACCGGTGGTCCCCACAGAGGACTGAACTCGCCGGCAGTTCACTCGCAGTCGTGCTCTGCCGTGTCTCTCTTGCCCTGGATACCGATATACAGGTGGCATTGTCATTGACTGAGGATCGGATGGGAAAGTAGAGTAAGCGTGTAGAGTACAGAGTACATACCTATGTTACGGTGTGCACTGCGTGTGTCTCATGATATGGACTGCCACATGCGTTGTCTATACACAGCCAACTGCTCGCTGTGACCATTACCGTAGTAGGTGCGACGGAGAGCTGGAGTGCCCTACATACTACCTGCGTAGGGAGTAGTTTGGGCCTAGGAACCTATACGCGGTACCGGTATAGTCCTCAACTCCGGTTGAGACCCAGCAGCCCCCAAAGTCCAGCAACCCAACCCCATGTTATCTACGACTCCGAGACTCCGAGGGATTCGCGGCTTTGCGAGCACTCAGCACAGTGCACGCGCCCCCCTTTGTGCCTTTGTAGCCCCCACGTGCCATCGTAGCCAAGAAACCGACAAGAATCAACATCACTGGTGTCTCTCGCACTCTCACTCTCATTCTCTCGACGTCTCTCCTCTCCACCAGCTTGTGGGTTGAACCCGAAACCCTTGCTGGTTCCCCCTGCGGTGGGTAGAGTAGAGTAGAGTAGAGTATGTACATGTCAATCAATCGCCTCTCGCTACGCCCCCTGTCGATCTCAATACGGATGGGTATCAATCTCATCTTTACCACTATTAGTATTAACTATAGTTAGTAGTTAGCTCGTCCTATAACTGGATATAGCCAAGATCGTGGGATGCAGATGTTCAGCTGGACAAAATTCCCGCCCTTTTACCCCCCTCCCCCCTCCCCGTCGAGTCGGCTGTCGAAACTTTGTTTTCTTCTTCTTTTTATAAGCAATAAATAATGACAAATACGACACTTACTTACGGTTGAAATATTAAGTGTCCGAGACTCCGAGCCGAATCGGATTTGTCCGTCGTCGCCCCCCCCATCTTCCTCTTGACCGACTCTCCATGAGTAACCTCGGAGGGAAAGGGGGGGGGCGGCGCTGCTTATCTTGTCTTGTGTATGTACACTCAGCTAATGCTCAGCAGCGGGAATCGCACTTAACTAACACAAAACGCTCACCACTCGTGCACCATTGGCTCAGGACCACTGCCCGAGTGCAGGCCTTGCCCGCCCGCCGTATGCAATGCCCCCCTCTCCCCCCTCTCCCCCCCAGTCGC